TATACGGAGTAGAAAAGGGGTGTACACCGAGTAAATATAGGGTGTACATTTAGCAGCGCCCTAAAGTATTACGGTTCGGACTTGTGAATAGTTCTTTGTCTTGAGTGTAGACAGATGGTGAAGAATGGTCCGTCCAGTGACGATTATCGCTCTAGCAGAGTTAATAGAGCCATCATCCGGCGTTGAACGCTCCCTCGCTAGGAGCGCACGGGAGCATCACGTGACATGGCTTCTCGCAAAGCTTGCGTCCTCTATTTGCGTCAGTGGGTTTAGATGAGTGCACGGGCAATATATGTTATCGGACTCTGAACAAGCATGGGAAGCAACTTGATTAGGTGTTTGTTAGAAGCCTGAAGATTCGAGAATAACTACATCAAATTTTGCAGCTAGGACATGTCGGGAAGGACTGGACCTGGTAAAAAGAGTATAGCAAAGACCGGATAGATTACATGAGCGAAATCAAATCAGCAGACGTGAGAGTAAAACCAATACGAAAAAAGTGCGACATCCGTATTGCTTCGAGGCCGCTACACAAGAACGAACCGCTGAAGGGTTTTTGTGTATGCCTCGATATCGCACACCTCGCCATCCATTTTACCGTTGACGTAGCATTCTCCGATGAGCTCGTAGTACGTAGGGGCATTAGGCTCAGGCTGGCTTGGCTGGCTGGCTGATCCGAGGTCTGAGTAGTCGACAGCAGAGGTAGGTGGGCTGTTCGTATTTGGATCTCGCTGACTGCCATTGGGTTGGCCGCCGTTGGATTGGTAGCCATTAGTGGACGAAGCAGGCAGGTCGACGGGAATTAGTTGCTCTGTTTCAAGGATCGGTGATAAAATATCCGCCTGAGCTGCCCATGGTTGCTCCGTCCATGGATTGGCCGGTGAGCTCGTTTCGGTACTGGGCCCACTTTCTCTCGGTTGAGAGAAGGGAATGAAGAAGTCGTCTCGGTCCGCGGTCGTTGACGCAGCTGTGTCAACCTTGACTGACTTCGACGTGGTGGAAGCACGCCTGCGGCCGACAGTGCGATAACTCGCAAGGTAGTTCTCCGCAGATTGGGGGTCAACCCGCTGCCCAAGCAATGGCTTCTCCTTTACCGGTCTGAGGACAACAGGAACGCTGCAGCCATAGAGAACGCAAATAAGATCTCCTTCCTTAGCTTTCTTCGGTACTAGGCCAAATAGCTCCCCGTACTCGCCCCCGATGAATACTTTGCGGTTCCAGGTGACGTCCTGGACGCGCTTCAGGAAGCTGACGACTTGTTCTGGGCACTCAGGGTCGTTCATGAGCTCGGTCATGCGGACATCGCCGTTCACGTCTTCGCGTTGGAGGATGAAAACGCATGAGCGCCTGTAGACGCCTTCTGGTGGCTGGCCTTCTGGATCCTTGTTCGCAACGAGCGTTCGCCACAGTTTATCGGGAATAGAGTCGACTGTGAGCTCCTTGTCCTGGAGCGAGTAGTCCCATCCGCCCATGGCAATGACCTCGTTGGGAAGGATGCCTGGAATCATGCGTGGGGAAAGAGCAGTAATAGAGCCAAGTACGAGGCCTTGGACTGTGAGTGTACCGTCATAGGTCTCGGTGAGTTCGACTCCCTCAGGCAAGGGAGGGTTAGAAGATCTCTGCTGTGTCCTCTGTGCAAACTCAGCAGTTTCGGCCGTATGCTTCCCGGAAGCATTGTAGATCCTTTGCAGCCCAACGAGACTGTCAGCGTTCTTTCTACCGCGAAATATCTTATCGGGAGTTCCAAAAGCTGAGGCATTCAGATTCTGTATCCACGAGGGGAGCGTAGTATCGAATCGAAGGTTCTCGCCTTTTGGCTGCTTGATGATCAGCGTCGTATTGACTGGTGCCCAATGTCTGCAAATAATGTCCAGGGAAGCAGAAGTGTCGATGCAAAGCCGAACAAATTCAGTATAGACCTCGAGGAGACTTTTGTTGTAGTCTGGCTGTAGAGCTTTCCGATTCCGCTCTTGGTTGCGAGCGATGGCGAGCAAGGCGTAGACCGTGTCTCTAGCATCTTGCGATTCAAACGAGATAAGGCTAGACACGAGTTCTTCCATAGTTTTTTTTCGCTCCATAATGCTGCCGTCATTACCCTTTTGCAACAAATTGCCTGGACTTGTTGTCTTGACGAGAGCTCGAGCTCCAAAGGCTTCAACCGCGTTGAGGCCCTCGGCTTTGATCTTGATCTTTTCGGCGCTTTGGAATTCAGACCTCACCATAGGCAGCTTCTCCATAAAGACGGAAATAGCATCGGCGAAGTCATCCCAATGGACCGCTTTGGTACCGCAGTACACTGAAGCACTTCGTGCCAAAGATAACTCTTGAATCACCCAGCGTCGGCTAAACCACCTACTTCGCATCAACTCGATCAGAGCGGCCCATTTTTGTAGAGATTCCTCTCGGTGAAATATGCCTTTGAGTTCTTCGAATTGGACAAGTTCTTTGACAAAGTCCATGGCGATGTCACTTCGCTCGCTTGCTCCGCCTAGCCAGATTCGCACATTGAGCGCTCGATTGTATATCTCAGACATGTACTTTGAGATCTGCTCTGTCTTCTCGCTCAAGTCGCGTTGATTGATACAAAGTGCATCGACCCAAATTTTGACGTGCCTGTCGGTTTTCCGAATTGCCCGTAAGGCGTCGAAGAGGTTCTTGCCGATGAGGGTGCGTGTTCCAACTATTCTGAACAACAAAAATTGCAATCTGGATCTAGCATTCGTATATCGCTCGGTGACGAGCGTCGTGAAATCGCGAAGTATGATGGGGTTCACCGCTGGGCTGTCACCCCATTCATAAGACAAGGCCTCATAATCTGGAAGGTTGTCCAACGGAGCACGAACAAGATCGAGCTGCAATACATCGTTGTTTTTACCCCTTCGGAGCAACAAAACACGGATGTTGCGAGGTGGAAGTCTCCAATACGTGTGGGCAAAGGACCGGCTTACAGTAAGCCCCTTTACGCCATGTGTAATTTTGTCGAGTAGATCTGAAGGTTGACGAAATCCAACTGGTTTCAATCGCGATACACGGACTGACTCAACGTCGTGCTCTTCCAGGGGTTCCAAGATGACATCTTGAGGGTTGAAAAAAAGCTCGGAATTCATTACGAAATCCAGAAAGGTTGCAAAAGAGAAGGACAACGAAGTTTAGTTTGTAGACGAAATGGAGAGCTTAGAAATATCAGGCCTGTAAGGTGGCGTCATTGTTGAAATGCCGGCTTCTTAAGACGTATGCGGCTGGACGAGCTGACTGCCCCATCTGCAAGGCTGAATCACAGCCTTGTGAACCTCGTCACAACATGTGGCAGCTCACGGAATCGATTGGACAATCTGGGCAGCCATAAACAGAAATAGAATGAAGAGCAGACGCCATGTTATGACATGCGCGTGAAAGGGGGCCTCTCGATATCTGTTGAAGCTTGGGTGGCAGCAACAGAATAGACTTCTAAAGCTTGAGGTATAGTCTGGGTGATGGTAAAAGGACCACATTGCGGCTCGGATGTATCGCCATATGAACTTATTGCTTTCTTTCTTGATATGAAGGATGCCAAAGTAGCTGCTCTATGCCATGACACCGGCATTTGCAGAGGACGAATTATGCGGATACGAACCCATTTCCGGACCTCCATCCCTACCTTCAGCCAGCCTCTTCGGAAACCCCTGTGATTTCCCAAAGGTGTGTTACACAAGCGCCGCTTCAATCTCATCTTTACTGGCGATCGGATAGTAGCGGTAATGGCCGTAGCCGCTGTTCAAGCGAGCACGGCGTTGCCCGTAGAAAGCTGATAGTACCCCCGCTGCGTAACAGGTGCGGCAAGAAATCGTAAAGTAGGGTGTTCTATGACTCTCTTGAAGGTGTCTAGTGCCTCGCGTCGTCGGGCAAATATGATGCGGGGGATAGGAATCCGGAGCTATAAGCCTTGAATTTTCTGCAGCTAAGATGCGTCTTTTTGATGTTGGGAGGAGAGGGGTGTGCAGCCAGAGCTCATTCGGGAGTGACTTTACTTCAACCATGATGTTCGGGAATGTAATAGCGTTAGACCCGCTTCTGAGCACTGGTGAATAACCTTCTTTGAGGTGACCTGGCGAGTTTATAGATCGTTCAAAACAGTGTCTGTGACTCAGTCTTTTAAAGATGTAGAATATCAAGGGACTTCAAACGGTGACACCTGTATTTTTTACGGGCTCATTTCCTGGGCATTACTTTATTTTCGGATTAACCAGGAAGGTGAATGAGCGGGGTATTACTCGGGTATTGACCTGCTTGGTATTTTGCATGCCAGTGAGATGACAGCCTTGATGGTTGAGGGGTTGGTGTGGTGTTGTGCACGGGTTGTGCATATTTATGATTGGCTAACGTCATTTTAATGAAGCTTTCTAAACCTCAAGCTCCAGAACTTCAAGACTCCCCGCAACACCTCCGCTTCCCACGATCGCGACACAAAATCCCTGGTCGTACCCCGAATTACACATATATAATGAGCTCCTCAAAACAAGGTGCCTACGGCGCAGGAGGAGGTGCACCAGGTGGCGACACCAGCTTCCGCAAGACCTGGGACAAGGACGAATATGCGGCGAAAGGCCGCGATCGCGACGCAAAGGACCGCGAAGAGGGTAAAGCGCGTTACGAGGCACATCTCGCAGGAAAAAAATACCATCGGCGAGCTTCCACACCACCAGATGCGCGGGATACGGAGGCGCGCGCTGGCCGGCTTGATGTCGCGAGCATGGTGGGCAAGACGACGCTGGTGCCGGCGGGGAGCGCAGTAGGGAAGAGAGGGAAGGGCGCGGGCTTCTACTGCGAAGCCTGCGACTTGACATTTAAGGGCGAGTATGACTGTCTGATCATATTGAAGAGCGCTGCTAACTTGATCAAATAGATAATTTGCAATACGTCGAACATCTCAACAGCAAGCAGCATCTTGTCAATACTGGGCAGACAGGCGAGGTCAAACGCGCTTCCGTGGAGGAGGTGCATCAACGACTACTATGGTTGAAGAGGAAGCGGGAGGAGGAAAGCACAGAGCAGGTCATTGACCTAGAAGCCAGATTGGAGGTCTCGAAGGAGAGGGAAGACAAGGAACGGGAGGGAAAACGGCGGAAACGGAACGAGAAGCGGAGGAAAACTAAGGATGGTGTGGGACATGTCGAAGTCAAGGTCGAGAACGATGGGGTCATATGCTAAAGGGTTTCTGGGTTTCTATATTGCTTGGGAAGGTATTGGCATCAGTTGGTGTTTACAAGCAGAGCATAGCGTTGGAGTTTTGGCTTTTATGGAGTAATCTTGGAGTCTGATGCCTGAAGGTATACCAGTACTTTTAAATTTCTCCCCCGGCTGCATCTTATCTTCCGGCCTCACCTGGGTCACCTTTGACGACGGGAGGGAGCAGAATAGTGAGATAAATCCAAATTCATTTCCCCACGAACTTGAAATCCTCTGCCAACTACGAGGGTTACCACTCGTGTCAGCTCGGTCAGTGATATTTGTCTCTGTCTATTCAAGAGACAAGATAAAAGGTCATAGAGGTTTCGAAATCGGCAAATAATATGACCCAAAACAAAACCAACCATCCGCCATACGTCGCATCTATCGCCTTACTTATCGACATTTCCACGATCACCATTGACACTTCATAACGTTTACCTATCATGAAAAGCATCGAAACCCCATTGGTTTCGTAAACGATTCCGCCGGATTTATGTCATTTTCTATGCGCTGCGAATTTGATACAATCGACTGGCCCTACGAATGCCTTCACTTCTACACTAGAACCTCGCTACAACTCACGGTTTTATCTCCTTAACACGCAGGCATTTGGAACTCACCACATATAACATTCACTGCTAAGATTTTTCGGAGATAGCGTCGGGCCGATCTTAGCGCCTATGCCCTTGCGGCTAAAAGTGGAGCCAAAGTAAACAACGGCCCTCCACGAACTCACGAACACAACACGCCCCTCACGCCCACCACCGCGCACCCTCACACCCTCTTTCTTTTAAATTCATGCTCTAGCTTTGCACCGTCGCTCGCTCTCGCCGTTTCGTCCTGCAGGACTTCTTCAATTCTTGAGAGCCGCTCTAGCGTTCCACAATTCATCATGGACGACTCCTTACTGGAGGACTCCGTCTTCGACGACGGCGCAAGCTCTGACTTCGCGCCGCCCGTGAAGCCTATGAAGGCCGTCAAAGCAACCAAACTCAAAGCCGCCCCGAAACCGAAAAAGCCTGCCACCGCAGCGAAACCTCGAGGTAGACCACCCAAAGCCACGACACAAACAACACTCAAGGTCACAAAGACCGCGGCTCCTAAGAAGAAGCGAAAAGCAGATTCCGACCAGGAGAATTCCGACATCGAGATGGACGATGCTATCTCCGATCATGACGACTCCTTGCTTGCCGACACACCACCAAAGGCGAAGGCTCCCAAGAAGGCGCCGGCGCCTAAGAAGACCACGAAGCCCCTAGCTCCTGTCGAGAACGAGAGCTTTGGGTTAGATGGCGTAGATGAGTCGCCTCCAAAGGCAAAGGGCAAGGGGTCAGCTGCCGACCGCTTCCAGATGGTGATGCCACCCTTCGCAACTGACTTGACTTCATGCTAACTTGTCTTTAGCTCTCCCACTTGGAGCATATTATAATACGCCCCGATACCTACATTGGCTCCGTGGAAAGTATAACAAAGCAGATGTGGGTCTACAACTCCACGACTGAGATTATGGAATTCCGCGACGTCAGCTACGTGCCGGGTCTCTACAAGATCTTCGACGAAATCCTGGTGAACGCTGCAGACAACAAGCAGAATGACAAAAACATGGACAGAATCAAGGTGGTTATCGACAAGGAGGCAGGAGTGATCTCTGTAGAGAATAACGGCAAGGGTATTCCCATCGAGATCCATAAGGTAATATCGACGATCTCCTGACTACTTTGTGTCCGTCTAATTAGCAATAGGAGCATGGAATGTATGTCCCGGAGATGATCTTCGGCCACCTTCTTACTTCCTCGAACTACGACGACGACCAGCAGAAGGTTACGGGCGGTCGCAACGGTTACGGTGCAAAACTTTGTAACGTCTTCAGTACCGAGTTCACTGTCGAGACTGTAGACTCGAGGCAAAAGAAGAAATATGTGCAGACGTGGAACGACAACATGTCGAAAATGGGAAAGGCCAAGATCACCCCAATCAAGGACGATGACTACACCAAAATCACTTACACCGCCGACTTCAAGCGATTTAGTATGGTCGGTATGGACGACGACTTTGAAGCACTGGCGAAGCGAAGAGTTTACGACCTCGCGGGAACTGTCAAAGGTGTGAAAGTCTGGCTGAACGGGAAACGAGTCCAGGTCAACAACTTCAAGAAGTACATGGAGCTGTACACTAAAGCCATCGCCAAGGATCAAGGTAAAGAGGAAAGTCAAAACGACGATCTAGAATCACAGACTCACGTAATCATCACCGATACCCCACACGAGCGCTGGGAGGTGGGCTTTGCAGTGTCCGATGGATCGTTTCAGCAAGTCTCCTTCGTCAACTCTATCTCTACAACATTGGGAGGCACACATGTCAACTACATCGCCGATCAAATCGTCGACAAGCTCGTTGCAGTTGTCAAGAAGAAAAACAAGGGTGGTCTCCCATTGAAACCCAACCAGATCAAAAACCACATCTTCTTATTCGTCAACTGTTCGATTGTCAACCCTGCATTTACTTCTCAAACGAAGGAACAGTTGACTACCAAGTCCAACAAATTCGGAAGCACCCCTACCGTCAGCGACAAGTTCCTCAAGGCCATCGAGAAAACCGAGGTCGTTACCAACATTCTCCACATGGCCGACAAGAAGGCCGATCTGCTTTTGAAAAAGTCTGATGGTAACCGGAGATCGCGAATGAACAATTCCAAACTTACAGATGCCAACAAAGCCGGTACCAAGGATGGATGGAAATGCACGCTCATTCTGACTGAGGGTGATTCGGCGAGTTTGCTTGCTTTGGCTGGCCGAGCCATCGTGGACCCTGATTTGTTCGGAGTCTTCCCCCTCCGCGGAAAGCTACTCAATGTTCGCGACGCCTCTGTGGAGCAGGTCTCGAAGAATCAAGAAATCCAGAACATCAAGAAGTTTATGGGCCTTCAGCACAAGAAAGAGTACACTGACACCAAAAATCTTCGGTATGGTCATCTTATGATTATGACGGATCAAGATCACGACGGGAGTCATATCAAAGGCCTCCTTATCAATTTCCTCCAGGTGCAGTTTCCGAGCCTGTTGAAGCTTGACGGATTCTTGATGGAATTCATTACACCCATCGTCAAGGTTTGGAAGGGCGATCCAAAACACCCGAAACAGCTAAAATCGTTCTTCTCGATGCCGGAATACGAGGAATGGAAAGAGGAACCAGGGCATCAGAAGGGCTGGGATCACAAGTACTTCAAGGGATTGGGCACCAGCAGCACTGCAGACGCTCAAGTCTACTTCCGTGATCTCGATACCCATCTGAAGGAATTCCACCGGATGAAGGAGCACGAAGAGGGGCTTATCGAACTGGCCTTTTCGAAGAAGAAGGCCGATGCCCGTAAAGAGTGGCTCCGCGAGTTCGTACCTGGAAACCATCTGGACCTCACCGGCAACAAGATATCCTATGATGATTTCGTCAACAAAGAACTCATCCTCTTCAGCATGGCTGACAATCTTCGCTCGATTCCATCCGTCGTGGATGGCTTCAAGCCTGGACAGCGGAAAGTTCTGTATACTTGCCTACGACGTAATCTGAGGAAGGACGTCAAGGTAGTCGACCTCGCGGGTTCCGTTTCCGGAACTACGGATTACGCCTATGGTGAGGCCTCTATGCAGGGCACCATTGTTGGCCTTGCTCAAAATTTCGTCGGGTCCAATAACATCAACTGCCTGGAACCCAGTGGAAATTTCGGTAGTCGTCTTCAAGGTGGTAACGATGCCGCTAGCGCTCGTTACATTTATACGAGACTTTCGCCGTTCGCGCGGAGGATCTTCCACCAGCATGATGATGCGTTGCTCAACTATGGGGAGAGTGATGGGCACAAAATCGAACCAGAGATATATGTTCCTATCCTCCCAATGATTCTCGTCAACGGTTCGGATGGTATTGGTACTGGTTGGAGTTCCAGCATTCCCAACTACAATCCTGTCGACATTGTCGAGAACTTGAAAATTCGAATGGCTGGAAGCAAGGAAGACATGAAACCGATGACTCCTTGGTTCCGCAATTTCACTGGAGAAGTCACCGATATTGGTGGGGAACGCGTAAAGTTCTCGGGAACCATTCGCGAGCTGGATGAGAATACGGTTGAAATCACCGAACTACCCATTCGGGTTTGGACACAGGCTTTCAAGGACAAATTGGAGGACATCATGAAGGCCGAAAAGGTACCGTCATTCATAAAAGACTACACTGAGTATAACACTCCGGAGAAGGTTCACTTCGTTATCAAGATGGAGGACAAGCATATGGCGAACGCACGAGCGAAGGGGTTTGAAGAGACGTTTAAGCTGTCTTCGACAGTGGCCACGACTAACTTGGTCGCTTTCGATGCCCAGGGTCGTATTCACAAGTACGCCACAGTCCTTGATATCATGGAAGAGTTTTATGGCATCCGCCTGCGATACTACGAAAAGCGGAAGCAATACCTTCTGAGCGAAATGCATCGAGAGCTTGAGAAACTGAGCAACCAGTCACGTTTCATTCAAATGATCATCGATGGAAAGCTCGTAGTTTCCAAAAAGAAGAAGACTGTCCTTGTTACCGAGCTTAAGAAGCTCAATTTCAAGCCGTTCCCGAAGGTCGTCGATGCCAAGAACGCCGGCGAGATGGAGCAAGTTGTCGAAGAGGAGGAGAGCGAAGAAGACGCAGCAGTCGGCGCTGGTGATTACGATTACCTGCTCGGTGTAAGTACTCAAGTTTCATCCTTTGATTTTTTACTGACCTGATATAGATGGCTATCTGGTCTTTGACACAAGAACGAGTCGAGAAACTCCTCAAACAGATTGGCGACAAGGAAGTCGAAATAGATGACCTTATCAAGCTCAGTCCCAAGGATCTCTGGAACCGCGATCTGGACCTTTTTGTCGAGGAGTGGCACGCACAGCTTGCCGACGAGGCTAAGGCCGCCAAGAAAATTGCTAACATGGGACGCCGTGCTTCGGCCAAGCTGCGCATTGGTGCAGCCAGCAAGTCTAAGAAGCGCAAGGTGGACGATAGCGATGAGTTAAGTGACCAGGATTTTGGACCGAAAAATAAGAAGAAGGCTGCCGCACCCAAGAAGCCCGCCGGTCTGCTAGGATATTTGAAAGCCAACGACCCTCCTAAACAGGCGACGCAAGCTTTGAAGAATGGAGCTGCATTCAAGAGACCAACGACGGATGCGATATCGGTGGATGGTGCTGCAGATGACATTGTGGAGGTGGTCAAGCCCCCAGTTGCCTCCAAGAAGCCCCGGCCTGCCACGACGAAGCCTGCGAAGCCTGCAAAGGCCAGTCTTGACAGCGATCTAGACGATGACGACGATGTGTTTGCTGCCGTGGCGAAAGAGGCGAAGGAAAAGCCAGCTCCCGCTCGTCAAGCTCGTGCCGCAACTAAGAAAGTGCCGAAGTATACCATTCCCGATGATAGCGACGACGACGATGTCGACGACGTTCTCGGCGATGTTAGCATGATGGTTAAGGGGATCGGAGCCAACAGCACAGCAAACGGTCGCCCTCTGTTTTCTGCCACAGCGGCAGGCCGTCCCGGAAGCGGAAATCGACCAGGTAGTGCTGCTAGCTTCAATGGCCTTGGTTCTAAGATCTCTTCTCGCGCACCAGCGAAATCTGCCCTGGAGATCTCGGATGACGAAACGGACTACACCAAGCTGATGCCACAGGCTTCCCCTCAGAGGCCAGCGCCTCGCAACGCCAACGACACCATGCTCGGCTCTGACAATGACGAAGACTTCGGATTCAGCCTTCAAAAAGCCGCTCCAAAGGTCACTGCCAAGGCTGCGCCGAAAGCAGCAGCAAAGCCTGTCGCGAAGTCCAAGCCCGTCGCGTCTGTTGTTGCTGCGAAGACGACCGCACTGTCTCCCGCTGCTAAGGCCTACGCTGCAAAGCGTGCCAAACTCAACGAGTCTTCGAAGCCGGCGCTGAAGAAAGCCGCGGCTGACTCTGACACCGAGATGGGGGATGCAGAAGACGTCGACGCTCTCGCCAATGATATCCTCAGCGATGATGAAGACGATGAGAGCATCGTCAAGCCCGCGCGAGCCACATCTGCCCGTCCCGGCCGTCGTGCCGCGGCAGTGAAACCGAGGTACAAGGTTACCCTCAGCGACGATGAGAGCGAAGATGAGGCTAGTGAGCCGAGCTTCGAAGACGATGATAGCGAGTAAGGGAGATGTGAGGGAAGGTGCCTCGTCCTATATGGAGGAGCCGTCGCTTCCCCGTTATGACATTGCCATGCCGCGGGCGATCGGATGATCATGGGCTTTTCTTTCGGTTCGTTGGACTGGGTTTCTGCAGGATTGGACCGTGCTGGGTAGGCTCAAGCAGGCGGGCTCGGGAGCTGCTAATTAACGATTGTGCACTTTCTCACAGGCGTTCCGAGGGACTGTATATTACAATTTTCAGATCATATCCTCCTTTTCCTTAAAGCGAGCGACACTGCGGTAGTGATGGCACATGGAACTCGCGGCGTTGAATAACCTAGATCTCGTGCTAGTACTCCTATGCTAACTACTATGCTTCTATCAAAGACTTAAGTGCGCCGCCCATCCTACAGGTAAATTCTCTACCTCCTTTTTTTGTGACGTTAGCCGGGTTACTAATACTATATCATGCCTCTCCCTCTCCTGAAACAGTGAACCTCCGACCTCCGACCCTCCCGTGTCGTACAACCCGCATACCCGCACAAGCCCAATTAGCAGCCACGGGCTGAAGTTGAGTTGAGGATTTGTCAACCGACCCGTGGCTATCCTGTCACACCGTGGGGTTTTTTGAGTTTCTGACACTTGACAGGCTACGCAAAGGGGAGTGGAGTGAGTCGGCAGAAGAAGCCAGAGAGCCCCCGCGAGGGAGTCAGTGAAAGTTAGGAGGTGACGGAGCATGCAGGGTGGCGGAGAGGTGCATGTCGGGGTCTCGGTGGCCGCTTTTGGAGAATGCCTAGGACGGAGTGGAGTAAAGCGGTTTGGTGTGCGTGGGGCGCTGATTGATTGCTGGAACGTTGCTTGCTTGCTATAGGGATCGAGAGTCTTAAATTCGAGGGCGGAGAAAGTGGAGAGGTTGGTGGTTTTGGGTGAGGTATAGGCAGGGAAAGAGAGCTATTCTACGCTGCGGCATGTATGACTGACTGACAGTGACAGGAAGCTAGAGGCGGGGATCGCTGCGTAGGTGGTGTCCTGCTCGACATCGTGCTGTGGCTGCATCGCGATGCTGTGTGCTCGTGTTAACGACCGCAAGAACAGGCGCTCTACCGGGGACGCCCAACACTTCAACACCATTCGACGACGCCACGATTAGACTTCTATTCCAGTTCGCCAGGTCTCCGCCATCGTGCTTACGTACTACCTCGTCAAAAAGGAGCGTTCCCCCGCATGTGTTGCGAGTCCAGGACACCGCGGCATCTGCAGCTACCCGCCTCGGCCTCAGGGTGTACTTGCAAGCGCGGCACCGGCACTCCTGAGCCGTAGCACCGTGGCGTCCGACTAGGACTGCTGCTTGGGAAGGCCAGTGTGCGGCGCCCGAGATTTTGACAGGTGTGTCGTACGGAGAGCCCAGCAGCTCGAGGATGCATGCTGTACGCCAGAACACAGGGGGAAGAAGGCTGCGGGGAGAGGAGCTACTGCTGCTGCGTCGGCTTGCCGACGGAGAGAGAAGACAAAGCGGCTGTGATACCAGTGTGCTCCTTGTGCGTCTACTCATGAGCGTGAGCGAAAGCGTTGGGGCCGGTCAGTCTCGTGGCAGTCTTGCAAGCTGAGAAATGGGGACTGCGGGTATCCAGGATCGCTGGATAAGCTGTGAAGAGTGGGATGCGTATAGGGGGTATAGAATCGCAAAGGTGGAGGGCAAAGAGCGTCGCACGGTGCACCGCTAGGTATCGTGGACATCCACGCTGCTCGTGCCACTGCGGCGTCGAGCTATTGAGCTGCGCGTAACCATGGCTTGCGCGAAGGAGTAGTATCATTTCCCGGCACTCGTTGCTAGTCGCGTACAAGCGCACGCAATCCAGACGTCGTTGACGTTCTCTGGGCGGACGATGAGAATCGTTGAGGCCCTCGCGCCACACCTAGGATGCCGGCGGAACGCGGGATTGGCTGGAGAGCTGCAGCGACGGGCGGACACTGTCATGCCATTTTGTAAGTTGCTGTAGAAGCTGGGTGAACTGTGGTTCGGCTGAATTCCCAGATCTTGACAGCTTGGTCGTACGGAGTAACTCTGATTTTGGGACATGGACAGGTACCTCGAGGGTGGCGTGAGTTCGTGAAGACGAGTGGAGGAAACAGGAGAAGAGAGTTGGGATTGCGAACGGTACGTGGGAGAAATGCTTCGTACGCTCGTCGCAGACACTAGAGACGACCCATCAGAGGGATCGCACCTAATCAACTTGATACATTGCAAGTACCAAGAAAGGACACCGGAAAGGACAAAAGAGATTTGATCGCTTGATAGGGCTAGCCGGAGGCGCAAAAGGAGCATGATACTGGCGCTGTCTATACGGAGGCGGCCAACGGAATTCCACCGAATCGTGGCACGACGTCTGGATTCATTCACCCGTGCCTCCTCAGGGCCAGCTTTTTGGATTGTTCAAGCCGAAGCGGAAATAGCAGACGTTCTAGAGGCGATGATGAGATTTGAGGTCAGGCGTTGTCCGTTGCGGCCGATGCTGAAGCGCTTGTCTCTCACAGTGGCCGTCTTCCCTGCCCATTGACGCAAAGGATTGGGCAGGCGATGTGTTACGGAATATGTCTTGAAGTCCAGCACGATAGGACGCTCTGTCGCTCCCGAGGTCAATGAGACGACGAAAGTCAAACGGCTGACGGGAGGTTCCAGCCAACATGCCCCAACGGTCTGATCGAATTCGGCACGGGAACTCACAGACTCAGCCAGAGGCGCCCGTTAAACTTCCAGAAGGCTTTTAGAAGAGGTTCAACTGAAGTATGGGTCACGGGTTACTACGTCTACAGTATACTGCAAAAGAAGGCTCCTGCTCTGGCGGTCAGAGCGAGACACAAATCACCGCCTTCTCGACACCGCGAATACAAACGGCGGTGAAGAAGGCACGCGCTCCGCCTGAAACTGCTTCTTTGTTCTCAACACATGGTAAGGCACGGTCCAGTGCGAGCAGTAGAGCATCGATGGACAACACACCGACAATCAAGTGACAATCAGCTCTCACCAATGGCCACCCCAGCTCCGATCTCCCAACCGTTCATCAGTCTAGCTGCTGTAGACTATGTTCGTCTCAAGCGGCGATACATAGCGTAGGACTCGTCTAATACGTAGAGAGGGTGCCGTTGAAGTCGACATACCTCGAGTACTGATGCCAATCAAGGACTGCGGCCGCCAACCTCGCTGATGCCCTTAGATCCAACCATTCTCCGTCCCGCGGCTTGATCTCAGCGCAGAGGCCCGACGATGCCATCCAGAATCGGGAGGCCGCCCACGTTTGCGGCGCAAAACGGGCCAGGTATGTGCGCTTGTTTCGCGGACAACTGCATACAACAACCATGCCGATTCGCCGATGCCTGTCACCGCTCTACGGAAGGAGGGCGTGCTGTCGAGCCTTGCTGGAGTCACCAGAAACATGGCGGGCGGCCGATTGCCATCGTGATGGTGTGTAGTGCGCAGGTGTGGCTGTCGTGTCAGAAGCTAGGCGTAGCACACCCCCAGGAGCAACGACAGTACGGTGAGTCTACTGGCCGCTCTAGCGCTAACACACCTCCCGAAAAAAGCTGGGGAAGGCCAGGGAGGCTGGGACGGGGTCAAACCGGGCGATTGCGTGGTTGGGTTTCCACGCCCAGTGTATGTTGCGTACCTGGCAACCTGCGTTATGCTGGCGGCACGAGCGTGCATGGCATGATTTGCTGTATGGATTGGGTCTCTCACCAAGTGTCTCAGCGCCAGGAGCGCCAGAGATAGCCTGGAAAGGTGCAGGGTTTGGGCGGAAGCTGTGGTTAATGCAGTGAAACACCCTCCCTCGATCTTATCTCTCCACCCCTCGTCATTGTATTCCGCGTGTGCCCTATGTACTCTCTTTGGAACGAATCGACACCCCTTCCCTCTGGTCTGTGAGGAGAGCAACTTGCTTGGATACTTGCACCATCCATATCAACACCCCTCTTTGAAAGTGTTGCTAAACCAAGCAAGCCTTGACGACGCACCTTTCGGGTAGGTGTAGCAACCAACCATTCAAAGAACAAAAGAATACGAGCTATAAGACTGACAGTGGCAACAGCATCGGCACACCTCTGCTCGAACGTTGCTCAAATCAGTGATCGATCATCCAAAAACACGCTCTTAGAAACCATCCGCATCACATTAATCACAGGCATACTTCATCGAAAATCGCAGCAGTCGGTTGGTTGTCCCTATATATCAGTGGACCAGTCGGCACACTTTATGACTATGCAAGCTGACCTGTCAATTCTCCTATAGCCACGGCTCTGGCCCGCTTCCCTCGATAGCCGATCAAGCATCCGTTGGACACCGAACCGATCAGACTGATATCGTCCTTTCGGAGTAGCAAACGGATACCTTTCCAGCGGAGTAACGGTTCGGCGCGTGCACATACCCAACAAGATCCATTGCTGGCGTCTTTCGTCGACCGGAAAACTTGAAAAAGGGTCTATCGTCCGAAGATACCCAAGCCGCAAGCCTAACCAGCCCATACTCATCACCTCACAGCGCCATCCGGTGAAGGCAACTCTACGAGCCGAATGGTGTATGGTGGCCATCTCGTCCTCGTGAGCCATTTCTGCAAACGCACCTTCTCCAGCTTCTTTTCCAACCATTCGAGCACCGCCCTCCACCAAACTTGCAAGCCAAACTTTGCTTGGTAACACCGCATCCTAGTCTTGCCGTCGCATTGTCTCTGTTCCAAGCCATTCCCGGCGTACTCTCTGACAAGGGTCTTGGAGGACCGCTTCGACTCTCGAGTAGCGGCGTCGACCGCAAATGCCGGAACAAGTCTCTATGATGAAGATCCAATCGCTGCTGAACCCGCTATGCAGCGACCTTTATGACTATCGCGACTCAAATAGTCCTACTCCGACCAACATTCCCAGGTCTTTCATGACACACACTTCGACCCCAAAGAGGAAGAAGATACCGAAGGACGCTGCGGTATTTACCGAAGGGTCCAAGTTCAAAGGGCCCGTCAACTATCCTCCTCATGAGGCAGGAGATGATGAAGAACTCGCTACTTACCATCGCCAGTATCAGATTCATCCCGTAGGAGAGATAGGTAGGTACTGTCGCCACATACCTTACAACAGTGAGAAGAAGGACTTCATGGCCAAGACCGGGAGGGAGAGTTTTGAAGGTAAGTAGCCAACAGACCGCCGATTGCTTCGAAGGCAAGCAAAGACTAACCCAGGCAGTCTTCCAATATACATTCAAGAAGCCCGGCGACGACAAGGAGTATCTAGTCCTGTGGGACTACGAGATCGGACTCGTCCGCATCACTCCATTCTTCAAGTGCTGCAAATATTCAAAGGTATATGCATCCTTCGACGTCTGACAGCAAGCAAACACTAAAATTTTCAGACGACTCCTGCGAAAGTATTAAAGCTGAATCCTGGGTTGCGGGATATCAGCCACAGTATCACTGGAGGCTCTTTGGCGGCTCAAGGTAACTCGTCATTCTCGAACACTCACTGACATATAGCTAATCGGGTTTAGGGTACTGGATGCCCTTCGAGGCCGCCAAAGCCGTGGCTGCGACCTTCTGCTACCCCATCCGCCACGCTCTGACACCTATCTTCGGGAAAGAGTTCCTCTCCATGTGTACTCTCCCCAAAGACCCCACGTTCGGGAAGTTCCTCATCGATCAATCGATAACCAATCAATGCACCGCCGAGTGCGAACGCTGGAGACAGGAGAGCGAAGACCGACAAGCCTCCGTTCGCGATCAGTCTATGCTTATGGACGTGCCGCGCTCACGAACCACCTATCAGCCATGGACGACTAAGACCTTTATCCATCGCCAGGCAAAACCGGCCGACATCGAAAGCGGCTACGGTACCGACACCGATCAGAGCGACAAGTACCTGTTCTCACCGCAAGTCTCGCCGACGAGCAGAGGCTGGACGTCGATCAACCGATCAAACTCCCCCGGCGAGATTCGCTCTGTGCCAGCGTTTGGCTCACCGAAGCCATTGCTGTACTCAGTGCCGAGTGGTGTTGAGGAAGACCAGCCGAGGAACAAGAGAGGGTTATCAGAGATTAGCGATGAGTCTGACGATATCGTAGCACATCCCGTGCAGTCCATCGAGCAGCCGGTCGACCCAGAACACAACAACCTCGCAGCGAAAGCAACCGAGCGAGAGATGAACGCGGCCCAGCTTATGCTTCAGTTAAGCATGGACGACTCGGCGCTTCGGGGTGACCATCGCGCCAAACGCAAGCGACGCGCCTCTACCTAGGTCCATTATGATGTTGGAGACGAGGGAGGTTTCGTGATGCACTTGAAGTTGCAGCGTGCATGTTGGGCTTCTGATTCAGATTGACAGAGACATGGCAGGAGAGATGTAGTCTCGGCGGCGTTGTGTTCACATGCGGCATGGATGGCGACACGAATAATGATTGTGATATCCCGAGTAATGATTCTTTATCTCTGCGGTTTATCTGCTTGATCAAATAACTTGTTCCTGTTCAACGTTTAACAAAAACATGTCGACGCGTTTGTTATTGATGGAAAACTTCAATTTGTTATCAGACACTCCTCTCCCTGAGCTTCCTCATTCGTAACGACCGCTGACTTCTTGGTCCCCTACTTCCCGGTCGCCTTAAGCTTCGCGACCCTCGCGACAGTCCCCTTCACAACTGCCTCCTCATCGTAAATGTACGTAACACTCTCCTGCGCAATCACCGCCTTGGCCCACTTCGAATAGTTCGGCAGCGCATCAAGCCCCTTCCCGAGCGACGCAGGAAGCGCACCGTGTTTCGACAGACTGCTGTTCCTCAGTGCGAACGGCGCCGTCAAAGCCTATAGACACCATCAATAAAGCATTGCAGATGCCAGTCAGTTTTTTAGCATACCTCGGCCAACGTAAGCTTCTCGCTCCCCCCAAAGAACGGCGCTGCGTCTTTCAAAAGCGGCTCGATTTCTTTCTCCACCAGCGCCAGGAACTCCTTCACTATCTCTTCTTGCTTCGCTTCGTCCTGTTCTAGCAGGATCTTGAACTGGAACGACCCGATCTTGGAGAACCACGTGTCGACGAAGAAGTTAATGCGGGCGCGCTTGAGGGCGCCTTCGGGGGTGTTAGAGGTCGGGAGGAGATGCGAGGGATGCGCGTCGGCGAGGAATTGGGACACGATGCCTGATTCGGTGATGATCTCGTCTTTGATGGCGCCGTTGGAGTACTTGATGGAGGGGACGAGACCGCGCGGGTTGACTTCTAGATACCAGGGATCACGGGGACGGTCGAGGTCAATGATGACCTGCGATACATGGTTAACGGAAGAATAGGGCGTTAATAAAGGAGAGGCTGGGTACCTCCTCATAGGGAAGCCCGATCTCTTTGAGAGTGATGTGAGCCCTATGCGCCCATGGGCCTATGTTGCGTTAGTAATACTTCCCACGCAAGTCTTACAGATAACGCACAGCGATGGTTAGTGTAAAGTGTAATCTTTGGAGTGGTTCCGTTGGCAGCCATGATGGGTGGTGAGAGGGTTGAGAATCGTGCACGAGTCAGTTGGCGTAAGGGTTGGTGCTGGAATGACACGATCAGTATTCTTTAAGTTCTGTTATTGAACGTAATATGCTACCATTAAATTGAATCCTACAGCAGCTTATATGTTATCGCGCCCTCATTAGTACATACATGCTCGGATGATGCAAGACGCGTCGATTTCTAAGCAGCTTTATTTCCACAGCATAGCCCCTCATCTTGTACCCCGCGCCATTAGTTGTGGAGATGGTGCTATCCTGGGCCAACACCACTTTCTCATCCGTATAGTTTAGCCCGTCCTGCTGTTTACGCTTTCTTACTATTTGCTTCAGGCCGTATAATTAAAGATCCATAGGAAAAGGTAGGTTCAACGACGAAGAGCACTCTGCAGATTGACTCGCTAGACCACCTCAGGCTCTGCGTCTACCATTCAAAAATACGATAATCTATGAGCATAGTATCCTAAGAATGTCTCTAAAGGAATCGCAAGGAATGCAGAAAACTCTACGCATGAATCTTGCAGTAACAGTGTCAAATGAGGCTTTGTAGCTACCTTTTGTGCCTACGTTCCGTAGCCATCTTTCGTGCCTACAATTCAAGAGCTCTACTTTCTTTTCTTTCTTCGTTTTTCAAGTCCCCATATCTAGAGTCAAAAGTGAAACTTAAAGGCGATTCTTCCCATACTCATTATATATCAATAGAACTGCGGAGTAGTTGCGGAGGTTGCGGAAGCTATAATACAGACCAATCACGGCGCAGAATCTGGCCAATTTGTCAGCCATCATTCTCCACATGCAGCTTACATTCTCCCATTATCTTCCGCACAATCGCAGTCCATTTGTCTGTCCTGATATAGAGAGTCACTCCGCACTCCACCTCCGGCAGCGATGGCGGACATTCCGAACCGCCGCAAATCCTGCGGAGCTTGCGTAAAAGGAAAACGACGTTGCGATGCCAAACTCCCCAAATGTCAGCGCTGCGCGAAGAAGGGGATCGACTGTCTGTACCCGGGGATAAACCCATCAATATCGGACACAATTATTCCCGAATTGGATTTCCCATGGCTGGAAGTGCTTCTCCACGCACCTGAAGCTTGGAACGGGCACCTTGCCGAGCAGTCCCAGCGCATTCGCAACACTCTCGCTCCGGATACAGAGGTGCTTCCGCTGCCAGACTTCCTACCATACGAGGGCCCCACGCAGACATCGCTCGCACAACCAGAGATGACGTTCGCCGTCCGCGAATTCAAGACGTTCCCCGAGAAGTGGGTAAAGGAGGGGAAAGCACCATTCATCCACCCGCAACTCTTCGCCTCAAACATGCCACGGTCACTGCAGGACGCGTACTCCGCGTGCGCCATCTACAGCACCAAGACGGAGCAAAACTCCACCGTGGCATTCACCGTCATCGAATCCAAAGCCAACGAGCTGGTCCGCGTGACTAGAACAGCGAACTGGACGCCGCTGGAGGTCCTAGCGGCCGTGCAGAGTCTCTTGATCTTCCAAATCATCCGGCTTTTCGATGGCGATATCCGCCAGCGCACGCTGGCCGAGGCGGCCGAGCCCGTGCTGGAGCAGTGGACGCAGGACCTGCGCGACCGCACGGAGAAAGAGGTCGTCACGACGACGACGAACGCGGCGTCGTGGCGCGCGTGGCTGTTTGCTGAGAGCGTACGGCGGACCATCGCCATGAGCTACACGCTCAAAGGCATGTACACGCTGGTCAAGAACGGCTACTGCACCATGGGCGCGGCCATCACGTCGCTCTCGTTCACGGCGCAGCGGGCGCTGTGGGCGGCGTCGTCGATGTTCGAGTGGAGCGCGGCCGTCAGAGACAATATCCCGTTTTGGTGCCAGAACATGCAGTTCGATTCGGTGTTGCGAGATGGCAAGAGCTGGGACGTCGACGATTTCGGGATTGTGATGATGGTCATGTACAAAGGTCGTGACCGGATCGACGAATGGCTTCAAAAGGGGAATGCGGAGAGAAACGCGGTGTTCAATCCGGATCTGTTCGCGACCATGATAGAGACGATGCCCGATGAGGTGCATCCTGATATGTTGCAATATGTGTCAACGCTTCCGTAGGCTTTTCATTTCTTGTTTCCATTCTCTAATCTCCTTGAGTTCGGGGTAATAGACTGGCGTTACTGGAATCGATACCAAGCTGTCTTAGTATGAAGAATTACCGCAACGAAGAACGAACATTAGTACAACCTTCTCTGAGAACCCATGGAACCATATCGCTTATATAATTGGATCACGTGCTTCTCATTATCCGACATGCAATACAAAAAAAGTTCCCAAGCTTCTTTACCTTTTTTCAAAGCGTTAATCCCGCTCTTCATCTTTCTCTTCTCAAAGTAATGCGAATACCTCTCTCTCCAGAATTACATGTCACGTATAGGTCAGGCGAGCACGTGATGCGCAACTCAATCCGGATCTATCACCATCTCGAAATTTCCGACGCCAATATCGTCGTGAGGTCGGTGTTGTTGTGGTACTCTTCCATCTCGCTATTTAGGGAACGCACCATCAAGCTACTATTCTAATAAGCCTTACATCTACACAATCTAGTCAACTAAATCCGAAGAAATCGCTCATGAAAGTTTGGCAATGAAATGAACTTTTAGAACGAGAGATTATCACTAACTATTCGTATACCTATGAAACATAACAAAATAAACGCCCGAATATACATTTTGTGTGCTCATGAAAGCTCCGACAACAAAAGAAAAAAGACTAACTACACATTATCACGCCTCATGATTCCCCCTTCCCTCAAATCATCACCCAACATCCCCAACCATACCTACAACTCCTCCTCCTCCTGCTCCACCACCGCCTTATTCGTCCCATTGTGCTTCACCTGCGTAACCGTCGTAAGCGCCCTCGGCACCTCCCCAGCCGCAAACTCCCAACTGCCCACCCCCTGCTCCTTAAACACGCCCGCCTCACTCTCTGCCTTCCCACCCCCAAACCCCTTCGTGCTCCACTTCTCCACTCCCTCCAACCCCTTCCACTCGGCGCTCGCGCCAAACACCCTAAACGCCTCCGCGTTCAGCCGCTCATACTCGCCCGCGGCCTTCGGCCACCCGCCCAGCCGCTGGAACGCGAGCTTCAGCAGCACCAGATGGCGCTTCGCCAAGAACGCCTTCTCCGTCTCGCTCAGCGCAGGCGTGTTGTCGTCCTCCTGCGCACCTGCAGCCCCGCCAGCAACGCTGCCCTTGACGCTGACGCCGTGCTCGGCGAGGATGGCGGCGGCGCTATCAAGCTCGTCGTCCGAGTCGTAGCCGTCGCCCGCGCCGTCCTCGTGCACAAGCAGGCGCAGCAGGTCCTCGTGGATGAGCAGCGCCTTCTTGAAGTAGTCGCGCGCGAGCTGGGCTGCGGCCTTGTCCGTCGCCGTCTTGGACTGGTAGAAGGCGCCCGTCGACGTGTAGAGCTCGGATAGAAGTAGGTACGTGTCGAGCGTGGCCGGATGGCGGGCGCCGTGCACGCGGCGCATGTTGTAGGCGATGTCTTCGCATAGCCGGATGGCTTTGATGGGGTGACCGGCCAGGTAGCGGGCGCAGATGAGGCGGCGGCCGAGCTGGAGGAGTACGGCCGCGGGCCAGGAGCGTTGGGCGTCTCGCGTGGACCAGAGGGTGGAGAGGAGCCACTTGAGTATAGTTAGTAAGAGTCGAGACGGATGGAAAGGAAGGGGTAAGGGGGTCGGATGGCTTACCTCTAGGGTCTCGTAGTCCTGTTGCTCGCCTAGGAGGGCGGACAGCTTGCTCAGTTCTGGCAGCTGGACTTGAGCAAAGTTGATCTTGTTCGACTTGCAGATTTCGAGAATCTTCTTGACGATGCGGTTGGAGAGCTGCAGCATCTTCTTGCGGAGAGTGGCATCTGGGCTTTTTTCGCCGTCGCGCCCGACGAGCAACGATGCGAGCTTGAAGCCGTAGCTGATCGCATTGGGTCCGCTGTAGGCCTTGTGGTTGACAGCGAAGAGGAAGCCGAGGTGGGCAACGTCTTGAGCCTCTGGGAACTTCTTGGCGTTCGTGAGCAGGGCAACTTGCTCGTTGGTGCCGAAGATGACGGCACGGTTGAAATCCTGGTGCTTGTGGCCGAGATGCTCCAAGATGGCGACGATGAATATATGAGGAGATTCTTTGCTGAGTAGCCCAAGCTTCGAGGTCTCCTTTTGAACGAAAAGGTTCACAACTTCCTCGTCGACGAGGTTTGTCAATCCTGTGCGACGTCGCTGGACGAGGAAGGATCGGAGTGGCGCGGCTACCAACAAGAGCTTCCGCATGCCTACTTTAGCTTGCAATGCCTGTCTAAACTCCTCGAAGAGAACAGCCTCGGTGACAATGCTAGCGTAGATCTCCGAGAATGTAATGGACAAGTCCTTGCGGATGTAGTACTCCAGAGTTGCCAAGAAGATAAGAGAGGACCGGGTAGTCTTTGTAAGATCGAACGAAAATTTCGAGGAGTTAACAGCGTTCTTAGCGATGATTTGGCGGTGGAGTTCCTCTACGATTTCCGTGGCGCGCTCTACAAGGCTCAGTGCTTGATATGTGGAAGCAATAGAGGTTGCTGCTTCGATAAGCTTCTGAGAAGATGTTTCCTTGGTGTTGATCTCGACAATGGCAATAGAGAGTTCCTTGATAGCGAGGTCCACCTTCTTCTGCTTCACGTAGAGGCTCGTGAGTTCTCGGAGGTGGGTGAGGGATGTCCCATGAGAGTAACCGTACTTGCTCCTGGCCTCAACGTACTGTTCCAGTTGTATGCTGGTGGCACGCTCAATCGACTCCGTTGTAACGGTCGACGACGACTGGGAGGATATTTGATGAACGTACAGGGAGGACAAAGTCTGTTTGATCTCGGTGATGCTGACAGAAGATGACGCGGACGAACTGGAAGCCTTTTCGTACAGTGAAATCGCTTCGGAAGTATGAGACTCGCTACGTTGAGCGACGCGGGCGAGAGAAAGGGTAGCCTCCACTGCAATGGAGCTCTCCGCACCGTAAGATTTGATGCTTGTTTCGTGGTACTCCTTTGAAACCTTGTACAGTACCTCATACTTAGCCCTTGTCTCTTCGAGAGACTGGGTGTAGCGTTCATAGAGACGCTGAACAAATGTGGTGTCGCTAAACTGCTTGTACTCTTTGCTCTTCTGAATGAACGTAGCCCATAGGACACCGAAAACAGTGAGAGCTTCAGCGAATCTTCGGTCCTCCCAGTACGAGTCGGACACAATGATGATCGCGTCCGTTGCGTCCTTGTGGGAGATCTCGGAGTTTTTGTTCAGGCCGGTGACTATTTGCTGGTAGTATTCGATCCAGTAAGGATGGTTTCGAGGATGCGCGCGGCACCGAGATGCCAAAGTGTACAAGACTTGAATCGTTTTTTCGTGGGAGGGGCCCAAGGTGGTCCGGTACACCACAAGGATTTCCTGATAAACGCTGATTGCGCTGTCCACGTATCCATGCTTGTCGTAGAAGGTCAGAAGATATTGTTTAGCCTTTTCAAACAGGGTTGCATCGATCTGCGGTGAGCGTAGAACAGCTCGGAAGAGACGCAAGTATACATCTTCCACTTTCTCCAGTTGCCTTTGGCGGATGTAAACCTCCGCAAGCTGCTCGACCAAATAGATCGACTCTTGCAAGAAAGTCGAGGTGATGGTGATGTCATGGCTGGACTCTGAAAAGAATGATGCCCAGGTCCTCTGCAGCGTTGACTTGATAACGGTGATAGCCTCTGACCATTTCCTCTGCTCTATGTATTGAGCGGTCAACTTCTTGGCGAGTGAAATTGTTGTGATATCGATCTCCTTGGACGAGGTGATAGCCGATTGGAAGACAGACTCGAAAACAGACTCGGAGACATTCGTCGTGCTAGAGCTCGTCACGGTCTGCTTGATGATTTCGGTGGAGGTTTGGGTGATCTGTATGTACATGTTAGCATCGGTTTGCAACATTCTTTGACGCTCGAAATCGGAAAAGTCCTTGAGGGCAGCGCTGTGTTTGGGGGATCTTACCTGCTTCTCAATCTCCGAGTAGGAGTGCGACTCCTCCTTGCGAACACTTTTGTAGTAGAAGCTAGCACGTTTGAAAATAGCCAACGCATAGGTATAGTATCCCTCTGACTTTAGAGTCTCAGCAACTTGAACAAGTTGCGTCATGATGCTGTCGGAGAAGGACAATTCATGGTGCTCGTACTGCTCCCACACTGCTGCAAGGACCGCAGAACGCTCCGTCTCTCTCTTCTGGGTCTTCAAGAATGAGGAATAGGCCTGTGCGATCTCGATATTTTTCGAATGCCATTCAATCGAACGGGTGGTGCGACACAGAGCAGACACACGTTGCCAAAGCTCAACATAGGTGCGTTCGGCCAATGTGAACTCCTTCTTCGAGATCTCCCTCTCAGCACGACTGAGAATTATGGCAATCTGACCAAGGTTGAACTCTTCAACCACATCTTCTTCGGTATCCTCCCCGAAGAGAGAGTCGTTGTAGGTTTCAAGGACTTGTTCATCTTTCTTGCCAAGCACAATGTTAAGCTTTTCCGAAACACCGTGAGCTTCGTGTGAGTTCTTGCCGTAGTGCTTGACTGTGGCCTCTTGAATAATTTTGTAAAGCTCTCTGGCACGCTCTTCCTCGTGGATGTACACGTAAAATTCCGCCAACGTGGTTCGAGTTCGAATCACAATCTCAGATGTTGCACCGAATTGTCGCTCGTACGCCGAAATGAGGATGAGAAGTACCTGTTCTCGGTGGGTCATGACCTCAGTGCGTGATGTGGAGGTCAAAGTCTCGGTGATAGAGAGGTATGTGTTCGCACACTCGGCGGTAAGAGGATGGAAGTCACTGAGGACAGTACGGCTGATCTTCGTGCAGAGGTAGTAGTACTTCTCCGTCTCGGTGGTATTCGAAAGTTGGTGGTAGTACGTGGCGCAAGACAGGTATGTCTGAAGCACTGTTGGGTGGTCTTCAGTGAACACCTTGGAGCGAATACGGCCAACTAGACTGTGCAGTTGTACTTCCTGGGCCCCAGGGAATTGAGCGTCCCAGCATAGTTTTTCAAGGATTGGTGCAGTTGTCGAGTCTGGAAGGTTCTTCTGGACGTCAGTAATGACGGTAAAGTCTCCAGTTGGCTTCGGAACCAGCCCCGCATGTTTGAGATGAAGAACCCAATATCTGATCGCATATTCAAGGAAGTGGTGTTGATGGAAAAGACGATCAGCCAAAGTCTGGTCAACGGGATCGAATATCGGTTCTCTTCTCTCAACCAAGGTAGACTTTGTATAGATCAGCGTCCTCAAAACTAGGTCGAGCTGAGAATCCTTGATGGGCGATGGTATTTTTCCTTGCTTAATGGCAGTCTGTAACGTGTGTTGTATGATAGGATGCCGGAACCGGATAATGTCATCATGAATGGAAAGAATTGGTTTCAGAGATTCTATGATGTCGTGAATGTCCACATGTTTGCGAGCAATAGTGCCCTTTTGCGTGTCAATGGAGAAGAGAATCTCGATTTCTTGCAGGGTAAATGGACGTTCGGCGGCAGCAATCCAAGAAAGAATAGTCTTCGCGTCGTTGGTGGGATCCAAAACGGTGATCACCTTCAAAGTGACGTCCTGGACTGATGGGTGAGTTGTCTCGAAGGCTTCCCAAGTCTTACTGAAGGATTCAGGCGTTTTTTCTAGGTTGAGAAGCTGGCATACTAGAACTGTCCACAAAAACGAACCGTTGCTGTGCTGGATGACGCGATTGAGGAATTCCTCTTGTTCGGGACCAGACTTCTTATGGAAATGGTGATTGCGAATGAGAGCTTTGATAGCGACCGCGTAGATGTCGTCATGAATGTCGTCGTGACTGATTGCATGCTCGATGCCTTTGTGGTTAGCTGAGGCCACGACCGACTTTGGCTGCGAGGAAGTAACCAGCTTGACACGTTTGCCTTGCTCGATGACAGTGAGAAGTTTATCAAAGAGGGCCTGCGATGCTTTGTTGCCGCCTTCGACTTCGTCCAAGCCATCGACGATGATGATCAAGTCGTTGGCTTTGTCAAGGGGATTTTTGAGGATGTCGGCGAGGGCCTGCCATAGATGGTTTTCGTACACTTCGTCGTCGGCGGAGTTATTACAAAGATCATACGCATGAGCTAAAGCATAGTACATGGCCATATTCCCAGTTCGCAAGCTGAGCAGCTGGATAAGAATGGATTTGACAACCGATATCGAGTTGGCTTGAGTCGGAATACCAGAGCCTGGTCACGTGTCAGTACAATGATTTTGTGTCAAGAACGGCGATGAGAGAACTTACTGATTGAGACAAAAAGAGAGGAGAACGACTTTTTACCGAGAGGTCTTTGAAGTCTCTCGGCAATAGATGCTGCAAGTGCAGTCTTACCGGACCCGGGCTGACCGGTTAGAAGCAGGTAGTTGGTATTACTCTGTAGGAACTTGGACAGAGGTTTCTGGAACCAGAGACACGTGAGCTCCGCCTGGTGATCAGCGAAAGTAGTGTGATCGCGGCCTAAAGAGCTAAGCACACGGTCCTCCGGTGACAACCATCTGCTGATGATCTTGACATCAAGCACTGGTTACTGGAGTTAGCGGAGCACAACCGATTGGGAAACATTCCTACCTTCACTTGGATCGAGCCCTTCGTTTTCAATCTGGTAACTCCAAATGGCCTCTGTCACCGTGGCCTGTCGAGATCGAAGAGATTCAATTGTGTCGCCGAAGACTTCGAACATGTCGAGACTAACGGAGGACGAAAGCATGCCTACCCAGTGGTAAGTAAGGTTATACCATACGGCTTAACTGCTTACCATGAACAGCCTTGTAAAATCGAATAGCAACATCTACGACCAAGGACAGAAGGTCGGTGTACATTTTGCAGAGCTCCTCTCGCGTCTCAGACGTTACCGAGAGCAGTTCCGTACGCTCCAAAAGTGCAGAAACGACCAACGAGTTCTTGTAGAAGAAACTGAAAGCTTTGTCGAGGGCTTCTGAATTGTCATGACCGAGCTTCGTGGATGTTAACTTCCTGCAAAACCGAAGGGACGTTGTCGACTTACTTCAAGAAGAAGGCGGGCATGGCCATAGCCCAGCTCTGCCGCCGCATGGCTGTCAAGGGCAAAGCTTTGAATAGCTACATCGAAGTGATGTAGTTTCTCAGCAAAGTATTGAGCTCTGATCAACACCTTGTCCCATCGACTTCCTTTATGAGGCAGGGTAGCAAGGCGCTCGTCTCTAATACTTTCGATAAGGTTGATGAACGAGACGTTCGCAACACTCTGCGAGACGCCTACTCCGAGCTCCGAGATTGACTTCTTCTTCAGTGAGACGGCTGCTTCTTGCACAAATCCAATCTTATACCCGTCGTTGGATTGCCCACTGCGGGCAGTCCAGGCGAAGGATCTATTCATGGAGTTCCCATAATGTCCGCTGGGCGGCCTCGAATTGCCGTAGGCAGTATCAAACTTGTTATGGATGACAGACCCAGGAGAGGTGGGCGGAGTCGAGAAGCCATTGGCGGCCTTCGTGGACGGCGTATGAGCAAGCCTAGTTGCTGATGGGGCCATGGTGACAGGAGTAGATATCTTGCGTGTTTTAATGACTACGGGATGTTCGATCTGTGAAACAGCAGGTTTGGTTTTTGTTGGAAGACTGATCTGTGCTGGGAGAGGCTTGATCTGTGTTGGAGGAGGCTCAATCTGGACAGCAGCTATTTCAAACTGAACTGTCTGTCGTTCTGTGGGGGCAGCAGGTGTTTCTACCTGAGCTGTAGGAGGGGGCGACTGAGTCTTGCGTTTCGTATTTTCTGAGAAGCTGTTAGCATGACTTATTGATTGATATGGCAGCAAGGACGAACTGAATGGATTGTATCGAAGTCCAAGCATGGAATGGAACTTAGGACAGCAGCAGCAAAGTGAACAGGAATGCTCCTTCATGAAGTCCTCGGAGACAGCTCAAGTAGAGCTGGGAGATAACCCTATAACGGACTAAACACTCTTTACGTCAGGCCCCGCCTGGCCCCATGGACGGCAGCTCCGCTTCCCCATGCGCAATGATGGATGGCTTTCAGCCAGCCACGCAAGCTAATAGAGTGCGGATTGAATGAACGTCGATCTAGGATAGGCCATCGACATCAGAACGATGGTGTGATGGCTGGGGATCAACGCTCGGGCAGCTCTAGGCGGAAAGTGCGTGCTCTCATCTCTGCAGAGTTCGAAGAAGAAAGCCTAAACTAGTAGAGATATCAGGCCCTGCAGTGACAGCTGCTGCAGAACGAGCTCCAGTACCAATTCTTTGCACCAATGAACTAGACAGATGAAGGGCCCTTGCCGTGAGCGGGACAGCACGAGATGTCAAAATGGTGGGTCTTGGGATGATTGGCAAGGGAGGCGTTCAACGCAAGCGGAACCCAATAGTGAAGATGTTCGCACGCTGGCCCAACACTCGACAGGCATGATGGCTTCGGAACCACAAATGGCAAGGAGGGGCATAAACTGAGCGCTTAGTGGATCTGGCCGAAGGAAGCAGCAGATGAGGACGGCTGAGACATGGAAAGCGGAGTGGTGGCTAGCTGGAGAAGACGCATACGAGGTACGTCAGGGGTGGTTGGGAGCTGCGGGCAGGGGAGCTACGGGCAGGGGAGCTGCATGCGAGGAGCTTTGGGCGAATATGCGGGTCTCTCGATCGGAATTGGAAGCGGGCGTGCCCATCTAGCAACCAGCTAGAACCTCGTAGTAAGTTGAACGGTCGCTGTGATGTATGCGTGATCAATGCCAAGAAGGCCAAAGTAGGGTTGAAAGCACGATGGGGTGTAGAACTGCCACTGCATAGCGTGGAGTCGTGATGTTGCGGGCGAGGTCCGAGGAGCTTCCCGGGCACGCCGGGCATCCATGGCAAAGCGACTGGATCTGAGATCGGTTTCCCGGGACTGTCATCCAGCGCGGTTCCTCCCGTGCCAACCCGAGCCTCTCCTGAACAAAAGTGGCAGTCCACGTGATTAGTAAACCTCGCTATTCTTTGGGGATACGCTTAGCCCAGGCTTGAGCGCAATTGCCTGGCACCGCTGGAGAAGCTAGGATACGTTGTTAGAAGCTGGAAAACGACAATTGTGACAAGATTGAGAGCTCTGGAGGCCAGCGCAGACAGCATAGACTGCCACTTCATGGTCCATGGTCGGCGCGGTCTGTGTGCTAATCTCTCCCTTCAGGCTATAGCTGCTCGCAACGGCGCGTCCAATCAGCCTCAGCAGCCGCTGTAAACTTCATGGATGCTGCGTCTCTGCTGCGTTTCTCCTGCAGGCGTTTCCCCTGCCACTCCGCACTCGCTGGTTGGCGTCGACCCCGCCGTGCATCTCCACAGCTCCCTGCAGTCCATCGCGACATCGACCTTTCCTCCGGCATTTGCGGCCAAATCGGGCCGCCAGCTACCGGATGCGGCGGATTGATCGACCCCAGTCCAGGATGATGCCAACTGAGTAGGCAAGTGGCGAGCTGAGACTTTTAACCGACTTCTTCATCAGTAGTGTTGATCCGTCCTCAGAAGTCTCGATCCGCCTATATGGAACGCATGCCCGCGCACCATTATTGGCTCATGCAGCAAGATTTGGGATAGTGCTGGGCCAATGCATATGATCGGAAGAATCCAAGAAATTGTGCCCGACGTCTTGTCAACCTGCAGAATCTAAATACGTGGGTAGAGTAGCTGCTGTAGTAGCTACAGTAGCACAGTAGGAGAATTCGCAGCTTGCATCATCCGGTATCAGCGTAGCTGCTGATCTTCACGGCAGTTGATCTGGTCGCGATCAAGGCCCTGACGTGAATCTCACGGACCCAGGATTGGCCCTGGATTATCCTGCCGCTGGTAAATTCACAGATCTTCAACTGCCTATCTGGAGACGCGTGGACACGTATGGACCAGTCAATTCCTTTTCTCGAGTCGAAGCAGTGGACCCTTCAACCTGCTTTGAGCCGGTATCCGGATATCTCGCAGCTGATGAAGCCGATTGACACCTTGAACAGGCGAATTTGGGTTGTATACACTTGTCGGTTACGGCTTGAACCCCTTCGAAATATTTTTGAAACCCGAAACATGGCGCATGTGTGTCTTAGCTATTCTGCTACACCACTACGCCACTTCGGACGGCGTACCGCAGCTGATAAAGTCAACTGATGTCTTGGATAGGCAAACTTGGTCTGTGTGCGCTTCTTTGCTGCGACTTTGAGCCCTTCCAAAGCTGTTCGGAAACCGGAACCAGGCGGAGGTTTGTCTTTTGGCCATTCCGGTACACCACTGCGCGACCTCGACCGGCGCCGCCGCTAACTTTGCTATCGTGTAAAATCCGCATGTAGGTGTAGGAAACTTGTGGGTTTCGAACGTCAGAAGCGACTACCTCCCTGCGTGCGTGAACTCTCTCAACTGATTCGCCCCCTATATAATCCAGTGTAAAACAAGGTCCAACGTGAATTCAGGGAAGAAGGGCAAGTCTTGTGAAGAATTGCCGGGATTTCGGACCCAAATAAGATGCGAACCCTATCATCTCGCCGCGTCAATTGTGGACCTATGCCAAGATAACGGTTTTTGGTTCCGAAGAAGCCCCAACTTCTTTTCTTAGAAAGCGGTGTGGCTGCTTCTGTAGCATCCGAGGTAGCTGTGTTCTTGATGCTTCGGCATATTGCTAGCCCTACATCATTAAGAAGCTCGAAATGGAACCCTGCCCAGAAGGGCTCATTCGGCCAGCCTAGCATCATATGCTAGCTGTCGTGCCTCGGGTCGAAGAAATCGTTCAACATGGCGCACGCGAGCGCTCAGATTCCTTCTGCGTTGGGGTCTAGTGGTTCTAGATAGTGCCTGTAGCACGAAACATCCGTTGGGTAGCTGTGCTTTTAATTCGCATAGAGACAATCGCGAACCAGGAGGGAGCATTTAATGATACTCTACATCCTTTCGATAGTAGTGGCCTCTTCGCCAACAATGCCGGAAACATGCAATAGCCCGTTCCTCACGATCGGCTGGGTGTTGCCCGAAAGGGCATTTGACGTCCTGGCCGGCTGCATTGAAAAGATGGCTATGGGTAGAAAGTTCTGCATGGCATCGACTTTCCCCATGGATTCCAGGTTGGCAAGTCCCACATATTGCTGGAAGCATGTGGCACTTCACGTCCTAAGTCCAACAGAACAGAACTCAATGTCTGTAAGCCAATACTAAACATTGCGAAGTAACAGTATATGTCTCTTACTGCTTTCTTACAATCCGGTGTAATAGGTAGGTGAGAGGTTGCAAGCAGAGCATAGAGCCTGTCTTTCGGATCGGTGGAGAACATCTTTCTCGAAAACATCCGACGAGACCGTCGCCACTGGTCAGCATCGCTTTCAAACACTCTGAGGTCTTCAACCTGACGGCACCATTCCTTTTGTATTTCTTGGCTGTTCTGGTAGAAGACTATGAGACATGTAGTCACGTGAGATGACCGTCCATTGACAGGGAGCATATCTTTGGGATCGCGTCAAGCATAAGACAGGCGTAGAAGCCCAAATTGCTGTGAGTCAAAAGAAAGACTGTGCTGATAACACTTTCGACCGGTCCGCCATACATCGATTGAGGCTTGAAATTACGAAGCCATATCTCTTGACGGGACGGGTCCAACGGTTGGTAAAGAGGATTTTCTGGGAGAAAAGGGTTCGATTAACCCATCTCAGCTCTTTCCGTAATGTGACTATTCAATGAAGACAACAGTGCATAAGCAGAACTCTGTGTAAGCTTCTGTGGATGACTTGATCTTGCAAGATGCATCGAAGCACTTCGAACAGTGGTAGAACAGCATACGCAAAATTTTGTTCTTTGGCGTTAAGAGGAGTCTGATGGGGTTGAAAGGATGAGATTGAATATGAAGAGGCGTGAGAGCAACGGCTTCGTGAGGATGTTTAAAATAGCGATAGGAAACGAAATACGGCATGCAGGTTGATGGCTCGTAAATCCAGAACTAAATCATTCATAGCACCGATTTGAAGCCACAATTTGTGCCTGGCTACAAGGTGAGTTAAGAGTGAGCGAAAGAGTCGGCGATAGCACCTGCTTCGGAGTGGTGCCAAGAACGTTCCCGAACGCTAAAACCCCCTACTCAAACCCCATACCGCAAAGCTCTCCTCAAACCTCACACCTCCATCCCATCACGAGGACCGCTCACCATGTCCGCCCTCCCTCTCACACGGCCAATGCGGCCACTATCAACAAAATCAGCCTCCCTCTTCCTCCCACACCTCACAACGCGCCACGCCTCCTCCACCCGACGGCACAAAAAACTCAACATCATCCCCCCAGCGCCCTCCTACAATCTCTCCGCCACCCCCAACAGCACCACCCACAGCCGGAGCGCGAAACCGTCCCCTCGTGCCCCCTCCGCCACCCACATAATCTTCAACCCGCCCTCCGCGGCCCCCTCTCCCACAATCACGCCGCCCAAATTCCTCCCAGCCTCTGACCCCCGCCGCGCGCTCTACTCCTCCTTCACCGCCGCGTCAACGCGATCAGCACTGCAATCGCGGACACCGCTCACCGCAGCCACGGGGACGAGCCTAGCGAGCCAGAGTCTGCTGCCGGCCCGGCCTAGCGCGAATTTACCACCACCAGTGCGTGGGAGCGACACTTATGAGAAGAAGTACCATCTCACGGATGCCGATATTGCGGAGATTCGGAAACTAAGGACGGAGGATCCGTATACGTGGACCAGATGGCGATTGGCGGAGAAGTTTGGGTGCTCGCAGTTTTTTGTGTCGTTGGTCGTCAAGGCGCCTGAAAAGGCGGCGGAGGTGGAGGCGAGCCATCAGGCGGCGAGGGATAGGTGGGGGAATAGGAAGAGGATGGCGGATGAGGATCGGAAGAGGAGGATGGCGAGTTGGGGGAGATGAATGGATAAGGGCATGGTTGTGTATTGGTCTGCATGGATAGGGGCATGTGTGGATGAGGCAAGAGGAATGGTGCGATGAGTAAAGACGTAGAGATGGACGATGAGTTACATTGTATATCATTTGTGGAAGGGGTGGTCACAGTACAGTATGTGTATGATACTTGGGTTGATACCCGCAACGAGAGGATGGGCGCATTAGAAGCATTTTGCTGTAAAATATCTACCGCATCATCCAACCAAAAATTTATCTTGCATCATATCAGAAATATAGACGCATTGGATCGAATGTCTATCAAAACGAACCACAAATCGTCCATATCGTGTGCCCTCCGCGTCTATCAAATCAATTCCCATGCGGTTAAATTCATGAATACTTCCAACAAAACCAACCATCTTTCTCTCCTGAAGTTCCCAGGGTACACTCTTACCATCGACCTAATTCAGTGGCTCATCCAAATGCAACAAGAAGTAACCACGCCGCGCCCACGTAGCGTGCCGTTGGCATCTCCTGAGAAGAATCTCACGCGGTTAAATCCGTGAGTACTTATGACTAAAGCCACCAATTCCTAGTCGGGGGGCCCCAACGCTTGAACTGCATGCTATTTCTATTGACCAGAAATGTGGGCCTTGTTCAAGGGACTAAAATGAGCTGCACGTGGGCTACGCAGCGTAGACGTTGCGTCTTCTAAAACAACCCTTGTGCGGTTAGATATGTGAAAACTTGTAATTATAGCAACCAATTCCTAGGCGGAGGGCTTTAATGCCTAGACTGCATGCGATTTCCATCGACCAGAAATGTGGACCTTGTTTAAGGGAGTAAAGGAACTACGCGTGGGCTACACGGCGTGGACGCAGTTGAATTGGTAAGATCTTATGGCAAAGGATAGTCGCGCTTACAGTGACGCACCTGAGTAGTGTGAGAGTAGTCTCGTGATGTTGACCTGATTTAGGAGCTGTGAAGTTGCGGATTTGATAAGAGGTTGGATATTGGGGTTTGAATTGTGGGATGGGAGGGTTGTGGCAACAGGGGCATGTCAAGCAGTGACTTAGCCGTGCAAAATGTTCATTTGAAAGTGTTGATATACGAGCACACGCTTCAGGGTTCTTTTCAAACAGGGCTCTATCTTTGAAGCGTTCGAACCATGCAAATGCTCATTGACTAGAAAATGACATAGCATAGTTCCATAGCACAGAAAGTATCCAGGGTGGAAGGTTGAATCTCACTGCAGAACGGCGCGGAGAAATAGCAGGAGTTCTCTGGATTTCGACCAAGCATTGTCTATTCCTCGAGGCATATAGTACAACTCCACCACCTCATCCCAACCCTCTCCATCTTCCTGCGATGATGCTGTACAGAGACCGCTGACCTAAACTTCAACCGAGGAGTGCCTTATTTCTGGCCGAGCGCGGCAGCCCGCTCATCCTCGATCTTCTGGTAGAAAGCGTCTCGGTGACGAACGGCCGGAACGTGGTAGCCTTGGAAACGTGAGTTCCATGATCGGGGTTCGTGTTGAGAGGACATCTGGGCTTTCTTGAGCCTGTCGTTTACGTACCGTACCACCAGAAAGAGCCGGCAGTTAATCCGATACCTGGTGAGGGGTCAACAAGCACGCTCATGACTTAACAGCAGATGAAGAGGGCGCAAATAAAGGGGTTATAGAGTTTGAAATTGAATGAAAAGAATACTAACCAGTCGCAACAGTGAGGTCAAGCACGACGCCCCGACGGAGCATCTGTGAAAGGACTCAGATTAGCTTCCGGAGCTCCCTTCTAGGTCGCGCGGCCTAATTGGGGTACATACTCCGGTGATTGGCTTGATGGCCATTGTGAGTGTTTGCGTGAGCGAGAAAGTGCGACGTGGGTGGTGGTTTGGGGTGTCGATGTGAGGTTGAAGCTGTAGAGGAGAGAGCCCTGGAGTGGTGTGAGAGGGCTCCGGCAAATTCCGACGGCAGCCTTGCGCCAAGACGAGGGCCCGAGCTGCGGGCTCCAACAATCCAAGGACCTCCACCAGACCTCCATTCCTCTCCACATTACTACGATTGACGACACCGGCTCCATTCTCTCGCCGACGCTGTTGCACAGATCAACTCGCAACCTCACCCACTACGGCGACACCAATCACGACCTTTCACCAAGTAGATGGCTGGAATCAGAACCCAGGCCGCAGATCAGCACCACGCGCATCCCGCCATGAACTCGAAACGACCTCGACCCGCGGACGATGCGGATGACGATGCCTTGCCAGCTGGGAAGAGACCCAGGATCATTCATCACAAGCTCAAGCACAAACAGGCCGCCTATGTCGATCCCATGATCGCGCCTCAGGATGAGGTCTTCTTCCAGAGCCAGCTGCTGCGCGCAATCACCCTCCAACTCGGCGCGGCAGGCTTTGACAGCGCAACGCCATCAGCGATGGAATCTATTCGGGCTCAAGCCGAAGAATGTGCGTAGTCATGTCTCCCATTTGAGTCTCGTCATTTGGTTGGCATGTTCTGACATTCACAGTTATGCTCCACTTCCTGAGAACCGTGAAGCAATCGATGAACGCAAGCCGCCGAAACGATGCGATTCCCCAAGACTTCATCCACGCACTCACACGCCAAGGCATCACGCCTGCCGACCTCGTCGCCCACCTCGACCAGCCCTTCCCAGCGGCCATCGTCCAGCCACCCATACCCGCACCCGAGCCGCAGGAGCCGGCACCACCGGATCTCGAGGGCATGCTAGGCCCTGAACTATCAGGCGCCACAGAAAAGCAGGCAAGGAAATGGATCCCAAAACACCTCCCCAACTTTCCTAGCAAACACACATATAAATCGACACCCGTATTCAGCGAGCGCATAAAAGACCCAGGCAAGATTCGAGAACGTGCAATACAGGAGGGTGTGCTAGCAGAGAAAGCACTACGCAAGCTCATGGCAGCAGAAAAGCTGGGTGCGCAGAAGAAAGGAGCGAAACGGAGACAGGGCACGCAGCGACAGCGGAGCGACGAGTTGTGGCTCGAGGCAATGAAGGTTTTGCAAGAAGATGAGGACAATGCGGCGAGGAATACGCTGAATGAAGAGTTTGACGACTTCAGTGGGGTAAGAGAGACCCAGTTCGAGTCGCAGAAGTCTACCCGGGAGGAAATGTTTGAGGGGATGCAGGTCAATTACGATAAGAAATTTTGGAGGAAGGCCGCAGCAAGGACTTGAGAAGCTGAGTTGCCTTACTTGGTGAGAATCGACGAATACCACTTTACAGGGAGGCGTTTTGGATAGGAAGACCTCGAGGGGGTCTCAGGATATGATTATCATAAGCATGGAGCAGCGGCGTTTGTTGTATTTTGTAATGTTTCTACATTGCCTGCGTACGATGCAAGCGCTTTCTAGCATAGCTTACTATGAAAGCCAGGTTGGCTATAGTAGGCTGTAAAAGTTGTTGGTCTTCAACCAGCACACTCCGGCATATGTTACAAGGAATACGAAATCACTACCCAAACTCCTCATGTGCACAACATCCAGTGAACTATCAATTGCCCTCTTCATCCTCCCAAGCCGTCGTCTCCACCGTCAACCCATCCGCGCACCTATCCCACGTAGTTAGTCTTGGCGCCTTTCATCCCATCTGCGGGCAGCACGCTCACCTCCGAAACGACCGCACCAGCGGACTGCACTCGACATACACGGCCCTCGGATCTTTCTTGTAATCTCCCTTGTGTGTGCAGTGGTACTGCACCATCTCTAGTAGCTTGCACGCACGCAGGTCAACGTCGGGCTTCCGCCGCTTGCCGGACGCTGTGTACTGCACTTTCTCGGCGAGGTCGTTGGAGCTGAAGATCTCGATTGGAGGAGCCATTGCGGATCTTGCACCATCTGAAAAAGCAAGAGGTGAGATGGAGATAAGAGGGTGGGATTGATGAAGAGGTAGGGTCTTATAAGAGGGCCGAGATGAGTGTAGAGGAGTTAGGGAGGAGGGTGTTGAGGGATGTTGAGGAGGGTGGGTTGGATGAGGTGAGTAGGATTTGTATCGTGCTATAAAAAGGCCACGACTGACGATATATAGCTCATCAAAGACCTCTGGAAGGCGAGGAACGCAGGACAGTCGATGCATTTCGGCATTCCGGAGCTTGATCGACTGGTTCCTGTTGTTGAGCAGCCGCCTGCGTTGCCTTTACCGCAGCCAGAGACGTTTTCATCATCACCGCCGCTTCCTGTGCAGACGACGGCTATCAAGAAGCCACTGCAGAAGATGCCAATGATAGAACTCATCTCCTCTGGTCCTGGGGCTGGTAAAACAAGTCTGATCTACTATATCATTGCCGTCGCTATCCTCCCATCTACCTACTCCAGCACTCCCATTGGCGGTCAAAGCAGCGCTGTGGTCGTCCTCGACACCGACAACCGCTTCAGAGTCGAAAGGCTTGTCGAAGTGATGGCGTCGTACGTCTCATCTCGTCTCAGAGCAGCTGGAATTCCCCAGCAGCAGAATACGGACGGAATGCGCGACCTCATCCACGCCTGTCTCGCTCACGTCCACATCTTCCACTTGCAGACTATGCACTCACTACTAGCTACTCTAAAGAGTTTACCGGAATATCTAGAGAGTCGAACCGCTCATCGCTCCGCCCATCGTCGTCTTCACTCCATCTTCCTTGACTCAGCCTCAGCGTTTTTCTGGCCGACGCGTGCTGCGGAGGAGAACGGCACGTCTCCTGTCACTGCGATGGAGACGTATGCCCTCCTAGCCCGAGAACTCACAACTGTCTCTCAGCGTTTTTGTTGCGCCGTGGTGGCATCTGCATGGGATGTCGGCGCAGGGCAGCTCTTCACGCAGAGGCTAAGGGCTAGCTTGCCGATGAGTTGGTCCAGCTTTCCAACGTTGAGGTTGGCGCTGAGAAGAGTGCCTGTGCCGCGATTTACTGTGGGGATGACTGTGCAGGAGGCTGAGGCGGAGAAGGAGATGAGATGGGGAGTTGTGAGTAGAGGGTGGTGTGAAGCGTGGGTGCTTGGGGGCAGCGGACTCGAGGGGTTCTTCTTTCGAGTTGGTGAGGGCGTAGATATTGAGGGCGATAGTAATCCTTAAGGGATCTTATGGTAAATGTACGTGATGTGTATGACATATAAGCCCTCGGAATATCAAAAGCCATAGTACAGCCCCTCGAAGGATGAGACTGGATATCAAAGTCACGAAATACTATAAAGTCTATTATCTCAGCCATGCTGGCTGCTATCGTTCTATGAACCTTGGAAAGTCATCACTCTGGGTTTTTCTCCCAAAACTCTGTAGATTATGTAAAATAGTTCCATGTCAACAAGTCCACTCAACATGCTGTATTTCTTCACAGAGTGCTTTATTTTAGTCTACGGAGGATGTAGAATGATCTCCATGCATGTCATCTACCCTCTAACCAAAGTTTGAAACGCTTCGTCTACATCTTTTAGCAGTCTCCTGATGTATAATAGTCGGTCTCCAAACCCGGTGGTAAGCGGATTTGTTTGACGCACCTCTCCGACCAACGACACCCCTCTTCTCCAAACATGCCCCACCTCCATCCCACTCGTGTCTGCCGCCTCACCTCAAAGTCACCTTCCTATTCAACTATCCGCTCACGAGCTGTACAAATCTTTCCTCGCGCTATTAAATCGTGTCCCGTCGTCAGAGGCCCTTCGAGAGCTCTCCACCATTGTGCACCGCGAAGGAAAGAAGAGTGTGTTTGGCCTTACCTATCCAGCGAACGGAACGACAAGATGGCGCCGCAATTAGACTCGTACTTCAAGACCGTGGACGACCTGTCTGATGCCTTCATTGAGAGGCTTCGCAAGGCCGTTGCCATCCCCAGCATTAGTGCAGAGGACGATAGGCGGCCAGATGTGATCAGGGCAAGCAAAGATTCAATCTGAGCAATGCAATCATTCTTCCAAACTAATGGTGCTACAGATGGGCAAATTCCTCGCCTCGGAATTGACAGCACTTGGTGCGGAGGTCGAGCTTCGAGAATTAGGCAAGCAACCGCACAAAGAGCATCTCGACCTACCTCCCGTCGTCGTCGCACGGTACGGAAACGACTCGAAGAAACGCACTATCCTCGTCTACGGTCATTACGATGTACAGCCCGCTGGAATAGAGGATGGCTGGGCGACGGAGCCGTTCACGCTCACGGTAGACGACAAAGGACGGATGTATGGCCGTGGAAGCACAGATGACAAGGGACCAGTGTTGGGCTGGCTGAACTCCATCGAAGCTCACAAGAAGGCTGGCATTGACTATCCTGTCAACCTCCTGATGTGCTTCGAGGGCATGGAGGAGTACGGTTCAGAGGGTCTGGATGACTTCATCAAGGAGGAAGCGAAGAAATACTTCAAGGACGCCGATGCTGTCTGCATCTCGGACAACTACTGGCTTGGCACCGAGAAGCCCTGCTTGACCTACGGTCTACGCGGGTGCAACTACTACTCCATCGAGATCTCCGGGCCCGGCCAGGACTTACACAGCGGCGTGTTTGGCGGAACAGCACAAGAACCCATGACCGACCTTGTAAACGTCATGAACACGCTTGTCAACAAGGACGGCAAAATCCAAATCAAAGGTATTGACGAACTCGTTGCCCCGCTCACCGACGACGAGAAGGCCCTCTACGGCGACATCGCCTTCACAATGGACAATCTGTACGAGTCGCTCGGTAGCACAACGGGCATCTACCCAGACAAGGAGCGCACTCTGATGGGCCGCTGGCGCTACCCCTCGCTCTCCCTTCACGGCATCGAAGGCGCATACTCCGCCCCTGGCGCGAAGACTGTCATCCCCGCCAAAGTCATCGGAAAATTCAGCATCCGTACTGTTCCTGACATGGAGATCGACGCCGTCAACGAGCTTGTCTACAAGCACGTCAAGGACGCCTTCGCCGCTATCGGCTCGAAGAACAAGTTGAACGTGTTCTGCCAGCATGCTGGCAAGTGGTGGGTTGCTAGCCCAAAGCACTGGAACTTCACGGCGGCCGGCAAGGCGGTTGAGCACGTATGGGGCGTGAAGCCGGATCTGACCCGTGAGGGCGGCAGTATCCCGGTCACGTTGACGTTTGAGCAGGCGACGGGCAAGAACGTACTGCTGTTGCCCATGGGAAGCTCCACGGATGCTGCACACAGCATTAACGAGAAGCTGGACAAGAAGAACTACATTGAGGGCATCAAACTGTTGGGCGCTTACCTACATTATGTGGCTGAAGAACCGATAACTTCGTAGATGGGCCGGGGGGTGTGAGACATCGGAATGATGAATATCACCACAAGGACCAGCCATTCTATGGCCGAGATCAAGTCAGAGGATGTACGAAGTCATGAAGAGCCTTTTGTTAGACTCTAATTATGATAATGAAGACTGGTGGATGCTTTTGGCTCGGCCGGAAGCGAGAGCGTATTTGAGTCTGCAAGGTGCTCGGTTTGTAGGAATGCAAATATCTCCTGATACCATCGACTCCTTTTGAACAATGTCTTGATTTTGCATTGTCTGAATTTTTTTACAGCCACTGAAGCTCCTCGTTGCCCACTTCTATCACACGAATTTTCCGATGCGACCGCATCGGTGTCTTTTTCGTAGGCGTGGTGTACACGTCGTATGTGCTCAACGTAGTCACGTTTTATCACTGAATAGGGGCCCCTTACCCCCTCACATATTTTTCCATTGCTCAAAACCCATCTCAATATCATCTCACAGCCATTGACATTCTTATCGTTGTTTGTTACTCTTTGTCTATACCCATCCGACCGTCCATAATTATTTTTGCAAACACGGCATGCGGACACAATTTATTTATTTTCCCATTTAGGACATCAGCTTCTCAAAACAGCGCGACCATGCCCTCTATCTTCCACACTTTCAAGTCTTGCCTAAGTGGGAGGTACTGGTACCATGGTTGGGTGCCGTGGTGGTTAGACCCCGACGGCGATAGTCCGAATTTGTCAGGAGGGTCCACGATTGAGAAAGATCGCAATTTGAAAGAGTCATGTATGAAAGCGTGAGTGATATGTTGACTTCCTACACGACAGTGTCTCCTATATGTAGTCTTACTCTCTTGACTTTCATTTCGCTTTATCATCATCTCCTTTAATACCAATTATCTCAAGTCTAAACCCCTGAATACTTATTCTTGCAGAGGCGGCGTGCACACATCATCCATCTCCCACTCCCCTCTTAGGAAGCTCTGTTCCTAAACAAGAGGACTATGGCGTCTGTCTTCTACAGTTTCTATAACTTGCCTAAACGGGAGATGCTGGTACCATGGTTCATAGGCCGGTGTTGTGGCCAACCTCCGACGGCGATTCTGTGAAGGGAAAATCCACAGTTCAATTAATCAAAGATTAGACCAGGAATCCGTTGGGCGATTTTATTCGCCTCTGGTTTAGCCCTTCTATCCTCTATACTTATTTCAAAATCCGGGATCAATATAGGAGAACGTAATGTAGTCACTCTTTCACTGAGTGCACCCGCGTCACATCCTCTACGTATGTTCTACATTTTCAATGAACCCGTGGCGCCACAAGAGGAAATCGCAGAATAGATTTTGTCTTCATACAGCGTTAGCCCCTCTTCCTTTATAATTTTCTTGAAATGCAGCTGGGCAAGGAAATTTCACGTAGAGGCACCTCATTCGGTGCTTTACTTGCAAAGAGTCACAGATCCAACCGCGTGAGAGCTGACTTAGTCGACGTTGCATGTACGCAGCGCCTACCCCGTCGGAACGATATGTCGGAGGCCTGCAGTACTAGGACACAAGTTTGAGTACGCCGTCTTTTCCTTCTCCTCCCGGTTCATGATGATGTGCTAAGTACTAAAAACAGTGGCCACTTAGGTTGAGTATAAAATAATGAAATTTCTCTGGTTCAAGCTCTCGGGAGCCTTGCGTTTTCTTGGAAGCTTTTTGATGCGCCGAAGCACCTCAGCGGTGGTGAGCAAGTGTGCCTAGGCTTTTGTGTGAAAATTAAACAGAGTAGTTCCCGTTCATCCATCCAAATGTTGGCCTACCCCCTCTCGGAGACCTCTTTAGGGCGCGTAGGTTCTCCCAAGTTCAAAGAGGGTTACGTTAAATTGTTCAGGCTTGTAAAAGCTGGTGGCGCTGCACCCATGCTTATATATTTACACTCAACCGCACTATTCATACAACCCACCCCTTTCACACCCTCTCGGTAACCCAAATCGCCGCCCGACACCCCCCCTTAATCACATCCGTCAACAACTCATACGGCCGTGCCTCCTTCGCATCATTCTCGACCGCAATATCCAAATGCTCGAGCTCCTCATCCCTAATCCGCCGCAACGTCCCCAGCAACTCCTCCAACTCGGCCCCCAACCCCGCCCCCTCCCTCCTCCGCTCATCCGCCCACTCCAACAGCACTCGCACTTGCTCGTTATAGTGGCCCCCGATCTCCGTCTCCACGGCCTCTGTGCACGCCATCGCGGCCTCCCGCCCCATCAGCGCGGTGCCCCATCCCAGCGCGGTCGCGGCGACGCTCCAGACGGGGTACATGGCGGTCGGGCGGATACGGTGCTTGGCGAGCAGGGCGTTGAAGACGGCGAAGTGGCCGGCTTCCTGCTCGTACATGTGCGCCATGAGCGGGCGGAGGTGCGGGTGGGCGCGCGTGAGGGGGGGCGTTTGGGCGGTGTAGATTAGCACGGCGGCGAGCTCGCCGGCTTGGTTGACGCGGAGCTGGGGGAAGCGTTAGTGTGTTGACTGGGGGATCTAGATATAGTATTTTGGGGCCCGTACTGCGCTGTCTAGGAAGTCTTTTTGCTCTTTGGTTAAGGGCTTTGAGGGCGGGTTTGCGGAGGGAGGGGGTGGAGATGAAGGGGGGGCATTAGGAGCAGAGGTTGCCATGCAGGCTTTTCGAGCGATTGGTTGCCATGATGGCCAGCTTGGGGCGAGGAAGTCGAGGACTGGTAAGTATTGAGGACGTGGAGAGCGGCGGATGGCTTTGGAGGGGAGAAGGGCGAGAGACATTGGAGATGCAGGGTTTGAGGAATTGATTATATTTACAGAATGTACAACAGCCCGAGCAAAGGAAATAGATTGACGACAGAAAGATTGAAAGAAAAGAGGCAGAGTTGGTGTTCACCAGCAATGATGTCGTCGTTGAAGTTACCTAGTTAGACGGGACGGAAACTACGCCACTTGCGGGAAGGCACGTGAACGGATTTTGACATTGCCAGCGATTCATCATCTAGGGTCCGTCTCCACCCCACTATCTCTTCAACCACGCAAGCCTTTCTTTAACCCCCCACACAACACACAAACCTCTCTGTAATAGCCCCTAACTATAGAGTGTCTCACTCTCCTGCGGGCCGTTTGTCCATCAGTCTCCTTAAAGAATACGTGGGCCATCCCTTCAAGATCTCCTTCAACCTTCGCCTCCGCTCATATCAACACAGTCTACCACCAGAGCACCACCCACAATAGGCATGGACTCGATGCGGTCCCTGAACACTTCTTTGCCGTCGGCCTCCAGGCCAAATCCTCCACCTCAACCGGACCTGCATCAAGCCTTCCGATCCGCGGCGCTCTCGGTGACAAACCTTTACAAGACCGCCGCGGCCGACCAAACCAGGGCTCATGGAGAAGGCTACCGGGAAGCCCTAGAGGACCTACTAGCATTTCTCGACAGCAAAAATTTAGGCCTTGGAGATGGAGAGGGATGGAAGGTGCGGCAATGGGCAACGGAGCGTCTAGATGGAGAACCCACGACCATGCAATCGACATCAGACAGCGACGAAGAGTCTGCCGAAGAGAAGCGAGCACGCAGTTCATCGCCCGTAATGGAAAGGAAGCAGAGCCCCGAAATCCAGTCATCATCGCCGTCATATAGCCCCGAGCAGGATGCCCGACCAGAGTCAGCACCGCCAATACCACCACAAACCACTACACCGCAAACCGTAACCGATATCACGCCTCCACGGAGCGAGTTCACGTTCACCACCCAACACGCGTACCCGGCCAATGTTGAGAGCGAGATGGAGGTCTCGCCACCCACGTCGATCCCCCAGATGCGAGTCGAGCTCCATCCACGTCGTCAGTCCAGTCGCCACCACAGCACCCGCCACAACACACGATCGAACAACACCAACCTAGGCAATGGTGCAGGTTTCAAGCGACGGCTACCCTTTAACGAGTACTTTGACCTCAGCGGGCCATGGAACGGGAAGGATGGATTAGGGGGTAGCAAGCGAGGCCGGTTCTCGTAGGACGAAGCGCATGGCGCATAATCCACGTTTAAGGGGGCGGCTGTCTTTTCTAGAAGCGGGTGCATATTCAAGAGGGGCGTTGTCTACCGGCACCATCAAAGTGCCTGGACGCATTGGTTGGCGTTGCATCTACAGGAGTTTCTTTCCGAACCTGCCGAGATACCAGTCTAGGATGGCAGTCTGCATAGCATGGAGGCATGGCTTAAGCGATTTCTGCAAAGAAGAGGAGATGTTATTGGGGCCAGCGATCCCCGTAGTGTACAATACCCAGATTTAAATACAGCATGGTACTACAACACAAATATTTCACGTCCGTGTGCTCATATCAAGTGACAGCTACTTTGCTATTAGCGACACCAATCTGTGATACTCTTGTGATAAACTTACTTGATCTTAAGAATTGAAGCCCAAACGCCTCCGCTGATGCACTGAACGAATTCATCCCTATGTCATCTCAAAAGCCGATAGATGCCCAATCCTACAAATGTAGCAGCCAGCCCAGTAATGCCCGCCTGTCTTGACCTCATTCCGAACATCGAACCGCTCTTCAAGATGGTCGCTTGTTGTTGGCGTAGTTGGGAGTGGCCATTAAGATATGTGAATGCACCTAGTCCTACGAAGACTCCACCGCCTATATGAAGTATAATGATTAGTACTGGAGGTCCGATTGTGAAATGGTCTTTGAAGATATTCAAGGGGTAATTCTCACCCATCACGCGACATGGCAGACAGTCGTGGTACTCTTTTTGGTCTGAAGAGGCGGCCTGAGGCTGCTGCATCATAGGGGCCGCTGTTGCATCGTTAGACATGGAGGCCGTTAGATGTTTGCAAAGCGAGCTTATGAATTCAATAAATTGTTGGATTGATGATCAGAGAGAGAGAGACCCTGGAGGCGGAGGTCTTGCGGCGGAACTTTGCCGAGACGACATCAACCACAGCTCCGACATCATGACCATGCACCTCCCTGTCACAGGCTCACCACCCGCTCGCAGAACTTCATATCTGCTAGACGAACCTCGCTCATGGGCCTAATCTCATCTATACGCGATCATGAGTGCCATAGAAGCGCTATACATCTTTGATGAGCATAAGTTTGTCTCCGCCGTGCCCCTCCCTGCACCCCTCCATATACTAACATCCTCACAGCGCAACTATACTAGAGCATGTATACCGAGGACGGCCACCGACCGCGAGCGTCTTACTTCCTCTATACCTCTCGCACCCCTCTCCGCAGCCGTCCCTAATATATCTCCCGAATACACATCCACCGACCCTTGTGTACTCCATAATACAAGACCGCCTGCTCTTCCTCTCGCCTTCCTCAGCGGAATCAGAACCGCTGCTTGCGCTAGAATTCCTTCATCGTGTAGCAGATGCGCTCGAGGACTTTCTAGGCTCGCCGCTTCTGGCGAGTAAGATCGAGAGCTCCTATGATGTAGTGGCTCAACTGCTCAGCGAGATGTGTGATGGAGGGCTGGTCTCGAATACGGAGCCGAATGCTTTAAGAGATGTGGTTGAAGCACCCAATTGGGTCAAAGGCCTGCTTGGGGGTGTTGGGTTGCCTAGGTATGTTGGAATTCACAGTCACGTTTGCTTTCATCTGGAGAACTACAGGCATTTTCCGTGCTCTACATTCGCGGATATGGAGGGAATTGTATAGCTAACCACCGACACAGTTCTTCGCCCTCCCTAAATCCATCATCCCAAACTCCCTTCTCCCTCCCAAGGCCCTCCCTCCCGCGTGCCCCCTCAGCCGCAACGGCCAATCCCGTCCCCTGGCGACGCGCAAACGTACGGCATACGAGCAATGAGCTGTATGTCGACATCGTCGAAACACTCTCCATCACACTCGCGCCCTCAGGCCGGCCGCTCTCCGCCCTCGCGTTCGGCACCGTCGCCTTCACAGCCAAAGTCTCCGGCGTCCCAGACCTAATCCTCCAGCTCAACGCTCCAGGAGGTATCCTCAACACCATCTCCCTCCCCGTCTTCCACCCCTGCGTCCGACTCGGGCGCTGGAAAGAAAAACCCGGTGAGCTCAGCTTCGTCCCACCAGACGGCCGCTTCGTGCTCGCAGGCTACGAAGCCGACCTCCTAGGCGACGACCACCTCGCCTCCTTCACCAGCACCTCGTCCACCTCCAAATCCCTCGCAAGCCTCAACCTCCCCGCCACCCCCGCCGTCAGCGTCTCCCTCGGCCCCACAGGCGCCGACTTCGAAGTCCGCCTATCCATCTCCCCCCGCTTCCAAAACAAGCCCTCCGCCTCAACCGCCTCGTCTTCTTCCCGCGGCGGCCTAGGCTCCCGCTCCGCCTCCGCCTTCTCAGCCACCGGCACAACAGCCCACCCGCATATCGAGGAGGTCAAAGTCCACATCCCGCTCCCAGCCGCCGTGCGCACGATCGCGGACCTCCGTACCAGCAGAGGCGACGCGCAGTACGCGCCCGGCGACACGGGCATCGAGTGGCGCGTCGCCGCTAAAGACGTCGCCGCCCTGCTAGCGAGCCACCACGGCGGCAGCGTCAGCGCGTCCGCGACGCTCCGCGGTAGCGTCGTCGGCGAGGAAGAGGAGGACGAGGAGACGGCGCCGTCGGTGTCCCTCGAGGCGGGGAGTCGGTGGGAGTACGATGAGGATGAGGGCGGGGGCTACCAAACCTCTTCTTCAGTAGAGCCGGCGCAGCAGCGGAATGGGAATGGGAAGGGGGAGGCGGAGGCGGAGCAGAGGAGTAAAAGGAGGGTTGCGTTGAATAGGGTACTCATGCCTAGCTCTGCGACGGTGAGTTTCTCGGTTAAGGGGTGGTTGGCGAGCGGGATTAAGGTGGATGCGCTGATGGTGGATGCGAAGAGGAGTAAGGGGCTAGGCGCCGGGGTGACGCCGTATAAGGGGGTCAAGTATCTGACGGTTAGTCGGAAGGGGGTGGAGGCGAGGTGTTGAGAGCTGGGCGGCGCTTGAGGAAGGTAGTTGGAGTATGAGCATCTAGAGGGAGTGCTTGCATACTGAACTATAAGCAGTGGCAGGGACGTCTATGAATGTCTACGGATGAGACACTGTGACTGCGTGTGTCTCATACCACGAGAATCAGTAGATCTTGAGAAACGAAAATAAGAATATATTCAAGCAAAAGACCAGGGTATCCTAAACCGAATCTAGACAACACCATGTAACTAAGACAGCTAGAAAACTTGGAATCCAGAAGGCCAAACATGCAACGCTGCTAACCACCCCTTTTGAACACCGCCTAATGTCTGCTCTTGGACGCCATGAATACCGCTGTTTCGCCCGAGGAAAGACGATTGATGCTATGAAAAACCACGCTTAGAGTCCTTTTTTGATCTTGTGACGACGCGGAGGGCCCCTTTTCGTTCATCTTGTGTTTAACGCTAACTTATCCGCCATAGAGGACATCATAAATTGGCATGTCTCGGGGCAAAAGTCCCGTCGAAAGCGTTGTAAAAGGGGCTAACTTCGAACGGAGGCCCTGCTCTCGGCCTTGGTATAAATCCGATCAGCGGTATGAGTGACCGCCATCATTGGCAAGCCGAGCAAAACTTTCTTGATCTCGTGACGACGCGCAGGACCCTCTTTTCGCGGATTTTGTGTTCAATATCAACCGGACCTTGGGGTACATGTCGCAGATATCATCCACGAAGAAGCACGTGGGGGTGGTCTCCGACAAAGCCTTCAACGTGAGGCCGATGATCTAACCTCCTGTCGCAAGCTATCCAAAAGACCGTTTGATCCAAAAGAGTCGTGAAGCCATCATCTCCCCTCCTCGACGATATCCTCAAACCCGACACGTCCTCGTCCTCTCGGTCTGACCGCTGAGCCACGACGGCCACCAATCCCTTGCGCTCTCAGTCGCCGCTCAAAGGATGTGATACCTCCGATAGGACCTCTTTCCTCATCTCCTAGGCCGCCTCTGGAAGCAGGCGGCGCGCTCGCGGCGCCGAAGGCTGGGTTGAACGCCGCACTACCACCGCCAAAACCGAGCAGTCGTCCTCTCGCCAAGGCACGGGCTGTATTGCGTTTCGATGGTGTACGGAGGTATCCCGGGGTCGAGGTCAAGAAAGGCCTCTCCGACTCGACTTCAGGTTCCTGGTCCGCGATCTCAGTCTCGAGCTCCCGCTGCTCCACGTCCAGATTACGGATAGAGGGGCGTAGGCCCGTAGATGCGGCAGTAAGTCCACCGCCCACTTGATCAGGCGAAAAAGAGAGGCTGAGATTGAGATCCGCGCCACTAAGGAACGCGCCTTCGTCGAACGCAGTCCAATTTTCCCCGCGCGCGATAGTTTCCTCGCCAATTTCCTGCTCTTCAACGCCCTCGCCCTCCCCAGTAGTAGGGGCAGGTCTTCGACCTGGCCTAGGGCTAGGTGAGACCGCTCTCTGCGCTTCTCGTTCTCTGGCCTGCTCGCTCCAGAATCTGACCATGGCTTTAACATGCTTCTCCCAATTCCGTCTCTGCAGCGCAATGGCGCTGTCCTCCTGTCGTTGGAGCTGGAAGATACGCCAGCGGAGCTTCTTGAGACATGTCGCAGCGCCTACAGCCTGGCTTTCCGCTTTCAAAGCAACGGCCTGAGTTTCTAATTCTTGGACGTGTCGATATCGCTCTGTCCAGGTTGCAAATGCGTGGGTCAATAGCTTCTGAACGCGGAAGCGCTCAGCCTGGTGCTCGAGCGAGAGGATCTCGTTGCTGCGGCCATGCCAGCTACCAAAGAGCGCAGTGGCGTCTCTCCAGAGCCAGTTCTCGCGCATCTCTGCCGCTTGCCGCTCTTGCACAGCTAGCTGAGCGGTACGGTCTCGCCATTTCCCGAGCATACGCCTGGTAAGCCCCATTTTGGTGTCGCGGCGCACTTGGACGTATGCTTCGCGGCGCTGGATACGGCGGGCGATGGCTTCTTCTTCTTCTCGCTGAATACGGGAGTGCTGCGTAGCGTTGCGCCAGTGTCTGATAGCATGCTTGGTGGTGACGTAGTAGTTGGCACGTTCGGCATCTTGGTTCAGCTGAACAATGTGGTCGTGATGGTCAAGTAACGTGTTGAAGGCACGCTGGACAATCTTGGGGTCGTATAAAGACAGTGCAAGCGCGCTCTGGTTTTGACGGAGTCTAGCGGTGTCTCTGAGTTTGGTGAGGCAGCCTCGCATAAGACTTATGGTACGGTCGACAGTGAAGTTTTGCTCTGCGGTGTCCAGTCTTCGGCGTTGGTCTTGTGCTTTGGCTATCCATTGAGTGAATGTAGATCGTTTCAGTCGAGTATTGCGAACTCGAATGAACAAGGAAGCTCTGGATTCTAGGAGCCACTTGTATAGCACCTGTACTACCAACCGGTCGTTAATTCGTGAGGTCAATATCTGACAGCGTAGGTGATCATTCCAAGCCGTCAAAGCATTGCGTATGATGCGCTGTTGATTTATGGCCGTAGCTTGTCGCGAAAGCTTCGTCTGGAGATGCCATGTTTGTAGGGCAGATCTGGCCAGTCTGTTATCCTTCTGTTGCGATACTTGGGCGAATAAAGGCTTCAGTTGAGCTTGTTTCCGCAACGAACGGAAGGCTGTGGAAAGAAGTGCTTTGGCTCTGAAGTTTCTCTGCAAAGGCTCCAGTCCCCTTACGGCGGCTGTCTTTTCGCTCCATTCTCGAAGTGTTTTCCTCTGGACATCATGAACTCTGATCTGCTCAACGAAAACCTCTCTTTCTTGCAGCAATCTTGTGATACTAGCCCATCTGAGGAAGAATGACTTCTTGAGCCTTCCTGCATACCACCACGGAGCTCGACGCTCGAAGAATTGCCAGCTCCAACGTTGGTAATGGCGGTACACTACGTTCTCCTGATAGACAGCGAGAGCCTGCACATTCTGCTCTTTGATGGCGGCTGTCCTCTTTCGCCATATGCCGAAGAATTTGCGCAGACCTACTCTTCGGACCTTGAACTCATTCACAGCCGTGATCTCGCGCCACGCCTTGAAGTATTTGGTGCGTAGAATGTGTCTTCGCGCCTCAGATGTTCGCTTCACCTCGTCCGAAGCGCATTGAGCCCAGTGCGAGAACGCTTTTGAGAGCAAGAATAAATTGTACGTCCTACCGGCTCGGCTCTCTTGGCGGTTCCAGAAGCGCTCTGTCTCCTTTTTCTGTTGCTTGGCTTTGAGTCCAGAGTGCCACTCTTCGAAAGCACGTCGAACTATCCAGGTGCGGTGGTATGAAATAGCCTTCAGTTCAAGATTCTCCTCATCTTCACGGGCCTGTGAAGTTGCGTCGCGCCACTGCTGAAAGCATCTGCGCGCGTTAATCTTCGTTCGATCGTACAGGAATGTATTGGCCCAATCCAGCATTTCGGCTTCTGTAGGCCTGTATACAATCTCTGGTGGCACAAATTGTCGTCCTTGATTTTGGTGTGGGTACTGACTGTGGTTTCGAACTGGCGCAATTGAGCCCTCGGACTCGTCTGCAGAATAGCTGTCATGTAGTTGCGAGAGCGGGTTTTCGGGGTTTCTCCTAATCCTCAAACTGCCCTGGCTAGACACGGATCCAGATCGCTTCGGTCGGTATGCCAAAGTATCAGACACGGCCCTTTGGCTCACCCGGCCCCTAATCGGTAATGGCGGCAGCGCTCTCGACCGTGAATGCGATCGCGCGCGCCCTGCCACACCCTGATCCGTCGCGCGACTCGACGGTCTCTCGACGCCGTTCCCGTAAGTCGACAGGCGCCTCCGGGCGGCTGCATTATTGTCCTCGCTATAGTGTGTCGCATCGTACATGGAATTAAACGACGCGCGCCTAGATGGTGCTCTTCTCGCCTGCTGCGATGCACTGGCATATCCGTTGAGGCCTTGGTGGTCGAGATTGCGCGTGATATCCTCGACTCCCTCTCCTTCTCTGTCAACCTCGATTTCGATCCCCATGCGCGCCAGCTTCGCCTGGAAATGCGCGAATAGATCCCCCCCTTCCCGTGGACCGTCTTGCATATGAAAAATAAAGCGGATGAGGATGCGGTCATGATCGGTGGCGAGGCCGTGGCGCGCGAGGACGGTCTCGTAGGCCGCATACAGGGCGTGGAATGGTGGCCCTGGGAGGTCTTGCGCCTCCGTGACGATCTCGTAGAGGAGTTCGATGTCTACAAGTTAGGATTAGTGTTGAATCCAGTAGAAGTAAACAGGTGGGTTTTGTACCATCGTTGGAAAGGGGAGGCAGCTCATCGGTGGTGGAAGCTTGCATTCGAAGGGACTCGGGCGACAGACGCGGGTCCCCAGAGGCATAAGCGCGACGTGGGAGACGTGTCGATCATGGAATGGCTAGGGCGGTGCGGAGAGGGCGATCGCGGGCAATTAAGCATTACTGGGGGAAAAAGAAGAAGAAGAAAGAATTGGTGGTGGTGGCGGCGGGAGGTGAAGTGCGTGTCTCGCTGCACGCGTGAAGAAGAGCCAGAAATGCGCTCGGGCCCGTTGTTGTTGAGAAGCAGGTTGCCAAGCCGTGTCTGTGCTTCGGCGCCATTCACTGCCTGTCGGTGTGTGAACGTCGATGAGGACGAAACACCACCAGCCCGTATCGCGTTCCATCTGCCCACCATGCCCACCAAGACCCGTCCGATCGAGAAGTTTGCCACGGCCGTAGGGAAATGCTCAGCGGAGGCGAGTACTTCCTTCACGATTTTTATATTCGCCTCTGACGTATTGCATCGAAGGGAGCCGTATATGGAAAATGCATCGTCGCGGACTACAAAAACGTCACAAAAGACAAGTGCCTTACCGAGTTCTTGAAACTTAAAGATTGCTATCTAGTAAGTTGACTGACTGCGATTGTGTGCAGTGAGACTCTAACGCTTTGGTGGCAGGCCGCATACAAGACACGGTGATGGTTCATCCTAATGGACCATCTGAACCAAAGATGCCCATGCCGTAGAGGGTGGCTGTATGGCTCACTGCCGCCTGTAATAGACTGGGAGAGCCTAATCATGCCTAGCCTGCGTTTGACTGTCATAACTTTGATGGCCTACGCAACAGGTGAAGCTGAGCTCCATTGTAGAGCTACCAAAGCCACTTGTCCCTCTGATCACTGTACATTAGACCATGTACATAAGTACTTGTATCACAAATTTGGTTGTAAACAGTTCAAATGCCATACTTCATTGGTCTAGCATCATAGCTTTGGACGCTCTATCATCAGGTATTCTATCAACTCATGTCTTCGTCTCGACATCATCTCGTGTTCTCTAACCCCTACAGCTTCACCAACCTCAGCAGGAAAGTCGCCCTGTGGATTTCCTGTTCTTCCTCTGCGATGATAGTCTCATCACTCTTTTCTGGGATCTTTCCTTCAGCCTCCGTGGTGACATGCTTGTCAACATTCCGCCTCAGAGCCTTTTCGAAAATCTTCCCTTGGCTGGCGAAACAGGTCTCCAGACCAACTTCGTCAGGGTCGCTGAGAACTTTGTACTCCATACCTACATCGTCGGTAGCCACCAGTCCGGCCTTCTTGCGCAGATCCTGCACGCGACGAACAATTTCTCGTGCTAGCCCCTCTTGCACGAGCTCAGGGTAGCTTGCGACGTCAAGAACTGTAACAATTAGCATCTAGTTCCAGCTCATGAATTGCAATCTCGAGACTCACCTATGAGAACGTCATCGTCGGTGTTGAACTCCTGGTTCTTGCTGGCCTCATCCTCGCGCAGTCCACGCTTGACGAAAAGGTCCTCCTTCTCAAGCTGAATGCCGTCCACGGTGATTTTTCCGCTTCTCTGGAATTCCTTGACGTCCTTGCTGGTGAGGGATGGTAGAGCCTTCTTGACCTTCACCGCGTCCTTCTTCAACTTCTTGCCAAGCACCGAGAAGTCAGCGGTCACGGAGTATTGCACGTTGTATTTGTCTTCGTCACTCGAGAGGACGAGTTCCCGCACGTTCAGTTCGTCCAGAATGTATGTTTCAAGCCTCTTGACGTCGTCGAGATACTCCTGGTCAGGGTGGATAATGACGAGGGTCTTCAAAGGCGTCTTCAGACCAATCGTTCGTCTATCACGGCAGATACGGCCGAGATCGATGACTGCCTGCATACGGCTCACCTGTCTCTCAATGACGGGGTCGAACAGCTCTGATCGAACCTCGGGAAACGGTAGGAAATGCACACTGCGGACATCTTCTGCATGAAGCGACTTCGGAATATGAGGAAGGAGCCGCAAGTAGATGTTGTCCGTGATGAAAGGCGTGAAGGGTGCCAGTCCTCGACAAAGAGTGTACAAGACCTCGAAAAGTGTATTGAGAGCATGCTTCGTATCGTGGAGGCCATTTTCACCCTTTAAGCGACTCCGATTGAAGCGAATGTACCAATTTGTAGTGTTGTCAATGAGGGCTAGCAGACGCGGAACGACAGTATACAATCGGTAGCTCGCCATTTCCTCGTTAACGAAAGCGAGCAAAGATTGGCAAGATGCTAGTATCCAGCGGTCCATGACATTAGTGTTTGTCTTCTCAGCTGCAGGGTCAAACTCGAAATGCAGATCTGCAACCTTTTTTAGTAGCGACACTTGCTGATCGAAAAACTGATATGAATTCCAAAGAGGTAGCAAGACTTTTGAGACGATGTCTTTTACACCTTTCTCTGAGAATCTGAGGGTTTCTGCTCGTACAACAGGGCTGTTGATAAGGTATAATCGAAGAGCGTCTGAACCGTAGTTGTTCATCACCAAGCTAGGATCGGGATAGTTCTTTAGCCGCTTCGACATTTTCTTTCCATCTTCCGCAAGCACAATGCCGTTGACCACACAGTTCTTGAAAGGAAGTTCGCCAAAGAGGTGAGTGCCCAAGACAGTCAATGTGTAGAACCATCCTCGTGTCTGATCCAGGCCCTCGGCGATGAAGTCTCCCGGGAATGATGCCTTGAATTCCTCTACGTTCTCGAAGGGATAGTGTTTGCTCGCGTAAGGCATGCTACCCGACTCGAACCAACAATCGAACACTTCGTCTACGCGACGCAAAACGCCTTTGCCTTGCTTGCTAGGGATCGTGATAGGGTCCACGTGGTCTCTATGGATGTCTTCAAGGGCTGCATCAACGCCGGATAGTTCTTTCAGCTCGGCTATGCTGCCGATACAGACCATTTCCTTGAAGTCATCGCTAACCCAGATAGGCAGCGGTGTTCCCCAGAAACGATTCCGGCTAACCGCCCAGTCCCGAGAATTCGAGATCCAGTTGGCGAAGCGCTTCTCCTTGACGAAAGATGGGACCCAATGAGAGCCCTCGATGTTCTCGAGCATTTTCGGGATTATGTCGGGAACTTTTACGAACCACGAAGGCACTGCTCGGTAAATCAAGGGAGTGTCAGAACGCCAGCAAAACGGGTAGCTATGCGTTATTTGACTGTCCACCACTAAGCGGTTTGTTGCCTTCAGGTATTTTATGATACCCTTGTCGGCTTCTTTGACGTGTTGGCCAGCGAAATCGCTCACCACTGAGGTAAATCGGCCAGCATCGTCTACGGGGTTTGGAGGAGGGCGACTCTCGGTGATGACCCCGTGACCTAGAGCGTTCTCGTAATCAACTTCACCAAATGCAGGCGCCTGGTGAACGATGCCGACACCTGAATCGGCTGTCACATATGTGCCGCTGATGACGCGGAATCCAACATCCTTGAACTCCTCTTTGTAGTAATCAAACAGCGGCTCGTACTCCCAGCCGACCATATCTTTGCCCTTGACTTTTTCCAAAATCTTGAACTTGGCTTTCTTGGGGTCTTTGTATAACGTTCTGAGGAGCGCTTCCAGTAGAAAGTAATTTTTCCCCGACTTTTCATCCGCAATCTTGATATACTCAAAGTCTGGGTGAACGCAAAGAGCGACATTGGAGGGCAGAGTCCACGGAGTCGTCGTCCAAGCTAGTAAGGAGCTCTTTTCGTCCTTGAGTAGAGGAAACGACACGACTACGGCAGGGTCCTGGACGTCCTTATAATTTTGACTCGCCTCAAAGTTGCTAAGTGGAGTTCCCAAGGCGGTCGAGTATGGCATGACCTTGAAGCCCCGATACACAGCATTTTTCTCCCACAGTTGTTTGAACACCCACCATTCGCTCTCCATGAACGATGTATCCATAGTCTTGTAATCATTGTCAAAATCGATCCACCGCCCCAGCCGGTCAATGGTGGTGCGCCACTCTGTTGCATATCTCATGACAATGGCCCTACAATCCGCGTTGTACTTTGCGATTCCGAATTTGTTGACCGCGTCTCGGCCTGACATGCCGTTTTCTTTGTCGATTTCGTGCTCAATGGGTACACCGTGGGTGTCCCAGCCGAATCTCCGCTCAACGTATCGTCCCTTCATGGACCAGTATCTCGGAATGATGTCCTTGATAGTAGAGGCGAGCAGGTGGCCATAATGCGGCAGTCCGGTCGCGAAAGGCGGGCCATCTAAGAAGTTAATTAGTCAACAGCTCTAGAAGGTCTCCGGTTTCCATTTGACATGGTTGAGTATAACCACGGAGGCATGCTATGACTTGTTTGATACTGAGTGAAGGAGCCAAATTTACCGTAAAATGTGTATGGCTGTTTGCCCTTAGAGAGCTCAACCTGGCGGGCGAACGCGTCGATTTCTTTCCAGCGCTTCAGGATACGCTCCTCCTCCTGGGGGAAATTGACAGACATAGCGAGAGGCAGTTGGGAGGAAATGAGAAAGTCGTGTGGGGGGAAGAGGATTTGAAGCTCGAGTCATTGATGCCAAGGCTGCCCCGCGGTGAGTCAAAGTTGGTGCCTGAGGCAACTCCGCCTTCGCAGCCTTGCCGTCCGATCGAATTTCATCCGGCGCTAGAAATCCATGAATAGGGGCTCTAGACTACAACCATTCTAGTAACTTACGTAGAGGATGAAATGCCTGCTCATAAGGAACATTAAGTACTTTCTATTCTCTGTTCTTCATCTCTGTCGTTTCGCGGTCGTTCTGTTCCAACTTCACTCTACTGCGCCGTCACAGCCCACGGCTCTTTGATCATGCTTTCTCTCTCCATCGTCCTCTTCTTCGTTGCATTATGTACAGCTTGGGTTAATGAGTTCCCAATAATTGCTCCTTCGACTGTCGACGCTGGCACGTCGTTCGAAGTCACTATATCTGATACTTCAATCCACAACGATGCGACTACGTGGGTCGAGTCGCTGAGGATATATCTAGCAGCTTCCGCTGAAGACAAGCTCTCTGCAGATTTCTATCACTCTGACTGTGCGCCATGCCGTCTCTAGATACTTCAAATCTGGAGCTTTGCTGACCGTGATTTGTAGGCACCTTAATCAAAGCCATATCTGTCTGCGATCCATCCATCACCGTATATGATCAATATGTTCAGATATCGAATACAACTTACAAAGTCACCATACCTGCGAACATCGGCCCCTCCGGACCGCATTATGTTCTCAAATCTCAGCTCATTCAAACGGATGGATCGCGTTACGGCGCCGAGCTCTCGTCTGATGTCTTTGATCTCACCAGTGCCACCGGGAATTGGGCTTACACTCAGCTCCAAGGGTATACGCTATGGAGTGCAGACGGCGTTCCCTGCACTGGTTTCCCGTGTGTCAAAAATTGCTCCGAGGCTGCCCACAACGCCTACCAAAAGTCCAACAACGCCAGCGACTCTGCCTATCAAGATTGCGCCAACTCTTGTCCCGGTGTAAACATAAATTTCAATTCCACTCAGCAGCCAACGCAGCCAACGAGTACTCCTTCTCCATGTCCTGCGCGGGCAAGCACCTCAGCCGCACTACTCTCCGGCTCTACTAGAACGAAAACTGCTACTCTCAACTCTGCGACACCTACATCTGCTGCATTGAGTACTAAGATTTTCTCCAACTCATATGTGCTGCTAGCTATCGCGTTAGCCTTGATTTTTCTTACGTTTCGTGTTCAAGAAGTCAGCAATTAAGGTTTTTTCACTCTCTTGCCGCCTTCACGGGTGCTTCAACGCACTATCAAAGTCGAACGAGATATGATTGCAATATTTTAAGCAACCAGCAAACTCGCTAGCTCACCTAACACAGTGCTAGATAACAGAATACAGACTGCACGTGTAGGCTGGGAGTCCGCCTGCTTAAGATTACCTTTAAGATCAACGCTAGCTGCAGGCTCTCGGAATGCTGGACGGTGGTTGGCCAGACACCGAATTATCAAATTCCAACACAACTCATAAATGAGGTGCCCTCAAAATTCAATTGCAGCTCGAACAACCTTTCGCTACTGTTTGAACGCCCTTCCATTGGAGTAGGGGTTTCTCGCAGACACTACACCCAGAACCCACAAACTATAACCGCACTGCCTACCCTCACATTCCGCCCTTTAGGCCCAAAACCCACCACGTGGCTCCAAAACGTGCGAAACCTTCCTACAGAGCTCCGGCTGATGATACTCGGCCATATTTACGTCAGCGAAGATCCGATTTCTCGCGACTCCTTCGCGTTTCATGAAAGAAACGTCTTCCTAGTCTCAAATAGGTATGCTTTCAATAACAGTTTACACTCCAGCGCCCGACAGCTAGGCTTCTTTGAGTCCACGAACGCGTGCCCTATTCTAGTCTAAAGACCAAGCAAGTGTTGCCGAATAGCGTGCTCAAACGAAGAGAATCGGCCAATTTGCAAAGCATATATTTTTGAGATTACCGTATTTATCTCCAGTATTTGTTAGGGAAGTACTGGGACAGAATATCGGTGCCCTGGGATTAAGTTCTTGTGGCTTTCTCAGCCTTTTCAGCTCCGATTGCTTTTTTCGCTCTTCTGCCCTCTTCACGCGTCTCCTTTCGCGATACTTGTCGCTGTTCCGGCGACGCTTGTCTTTCTCCTCGGCGGTAGTCTGAAATGCCTGATCTACAGTCACAGGCGCACCCGCGGGTTCAGGTAAGACCGGTAGACCCCCAGATACGATGGTCTCCTTCGCTATATCTATCCCTTGATTTTCGTCTGCAAGGCTCTTCGACCCTGTGCTGCCAATCTGTAGCTGTAAAGCCTTCAAAGCTTCTTCAAACATGTGCTTCTGTTTTCCTTTGTCTTTTGTAACAATCGGGATCAGATCTACCGGTATAGGCATGCTGAGCTTGAAGCTTTCAGAGAACTTCCTAAGCTCGTCTAGTTTGACAGCCTTGGCCTCTCTGGCCATGGATCGTTGGCTCTCCTGTGCAACTGAATCAACGAGGTCGTGTTCCACATTGAATATTGTCTTGTCGCGTTGGCTAACTTTGTGCTGTCTTAATGTGCTCACATCTGCCGGCTTGAGAGCCACAGTAAGCTTCTGAGCAGAGTCAGACAATGGTTTTGAAGTGTCTCCCTTTACGTTAGTCGGACCCTGGGAGGCTTCAATAGTGGCAGAGATCTTCGGTTCGACTTTCTTCGCCTCTAGAGCACTAGCATTAGGGCTGCCGCTGCTCTGGTCATTCCGTGCATCTGAAGTCGGCGGTTTATCGCAAACCTGCCATCCATACTGTGTTAAAGCTTTGAATTTCGTGGTCTTAGCCGCCGCGTTATTTGAATGTTTCGATTTCTTTTGCTTCGTCTGTGACGCTGGGATAGCAGAATCTTTTTCTGCCTCTTCCTTCGTCTCGGCGTCTGGCCGTCGGATGGAGGCTTCAGATTTTCGACCGTTCGGCCGGTCGTCTTTGTCTATGTGTTTGCTGGTATATTATGTGAGTCAAGTTGCAGTTGGAGGAGGGCCATGAATACAAAAGCGGTAACTAACCTCCCTTCGCATTTGCGGTCCAAACTTATATTGGGGTTCTCATAACTGTTATGGAGGCAGACCATTTCATCCGCGGCGTTCCGGTGAGGTTCCTCACCACGCTTGAAAAGGTGGCTGTCGCCGCGTGGGGAGACGGCGGCATTGGCAGGATTTGTGGATTGCGAGGACTCCTCACACTCTGCGCGCTGGCCAGGCGAACTCCCATGTGAGTTCGCATTAGGCGGTCTTCGAGATTGATGAAATGCGTCTACGCTTAGACATTTTACTATTGCCTTGGAGTCCAAATCTTGACTCTTTACCGCACTATGGGCTACGGGGCCACCCTTTTTGGATATTGGGAGTGCGGAAGATGCAACCGCCGCGTAGGTTCTTCGCGTACCTCCGATGCTTGGATCAATTCTGGCAGAGTAGTTTACCGTTGCGTTGGAGTCGAAATCTGGATTCTTAACCGCACTTCGGGGTACGGGGCCACTCTTTTCGAATTTTAGAATTGTGGAGGAAGCAACCGCCGCATAGCTGCTTCGCGTGCCTCCAACGCGTGGAGCAATATCGCCTGAAAGTTTTACAACTGCCTTGGAGTTCAAGTCTTGACTGTTGACCGCACTAGGGGTTACGGGGCCACCTGTTTTAGATCCTGGAAATGTGAAAGATGCAGCCGCCGCATAGCTTCTTCGTGTGCCTGCAACGGCTAACGCAATCTGAGGTTCCTTCAATGAATGGCCGGGTTTTGCGGCCATGGCAGATTCGATGCGCTCACGGCGACTACTTGGCATCCGGCGAATTTCGAACAAAATTAGGTTGGGGAAATACACTTCGGTGATAGTTAAAAGGCTCGCGCAAGGAGATATGAGACGCTTGAGGCTGAGTAGAGAGGAAGCATCGGGTTGTGGCAAGGCTGGCCTCCCAGAGGTCAAAATATGGACTTAAGCCCAACGATGCTTGCTGGTGGCCTCAGTTCCGACATGCGGCATGACACGTCGAGAATTGATTCACGGCGAATAGCGTTCTTTCGAATAGCTAGGAAACTGTCTTGCGAAGGCTGCATACTGGCGCGGGATGACATGTGCGTTGGTCACGGCGTGATTGGCAAAGAGGGAGGGCCTCAAAATCTTTCATGTCTCAGAATGAGGCGTCGAGGATCCATTGGCTGCACGACAAGCAAGAGCAAGCGAGCCACAAGCCGACTCGTCGCGGCGACGAGGTGCGACGGGGTATATATACGTCCGTTCATATCCATTCCCTCGCGTTCCGCAACTAACAGAAAAAAAGGAAAAAAAAAACCCCGGGGAAACTGATTTTGGGCGGTGTTTTTGGGTAAGCAACCTCCATCTACCCTGAGAACTAGAACATGTACTTATCAGTCTACGCAGAACCCAAACTCGGCGGTAGGGGAGGCTCGCCGTCTCCCTTGCCCAAATAACAAATCGCCATGATCCAGTAAACTACGATGGGCCCCAGGCACCGATACACTCCTTTGTGGATCCGAAACTCGTTGTAGACACGCTGTTTGACTCTACTTGTCACTATAACACGCCGCCGGAGTTGCGCAAGGTCGTTCAACTTGCGAACTCCCTAAACTTGAAGGCCCCGATTTCATTCCTATGCCCTCCCAGAACCGAAGAATTAAATCAGATTTGCTCTGAGCAGTCACTTGCGTCTCCTACTCTCTTGTCAAGCCCAAGCAGCATTGTGGCTTCAGACAGTCTTTCAAGTTCCAATAGCGCCAGTCCATTACCACCACTGCCAGCTCAACCCTCAGTCGATCCTTTTACTATCAATAGCATTCCACCGGAACCTCGCCTGGTCGATACTTCTGGAACTCTTCGCATCGATGCAGGTCCTGTGTTCCGATGCGAAGAACCAGGTTGTCACGAAGGCTTTCCACAAAAGGACAAGCTCATGTACGTTCACCACCGCACTCTAAGCATTCCGGAGGCTAACTGAACGTAGCAAGCATCAGGAACGACACGCTAAGCCATCCAAATGTCCAGTTCCAGAATGCGAGTACAGCAAGACCAGATTCGCGCTCCGGAAAGATCTTGATCGTCACCAGCGCTCCAAACATCGAAGCCATGGGTCTGAACTTCTCTGTCCTGATCCCAAATGCAAGCGCGCAAAACTGGGCAAGGGATGGCCACGTCGCGATAACCTTCTTCGGCATGTGAGAGCGAGACATCCGGAGCTCTATCCTGACTTCTTGGAAAAGCTTAGTGAAAGAGGGCGTTCTACTTGACCCGACATCTTCGTTCTCTACATCTCTTCACCCCTCCCTCCGGCACTTACAACGATTCGAATTCCAAAGCAGGTGGCTTATCACAATCTATCCGGTCTCTCATTTTCTTCCACTGTTATATCTCCTTGAGTTCGCGCAGGCACGCCTTTCTCGAGCCGTTGTTACCATCTAAGTTACATCCCCGATGATGGTTCCGTTCCGAAGAAGTCAGCAGGCACGTTCTACCACCTCGGTCTACGAATGAGCCAGCAGACACGCTCCTACCAACCCTCACTCGGAGCTGCATCTGCATGCCTACCATCAGCTCGAGTCGGCGAGCCAGCCTCCCTACCGAAGAGCTAGCGGGCACTTGCTCACGCGAAGCCAGCGGGCACTTCGACGGGGAGAGGAAGAACATGTCCCTTCGGCAAACCCCCTCCCCCCCAAAACACCATAAAACAGCTCGCGGATAGAAGACCGACTCAATAAGTGCGTATTGATGCCTGTACGCCCACGATTTACTGCGTGTGAAAAGTGTGCTACCAGTGTGTTTTATATAAAAAAACCCCTTCAGCATAGCAGGCGCCTCTTCGCGGCGCTGAGGACTAGTACTCGACTCGATTAACGGACAACGGGATTGTTTGACGATTCCGCTCGGGGAAGCAAAGATCTGCTACGGATTAGTATGTATATGTATCATAGGGAGCTAGTAATGGCTCGACGATGATGAGCGTTTCTTTTGTTTTCTGTGGCTTGGAAGGCTGGTCATCTCACTTTGGAGTACTTGAGCACATTGCAAGGCACCGTATAGGGACGGGCCAAAAGTTTGTACACACTCTTTTACCATTGACTATGGTACGTCTACAGGGTGTCAAAGTTCTAGGGTCGATGTCAAAACCTGTACAGCAGTTCTTGCAGCAAAAAGATCGGTTCACCTGTAATCTAGATTTTCGAAACCGTACTGAAATTGCCCAAGTAGTGCCTAATAACTATACGCAGACTAAGGTCCCGGCAATGTAGGAGCCTCGGTCGGCGCCTTCACAAACCTCATATCCTTCAGATCCTCTGCATAGTCCGTCTCCTCGTCAAGCCCGTCTACCTGGCCCCAATACCACGTATTGTCCCGTCCATCCACATCTCGCAGCGAGAAGCCGTTACCCAACCACGCCCACATGTTCTTCCCATGATACGTGATCTCGTAGTCTTCGTATCGCGGCGTCGACACAAGCTCGAAGCTGCAATCCAGTTAGCTGCGGCACCTTTCTAATAGGGGATGAGGACTTACTACTGCGTCCTGCTCCCCGCAAACGTCATCGGCTTCCCGTCTATCGTCCCACCCTTCATCCAACTCCTGCAAGGCGTATCCCACACCAGTCGCTTCATCGTTAGATCTGCGTGCTCTCCATACTGCTCAATCACGTTCTGCTTCGGCGTGATTGTCTTGATATCCTCCAGCTGCATCTTATTAATCACCTGGATGATGTACCGCGACAAGAACTCCATGGTCGGGAGCAGACTCGACTGGCCAACTGGCCCGTACGGCCCATATAGCGTGAAGTAGTTCGGCATGTACGGTGCCGCCACGCCGAGGTAGGAGAGTGGCCGTTTCGTGTAGATGTCTTGGAGGTTGTGACCGTTTGCGATGATGGGGAAGCGCGAGACCCAGGATGTGTTGAAGCCGGTGGCTAGAATGATGACGTCGACTTCGACTTCGTTGCCATCTGGGTCGATGAAGCCTTTGGATGTGAGCTCGGAGAGGGAGGCGCCGCAGAAGGCGGTGACGTTGGGGGAGACGAGGGCTTCTAGGTAGCCGTTCCCTGGGCTTCACATTCGTCAGTATCCGTATGCTCTGGGGAGGGACGCGTCCATCACTTACGTGGGCCGTTTGCAACCAACGGGGAAGGTGATAGGAGTTATGGCTTTCAGTAAATCTGGTCGATCATGTAATTTCTCCCTCATCTGTTTCAAAGCCAATTCTCCAGACAAGTTGGTAATCGGGTGGTTCTTGTGAAGGGCGTTCCAGTTCGTCAGTTCTTGTTCGATCGCTTTCCGATACTTGAGATAGTACACTGGATCTTCGGCAAATCTTTTCTTCTGCTCAGGTGTATCTACTGCGTGTTAGTTTCCCTCTACTTGAAAGCACATCAGTACTCACACTCAACATTCTGCCCCTTCGGACCGGCATAGCTTGACGCAAAACCTGGCGTAATCCATGTAGGTGACCGGACCCACGTATACAACTTCGACGCCTTCTTCTGAATATTTGCGACCAGCTGAATCCCGCTGGCGCCAGTCCCGATGACCGCAACGCGCTTCCCCTCGAGCTCCAATCCAACAGGATAATGTGCGGAGTGTGCTAGCGCGCCCTTGAAGTCTTTGATTCCCTTGATCTTCGGCCATTCCCAGTAACTAGAATTCACAGTTAGATTTCGTACTCTGGAATGACGTATCTCGAGAAACTCACTTGAATATGCCAGAGCAGTTCAGGAGAATGTCACTCTCGTCCTCAATCGTCGTTCCATCCTCCAAATTCTTCACCTTTACCACCCACTTCGCGCGATCCTCGTGCCACTCTGCATGCTGGATCTCATGTCGAAGCTTGATGTATTTCCGCAAGTTGTACTTTTCAACCACGAACTTGAAATACTCCAGGATCTCAGGCGCTTCCGAGTAGTACTTCGACCAGATCTTCGGCTCCCATGTGTACTGGTACGTGACGGAGGGAATATCGCAAGCGCAGCCCCTACATCCGACCATCAGTCTTGGTGTTCCTCTCCTCAACATAGCAAAACTCTTCGGCGAACTCACGGATACACGTTCTCGATCCAAGTCCCCGAAACCTCATCATTCTTCTCGTAAATCACAGTCTCCACATTTTGCAGATCATCTTGCGCGAACTTCGAAAAGTTGATCCCCGAAGCACCTGCACCGACGCAGATAATCTTCACGTGCCGTTTCGTGCCAGAGGGACGCTCCTGGAGCGTATATCCGTTCTCGTTCGTAGTCTGCCAGCCATACACGTTAGGCCTATCAGCCCACGAAACATCTGCGTCTGAGATCGAGCCCATAGTCGTATGTAGTGCTTTCCAACAACACAATATCTAAAGACAGGTAAAAAGAAAGGAGGAGCCAAATTTTTAAGTGACTTCAAAAGTCCGTGTCAGTAGCTTTAAGTAAAACCGCCGAATTCCGGCATCTACCTAATCCAACCGCCACATGCTCTTTCATACGCCGATCGTACGAGCTGGATGTGGTTCGACCACCCGTTCGAGCTGGACCATCGGTTGCTATTGTATCGTCGGTTGAGATGGTCGAATTCGGGAACTTAACAGATCCGAGCCGCAAACCCGGGGAACGGTAGATCGAGGCGTGCCGATGCGGGCCATGGGTAGGCACCCCGCGTTTTGGTAGGCGCATAGCTATTTTCCGTTCCTTTTAGCTTCTGTGCGGAAGAGATGCGGAAAGATAGAGAGGAGGCCGGTAACCAGTAAGCGAAATGGGATGTGATGTTGCCGAGATGTGCCTATGGGGAGGGCACCGGGGAGGCACGTGACTAGAGACAGCTTGCTACAAACTTCAACACCATCGGCTAAATATTGCATCCGAATGCTCCATATGGTGAGTCATTCGAGAGGCTCATGAACGGAGAAAAGTGGAAGGCGGTGTTGAGCATGCCCTTTGCCCTCTAGAGCGAAAGTCGTTGATTTGTTCATGAATACATCCATTTCATTGCACTTGCTACTCCCCTGCATCTGCCGGATCCCCTTGAGGGTCAGTATTATTTCCAAACATGCCGCTAAAGAAATTCGTGATCGTCTCACCGTTCCCAAACGGGCTTGGGATAGGCACCCCCAACAGTGCCGCCGTCGTAACCGGAAAGATGATCTTCAGCGCTCCAAAAAGATATTTACTCGTGCCCTTCATCTTGCTCTTCTTCTTCGAGCCATCACCTCCAGTACCATCGGCGCCTCCACCACCCCCATCCTCCGCCAGCACGGGCGACTGCGAAAGCTCCGCAATCTTCCGCTCAAGCAACTCCCTCTCCTCGAGCCTGATTTTCCCCTCATTAGCTCGGACGAGCGCGACGGCCTGATCGAAGCTGAGTTCTCGCACCTTGGCCTGTCGCTCCATTTCGAGTTGCATTTCGCGGATGCGCGCCTCGAAGTCGTTTTCCATGCGCCGCTTTTCCGCCCGCCGGTCGTAGCGTAGCTGCTCCTGCTGCCGGTGCACCTTGGAGAGCTCCTTGTCGAGCTTCCGCTGCTGCTCGTCGAGGATGTGCTGCATTTCCTCGTCGTGGTCTTTGAGAGCTTCTTGCATTTCCTGCTGGATCTTGGAAAGCTCTTCGGCGTGCTTTTCGGCGAGGCGGACGAGTTCTTCGTTGACAGTCTGGCCGGCGGCGGTGTCGATGAGGGATTTGTCTTCTTCGACGAGCTCGCGCTGGATCTTCAGCGTCACGGGAGCTTTTTGAAGTAAGGTGGAGACGATGTCTAAGGCGGATCTGCGTTCAGTGAGTCGTTTCATCGTCGAGCCTCTTGATATCATGCTGCCCCAGAAATCTGGAGTAGTACGGAGCTCCTCTTCTCGTTTCTCGGCCACATCCCTATTCACTTCGCCCCAGAATGTTGTCGCCAGTATCACATTCTTGAGAGGTTCATTACCGCAAAGTTGTCGAAACATCTTGAGATTCCGCAAGGCTGAGCCTTCCATGCGGACATTGACGAGACTGTGGAGATAAATAACACCATTAAGCCGGGTATCTCCTTCGTATGACTGTTTCAGCCATGTCGCAATGTCCTGGAGTACTTCGGTCTCGCTCTTGTTGGTGTCGTTGAATCCCGGGGTATCCACTAAATTTATGTTGTATCCATTGTAATGGAAAGTGTAACCCATTATCTCGGAAGTGCCTGCAGACGTCAGAAACCTTGATCGCAGAACCCATAGAGTCTCGTATGCTTACAGGACTGGAGATCATGGCCCACTTCAATATTCTGATTACCGCTAACAAGCTTGATAAAGCTGCTCTTTCCCGACCCAGTCACCCCCATCACAGCAATGAATGCCCATGGAGCACCGTCTACGGGCTCCTGGCTGAAGAACTGGTCTGCTGGTAGTATCATGTTTGACGCCGTTCTTGATGTGGTCGAAGACGGATAGTCTCGCCCAATATTTAATAGACTACGCTGCGCCTCACCAAGCACCACAGTGGCTATGCCGTGGAAGTTTCACGTATGTTGCGAGGCGTGACTGTCGTCCCCTCGTGATTGAGGCTGATAATTGACATCGGGCCAGGCTGTCACAAGGCAACAAGGCGCCGAGACTGGAGATGTGACAGTTTGCTATCGTGCATTGCATTGCAGCCAATAGCTTCGCATTAGCACCGAGGCTATGCATGGCCAGCCTGGCGAGTCATGCACTTCGCCATGAGGCGCGCCCGGGGCCAAAAGACGCCCTTTTAGTGCTCCGGTCTGCTAGGCTAGCAGCAGTGGTGTGCGAGTGCTGCCGGGCCCAGATCGATTGGGCTGGATTTCAAGAGAGCGCTAGCAGTTACGCCAGGCATTCAATGCCAAGAAGTAAAACAATAAACACTGTGTAAGAGAAACCATGCTAATGTTTCCACCCAGGCGGCTCACCCATCCAACAGATTGCCTTTTTGAGTACGCTGCGTACCTCGTAATCGCCGTCGTCATTTCCACGACTGACCACAGCAGGATGCGTGACAACCAAGATAGGGAGTCCATCTAATCGCGCTGGGTTGTCGTTCAAGTGCTTGTTGTGAAGCTGATGAGCTTCAAGCAGCGAGTGATCGTGCTTGAACACCTTTGGCAATTCTTCCTTAAACCTGTACTCAAGGTCCCGCTTTTGTACCCATAGAGAGAAAGATATCTGTGCTGCCCGCTTGGCAAATGAATGGAGGAGCTTCTCCGCAGCATCGCACCGAGGGCTCGCCATCAAGGGCTCGATGCCCGTCTGAAGGAATTCATCGCATACTACGACAGCGGCGTTATCTCGCGCTTCCTCAGTCCTCTTGTTTGTGTCTGCAACGGCCTTGGGGGCCTTCCGACTTGAATTCGACGGAGGAGCGAGCAGTCTCAATGTTTGAGCCCGCCACGCAAATGCGTCTTTTTCATCGACTGTCCATTCATTAGCATTACATCTACCTGCGTAGAAGCAGGCCAACGGGGCGTTTACCTTCTCGAAGCTCGTCGTAAAGCGTACTGAACGCTGCATCAATGTTCGCGCTTCTGGCATCATCGTTCTTGGCAGGCTTCACATTACAGAGTCTCTCGCCAATGAAGAAGAAGGGCTCTTCGAAGATTTCCGTATAGAGCTTGTGAAGAAGCCGCGCCTGCAAGAGCATCCATGCTCGATCGTCTCCCACTCGAGAGGGAACTTTGTCGTTTTCAAGTCTAACCACGCAGTTCAGGCAGTCCATCAGTTTTGCCCTTTCGTCTCTGGTAGTCTCGATTTTAGACACTAAGGGGACTGCATAGGTCTTTGCCCAAGCCTTGATATCGAAGTCCAGACCCTTCAATTTACGGCTGATGTCTTCGTTGGACTCCGGCATCCACTCCGCAGAGTCAATTTGACGAAATGCTCTCTCCTGCACCCTTCGAAACTTCTCTGCCTGTTGCTCCTGCTGGTCGGCCATTTGATTCATTTCCGAGCGAGCGAGCTCGAATTCGCGCTTCCAAGTTTGGGCTTCTTTGTTATACGTCACAGCTTGACTCTTCCATGCCTGAGCATCCTTGGATGTTTCGTTCAGGCGCCGTTTTAATTCTTTGATAGTTCCCTCGTAATCGGGCTTGATCACTCGTCTCGGATCGTACCAGCTCGTCCCTTGGTCGTGTGACGCTGCTGCCATCGAAGCTGTTTGAGCTTCTCTATCAACATCGCCCGTTAACTTTGAAGCATCTCCCGTTTTCGATAATTCGGACTTCGGCGGTGGTCTTGGCGAAGATGTGGAGATATTTGAAGTACTCGAAGTTCTATTAGGCACACCGGAGGCAACATTTTGAGAAGGCGCTGGTTTCGACACCTTTCCTGAATTTGGCCTCGATGAGCTTACAGATTTGAACTGCACATTGGCGTCTATAGATGCAGAGTTGGTCCGAGATACGGTTTTGATTGATTCCTTGGGCGCAATCTGAAATTGCATGAGCAGTATTAGACGTGTACAACTTGAGCATCTTACTTTATAGATCTCATCATCTTCATGTGTTTCCTCTATTTTTGAGTTCGGTGTTTCCTAGCAAATGATGTCAGACTCCATCTCATTAAGGTAGTGATATGGGAAAAAGTGTATAGTTGATCGGACCCTGGCAGTCGGCATCCCCGATTAACGTGATACAACGATCAAGAAAATGAAGCTTGTTCATAGCATAGAGCATGTTACTTACCTCTTTTCCATTTTCTGCTTTTTCACCAGACATTTTGGCTTCTGCATCCATCAACAGTGTCAATTCTCAAGCCGCAAACTCGCCGAACTCCAAAGCCCTTCAGTCTGTCAATATTCGGCCTGTAATTGGGCCAGAGAGTAGGTGAATTTATGAAGCAGATGACACTCAAAGATCCAAGGGTATATAGGCTGCTTATATTTTCGAGGTCAGCTGCGGAGCCCGTGCGATCAATGTTAATGATCGCCGGAGCGTGACGAGCTGGACTTGTGAGGTACAATTACGAACGAGGCTCAATAGAAAGGTGGAACATTGAACGGTGCGCTGCGCCCGCTGCTGCGGAATGTTATCTGTAAGGGCATATATGGCACGATAGCCTGCTCCCGGTGGACTCGAGACGCCTGCGCCGGCTGTCAAACTGCATGAATGCTGTGTCGCTAGTACCCAGGTGGCTGGGGCGAACGTCGGCGTTCACAAGGCTGAGATTGTGACTTCGGCTGCTCATGCAGCATGCAATGAACCCAAAACGGACGACGGGCGCATATTGCAACTTCATCGTGCAGACAGGCTGCATCGCCGTCCAATGGAAATTTACTCGATGGCCCCGAGGTTTCCTTGGTGTTTCTGGTGGAGGCGGAGCTGGTTGGGACGTGGTCGCTTTGCAGTAGCGAGTCCGACCGCGCCAGGGTTCCAGACTTGTGTTATCCAGGCGACACCCTCGGGCACGCCTGGCGATGGCCTAGTGATTCATCGAGGCTGACATCCTAGGCGTGCACAAGTTTGTCCTTTGTCCGAAGGGCGTTGGGAAAGACTTATCTGATCCTTTCCCTCTCGCGCGACCAGTGGCTGTGAAGGAGCATTCGAGAGTTTTACGAGGCCACTATCGATGGCAGACCTATATGAGAATCCGTGGGAAAGGCGAACGACCGTTCGAAGGGCGCCACCGGGACCATGGAATGGTGGTTCACTGCTTTCAGCCTTATCCTTGACAGACAGCAGCCATCGAATAATCATCGGAGTCGATTATGGGACAACTTACACAGGTAAGGGTCTCAGAGCTCAACACCAGCGGCGCGTGCCCGATTCTGACAATTCGCAAAGGCATCAGTTATGTCGACTCCTCTAAAACTAGTATCAACGATATCCACGTCATTAGAACCTATCCGGGCCCAGGTGGTGCAGACGCTGTATGGAAGACACCGTCGCGTATTGCCTACCGGAGCGAAAATCAAGAGTCCAACGCCAACCAATTCGGGTATCAAGTTACTCCAAAGATGACCAGCTATAGTTGGACAAAGTTGCTGCTCGACTCCAGGACCCCAGCAACGGCGCATGATGATCCGGATCTGCAGAAGTCAGAAGGCGCGGGTATGCTCCGACTCCCTCGAGGGAAAACGGCCACAGAGGTAGCTGCCGATTATCTGCGAGAGGTATACCGATGGACAGTCACAGAGCTTGAAAAACGCATCTCTCCAGAGGTGGTTCGCGAGACCCCGTTCGAATTCTGGTTCACGGTGCCTGCAATCTGGAGTGATGCCGCGAAGGCTTCGACTCAAGCTGCTGCACGCGCTGCAGGGTTTGCCTCGAGACCAGGAGATAAAATCTTTCTGATACCGGAACCCGAGGCAGCTGGCGTATCCGTTTTGAAAGGTCTGACTCAAGAAGGACTATCAAACCAGGCAAAGCCCGGCGACGGGCTCTTGATATGCGATTGTGGCGGAGGCACTGTCGATATAACCACTTACAAGATCACCAGCGTTGCACCGAAATTGACTTTCGAGGAACTGGTTGAGGGAGCCGGTGGCAAGTGTGGTTCCACTTATATCGATCGTCAATTCCATCAATGGATGTCTCGGAAGTTTGGTGCCAGTTTCGATAATTTGAAGTTCGAGAAGAAAGGCCCAGGCAGCCGATTCATGAAGGATTTCGAGGGTCACAAGAAGGATTTTGGATCTTCCGACGACCTCGACCAAGTGTATGAGATCAACCTGGTGATGCCCGGCGTAAGCTACTCAATCGTATACGATGACGATGAATGTGTAGTTAAACTTACTGGGTACGAGATCATGCCCAACCTCTATCGGCAATACGTTAACAAGGGTCTAGGCGAGACATGCTCAGCTTTTTTGAGCCGGTGGTGAACAAGATCATCAGTCTTCTGGAGCAGCAGATGCGACTGGCAAACCAGGCCGCAGGAAACTGCACGATTAATGTCGGTTCTCACCTCACGATATGATAAGCTTCTTGCTGACATGACTTGTAGCGAGTTATCCTAGTCGGTGGTTTTGGAGACTCCCCCTATCTCAACACCAAGGTTCGGGCGTGGTGTAATAGCCGAGGAAGCGTAAGGCTCTTATGTCCAGAGCATCCGTAAGTGTCTTTCGAACTACAAGTAGCCCCGTCATGCTAAGTCCAAACAGTCAAGCAGCCATCGTTCGAGGCGCTGCATTGCGCGGTCTTTTAGACATTGCACCGATCCGGAAGCGATGCCGTCGTCATTACGGCGTCGCATATAGCGCTACGTTTCGAGAAGGCATCGATCCTGAGACCGACGTAAAGTACGATTCGTGGGATGGACGAAAGCAATGCAACTCGAGAATGGATTGGCAAGTCAAAAAGGTTTGTCGAAATTCTCCAGAAGAAAAACCAGCCACTCACAAGAGTCCCAGGGACAAGTCATCGATGAAAACACCCATATCTCCACAAGCGTACGGAGAAGTTACACAGCAGGCGATTCGTTAATTCGGACCAAGACGTTGTATTCCAGCTCCTTTGAAGTCCCTCCAGAGAGGAAGACAGACCCTGGTAAGTCAAATTTTGCTTGACGTATGAAAGCATGGTGTTAATAGCAGTTTAGGCGTAGAAGTGGTCGGAACGATCCGGCATGTCATGCAACAATCACACTTGGCAAAGTTCGAATCGAGTTACAAAAATGGAAAGTTGAGGTACAGGCTCTGTTATGACAGAGAAGTAATACTAGGTTCAAAGGAAGGGACATTACAGTTTAGGGTGACTTGTGACGGAGAGGAGCTCGGAACCGCGTCTATCGAATATGCGAAGGACGAGGCTGCTCCAGGGGGAGGGTCACCAGCGTCTGTGGCCTCAGCGATGCAATATGTGTGATACCCATGAATTTTAATCATTTTCAAGTCCTGTAGCGCGACGCGTTTGCTTAAGGTTGATGGTGGTGTTGCTCAAAGCTGACAGGCACCTGAAGGGGGACATGATGGCCAAGTGGTCAGAATTGACGCACGGAGCAATACAGGCGGCGATTTGGCTGGTGTACGATGGGTGGTGGGACTGGAGATGCGTCGGAGCAAACTTTAGAACTACGGAAGACCGGGAGCATAAGATATTCTATGGTGGACTAGGAAAACCAGAGGGCCACTCAACGTCACGTCCTCGGCTGACTTTTTGATGAACTTCATCCACGCACAAAAGCGTTTCCTCAAAGACTTTTATATACCCAGTGTGTAATATCTTGTTCTTCCAAAAAACTTCCAGACTCAACTTGGTGATACTGCATCAGTCACGTGAGCTAGCCTGACTACAGCTCCTCCAGGCATTCAACTAGTACCGCAGTTGGCCAGGATAAGATCTCAAGGCTGAAAGACAAACCTCAGGCGTTTTTAGTCTTAGCTACTCACGATTCTACGAACATTTCATCTATCCATGTGAAGAAAGAACTCGAATCTTTGAGCTTCACCCTGCAAGAGAAGAAATGATTGGCCCAGCGTACACGTATGCAACTGAACATACCTTTGTATCGACGTCCGAAACGTCCGGAGAGGGCGAAAAGGGCGAAGAGGGCTGCGTGGAACTCTTTCTGGCCCCCAGCCACACCTTCTCGAGTACTTAAACCTCGCCAGATCCTATTTTTAGCATCTCTCGCCCTTCTCTCGCCCACTCTCACTTGCTTCTCCACCTCGGACTCCTCATCGTCCAATCCCCACGTACATAAGCAGCCCTCCACCTACGTCATCAGCTGGCCCTCCAGTATATGAACTGCGTTACGCCCACTCAAACCAGTTTAGCTTCTTCCCCATCCTGCTTAGCCTTCACTTCGACCACTTCCTTCCAGGCTCCCGCCCAACATGACCAGTCAGTCAACTGCGGTCTAACTCTTATATCCTTGCAACATCCCTGTCTGTACCCTTGTACGCCTTCTTGTCCCGCGCGAGTTGGGTTCATAAATCCTGGGTGCACCGCCACTTTGCACTGCCACACTATCCATCTCCAGGCGGACCGGTCAAGAGCCAATCACATAATTAGTCGCTGGCCGCCAACCACATCGCAGCTGCTCCGCCGCCCTTTTGACCCTCGCAAAAATGGACTTCGCTACTGGTTGGGATGGTCTCACGACCGATGATTCGATGTACAGCCTGAATTCTTCACAGTACTCTTCTGGTTAGAACTTCTGCACGCTTTAGAAGAGTGTACCAGACTTACAGCCCCGTAGCAGCGTTCTCAGCAGCTCTAGAAGCTCTTCCTCTAGAGCCAAATGGATCGCCCTTCGTAGTCCCTCCAGATTCGACATTCAGCTATCCTACTTTTTCCTTTCCAGTCAATGATCTTTCTTGCATACCCGTCACACCTCCAGCAACCTCGCGAGCATCACCCAGCCCCACCGTCTCGAGTTCCCACTCGCGGAAGCGTGACTCGGTATTGGAAGAGAGCAACGCTGTAAAACGGGTCAAGACCTTTTCCTTTCCTCTCAGCGAACCAGCTACAGTCCTCTGTGAGGCCTGGCTGGAGAGCTACCCCTCCATATTTCCAAAGGCAAAGCACATCCGCGCACTGACAGACCTCACCGATGAATCCGGAAAGAACATCGAGCAATGGCTCAGCCAACGGATGCGGCAGAGCCCTGCGCAGGCTTGTAGAGACGTGCATCCAAACCGCAATCTACCTCTGATGCGGACACCTCCAAGCTACGAGCCAAGCCACACACCATCCGTGTCTCTACCACCCTATTCTCCCGTGCCCGCGGGACTATCATCACCTCGAATAGAAACTAGGCCAGCTCCCGACCTTCCGACTCTCCGCACTGCAGCACTGAAAGAAGCATCCCACGCTCTCTCCTCCTCAAGCACTTCAACAGGGCGCCACTGCGTCCCAGCCACCTCTCCTGACCTCCTCACCCGCGACGCCTCCAAGCCATTCCAATGCACCCACAAATGCGGCGCATGCTTCGCCCAGCGCGACGACTGGCGCAAGCACGAGGGGCGGCGGGCCCCACAAGAAGGCTGGCTATGCCTCGTACCCTCCTGCAAGCCCTCCACCGCCAGAGATTTCTGCAAAAAAGAGGCTGCGGAATGCGAGAAAGGCGACGACATCAGCAGAGCTAAAGATGTGCTATGCGGTCGTGCTTCATATCGCCGACAGCACTTCCGGCAGCATTTCAAGCGCTTGCATCCTCGTCTTGCACCGCAGATGAGCGAGTATGAGGAGCTGGGGTATTTTAAGGCGGAGCGGGAGTTTGAGGAGCGATGTGGCTTTTGTAGTACGAGGGTAAGAGGCTGGAGGGAGTGGGTGGCGCATGTTGGGAAGCATTTCCAGGAAGGGGCGGAGGTGAGGACGTGGCGGGAGGGCGGGAAGGGCGGGAAGGGCGGGGGGGGGGGGGGATAGGGGAGTGTGACTAGGAGCCCGGTCGACAGTTGTATGTAACTGACTGATATGACTTCTGAAGCACAGCTTATAAGGATAGTGAAAAAGAATCGTTCCATTCTCGCTTTAGCTCTTTCTATATCCAACTCTCCCATTTACAGTTTTGGTTAAAGCACGGGCTGCGGATGATAATTCCGTTGAAGTTGCGATGCTGCCGCTAGACTATCTTGTCAAGGATGAGTGTATTTGTGGATACAATGATAAGGGGTAAGAGGAATCGACCCCTGAAAGTAAGACAAGAAGAAGCAGATGCCTGATTTGGCTGCTAGAAACATGGTATCAATGAGAGGTAGATGAGAGATGTGTCGATGCAAATTATAAAAATAAGGCGAGCCCTGGTGAAGACTTTTGAGAAAGAAGCAAATAAGCCAAGATACAAAGGCTGAGAAAAGGGAACAGTCGTAAACCTATCTAGGATGATGATATAGAGGGTCGTGCGACACGCAGAGCAATGCGATATACAGAGAAACGCTTGTTGCTTAGCATATAGCTTCTTGACCCAAAAGGAAACATCGAAGTCATACTTCGTAGTAATGCTGAGGGTACTTGTTCAAGGAACAGTCACAAGAATGCCATCGGCAAAGAAAGTTCAATTAGGGATGGGCGGGTCCACTCGAGTCGACACCTTCCCACTTGTGGTCCCAGCCATGGGCATCGTTTGCTCCACCGACTGTCTCCCCTTTTTCTATTATGCCACGAATATCGCTCCAGTATTCTAGAGCCTTACACTCATCATCGGCGGCTTTCACGGCCTTGAGGAGGTTGTCGATCCGTCGTCCTTCGACTTCATCTTCCGGCTTTTCGTGTTGCTTGTGCTCTTCTCGGTGGGCACTTGCTGCATCGAAGGTACGCATGAGACTGGTAAGGAGCTGGCGTCGGGAATTTTGGAATATGAGCATCGACATGATTGCGGGCATCTGAAAAAATGATTAGTAAATCAGATAGACTAGATTAGGTTATGAAAACGAACATTCTCTGCTAAGTAAATGAGGTCCTCCCCGGAATCGTTGATGAATCTCTTGACGGCCACAATCTTTTCTCGGTCAATCGGTGCCTTCTTAAGGGTGCTCATGAGAGTTGGCATGTCTCGAATCTCTTCGTCTACGGACTCTTCGATTGGAGTCCCCCTAGCATCCAAGCTCGTAGGTCTTCCGGTGGTCGTCCGAGCCAAGGTGGTTCCGATGCTGAATGTGTCTCCAAATAGCCGCTCCCGGTTGTCCTTCGTCTTGGGAGGGAGCTTTCGCTTCACGCGCTTCCTCAGCCATCGTCTCCTACGCACGAAAGAATGGAACCACGGGTGATTGCCATGCCAGGCGAACTTCCGGAAGTAGAACGAGTATTGCCAGCCCTCTTCATCGACATCGTGCGACATGTCGACGTACCAGGTCTTCCATTCCCATGTCCAGCTCGGATCAGGCACTTGAGCGTTTGTAATATTCACGACGCTGGGTTCGAATCGGCTGTTCACCCAGGGACTTTGGTCTATTCGGAGGTTCCCAAGAGCTTTGGAAGAGAAGAGGGGTATGCCGAAGATGAACCACCCGCGTTGATTCTCATAGAGAATGTCGACGTGAGACTGCTCCGCTGAAAGCTCCTCTGGCTCTGGCTGTGGCTGCTCTTCTCGCTCGTCTTCGGTGTGATCGACCAGGCTAATTACTGCTTCTGCCATGGTGGTGTTGTATAGGGAGTGTTGGCAGGTTCAAGAAGGGTACGTGGGCCAGGAAGTCCGTTTATTACTTCTGTAGGAAATGCATGGGTAAGGATCTACGATGAGTGGAGTCAGGACTTTATCAACATGCACAGCTAGAAGAATTGGAAAATAGGAGGCCTACGATGGGTGGAGTATGTCACCTCAGCGGTTGGGAAGTCTGTTCAGAGACGGCATGGAGGATGCGTACTCTTGCCTCCTCGAACTGCTAGAGCTGCAGTCGTTCCCCGGGCCGATGCGTGCAGGACCGCAGTAGCGGTGATGGTGGTGTCTTGGTGTTGAAGAGCTGCCGTGAGGCTAGAACAGTGAGTGGGCCCGTGGCTGTCTCCTAGCGTGATGCGGAGATGCTGTCGCAACTACGTCACTGGCTCCAGCTCCCATGCCGCCTTGTCCTGGCAGTTCGTCGCAAGTACAAACACCTGATCTCTTCCGCCCTTCTTCCTTCCACATACCCGCGAGATCCTCCAATCGACTCACTCCCCTCCATAAACCGCTTCTATCTACAAAATTTCAACAATGGCTGGACGCAAGGCATTTACCTTCATCGGTCTCCCCGCGGCGGGTGTCGGCGCATACTACCTGTACAATGCCGGTGGAAGCCCAAAGGTTGCCGAGAAGCAGTTCGAAGGTTTGTCTCCTCAAAGACATCCATCTACCTGTGCAGCTGTATTGACTCCCTCCAGCTGATGCTGCGCAACTCTCATCGAAAGTGAGGAGCGAGCTACCTGGCAAGGAGAAGGAGGCAAAGACCTCGGCCAAGCTATATGCCCAAGAAGCCGGCGAGAAGGTTGACAAGGCAGTACGTTAAGGCCTCGTTCTTGTCTCGCCAGTCGCTGGAGGTTCATTGTTGACACTATTGCCAGGCCGATGATGCGAAAGCTGCGACCAACAAGGTTGACGCTAAGCTTGAGAGCTACCGTGCGAGCGCCGAGAAGAAGCTCGATGAGAGCAGGAGAGAGACAGGCGCGAAGCTGACATCGGCTGTGGACACATTCGATAAGACCGTCGAGAAGAAGGCATCGGAGACGAAGGGCTGGCTCGGTGGCTGGTTCGGTGGCAAGTAGGGGTCGACACAGTCTGTTACGATGCATGTGCGAGCTGGTTATGAAAATCGAGCGCCGATGTGTAATGCTATGACTGAAGAGCACATTCCCGTTTGACTCTTTTTCTTCTACTTCCTCCAGTACATATCAACTCTACTCTGCGCTACGTCCACTACGGCATTCTTCCGCTGCTGATTTGCTGAGAGCTTTATTCACCAATGCTAGGTTCGCGCACAATCTCTTACACCATATGTGTGGCTTGTCTCGGTGTTTCCATTGTATCTGTAAAACCTCAATACATCTCCTGCGCTACTCAAACGTAGGAGCGGCTGTCAGAGGCTCCCATGATCAAGCAGCCTCGCCTCGTCAGACAAGCACCGGGGGATAATACCTGTCCAACGAGAACTCCCATCCACTGGTGTTTCACGTTTGCCTATAGCGATCTTTCATATTGCAAATCATTTGGGTGCAAGAGGCCAATCATTTGCTTTTCCGCAGTCGGAACGAATATCAGTCATAACTCCTTGGTTCTAGAGCTACATACTATCGGCAACTGCTTTAGATAACTTAGCCCACTCATTGGCAAACCCATAGACATTTGGCCCTTAAGGTTAGGGTAAATCCTATACGACCTGGCGCGTGCCAGTGACAAAAGTCTATGTCTGGGGCGCTTCGACACATTATCGAACGTCTGCATGAGATGTGAATTGCAAGAGAGAGTGAATCAGATGATATCACAAACTTACGATCGACTCATTCCGACGAATGTTTAGACAACTTCATCACATTGTCGTAAAATAGAGCAGATGGAAGCAACGTGAAGGTGAATGAAGCAACTGATCTTCAACCACGTACAGGGTCGGTCCGTTCAAATAGACCTGTGTTACAATCATCGCCCTACCACTCTCTTGACATGCCCATATTTTCTTTGCGTTGCAGAAACGTTCGTAGTGATTGAAATGATTGGTTGTGAACGCGCGAATAATTCAATTTCGCTAGTCAGGTTAGCGTGTCGCGTCGCGTGTATTCTAAAGCCTCCTAAACTTCAAGCTTCTCCCCTCTCCCCACCATCCATCATCACGCCCATCATCTCTCCACACCCATTGCTCTATTATCCTCTCCGCAAGTATCCTATCCTGCTATAATTACAAAGGGATACATTACTATTCCGCAATGGCCGCCCACGGCATGCTCACCCCCCCGATGGATCTCCCAGTCGAACTCAACGATCTCGTCACGCTGCACTCCTCCTTTCTCACTGCGGTCTCACTCCACTATGCGCACAACGGCAATGCTTCTCCCGTCGACCTGCGCGCCCTGGCTCCCTCGATATCCTCCATCTGGGGCCGGCGACGCGTGACCCTCGACGACATCAAACTCTGCCTCGGAATCCTAAGCGCCGGCGCACCTCATGAGTCCCTATTCCGCCTCTCCGACTACGGCTACGGCAAGATCTGCCTCGAATTGGCCGAGCATATCCAGAGCCGTGGGATAATGGCACGACATATTGAGGAGGAGAAGCTGAACGCGGCTTTCATGCAAGCGCTAGAGGGATTGTGGACCACATGGGTGGAGAAGCAAATGCAGGCGCTGGAGATGCAGAAGCGCGCTCTATTCCTGCAATCTCAACCTCGGAAACGCGGTCGCCCAAGGAAGGCGGTCGCAGAACAGCTTCTCGCCAACCCCAATGTTCTGACTGAAGCCCCCACCGTCGACGCGTTCATCTCGCGACTCCCGCTGGCCGAAATCACTGTTTGCGAATCATTAAGCAAAACTCTACCTCTCCGCGAAAAGGGCCGAAAGCGCCTACAAGAAATCACCGACGCCGCAGATGACGCGCGCGCGCAGAAGAAAACACGCGTCGCGATCGCGGTTCCGAGATCGCTGAAGAACCAGAGCACACCCGAGCCCGTGGAACAGACCCAGGCGAAAATTACATCGTTCACGCCGATCCGCAGGGCCAATCTCCTTGATCGCATTCTCGCGAAGCAAGCAGCGCAGGCCCTTCTCCCGGATGCGCCAACTCCTGCCGAAATGGCCCGCAAAGCGGCTCTGGGCCGCGCTGAAGAAGTCTTAGGCGTGCTATCTATGCTCGTCGCAGCTCGAGGAGGCGGACAACGGTGTTCGTTCACGATGGCAGCACTGGTCCAAACACTACAAGGAAGCGTGAGGAGCCCGATCAGCAGAGAAGAGGCGTCGAAAGTGGTGGAGGTTATTGCAACAGAAGTCGCACCTAGCTATGTGGCGCTGATCCGGATGGGCACGATGTGCAACGTTGTCGTCAACCCAATGTACAGGCCTTTGGATCTGAGAGGGAACCTTAGGAGCCTCGGTGTTGAGTGCTAGGAGATTTCTTGTTCGAAGGAGCATATATGTGCTTTATTGGTGGATGCATTGTGGGTATTGCTGGTTGGCGTTTGCATAGCGGAGTACAGCGAGCGTGATAGTTTACGCATTGCAGTACTTTTACTCGAATTTATCTGTTCTATTAAACTTGTTGTTCTCGTGAAAACCAATGTGCCTACCTACAGTGCCTTGCCAGAGATATCCGTACACTTCCCTGCAATCGTTTGTGGAGCTTCAACGTACCAACAGAAACCGGGGACAGCGAATACACTTCCAATCTGTGTACAACCTGTGACGTTTTCCGAGGTAGCCTCGTGAGTTTACTAGTTGTCCAAAATGCCAAAATTTCTTATTCGGAATGCTGAAAATACTATGAAGCTCCTCACGCAGTGGTGAACGGGTGTACGGATTTCTATGACGAGGCATTGTACTTCCTCGCCATGTGCTGCTCAGCCTTGGACAGTCTTTTCCTTCTCAATCCCAAACTCTTTTGAACTTAGAGTGGGATGGTCAGAAGGGATTTTAGATCATTTAAATGACGACTCGAAAAGGTCTAACATAGTCGATCAAAAGGGCAATACTGACAACAGATATCGAATCTCTCCATCGCAAGCCAGGACAGATATCTACCTAGTCTTGTGAGGGAGGCCGATACTCTGTCTCAATGATACCAACTCTCACGAAGCCTTTGCCAGGCTTTGGTAGAGACTATGTACCCAACGGAAGGTAAGAGAGGGACTCGTTATGCCTATGGTGGTGGAGATTCTCGTTGTCTTGCAGGTAGCAGTCAAAGGACATACACACGTTCATGTACGTTGGTGTGTCATCAATAGAGTCGAGCAATAGGAAACTTCCACTGGACAAAACGCACTATGTATGTCCTATTCTTGTACACACCTGCAAAAGGGCGTAACGGTGATTTGAGGCCTGTGCTTCGTGGCGTGAGGATCTCCAAAAGCCGTGAGATGTTCTTAACGCCGACTCTACACGGCGCTGACGCGAGCCATGTTTACCATCCGCATTATCACCGCCTCGACGACGCTGGTAGCAGAACATTACCGCGCGGACTCGTCCGATTATTCCCCATCCGTTAACGGATAATTCGAAGTTTAGTTTCTTCGCTGGCGGAAGTCATGACGACTGACGGCCTGAAACCATCTAAGCGCAGGAGTTACAGACGACGCTTTAGGCTCGTCCCACTAATGCCCACCACGATTACATGCAGGCGCTCTTAACTCCGCATGTATATCCTTAGAGCTACTTGAAGAGTAAGTGAAGTGTCTGGTGCATGGTGGTGTATATAGACCCCTAGATTCTTCTGCATGGCTGCTCGTCTTCTCCGCATCATAACCCCTCTCCTGTCAAACATAAAACCAACAAGAATACGATCCTCCACCTCTTCTCACATTTCTCAATATCTTCCTCTACCATTCAAAACATACCGCACTATGTCTCGCTACGCTGCCGCACATGCCTCTCCCAATGGAGCCGGTGATGCTCGGCCCACTGCCATCCAGATCCTCGAGGACGAAAACCTCATTGGCAAGCTGCCTGACAAGGTTATGCTCGTTACAGGTATCTCCTCTGGCATTGGAATTGAGACATTGCGTGCGTTCCATGCTACCGGTGCCCACGTCTTCGGCACTGTTCGTAACGTCGCCAAAGGCCAGGCCGTCGTCGACAAGATCCTAGCCAGCAAGATCCCAAGTGGCGGTCCCATCACATTGATCGAAATGAGCCTTGATAACCTCGAGAGCGTGAGGAAAGGGGCGAAAGATATTCTTAGCAAGACCGACAAACTTAACATTGTGGTCAACAATGCCGGTATAATGGCGTGCCCATACGGCAAGACCGTCGACGGCTTCGAGACGCAGTTCGCAACCAATCACCTCGGTCATTTTCTTCTCTTCAACTTGCTGAAGGACACTCTGCTCGCCTCTGCGACGCCCGATTTCCCTAGCCGTGTCGTCAGCGTGAGCAGCATCGGCCACCGCGCAGCCAGCGTCCGTCTTGACGACTACAACTTCGAGAAAGAGGGTAGCTACAGTCCCTGGGCCGGTTATGGACAGTCGAAGACAGCAAACATATGGCTCGCAAACTACATTGACCGCCATTACGGACCGCAAAACTTGCACGCCACGTCGTTGCACCCAGGAGGCATCAACACGGGGTTGCAGGTTCATCAACAGGAACTCGTCAACTTGATGAAAGACAACCCCGAATGGGTGAGGTCGGTGAAGAGTTCGGAACAGGGAGCTTCGACGAGCGTCTATGCGGCGTTAAGCGAAGAGTGGAAAAACAAGGGAGGAAGGTTCCTGGCGGATTGCGAGGAGCAGCTTGAGGTAGGCAAGAAGCCAACGTCGGCCCAAGCTGCCAGTGCAGCGAAAGGTGCGGGCCATATCCCCAATGATGATGGGTACAAGTCTTGGGCGTATGACAAGGACGGGGAGGAGAGGCTGTGGAAGGACTCGCTCAAGATGGTGGGATTAGAGTAGATATGTGGGGCTTGATATCTATGGAATCTTAGAATAGCTTCCTACACTGCTATGTCATAAATTTCATCACTCCTTACTTCTGCTCTGGTATCCTGATAGACTTTTGAAACTCCAGATACCATGAAAGCTCAACGTAATAGAAATAAAGCTACCATTTGACTGACCGAAGACATGCTAGCTAATGCACTCCATACAGTGGTGTCGAGCGAGCAAGTGTATATCCCAAGCAGTGAAATATCTTTGTACCCAAACTTATGACCTAGTCTAGTACTGTACAATGAAAAGTCTAGTAACCTTCGCCTTCATGATTTGCGCGAGAGGCTCCACACCTGCTGGCTCTTAACTACCTAGCCCTTTCTCTCTCCTGCTCACGTGATTCCCATTTCCCATCCACAGCCCCCATTTCTATCCGTGCGTCGATCTCCTCTTAGTAAACGCACAGACAGGAATAGGGAAACCACTCACTCAGTGCTCGACACTTTTCTCATCCATGCCAAGTCTTTCCCAAGTGAGTCTCCAGCAGCAAAATCCTTTCTCGTCGCTTAGAACTACTCGTTCCTATTCTACTTCCAAGTTTCACGACGTCACACCTTACACAACGACCAGATGTAGAACCACCGCTTCATCATACGCTCAAATCCCAAAGCCCACTCATCATATTCTCATGATGGCACCATCTCAACTCAGAGGGCAAGACCTCACCGGCAAAGTCGCCGTCATAACCGGCGCCTCCCGCGGCATCGGCCGCGCTACCGCCGTGAATCTAGCATCCAGAGGCTGCTCTATCCTAGGCACATGCTCGAGCCCGCAAACCATCCACTTCATCGACGTGCTCGAAAATGAGATCGCCTCGTGGTACAAAGCCGCCAACCAATCGCAAAGCTCCAAGATCAGAGGAATCGCCGCCGACATCTTCTCGCCCACGTGCGCGCAGACTATCGCCGACGCGCTGATCCAGCATTTCGACGGTCACGTGGACATCTTTGTTAACAACGCGTCCGATTCTAGTGCGGGGACGCTGGGAGAGCTGACGGTTGAGGAGATCCAGAAGAGTTTGGTGGGGAATGTGCAGACGCCGGTGCTGATCGTGGATGAGCTGGTGAAGAGGAAGATGTTTCGGCCCGAGAGTCGGATCATCTATCTTTCCTCGATTAGGTCGAGGCAGCCGTGGGGAGAGCAGTTGATATATGCGGCTGGGAAGAGCGCGGGCGAATCGCTGTGTAGGACGTGGAGTCAGGCGTTTGGGGGGAGGGATGAGAAGGTTAATTATCAGCCCCATCTCCCAAAGCAGGACTTGCGCTTTGTTTAGATGCTAATTCACTTTAAGTTTGCCTTCATGGCTGGGACGACGGCGAATGCTGTGACGGTCGGCTTGACGCAGACGGACTCGGTGATGATGTGCCCGCCTGATACTTTGGAGGGCTTCAAGCAGGAGTTCATGCCGCTGCAGAGTATTCCCAGATTTGGGCAGCTGGAAGATGTGTCGGTGAGTGTCACATTACTGGCTTAAGCGCTCGAAATCCTTCTATGCATGCTCGATACTGACGGAACACGTCAATCAGGACGTGATAGGGATGCTATGCAGCCGTGATGCCCGATGGATCACGGGCTCGGTCATTAGTGCCAGCGGAGGTGGCATAAAGATCGGTTGAGTTCTTGGAACTAAATCCGACTCTTCTCTTCTCTTCTCGAGTACAACGAAGCGATAACTAACACGAGTATTGATCGCGTGATTCAGGGCGTCGATCATAATGTATTGATACTCCCGATGAAGATTCGAAGGGCCCCTGATCAAATAACTGAGGTGAGCCTGAGCGTAATATCTAGATCCAATCTAGGGTGTCCTCCAAAAACATGCCAAAATCGGTTTCAAATCGCGCGGACTGGCCCACCTTTATACATCTTAAGGCCGCCAAATATACCCTAAATCCATGATCTGATATGGGGCGTCCTCTAATAGTCATCCAAAATCGAGTCGAAATTGTACGGACTGGCTCCCGGTTATACGTCTTGGCACTTCAAACTTTACCTCGATCCCACGGCCTAGTTTAAGGCGTTCTGAAAGCTGCCTTCTTCCTTTGTCTGGTTTAGAACGTCGTGAAATTTATGTTGTTTCGTGCTCCAATATCGGGTGTCCTCCAATAGTATGTCAAAATCAAGCCCAAATCGCACGGACTGGCTCCTCTTTATACATCTCAACACCGCCAAATATACCCTAATTCCGTGGCCTGATATGGGCCGTCCTCCAAAAACATGCTAAAATCGAGTTCAAATTGCACGGACTGGCTTCACATTATACATCTCAACACCGCTAAATATACCCCAAATTCATGATCTGATTTGGAGGGTCCTCCAATAATATGCCAAAGTCGAGTCCAGATCGGACGGACTGGCTCCACTTCATACATCTCAACCATGCCAAGTTGAACCCAGTGCCCTGGTTTGATTTAGGTTGTCAAGCAAATCGCATCTCAAAAGTGACTGAAATCGAGCGTCGGACGGGAAGCAAAAGCCAAATAAGCTAAATCAGGCGGTGCGATGCATCGGATTGACCTACGTTTAAGACATCAGACAAGTGCCCCGGTTGTACATCTCGACGTTCCCTTAGCCCATTGCCCAATTCAACCTCACCCTCATCCCAATACCCATTCCTTCAAACTCCGCCACACCTCACCTACTTCTCAAAATCGCTGCAGAGCGGGAACTTATAATCTACTCCATCATTAGCAATCAATCCACCTACACATCCCCATTCTCCCGACCCAAAAAGTAAGAAAACCACTCACAATCCCCCTCCGGACTCTCCCACAAATCCTCGCTCCTCACGAAGCACCAATCCGTCGTCTCGCTCCAAAACGTCTCATTCGGTGCCGTCGACGCTACTAAACACTGCAGCCAAATCTGCGTTCCGAACTCATACGCCCGTTCCACCGTGCAGTTCAGGTGCGGACAGCTACGGCAATAGGCGTAGTCCTCACAGACGGTCACGTTAATGAGGTAGTTTGCGCTGCGGATTAGTAGGTGGGGGATCTCCGCGGGCTTATCGGTGTCTTCGGGGTCTGTAGGGCTGTCAGGGGAGTCACTTCCACTACGATTCGCGGCGTTGATGAGCTCGAGGAAGGGGATCGGGCCGCAGAAGTCGAGGGCAGAGGTGTTGGCCGGGTGGGCTAGGCCGATTTGGGCGACGTAGCAGTTTTGGGTTGTTTTGAGCCACATTCTGCTTCTAATCAGTGGCAAGCTTGATGGAGGGGAGCGAAGCGAGGTTTTCTTACGGGTCATTAATCACAGTGCTGGTGGAGTCGTTGGTCCAGCATGTTACGGTGATGTCGGTGTTTGGTTTGAGGTAGTGTACCGTGTCGACGCTCGTGGAGGGTGTGATGTTGCATTCGGTGTCGTACTTGATGGTGGCGGATTGGGTGGTGATGTTTTCTTTGATGGGCGAGGGACTGCACGGGGCGAGAGTAGTGCTGTCTGGGAAGGTTTAGCATGTACTTAACATGTACGAGGGTTGCTGGCGTAGGTAGAGCTTGGAAATATTGACTGAACTCACAGCTACCATTATACAGAACCAGATCGTATTGCGTGACGTAGCATCCATCACTCGTACCTAACCATATACTAGACTCTCAAGCTCGTAAGTCTTGCATACTCAGGCCATCATTATTTTGAGGATTTGCGCACGAGTCTCCAGAGATTTCCGTTCCTGTGGTGAAGCATGTCAACGTCACGTTCACGTCGGAGTCATAGTACAATTTGTTGGGACAAAGCACGTATGGGCACGTCTTGCACTCCGTGTTCACTCCATGTTCGACGGTGTTGTTCAGGTATACTTTCGGGACTGTGGAGATAGCGAAATTGAATCTTGATAGAATGAGGATCGAGTGGAAGGAACTATAAAAGCGCATCCTGGGTCTGGCGATGAGCTCGCTTGTAAAATGCTTTAAAGCCTTTGACCGTGGATGGAAAAAAATTCGAGCGAGTGGATGATGGCCTTTGCCTTCGTTGTCGATGATAAAAGCTCAAAGAGCGTCTTCGAACGCAGAAAACATATATCACCCATTGCGTTCTGCTCACTCCACCACAGTGCGCAGAGTTCAATGTAGTGGCACGGTAGCACAAAACGTAATGCAGAATAGAGAGTGGCACAGGGGCCCGAGTTCGCGTGATGTTGTACCTCATAAGATATATTGGCGTCGGGATCATCCTAGAAAAGGTACCGTACGTGTTTACCGACACACTCAGGGTCAAGGATGAATGTCCAAGTTCAGGCTGAACGTAACCTTGCTGCAGGACCTTGGAAATCAATACATATAGTGCCTTGCCAAAAGTCTGGGCGCAGTTGCTTACCATCATATTAGATAGTTTTACAAGATGCAAAGTCCCTGAAAGCCTAAATCGGAGGAACTCTATTCACGGACAGTCGCCCTACTTGCCGCCGTTGGTAGTGCTTCAGCACCATATCATAGATCGGGACAAGATGAAAAGGACGGCGAGCTCGAACTTGTGCCCTAGTACTGTAGGTATGTATTTGCAGGGAGGCGAAACGAGTGTCACGGCATCGGAACCAGCCGAGAAAGGGGATTCTGTAGCTGGTAGAATCATACTCACAGTCGCATATCCTTTATCAGACCATCGAAACGCTCAAAAGAAATCCCGAACCACTCAACAAGCCTTCTCGGTCCTCGCGCTCCCATTCCCGGCCAATGCTGCCCACGTTGCATAGTCTGCGCTATTCGCCGCCTCAAAATTCACGCCATGATTTCCCTGGTTGGCATGATGATTGAGGCTGGGTGCATGATTGCTCGCACTCACTAGAGCCGTAGTGCTCATCGCCCATCCTATCACTCCGACGCTCGAGTTTGAAGCGAAGGTGGTACCGTCACTGGCGATACAATTTCGACGGAGGAACGTGTGCGTGTAATGGGTACTGTTGATGTAGGTGCCGCTGACGATGGGTGTCACGGCGAACGTGCCGTTAGCTTCAGCGGGGGAACCGTAGGTTCTGTAGTCACGTTGCAACTCAGTATGCCGAATATATTGAATACTGCACAGAGCGCGAGTAAACTTGGTAACTTATGAGGTCTTTCTAAAAGAAGACACGAGCGAAGTTCCACTTGGCCATGCCACAATGAGAAGGCTGTTTATCATCGGGCCAGCTAACGAAACACCTGCGCATCCAGTGCCTTTGCCAACGAGAAGGCTGATGGAGTCAGTGGAGGGCGTTTCGGGAAGCGCGATGCCAAAAGCAAAGCCAGCGGTTTCAGTGTGAGTTTGAAAAGTTATGCCGGATTTCGAATCGGTGTATGATGAAGACTGCTGGGCGGATGCACCAAGGGCAAGCGCGCGAAGTAATATGGTGGACAGCTTCATATTTGCAGAGAAATATAGACAAGTATGGGGCATCGGTAGGGGGGAGGGAGATATTGTCTGGCTTTTGCAAGAGTGTGAGGTGATATAAATTTTGGCTTTTGCTCAGGTATCGCGCCTTCTTCTCATTCTTTCACGCCATTGCGCTCCCCTACCGATGACAAGTTTGCTAGAGCACTTCGGCTTCATTGTAATGAGCACTCAGGAGACATTCAATGTACCCAGAAGCTGATAGATGAGAATGAGGTTTTAGCGCAAACCTCATTGGACATACCCGATGGGTACCTAGGCATAGATATCGGCATATGAGCAGATTCGACGGGTTCATACCTCCTACCAGGCGCAAATAGTGCATGGAAAGCATACATTGCTCGATTTTCATGTTGATTGTTTCTGAAGCATCGCGAAACAAAATGACGTTGTGTACCAAGCGATTGGTGTCAACTTCGCTGGAATATGAAACGAGGCCTATTCAGCCGATCTTAGCAGACTAGTCATACATACGTTGAACATAATAGCACTTACTAGAAATAGCCGCACGCAGATCTCAACGCATTTGCTTTGGCTTCACATAAGCTGCTCACAGATCGCGACAGTTTCAGACGTCGGAATCTGATTGAGGTAGCTGTTCATGCATGCTAAAGTAACCTGGACAAAAGGTTTGTGCACTCTTGCTTGCCACTGTCAGAGGCACTCCAGCGAATTATTGGAATGCAGAGAGAATGTATAATCCTAGATAGCACGAAGTGGAGCGAGGTTAATAGTTCTCAATGAACCTATCTTGACGTACGTTGGGGTGGATTCGCATATCAGAAGAAATCTAGAGGAGCTTTCACGAAAGAGTCTACAAACTCGTGTCCCAGCACTATTAGTTCATATCTTATGAAGTACGTCATTCAAAAAGGAGCTCATTTTCCACTGAATCGATTTGAAAGCTAAACCCGATCTTCAATGGGGCTTAGAGCCCCAGCGCATCCCCACTTTCGCTCATCATGGACCTACAGCTCGTTTGATGCCTTAAGAATACACTGAAGTACCTCAAACAAGTAGACATTTGCATACGTGCTAATGCCCCGGTACAATGGGAACCACACGGAGCGTCTCGGTCCACTGTCCAAAGCCCTACTGCACTTTCTTCAACTTGCTATCTCCAGTGGGTCCTCCGACACCCATTCCGTACTTGTACACCAGGTTTGCTCCAAGGTACGCTGAAAGACAGACCATAGGCAATGCCACAGCTCCACTAATAACGGTGTTCAGCGGTTCGGGCCTGTAATCGGTAGCAGTGCGCCTCGTCCACGCATTGTACACATTCCCAAAAACAACGAGGTCGTTCAGTGCAGCGTGCGCGATTCCAGTCAAAGCTTTTGAGGTCTTCACTCCATTGCGTTTGATTAGCGGCATCAGCTGTGCAATGCCGGTGACGATGGAGGGAATTGCGGTGATTATAGCGAGTATGTTGGTGTAATATGAGAGGATTGGAATGGTTGCGAGGTAGATGTTGACGTCGGCCTTCTTTAGGGCTGAGAGGATAAGCGGGCCTGTGGTAGAGTTGGTCGCGGCCGCGTAGAAAAGATCGAGGAGGCCACTGAGGACTGTGAAGGTAATGGGGAAGTGGACGGTCGCGGGGTGTGCTGGGTGGCTATAGTGTGTTAGCTGAGTTGAACGTATATATCTGGGAGCGTTGCTTCTCACCCCATCGTTGCGGTCTGATGAAGTCGGTTGAGAAGCTGAAGGAGTAGTATAATATGTCAACTTGTTTGATACAGCGAGTTCAGTTGATGTGAGTAAAAGGAAGAGCGCGATTGGTCCCACATATCTACCGCGTAGCTACCTTTGTACCCTTGCAGATGGACTTGTAATGATGACGGCTGCATCCGGACTGTAACTCTCCCATGGCGCCGGGTGTCAATTTGGAGATATCATTGCATATGAAAGCAGCTAGCAACCGTTCGAGACATGCATTTCGGCGCGAATAGAAAGTGTGACGAGCAGCACCATGTGTCAGATCATCGACGGCGCGATGAAGCAAGAGACGGAGGCTGGCGTGGTGGGGATCGCGCTGCTAACGGGGCCAGTGCCACTACACTGCTGGTAGACTAGACCTCAAATGACGAACCGCATTCTTGATGATTTTCTCCGTACCGTAGGCTTGCTTGCCTCTTGTAAAACATCAATCCATCAATCTTTCTATGGTTCTCAGATACTAGTACAGATCAGGATCCATGAACTGAGAGTGCGGTTCGGTGGACTGGGAGGACGGTCATCAGGAACCTTGAAGGCCGGCCCCCAGCCAAGCAATAGAATACGAAGTAGTGGCTGTGTGGGCTGTGGACTGTGCATGATGACGTCCGCCTCTGGTTCCATCTCTTGCATCTCATCTCATCTTTGGGATATTTTTCCATTATCTCGTTCGCGACATGCCCACAGTGAAGAGTCGAAATGGACCAAGCGAAGGGGTCTCCTGCTCTGGTGGACTGGCATTCTGATGCCTACTGGAAGAACCGTCGGCTTTCGCCCGAGCAGCTTCAAGTCCACGATATTCGCTTGGAGGGATGGCGGGCAGATGTTGGTCCGATGCTTGAGATGAAAGAGGTGTTGCCCTCAACGCTGTTGCCGGACCTGGAGAATCGCGACAGGCTTCTTAATTCTATGCGCCTAGAAGAGGCAACCAAGAACCGGAATGAGCAGACCCAGTTAAAGAGTCTCGCCGCTGAGTATGGATGGATGAACTGTTTGAGAAGCCGTGGTGTTCAGGAAAACCTTTCCGATCCCCCTGATCTTCGGAAACTTCGGTGGATGTGAGTCAAAATGATGGCTTCATCGAATTTTCTTAGCTGACGTCTTTAGTCATATTTCAAGCAAATTTTCTGATTACCTTCATGGGGTACGTTCTTCTTGTAGAGCAATTACTAGAGCAACCTTCTCACGCAACCTTGGAACTGACCATACCCTCAGTGCCTCTTAGCCCTTTCGGACTGGAGCGACGATCCATCTGCTGTTGTTGATTCTCTTCATCAATTGGAACATTCCATCTCTCAAAACGAGCGTTTTTCGAAGCACGGGAGGTATTTTGCGCCATTCTTTCAGGATCTTCGCAGTGGAACTCCAAATGAAAAGAGTCATGAAGATACACCAATGCTTATCAGCGTGCCCTTTTTGGACTGGGCTGTTGAAGGACAGCCACCTCCACTTAGATTTCAAGTGGATCCTCGCGAAGGCTATCAGTCTAGCAAATCAACATCTCATATGCTACGGTCCATATTGCAACATTTCTACCGCCTCGAGGATACTAGCGACCGAGAAAGTCAACAGGTAGGCTTTACATGGCCCTTAACTATGGCTTGTCTTACTCGCTCAGGTTTTTACAAGGCATAAACCATGGATGACTGACCGCGATCTCGACCTCAAGGTCCGCCGTTGGTATGGAAGTTACCCATCCAGCCTCAAGGTCGATGAGCTATGGATCTTGGTTATAGATTCGCGCCACATAGTCACGTTCTCAAGCAACCAAAGCTGGAAGTCTCGATGGCCGCCTCTCCAGCTCGCTTCTAGGATAATGGAAGTATCATTTCGAGGAATCCGGAATTCATTCCTATCCTCGGACAACCAGGATTACACGTCGTCCATCCACGTTATCACCGCCTTGGGTGGTGCTCTAGGCATGTTACATCGAAGCTTTTGGACAGACATCACGCTTTGTCTTTCAGACCGCTATGCCAGCTACCTAGGCCAATTGCAATACCGACTTCATAGAAGTCCGAGCACCAAGCTTGTCATGGATCTTCTCCAAGTCCAGGAAGAACTAAACATCATAATTCAAATCATGGATCAGCAAATCGAGCTGGTCACAGATCTTCAGACTGCATATAACGGAAATACAAAAACGAAACGAGGACAGTCGCGCAGCTCCACCAAACCCTACCGCCATCATGCGAGCGAGTCTTTATCCCATCCAGACAGAGCAACATATAGGCAATATTCCTTCTCTACGCTCACAGACCCAATTTCCCAGCTTTTGGAGAATCTTCAGCGCGAATACGTTGACTTGTGCGATCTTCGCGAAAACAGCAACGCTCTTATCAATCGTACGATTCAGCTAGTCAACATTCGTCTCGAAGATCACGGTAAAGCTATTCTGGTGTTCACCATCGTCACCATAATATTTCTTCCTCTCTCCTTCGTCTCCAGCTTTTTCGGGATGAACTTTTCCGATATACGTAATATGGATAGTACACAGGGCCTTTTTTGGATAACTTCCGGGTCCCTCACAGTCGGTACCGTTGGATTTGCGATATTCCTGGCATTTTATGGCGGTTCTCTCATGGAATGGTTCTTCGGATGGAGAGAAAACAGTCGGCGCCGGGTAAGATCCCCGGACCGTCCCTCCCTACGTCCACTAGAAAGGGGACAGGGAATTTTCAGAAACTTTGAAGTCTTGGATGTTGTTCGACCTGGTCGAAATGGGTTGTTCTAATGTGCCTACTTCTCAACGTGCTCCTTGCACGTGCAGCCTGATCGCATGTTCTGGGTTGTTCCACACCAGGACCACCAAATGGAGCCGTGCTTGCCGCTATGGATACCTCTCTTTTGAAGCCCTTTGTGACACAGAATTAGCCACTCAGCATGCGACAGCGCAAAACTTGCGACAATTTTCTTGTCCCACACGGGTCTGAGTGTTTCAATCTCAGATGCCGACGGGCATCCAAACCAATAGTCATGCGTAGCAAATTCAACCATAGAGTAACGGGTTTGATGTCAGACCTGGGCTTGCTGTGGCTGACTCGAACAGCTAGGCTTTTGACCAAAGACGAGACACAAGTTGCCATGAAGCATAGTTCTCACCCAAACCTTTACAGCTATGCTGCACTGCTTCCAAACCGACTATTGTTTGCGTGAGGATTATTATGGTAAGGATAGTTCTGTCACACACGGTAGCCAGCCGAAAGACAGGTCACAAACAGCTCAACTTTTAAGCTAGACAACCATGTCATGTTGCCTGCACAATCGCCCCAGCACATTCTAGTTGGCCAGACAATCAGGCCGCCGTTTGTCTTAGACCCACCCGGAATTTCTTCCCGGCTCTTGTAATAAGGATATCAGGTCTACCCGTCGCTTCCATACTTTCTTTCCTGTACCATTTGCTTTCGCTAGTCGTCACCGAGATCGATATAGGCTCAACTGATTCGCCCACGGCTTCTCTTGTCGACTCTATCTTAGCAGCATTCCCTGTTCTAGCCATGATCATGGCTTCTAACCCGGTCTTGAAATGGGCTATCATCCGCCAAGGAGGACATGTAGTGCCTCTGATCCCTGCGGATGAACTTCCAACAGAGGTTCAACTCCAAGGCATGCCCCGAGTTTTGACGAAGTCGGAATTATCCGGCCTGAAACTGGAATTCGTCGAGATTGATGCGCCTGTCGTTACGCGTACATATCAGCTCGCGCCTCGTAAGGATTCGACAGTTTCTCCACCAACAATCCCGCAAACGCCTCATGTCTTTCAGGCGCCAGACGCTCTGACGCGTCGCATTGCTGGAAAAGATGTCGAAGAGGTAGCACGGGGAATCGTTATTCAACACAATCAATCTTCATCGTTTCCATTATCTTGGGGCCTTCGCCACTCCGCTGTGGGATCTATGACACGAGAAAGCTGGCGTCCTCAACACCCCAATACCTCTGCCGTCCCAGGCCGCTCTATAAGCGATGCAATAGCAAGTGTCGATCCTGCCATGGCTGAACGGATTGGCTACCTGGGCGCTCGTCCCCCTCCGCCCTCCGGTATTGAGCCCGATTCATCGAAGAAGGTGTATTGTACCTATTGGATTCGGACAGGCGAATGCGACTACATGCAGCAAGGTTGCATCTACAAGCATGAAATGCCCGGCGTGGCCAAGCTCAAGGAACTGGGCTTCAAGGAAGTGCCAAGGTGGTGGAAGGAGAAGAATGCGATCATACCAGGGCAGGGCGTGCTGCGTCCTGCAATCCGAGACCTTTCGTGGATTCGTCGCGGCGGCCGTTCGGCTGGGGCTGGCTCTGACAGTTCGAGCGATGAAAGCGATGGTGCACAGAACGTCCGACCTCGAAGGCCGTCGACATTCGCGACGATTCCCACGATACCAACCGCTACCTTGAAGGCGAAATCTTTGGAACTACGAAAGTCGCCTCTTCTTGAAGACATTCCTGAGTTGACAGCATCTCCCTCGTCTAGTCAAGATGACTCTAGCTCTTCGACCACAAGCTCCATACCCCAGATGCCTCCGATGTCGCAAAATCACCGAGAGGAATCGCAGCGACCAAAGCCATCTTCAAGCTTGGGTGATGTTGATCTCCTATCCCTCGAAGATGAACATAATCAGTCATTGGATGAAACGATATGTCTCATTCCTGATAAACCTCCTCAACAAGCTTCTGGTCGACTTCAACAAATTTCCGATCGCTATGAGAATCATCGTGCATCCCAGCGGACTGCTTCCGGGGAGTCCGGAGTCATAGAGTCGACGGTCAATTCTCCAGCCAGGGCTTTGAAGGCTCGCGTGGCACACCCTAGCACTTCCCGTGCTGGCCGCAATGTACTCACCGAAGCCGCATCACCTCCAAAAATTCTGCCACAGGAAAGGCGTGAGCGACGTTTCAAGATGAAGGAGGTGCCTAGCACTGGACTTTCCACTTCCAAATTTGCCGAGGCCGCTCAGGAGGCCCCAAAGGCAAAGGTTACACTTGCTCCTAACAGTCTCGGCGGCGGCCAGCAAGCACGAGAGCATCTCACCGAAGCTCAACGCAATGCTGTTAGACATCAGCAGATCACTCATCGTGCTCCACCGGAGGCGGCAGATGCACCAACTGGCAGCATGAAACGCCTATCTCCCCCATCCAACTCCGGAGGCCGCAAGAAAGCCACACCCAAAACTGTCACTAAAAAGACGACATTTGTTCCTGCGACAAAATTCCAAACCGCTGCCCTATCTACGAAGCTGACATAGGCTTGTCAGGTAGATTGAAGGTGAAAGATGGACATGGACAGTATTTCGGTATGCAGCTTCTGTCACGACGCTTCTCGTGTTGGGCGCTAAATCAGTCGAGCTGTATGTTGGCAACTTGATATATCTTGGGAGGGTGTATTTTTATCTGGCTTTCCTTTCTCTGCGTACGCTTTCACGACCATGGAGGATAGAGGGTATCGGGATCTCAGTATAGATGTATCTGATGATTGTAGACATTTGGGTTTCGGTTCTATAGACTCAATTCATTTTGCTCTCGCGAATAGCTTTTTCAGTCCTATGCTTTCCTGTAGTGACATGTGTGATTGTACTGTTCATCCTATAGTCAATCAATAGACTTGTATGCTAGAAATGCCCGGTCCAAATGTGATCGTGGAATATCAGGCTTAGTCTACCACACGCTCTTGCTCTTGACTCTGCTCACCTGAAGTCTTGTCCATGAGGGAAACACGGTCCGACAACTCCGCATGCATGATTCATAGCAATCAATGACGAACTCACCGATGACATTTGAAAGCGCGATGCCGCAAGCGGAAGGAGAACTGCCTCGCTCGTGGGCGTCTTTGCGGGGAACGACGATAAGCTCCCTGTCTCTCACAACCACCCTTCATCGACTCCGCCCGCTCGGGTGGCAGCCTGCATCCGACAACCCGGTTCCCAAATCCTTCGTGTCGTCTTGCGAGTTCCAGCAGGCTGCGTCATCGAATTCTCCGATGCTTATAGGCCAGAATACCGCTGCTTTGCTATCAACGCAGGCAACCTTGGCGCCATCATGAATCCATCGCTCACTGCATTCCAATGCAGGACCTACAGGCCGAAGGGCGCAAGTCTTGCCCGCTTCACCCAAGCTCCAGGTACCTAGCTTCGGCTACGTACTTACCTTTCCACGTTACCAACATGGATTGCAGACCTTATCGACGAGACTGTGGGGTGCCGATATAGCGGCGCTGACCGCATGTCAAGGATTTTGCGCCAATTCACCATGATTTGCAAATCCTATTAGAATTAAAGATGAGCATGGGTAACAGTGATCCGAGCTAAGATGAATAGTTCATCCGACGTTTCCTTTGCAGAGACTCAAATACTACAAGAGCAGCGGGTGTCTTTGGGTATCATATTTCTTTTTCGCCAAGTCGCTCACGGAGTATATACTCCCATTCAATATGGGTCCAATCGCTCGGTTCCTCAGTGTCATACTAAGCACCTCATTCACTCATGTCTATGCTGCTTTCTCTTCATCCGGATCCACAGTCTTTGTAAACGACATCGCATACTTCGTTCCGCCAGATGTCGTAGGAACGCTGCCGAGCAAAATCCAGGACTTCACCTCCAGGTTTCACGGTTCGCTAGGACCTGTCCCTATCACTGTCATCACTATTTCAAAACCTGGTTTCCAAGTCTCGGATTTGTCGGCTCTTGCGGCGAATTTTTCCGCTTCCGATGATGTTTTCCAGGATGGGTTTTTAGAAGGTTAGTGAGATCTCACTATCAAAATTGCAGGGCTTCAACATGTTTCACAATTCACTCAACAATCTATGAGCCTCCCTCTTGACCGTAAGACGGTATCCCTAAGCTTGAAAGTGTCAAGCCTATCGTAACTTTACAGTGACTGGCCATGAGTCTGTGCACACGCTTTTACCACTGTTCGGGGCCGCCCCATGGAGTTGTAATGACCTAGGCGCGATGTCAAGCTTCATACAGCGGAATCCGAGCTGCGTCCTGAAAGGTCGGCTTCTTGGCAATGGAGCTATTCCTGACATTGGTAACTGGCTCTCGAAAGTAGCACTCAAGCAGTGGAATCTGTGTGCCCAGACTTGTGGCCTAGTACCGTAGCTTTACCACCTTTGTCCAGACTCCCAAAATGCAGCACATAAAGCAGCGGCAGATATCGAACCTGAGAAATCCGGAGCTGACTATGTATAGCCCTCTACGTTCAATATACTGGCCATGGCAATCCTTCGGCGCCTCAAATCTGCTCCCAAAACGCGGCCAAAGCGGTCATCGCCAGCAGTACACAAAAGCCTATTCCATCAGGCCCTTACTTTGTCACTTCGGCAGGCACATTGCACAGAGCATACAGACTGTACTCTGATTTTGCTGGCGCTTTTACTGAGACTGCCATCTCGAATTCTGAAGGCGTTTTCTCCGTCCTTCCAGCCGGCATTGTTGGTCAATCGCCAGCAGTTGCGGTACCATCTAGGCTCTACTTTACCAAAACTGTAGATAAACCGCTAGCAGGCGTTCGGCTCGGTATTAAAGACATCTACGACATTGCAGGCCTGAAGACTAGCAATGGCAATCGCGCATGGTACGGCCTATATCCACCAGCAAACAAGACGGCCGTCGCAGTGCAGAAGCTGATTGATGCCGGCGCAATCGTTGTTGGAAAAATGAAGACGAGCCAGTTCGCAAATGGCGAGACCGCAACTGCAGATTGGGTTGACTATCACGAGCCATTCAACCCACGTGGTGACGGCTATCAAGACACTTCATCTTCTTCCTCTGGGCCAGGTGCAGGTGAAGGGTCGTATCCGTGGCTTGACATAACACTTGGATCCGACACTGGTGGATCTATCCGCGGCCCTAGTGAGGTTCAAGGCCTGTATGGGAATAGGCCTTCGCATGGACTCGTGGAATTAACTGGGGTTATGCCGCTTGCTCCAGAGCTTGATACTTCCGGACTGCTCACTCGCGATCCCGTTCTCTGGACCGCAGCTGCCAAAGCCTTGTACGGAGACAATATCACCGTGACGTCGAAGTATCCCTCTCAAATACTTACCGTCGAGTTCCCGGAGTCTGCAGACGATATCGCTGATGGCTTGATCCTTGACTTCCTGGCCAATTTGACCGACTTTCTCCAGGCTAACGTGACTGCATTTAACTTCACCACTGCATGGGCCGCCGCCAACCCCTCCGCCGCTGATATTAACGTCATCTTGAACACCACCTACCCCCTACTCATCTCCAAGGAGCAGATAAAGCTGGTTAGGGATCCGTTCTACGCCGACTATGCTGCTGCCCATAATGGACGACGGCCGTTCATCGACCCAACCCCCTTGATCCGATGGAGCTACGGTGACAACTCGTCTGCGACTATTGAAGAGGCTGTGGCCAACAAGACTCAATTCATGGACTGGTTCAATAGCGAAGTGCTTGCTCCAGATGCTGCGACCTGCTCTAGTAGCTTGTTGCTCTACGTCGGCAGCGACGCGTCTACTGTCTACCGCAACGTATATTGGGATTCGCCGGGAGTCCCCTTTGGGTTTTCGAGCGGCAGGATATCGGTCTTCTCTGAGGCGCCGGACTTTGTGGTTCCGAGTCATTTCTCTCCTCTACATGATGACGAACTTTGCTGATAGTGACATTCTTAGTTGGTCAGGCACCGTACAACTCGACTGTAACCCAGCACGTTGAGTATCTCCCGGTAACCGTCGACATGATGGTGGCAAAGGGGTGTGACGGCATGCTGTTTTCGTTGATAGAAGCCTTACTGGCTGCTGGAATTATCCAGGTCGCGAAGACGGGATATAGCGGCATTGATGGTGGAGAGGTCTTGCTCAAACGGAGCTTAGAGTTCGAGCAATGAAGAAGGCCCTCTAAATGATAGCGCGCAGATGCGTGCACCCCATCCAAAAGGTATTACAGAAACCCAAGGACAGAGGAGACCTAATAGATGCCTGCCTTAGAATGGTAGAACCTTCTCTCCGTCTCTCATTTGCTCTAGAGTGCCCCAATAGCATGTGCAAATAGGAGATCGAGACGTAAAAATACGATGTGACTTGACGAATGTATATCTCTACAAGTGCCCTGAAATCCACGTTTCTAGGCAAATCAAATCGCCGGCGCGAATCAAAGGCTCCTTAAGAAGGCAAATCTGATAGTGGAGTTCTTGAAAGAGGCTTACCTCCTGATTCGCCCGTGCACCCAGCCCTGAGGAAAGCCAAGACCACTTACGCGCTAACTAAAAGACGTGCATTGCCCTCCACCTCCATTTCCTTACCTACTTTCACACCCACCACGACTCCCTCGCCGTCACGACGCGTAGTCCCCCACCACCAAGCTCACAGATCCATCACGCCAGCCATCAGAATCACGACCGCGCGTCAATTCTGTCTCTCATCAAGCTTTACCTGTATTGCGTAGAGCCCGTTCGGGCAGTATGGCTCCCTCGCGCAGTCGCAACACGCAGGTGGATTCCACGGATGTCTCAACCGCCGACGTGTCCATGAACGAGGATACCGAGATGACCGACAACCATGCTCCTACCAACGGCGCTACGAAGTTCGGGGTAAGTTCTCCCCTGGTGAAGTCGCGATGTGGCAGGGCGGTCTGCCTTCCGACCGCGTTTACACAAGATATCGGACGAATTATCTCAATAGTTATACTGACTTACAGTTCAATAGTACTACCAGGACACGCCAGATTACACGGTACGCGTCTTTCCACGCCCCTTCCCTCCAACGCGACACGATATTGACGAGTGATGACAGGACTCGGACACCAACCCGAACACCACAGCTAGCAGCATAGCAGGCGATGCGCAGGGCCCGGATGGGCGCAAGCGCCGGTCAGAGGCGTTCCAGATGCGCAAGAACATGTTTGGCAAGAAGCACGACCGCCTCGGCGAATCAAAGGTTAGACTGATCCTTTGAACATGTCGCAAACTCCTCTACAGGTTATACTAACGCGTATCATGGCTCTATAGGATGATGACTCTATTAGACGCTTCCGATACCTACTCGGTCTTACAGACCTCTTCCGACATTTCATCGACTCAAACCCGAACCCCCGGATCAAGGAGATCATGGCGGAAATCGATCGCCAGAACGCCGAGGACGAGGCTAAGGCGAAGAGTAACAAAATCCGGAAGGGCGGCGCTGCGGCAGAGCGACGTAGGCGCACAGAACAGGAAGAAGACGCGGAGCTCATCCGCGAAGAGAAGCGTGGCGGTCATGACGAGACAGTGTTCAGGGAGTCGCCAGGATTTGTTCAAGGCGGAACCATGCGCGACTATCAAGTCCAAGGTCTCAACTGGCTCATCTCTTTGCACGAGAACGGTATCTCTGGTATCCTAGCAGATGAGATGGGTCTTGGAAAGACTTTACAGACGATCTCCTTCCTGGGCTACCTACGGTTTGTCAAGGGCATACACGGTCCCCATCTTGTGGTCGTTCCAAAATCCACCCTGGACAACTGGAAGCGCGAATTCCACCGCTGGACCCCGGATGTCAATGTGCTGGTCCTCCAGGGTGCCAAGGAAGAGCGTCAAGCGCTCATCAACGAGCGACTGATCGACGAGAAGTTCGACGTCTGCATTACGAGCTACGAGATGATACTGCGTGAAAAATCTCATCTCAAGAAATTCGCCTGGGAGTACATAATAATTGATGAGGCTCATCGCATCAAGAACGAAGAATCCTCTCTCGCGCAAATCATCCGCGTTTTCAATTCCCGCAATCGTCTTCTCATCACTGGAACTCCGCTTCAAAACAACCTGCACGAGCTCTGGGCTCTACTCAACTTCCTACTTCCGGATGTTTTCGGTGAATCAGAAGCGTTTGATCAGTGGTTTTCAGGACAGGATGAGGATTCCGATACCGTTGTGCAACAACTTCACAAAGTGCTCCGGCCCTTCTTACTTCGTCGGGTCAAGAGCGATGTCGAGAAGTCACTATTGCCAAAGAAAGAGGTCAATCTTTATATCGGCATGTCGGAAATGCAAGTCAAGTGGTACAAGAAGATCCTCGAGAAGGATATTGATGCCGTTAACGGAGCCGGTGGGAAGAAAGAGTCGAAGACGCGTCTACTCAACATCGTCATGCAACTCCGCAAGTGCTGCAATCATCCCTATCTCTTCGAAGGCGCTGAACCAGGTCCACCCTACACGACCGACGAGCATCTCGTCCAGAACGCAGCTAAAATGGTTATGCTTGACAAGCTTCTCACGCGCATGAAGCGCCAAGGTAGCCGAGTCCTCATCTTTTCCCAGATGAGTCGCGTGCTCGATATTCTCGAGGATTACTCGGTCATGCGCCAGTACCAATACAGTCGTATTGATGGATCTACCGCCCACGAGGACCGTATTGCAGCCATCGATGACTACAACCGAGAAGGATCCGAGAAATTCCTTTTCCTTCTTACCACTCGTGCTGGTGGCCTAGGTATCAATCTGACCAGCGCCGACATCGTTGTTCTATTTGATAGTGATTGGAATCCTCAAGCAGATCTCCAGGCCATGGACCGTGCTCATCGTATCGGTCAGACCAAGCAAGTCGTTGTCTTCCGTTTCGTCACTGAAAACGCGATTGAAGAGAAGGTTCTAGAACGCGCAGCTCAGAAATTACGTCTTGATCAGCTTGTTATCCAACAAGGTCGTGCACAGCAACCTGTCAAGAATGCCGCTTCCAAGGATGATCTTTTGAACATGATACAGCATGGTGCCGAGAAGGTCTTCCAGTCACAGGGCGGTGTTGGTGCTGTCGGCGGTTCGACAGACCTCACAGATGACGATATTGATGACATTCTCAAGCGTGGCGAGGAGCGTACCGCAGAACTGAACGCCAAATATGAGAAGCTCGGCCTGGACGATTTGCAGAAATTCACGTCGGACTCTGCCTACGAGTGGAATGGCGAAAACTTCCAGCCGCGGAAGAAGGACATCGGCATCAGCTGGATCAATCCTGCTAAGCGCGAGCGCAAAGAGATTGGCTATTCTATGGACAAGTACTATCGCCAGGCCTTGATGACAGGTGGTCGGACCGCGGATACGAAACCCAGAATCCCACGAGCACCAAAGCAAATTCAGATCCACGACTACCAGTTCTTCCCCGATGAACTGCACAACCTCCAAGAGAAGGAGACAGCCTTCTACCGCAAGGAGAACAACCTCAAGGCACCCCTAGCAGAAGGCACTGATGAGGACCTCGAGGCTCGTATCGCCGAACAGGAACTTGAGCAGCGAGAAATCGACGATGCTGAGCCTTTGACCGAGCAGGAAAAGGAGGAAAAAGTTAAGCTTATTGCGCAAGGTTTCCCGGAATGGAACAAGCGCGACTTCCAACAGTTCCTCAATGGTTCCGCCAAGTATGGTCGTCACAACTATGAAGGCATCAATGAGGAAGTCGATGGCAAGAACACGGAAGAAATCAAGGCGTACGCCAAAGTTTTCTGGAAGAAATACCAGCAAATTGAGAGTTGGCAGAAGTATGTTGGCATTGTGGAGGCAGGTGAAGCAGCGACTCGGAGACTGGAAGACAACCGCAAACTACTCAAGAAGAAGTTGGGCATGTACAGAGTCCCGCTCCAGCAGCTCAGGATCCAGTATACCGTCTCGACCACGAACAAGAAGGTCTATACCGAGGAGGAAGATCGCTTCTTGCTCATCCAGATGGACAAATACGGGATAGAGAGCGATGGCATCTTTGAAAAGATCCGGGACGACATTCGCGAGTCGCCACTGTTCCGCTTTGACTGGTTCTTCCTCAGCCGTACACCCCAGGAAATCAGCCGACGATGCACCACTCTTCTCACTGCTGTCATCAAAGAATTTGAGCCTGAGGCGAAGACCAACGGTAGGGGTCCTGGGAAGGGCAAGCGCGTCGTCGAAGAGGATGAATCGGAGGAAGAAGAAGATGCTCCAGTCAAGAAGAAGGTCAAGAATGGCGTCAAGGTAAGGATCTCTCTTGAATACAACCACATTGTTAGTCCGAAGCTAATTGATCGTCAGAACAAGCAACTCGATACCATCAAGGGCAGCAAGGCTACTTCCGTTGCCACGTCACGAGCGGCGAGTGTCGTCTCCAATGGATCTGCTAAGAAGGGCAAAGGAAGGGGGAAGAAATAGCCACGGTTCGGCGCAGTGGGATGGTCAGGTTCCTACTACAGTACTCCCTTTCTTTTATCACTTCTTAAGTGTACCTTGATATAGGATGGCGTTTGGCACGAGCATATGAGCGTGTATGGGGTGGGGACTCTGTTTGACATGGGAGTAAAACTCAGGAAGCATGGTATGGTGTCTTTCTCAGGGTGTTAAAGGCCCTGGCTTTTTCTTTTTGTATGTCCTGCTGTTAGGACAAGGCGACCGCATGGTCTAGTATTGCGGAATTTGATCAGCTTAGAGTATAAAAGTCGAGATTATGCCTGTTTGAATGTCTTGGAGATGAATCCATCCAATGGACGTTATACGAAGAGAGATCATGGTGATTGTACATGCTACCAAACACTTACTGCCTGATGTATTTTAATGCCTTCAGGAATCTGGAGTGCCTGTAATGCGATATTGACCCACGGCTTGGCGATCTACCTGGCGAGAGCGATGACGCTGTCCTTGGGCGTCGAGCACCTGCTCAAGATTCTGGGATTCCCATTTTTTCCCATCCCAGCTCCTTCAAATTGCTACTCCCAACGCAGCTTGCATTCACCTTGGAAGCCTTCTTCTACGCCAAGCAAAGAATTAAGGTCCACTGAAGCCATCATCCTCAGGCCTTCGCCCGCACTCCGTCGCATTCCCGAACCTTCTGTGAGCCTCCGCGTTCTCGAAACCGTGTCCACGACTCCGACTCCCCACACACCTCTATAAATACCAATACACTCATATCTATACAAGAACCACACCTCAAAATGTCGAACGGCGCAGTCGTCCTCGGCGACGATGACCTCCTCGAACCCACCCTCCAATCCATCCTCGACCAAAAGACCCTCCGCTGGATATTCGTCGGAGGCAAAGGCGGCGTGGGCAAGACAACGACCTCATGCTCGCTCGCGATCCAAATGGCCAAGCACCGCAAGTCGGTACTGCTGATATCGACGGACCCCGCACACAACCTCAGCGACGCGTTCAGCCAGAAGTTTGGCAAGGATGCGCGGCTAGTGAATGGGTTCGACAACCTCAGCGCTATGGAGATTGATCCAAATGGGAGTATACAGGATCTGCTGGCGGCGGGGGGCGATGGGGCCGAGGAGGCCATGGGAGGCATGGGGGGAATGGGGAACATGATGCAGGACTTGGCTTTCAGTGTATGAATTTCTCTCTTCCAAAACCATGCGGGACATGCACATTCTGGAACATCATGCTAATGGTCCTTAGATACCCGGTGTCGACGAAGCCATGTCCTTCGCCGAAGTGCTCAAGCAAGTCAAATCCCTCTCCTACGAAGTCATAATCTTCGACACAGCGCCGACCGGCCACACGCTCCGCTTCCTCCAATTCCCGACCGTGATGGAGAAAGCCCTCGCCAAGATCTCCCAGCTCTCCTCGCAGTTCGGGCCCATGCTGAACGGCATCCTCGGCGCGCGCGGCGGGCTCCCCGGCGGCGGGAGTCTGGACGATGTGCTGGAGAAGATGGAGTCGCTGCGCGAGACGATTGCGGAGGTAAACGGGCAATTTAAGGACGCGGACATGACGACGTTTGTGTGCGTGTGCATACCTGAGTTTTTGAGCTTGTATGAGACGGAGCGCATGATTCAGGAGCTATCGAGCTATGAAATCGATACGCATGCGATTGTGGTTAATCAGTTGCTGTTCCCGAAGAAGGACAATCCGTGCGAGCAGTGTAATGCGAGGCGGAAGATGCAGAAGAAGTATCTGGATCAGATTGAGGAGCTGTATGATGAGTTCAATGTGGTCAAGATGCCGCTTCTGGTGGAGGAGGTTAGAGGGAAGGAGAGGTTGGAGAAGTAAGTCTGCACATTTTCGTTATGTCTGTTCGTGTATGTGATCAGAGATACTAATGGTGTGCTGTATAGGTTCAGCGAGATGCTGGTCCAGCCGTTCGTGCCGCCGGAATAGAGCATGCAAACCCCGGTAGTCCATAGCTGGTGCACAGTTGGATGGCCTGGGCAGGGTTTGAGCGAGTACATAACATGATACCACGTGGACACCGCAATAAATAATTCACGAGAGATGTAAAATGCTCTCCGACACTTGATGCAAATATGCAGTAGTCCCCTTCTCTAGAAGACTTGCGGAAACATCGTGGCGCAATAGCATACTTCCTAACTATCCAAGAGCGTGACTCCGACTTCAAATGTCGTTCATACTGTAAGTAGTAGTAACTTGTAAGCAATAAAACTCAAAAATCCCAAATCCAGCAACCCCAAGCACGAATCGATCTCCAACTGGCAAAACAGTTCGGCCGCCCAGCTACTCTGTGCCTTACACTGTAAGGTCACAACTTTTTACGGGACCGCTGAACGGCCTACATCTGTATGCTGCTCTGTTAGTATTGGAGGAGTTCAAAAATAACACAAATATAAGGAAGAGTTTAGAAATAAGGTTGAACCCTGATATTCTATTGGGCAATCACAACAAAACGCGCTCAGACTTCCTCCACGGCGAACGGCTCCACAAGGATCTAAGAACCTTCCATGCCGCATCGTAGTTCAAGCATAAAGCTTAACCTGTAAGGACCTCCCTCCTTCACTCTTTCTGCTTCTCGTCTTCGATCATCACGTTTCTGTATAAGCTCACCGCCCGCACCTCCTCCACCCACCCCCGCCACGCCTTGTCTGCCGTCGCTTCGTTCATCCTCCTACACCCCTCGGTCTCCTGCTCACTCAGATAATCCAGCCCCCCAGCCTCCAATCCGTGCGCCGCCCGCAGCGTCGCGGCGCTGCTCAGTATCGCCGCGTTCTTATGCGTGTAGATGGCGCGGAACACGGCGTCTTGAATGCTTTCCCCGCAGGTGGTGAAGCCGTGGTGCCGCATCAGCACGACCAGGTTGTCTGGGAGCGCGGAGTCGGCTGGGGCCGCTGGGGCGGCGAAGTGCGAGGCGAGTGCTGCGCCGAGGGGAACGGAGTTGACGAGCATGTCGCGTTGGGAGGTAGGGGTGTAGAGGGGGGTTATGTCGAAGGTCGGGACGGATTCGCCTGGGGAGTGCGTCAGGGTCATGCGATTGGGGTTTTTCGATTTTGAGAGAGAATGAAGGGAAACCGAGGCCTGCAATAACCGTGCGTGATGCTTCATGAAAGAAGGGATGCAAATGGAGGATGTAGAAGGTGTGGGGTATACCTAAGAACCCGGCCATATGAAACGCCGGCCTCAATGGCACTCCCGCGACCATGAACGGTATCACGGCCTCGCTGTGGCTGTGGATCACGCAGTGCACTCCCGGGAAGCGCTTGAAGATCTCGCCGTGGATGTAGCGCTCCGAGTACCCTTTCTTGGCATTGGGGTCGACGGGTGCGCCGTCGGCGATGTGGTACTCGATCATGTCTTCGGCGGTGGACACGATGGCGGGCGCGAGGTAGCCGGCCATGATGTAGACGGAGGGTTGGGCTGGGTGGCGGATGCTGATGTGGCCATAGCCGTCTACGATGGAGGCGTGGTGGAGGATGTGGTTTGCGGTTATGAGATCCCGAAGGATGGAGGGGAGAGGGGGAGGGGGGAACATGGTGGAGGAGGTCTTGGGGCGGGTTAGGACTTTTTTGAATGATTGAGAATAGATGAAAGAAGTTGGAATGGAGACTGGAGAGCTATGGGATCTTTTTGACAGACTTGACGTTAAATACTTCAATTGAAAGCATGTTAGCTCACCTAGGATACAGGTGCCTGCTGTGTCCGAACAGAAAGAGAAAGGTAGAGTACTGAAGAGGAAGTCGTTAATTGGAAAGGTGCTTATTGACGATGTTTTGATATCCTATAGATATTTCAACGGCTATAAACTCTTTCCCTCTTCTCCAAGACAATATGATGAGAAACAAAAGCACAGTGACGTCTCATCCCCGCTGGTGCATTAGAATGAGTCACGTGCCCACTAATACACCCATTCTGCACGTCAACAAAACGACCCCACAGTTATTGCAGATCAAATGGGAGCGTGAACACCCGTCCACGGCTCCCCGCATCCATCCAGGGGTTTCCTAGAAGATCACCCGGATGGGCGGCGCCTCCCGGAGCGCGACAAAGGGCGAGGACGAGCAGCGAGCAAACGCGACGAGAGACTGTAACCTTGGACATCAACCTCCAAGCTCTCACGTGACACCGCTTTTAACGTCAACCCCCTGTATACAGAGCCATCAGCGATACCTACTATAGCATTTGAGAGCAAAAGTTCTGTTCTGCAAAAGAGAGCATCATGGCAGACCACCTCCTCCCCCTTGCACGTCAAGCCGCAGCGAACAAGACTGTCATCGCTGTAGGCGGTGCCGCAGCTGTGCTTCTCTTGGTCGCGGGCGACTATTTGCAGTGGAAGTCTCTTGGTAGATATGCATTTCCTTGAACTTAGAATAAACTAGTCTTCCATCTTCCCCGTTCATCTATCTCCAACCGCTAACACACTTTAGGAACCGGGGGGACACCCCCCACAATCCAAGGCTATGGTCGTATGCGCAAAATGGGCCTATGGCGCTTCTTCTACGGCGACGATTTGAAAGACGCCTCTCCCTTAAGCAAAGAAGGGCCTACATACCTGGACGGTCCAGTGCCGAAGCGGGAGGGTGGGCGAGCAAAAGGGTCACGATGGTCCGTATATCACCACCTTAACGCCAAAACGACCGCTAAACAAAGAACCCCAGGACGATGCCACAGCGCCAAATCGCAGAACCAATCACACCTGAAGCGCTCGAGGTATGTAAACACATACCTTGCTTCATCCTCTGCCTCTCTTAGTTCCTTTTCTGTTCCTATTGCTATCTTCTACCTTTACCTCTCCTCCACCCCGTACTCACACCCCCTCCACAGCGCCTCGCAACCCTCATGCACCGCCTCTCCGCCCAGCACCCCAAGCTCCTCTCCTACGGCCTCTCCAAAACCGAGGGCGGCACCGGCCACGCCATCTACGCCAACCCGGACCTGCCCACCGTCAACCCGGACGCCCACAAGATCCGGTACGAAGTGGCGCACGTGCATCCGAGCGAGAACTCGCTGCATGTGTATGCGAGCCCTGCGGATGCGAGGGAGGTGGTGGAAGCGGAGTGGGGGGAGCGGTTTCCTGTGAGCTGGATTGCGCCGGCGAGCTGGGTGAGTGGCGAGTTGAAATCGTGGGTGGAAAGAGGGCTAATGGGGTTCTAGATTATGGTGTATGCGCCGAGGAACGAGGAGGAGGTTGAGGTCGTGGAGAGGATTGTTAGAGCGGCCGTGGGGTGGAATACTGGGGTCAAGGTTTGAGGTGATTCAGTGTGGGTGTTTGATTTCATGTGGCTTGGGCTTTGGATGGCGTAGTTTAATCGGGGAATAGTAGTCTCGGTCCTGATTCACATGGTTTAGGAGGAGAAATTATCAAGGGGAAAGCCTCATCAAGAACCAAGGCAGACAGAGAAGTAATTAAATATCTACAATGGGCTGATCTCAAGAAAAGAATATTAGACAGCCATCCATCATAGCTCACGCCTTAGGAACCTTCGCACTTTCCGGAAGCTCAAACGCCGCCACCGGCTTCGTTCCCATCGTCATAACCGGACTATCCTTGAACGCGGCCCAATCATGTGTAAAGAAGGTTTGGGACTTCGAGATCTGGACTTCCTTCGCCCCTCGCTCTTGCACATTACTGTCGTACTCATCCACAGCCTCCTTGAGCGTCTTCTCTCCAGACTTGACCTTCTTCATTGCGAGCACGAAGCCGTACGCGTCGCCGAAGGCGTTGTTGGCACCCTGGCCACGATCTAAAGGATACTTAATTTTGAGGGGCTGCTGAGGGTAGGATTAGAAACTTACGAAACGTCATAGCATGCGCTGCATCTCCCGCCAACGTTGCCCTGCCCCCATGATTCTCCCACGGTACTGTCTTCCAAATCTTAAGCTGATCTCTAAGCACCTCCGTGTCATCCGGCGCCCACTCCACCGCCGACCTATACGGCTCCGCCCAGTTGTCTCTCCGAAAATGCTCCTTTAGTCTCTTCAACCGGTCAGTCTCGTTATCGTAATCTTCAACGCACTTCGGTGCCCACGTCGAGAGGATCTGGAAACTCCACGTCTCGGGTCTCTCTCGGTCATCCATATCAAGCACGTTGAGGCGGATGTAGTGACCAGACGGGTTAATGGCGATGTCGACAAGCGGATGCAGCCGCTCTTTGATGAAGAGGGCTTGCTCGGCGGTGTATTTGGTATTGAAGTTCATGAGCACGAAGGGGAGGACTTCGGCTTGGGCGGCGCGACCAAGAAGACACCGCCGGACCTGGGAACTGGCGCCGTCGACGCCAATGAGGATGCTGCCGGTTTCGGAGGTACCATCGTCGAAGTGAGCGGTTACGCCGTGGTCGTGATACTCGATATCTAACAGTTTCTTGTTGTACTAGAGAAGTCACGTGTAAACATGCATACATCGAGAGGGATATCCTCGTCGAAGCTCACCTGGATATCGAGGTTCTCAGCGCACATAGTTCGGATCTTTCGCATGTTGATCTCCTTGCCGCCCGGAACCGGAAACTTGAATTCATCTTTCTTGGTCACGCCGTCATATATAACGATCTCGTCTTTTCCGATGCTCTGGCAGTCAATGGCCGGGTCAACCTGACATTCAGTCAAGCGGTTCGCGAGCTCTTCGGGCAAAAGGTCACAGAGGAACGGTCGACTCCAACCGACGGTGAAGGCCCAGTGGCGGGTTGCTTCCACAGACTTGGCCCTGTCGAAGATGCTGAATGATATGTCGTTCTAAGAGGAAGGGAGATCAGAATTGTCGTGTGGACCTTATTTTACACCTGGGGGTGAATTTAGACCCTACCTTCTTCAAACCGTGAGCAATTGCGCATCCCGCCGGTCCTGTATGTCGCGTGAGTACGACTCCGCACAAGGAAAATCATAAATAAATACCTGCGCCGATGATGAGAACCTTCAACTGTGCCTCATTGCTCGTATGTCCGTTCATGTTACCCATGTTATTGTAGTAGGGATGCTATTATCGGGTCTGGGTCCCGGTTAATGAATGCGAAAGCTAAATGACGGCTTCGATCCAGGACTCACTCTGATTTCTATCTGGGTGGCGCGCTAGTCAGTTCAGCTGAACACTGCACAGCTGAGGACAGCTGAGATCTCGGCTGGGTTCTCTACGGCTGATGTTCGGAGAGTAGCTTTCTAGCATATGAGTTGTTGATCCTAGGTTGTAGTGCTGCAACCTGAGTCCAGGAAGATAGAGATCCGGTTTTGAGGCAGCTTAAGTGTAACGTCAAGTCTTCTAAACCGTCACGTGAATCCGAAGCCGCGTATTTGATTGATGCGACTTCCGCTGGGCTCAGGTCCATGACGCGCATAACGGTCCCGACTCTCGGGAAGTTGCGCGCTCCGAACGGCCATGGTGTCGCTAGAGTGCGAGTAAGATGATGAGAGGCATTCCAAGGCTCTTGGCCGGCAATTAGTCTATTGGTCAAGACATTTTCTTCAGTGCAAGCGGCAATAGCAAGCGAAGATAGATTGAGACTTGAGAAACGAAAATGATTGTAGTAGGGAGTTTCGGCGTTCTTCAGTACAGTACAATACCAGCCGACGTGGTGATACGTGTCGGTGCGACCTCGATTGCATATGGCCGCGTCTCGTACTTTTGCTCGCCCGTTATGCACTCTGACGTCGTCAACTCACATCTTACCAAGAGTCGACACCTTAGCAACAAGGCGATGTGGTATTCTACGAGGTTGAGTCAGTGAAGGGTTCACGAAGCCGTGTAGATCGTCGAGATGAGTTTGCTTTTTGCCAATCATCTGCTAACCCCTTCTGAGCTAGCCACCATCAACACTCGTCTTTACCTTAACGCGACGCCGGCCTCCTTTATAATTCGGCCTCGGACTCGCGTCTTGGAGGCCGAGTGATTCTTGAAAGTCACTATAGCAATATGGCGAGCCAGCAAGTCTGGATGCCATAGTTCTAGTTCTATTACCTATGTTGATTTTAAATACGACGTCCGAAGGACAACCATCATTCTTTCAAGAGCTAGACATCTATAGCTAGATACGTAGAGGGGAGAGGTATCGCGAATTCATGCAATATTGAGGTAGGCGCAGGGGCTCTAAAGCGATAAGCCTACAATCTAGGATGTACAGTACTAGATTAGCACAACATGATCGAACGAGCATCGAACTGGCGGTTAACACAGAGTTCTTTTTAAGATGCCATTACGGGAACAAAGTACATCACAAGGTTAAGTACATCACATATTAGCCACCCTTCCACCGAGACAGCTTAGCCTAGATGGTACAGTGACAGTTCACAAGTCTATGCACACTACTTTGCCACTGCTAGGAGTGCCCCATGGGGTTTCCGCAATCTAGGCGCGATGTTAAGTCTCGCGCTGCGGAATCTGAGTATGGGGTTGGCTGTTGGCTGAACGGCCTGCTGACAACAGGGCTGCTCCTGATAGTGGTGTATAGCTTCCAGAAGTGGCACTCAAGCAGTAGTATTCATGTGCCCTGACTCATGGCCTGGTACTATAGGTAACGTGACGAGCTTCAGGGAGCTATAGACCTATAAAAGCTCCAATCAAAACTTTGCTGCCAGATACAACCTGCCCGTTATCTCCGCGACTCAATATCCAATTACATTAGAAACTGCCTTCCCCTCTCTTCCCTACGCTTGGATTCCCCTCAAAAGGCGTACATTCACCAGTGCAGATCCTCGTCACCGATCGAACTACGTTCAGATCATGACAGAGAACCAAAGACCTAGTCTCGAGCACAAGTTCCAAAAACCGCGATTCAATCCTCCATCCATCACAATCCAACACCACATTCCACGCACCAAAGTCGCCAACGTACTATCCAACGCCAACACACCTCATACAACCCCTCCCATCAACCTTTCCAATCCAAGTCCAACCCCCCACCCAACCGCCCCGGCGCCTCCATCAAGACCACGCCCTCATCTCCTCCGTCCCATTTCCCTCGGCGGCTTATGCACACAAAGCGGGCCCCCCCCCCAATTTTCCCTCCCGCCATTATTACTCCCCCCGCCAAAATCCTTCACCCATCCTTTCCGAATCCCCTCAAACCCCTCATTCCCCCACTTATACTCCCCCCGAAAAGACTCCCACCACCCCACCGACTTATCCCCATGCTTGTACTCCCGCTCCCACGCCTCCCGCGGCGTCTCCACATGCCAGCAAAACCGGCACTCTACAGGATCCACCTTCCTGCAATCCATCGGCCGACACTTCTCGCTCCCCCACGGCTCCAGCACCAGGTGCTTTCGCAGCCTCTGCTCCGCTCTCAGCCGCTCGCATTTGGTGAGGAGCAGCGTTTGGTTCAGGTTGGGTGGTAGACTACCACCGTCGATCGCGGGGTACTCGTTGCCGACGTCTCGACGGACAGGGGCGTCGAATTGGAGAGTGGACGATGTGCCGCTGAAACCTGGAGTACTAGGGAGAGAGATCGGGCGGGCCCGGGACTGGAGGCTGAGTTTTGAGGAGTTGGAGGAGGGAGTGGAGACGAGGTCGGAGATTTCAAACGCGGCTGGGTCCGGCACCGGGAGGGCGGTGGTGAGGGGGCCGGCTAGGAGGAGGACGGCGGCGGCGGCGACGGTATATGCCTTCATCTTCGCGGTTCGTTTTGGTGACGGGCGAGGAGAGATGACTTGGACGCCGCGTGGCTGGTGTTGGGTGACAGCGTCTGAAAGGAAACTTGATGGGAGGTGGGATGTGGTGGAATCATATAGGCATTGGCGTTGAAGTCTAGCCACTTTTATACCGTATTTTTAGACTTGCGGTTGCGTAACCGGTGGGCCATGGTAAGGATTCAGAGGACTGTGGACTTAATTAGTCTAAGTCGACAAGGTATGAGAAGTGTGGTGTCAACTTGAAGTACTGTGGAGTATACCTAGACATCGGTCTTTGGGAGCTGCTTCCTAGGTAGCATAGCTGATGCCGAGCGCTGAAAGGACACGTTGGTCTTAAATATGACATAAATATCTCGTGATGGATGATCTGGAAGCAACCCACCCCAAGGTACGCTACTGTCCGAGATTGCCACCTATATTTAGTTCTAGAGTTCGTTACTCACTATGCAGACGACGTTGACCGACAGTCAGAGGGAAGCGGATCAAGAAAAGGTGTGTAGCTAAAAGCTGTCGTATTGATGATGGTGAGGAAGCTAGCTATTGAGTGGAAGGAGGAAAAATATACAACAAGGTGCTGAGTAAGCCTGCTAGAGAGGAAGGGGCCGACAACGAACACGTACGTTACTTCGGCCACCATCTTCAAAAAGCTGTTTAGTTCGAGAAGAGGGGGACTTTGGGTATATACTTCATGAATTCAATATTTAGTATGCTCTGCCTCGCCAAAACACATGCAACCAAAAGACTCGCTGTAGTGGTATCCGCTTTCTCTAACGCTCAGGCATGGAAAATATTGCAAACGGAATGCATGCAAGAGAGAAACCCTTCGCAGATCCGACTACTAGAAAGAAAGCAGATATCTTGACTACCCACCGTCAATGCGCATGTTGAAGTATATATAAACCTCATTCTGAGAGTATGAAAGCATGCAAATTATCGCACCGTTATGTCGTCAATCATTCTCCCTTCGCTCCTGCAACGCCGTGGTGAGTGGCTGCGGCGGTATGCTCGCGGCCGAAGTAGTCGACCACAGGGTATCTAGCACGTCGTTCAAGGTCGTCTAGAGGAATGTGCGAGCGAATGTACCTAATTAGATCGTTAACAACTGCTCGTTGAATTATGATATGAGATACTCACTTCTCTCTCGCGTCGTCGATAGGCTGGTAGTCCCAGCTCTCCCAGCGGCCTTTCTTCAAGGCACTGTAGCACAGTCTCCGCTGGCGCTGGCTCTTGAGCACATCCGCATGGATAGCTTTGAAGTCCCATTTCTTCTGCGCCTCGTCCTGGAAAGCAGACAAGGCGCGTACATGTTCCGGCTTATCGGAGATGGCCAAGTTGAAGACTTCCTTCGGGTCTGAAAGCAAGTCGAACAATTGTGGGGGATCAACTGGGGAGGTAACATACTTCCACTTGCCGCGACGTATCATCATGACTGGGGAAATTGTACCCTCGCCCATGTACTCGCCAAACACTTCGTCCCGGCCAGGACGATCGGTGACGAGATATTCGAACAAGCTGTTTCCATCTACCGGTAGGACAGCCTTGGAATTTCCACCAGCCAGATCTACGAACGTGGGTAGTAGGTCCAAAGTTGAAACGGACTCATGTACTCGCTTCGGCGTAAAGCGTGACGGATAGTTGACGATCAGTGGAACTCGGGCGCTCATCTCGAACCACGACATCTTGTACCATAGGTCGCGCTCACCGAGCATATCTCCGTGATCGCCGCTGAAGACAATAATGGTATTCTTGTCGAGACGGCAGTTCTTGAGGATCGTGAGGAGTTTTCCGACTTGATCATCGACAAAGGTGCAAGCCCCGAAGTAGGCTCGTCGAGCGCGCTTAACAGCATCCTCTGGGATCGGGTTGTCCCAAAGGTCGACGGCCTTGAGCAAACGAGTTGAGTGGGGATCTTGCTGGTCTTGGGGGATGTGCACTTTGGGAAGTGGAATCTCGACGTCCTCGTACTTGTCCCAATACTCCTGAGTCATGGCGTAAGGGTCGTGAGGATGGGTGAGGGAGACGGTCAGCGCGAAGGATCGAACACCGGGGCCTTGGCGAACGTGATCGTATAGATACTGCGATGCCTTTTGGATAGTCAGCGCCTTGTTCGTCGCTTAAGAGGTTTGCGCCAGCACTTGGAACCCGCTCATCGGAGCCATAGCACACTAATCGCCATCTCGATGCGACATCACTCAATATTGAGTTCCCAGACAATTCAAGTAGTTGGTTTCCTAGAACCACCCTGGAAGTTTGATAGTAAGACAGTAACGGAGGAAGCTCTTACCTTGTGCATGACGTCCTCATCGTAATCGAGCTGGTTGGACCGAACGCAAGGGCCTGCCTGCATAACGGAGCTCATATTGTGATACCATTCCTGACGCTCCTCTGGCCTGTCCCAGTTAACTGTCCAGCCCATATCACCAGGATAGATGTCAGATGTCAATCTACACGGTCGTTAGTAGGCTGTCTCGATACTATCCTTGTAGAAGCCCTTACCGGTTTTCGAAGCCATGCAGTTGATCGGGTCCGATGAAGTGCATCTTGCCGGCTAAGGCAGTCTCATAACCCTCTCGGCGAAGGTAGTGAGCATAAGTGGGGACATCGCTGTTAAGTACTGACGCGTTGTCATAGCCGCCGATCTTTGAGGGGAGCTGTCCGGTGCACATGGAGAACCGGGACGGCGCACAGAGAGGGCTGTTGCAGTATGCGCTGGCGAAGACCACACCAGACTGCGCCAGTTTGTCGATGTTGGGAGTGAGGATGGGTGAGTTCGCATCATGCATCTTGAGAAGAGGCGCGGCCATTTGGTCGGCCATAATGTAAAGTATGTTTGGTTTTTCTGCAGACGCGGACTCTCCTGATCCTCCAAGACTCTCAATGAAAGAAGAAGGGGGAGTGAAGTTGTCAGAGATGAAAGTGTTGCCGTTTCCTGACGCATTCCCAACTCTTCCATTGTTGATAGGAACACTCCGTCCATTCGCAGAGACTCCGCCGTTCAGATCTGAACCGTACTGGACATAAGGACCCTCGCTCAAAGAATCTAGATTTCCGATAGAAGAAACACTACCAGCAAAGAGATTGCTATCTGAGATCGCGCTTGGAATAGAATGGCCGTTGGGTGCAGCACCGTCTGTAGATTGTGCCTCCGCTGAGCGAAGGGCACTTGGGGCCATAGCAATAGCCCGCTTGGGCCGAAAGGAGGAAGTAAGTAGTACCACAGGTTGCGAAGACAATCGAAGGTGGTCCGTGGTCGCGTGCGATAGATAAGGTACTTTTTGCAAACCTAAGTGGGGAAGGAAATGAAGAGGCTGATGGCTTAGCAAGCGGAGTGAGTCAGGTGCAGCAAGGCCGGTACAGTCAGGGAGAGTGGATTTTGTAGGAAATATTTACTGGTGGTGAGTGTAGGAAGCCAAAGAGTCGAGGGCGGGCAGCGGAGGTTCTAAATAGTATTGTGTGGAGGACCAGGCGGTGAAACGAAGGCCGGGCAATATCTCGAGCACGCAACACATAGCGGACGGTTATGCCATCGACTATGCCGAAATCGGGAGCCTGTCGCGTGTGAATTCTAGGGAGACGATTGGTCTAGGCTGCTGCTGGCTGGTAATTTACTCTGTAAACTGCCTGCAAGTGGCAGGATTGAGGAGCGTGACCGCATGGACAAAGACTCGCCACGGCCAAGACGACTTAGATAATCATGGAAATAATGGAACCAGGTTTTGTGATAGAGAGTCAATGATGCGCCACACCTGATCCCGTGCATCCGGCTGCAACAGCAGATGCATTGAGTTCCCACATGAAGTCAATGCGGAGGTGACTCCTGTCCACGAACCCACGACAGCCCGCGTCATTTGCTTCCGATAGGATCATGTTGAGCGGGGAACAGCAGAGACTGCTGATGGATGCGCTAGGTATGAGGCATGTGACATCGGGATTACGGAGTGTACATCCGCTGGTCGAGGAAGTGGAACGTGGTGGAAGGAGTAAACGATTTCTCCCGGCCAGGCCGGCTCACTGACGAGGTTAGAAGAAGCACTTGGCGGCGGTGTCGGACGGCGATCCCAGACGCCACATGCAGGAACTTGGAAAACGTTATCGCCCTGTTCGTACCCCTAGCCAGATATGGTAGCAGTTTTCAGAACCCCAAATACCCTCGTTTTGCCCTGCCAGTTGAATATAAAAAAATCTCCATGATGCCACAAGCCGCAGATCGGCCGTGCGGAAATCAGGGTCCTTCATGGATTAAATTGTAAGCTTGCGCAGCGCCAGCCGGGTCCTATCCGAGGCCGCTAGCCATGCAGAGTTGTGCATACCCAATCATAACGGAGATGTGTCAACGTTCCTTGCTATCTCAAGCCAGGCTTCACGCTTTTCTAGACGTTATCTCGTTGATATGTGCACATGTTCCCGGTTGTTTGAAGCTTCTGTGCCGTAGTGCTCCTTCAACTTTCTCTTATTGTGGAGACTCAATCGTTAGACCCGTACCGAGCCGCTTAAGTTATGTAGATGTGAATAACTGATGGGGTAACCTCTCTACACTAAAGATAGGAGCATATGCATTGAAGGGCCGAAGGTGATCTACTCATGGCGTCTAGATATCATATCAGACATATACAGTTTGTCATTTGTATAGTCTATCGGACACGTGGACACGTATACATATACGTACTGCTACAAATCAAGGAATTGCTCCAGATGTCACTAACACGATTCAGACCCTTGTCCAGCTTTTCCCGTATTGATTGTCTCTTACGCGTTCGGTCGTCATCAGCCTACTGCCTCACCCTTCACATCAAACATCTCTTACGCATTCACCGCACATCACCAACACATCCAAGTAACCAACAGACCTCCACAGCACCGTCATGTCTCAAAAGTATTAAGAAGCGTTTCCCTTGCTCTGATTGGAGATGATAAGAGCAACCCTACACAGCATACTCCGACGACCAGTTCTAAACAGGAATCTAAAGAACCTGAGCCCGCCAGTGAACCGCTCAACCGAAACCCCCCATGATCGGAATGCAGTCTTTTTGCCCAGACCCTCCAAAGATCCCCCAAGAAAACGCCCGAGATCATTCATCTCATCTACACATATAATACAAGCGATGTACAAATCGAAACGGACCTCCTAACCTAACCTAACACTCTCCTACTTTTTTCGTTTTTGTCGTCAACATCTAGAAGTCCGCATCATAATTACGTCCCCTGCTCTCCCTCTCGCCCCCCCTCGGCCTCGGGCTCGACTTGTCCTGGAAGCCTCCTCGCGAATTACCCTGGTAGCCGCCACCGCCCCGCGAGCTGCCTTGGTAGCCTCCCCTATCGCTGCCCCTCGAGTTGCCCTGGTAGCCGCCTCCCCGCGAGCTACCTTGATATCCTCCCCTCTCGCCGCCACTGGAGCGACCCTGATACCCGCCCCTCGCGCCTGCTCCGCCTCTCGAGTAGCTAGAGTCCGAGCCCCGCCTGCTGAACGACGATTGCGCGTCGTACGCTGAGCTCTCATACTCCTCCTCATGGCCAACATTGAGGCCGCGAACGCGGCTCAAGCCCAGCTTGCGCGCAAGGCTCGGCCCAACCTTTGGAGCCTCGTCCATGCCCCAGCCGTGCTTCGTGAGGCCGCTGAGCGAGTCGACGAGCTCCTGCTTGTCGCGCATGCCCTGGAAGACACCGAGGTAAGCCATGTACGCTTTGGTCTTGTGCTCGCGGTGCACTTGGCGGTGGGCGTCGACGAGGCTGGAGAGGATGGTGGCGACGTTCTCCGGCAGCTGCGCTTCGCGGGACATGTCGACCGAGGCGGTTTCTAGCGTTGTGTCGTTCTTGAGCGGGAGGCTGTGGAGACGGCGGCGTACTTCGGGAGCGTCGAGCGGTGAAGCGAAGATCCAGCCCTCGCCTTCTTTGCCGGCACGGCCAGTTCGGCCGATACGATGGATGTAGGTTTCGCGTTCGCGGGGCACACCAACTTGGATAACGTGCGTGACGTTAGGAAAATCCATTCCTCGCGCTGTGACGTCGGAGGAAAGGAGGATGCCTGACTTCGACTTGCGGAAGTCATCAGCAGCCCTTGTTCGCTGACCCTGGTTCAGTTTGCCATGAATCTCGAATACACCAGCGGGGTGTAGAGCATGGCGACGCGGGTCACTCCCGCGCACTTTCCTAAAGACGTTGGAAGCAAGCGAGGCTTCAGCAGTGGAGTTGAAGTAAACGATGGCCTTGAAGGGCAGAGTCTCTCCCGACTGGGAGCTCTGTAGTCCCGTTTGGCACAGTTCGAACAATGCGGGCATCATGTTCTCGAGACCTTTGGCGTGAACAAGCTTCTGGGGAATCCTCTCGTGTGTTGCCTCCTCATCGTCGCGCACGCACTTGACAAAATGGAACCCAGGCTTCAATGTCTGTCGCACAAGCCCGACAACCTCCTTGGGGACTGTGGCGGAGAACATGAGGGTTTGGCGATCCTGCTTCTTGGGATCTGGGAGGTACTTCCTGATCTCGTTAATCTCCCGCGTGAACCCATCGTCCAACAGTCGATCAGCTTCGTCCATGACGAGGGCCGAGAGCTTCGGGGCTTCAACTCCGGAGTACTCATCCGCCAACAGATCGTGGAGCCGTCCAGGCGTTCCAATGAGGATATGGCAGCCCTCCCTCCTGATTTGCTGCAACATCATCCTCTTCTGTGTTCCACCCACGCCGACCTGAACGACGACACCGGTGTTGCGCGTGAGCTTTTGCGCTTCCACAGCAATTTGCTCCGCCAGTTCTCTGGTCGGTGATATGATTATAGCCCTGATGTCACCGGGCGTCGTCCGCGGGGGACGAGCGCCGCGTGTTGCAAGCTCGGGATCTTTTGAGATGATGTTTTGTAGAACGGGGAGAAGGAATCCAAGGGTCTTTCCAGTACCAGTCTTGGCTTGGGCAATGCTGCGACACATTATTACAAGCTCATTGAAAAGTCGGAGATAGGAAACCTACATATCAGCACCCTTCAACGCTTCGTTGATAGTGCGAGTCTGCACCTCTGTCATGGTGTGCAACCCCATATCCTTCGTTAGGGTGTTGACGATATTTTTGTGAACAAATCCTCGAGTCGCTAAATCTTCGAATTTCGTGACTGGGCCTCCGGCGACGGCATTATCAATCGCTCCATTTGAAGGTGGGCTTTTCGCGTTGACCTCTTGTTCCACTTCAGCTTCTACGGCATAGCGCTCGGCGGCATGTTGTCGCCACTGGCTGCTCTGGTGTAAAGACGCGATCGAAACTCTGGACACAGAGATTGTAGACCGCCACGCAGATGTCGACGTAGCCTGTGCGGGCCGTATAACTCGGGGCGCAATGAATGAGGTCGATATACTCCTAGGGAGAGATGCAGGGCACCTCCGAAAAGCTGCAAGCATGATGAGGTGATGGAACCGAGAGCGGGCGACTGCCGGGCAAGGGGTATCTATTACAATGTAATTAAGTAAAGAAGGGCAAGCTAGAAGAAAGAGCGATCTAGGAAGTGGCAATTGGAAAGTTCCTATGGGTGGTGGGAAAGGAACGTTGATGGAGCACGTCAAGGAGTTGTCTGAACTTTTTTCGGGGAGACGAGATAAGTGCGGATCCTTGCTAACCGCATTCAACCCCATCTTTCACGTGACGAGTAATAAGGAGGCCGTTTTTCAAATTTCTCTGCAAGAAGTTGAAAGCCTAACAGACTTTACATAGAACTGCAGTGGGCGAAAAGTCTATTAAGTGAAACTAGATTATGTCTATGGCCATGTTCTTCGTGTCTACCTCATAATTTCATCCGCATACCCGGCCCTCTAAAAAAGCAAGTCATATCACAAACACCACTTATCGTCGCCCATTTACCTTTCTCCTCGTCCTTGGGATCTTCCCATCTGCCCCCAAAATAACCACTCCTTCGGAAATACCCTGGTGAATCCCCCCGGTAACCCCCTGCACCCACCAAACCGTCATATCATTCAACGCTTGCCCAACCTTCCCATCATTCATGCTACACACCGAATTCGTGAATCTTATACTTTTCCTTCCCACCTCATCAATCGTGTTCACAACTACGCTGAACAGACGCTCGAAGACGCGATTCTCGCGCTCATATTGATATGCATGTCCGATGAAGAGTTTGACGTAGGGCAAGAGGAATTGCGCGATTATGAAGAGCTCGAGGATCAGGGCTGCGGTAATGCGGTGAATTACGGAAGGGTCTTCTTCTAGAGGTTCGTGAAGAGTCTGAGGGCGACGGGACAAGGTTGAAATTAGGTCTTGGGTTGTAGGGTCGAGATCTAGATGGTCAAGAACGTGAGGTGGGATGGCGGCTTGGATGCTCAAGATTTCTTCTGGTGTCATATCCGCTGGAAGTCCACGCAGGACGTATGTGATACCGTGAATGTATAGCTGACGGCTGAAGGGCGGTAGGCCGTCGTCGTCGCCTTCTTTGGTGAGGGAGGAAGATTCTTGGTGGGCTTGGGTGATGAGGTGTAGACCTGCTGATATTAGAGTGGTCCTATTATCGAGAAGAATGGTAAGTACCTTGGTTTGCGTACTTCCAGTTGACTCCACTCTCCCGTTCGGCCAAAGTGAAGGCAGGCGGAGTAGAACTGGACGACACTGGCCGCTCATACGTTGTTGAAGTGTCTAAGTCCGAGTCGCTGGCATCTGCAGTGAACGCTGGGATTCGGTCCGATACTCGACTCTCCTGTCTGGACGAGTATCTCGGGGGCGGTGTGTCCGAACCACTACTCCAGGCATTTTCACTAGAGCTTCTAGTATGATCCGGCCGTCCTCGAAAGTCATTGACAGAACGTCGCAGCGACGAAAAGCGGGGCATGCGGCTCTGAACAAGAGTGGGGAGCATGCCATACACCAGCGAGGTCGCCATCTGGCCGTCTCTCGCAGCAGTTAACGGCTCCAGTATGGGGGTAGAAACGGAGGCTGATCTCTGTTTTCTTGGGGCCATGTTGAGTATTAAGGAATGCGAGGGAGAACAAAGACAGTGTCACCACTAGCGGTGCTGCATATCCGCATGCAAGAGGTCATCTGGAGGAGGGAGAGAGTGGGTTTCGAGACGGAAGCGCCCCGGTAGCGTTCCAGGCGGCTATCTGCCATGATGAATAAAGGTTATCGGGAGGGCCTGCGACCCCAGCACAGTGGTGAGCATGTGAAAGAGAGAGAGGCGTTTTATTGAGCGCCGTGTGATTGGGTCGTCGTTTTAGCGACCGTTTTACGAGGAAAATCCGGCATCGCCTTACATGTGCATCATGCAAGTCGCACAGCTGCCCTATCACTTCGAGCTGCTAGACCACACTTCCTGTCAAGGGTTTTGCTTCCTCCAAGAGTGTTCCCAGGGACTCTCAAGTCGCTAAACAGATGAGGAGTGCTACATTGCAAGCGGTGCGATTTGAAGCCTTATCTTTCGGGATGCTATCCGTCCCTAGTTCTCCGCAAATTCAAAAGCAATTCTGGTTTTGACCTTCCAGATCCTGACATTCATTCGAAAATATTCAAAACACCTTGAAGATCTTCAAACAGCAGGAGCAAACGCGCACGGTCGAGCTCCTAAATCACGTTCTCAAATGTCTACCTTCCAATGTACTGTTCATGTCACTTGCAATCTTGCAACAGGCCTAGTTTCCTTCTCCTGGACCTTTACATTCGACTAGTTCTTTTCATAGCATCTTGAAGGGCTTCAAACGGTATCAAGCTACTAGCAAAAGGGCAGTGTCGAACTCCTCATCCACACTCTCCAGTCTCCACGTATCATTTCATTGTCAGGATTTACGCACAATCTCGTAACGGGCCTAATCTCGCCCTCCTAAGTCTTTACGTTCACTTAAATATATCAAGCCATCTCGAAGTCCCTCAAACAGCGTTAAGTCGGGCGCAAAATCACACTATCAACCTCCCAAATCACGTTCCTAAACCTAGACGTATTAGTCTAATGTCCATTCTCACTACCCATCTCACGAGGGGTCTGATATTGCCTCCCTAGATCTTTACATCCATCTGGACCTTTCACGCTATCTTAAAAGGTCTTCAAACAGTACCAAGCCAGTCGTAAACCTGCAGTATCAACCTCCCAAACTACACTCTCAGGCGTACACACGCAATTCTGCCGTCAATATCACTTACCATTAACTCAGACCTGATTTGGCCTCATCAGACCTTCACATTCGTTCGCAATGTATCTGCCATCTTATGGCTTTTCAAACAGTGTCAAGCCAGGATCAAATGAGCAATATCAAGCTCCTGGATCTCGCTCTCACATCTTCACGTGAGATTCCGATATCCATATTACTCGTTGTAGGAAAATACATCTGAATCGGAGGGATCAGATAAAGCAATTGCAACAGTTCACACACCACCGAAGCTCTCTCACCACGCCATAGTCAAGTCCAAACACGAAGTAATCCAGCTTCAATTCAAACACTACAGAACCAACCCAGCCAATCCACAGCTCGATCCAACCCGCTTCTGCCCAACCCTCAAAATCAGCCCTCCGTCCTCACGCTACTACCCAATGCCACACCACTCCCCAACACCCCCTCAACTCTTCTCCGGCATCTGATGCTGCCGTTTCGCATACGCCTTCTCATCCAACTCCCCCGCCAGCCTACAATTATCCTCCACCACGCGCCTAATCTCCTCATGCACATTCCCCTCCAACCTAACCTTACACCCCTTCGGCAGCCACCTGAGTATATGAAAGGCATTCGCATACACATTCGTCGTGCTCGCCACGCTCCGCTCCTCGGGAAACATATACGGCAAGCTGACCCCAAAGCTCTGCAGGTTCCAGCAGTACCGCAGCCCCAGGCGGACCAGGTCCGCGAAGCTCTCCAGGATATCGTGGTGCGTCGGGATCGTGAGCGTGACGTGCTTGATGAGCGAGCGGTTGCGCTGCGTGAGCGCGTTGATGCTGTTGAGCGCCGAGTCGAGCCGCAGCCGGATCGTGTTGTCGCCGTATAGCACAGGCCGCGCTTCGCGGCACACGTCCTTGCACGTCGCGATGAGCGCTGGCGCGAGCGGCTCCGTCGCCGGTTGGTGCGTGGGCGCGGGTCTGGCGCGGCCGCGCGCGCGGCGCGTGGTGGAGACGGTGCGGTAGCGGTCGCCGTACTCATCGACCAGCTCGATGTCCGGGGTCAGTCGAGGGGCGGGTGGGATGTGGAGGGAAAGCGGGTCGGGAGTGCTGAGCGCGTAGCGGTACACGTTTAGGCGCAGTTCGGTGGGCAGATCCATGAACCGGAAGGCAGGTCCTTGTATAACGGCTTCGAGGGCTTTGGTTGCGCTCGCGGAGCGTTTGGTGCGGGTTGTTGTGGGGCTCTTGGATTTGGTAACACGTTTCGTGGATTTGGTGGAAGAGGCGCGGCTCGACGTCCTGCTGATGCGACGATTGGCTCTTGGTGGCATCTTGGTGATTGCGAGATGAGTAGGGCTGGTGACGTATATGAAGAAAGGATGGGTTTGTTGGTGACTGTAGGAGATGAATTGAAGGAGAGAGCTATCCAAGACTTGGAGAGGGCGGCAGGAATGGTTTTAGTACTGTACAGGGAAGACTACTGCTATTGTGTTGCTATTGAGGTGGTCATGGTATTGTTCCTATTGAGAGGTGAATAGTGCAGCTCCCCGCTGTCACCCCGGCCGGAAAAAAGCCTTGGCGTGGTCACGTGTATACTTCGTCCGAGCTGACTATACCACGCAATACCGTCCATGCTTCGAGGCGACAAGAGGGCTTCAGGGGCAGTTGAATGCAGATCATCGGAAATAACGTAAGCTGAGATAATATATGGCAAGGCTTTTGACCGTCTCAAAAAAGCAATTCAACCCCTAAACCCGCTGGCTGCTCTGAGCAACCATCACTGTCTCATGTCTATACACAGTATGAACAGAGCGCATCTGCCTTGACAAGAAACTAGGAAGAGTACGATTTGCCCAGTAGGGACCCACTCATGCCGGATGCACACTAAGCCTCCCGCAAAGTTTGAATAATGGATAGTACAGCTTCAACACCCGTGAACCCGTCGTAAAGCAAAGCACCATGGCCGTCACAAGCCTCCTTTGGCAGACCTATGAGTGACCTCTGAAGGTAGAAGGGGATACAAAATCACTCTGGAAACGCTCTAAGCACTCAACACAAGGAAAAACATGAGCCAGTCCAGACCCTACAGGTCTATCAAGCTTCCACCCTGCTGTTGCTGTCCTTGGTGCTGCGCGCCGCCAAAGGGGTTTCCGCCGCCATATGGGTTGGATCCAAAAGTCCCTGCTGGTCCGGTTTGCGCCGGCACCATTCGCTGCTGGCCGAATTGCTGTTGCGGCATACCCGTGAACTGCGAGTGCAGGAATGGGTTGTTTCCAGTCGCGTTCGCGTTCAATTGGTTCAGCCCTGCGCCCGCAGAGTTCACAAAGGTTCCAGGGGCCGTGTGTTGAGCGGGAAGACGCAAGTTGCCAACGTTACCGAAAGTGTCCTGACCTTCGCCAGTAGCGAGGAGGGCATTGAGCTGGGCATGGTGCGGATTCTGCTCCTTCTGTGGCTGCGCTGTCTGCTGCGGAGAGAACGAGACCGGTGGGTTGAAGCTGGTGTTATTGAATTGAGTCTGCGTCTTCTGCTCCTGTAACGTGCTGAGAGTTGGCTGTCTTTGTGGCTGCGCAGTTTGAGGCCTATTGAATGACGACGCGAATGGATTGTTGGATCCGGTCGGCTGGGGAAGGATTGATTCCTGCTGATGTTGATTTGACGCCCATGGATTGTGACTCCCAGGTTGGAGTGTGCTTTGCTGCTCGACTGGCTGTTGTTGCTGTTGGCCTATACCCCCCAGCTGCTGTCCATATGGGTTGTTCATGTTGAACGCAGTCTGCTGGGGCTGTATGTAACCCTGACCACCTCCAAAAGCTTGGTCAAAAGCAGTTTGCTGAGGCTGCTGGGGTTGCTGCTGGTATCCATTGTAGCCTCCAAATCCGTTCTGGAACCCAGTCTGATTGGGCTGTACACCGGTAGGCTGAGAGTAGGCATTGTTCAGGAAACCGGTATTTTGGGGCTGCTGTGCAGTCTGCTGCTGCTCGACTGGATTCCCAAACCAATCGACCGCACCTTGTTGTTGGTATCCTTGGTTGTTGCCAGTCGGTTGGTATGCAGTTGGCTGAGTAGGAGTGTCGTCGAACAACAACGATGAGTTTGTCTCCTCAAGTTCTCTCCGACGAAGCTCCTCCTCTTCCTTGCTCAGCTTGATCGCTTTGGCAAGATCATCGTCCCCAACCTCACGGCCCGCCGCTCTCTCGCGCCTCTTGCGATCCTCCTCCGCTTCATTCTTACTCGCTTCCAAAGCCAATCTCAGCTCCAGGTCATTTTCCTCCGTAGTCCGGTTCGATCGACCTTCCCGATGACGAGGCCTGGTAGCTTCTCCGCCGTTTCCATGTCCACCCAGATATTCCATTTCGTTGATGCCGGTAACACGGGACTTCCAGGTTTTCCGATCTGAGCGTTCTGCGCGAAGCCGTTCTTCATCGAGAATGAGAGAGGTGAGTTCTTTAGCTGACACCCTCACTATATGCAAAGGTTAGCGTGTATAGCTCTATGTGGCGACATTACAACTAACCATTCTGGCCCACGTCCCGACCGTCTTCGTCAATGTATTGGAATTCTCGTAGAGTCTTGATGATGTAGACGTTCTTCCGCGCCCAAGTGACAACCAATTCCGAGCCTTCGTGCAAGCAGTAGTCGAGCACCTTGAGCGACTTCAAGACGTGGCGCCAGTTCTTTCCCTTGTCGTTGAGTCGCTTGTCTAGCATGTCCATCACTTGGTAGAAATCGGTGGAGCTACGCGGCGACGTTTGTCAGTATGATTCCATGCATATCCATTCGAAGCCTTACTTGTTGAATGTGATTTGCGCGATCTCGGCCATGTCAGAGCCCACCGGGCCCCACGGATCGTTGCTAGTAGCTATCTCAATCAGCGCGTGTCTGCGAGAAGATCTTAGAAGGCCATACCATTGCGAACCTTAACTTCTACTGTGGAGTAGCCCTTTGTGACGTTCTTGACGCTTCTTACGACCTTGGACATGTTGGCGAAGTGGCTGCAAGCGCAGCGTCTCGTCCGGTTGGTGAGAGGTGGGAGGAGTTGATTTCGTGTCTTTGCAGCGCAATCTGGGGCCGAGCAGAGCAACAATGACGATACGCAGATTCAGACGCTCCCGGCGCTATTGATATTGGGCTGGGACGGCGTTGCGCGATGATGCAACGGCGCTAGGTGGAGAGGCCGTCCGAGAAGGGCACGATGAGCGAACAGCGCCGTAGGTCCGGTATGCGAGTCTTGTTGTAGGGTGTATAAGGAGCGTCGTGTTGCGAAAGGCGGAAGAGCTGGAGGGATATTGGGGCAGTGAGGTGGCGGCAGCTGGCTGATGAGCTCTTCGTCACCCTGTCCGTGCTGGGCTGCGTCTGAGCTTCGTGGGCACGGTGGGCACGAGGCTGGGACGACTTTAGTCCGCCCGTACCGGTGTGGCTTTTGCGGGTCTTCAAATCGATGACGCTTGGCATTTGCCGTGTACCATGGTGAATTGCCCTGGGCTGCTCGTCAAGAGAGTCTGCCTGTTGCGAGTCTTTTGCGCCCGTAATAGAGGTCAATGCTTGGCAGCGGCTGGGTTAGGTTCTTGGGCGCCTTAATGTGATATTGCAGTTGTTGCGTTGTTAGGACGCCCTTTCGCCTTAGAATCTACACTCACTGAAGCGAGATCTCCGGATCTGGGATTGAATGCTCAAGTCAGAATATGTGTTAATTCATGTGCTATCGAAAGAGACACAGGACTGCATCGTCTAACGCGACATCAGAATCTGTCTCAGTCTGCCTCCACACTAACGCTACAGTCACTGTACCACAGAGAAGCCAGATATAATAAAGTGTGGATTTGAATCCCTCATTAATTTGCCAGTCTAGTAAGATACCGCTCGCCCAAACCCTTCAAACCCTTCAAAATCCGATAAAGAGCCGATGAGCCAAGGACGCCTTTCCATCCTCTTCAAGGACGCCGCTTGAAGCCCACCCATGAGAAACCCCGAGAGTGCACCGTGCCCATGGCCTTCTGATATATTATTGGGAGACAGCTTCCATGCAGAACAGAGATAGAGACAATAAGAGACAAGGAAAGACCGTATGATGTGACCACAAAGGAAACCCTGGAAAGGATGTAGCCGATGCACCAGTAACACCGGCAAAATTTGTTCTCCAGCCGACGGTCCTAGAACCCTTGGGAAAAAAGACATGCCATTCAGACAAAGAAAATTTTGGAGAGGAAAAGGGGTATAGCATCTGCCAACACGCCAGGATAATCGAGCCCGAGCTCAGCCTATAGGTACACTGATACATAGGAAAATTACACAGATTTACTGCACTGGAGGGGCCCACATGCCATCCGCCATCCGCTGTTGGCGCGGGTCGTATTGATCGGGTTCAGTGCTGTTTGGACGACGGATGTTCGAGTTTGGCGGATAGTACATGTTGGCCGCCGAGTTGTATTGGTGAGGCTCAGGGTAGACGTAGTTCTCGCCAGCGCCTGGGGAAGGAATCGGTTGCTGCGATGGGGACTGCCAGCCCATGTTGCCCATGTGAGGACTACCATTCACACTACCTGACTGACCGTGATTGGCTGATGCTGGAGGCTCAAGAATGGGTGGTGGACCATACCCGCTGGGGTGAGAAGTGAGCGATGGACGCTGGTTGCTCACGGAAGACGTGTACGACTGGGAAGTCAATGACGGAGAAGATCGGGGGCTGGGCTGCTGGATCTCGTTGCGCAGATGAGGGGGAACATTCATGTTGCCCATATAGGCGTAGTCGGAAGCCTGGCGATGCATAGCGGGGACGACACCCGCAGGCATGCCCGCAGCAGGCGAGAGCGAAAGCGGACGTTCATGAGGAGAAGGTGTTCCCAATGGAGACGCCGTCTCGGAGAACTCATCCGCATCTGACCGAGTTGACCTGCTTGGAGCCGAGGCGCGCGACGCCAGAGCCGCGGCTGTCTCAGCAGCAGCTTCCTCAACGGTCCCAGTGTGGTGGTTTTGGTGGCGCGTGAGGGTTGTGCGACGAGTGAAGGTCTTCTGGCAGTTGGAGTAGGGGCACTTGTACGGGCGCTTTCCCGAGTGTATGCGGCGATGGCGGGCCAGGGAGCTGGAGTCGCTGAATGGCTGGAAGATGGTTAGCGATTGGGCTTGTGTAGATTTCGGGGATTACAAACTTTGCCACAACGCTCGCACATATGCGGCTTCTCGCCAGTGTGGACACGTTGATGCACTGTCAGAGCCGAACGCTGGATGAACTGCTTGCCACAGTTGGGGAAGTCGCAGACGTGAGGGCGGACACCACTATGGATGCGTTCTGAAAAATGTTAGGATCAAACGCGTCGTGTTTTAGTAGAGATTTGTTACCGTGACGCGCCAGGTCACTACGCCTCGCAAAGCCTTTGCCGCACGTGGAACATGCAAAAGCCTTGGGTGGGCCCGTGTCCGATGCGGGCCGACCGCCAGGCTGCTGATTCTGTTGGTCTTGCTGTGGCTGCTGTTGGTAAGTATGGTCGGGCGGGTTTGGCATGTAGTTGTTGTTGTTGAGGAGCGGCATCGGAGCCGAGATCTGGGAGGGCGAGGGATAGCGCATCCCGTTCATATTTGGCTGCATTGGCGGCGGATATGACTGTAGCGGCTGGGGGGCCTGCGACGAGTATCTGGACGAGTGTTCGGAGGGGTGCGGCGACACGCCGCGCTCAGAGCCGTTCTCTGACTTGATCCTGCCATTGAGGTAGGCGGCGGCGGCCGGGCCGTAGTGCTGTTGCTGGAGCTCGTGCTGCATGTTGTGCTGCATTTCGTAGATGGATCGTCCTGCAAAGGCTTTCGCCTGTTGTTTAGTATTCAGTATGTTACCAAGCTCCATCATCGCGCATGAGTTGTGGGCTCCGGGAGAAGCAGGCGGGTGATAACAGACGGGGCGGGATCCGCAACTTGGGAGGAGATGTGCGCACCACTTGGATGACTGGCCGTCGGCTGGGAAGAACGCTTCAGTCGACAGGAATGGCATGTACCGGGGCCACTGCAGACAGTGCTGGTCGTCGGTGAGGCTGCTGGTGTGCAGAAGACCACCTCACAGATTCAAAGCGCAGGTGGTCCGTCCGACTGTGTCGAGAGCAGGGCGGATCGCGTGTCGGTCAATGCTGAATGGCCACCTATCGAGTGAATCAAGTCAGCGGCAGGAGCAGAGTCGCAGAGCAGGTGGAACAGGGCGTTTGGCAGCGGGCGGCGACGAAGCGGTGTCGACTGCCAGCAGGCCAGGAGGGCGGAATAGGGGACGCCCCGGCGACGCGCAAGGCCGGCGAGCGGCGGAGCACGGGCAGGACGCACAACTCTACGGGCGGGAACGTACCTGAGATGGATCACGGCGTCGGGGGGTGGTGTTGTGGAGTGGAGGAGAAAGTGTCGGGGAGGATGAAGGTACGAGGGTACTTGCTGCTGTTGCGCGTGTTGGATCTTCTTTTCTCGCTAGGCCGCTTCGGGCTCGGCTAGTTCCGACTCTCGCAGTGAATTCCACTAAAACAACTGCCTGCACACCGATTGATCCGCCAGCACGCCGAGGAAATTGCAGCTGCTGGTGCCCGCGAAATGGGCACGAGGCGCGACGAGTCCCGGAGTCGTCGAAGAAAGCTGCGCTGCGAGAGCCCCGTATTCCCAAGGACCGCTGACTGCTTCTCAGCTCGCCCACGGTTCAGTCCACCGAGGTTTTCTAGTCCGGTCCAGTAGTGCAGTCTCCCGGCGCTTGTGTCAGTCGCCTTTCGCTGTGTCCGCCTGGCGCTGTCTGCGATCTGTCCAGGGACCTCGACGACCTGCAAACACTTCTGACGTCCAAGACTTCCAACGACGGCGCTTCCAACACTGTCCGCTCCTGCTGCGATCCCCAGATCAGATCCGGCTGCTTCTGCGGCCGGGATGTGCTCGGGGGCGTGTGAATGAGGCAAAGCTAGGTGGGAGTCTTCTAAGCGTCAGTTCAGTCATCGAAATTCCCGAAACCCAGAGAAACACTCTGAAACGGGGCTGTGGCGCGGGTGCAGTACCTGTCTATCAGACGTAAATCGACAATGCTGCAAGATCAGTCAGCGTCTAAACTCCAAGAATGCCCGTGGACGAGGAGGCTCACCTAGGACACTGAGGGCACTGAACGCTGAGGGCACTGGCTCCTAATAGTTGAATCCCTGACGACGGAGCCCAAGGCGGGTGTCACTGTCGAATGCCGGTAGCCGTGGAGGGTTGGGGGCGTGGGACGGGTGGTGAGCGGTGCGGTGTTCAGTTCACTCTGCAGGATGAGGGCGGCAACGGGCGTCACAGTGTCTTCGGAACAAAAACGTGGTGCGTGTAACTCGAGCTTTGAGGGAGCACGGCACGAGCAGGGGCGAATTGCAGTTATAGAGCAGCGTGCCCGTCCACCAGGCTTTTTGATTGCGAGTCAAAAGCAAGTCTATCCCTGCAGCTATGGCGCCCATGGCCCACCAGGCTCGTCAATGCTCGGAGAGCCGCTGGGGGATCAGGCCCGCTGAAGCACTCTTGCGGCCATGTTTGACCCCAGCCCTAGAGGCCGCACGGGCGAGGGAGCACACTAGGGCGTCATCTGCGGGATGGAGCGCGGTGAGACGCCTGTGGGATGGCATATTCCTTCTGGCAACACAGCCTCCGCTATCACGATATGGGACACGACACGCAGCGCGTCCCTCTACGGAGGGGGGACGACAGGGTGAGGTTGACCCAGGACGCTTGGTCCACAGACGCTCGACACCGGGATGAGAGGCAAGGGCCACGTTTGGAAGCCCGCTAGAAGGCTTCTGCGCTGGGGCCGCCATGCTGTCGCGATGCAGCCAGCGGCGTCGACATCCTCTTTCGAGCTGGGGAAGCGGTGGCGAGCAGTTGGGCGCCGGGGGGGAGGCCCCATTTTAGCCCAGTGCGAAACAAGTTGCGGCCACGATGCTCCCGGCGGGCTCCCAGCGGGCTCCCAGCTGCGGGATCCAGGAGGCGGCCACGGCGCGCGATGCTGAAGTCGGCCTCCTGAGACGACCCCTGATTGCGATGCGCCCACGACGATGCCCGTTCCGGGCCCCTTCTGCTGGCCCAAACTCCTTGAGCGACGCAGGCCTCCACCGGCACCAGCCACAGCAGGCCCAAGACGTCACGGTTGCATGACATCAACGGTGCGGCCGCCGCGTTGGAGGCTTCTCTGGCCGTCCCGCCTCCTTTGACGTGCAGCAAGCCCTGATATCCCTCGCGGCCCGCCATCGCGTCCCTGCGCGCTCGACGACGTCCAGCCACAGCTCTTGCAGGTGAATACTCTGACGCACGGCCAGATCAACTCGATACCCGGCGGAGGTGCTCCTCGTCCTCCCATGTGCTTCGCTGCCAAGCAGGCCTCGGACGATGCCGCCGGCGGCCACGCGGTGCTTCGTAAAGAGCCCGAGATAATCTCGCCGTCGCTCGCTATCACAGCGTCGAGTCAGTGCGACGGCCGTCGGCGTGGCGGCAACGTGGGGATCGGCACAGATGGCACGGCGTGCTGTGGTGCGGCGATGCTGAAGCCAAGACGAGGCTGCGGTGCTGCTGGGAGAGAGATGAGAGCAGCCTCGAGAGAAGGTGCTCGTGATGCCCTCAGGCCCGGGGCTTCTGCCAGATCCGTCTGTGCAGTCCCACGATTTGGCTGGGCCGGTGCGAGATGCACACGCCAGGCCCTTCGCCCAAGGGAGATCACCACGCCCGGCACCGAACGCCACGGCCCGAGTGCAATTCATCAACACGAACAAACACGCTGCTTTCCCTGTTCCTGCCAGCCCGACAGCTGCTATGTACACACCTGCAGGCAGGACTCTCCAGCATCCTTCCGGGCCGGGTGTGTTGCAAGACGGCGAATCACACTCCGGCCAACGCTTCTCCCAACTGCATCCCCGAACAGCCGCTTCCTCTCCGCGCGACTCGGCAGGCCTCTCACACGGGCCTTGCTGTTCCAGGACCCGTCCAACACGCGGCAGGGCGGGCATGAAGCCGGCGAGCTCAGCCTCATACCCGCGTTTCACCACTCGAAACCCCCGCGCATCCTCCACCACAACACAGCTCGCTGTCTGCTTCAGGCCTTGCTCAGTCAGTCTATGCTATTCTGGTCGGCCGCCACACCAGACGGCGCGAAGCTGGAATCAGGCCATCACGGCAGCACCGCGGCTACGCGCCCCCAGCGCCAGCCGTGCAGCGTTAAGTTGGCCCTCTAGCTTCACGCAGAGGCCTATCGCCAGTGCCATCCCGGCTGTAGGGCGTCTGATATCAGAGCGTCCTTCTGGAAGCATGCCTCTTTGAGCGTAGCTCGCCTGGGCTGGCAGGCGGGCAATTTCCAGAAGCCTTCCTGTTGCGACGTGCACATTTGCACAGCGTCTCGTGCGCCCCGTCCCCTGTTTCTGGAACATTACTCCTCTTCGTCCACTGGCCCATTCCCCCCAAAGAGCTCGGATGCTTTCCGCTCCGGGGCTCTCCAGCCTTGGCTTGCGGTCCTCCAGCCTTGGCTTGCAATCCACCAGCCTTGCCAAAGCGTATGTCGCAGCATGTGCTCACAGCTTCGAGGGGTTCGCGGGAAACGACCCAGCAACACAACACCTGTCAAAATCGTAGCAGTCATCTCTCTATGACGCACCCTAGTCACGGCTCAAAGCGCCCGAAACTTCCTGGCCAGGATCGTCCGGAGAGGAGGATTCATTCTCCAGAAACCTTCATCTCCCCTTTGTGTTCAATCAGCGCATCACCGCGAATCAGCGTCTCCCAACCTTATATTCAGCAGTCATCCTGAGGCATGTCGTCAGAGAGGTCCTCAGGTCCGGGAAGCCCGGGCTGCCTGATCCGTGACGACGTTAGAGGGGCACCACACCCTGCTAGCCTCTGGTGAAGCAGTGCGCGCCGGCCCTACTTCTCGCACACGGACCAACGCAGTTCCGACCTGGGCATGGCTGTTTCAATGCGGATACCGCTTCAAGCTTTGAAAGCTCCCCGTTCTAGTCACCCGGGCTTACCTAGGGGCAAATACCCTCGCTAACCGCATCCTCCCCGTCTGCTGTGCGGAGTTCTTGGTAGGATCGCAGGTGGCAGATACGCAGCTGGTCCGAACTTGAATCCGAATATCAGGAACCAGAATCCTTACTTTTTTCCATAATGACGACGTCCGCGTTTCGAAGACCAGCCACGGTTCCCACCCTCCTCGATCCTACCTCACGAAACAGCCAGGCAGGAGGTACCGGACATTGTTTGTCTGCTGTTTTCACTGTCGTACAAAAATAGAAATGGCGAACACCAGGAAATGGGAGGGGCTATATCCTGTGAAGCGAAAGATCTCAATCGTTCGTTGAGTGGTTTGTAGCGTTTGGCGGGCAGATGTTCTACAGGGGCCATCCTCGAGGGTGAGTCTTCTCAGCCCTAAAGAGAACTGATGAAACACGTCGACAGTTGAAACGATGACTAGAGTCCAGGAGGAAACAACGTGACGCACGCAGGAGACCGCCATTCATTCTCGGCAGATGTCTCTTTTGCTGTCAAGTTGTCACCTTTCCCTCTTTCTTCTTCTGCACACCGCTGTTGGTAAATTTATGGGGACTTCGTAAACTGACACACTGACCACGCTTATGGGAACATGATTATCACTCACGATCCTGCATCTAAAAACCGCATAGCAAAGATATACCTCGCACCAACAGGCCGCGTGGCCCAGTGGTGAGGCGCTTAACTACGATTAATCGGAATCAAAAGATTCTAGGATATGCATTTCTACTAAGAACATCAAAATGACATCACTAACAACGACTTCAGCGTGGCCCCTAGCGTGGTCCCATTGAGAACTCTTTCTGAGTTGATGGCTACGAGGTGCTTCTCTTTCAAGCCAGTGTCCACGTATCTAGGTATACATTCACAGGTTGGGCTTAAAGGAGAGCCTCTTCACAAAGGATGAAGAGTTGGGTTAGTCTCAGCCTGCGTCTGTGCCCGAGACAAGGCCTCGGCTTCTCCTCATGTAAGAAAAAGGCTTTTTTCCTTGAAACATATGCCTCGGGTCCCAATTTTCCATAACACACTGGAGCACTCCAGACCACCGATTTATCGCGCTCGAGCAGACGTTGCAAGAAGGCGGAAAAAAAGCCTCAAGAGCATATACCAGTCGAACAGGCCACGCGAGGGAATTCAAATTTATCGAGGACCTGTTTGCTAGGGATCAGACCCGCTTCCAGCAATACTTTTGAGTTAACACAAATTTACCGTCTAATTTGGAGTCTTCTGCAATAGCATGCCAAAATCGTGTCGAAATCGCACGGACTGGCTTCCGGTTATGCATCTTAACAACGCCAAAGTTGAGCCAATTCCTTGGCCGAGATTTAGAGCGTCACGGATTTGACATTGTTCTCTGGACTGATTTGGGATGTCCTGCAATAACATGCCAAAATCGAGTCTAAATCACATGGACTGGCTTCCGTTTATACAACGCACCCAGCACCAACTTTATATCCGTAGCTTGATTCAGGGCACCACATGCTCTTCATCCTATATGTGGTTTGAAATCAAGCTGGACTTGTATCCGGTTGACAATAGGTTCAACGGCCGGACTGGCTCCCGTTCTTATTCTCAATGTAAGTTATTTTCCTATTACCGATTCAGAAGCTCCATCATGCGTTTCTGGGCCACCTTCGATCTCAAATTTGACTGAGGTTTAAATACCTAACGGAATTCTGGTTTACCTCACATAAATGCTCCTTACCTCTGACTTAATTTAGGGACGCCAACAAACGTCTGTAGTATCCGCCTAAATCACGGCTCGAGAATTTCAGAACCTCTCCAGATTTCTTTTCATACCATAGAGCGCTTCAGACAGCGTTGCCCGATTGTCAAAATGCATGCTAATCTGAGTCAAATTACGAACTCTTGAAATCGAGGCTAAGATGAACACCGTCTATATATATTCTCAGCTCATTTTTTAGCAATATGTACATCTAATAAGTCATTTCAAAGTTTCTCCAATCCCCTGGGTACTCCTCCCGTACCGAACAGCTCCATCTTAATGCGACCAGCATCCACTCCATACGCCTTCAGCTTCGTCTCAACATCCACCATGAACCCCTCGGGCCCACAGATAAAGTACTCCGCCCTCTCATCTCCTAAGAAAAGATCCTTCTCTCTATCCAGGGCCCCCAGATCCATGCGCCCCCCAAGCGTATCAAACAACACCGCATGCACATTGTCTGCCGTCTTCTCCACCTCCTCCACATGCCCCCGAAACCCCCGCACACTCGCATTCCGCGCCGCATGAATCCACGCCACCTTCCGCCCACTCTTCCGCTCCACCAACGCATTCAACATCGCCATCAAACTCGTCAGCCCCACACCCCCCGAAATCAGCACCACGGGCCCCTCCCCCTCCACCTCGAGATAGAAATCCCCATACGGATGCGCCACACCCACCACGTCGCCCACCGCCTTCTCCGCATGCAGGATATTCGACACCCACCCAGGCTGCCCCTTCTCCACCCCCGGCCCCGCCGCCGCACTCACCAGCCCGCTCTCCCGCTTCACACTAATCCGGAAATACCCCTTCCCCGGCGCATCGCTGAGGCTATACTGCCGCGCCTGCAGCACGCCCTCCCCGAGCTGCGGGACCGGCACCTGCACGCTGACATACTGGCCGGGCTTATACCGCGGCAACTTCCCTCCATCGACCGGCTCGAGGTAGAAACTCGTGATCTCGGCGCTCTCAACCTCCTTGCGCGCGACCCTGAACTCGCGCCACCCCTGCCACGCCGCCTGCGCGTAGAGCTCGGCTTCCGCCGCGATCATGATGTCCGCGAGCTGCCAGTACGCCGCGGCCCACGCGTCTTTCACTTCGGCGGTGAAGACGGCGGGGGTGAGGACGTCCTCGAGCGCGGCGAGCAGCCCCGTGCCGACGACGCCGTACTGCGCGGGCGTGATGCCGAGGGAGGCGTGCTTCGCGCAGATGAGGGCGAGGGTGGGGGACAGCGCGCCGAGGTCGTCGATGTGCGTGGCGTAGGCGAGGAGGGCGCCGGCGAGGGCGCGGGGCTGCGCGCCCGTGGCTTGGTGGGTCGCGCTGAAGATGGAGCGGAGGGGCGGGTGGGCGGCGAGGAGGGTCGTGTAGAAGTGGGTTGTTATGGTGGTGCCGTGGGTTGCGAGGAGGGGCGCGGTGGATTTGATAATGGCGGTTTGGGAGGGGGTTAGGGGGGGTGCCATGGTGGTTGGGTAGACGACGACGCGATGGGTGAGGGATGGGGGGTTGCGATTCAGTGTGGTGTAGCAGGTGTGGAGCTCGATGGTGTGGTATAGACTCCCTTTGAGGATAGTTCAGGTTGAAGATTACAGATAGATAGTGTAGGATATAAGAAACCTTGACGATATTATGAAGCAAGCAGACTGACGAAACGCTACTCAAAGCATCACCCACCACCGACCTTATATACAACCCCCCAACCCTCCCCCCCAATGCCCTCTATCCCGCGGATTTGCATCTTAAACCCTCAGCTCCCACCCTTGCACAACCTGCCCCGTTCCCCCAGGCACCCTGCTTGCTTACCACCCTCTCCGCATCGAGCCGATGGCAAGCCGTGGGCCCAGCATCTTACGAGAATTTACGTACTCACCTCGCCCCACTCACAGCCAAAGCTCCTCTACGTCTCCAGCTCTCAAGAAGCTGCATCGCAACCCCGCATCCAGCGGATCAGCATCAGCATCAGCAAGGCCGACATTGGAAGTGTGCAAGTAAAAAAAAAAGGGTTGTAGATTGATCCGTAGATAAGAGAACAAATTGTCTCTCTCCTCTCGCGCAGGCTTTGGAAACTAGTTAGTTACACCAACCCATCCAAACGGCCGGCCCCCCCCCCCCGGGCGTGGGATGCTGCTGCTCCTGGCGAAAAGGATGTTGCAGTAGCAGTTGACTCACCACCGGAACGAGCTACGACCCTGATTCACACATCACTCCATGCCCGCCCGTCACCGCGCCGTTCCGCCCATGTTTTCGTCGTGGTTGTTGAAGCAAGCTTTCTCCGCGGGGGGGGTTGACGGTCAGGTGAGACGCGCGGGTTGAACCACCAACGTCGAAATCTTAAAATCTGATGTCTCCAACCTGCGACGCGAAAAAGGATATCATAGCAGTTAGCCAGCCACGAGATAAGGACGCAGCAAATCGTATTCTCAGCGCGGAGAAACCCAACGCTTTGCAAGATCAGTTTCGGGGGTTGAGCGCGAATAGGAGGAGTTCGTAGGAGCATAATCACGTAGAATAAGCGTCAGTGGTAGAGCAAATAAGATCTATTCGTCCGAGCAACTACTACTATCAATCCCCCATGAATTACCCTCACTTTAGCCATACTTAGCTTCAGCACCCGATCAGCCGCCTCTCTCCACAACACTCCCCTACTCCATCCACCACCTAACCACCATAACCCCCCAATCAGCCACCACTAACCATCAAAACTCGACTGAAATGTTAGGTATCTCACCCGCAACCCAGAGCGCAAAGCATGCCCGATCCATCCCGCCCATAGGACCTGCTCGCGCAGCCTTGACCGCTCTATAGTACACTAAAAGAAGAAAGAAAAAAGGGGTGGTGTGTAATGGGTAAGAGAAGAAAAGTCAAAAGTCAGAAGGCCGCACCTTGCCACACCATCCGTAACCAGTGAAGGCGTAGACGAAATAGAAGGAGCTAGCAGACCAGCCTCCAAAAGCCCGAAAACGGCAGAACCCCCGGAAAGAGGGAAGGATAAACCGGTTTCGGGATTGAGGAAAGAGTCGAAGAGACTGTAAAAGAACTTTTGGAAGCAATCGGGATTCCGCCACACCGATGACCAGTGAATTTGAGAGACCGTGACCGAGCGCCATTCGCCAATGAACTGAAACCAGAGGAGCCGCAGTGGGAAGAGGCGGCATGGAGGAAGGCTGGCGAGGGACGCCTAAGCCTTCTCCTCCTTGACCTCCTCCTTCTCGTCAACGCCCTTGGTCTTGACATAATCATCGTAAACGCTCATAGCCTCCTGGACCTTGGCCCGGAGTGCTTCGTCATCACTCGTGCTAAATAGCTGTCAGCAAGATCCTTGCAGACTGGAAATGTGTACTTACAGGTTGATCAGCTCGGCATTGTCCATCTCCAGAAGCATACCGGTGATCTTGCCGGCTAGCTCCGGCTGCTGTTCGAAGATCTTGGGGTAGAGCGCCTCACCCAGGATCTGCTTCTGCTGAGGAGGAGGAGCCTGGCTGAGAGTGCTCACGTCGACACCAACGGCCGGGGGTGGTTGCGGGATGCCACCAGCTTGAGGTCCACCCCGACCTTGCGGGAAGGGAGACATCTGCTGTCCTGGTCGTCCTGAGACAGCTCCACGAGCGCCAGCGCCTTGGCTGAAGTTAGCTCCACCACGCATGGCCGGAACGGTAGGCATCTGGGGCGGCATACCACCTGGCATGCCAGGCATGGGTGGCATTGGGCCTCGGCCGCCGGCACCGCGACCACCCATAGCCTGCTGAGCCTGGGCTGCCTGAGCCATCTGTTGGATGTATTGTTGTGGGTTGATGTACGGCGGAAGAGCGCCCGGGGGCATGTTTGGAGGGAAACCATACATGGGTGGCAGCTGCTGAGCAGCGTTGGCACCACCACGTCCGCCCTGCTGGCCAGGGAACGCAGCTCCACGGCCTCCTTGGGGAATGGCCTGGGGGTAAGGCAGCTGTCCGCGAGCTCCCGGAGGGAACACCATCGGCTGTTGACCAGGTGCCATGAACATCTGAGGTTGACCGAAAGGTGCGTTGACAACACCGGCAGCGTTCTGCGCAGCTGCCTGTAAGCGCATCTGGTTGCGGGCCTGGATGGTGGCTTCCAGTTGATTCTTGCGGACGTCCTTGCGCTGGGCGAGGGCAACGTACAGCGGCTTGCTGTTAATCATCTTCTGGTTCATGTCGGTCACGGCTTTGGTAGCCTCATCGGGGTTGCTGAAGCAGACGAAACCGAAGCCCTTGCTCTTGCCGAGGATCTTCTTCTCGCCCTTGATGGTAACCTTGACCTTCTCCTTGTCCTCATCCCCGGAGCTCTCCTTGGCTTCTTTCTCGCCATCCTTCGACTCCTCGCCTTCCTTCTTCTCGTCCTTCTCCTCGGAAGGAGTCTCGGCACGGTCGGCGGGAATGGCATCGCGCATAACCTTGGCAGAAGTGATGGTGCCGAAGGGAGCAAACAGATCGCGAAGCTTGTCGTCATCAACGTCGTCGTCAAGGTTCTTGACGTAGAGGTTGACACCCTGGTATTTGGATTGCTTCTCCAAGCGGGCCTGCTCATACTGCTTGCGCAGCTCCTCCTCACGCTCGTGCTTCTTCTGGGCGCGCCCAACGTACAGCTTCTGGCCCTTGAAATCAAAGTCATTAAGCGTCTCGACAGCGGTTGCGGCGTCCTCGTGCTTGATGTAGTTGACAAAACCGAACCCACGGCTCTTGCCAGTCTCGGAGTCGTGTGCGAGGGAGGCAGAGGTGATCGGACCGTGCTTCTCGAACAGGTCGCGGAACTCGTCGTCGGTGACTTCGAGCTCCACGTTCTTGACGTAGATGTTGGTGAAGTTGGCCTTCATCTCCTCAAACTTGCTCAAGCGGTCCTTCTTGGGGATGTGATGACCGACGAACACCTTCTTCTCGTTCAACAACATGCCGTTGACATGCTTGATGGCGTTGGTGGCCGCCTCAGCAGTCTCGTAGTGAACGAACCCATAGCCCTTGGAGTTTCCCAGCTCGTCCTGGGCGACCTTGCAGCTAAGGATGTTGCCGAAAGCGGCAAAAGTGTCGTGCAGAGCCTTGTTGTCGATGGCGATATCCAAGTTCTTGATGAAGACATTACCCTGGCCAGTCTTGCGCAGAGCAGGATCGCGCTGCGACCACATGATGCGGCATGGCTTGCCCTTGATGACCGTGTAGTTGAGCTCCTCGAGAGCCTTCTCGCCATCCTCAGAGCTGTTGTAGTTGACGTAGGCGTAGCCGAGCGAGCGGCGGGTGACGGCGTCACGGCAGACACGGATGGAGGCGACTTGGCCAATGGACGAGAAGAGCTCGAAGAGCATGGCCTCGGTGACGGAGGGGTCGAGCTCGCCGACATAGAGCGAGGCAGAGTTCTGGTGGGCAGTCGACGGGGCGGCAGAGGTCGGGGTAGCAATATCGCCAGACTGCTGCGAGGGCGGCACGTTGGTGTTCAGGGTGGTGCCGTTGGCCTCAGCGCCATCGTGGGCGGGCGAAGTAGAATTTGCAACTTCAGACATCTTGGTACACTAGAAAAGACGGGTGTCAGCGGAAGGCCAGGCTTCAGAGGGAAATGCGCGTGGTGGAGAAGCCGGAGGAGTCGGGAGCTGGGGGTCGGGCGTATGCTGCAGGCGCGAGGCTCACCAGAGTCAGCTCTAGGGAGAAGCTGGGGCTGCGTCGTTAAGCGTGTGTGCGGCGTAGGATATGGGGCAAATCCAAGAGCGTGGCAGATGGCGCTTCTACGGGCAGCGACGGGAGGGCGAGAGGCGCGTGGGGAGCGTGTCGGGCGGGTGAACGACTGGGAGTGAGGGTGGCTTTAGTCGGGGCGACTTGAGCTGCTTTTTTTCGGGTTTTAACGTTTTTTTGGCGGGCTTTAGAAGTTTTCTGAAGGGGGGGTGGGGGGCTGGAGAGAAGTCTCCAGGAGAAGCTTGCTCTTGTGTGGATGTGGGTGGTGTTGGATGAAAGAGTGAAGAAGCCACTTAGGCCTGCACACAAGAAAATTATTCCGCCTGTCTGCCCCTGCACGTGATCTAACGGCGGCGCTACTGCCGCCCGGGCCACAGCTCCTGTCAACCAACAAGCAACGGTGCGCCAGACAGAGGTAGGCGGCGCTGGAATGCTGCGAAAGCTCGATGCAGCACGTTTGACAAGAGCCTGGGAGCCTGGGAGCGTGCAAGGGCTGTGCCAACGCTGGAGGGCGCTTCGTCGGCGCCATGGAAGGAACAATGTAAGACATCAAAGGTGCTAGCACTGCGTCAACGGCTCTTCACTCAAAATATCGAGAAGCACATAGTATATCGTCATAGATGTCCGTACACGTTTCTGTTCCTGCATGAAGCGCTTCTACGTGTTTCCCGAAGACTGACCATGATGAAAGCCCGTCGTTCTGAACAGTCTGTAGGCTCGTTGGGCTACCTCAGCAGCACCCTAGCGGCATGATACCAACAAGTTTCTCAACAGCCCCACCAGAACTACAAGAGAGTGCACAAATCGATGGCGAGACAGTTTATTAGGAGTTCTCAGCTTGACTATGCATTAAGGCGGTCCGCTTACCGTCTAGCTAATATATACAGAGCGATATATCCGACATAGTGGCCAACAGGTCTGCTCTCCAGACAACACAAACGTGGACAGCTGCTTTTTCGATGGCCAAAGGAGATCGGCTGCGAAACACTCTACAGCAGACGCTTGCTAACAATGGGTATCTGGCGCGCAAGAAACAATCAATCGCTCAAACTCTCGTCCCACCCGCCCTCGTCCACCAAAAACTGCTCGACCCGCGTCTTGCAGTCGTTCAGGCCTTGCCCGAGAGCCTCGCGCCACTGCCCTTCAACCAGACCCACCTTCTCCTTGAGGTCCTCCGTCAGCCGTCGTTCCTCCTCGTCTCGCACCGCCTTCATCTCGCGGTCCACGCTGGCGAAGTCCTCGCCCGCTAGATAGCGCTGCGTCTCCAGGAGGCGGGAATTTGCCGTCATCACGCCCGTCTTGACCTCATGCAAGAGACAGAGCAGGTTGATCTGCGACTCGATGAACTGGTACGCCGACTTCCCGGCATGCGCGAGCAGCGAATAGAGGTACTGCAACGGGAAGTCGTGATACGCCGGGTTCTCCTCAAACTCCTGCGGCGGGATCAAGATCTCGAACCCAGCCAACTGGCTAGGAATCTTCTGCACGATAGCCAATAGGCCAGGCGCAATGTCCCAGAACGCCGAAAGCTGGATTTCGACGCCTCTGGTAACGTTCCCTTCGATGACGGCAATGAACTCTTCGAATCGCTTGAGTGTCTCCTTCTCGAACACAACCTTTCTGTCTTGTGCGTCGCGCCGGAAGAAGTTTTCGGCTTCTCGCACTTTGCTATCGTTGCCCACTTGCTTGTATGGCGTTATAACGATGTCCTTGTAGCGATCGTTTCGCTCGTCCTCAAGCTCAAACATTTCCCGATGCAACTGTTCCCGCGCTTCGAAGAGCCATTTAAGCAACGTCAGCTTCTCCAAAAGCTCGGGCTGCTCGTCACCCTCTTCTTGAGTCTGATTAGGATTTGATTCCCGCGCGTCGTTGAAAAGGCCGCTGCGAAGTTGTTCAATTGACGCAGATATCTTTGTAACGCGTTCCGAAAGCATAGCATGCAAAGGGCTTGCAACCTCCTTCTGGAATTCGTCGAAAGTACTTTGAACCAAGTCCTGGCTTCGTTTGTTTTCCCGTGCATCAAAGTCGGCCTCGGCGGCTGCTGCGTCTGCGAATGACATCGCACCGGTGCGGATATTTTCTTGAATATTATACCGAAGCTGGTTGCGTCTATCTGACAGGTTTGTCCGTTCCTGCTCTCTATGTGCATTATTCTTGGTAGCGAAGTTCTCCTTCATTGGTGCAACATCTTGCAGATCCGAAAGTGTCCGCAGACTGGATCGGATTGAAGCAAGGTCAGGGTGATTGTTGTTCACGGCGGGATGATGGCGAGGATATGGCGGTGGAAGCGTTACCAGTCGCGAGACATCTAGCTTATATGGATCCGGGGTCGCGGGGGCGGAATGCGAGTACAGACTGTACGAATGGCTGGACGGCGGATATGAAAGATCGTGGAGCCCGCTCTTCTCAGGAGGGTATTCGTCTGGTCCATAGGAGTGCGGCTGGGTGCTCGGCCCCGGGCCGTATGACGGCGACGCTTCGGCCTCCCATTGTAGATGCTCTTGTGCTTCTCGCGGTAGACCCATGTATTTGGATTCTCTCTTGCTTCGCTCGATCCGTTTGCCGCCTCGACCGTCAGAGCCATCTGCGCTGGCTTCCCACCACCGACTTGCCGACCTTCCACGTGAGTCTTCTTCCTCCGCTACCGTGCTGACCGTCATACTAGGAATTGGGGAAAGGCATGGCTGGAAGCTGTTCCATGCTTGACTTTCTCCTCGTCCCCTTCCTTGACTTGAGGCGCTCGCTGGTGAACTCGGTTCGGTGTGTGGAGTATCCATGGCCATCGACGAGGCAGGACTAGCAGCAGTGGTCGGAGCGCTGATTCTCGCATCAGGAGACTCTTCTACAGTCGATGCCTGTGATCTTCGGCCACTTGCACTCGGAAGAGCGGATGCGTTTGGTGTAGTTGAGCGCCGTCCAGTAATCCCATATGACCTCCACATATCCCTTGTAAGATCTAGGATGTCACTGGCCATCGCATCGAAAGCGGTCGAGTAACGATCTCGCCGAAGCCTCGACTCCGCCACGATGAATTCCGCGAAGAGTTCTAGTCTATCTTGATCACTTTGGGCTGATATTTCTTGTTCGATGAACTTGCGATGGCGTTCGATAGCTGACTGAGCAAACAGATCCCGTTCGCTGGGCTTAGGAGTACTGGTGTTCAGACCAGCTGAGGTCGGGGCAGAAGGTGGACGAGCTGGAGAAAGTGGCGCAGGCATCGACCCAGCTTCCATATTCGGTGTGTGCAGTATGTGAGAAATTGGCCGCGGGGTTTGTTGTTTAGGCACGGACAAGCCGTATTCATCCCCCACATGCTGAGGCGGTGGTGTGGGAAGGGTCTTCGGTGGTATCGCTGGAGAACCTCTCTGGACAATACTTTGCTTGAATCTGTCGGCACCTGGAGAGAATGGTGGCGTTGGCGCAAACATCTCAGGAGACCTAATCCTATTAACCTCCACTCTAGGCGTTGAGTTATTGGAGCCTGGATCTTGCAGGTCATCATATGACCTCGTGGTTCCTGACAGCGTCTGCCCGTCTCTAGGTGAGTACATGTTTCGTCCACTCCTTGGAGTGCCTTTCGCCGCTCCTCGTCGTCGGCTAAGTGCACCATCTGTCGTGCTGGCTAGAACCAAATCAGCCGGCTTCGAAGAGGCAGCCTCCATATCGATAGCCCATGGATTGTTGTTAGGCTCGGCAGCTCTGGGTGCTTCTGCCGCCCTATCCACCGCCCTTTCACGTGCGGCGCGGCTTTCACTCCGTCGTTCCCGTATGCCTCTGGCACTCGGATCACGTTTTGCTGGAGTCCGCGCCAAACCACCAGACGAGAGTGTGGACGACAAAGCTTGGTCGAGATTTGATCCCGATCCCGATCCCGATCCCGATCCTGACCCTGACCCTGACCCTGACCCTGACCCTGACCCTGACCCTGGGTTAATGGAAGTAGCTTGGGCTCGTGGCATATACAATCCGTGGCCAGTGGTATCCAGATGTAAGCCATGAGCAGCAGGAGATCTCGACCGAGCTCGATCAGCTTCATCTTGCCATCCTATTGGAGTTGGCGGTATGGGAGTCAGGCTTGTTCCGGTCTGCGCAGGTCGTCTGGTCGGAGGGGCAGGCACTGGACCATCTCCTCTTGTAAAGGAGTTCGGTGTACGGCTCATGCTTTGGGACCTCGAATTGCTTGGCGGAGGGCCAGGTGGCGGAGGAGGCAGTGGCATTCCCGGTTCCCAAGTTTGGCCGAGCAATGGAGAATGGTCGATAGGAGTCCTACCGCTTGCGCCTGCTAGGCCTATGGCGCCTGTCGAAGCTGCCCGGCGGGCGGCCGGTGCTCTCGCTGGAGAGTCTGGACTCCATCGGCGTTCTGGTGGAGGAATCGAAATTTGACTGTCAGACGTCAGTGAGATCCAGGAAATGACTAGTAGCGCACTCACGGCTGCGACGGCCTTGACCCATGACCGGGGTTGAGCGAATTACGGGATAGTACATCGCTCGTACTGATACGCAGAGATTCAATGGCGCTAGGCGGCGTGGTATTGTCTGAAGCGCGGCCCCTCGTCAAGCTGGAAAGATTGAAGAGCGAGTGCTGCTTTTCTGGTCTTGGCCGTGACTCTGAGTGATCTCTACGACTCTGAGGGGGAGGGGGAGGAAATGAGGGCGTTCCGGGAGGGTTCAAAGCACTGGAAGGTACTGAGGATGCCGTTGATATCCTATTATCGAAACCAGGCGGTGACCTATAGTAGTCTGATCCAGACGATGTCCGATGCTGCAGTAGATATTCGCCGTGGCCAGAGCTCGGAGACGGGTTATGGGAGGGGGCAAAAGCTCCACTGGACATATGGGGAGAGGCACCTATGGGAGCTTGTCCAGGAGTGTACGGTGGAGGAGGAGACGGCAGATTTGCTAGAGAAGATTCAGCCCCGTTACTCGAAATAAGGATCAAAAGAGAATGCAGGAGGCCGGAAATCTTGCTTGGTCCACAATGGAACGTCGTACGGGACTATGTCTTCCAGCTAGGAGTTTGACAGTTGAGAAAGCAATTACCCTCCAGTCCGGTCAATTCCCTCTGCCTCGGCGGTACGGTAGCTGATTGCGGGCTCGAATGCGGAACATATGTCCCTCCCGTAGGCCCGTTCCGTCCCCATTGCTGCGGATTGTACGGGGCTGCCATGGACGCAGCGCTCCGCAGAGCCATCGGCGAAGTACCTCTCGATTCTGCGGGCGCGGAAAAGTTGGAGGGAGCGTATGGCGAGAAGGGCGTGCTTAAGGAGGTCGCGGAGGCTGGCGTCTGCGTATGCAGGAACCCTCCTTGCTGCGGGGCCAAGGCGGTGGTGATTGTGGGCGGTTGAAGGGCAAGGCGCCTCTGGGGAGACGGCGCTCCTCCTTCGCGAGGAGCAGAGGTTGGCGGCGGTGGAGGGGGCGGCGGCGGGAGAGAGGCGTGATAGCCATACTCAGCACTCATGGCGGCGGTGACAGGGCGTGTGTGAGCGCCGAAGCCTCCAGCGGCTGCTGCGACTCGAGCAGCGAATCCAGGCGGGCCTCTGCTGGTGATAGAGGAGCTCTGCAGGCCGAGAGGTGTTGGTCACTCGAGGGAGAGCCACAGCAGAAGGCACCACGGCGGGGGGGTCCAGGCACCCTGGCGCATGGTGGACGTTGGGCGGGAGAGAAGCTTCGTGCGGGCGTGGTGTTGTGATGGACTGAGGGCTACGGCCACCGCCCATTCGTTCCCTCGCACAAGGCTCGCCGGCGACCTTTCCTGAAGGCGTGCGGGCCCCAGCATCGGGGGGCAAGCGAGCATGGAGGGCGAATAGGAGAGGGTTCGCCTCGGGGTGCATGAAAAAGCACGGCCTGGGAGGCCATGCAGCATCCCTGTGCTCCATCAACACGGCGCTTAACGGGCTCCCAGGGCTGGCCGGCACCTCTCCCGCGGCTGCCACTGCGCCCGCTGCCGGCGTGGGATGGAGGTGCAATTCTCAATCGCCTGAAATCTCCGAGTCTGGTCGCTGCAGGACGCAGTTCTGGGACGATGCCGCCCCTGAAGCCTGAGAGGAGGCTGCTCAAGTGTCGGCGAGCGATTGAGATGTATAAATAGCAAGCACCAGCTCCAGCGAGCTCGTATAGGGGCTAGCTCAGGACGGCGATAGTGGACACACGGCGCGGAAGATCCGAACGCTATGTGAGCTAGTGCAGTGTGAAGTCTGATAGAGACGCGAGCGGCGGCCAATGGAGCGCAAACGGTGTCTGAGGCAGCGAGAACCAACTGCCACCAACACCACCACGCCGGCCAGGCGCTTGCATTGGTCCGCCATCTGAGTCGGCATCGCTAGGACTTCTCTAGCGAGTTAGAAGGGGAGCATAATGGTTTGGTAAACCGGTGAGAGCTGCAGCTGTCGCAACTGTCGGTGAACCCTGCCCAGGAGGTGTGCACAAGGCGTGCCACAGAGCGACAAGGCTTCCAATTAACATGCGGTGCGTTTTAATTTCTCTATGCTGCCTAGCGAGACGCTGAGTATAAGCAACCAGGTCGGCGCCCTGACGTGAAAGACCACTCGGAAAAGAGACTGCCTGACGAAAACTAAACCTGCTCAGTACTTCTTGTGAACATCCAGAACTTTTTGCACTTCGTTGTAGCTGCCCATAAAGATACCAGACCGGTCGTGGATGTGCTCTGGCACGACTTCCAACATGCGCTTCATGTTGCTGTCTACCGCTTGACCGCCAGCTGTAACCTGTCAGTACCGTTCTGCATGAAATCTGGGCAGTGCATACCGTTCTCAAACACCAACGCCATCGGCGCGCACTCGTACAAAATCCGCAGCTTCCCCTTGGGGCTCTTCTTGTCTGCTGGATACGCAAATATGCCGCCGTACAACAGCGTCCGGTACGCATCAGCCACCATGGACCCGATGTATCTCGCGCTGTACGGCTTTCCGCCCTCCTCTGGGTACTTCAAACTGTTGACGTACTCCTTGATCGGATCGGTCCAGTACAGGCTGTTGCCCTCGTTGACCGAGTAGATCGCCCGCGACTTCGGCACCTTCATGTCTGGATGCGTTAGGATGAATTCGCCCAGCGCGTTGTCCATGGTGAAGCCGTTGACAGTTCCGCCCTTCATGGTCAGCACCAGCTGGGCCGAGGCACCGTACATGGTGAAGCCGCTGGCTACCAGCTCAGTTCCCGGCTTGAGCAGGTCTTCCTTGGTGCCTTCCGCGTCCTCTGGGAGCTTGAAGATGCCGAAGATGGTCCCAACCGATACACCGGCGTCCAAGTTGGACGAGCCGTCAATTGGGTCGCAAACGACGCCATACCGGGCAGCTGGGTGCTCGCTGAACGTGATGGCCTCGTCCTCTTCCTCGGAAACCAGTATCCTGACCCGGCCACAGCTCTTCATAGCGGCGATGAAGATGTCATTGCCAATCACGTCAAGCTTCTTCTGGTCATCTCCGGTCATGTTCGAGGACCCCGCCAGCCCAGTGAGCTAGTATCGACCTCAGCATACAGTATCATGTTTTATAGAGGAGCCGTCGGGACTCACGTTAATCAGGGTGGCTCGGCGGATGTAGTAGGCAATGCTCTTGAAGGAGAATTGGAGGGCATGGCAGAGGAGTCTATCGGAGCAGTCAGCAGTCATTCATGCTTCACAGCGCTCATGTCTCGTACGTGAAGTCTCCCGTGGCCTCCTTGTGCTTCGCTTGCTCTTCGGTCAAGAATCTTGTGAGGGTCACAATGTCTGTGTTGATCTTCTCCGCCCCAACTGCTCCGACTTCATTGTTGCCGTTCATCGTGAATGTGGAGAGGTTGCGTGAGGGTGTAGGGGTAGCACAGATGGGCAACGAGCAATTCACTGGGTATATCTCAGGGAGAAGGATCGCAGCAGAGGCCTGGTTTCAGGTGGCTAGTATCGGGCACGCGGACCAACGTTCGGTATCTGCTTGGTTCGATGGTTGGCTGGATACACTCGCCCTCGGCAACGCGATTGCTGCGGTCACGAGCTGTAGAGAGCGTGCTGGTTGCGGCGGCGAGAGCAGACGAGCTGGCAGAGAGTGTTGCGCAGCTTGTGGGGCCATCGGCAGCATTTCTAGGCCTTGTGGTGGCCGTCTCGTGCCTTTGTTGGACCGTGAAGATGACGATGGAGCGCGTCTCGATGCGGGGCGCTGTTCTCTCCGGAATGCGCTGCCCGACATCTTCCGTCGACACGCTCTGCCACTGCCTTGCCGCGGGAGTGTCAGGGCGCCGCATTCACGATGCTCGTGGGAAGCTGGTGTATTTCCCTGCCTTCCTGAAGCAAACAGTTCTCTCTGGGAGCCAATATGCAGTGTCTGCTGTCCAAATATGCAGTGTCTGCTGTCCAAATAAGTCCTTCTGCGAACCACAGTGCGGGGTAGCTTCGTGAGCACAGAGAGCTTCAAACACCCCCAAAAAGCAGCAAACAAGCATTCAGAGCGTCGTAAGGCTTTGTCATATCTGTCCTGTATCGGTAGAACCCTCAGTCTCCAGTTGCTCGCACTCGTATTTCCGGAAATTTCGCCGTGACGTTCGTTCTCGGCCGTGGAAGGGCAGAACGAAGAGGGGCACCCCAGATTATCCCGCTCCGGCATCCCGAACAAAGTTGCCCCGAGGATTGGGGTCTAGCCGCCCACATTTTGACGTGGCCCTGGGGGAGGCCTGGAACGATGGAAACATCGCCTGAGATGAGGTTTGATTTACCGTCTCGAAATCTTTACATTGGTATTCAGAATTCTTCATACGTCCAGAGGTGCCATTGATATATTAGAGAGCGTGCAAAAGCGAATGAGATGAGGTCTAATTTACAGCGTTGAAATCTTTACATTCTCGGTTAGATTTCTTCATATGTCGAGGGGTGCCACTGTGCTTTAGAGGTTGTGCAAAAGTAAAACAACATAGCCTTGAAATGAGCTCTAAATCCGATGATAATAGACAGGGGCATAGAAACGAAGGTAGGTAATATGACGTCTAATTCACGATGTTGAAATCAATACATTCGCTGTTAGAATTTTTCTTCCGTCCAGGGGTACCATTAATGGTTTTATGGTTGTGCAGAAGCGATACAACATAGACCTAAAATGACTTCTAGAACTGATTACATTAGAAAGAAGCACAGAATCACAGGTGTGGCAAAATGACACTTAAATGCATCGCAAATTAGAGCGTAAACCTGTTGACCTCGGCTTGTTCAAGTCACTGCTAGACTATCAAACATGGAAAAACTGCCATATCATAAATGTGATATGGACTCAGCACAAGAGTGCAATTCCACGGGATCACAGATTGGAGCAGTTAAAATGCATGCTTGGGAATGTTATGTATCAGAGTCAGGACAGAGTCTAATTGCAATTAATCACGTCTCGTTGAATGCCCTCAGCACACCATCCTCTCCTCCCGCCGCCCACCTCCACCCCCTCAGATTTCGACCCAGCTCGGCAGCTCGTTGTCCATGGTGCGGATCTGCACCTTCATCTTGGTGCCGTGGTACCGAGTCCGCAAATGCCACTCCAAAGCGTTGCCGTTTGACCCCTCGCTAACCGCCACGAAGTCCTCCTCGACCCCCCGCTCCACCAGCTTCTTGCCTTCGAAAGAGAGCCAATTCTGCTCCTGTGTGATGTGGATGTCCAGGAGGGGCAGATTCGGGAAGTACTGGACATGATGTTCCATAAGGAGCCTCAGCGTAGGCATGATGTCGAAGTGCAACTTCTCCTTATGGAAATTCAAGTTGATGCACGCGGTGCACTTCTCCGAGTGCCTGCAGCGCCGAAAGAGTAGTTGGATCTGGAAATTCTTCAGGATGTTTGACCACACCGAGGGGACCGGGCCCAGAGGACGGTAGCTACGCAGCCTGAACCCGAAGTCGGCCGCGACGTTGGCGGTACCGGTGGGACACGTGGCGCGCATGTTCTTACGGGTACTCTCCGTCTCCATGCGCACGTCGAGTGCTTTGGGCAGTACGGGTATCATGTTGAGTCTGAGTGTAGCACCCCACGTGAACATCCGGTCGAGGATTTCGCCGCTGAACTGATGGCCAACAAGGCGTAGGTCGAGAAGTCCGTCCGTCATAGGCACTGGGAGGGGGCCTTTGGGCTTGAGTAGGTACTGGTGGTCCATGTGCAGACGCTCGTAGACGACGAGGTCGTAGATTTTGTTGCGAATTTCGCCCGGGAACTTCATGAAGTCGATCTGAATGGTATTAGCTAATGTGCACATCAACTGGAACAAGTGGAAGTTTGACCTCAGTGCAATCCACACCGCTAGAGCCGTCCTTGTTATCTATGACAGGGGAATTGTGGGCGGAGCTCTAGAATGCTGTTAGCATGTGCATAATAGGTTCAGGAGGTTGACGTCACCTTTGTCTCGGCACCCTGGGTGGCCTCGTCTTGCTTGTTGATGTCGGTCATGTTGGACATTGCGAGTGATGAAGAGCCTGTTCCTACACAGACGCTTTTCGTTGAGTCAGTTAAGGAGCACTACAGTAAGCTCAAGCTTTAGCAATGCGAACGGCCGGGGTGATGGCGGAGGTGACGGCAACGGCGACGGCGATGACGGCGACACCGGCGACAGCGTTATAGCTAGGGTTGCTGGGCGGCTGTGAGTGATGGAGGCTTCCGAGTACGCTGTCGTTAGGCAAGTGTTGTATCTCCGCTCTACAGCTGTGCTGGTTGGTTCCAGTATTGGCAGTTGTTGAAGGCTGAAGCAAGAAAGAAGACGGTGAGGAAGTCAAAGTGGGCTGAAGGAAAAGGAGCCGGATCCACTTTTTTCCGTGGCGGTGAATTGCGGTCCATGGGTCATGACGGCCCGGATTCGAACCATTCTTGGGGAGAAAGGAAGAAGCAGGTTGATCCATCTCCTAAGATGGCTCGATTTGCTCGCTTGTCACCACTGTTAGGAGTACCCCAAATAGCTGGTAGTCCAGCAGCCAAGAGGTAGTCTGATTCCCACTGCGCCGATCTTTACATCGTGTTGGGATGCTATAGAGCCCATAGGGGTATGACTTTGCTCGCCCGCCACCGCTATGAGGGGTGGCGCAGCTAGCTGATAGCTAGCCAGCTAAGAGCCAGCCTGATCTGCACTGCATCAATCTTTGTTCACACTGTTCTCCGTCTATCCAGGACCGATCTCCAAGTCTCATAAAGGCCATGCTCGGGAGTCATCGGCTGATGATGGTATGTCGACCTCAAAGCATCGCCGAGTCGATACTTGGGAGCGTTGAAGTAATCAAGCATCCTACCCATAACGACAGGATTCGGCGCTGGCGAGGCTATGGCCACGGGTGTCCTGCCATCAGCTACGCTTGATCGGCTGCTCAGAGATGAGTCTAGAGACGGGACGCTGTTATCGTCTCGCAGAGAAAGGAGCGAATGTGTAGGCTCTGGGTCCGTCTGTACGCTTGCGTTGACGTAGGAGAATCTGGGCGCGGTGTTTTCAGAACGAGGATTGGCTTCTCTTGCTGGCTTCATTCGTTCCCATGGTAGAGTTCCAGCTGTATAGGCAAAGCTTTGTGGTCTTCTCCTTGAAGCAGGGCTCGAATAGCCTCTAGGGGTTTCTAGTATCGGGCTGAAGGGGCTGATAAGAGGATCAGAGGATGGACGAACAAGCGAAAGGGTTCTCGATCTTCTCAAAAGAGGTCTTTCGGTCTTCTCAACTGGACTCTCGGCGCTAGGTATCTTCTCCCGCAGATTCGTGTCCTTGTTCTCGAGTTTGCCGTACTTATCTGAGGCGAAGAACTCATCTCCACAGCCAAAGACAATCTGAAGAGTCTGGAGATGTCGAGTCCCGCCGTCTGGAGGAAAAAGCCATCGGTGTAATGAATCTGGGAGTCCGTAGCTATCTGCCATAGAGTCAGTCTCCTCCAGAACCCACTCGACGGGAGGGAATGAATCACCTTGTCGATAATGGCCTGCTTGATTCCTCCAGCAGACATAATAGCGCTCAAATGCGCCCAATGCGACAACGACGAGCTCTGCTACGCTCTCTGGATCCGCTGGATTAGAGGGCATAGACCCAAGGCGTTCATAGAAGCGTGTAGACGTCGTCATTAGGCTAGCAGCGTTAGAACCTTTCAAAGACTACGCAGGTAAGAAATCAAGATGAATACCTCGTCTGCAGCTTCATGGACGGAAGTGCGCTCGACGAATGCGCGTGTACAGCCATCTCCAGCGTTAGTCACTCGTGGTGCCAAAGACAGGATACCCCGCCGACAGTCAGGTCCATAAAACGGTCAAATAAGCGTTCTTTTTCCACTGTCGGCGGGCATTGTCAAGGACTTCCGCAAGCTCTTTCTGAAACCTAGCTCCTGCTCTGGCGACCTGCTCCAGCCCGATCGCGTGAGCATACTTCATCCATGGCAGAGTTGAGACTCGCATTGAAGCGTTCACAGTGTGCTGCATGAGGCTGCTCAGCTGATAGATGATAAGCCGAGTTTCAGGCCTGAAGAACGTGGCAGACGCGTTTGGTGTCAGATCTCCGGTCTGGTTTGAGATGGATGGGGTGAGGATGGTTGACGGTGCGTGGAGATAGGCTTCTAGAAGCCGGGATCAAATGGAAGCGTCCGTGCGGGTCGGGATATCAAAGACGGGGGTGCTGCAACGAATGCCATTGCTTGGGCCAATAGGTTAGTTGATATAAGATGTTAAAGTTATTGCTCTTCCCACGCCACGGCAATTAGAATGCTTTCAAATTTTTGGCGACCTGTTCGGACGCTAAATCATCTTGACGATTGATATTGGCAAGCGACCGGGATTCGATTGGTGTATATGTGGTATATCATCATGCTATAACAATCTTTATACAGTCCTTCAAGGTTACAATTGCTAGCGGAGATTATTATGAACCCTTCCAAAGCCAAAGTTTGCAACATGAAGTGAATTTCGGTCGCATTCCAATCCAAACTTCCAGCGATCTCTTTCCCAAGATAATGAACCCCCAGCGATACAAAACGCAGACACCATTTTAACCATAGCTCAGTTTCCACCACCGGCACCGTCTTCTACATAAGGGCTTCTATAGTATCCTCGTCCTAGACCACTCTGTGAAGTCAGCTGTGACTTTGTATCCTTCGCATGCATTCCAGCCTCTGGGCCATATGCCTCGGGAATAGAAGGTAGTGGTGGTTGAGGGGACTTGAGGGCATCGTGGCCTGTGAGCGTCGGCTCATCCACAGTTTCGTCATCATAGAGAGAGCTAGCAGGAGTATATCCCGAAAGTGATCGACTGGAGTGGAGATCATCGCCATGAACGGACCAGTCGGAGCCGCCGTGAGGATCTGTTGGAGAACCCGCGGTGCCTTCGAAGTCGTTGGTGTAGTGAGCGAGAACTTCATCTGTCGTGCTTGCTGATTGCGGGCCAAGTGCTGTATTAGATGATTGTTGAAGCTCGACAGTAGGCTGCGGCTCGACCTGACTCTCTGGCACTGTCTCCGTGGCAATTGGATATTCCACTCGGCTCTTAGGTGATCCAGAGTCTTCTTTGGCGCTGGAGGGCTTCAATTCGACACGGTTAATTGCGTCCGTTTTAACACCAGGAGTCTTCGAAAGGACGCTTGGTCCATCTCCTGGCTTCTCAACGGGCGTTTCTCCTTTGTTGTTGACAGCTCGCTGCGCTTTTTGATCTAAGTTTCTCTCCTCCACGTCTTTCTGCCACCTCTTCTCCTTCCTCATGAGTTCTATTTCCAGCACCCGGGTGCCCATAGGAAGCTTAGAGCGAAGACCATCATCATCTTGATCAAAGTACAATGCCCAGATGCTTGGGTATTCCTCAACCGCACACCATCCTCTGGACGTTGTTAGTGCATGCGAACGAAAATGCATGATGCAGGACGAGAATGAATGCTACGTAACGAGAACGTGACTCACTCCCAGCTGTCAAAATTCAATCGTCGATCTTGTCGTGTGCAGTTGAATGGGCCTGTCAGGTTTGGCTGCGCATCCACACGCACGCCGTACTTGACTTCGTGGGTTTCTTTGTCCACATAGATCCAGTTCAGCATCGGCGTTTTGTCGATGGTTGTCACGAGTCCTTCATACTTGGAGTCTGGGTATGGAAGGAAGTAGCCTGCGACATGATGTCCGAAAGGTTCTCCATTGCTAGTGCCAGTGTCGATGTAAAGCTTTGAAAGGTTAGCCGACGAGACAATAGACAACGATACGTATTACAAACCTTTCCGTTACGGAGCACTATGGGTCTGCCGTCTATCTCGCGACTTCTCAGAGAAGATTTTACACAGGTTGCAATGAGATTGCACCGACGAGCTCGATGCTCTTCCCTCTTCTCCTTGGCTTGACTTTGGCGAATAGATTCCTGGGTTCCGAGCAAGGCAGGGGCCAGAAGAACGGCTGTGAGTATCGAAAGAACCATTGTAGTAGAGTATGCGGAGCAAAATCTGAGATCAGGAGATATATCCTATACCCAAATTTCGGCAGCCTGTCTAGCAAAACAATATGAGAGATGAGTAACCGACCTGAGTAGTCGCCCCAGTAACCGCTTCAGTAACCGCCCCGATTATCGCCAAGCATACACAGGAAATGCCTCCCGCTAGGGTAAATATCGAGATGATTGGCATCGGAGACGTTAGTGAGCAATAGATCGCCGTTCTAGACATTTCGTGGACCTATCCCAATTCAATACACAACACCATCCGAACTCAAATGCATACCACGGTCGGGTTTGCCCTGTGGCAAGTTGAAGAATCGCGTGATTTTCGGACGAGAGGGAAATAAGACGCGATTGAAGTGCATAGCAAACATATACTGGCCCCTGGAGCAGGGATTTTTGAGTTTCAAATCTGACCCGCATTACCCCACAGCCGTGAATCTGCAATGCACGGACAACACACAATTCTCTTCTGCTGCTGCCATTAACCTTGAAGAAGCTTTATGCTACCTCGTCCTTTGGCGTGGATCGGCAGGGATCAGCGGGCGTTCCCGCCTGTGTCTCATTCGAAATCAGCAAAATGGTTCGATGTGTGAGGTACGAAAACGCCAGTGATGCAGGCCGGGTTTCGAAGTCGTGGGCTACCCAGCCTCATCTTCTCCGGTCGTTCGATTTTTGTGCCCCTCAATCGGCTGTGTTCCGTTACTGCATGCACTGTGCTCCATGTATGCGCCTCTGTGCTGTCAGGCATGCCGGCCTGCCGAGAAAGAGGCGCCTGCTGATGGATAGATCTTGATATAAAAGAAAGGAGAATCGCCTCCTTGGGAAGACAGATCAGAGCAGTCGAGTCCACTTTCCAACATCTTCCCTAATCAACCACCCTTCAACTTTCAAGTACCTCATCACCGACTTCCCAAAAGTCACCATGGCCACCGTGTAAGCACCCAGTGGCAGACAATTCCCCTCTGTACTGACATTGTCGTAGCGAAGCTACTACTCGATCCAACAACGCTTATCTGTCTGATAGCGATGATGGCCAAGCATCCGGCGGCCGCCGAGGTGGAACGCTCGCAAGCTTGCCCGTCCCACCAACGTCTTCCAACTTGAATCAGCCAGCTGGTGTGTTTTCCCGTTGCTCAGACTATAGGACTGCGGACTAATGATACTATCAGGCTCCCTTGTCAAGGGCGCCGTCGACGAAAAGGGAAACCTGAAGGATGCGGCCCTCCTCTTGGGTATCAAGCTTGATCTGGAAGCCGAGATTCACCTTACCGCGCGCATCCGCGGTGACATCACCATTGGATTGTACTAGATCTAGTACGAGTGAGTTGTTGTGATGAGGAGATTGGTCCATCAGCTCCTAATTTCGACCAGTGTTGTGAAGTTGAGCTGAAAGCTTGGAAGCGAATAGTATCATAGGGAAGAGACGGTAAATAAATTGGGAAATCTCGGGCTACATGGTCGATTGCTTGTGGAGACTTGGATATAGTATGGCTTAGATAGGGCCCCTGGGCCAGACTCACTGGTAATCCAAGTCTCTTTACAGATCTGGAGAATTTCTCATTTGCGCTGGTGGTACTGACCGCGTTAGTTCGAGTCGGTGATTGACATGGCTTTCTGTCCGGCACCTAGATCCAGATTTGACTCTCTATGTGGAATAACGATGGCGACCGTGCTACCTAGCAAGATACCGAGGCGGCTAGGATGATGCGCCGGTGCCTCACATCGGTTCTCGAGGAACGTGTAAGCGCTCCAAGCAATGACATGAGTGTACGCTATGGACAACTTCATGATAACGTCCTGTATTAGCTTGCCTCGCCGAGAATTGCACCACTTTCTGCTTCCTTCTCAAGTTCGGGGCAGTTTGCGAGATGTTACTGTATGCTTGTGAAGGAGAACGGAGTTGGAGTGGGAGCGTTATGGTAAATGGATTGTTGGAGAGAGGATGAGACGTCAAAAGACACGCAGCCTTGTCGGAGGGGTCCATGCACGGTCCAGGTAGTTCTGATACGGGTACTCGAGCGCCGTGACATTTTATATACTATGGAAGGTTTAGTTAAAGATTGGTCCTTGCGGAAATTGTGCGTAACTACGCATTGTACGTGGTGAAGGGTGGCAGGGTACCAGAGTTCTGGATAGAGGTAGTGATGTTGATGTTCTCCATCCAATAAGAGCCGAGGCCGTGTCATACTTCACACAGCGTGTTTCGAGACAGCTGGGCCCAGCTCCTCACACCTTTCTCGCCTCTTCCACTTTCTTCCCTCCCATTTTCGAAGCTCAAATCCCTTCCCAATGGCAGCCAGCCCCGGCGAACAGCTCATATACTCCTCCGGCGCTCCGACGTCGACCCCGCTAGACCTGCGCTTCCTCCACTACAACGATGTCTACCACGTTGACGCCTCCTCTGCCGAGCCGGTCGGGGGCCTTTCGCGCTTCCAGACGGTTGTCAACTACTACCGCAATGATGACCGATTCGAAGGACAACCGGATATGCTCACATTCTTCTCGGGAGACGCGTTCAACCCGAGTCTGGAAAGCTCAGTAACTAAAGGTCCGTAAACCTCTTAACTTTCAACTGTCCCAATAGAGCTCTGGAGGGGCTAGGAAAAGAAAGCGGTGGATATAAGGGTCCTGAGCAGTCTTGAACACCAGGTTTTGACATTTTCGAGGCAGTCATATGGTAGTACGTAAAGTTCTATCACACATACCAGAGTCCTCTGGTGTCATTGTTCCTGGAACTGTGTTGAAATACAACTCAAGTCGTGTTTGAACACCCGCTTAGGTCGCGTTTGAGCACCTCTTTTTGTCGTTTCAAAGTCGGCAATGGTGTCTTCAACATGATTTAAGTGGCACTCAAGAACAACCAACACTAGAGGATCCAGTATCAGTCTTTAAAAAACTCCTTATTTATGAAAGCCCGCTGACATGTGTATTACTTAAGCCCGTCCTCAACGGCATTGGAACAGATGTAGCTTGCGTTGGCGTGCGTTTACTTCCCCCCCTCTTAATTTCTACGTATTATATTCCCAAGATCACCGCTGACTCAATTGGCTATATTACAGAACCATGATCTCGATTTTGGCGTACGCCAATTCCGCCACCTTACCGGCCAATGCAAATTTCCCTGGCTCCTGGCCAACGTACTAGACCCCGCGCTGGGCCCCGACACAGCACTCGGCAACGCAGAGAGGACCATCATGCTGACGAGCTCGAATGGCATAAAAATCGGAGTAATCGGGCTAGGAGAGCGCGAGTGGCTGGACACAATCAACTCCCTTCCCCCAAATCTAATATACAAGTCTGCGACTGAGACGGCGCGGGAGCTAGTTCCAGGTCTGAGAGCACAAGGCGCAGAGATGGTGGTTGCGGTGACACATCAGCGGGAGCCAAACGATAACAAGCTTGCGGAACTGACGGGCGAGGAGGGGCTTATTGATGTGATTCTTGGAGGACATGATCACTACTACAGCCACAACCTGATCAAAGGGACGCATGCGCTTCGTTCGGGGACCGACTTCAAGCAACTGAGTTACATAGAGGCAAGACGGAAGACGGACGGAAGCAAGAAGTGGGACTTCGAGATTGTGAGGAGGGATATCGTGAGCAGTATACCTCGAGATCCCCAGACTCTGGAGCTGGTGGATAAGTTGACAAGAGCACTGAAAAGCAAACTTGAGAAGCCTATTGGATACACTGCAGCCCCCCTTGATGCCCGATTCACAACAGTCCGAACGAAAGAATCGAATCTCGGAAATTTCGTCTGCGATCTGATGCGGTATTACTACCAAGCAGACTGCTGCATCATGGCGGCCGGAACGATTCGTGGTGATCAGATATACCCACCTGGCGTTCTGAGGCTGAAGGATCTCATGGACTGTTTCCCCTTCGAGGACCCGGTGGTCGTCATCAAAGTCAAAGGCAAAGCAATTGTAGAGGCACTAGAGAATGGGGTTGGATCATATCCCTCACTAGAAGGTACCTGGACCCCGGAGACAACTTTCAAGAGTTCTTTCTAACAGAACCGCAGGCCGATATCCACAAGTTTCGAACATCCAAATCGAAGTCGACTACTCTCGAAAGCCGGGCTCACGCGTCCTATCTACCAAGATCGGCGGAGAACCGGCAGATCTAGAAAAGGAATATGTGCTAGCCACTCGCGGATACATGGGTCGTGGTAAAGGTAAGCCTCACATTCTCTGACAGCTGCCTCTAAGTCTTCCTCACAACACTCTTAACCCCACTTGTCTCCAACTCTTCCCAGCATACGCTAACATCCACCCCTAAAGACGGCTACACCTCCCTCCTCATCGAAGAAGAAGGCGGCTCCGCCATCGAGCTCGTCTCGGAAGAAAACGGCGTCCTCATCTCCACCATCCTGCGCCAATACTTCATGTCGCTCAAAGTGCTCGGGCGGTGGGCCATGTGGGGCCCCAGCATCTCGCGCCAATGGGACGCCGTGCACCAAAACCTCCAAAAGTCCCACCCCGTCCACGCGCCCCTGCCCCCCGGCAACCACATCGTCGACGTCCTCCAGCGCAAAGCCAAATCCGCCAGCGGCCGCACCACCCCCGGCGGCCAGCACCCCGAGGGCGCCGAGACCCCGCTGAACGAGTCCGACAGCGAGTTCGAGAAGGACGACGACGACCACACGGCGGCGCAGTCCGAGGATCCGCGCACGACGACGGCTACGAGCTTGCGCACGGCGCCGACGACGCTGGTGAGTCGCCGCCAGCGCGAGCAGACGCTGGCGAGGAAGGTGATGCGGAAGTGGTGGCGGTTGGCGAAGATCCCGGGGACCCCGAAGGTGGCGGATGAGTTGGGGGAGGGCGAGTTTACGATCAACTGGACGAAGGCGATTGCGCCGAGGCTGGAGGGGAGGATTAGGGAGGTCAAGGCTGCAGCGGCGTAGAGCGTTGTAGGGCGTGATGAATATGACGGCGGTCAAGGAGCTCGGTGGTCCCAACCAAGTTCTAGAATTGATATGAAAGATTCGATGCTTCAATCGGAAAGGATGTGGTTGGCTTTAATGAGTGTGCACTATCGAGGCGAAGTTGGGCTGGAACTTCGCGATTGGCAACTAGACTTTTCTAAAACGTTTGCACTACGAAGTATAACAAAAAGCTGAACGCTACTGATACTTTTTGTGTCCACCATGATTCCAGGTCCCTCATTCCCCAACCAACCCGCATAACCATGTGACCAACTGAGCCAAAAGGCTGTATGCACTATCTTCCACTCGTCCAAGCCGCAACGTTCCCAACCGTACCCATTACCCAATCCCCCCAACACCCAAAACCACTCCAACCAACCTCTTCACAAACCAAACCCCTACAACCCCATCATCCTCCTCTCAAACCGCCCCAGCCGCGGCGGCGTCTCATCCAACACATCCAACCCCCCCGACCCCTCCCTCGCCCCCCTGACCCTAATCTCCGCCATCATCAACGCCTCCTCCGCCTCGCCCGAGTTCTCCTGCTCGTGCTGCCACGCCGGGAGCCTAGGCCCTCGTGTACGGATAGCCAAGGCAGTCGCGTTAGCGTTCCCGCTCGTCGGTTGCGATACAGCACTCGCCCGCGGTCGCTCACGCTCATCTGAGCCGTTTGAGACTGCGTTCCTGCGGCGATGAGGGTGGTACGACTGGGAGGGCTGGGCACCTGGCGTCGGGAGGCGGGAGCTGTGCATGTGGGTCGCGGAGTGCGCTGGGCGGGGCGGAGGGACGGGGGTGGGGAGGGGGAGGGGCAGCGCGAAAGTCTCGCCGGTTGGAGCGATGTGGCTCTCGTTCTCCGGGGAACGGGGCGCACGTGCGCTTCTGGGAGTGGGGACGGGCTGTGGTGGGCGTGGTGAGATGTAGCTCTCGTTCTCCGAGGAGCGGAGGGCCTGGGGACTCCTGGCCGCGTGGATGGGCGGTGGGGGTGGAATGTCTGATTCGTTCTCTGAAGAGTGGGACGCGCGAGGGCTCCTAGCAGCGTAGATGGGCGGTGGTGGAACGTATGATTCGTTCTCTGAAGAGCGAGGCGCGTGAGGGCTCCTGGCAGCGTGGATGGGTGGTGCTAGTGGTCCGGCGTAAGACTCGTTCTCTGAAGAGCGGGGAGCTCGTGGACTTCTGGCCTGCATGAGAGACCCGTGCTGACCACTGGAGACGCGAGGGGAACTGCTGTATATAGGTCGTAGGGGGTTTGAGGCATTCGGTGGGATGCGGGGACCAGCGGGGACTTGGCGGTTGTTTATGAAGACCTCGGGGATGGGGAGGGTTTGCAAGTTGGGACCATTGCCGCTTTGATTGCGTGTCGCTATGCGCGGAGATGATGCAGACTCAGCATTTTCACTAGACCGAGCCTGGGTCCTGATCAGTGCAGGCGCTCGGAGCTGCTGATCGTTGCTACTATCGAAGGGTGAGGCGTTTCGCCGTCGCCGTGGAGTTGGCAATGGGCGAGGGACTCTGCGTGTTGGTGGAGGTAGTGCACCACCACCACCACCACTGGATCGGTTATGGGATCTGGATCTAGCAGCTAGGCTTGGATTGTATGTAGTTCCTGTAGTGAAAGGAAGGGGCGAAGGAATCCGAGATCGTCGAAGGGATCCAAACGTTGAGCGTTTAGTTGAACGTCTCGAACCTGTTCTTGTTGGCAGCGGAGTGGGATTCCTAGGTGGAGAGACAAGGAAAGAACGCGGAGAGTGTAGCTGACCAGGTAGGCCGGGTGAAGTAATGCTGACTCGTGGTTGCGAGCTTGCCGTGTAGTAATAAATCGATGTACTAGATGATGAATTATGCATGTGAGCATGTCCGCGTGATTGGATCAAATCGAGAGGGGAAGACAAGTCTAGTCGTGCTGCATTGACGGGGTTGCGATAAGACTCATCGAAGTCGCTAGGTGTGACTAATTGATTACTGCCAGTGATGTATGGTCGACCTTGCAAGGAAGGGGAGCTGGGTGGAGGAGAGCTTGGTGGTAATGCTGAGATACTGGCAGCTGCGAGAAGATTGGGAGTGGAATGGCTTGATCGGCGCGCAGGCCCAACGGGGCGCCGTGATTCATTGTACAAGGACCGTGGGAACGCTGAAATGCCATCGTATTGTGCTCTTGCAAGCGATGACACTCTTCTCGGGGTTCCGCGAGGTTCTGAATGGGATGGAGCTCCAGTGCGATGATCGCACGAGGACGTTTGGGAAGGCCCACGGTTTCGAACGGCCGATTCGTGTGGAAATGCAAGATCGCAAGCGCGTCTCATATCTTCTCGTGTGTATGTTGGTGGTAATTTGATGGTCTCATGAAATGTGTAATACGTACCGTGCTCAGTATCCTCAACAAAGCGACCACTCAAGTGCATCATCGGATGAGGGCCAATATCTTGGAGCATGCGAGATCCACCTCGCACAGAGGTTGGCCCAACTAGGTGGCTGTCAGATCGCCTTGAGCGCACTCTGCTTGTTGGTGGTTGCCCTCCAGGGAGTCCATCGAACGGCGAGCTTTGAGTTAAGTCTTCTGGAAAGTGTGCTCCTGGAGAAGATGCCGCAAGTCGTGGTGCGAGAGCGTGATTCTGTCTTCGGAGATTGTCGAATGACTCTGAAATGCGGCTTTGTACAAAGATACTCTGCTGCGGAGTTGCCACGCCCGCAGCAACAGCCTGCATGGCAGACATGAGCTCGGGATCTGTCCTAGCTCGCTGCGCCATCATGCGTCTGAATGGTTCCCGAGTAGCTTGAACCAATGACCCCGTCGATGGGTGAGGAGCTGGAGCTGGACTGGGTCGTGTAGCAGCAAAACCAGAGAAGCCAAACTGATGTTTTCCTGGTGAAGAGTGGACGTCGCGTCCTGATGTTGCTGAGCTTGGTCGTGGTAGCGATGCCTGGCTTGCTTCCTCGGAGAGTGAGGCGATATCAGAACCGCCGATTGTCGCAACCCTGCTTTCCTCTGGGCAAACGGACGATTCGGGAAAGCTCCCAGAGTCTGGAGACTCTGTACCGGGCTCAGAGAGTGCGGTCACTTGGGGTCGCATATGTGACAGATTGACGTGCGTAAGAGCTGCGTAGGTGGAGCGTTGTGGACCGCGACGAATGCGAGGAATGCTACTTGCACACGAGTTTGGCCTCGTAGACATGGTGCTGCTGCTCCTGAGAGAGCCCGCAGGGTTCAGGCCGGACAAACGCCGGCTCGTTTCTTCGAGGTCCGCGGTAGTCAATACGATCTCAGAGGGGCGACAGCGTAGCATGGTGAAGAAGAACGAACGGCAAGGGACGTATTGCTGAACGAACGAAAATGTCTGGGGGCAATCCAAGGCCCGCAGAGGGAGTCGAAGGCAGACGGTCGTGGAGAATCATGAGATGAGAAGGGTTGCAAAGGCAAGGGGAAACAATAGAAAACATCATGATGGTGGCTTCCGACTATTCAGTAAGTGTGCAGAAAGTGCATATGTTGGTCGGTAGATTTATCGGAAGCCGCCTTGATGCAGCATCGTGGAGACTTGGTAAGAAAAGACGAGAGGAATATCATTGACGCTAGCTGACACAAAAGGCTTGCGAATGCAGAAGAGGTACATAGACAAGGTACATGAAATATAGATTACGCGTCAACTCCTCTAGAAAGGGGCCCGGTATATGTCTAGGAAGCTAGAAATGAACCTGTTTGCTGGCCAACGCCTGCAGAAGGAGCACCAGTAGGACTGTAGAAGGAACCTTTAAGCCCAGGAATCTACAATAACTCAGCACAGATCCGGGTACACCTGCCTGCCGCTGTTTGAAGCTCCTCGATGCATTTTAGAAATTCTGAAGGTTGTCTATTGGAATAACCAGTAAGCTTGCCAAGCCACCTTAGGCATTGGCTACACACTTAGCTGTGCTGTTCGTCGCCCCAGATATCTATGAGCATGGTGGAGCACCACAGAACAGTGTACATGGATCAATGACGGGGCACTGTAGAAATAGGCTATTGAGAAGGGTGAAATGAGACTGCCGCGTTTGAGGCACGCGTGCAGTTAGTGAGGAACGGCCTGGGGCACGCTATGCGGGTCGATGCGAGCAGATTGCTGCGCCAGAGATTACTGCTTGACTGCCGTCTGAAATACGGCCTGTGCATGTTTCTGCGGCGCAGTGTCGGCGTCTCGTGGAGATGTCCCACACTCTAGTTTCCCCCTGCTAGATGCTGCAACAGCCATTGGGGGAGATGCAGACGGTGCTGGCGGTGCAACGGGCCGGAGAAGGAGGCTCGGAGCCTGATGCTGCCACGACGGGCGATGCTGCGGCGAAGGCCTGACTGGTCACGATACTTCGAAGACAGAGGCGTGGTGTTGAGGACCAGGGCAGCAGGGGACGTAAGCGGCCGCGAATCTGGGCAGGGAGCCGGGGAGCCCTCTATTCCACCATCAATCAAGACACCACTGCCACAGAGGCCCGCCCTCGACGGCCCCCTACATACGAGAGACCCGCCCGATCCTACGCAATTCCTGGGCCACGGGCCGCACTCCACGACATCCACGGGCTTCTCTCCAGCAGCCGTCGCCCAGTCCAAGCTTCGCTGCCCGCACAACCCCGACGTCTCCACCGAACTACCACCTCGCTCGTTTCCGCCACCACTCGCTCCAGCGCCGCCATGAATGGGGACTTGAGCCTCTCGCAGTCCCTCGGGGGCCTGCGCATTGCCAATCCGGACGACGACAACGACTCGCCCTCGCCGCCGCTGTCGCGCCCTGAGAACCAAGACGCCCAGCTCCGCCCTCCATCGCAATCATCCTCCAGCACCGTGACCGAGCAGCAGAGAGGTGCTGTGCCGCCGCAGTTGTTGTCAGAGCCCCCGCCCTCCTCTTCCCTCGGCTTCGACCCGAATACCTACTCCCACAGCGCCCACTCGGTGCCCTCGAGCACGCCTCCGATGCAGCCTGCTGTGGAGCAGCCGTATGCCACGCGCCTCAGCCATCGACAGTCGATGCCGCTGGCCCACCAAGCTCAGCAGCAGGCCCAGCTGCCGCAGTATGCGGCTGCTGCTACGAGCCAACCGCGAAATTACCCTGCAGCCGCGATACAGCAAGGCCGACCTCAGTCCAGCTTCTACAGCCACGGGAACCTTTCCGGCTCCGGCATAGTCAACACTGGTACATACCGATACAACGATGATGCGCTGATGGGGCCCAACGCAGATATCAGAAGGACAAGCAGCTCGAGGGTGGCCCCGCCTGTCATGCACGGTAGCATACCCTCGAGAGAGATGAGCCAAAGCAACAGAGGATACCGGCAGCCTGGGCCCGGTCCGCTGCCCGGTGGAAATGGACCCACTCCTCCACGCAGGAGTTCACGCAGGGAGCCGATGCACGATCAATACGGTGTCAGTCCTCCGTTCTTGGGCCAGGGAATCAATTCTCCTTACAATGTTGATGGTGCTCCACTACCCAGTAGCGAAGAGTGGAAAGAGAAGGGCGCTTCCGTCAGTATGCGGCAGGAAGTTGATTCGAATGGGAAGCCAGTCGTAAGAGTTGTGAAGAAGGGCGTGAAAGATTTCAATTTTGGGCGGACATTGGGAGAGGGTTCATACAGCACAGTGTTGGCGGCAACAGACAGGCAAACGCTACGAGAGTACGCTATCAAGGTCCTGGACAAACGGCACATCATCAAAGAGAAAAAAGTCAAATACGTCAACATCGAGAAGGACACACTCAATCGACTCACAGAGCACCCGGGCATTGTCCGGCTTTACTACACATTCCAAGATGAGCGCTCGCTATACTTCGTCTTGGATTTGGCCAGCGGAGGGGAGCTTTTAGGTTTTCTCAAGAAGATGACTACATTCGACGTGGAATGCACGAGGTTTTACGGCGCTCAAATTCTCGATGCTATCGACTACATGCACTCCCGAGGAGTGATCCACCGGGATCTCAAACCCGAGAACGTGCTGCTGGACGACCAAATGCACGTGAAAATTACCGACTTTGGAACCGCAAAAATTCTTGATACTGCAAATCCAAACGGGATCGGATCAGTATTAGGAGATCCACTAAGCGGTCTTCAGTCAGACAGGGCGGTTTCGTTTGTAGGGACGGCAGAATATGTCAGCCCGGAATTACTAACAGACAAAAACGCCTGCAAGGCCAGTGACCTATGGGCATTTGGTTGTATCATTTACCAGCTTCTGGCAGGAAGGCCACCTTTCAAAGCCGGCAATGAGTATCAGACATTCCAGAAGATCGTCGGCCTTGAATACACCTTCCCGGACGGGTTTCCGGACATTGCCAGGGACTTAGTCGAGAGGCTTCTCGTGCTAGATCCGGCTAAACGCTTACCAATGGAGCACATCAAGAACCATCAATTTTTCGATGGCATCACCTGGGGCAAGGGCCTATGGAAACAAAAGGCTCCACGACTAAAGAGCTATGTGCCGCCAGCTCAGGAACCGATCAGACTCAACGGTAACGGAGGTTCTTACCCACCACCAAAGTCGTCAGGCGCGCCGACAGGTACTGCTTCAAGCGGTACGCAGTTGCGTCCTCAACCAAGGCTTATCACCGAGCTTCCGCCTCCAAGTCAGCTAGACATTGAGTGGTCCCCCGTTCTAACCCGAAACAACGAACGAATATTGAAGCTTGGGAATCTGGTAGTCACTACAAACCCTGCACCGCACAGTCCCACTTCCAAGAGTGGGGAAGCTTCATCAGATACCCCTAAGAAGTTTTCACGTTTCTTTGGCGGCAACACAACGAAGAAAAGGCAGCGACTAGTAATGATAACATCTGGTGCGCGGATTATTCTAGCTGCTGCCGGCGGCGAAGAGAAGAAAACTAAGATGGAAGTATCGCTACTTGGAGCCGGCTGTACCTGGAAAAGCTACAAGGATTCGAAGGGTCTTACTTGTTGGTGTGTAGATACAGTACGTACGCATCCTCCCTTTGTTTCAGGCTCTTTCTAACAACCTACAGAAGGATAAGCACCTTGTATTCGAGGACCCAAAAGCCACCACAAGCGATCCCGACGGCAGCAAATACTCCGCGCAAGAATGGATCGACAATATCGAGCGCGCAAGGGAACTTGCCATATCCCAGAGCATGACGAACTCATACTCTGGTGACTCCGCATTTAACGATCTGGCATCCACAATTTCGAGTCCTGCTAGTACATTGGGCGGTGACGCTGCGTTCGATGGAGTCAACATCCCTACGACGAGGCACCTCAGGAAAGAGCATGGCGATAACGATTCCATGAAAGGACGTAAACGCTTTAGCAGACGGCACTCGAAGAATGGGCTCGCCGCCGTGTTCTAGCCATTATTGTTTTGTCGGCCATGCCGCTCCACCCTCTCGCCGGACGCATAACAACACACTACCTCGTCATCAAATCCACCTTAATTCAGATGCCCGTTGCACTGTCACCAATGTCCTTTATCATATACCTTCTCATACATCCTATCCTTTCAGCGTTATTCCCAGCATCCAGTTCACTCTATACCAGCGCTTGGCGTTCCGGCGTTCTCACTACCTTTGCTTTACCTTCTCTTCCGTTCCGCTGCCCTATTCACGCTGATTATCTCGCATCTGTTCTGTCTCAAAATCAAGAAGGAAAATCTGGAAACCTGGCATACTTTGACTCTCTACATCTCTCCTTTCCACCTTTCTCATACTTTAATGCGCGCGCTCCAGACCCACGTTCAGCAGGGGTTTGCGGGAGCTTCTTTCAGACCAGATATTTGGAGGTTTATATGTGCTTCTAGGTCTGGTCTGGAACTTCTGTGGGTATTTATATCTCGTTTGTGAGATGTTGAATATGGTTACGGGGCCGAGCGAATTGCGCGCGCAGGCGACACGTGGGAGTTGGCGGTGTTGCTCAAAGGGCTTTTTTTGTATCTAGTCTGTGCTTCCGAGATAGAAGGAAGAAGACGAAACAGGCTTTTGATGTGTAATTTGTCCATTCGGGTTGTGCATGTGAGCTCTTTTGTGTCACGTGGCTAGCCCAGTATCTAAAATCCTTTGAATGGGACGGCAGACCGGGATAGCTTCGACATATATATAGACGGGTCCTATATTACAAAACGGTTCATTCCAAGGTTAAGAAGGCGGTTCTCGCCCCACCTGGTGCTCTTGGCGCCGATCCAAGATCCAAGTCTTTTATACGGAGCTTCGAAAAGCTTCTTCTAACAACATTAATCATGTCAACATATTGTTTCCAGAATGCCGCGTATAGCAGTACTCAACTGTCCAATGATCTTGGGTCTCAGAGAAGTCTTACTCCTCTCTTCGCCAACAACACCCCCAATTTCCGTCCGCCAGGTAGGATAATAGCCCATCGAGAGGGCGGTTCGGTACGCGAATTAGTATTCGATGCTTCTTTTACTTCAATTGTTCAGTTGATGATTATTTCGGGCATTATCTTTAGAGCCCATAATAATACCCTTCAACAGCGCACTCTTCGACTCTGTTTCTTCTGGCTCCTCAGAGTGCCGGCAGCGTTTTCTAGAGCAGAGAGATATTGAACTTGGAGAAGACACGAAGCTGCTACAACGAGCCCTCGCCACGCTGCCCCAGCTACGCCGCCCCAGCTACGCCAAGTGAGCTTTGCGGACATCCTCTTGACAATAGCGGAGGGCTCAAATTGCACGCAACTCGTTCGAGATGGATTTGGGACAGGCCAATATGTAATGCCACCCTCTGGTTAGCTAACGACGTCACCTTTGAAAGCTATAGCACTGTGGGCGTATAGTCCTCATGATGAGCTTCTCAAGCTTATTCGACTAGCTTCCAAAAGCGGCGCAACAATCACTTCTATCTCAATTCCTAGATCCCCCGTCCATTTCCATCGACTGAGTGGTTTTGATGAGCCGTGTAGATTCAGCAGAGGCCAGTGAGCGACCTTCATGCAACCGTCTTCATTGCCAACAGACTTCTTCACCCTTTCCAATCTAGACTACGACACTATGTCTACCCACTTTCAGAAATTTCAAAATGTTTGATTCCCCATAGGAGCACAATTCCACAAAACGGCTCACCTCACCGCTCTCAATACCCAAGACTTGCGGCCTTGTTGACGGGTGCGAAGCGCCTTACGCACCTCTTGCTCGAAGCACCTAGATAGTGCAATATTCGCGGACGTCGCTGCCACGAAAGGCCCACCGTCTACGATCAATGCGCTCCGCAAGCGCTGGAAATGTTCTCTTTCGTGTCGCTATTTGCAAACAAATTGTAACCGAGACTTACCTGCTTCGACCTGAGAAGACGGGCATTCAATTCCGATAATATCGAGTCGTGCCTGAGAACTCAGCCTGCCCTAAAGAAGCTCAGATTGTGTAAAGGCACGCTTTCAGATGGAACTTGGACGCATCTTTGCACTCAGCTGTGAAGTCAAATATGTTTTATTGGTGTAAAATTCTCCCTAATTTTATATTCGCTGCATGTGGACAATGTAGTGGAACTGGCTGAGAACGACACGCGGAATTTGGAGCTATCCGGCTTAGTGGTAGACCGAATGGATGTGAGAGGGAGAAAGGTCTATATCCAAGAAAGAGGATGCGAGGAGAGCCACGATATTGACACAAGGCTTTCGATGGGGTGTCTCCAGAGCCGTCTAAGGTAACCCGGCGAGTCTCATAGATGTCCAAGAAGGCTGAGGCAGTTCTATATAATGACCAAGTGCAAAGAAAGCCATCATAAGAGCAAAGAAACCTGTACCTTCATCGCGGGCTTCATGCTATTATTGACACTCCCCTCACGATAGACTATTCATATGTATGTTTGTGTCCTCGTCTCTCCCCTTGTAAGCTATCACAGCTCACAGAAGCAAGTTTAGCACCACTCATGCTTGATTATTGAATATATTTCGTTCTCAACACGGCCATACGACCTTGCCATCCTTCCTCTACAAATCTCCCGTTCTATCCTGTAAATGCTGCATCTGAAAAAGAAGCTACACGGCGTACTAATACAGCTGAACGAACAGATAGCAGTTTTCCTGCTTAGAAAAGTACGAAGAAAAGGCTGCAAGGCCTGTAAATGCGACGAAAGCCTCAAATTCCAACACCATCCAAACCCTATGCATATGCGTTCGAACCTCTCATATCCCAAAACCCTCCCCTCCGCTCCCCCCTAAAACTCCCTCCCCACCAACCTCGGATCCGCAAACCCCATCTCGCCCCCCCTCCTCGCCATCCCACTCCCCAACAGCCCCTCCCCCTGTCCCCCTAACTCCACCTCCTCCCATCTCCCCCTCTCCCTCGGCCCCAGCTCAAACGGCCCCACCACCACCTCACTATTTCTCACATACCTCTTCGGCGGCGGCTTCAACCCCCCTCCGCCACCATACACACTCGGCACCCCCAACAGCGTCGCCGCCTCATCCGCCTCCGCCTCCTCCCTATTCGTCAGCGTCACCATACTCCCGAAATGCGGCCGGATGTCGTCCGACGCGTTGAAATGGTACCCGTATCCGTCGCCCGTGTAGTACGGCGGCGGCGTGGGATCCGCGAGCGGGCCGTGGCGCAGGCTGCGCGGCGGCGAAGGGGGAGCCGGCAGCACGGGCGTGTAGCGCGCGAGGAAGGCGTTGCCGGAGTCGCTGGTGCGGCGCTGGCTGCCAGACCCGACGGGCTTGCGCGTGATGGTCGCTGGTGCTGCTGCTGCTGCGGTGGTGCCCGATGCGCCTCCTAGAGCCCCCGGGGTGCCGATGCGTGGCGGCACGGGCGGGTCGTAGAGGTAGGCAAGCTCGGGGTAGACGCCGGCGCTGGCGCGGCTGGCGAGGGCGCGGTTGTGGTGGCGGCGCAGGAGATAGAGGGCGGCGACGACGGCGAGGAGGATGGCGCAGGGGACCGCGACGGCGATACCGGCGATGCTGGATTTGGAGATTGGGGCGGTGGGTTTGTTTTTGCTGCCGCCGCCGGCTGCGGCTGTTGAGTTTGTTGAGGAGGCGGAGGAAGAGAAGGAAGTTAGGGAGGTGGTAGAGATGTAGGAGGTTAAGGAGGTTGGTGAGGGGGTGGAGGGCAGGCAGACGAAGTTGAGATTAGTGTCTAGGATGCAATTATCTGTGGCGGAGGCAGAGCGTGTCTGAGTTGTGGAGGGACTTTTGGAGGCGGCATTAATGGATTCGAATGTCCTGGTGGAGGCGAATATCGAGGCTCGGTTTGTGGAGGTCGCAAAGGTTGTTAGAGCGGTATTAGATATAGTATTATATATGCCGAGCGTGGGTGCTGTCGCGACTGAATTCGAAGATGTAGACAAATGTACAAAGGTGCCGTTGGCGGGACTAGTCGCAGTCGGGAAAATCGTTTCTAATCCAGAAATGATAAAAGGGAAATCCGTAGTCGTGCTGGTAGATTTTCCTGTCGTCAAAACATTTCCGACTGTTGTTTGGCTATAAACAGGGAATGAAGGGGCCCCTGTAGGCCCCACGATAGGGACTGATAAGGTGTTCCATACTGTATTTGCCGTTCCAGACAATGCCGAATCCATTGGAATTGAACTTGCAGACGGCTTTGTAAAAGATGAAAATGGCGGTGTGCCAGCGAACGATGTACCGGGTGATATTCTAGCCATCGACGAGGGTGATGTAGTCAATCCAGAAAGTGATGTTGGTGTAGGCAGCGGGAAGAGTTGAGTCAATGAAAATCCTTCCTGTGAAGTGTTGTCCGAATTTGTAGAAGTAGTAAGTGGCGTCGGGATGCTGATTGATGTCGGTAAAAGGGGGAGAGACAGCGATAGCGACAGCGAGAATGACGGAATGAGGTCTGAAACACTCGGCAGGCTCATTCCAGTGGACAGACTAATCGGTAATGATAATGAGATGGGCGGAGAGAGCGTAGGCGCCGGAGCGATTGGAACTCCTGACAATGACGGTACGCTCGGTGTGAGCAGTGATGATGTAGATGTTGTGGCCACTGAGGTCGAAGAATCATGCGCAAGAGATTCAATAAATGAGATGATGGCAGACACTTCGGTCGCTGGGACATCAATTGTCAACACTGACGCAGAGGTGGGAACCGGGATAGTCGCACTCGTGGACAGAGTGTCTGAAGTTTCAAAGTTTGAAAGGGGAGAAGAAGCAGAAAGAGATAGCGAAGAAGGAGCTGGCTCTGGGACAACGACAACTGGGATCGATGTCGGTACCACATCCTGAGTAGTCGTGCCCAGTGTGGGGTTGGCCAGTGTCGGTTGAGAGGGAAGTGAAAGAATGGAAGCCGTACCAGTCACCAAAGAGGAACTAGGCGTCGACACCACCACAGCAAGGGACACTGTGGTGGATGAGACAGTTGGAACTGGAAGCCCATGTGAAGTGCTCTCGGTCTCCAGAAGCGTCGACGATAAAGTTTGCAGAGACGGAATCGAAGGAATGGAAGCCGGGACCGTCACTGAAGAAGAACTCGGCGTTGAGGCGACCACAGCGAGGGAAACGGGGGTAGATGATAGGTCATGGACTGAAGAATGCTGCGAAGAGCTTTCAACCTCCAACGCTGTCGACGGAAGTGTTGTGAACTCCGTCGACGAGCTGGTCGCAGGGCGCGTCGTGTTAAGAAAGCGTCCATCTATACGCGGTCAGTAAATGATTGCATGTGCCTGCTCTATGCACTAAACCTAAATATACATACCATGAAAACGAGCGGCAGTAACACTCTGTGCGACAATGGTCGTATAAAAGGCGAGAAAGACAGTTCTGTCCCACATTGCATTGTTCTGGAAAGAGTGACTTCAGAACAGCAAGATTGAGTGAACAGGTTGCGACAACAGGCCAATGGAGCCAGGGCAGCCCGCCGACCTTAATACCGGGCACGGGAATGCGCTCCATGTTCTCGCAATGGGGCTGCTGGAGGATCTGATTGTCGAGTTGGGGACAATTTTGGGTGTGAAGGAGGCGAAGCACCCTGCACTCCAACATGGGCGTACCCGCCGCTACGGCAAAGGTTCCGCTATCAATAGCAACGGCGCATGGTGCTGTTGGATACGCTCACGAGCATAGATCGAATACGGCCACTCCCCCGCGTGCGTGTCAGCATCTTATCGAGTTCTCGCTGTTCAGTCCAGAAGTATTGCAGGCGGATATGCAGCTTCTGGCTCCAACCGAGGCCGCCCAAATTAAACATCAGATTTGCTGACCCCGGCATACAAACCAGCGGGTTGGGGCGACACCTGATACACTCACCGAATGGAATGCCGCGTGAGATTCTGCCTCGGTGCCTGTCTGGACGAGGCACTGCAGCCACCCGCCGCTTGAGCCTCATCCTTGTGCTTCACAACACCACGTAAAGCACACCCAATAAGCGCCGCGCGCAATTAAAGAGGAACGTCGGGAACTACAGGCTATTTGAATTCTCGTGGCTTTGCGGTGCAGAGAACGGCCGTTCAGGCGTCATAGCTGAGCTCCATCCTCTGTCTTTTTGATCGAGCGAAAGACTGCTTCAAAGTGTTGTACACTGAAAGACCCGAGCAGTGTGAGATATCCTGGAAGAAATACACCGAATGTAACCTGACATCCATACGACAAGCATTGGATTGCACGCGGGAGCAGACTGCCCAGGTTGGATAAGTACAGATATATACACACTAGCGCCAACTCTTGAAGGATTGCAACTCCACATTGCGGCACACTCGCACGTCCTGGAGGATTTGAACTTTATCGCGGCACTGACTACCGTTACGCCCAAGCTCACGAGACCGCGCTGCTCGCATTCACTTTCACGTGTTCGGCCGTCTTGTCGCGGGCGCGTTCCTGCATCCACGACGGGAGTCCCCGCAGCACAGGTGCACCTTTCGGCCCCAGAATGATCTGGCCGCTCTTTGCCGCGAGAATCTGCCTCGCCATCGCGTCTGCAACCGTCTGGGGGCTCATCAGGGGCGGCTCCCCCGCGGCCTTTAGGTCTGGCTCGATTGACGACGTGAGGCGGGTCCTGGTCCACCCTGGAAATACAATGGACGTCTTGATCTGCGGGCAGTTGTAGCGATGCTTCAGCTCCTGGTTCAGCGACTCGTAGAATGCAAGCAATCCTGCCTTGGTGCAGCAGTAGTTTGCCGTGCCCGCGATGCCGACGAACGCAGCCATACTGGCCGTAGTCATAATGTGTCCCTTCTTCTTCGCGAGCATGTCCGGCAGGAACTCCTGCACCGTATACCATTGACTGATGAGGTTTATGTCAAAGATCTTGCGGAGGCCTTCCGGCGTTGCATCGAGAATGTTGCTGGCGATGCCCACGCCCGCGTTGTTGATCAGGATCGAGGGCGGCCCCAAAGCTGCGCGGATCTCTTCTGCCGCCTTGTGCACTGCGTCGCGAGAGGTAATGTCACAGTGGAAGTATGATATATTTGCCCCTGCATCAACATGAGTATCAGCGATGTCAATAAAACGGAAATGCGAAGCCATACAGCCTCGGAGCTCATCTGAAAGTGGCTCCACATCGACGACAGCCACTTTGATCCCCTTCGCGACCAGGTTCCTGACCACCTTTGCGCCGATTCCATTTGAGCCGCCGGTAATTACGGCGACCTCTTTCTTCCAGTCCCATACGCTCTTATCATCATTCCAGAGCCATTTGTTGTCAGCCCAGTCGCTGAGCACCCTGTTCGCCTTGCGGAGAAGGCCAAGCGCGAACAGCCATTTCAGGGATTTGATTATGGTGGCATGGTACTTGATCGGAATCCGAAGGAGTACTGGGTCGCGAATAGAGGCAGGTGCCCCAGCTAGGAGAAGTAATAGGGGACCGGTAACGTAGGGCGAGAATGCGGTATTCTTGACGATCTGAGCCATGCTGGCCTAGACGTGAGTATACTTTAAACGAACGCGCGTAAAGGCTTGTTAGTAGATAAAAGGGGATGTTGCAATCTGACACAGACGAGAGTTCGTGTTGGTTTCTGGGGCCGAGAGCTGGAGGTTATATACGTGCCGCGGTATACCCCTTGGCCAGAGGCAGACCATCGGCAGATGCCTTGTCGAGGAGCTGAGGCGTACGACGCTCAGAAACGCCTTTTGCCTTGTCGCATGGGAGGCTGCCCATTTGCTGTGTCTAGATTAGTAGAGATATAAGCCGGGAGGTCAGCACAAGGAATTAATTGGTGCATTGTGAATTGCATGTTGCCTGTTCATAAGCATGTGAATCCATGCATCGCGCTGAACCGGTGACAGGTCGCGCATAGGATTGCCAAGTGAGAAGTTCGTAGGGCTGAAACTTTGGATTCATCCCAGCTCTCCGCAACATTGAAGCTGCAAAACACCGTTTTCCCAATCCATGCGCGCATGTCTTCAGCTCGGTGCACCATCAGGGGCACATTAACACCCTTCCTCTACCCTTTCCCGGGCGACTGCGGCCTAGTATCCTCCCGATCTCGGAATCGATTCAGATTCGTCGCAGCAAGCAGACGATGCAACTCGACCGCCACGCCCTCTACCAGCTCCCAAGCCCCTCCTTCGCCTCCAGGAGACCCTTCAACAGATGATAAATTAGCCCATCTGGACCCATCTCCAGAATCGTATTCCGCGACGCCCTTTGCCGACAGATGCGTTCTCTCCATTCACGGTGGTGCTGGCGGGCATGGCTGTGTCTCATTCGTGCGGGAGAAGTACATTGAAGAGGGTCCTCCTAATGGTGGTGATGGAGGGAGTGGGGGGAATGTCTACATTCAGGCCGTACGCGGCGAGACGTCGTTACACAAGCTGGCAAGGAGGAGTCTGCTGAAGGCCGGGCGAGGGAAGAATGGGCAGGGCAAGATGAGGGGTGGTGAGAGGGGCGCCGATGTCCTCATCACCGTGCCTGTCGGGACAATTGTGCGAGAAATATCAAGATTCGACCCTATTACTGAAGCAGAGGAAGCGTACCGTGAGGCGGAGAAGTATGGAGAGTCGCCGCATGAGGAGACTCGGGGCAGCTGGCGGAGGGATAAATGGCTCGTTTTCCCGGGAAGTGAGCCCTCTAAGGTCGCGAGATGGGAGTTTCCTCCCCTGCCAAAACCGAGAAGATCGATTCTGGCTGCTGTCCAACCCCAAGCCCCGATATGGCTCGATCTGGACAAACATATGGAGACGCCTCAGTTGTTGGTTGCCGGGGCCATGGGTGGTATGGGCAATCCTCACTTTGCAACACAGAATATTTCAAGGCCAAAATTGGCCACGAAAGGCGATGAGGGCATGCAGCTAAACATTCAGTTGGAGTTGAAGATACTGGCAGATCTTGGGCTTGTAGGTCTGCCCAATGCTGGAAAGAGCACTCTACTCAGAGCACTTAGTAACAGCAGAGCAAGAGTTGGAGACTGGGCGTTCACGACGTTACAGCCGAATGTCGGTACTGTGGTGCTCGACAACCACAAAGGTCGACCCATTGTCCACTCCCGAAGGCGAAATGGCGAGCTCAGGGATACCTTCACCGTCGCCGACGTTCCTGGCTTAATCGAAGACGCGCATCTCGACAAAGGTCTCGGATTAGGCTTCTTGAGACACATCGAACGCGCGGCAGTCCTCGCCTTCGTGGTAGATCTCTCCGCTGGCGATGCTGTTGCCGCACTTAAACTTCTCTGGAAAGAAGTCGCGGAATATGAAGCACTTCGACATCAAGAACTGAACTCTGAGACTGAAAGACGCATGGTCGACTGGAAGCCCCCATCCGAGGTCCAAGCCGCCCTCTTCAACACCAACTCGCCAGAGCCGCTACCAGAACTCACAATGCCGCCTATTTCGTCTAAGCCATGGTTCGTTGTTGCATCAAAAGCGGATCTACCGGAGACACAGGAGAATTTCTTCGCGCTGCAGAGCTATTTAGCTGCCGTTAAGAAGGGCGACCAGCCGCATCCGAGTGCCCGTAGGAATGCCTGGATGAAGAAGCTGCAGGTTGTGCCTATAAGCGCCATTCGCGCTGAGGGTGTGGAGACAATTCCGCAGATCGTCATGGAACTGTTGGAAGACTGAATTGAAGAGCCCTAACTCGAGGTGGCCCTCGTGTTTCTAAACTCGCATCGTTTAGCTCAAATCACTTTCACAAGCCGCATCATTGCGGCCTTGAGCTGTTGAGGGCTGTCACCAGGTTCATCCACTGACTATAACCCATGGACAAATTCGTCACGGGTATAGCGTATGCCTGGACAAGCGTCGGAAGAGCTCAGCTCGTCTGTCTCTCACTTGTATTATACCACTGTAAATGTAAACACATAAAATGATACCCCGTACTACAAAGCATTCATAAAAATGTTATCTCGGTCTCCTGTTTTTATCACCTCACTTATCTTCCTCGCGCAACTATTTGCACACTTTCGCAAGCTGTGTCAGTCAGTTGAGTCTTTAATTAGGGGGCACATTTACCGACTCTCATTGCCAAAAAAATCCCTTGCGTGTTTGTAACACCGGTTATAGTGCTTTAAGGTACTAGTGTGATCCTGGAGCATACGGGTCATGGTTTGGTCCATATATACGCTTCTATATAACCGTCTAAGGTAGCCTAGCAGGTGTGGAGCCTGCTAGGAGGATAAATTCGCATCTCCTTTAAGTTACCTAAAAGCGTTATTGAACCAGTGCCAGCAAACAACTTTCCTAGTACCACACCTACCTTTAGAGCTACCATCCAAACAGTACTATCAGACCTCGTGATCACCATATAAGAGCCATGTCACTTCATTTCTCCTAGGGTATAAAAGGCCGAGAAGTAGCCCTGAAACATGCTTCTTCACGGAAGCTCGGCCTGGATGGACAGGCGTTGTTTGGTATGGCTTGGCGAAAAATCCTCCGCCAAAACTTCATGTGGGAGCTTGGTGGTGGATCAAAATCATAAATGCCGAAACCGAATGTGGATGGCTTCGGCAGCAGATCGAGATAATACCATTCAAGATGTCGTCGGAGGGTGTACTGGGAATCTCAAGATGTTGGTGTGCCTCAGCTCCGCATAGACATAGAAGTGGCGACCGGCTCGTGCACGCTACCACCTCATGCACGGTCTCGGAGGCCCCTCACCGCTTTTTCTCTCAAGCTTCAACACCGCACAACTCCACCAAAAATACACAGATTTCCTTCGAAAATGGATGCAATGGAAGCTGCGTTCGCGGAGCTTGATTTGATGGAGAAAAAGATGTATACTGAGGTCGCAAAGAAGCATGGGATTGACAGAACCACGCTCTCACGGAGGTACCGAGGAATCACGAAGTCAAAGGCTGAGGCCTACAATTCTCAAAAGCTCCTCTCTCCTGGCAAGACTAAGGCTCTCATCAAATACATCAACAACCTCTCCGAAAGAGGCTTGCCTCCTACGCATCAAATAATACGAAATCTCGCCCAGGATTTGGCTGGGAGAATGCCAGGAATCCACTGGGTTTCACGCTGGGTCCATTCAAATTCCAAACACCTCAAATCAGCCTACCTTCTTCCTATTAATAAGGAACGGAAAAGGGCTAATTCTGCCCTCTACTACAGCCTCTACTTTAAGCTTCTTAGTCGCAAAAGAGATTAATACAACATCCAGCTAGGAAATACATATAATATGGATGAGAAAGGATTTCTCATTGGAAAATTGGTTAAGAAGAAGAGAATCTTCAGCAAGCTTGCCTACGAGTCAGGAAGGATGCGCCATGTCATGCAAGATGGCAATAGAGAGTGGATTACTGTGGTGGCAGCCATCTGTGCAGACAATACGGCACTTCCTCCGACACTTATCTATCAAGCTGGAACAAACAATGTACAGGATATATGGCTTAAGGATTTTAATCCGGACGAACATGCCTGCTTCTTCACATCAACACCAACCGGATAGACCAACAACGACCTAGGCCTTGCTTGGTTGAAGATCTTTAATCGAGAGACAAGGGCCAAAGCCAACAAGGAGTGAAGGATGTTACTTATTAATGGCCACGGCTCTCATGTAAATATGAAGTTCATTAACTACTGCATCAGCAACAGGATTCTCCTGGCTGTATACTTCAGGACCTTTTGGGTGGCATGGAAGAAGGCTATAACTCCTTCTAATATAGCTAGTGGATGGAGAAAGACGGGTATTCACCCATGGAACCCGGAGGTTGTATTAGATCAATTCAATGCCAAGAAAGAGAAGGAAGAGGATAAAGATGAAGAAAGGCCATCATCAAGCAACTCTACTGGGTCGGCTCTTACAGCTGGTAACTAGAAGCGAATAGAAACACGCCTAAAACAGGTGGTAGAAGTTGCTATACAGTCCAGCCTCCAAAAAGAAGTACAAGCTTTGACCAAAGATGTTCACCAACTAATAGCAACTAATACACTTCTTCAAAGTCAAATTCGAGGCTACCAAGAAGCATTCAAGATAGAGCAGAAGAACAGGAAGCGGCAGAAGAACCTCTTTCAGATTCTGGCTGAAGATAATGATGGAAAAGCGGCAGTCTATTCACCCAATAAGGTGCGGCAGGCTCGAGAGCTACACCAAGAGAAAGAGGATGCTAAGGCTCGTGATACAGCTTTAAAGGCTGAGGAGAAGGTACAGAAGCAACTTGCTAAGGAAGAGAAGGAAAGAATAGCTGAGTTCAATCGCTCTGCTAAAGCTGCTAAGCAGAGAGAACAGAAGGATGCTGAGGATCTCAAGAAGCGCAAGGCACAGGAAGCACGTGAGGCACGTGATGCAGAGAAGCAGCTTAAAGATGAGAGGAAGGTAATACAGCAGAGGCAGAAGGCTCGCCAGGTTGTATTCACTATTCCTGAGGAGCCTACAGGCCAGCAGAATCATGAGGTAGAGGAGGGGGTAGCGAAATCAACCTCTGGCCGGCCTCAGCGTATCCGGAATACGCCTAAGAGGTACGATGACTCTGTGATTATGATAGAATGAAAGAGCGTCTTCGGTTTAGTCTCCCCCTTGATTTATATGAAGTTCTGAGTAATATGAGTGAATGTATATGTTTTTGAAGTTCGTGATGCATGCACGGGGAAACCGTGCACGAGGTGGTAGCGTGCACGAGCCGGTCGCCACTTCTACTCTTCATTCTCTTTCACCGACGAAGCTCACAAGTACTAAATGTGCACGATTGGTAGTATATTAGGTCGGCGATGCTATCTATCATTAAATTATAGCGCTAGAAAACATCAATATACCAGAATCAAGACACAACCATCGAGTCTGTAGAGCAAAAGTTTCGAACTCATTTGACGAAACTCAGGAAATTGGTGCTCTCCGACCGCAGCACCAACACACAGGGAAAGTTCAGACATTGTCACCCCAAGCCATGCAAAGCTGCCCCTGATTCCCTGATGGTCTACCCAAAAGAAGCAAAAGAAGAAGGGTTTAATGCTTCCTCCCCATCGCCCGCACGTGCCCTCTCCGAAATCACGAGCAAACCACCCACAATTCGCCATCGAGTAGCCTCAAACTACCCAACTCTATTCTCACTACACTTCACAACGGTCACCCCAACCCGCCTCCACATTCCTACACCCAAAACCTACGTGTCTTGCATCCCGTGCGCAATCTACGCTCAAACCATACCCTCATCCCCGACGCTCGGTTCAGCCTACAAACGTATTTCCATCCCATCGCCAACACCAACACGCCGAAATATTGGACCCACTGCGTATAGTACTTACATGTATAGTAGGCGTGCTGGGAGTTGGAGTGTATTTCTGGCTCCCACGTGGCGAAGCGGCGATCGGCGCAGGCTGCTGCGCCCCGTCTGCATGAGGAAGCTTTGGCACCGAAATCTAAACTACAGGGGTGTAAAGTAATCGAGATGAGATCGCGGGAAGAACCTGCTGGGTGAGAGGGGATGAGATTGATGCGAGTGAGAAGTGAGGAAGTGAGGTGGTGTTGAGTAAAAGGTACGGGCTGACCTCAGCTTCCAGGCACATACACAACATCTACGATCACAAAATCACGAATTGGGTATGCATCAATGACTTCTTTGCATCCTCACCAGTGACAGTACGCACAGTTTGGGTGTTGCTTGAATGAATTCAAATAAAAATTATCATTATACGTCGTCTAGCTCGACCACGGGGTATATAGCCTCTCCTCCTCGCTATCAGCTCCCAAACTCCCGCCACCTCTCAAAGAAACATCCAGCCGCCTAATTAGACTGCGGAGTAGTAGTAGACGGCAGCCTATAGAACGATATCGTCCCCGCTCCACCACACAGCTGCGTATCGTCGCCCGTGCATACCATATTGCACTGGCTGTCGTCCAGCGGCGTCGGCGCCGGGTTCGTCGGCCACAGGCTCTGGTAGCCGCAGAAGCACTGCTTGCTGTACTCGGTGCCCGCCGCGTCGTAGCCGAGGGAGGAGCACTGGTCCAAGCACTTCTCAGCGGTGTTGTCGGGGAACTCGAGCTTGATGCCACCGTTGATCGCGGGGTCGGCAGGCTGGCCAACGTCGCGGTTGCCGTCCTGATCCGAGTAGCAGCCAGCGTACGCCCATGTATCAGGGAGGTTGGTGGTCTGGACAGCAGCGACGGGGGCGGCGGCGGGTGTGCCGGTAGAGTAGAGGCTGACAAGATCAGGGCCACCACACACTTCGGCGCTGTCGCCGGAGCACGTCATGGCGCACTGGGAGTCGGAGGATGCGAGCGCGCCCTGGTTCTGGATGTAATTGTCACAGAAGCACTGGGAGCTGTACTCGAGGCCAGCGATGGCGTAATTGAGGCTGGAGCAGGTCGCGATGCAGGACTCGATGGTGTTCGTGGCGGAGTCGGGCTGGCCGTTGGCGAGGATGCGGCCGTGTGCGCCATCGGTCCAGCAGCCCTTGTATGCCCAGCCGGTGGGGATGTCGGTGGGGACAGCAGGGGTAGAAGGAGTTGGGGTTGGGGTGGGAGTAGAGACGGCTGAGCTAACAGCTGCTGGAGCGACCACGGTGCCGTCGGCGTTGATGTACTCGTAAATGGAGAGCCTTTGGCTACCGCCGCAGATCTCAGTAGAATCGCCGTCACAGGTCATGCTGCATCCAGCACTGCCGTCAGATGCAATGGCACCGCCGTTCGAGAAGGTGTTGCCGCAGTGGCACTCGTTGTGGTACTCCAGTCCGGCATATGCAAAGCCAGCAGCATTACAGCTTGCCTGGCACTTCGCAATGGTCAAGAGTCCGTCATAGGCGCCCACGGTGGTCAAGGTCCGCTCGTATGGCTGGTCGGTGTAGCATCCGAGACTAACCCAGGCGGGGCCAGCAGCGTAGACGTTCATCCTGTTTGCTCCGCCGCACATCTCACCAGCGTTTCCATTGCAACCCATGTTGCAGCCGACAGAGCCGTCCGGTGCTTGGCCCTGGCCATTCTGGATAAAGTTGTCGCAGTAGCACTCGCCGCCGTATTCCACACCAGCAATAGTGTATCCAGCACTGGCACATGCGCTGACACACTTATCAACGGTCAAGGAAGGAACGTTGAGTTCGTGAGATAGACCACGAGCGCCGACGCTGTCGGTATAGCAGCCAAGAGTGGCCCAGGCCGATGGGAGAGGAATGTTGGTTACTGGCGTGACTGAAGATACCGCTGGTGGTGCAGCACCGACGGGAGTTGCGCCTCCGTAGCTGTAGAAGTTCATGGCGCCTGGGCCACCACAGTACTCAGAGATATTGCCGTTGCAGGGCATGTTGCACGTGGTCTGATCTGCAAGCAGTGCGCCGTTGGCATAGGAGTTGTCGCAGTAACATTCGCCTCCGTATTCGGCTCCAGCAAGAGTGTAACCGGCCGCATTACACGCATCAACGCAAAGGGCAATAGTCAAGGCAGAAGTTCCACCAGGTGTGTCCACGCGATTGGCAAGGGTGCGATCAGCAACGGAGTCGGACCAGCAGCCTTCAGAGACCCAGCCATCAGGACCAGCGTTTGTCACCACTGCGGCGGGAGGGGTCACTGGAGTGGCGCCTTCGAGATAGTACATCGTGATTCTGTCAGGGCCACCACATGCTTGGGTAGCCGTCTTGGTGCAGGGCATATAGCAGTCGGAATCGTCTTTGAGGACGGCGATCGGGTTGACATAGTCCCCACAGTCTGAGGAAATTATTAGCGAGCTAATCACTAATGCAGGCCGAAAGAGACTTACAGCACTGCCCACCATATTCTATGCCAGCGAAGATATGGCCAAGCTGGATACATTGGTAGACACAGTTGTCATCATCAACATGTTCTCCCCAATGAGCCGCGATGGCAAGAGTACGAGAAGACTGAGTATCCCTGTTCTCTCCGTCAGCGCTGGGTCGATGAGATAAGGGAAGGTGGTCTCACGAGTAGCATCCCATATACTGCCAGTTGTCGAAGTCGGGAGGATTCAGAGGCTGAGGGGTGTCTCTGATCTGAATAGAACGAGCGGCCGAAAGACCAAGCAGAGACGATGCAAGGAAAAGAGCGGAGGTCTGGATAGTTGAACGCATAGTGAAGGACGTTGAATAGCAGAACGAAGACAACTAGAGCGGCTAAAAACGATAGTGGTGGTCTAAAGAGTGAGACCGAAGGATACCGTAGGGAAACCCGCCAGGGATGCCATTGCTATATACATTTTCTACTCTGTGCGAAAACGCGGAGGAGAGTCAGGACGTGGCGGCTAGACTTTCTCAGCCCTGATCTGGCGCACCTGAGTCTGGAAGCTTGTGAGGCCGTGGCAGAGGTGTGGCGTATTGGCAGATCTCGAAGAATCATGGCGTGTGCAACACGTGCCTGGCTAGATCACCAGCCGCCGTTCAGCTGCGCTCAAATGCGTCCGAGGCCTCATGGGGAAATGAATTGGGCGACTTTTAGACGCTTCCAAAACGCCCCAACTCTTGTTTACTCTTGTTTTTACCGACGCGGGATATAGGCGAGACGGGCCTTCCACGGCGCGTCCGTGTGGCTTCGTATCCCTATCTGCAACTCAGAGACAGCTGGAGTCTAGAACAGAACAGAGAGGCTGCGGCCAGGCATGGGGCCTCGATCTAGGACTAGCCGGATGCATTGGGATGCCTCAAAGCGGCAGACGACGATGTATGAGGCTGATGTTGATAGAAGTGAGCGCGTAAGAGCCCGTACACGGGTACCGAAAGCAAGCTCCCATAGCGAGCACCGTGGTTGACAAGTTTTAACAGCGCGCCAGGAATCGATAGCCTCTCCAGAAAAGGACTCGCCGGAGCTTTTTGAGTCAGGCGTTGAAGCTTGGCAGTACCGAAGCTTAACTAGCGTGAGCCCCGCGCGGGTAGATCAGGGGTACGGGCATTTCATATGTGGTATAGTGAATACTTAGAGCAGGGCATACAATACTGGGAAGGTATCGAAAACTTATCCATTAAGCTCAACCCATTACGCTCCCAACCTCACATCTTTCGAATTCCATGCATGAGCCGAATATCTGGAAGAGTCACCTCAGGTGGTGGCAGGAAGACGTACGCTCGTCTGATGTGACGAAGGACTCAGCAAATAGGTCACTACAAGCAAAATCACCGAACAACCCGGACGACAAGGCAGCGGTTCCAACCCGCTCATATGTACACTCCAGCAAGCGCTTCAACATCGCTCAGCGCACCATCCGTCATCCTTGGCATACGTCTGTGCAAAATATATGGGAGGGTTGTCATCAACATCCCAGGCGCCGTGATATTTTGCGATTATCCACAGCTTCCAACTTTCAGTTTCCTAGATCTCCGCTGACGAAGACTACACGCACCGCAGCATACCTGTGAAGCTTGTTAGAATGCTTATACGGATACTCGAAACCAAGATAATCTCACGCTGCTGAAGCCGCAAACACTTCTGCTCTCCGAGCATTAGTTAACAGCATAGTACTCATGAGATAGTAACTCTGGTCTCTGAGACGTAGGCTGTGAGGCCATCTGCTTGCCCAGCCTATAGGAAGGTTGTGGTTAGAGCATGGGTGACATAGGACTGATCGAATAGAATAGTGATCTGACTTGCCGTAAAGAATATTCCTAATCGTTCTCGTACAAAAGCAGTCATACGGTCTTGATGAGGTGGCCTTCGCAGTGCTATCAGGTCTGTTCCGTCCTCGTAGATACTACTACTTGCCCCCCCTAGTGTTGGCCAACCCTCGGGGTCGCCAGGAGTGACGTTATGGAATTTTTTCCGTAAAGCTTGCAAGACTCGTTGCGAGGGCGGATCAAGCGATAGTAAAGTGTTCTCGAACAAGAGGGCTTCACCTGGCCATCTTCATTAAAATCTCTATACCATTTCGAACGAAATGAGACCGCATACGATATTCTTTCAGCTTGGCTCTGATCTCCAGTGCGAGTTGTACTCTTTCGGTCTCCTTTGCCCCTGTCCTCGCTCGTTCCCTAAGATGTTCCCAGTTCCTAGCGCATTGCTTGGTATGTAAATCATCTAGTCCATCGGCCCGGTCAAAAGCGTCTTGTTTTGTTTCCAATTCTGCTAGCTCGCTTTGCAGATACAGCAGGTTCCGGGCGGAGAGCCTATCGAATCTGCGAAACACGGCTGTTGACTTGTCGCGGTCGCTCGCGACGAATTGGGCAAGTGAAGGATATCCGTTAAGAAAATATGGTTTTGTACGGCTTAATTCAATGTCGGAAAGGGAAGCAGACATTGTCGAGATGCTTGCACATTGTACTGATCATTGTCTAGCGTTCTGGTAGGCTCCAAGTCGGCCAAACCCAAGGTTTCTGACTGTCTGCAGGCAGGAGTGGCAGTGCAGGTGCCTGCAATCATTGGCTGATCTCTTTTAGGACGTATGGCGGGGCAGATTGCTGCAGCCTCAGCCTTCCACCCTGTGTTCAACTTCAAGTAGAGCAGTGCTCGCGCAGCTATTGTTCTCTACCACACTTACGGTTCAAGTCAAAGAGAACATGGAGAAAAGCAGGTATCATGCGACTGTCGAGAGTGTTAGTGATGACAGCAATCATGAAGGTTACCTTGTCTAGAACATTGACCTGCCATACATTGAAAATTTACTGACAAGATGCTTAGCATGCAAGAACTCTTCTCAACATACCGAAGAGCTTGCACAACGTCAGCCTTACACTGTAGAGCTTGTCGAGAATGATAGGCCACATATTTCCCCCGTCCATGGTAGTGGGCTTCCGCAGAACTTCGCATGGGATCGATTTCTGGGGAACATTGATAACGACTGCCCAGCTTATATCATTCAGCACGGGTCGCAATCTCTGTCACAAGAGCTGCTCAAACCAGAAGTCGTCAAAACGTACACAAGCCTTGACAAATTAGAGACCAAATGTCTCCAAATCGTAGCGTTCGTTCGCAGCCTGCAGGATCGAGGGAGACCGATCACCGAGAACAAATTGCTGGCCGTCATTGCTCGCCACCGGCAACTAGTCCATGCGTATATTGACGTTCTTACGGCGTCGCAACACCCCGTAGCCAACTCTGGTTTACGCCGTTTACCCACTGAAAGTCATGTGCCTGCCCGTCTTTGGAAAATTGGGACTCATTCGTGTATTGAGTTGCTGCGTTCCAGTCTGCCACAGAGCAAAGAATGCATGCTAGCTTTTATCTACTCTGCATATCGCACCTTTGGCTTCCTCCGCGAGATATTCCCGGCATTTGGGGCGACCTGGATGGAATGCTTAGGCGACCTTGCGAGATACAGAATGAGACTCGAAGAAAAGAGTCTCCAGGAGCGAGACACGTGGGGCGAGGTAGCCAAGTTTTGGTATAGGAAAGGCTCTGTTGATCAGCCGAGAGTTGGCCGCCTTTCCCATCATCTCGCGGTCCTTTCCAGACCGAGGCTTTTAGAGCAGATATTTCTGCATGCCAAATCGCTGACCTGCATAGAACCGTTTCTGCAGTCCCGAGAGTCAGTCTTGACTCTGTGTCAAACAGATCCTTCCTCATGTAGCCGAGCTTCCGACATCTCCGCTGTTGATATTAGCTTCTGCCAGGCTCTTCATTTCACTTTTCGGGATTGGCATGGCTCAGAAGTAGCTTGGGCCAAAATGACACTATTCGAGGAAAAATTATCAGCCTATCTTGAAATACTGAAAAAAAAGCATCGACGAAGAGCCCTCATTATGGCAGGAAAGAGGCATCCACATTGCCATTATAAACATTGCGGGACTCTTTGAGTGGGCCTCTGAATCTGGAATCTTGAAACGGCTACTCGGAAGTCCCCTGAAAGGATACCACCATACCGAACAGCTTCCATCACAGCCAGCTCCTATATCTGACCAATGTCATACCCCCTTCAAGTCAGGGACTTCTTCAACAGATTTACGCCACCAGATAGGGAAAACTGTCCAGACCGAAGAGCAGGATACCAAATTGCTTGGCAGTGATAACATCTATGACCTTTACTACCCAGGTCGTTTGGCTTTCTCAACGTTTGAAGTTTTTCTTCATCTTGCTAGGAATAAAAACCTGTTGCCGCACCTTCATGTCATGCTGATCTGCGTAGGTAGCGTTGGAAGAATTCCGAGTCTAAAGCCTTTACTGGATAACGTGCCTTGGATGCAGCTTATCCGTTTTCTCAACAACTTAATCAGACTTCCTGGCGCTGAGAGTTCAAACTGGACCTCCGAGTTCCCACATGAGCGTCGAGATGGCTCTGAACATTGCCCAGAAGATTTTCTTTCGAGAGGTCAGATATGGAGCCACTCATATTGGCCCGCTGATTGGTTTGACGACGTTAGGAGCAATTTGGACCCAGAGCTTTCATGTGCAGCACGGCTGAAAAAAATAAGAATTCAAAGGATACTGTGGTTGGGAGTGAAGATTGCGCGTGTAAGTCCAGAAGCTGTAGATCTTTGATGCAACCCGTTGACTTAAGTGTTCAGTACAAACGCTGGATAGACTTTGATCATAAATCAAACACGTTTCTAGACATTCAAACCCAAGTCCCGAAAAGTAAATTCAATTATCTGATATGGGTTCCGCCCTCCGATTTGTCTCCATATCCGAAGTCAACATCTTTTCGACCGCCTCAAGAATTACCGTTTCAGCTACACAGAGAGTCATCGTTTCACTTTGACAAAGAGTCATTTTCTCAATCACCACTCTCTACGAAGGCTGAGCAATATCTGCAAGATAAATCGGCATCGGATGAGCCTCATGAAGAAAACGGTCTGAAGTCAAGCACGGCTGTACCCGGAAGCAGCATCACAGTACCAAAGAGCAGCATGACTATCTTAGAGAAAGCTGGCCACCAATTTGATCCATTTCTGGGAAAGCGACGGCAAGGACTGCCCATGACCTTGCAAACCGCCAACGGCCCAGCTACTGTCATGGCCTGTGCCGACTCCGGATCAGATGTCAACATGATATCTCTCGAGCTGGCCCGCCTTTTCGGATTGTCCATTGAAAATACTGTCAATCATCAACTGTCGTTCACGTTAGCAAACGGTAGATCAGTACGAGCAGTGGGAAAGACGACAACTGAATGCTCATTCAGCAGCGAGTTTCACCTGATGGCGATTCCATACATTTGCTCTTTTTATATATTCCAAAACGTTCCATCTTCCCTCATCATGGGTATACCCTTTTTAGATCAAACGAGGACGATGACTGATTTCCGCGGTCGCCTAGTCGATTGACCGCCTTCTATTCCCCAGGCTTTCTGCGTCAGAGCAGTCGGCAATTCCAGACGAAGACTTTACTGCGTGGTAGAGAACAAAGACGCACTCGCGTATGTGGATTCCGGATCAGAAATTGACCTTGTGTCCTTGGCATATGCGAAGCGCAGAGGCTTCAATGTCAAACCATCTAGCCAGGACATTATATTTGCCAATGGAAGTCGTGCTCATACGAATGGCACCGTGGACGTTGAGATTGCATATAAATTCGGCAGAGAGCTTGCCCACCGTGATGTCGAAGCACGAGAACGTCTTATCAAGCTACAAATGTCTCCAATCATTGTCACGAGGTTTCATGTGCTAGCAAATCTTGTCTTCGATGTTCTACTGGGAGAGAATTTGCTTCACGAACGACAAATCTTCCAAGAATGCCAGGATTCGTTCACCACCCTTACAACATCAATGGGCTTCAGTGTGCACGGAATTATACATCTTGAGCCAACGGAACAACTGCTCAAAGGTGTAGCCCAAAAGACGAAACGCGGGATGCTTGTAATATCCAAGAAGCGCAATGAGAAGAGACAAGGTCTTATAGATGTTGTGAACTTCTGAGTTTATTTGCTAACGATCCCACAGGTTCGATCGTCATTCCTCAGTCCACGGCGGATGAGCAGGATCAAAGGGAAAATGCACGACGTGAGAAGGAGCTCGCTAGAATTGACCTCTTACCGGAGAGCGAACGCGAAGCTGCATATGAAGCTGAGGCTCAGCGTCAACTTCACTTCGATCGACAAAGGATACCTGCCGTTCCATAAATTGACAAGATCCAGACGCCTAGAGAAACTAGGAGTAGAAAAATTGGCACACTCATCAAGTACTCTGCCCATGTGTACACATGTCTGCTACTGCTTGGGGCGCTTCAATTAGTTTCCACATAGCCCAACGTGGAGGGCTTCTATCTTGTTCAGATTCCTGAAAATACATTGAAGCACCCCAAGCAGTGGCAGACTAGTGTACACAGGAGGCAGCTTATTCTGGAATTAGAGTGACACCTTTTCCATGCACTGCGCGAGGGCAGAGAACGTCGCTTCAAGTGCTACACTTGTCGTGGCACTCCCCAGCCGCCTTCACCACTACCTCATAGACAGTTGGGTCCAGATTGAGGCCCCTCTTGGAAAAGCCTAACATGGGGTTATCTGACTCCCAGTGCGATCTACCTATTTGAGTATCCGAGATACTTGACCATTAAGATAATACATGGACACGTGACTTTTGGTGGTGCTCTTATCTCGCCTTCCGCATCGGGTAATTTTTGAACCACTTCGTCTCACCTCCCATGACCTACCTGGGCACAAACCCCCCTCGCCGCGCACCACATTGATAGCTATCCCTGGTGGAAAGCCACGAGGATCCCGCTGGAATGAATCCCCGATGTAGAAACCGTGTTATCATGCTGAGGCCCGCCGAGTCGTGCAATGTAGCTCTATCTAAGATCTCCGCAAGCTGAGCTCCGGTCATAGCGCGTCCTCCATGATACAGAACCCCCATATCAGCCACTTGTATGGCTATATTTATATAGGTCATGTTGCCACTATTTTCACTCGAATAACCCAGCTTGTCTTCTCCGCTTGGTGGATAACACCAACCCAACTCTTTACTTGCAACTACTCAAGACCTCGAAGCAATGTCAGTAGATCACGGCGACAATGTCGCCCGGATGGATGATCTCGAGCTTGAAGCCGCTGGCTACAAGCAGTCGATGCCCCGTCAATTCTCCCTCTGGTCCCTTAGTGCGCTCTCCTTTACCCTGACCTGCACCTGGCTCGGGACCGGATCATCCGTTGGCATCAGTCTGACAGAAGCCTCATCTGCTGGCACTTTGTGGTCTCTTCCAATTGCTGGATTCATGACATTGGTAGTGTCAGCAGGAATGGCGGAACTGGCATCTGCATATCCCTGTGCTGGCGCGCAGTACTACTGGTCGTTCATGGTAGCAAGCGACGAGTACAAGCCTTTCATGTCTTTCGTGTAAGTTTCTACCTTTTCAGAACGTCAAACTACGGAGGATCCGGTCACTTATACTAATGCCCCTTTTAGCAACGGATGGGTCAGCGTACTCGGCTGGTGGCTAGGAGCGGGCTCGGTAGCCAACTTCGTCTCATCCATGATCCTGGATATTGTCTTCGTCTGGTATCCGGACTACAGCCAACAACACTGGCAGCAGTACTTGGTATATGTCGCCCTTATTTGGCTGGCGGTGGGAATCAATGTCTTTGGCTCTCAATGGATTCCGCTTTTTAACAAGTTTGTATTCTTGCTGTCAGTCGTTACTCTCAGCAGTACCATGATCGTCCTGTTCGTGGTCAGCCGCCACCATCACGCATCAGCTTCATTTATCTTCACGGACACAACTAGTCGGAGCGGCTGGTCGAGCGAGGGCTGGTCATTCATGCTCGCGGTCGGCAACGCCGTCTACTCTTTTCTGGGCAGTGACGGCGGCGCCCATCTCTGCGAGGGTGAGACATCTTTATCTTCTCCAGCCTTTCAATGTGCTAATCAACGTCGTAGAGATACCCAACCCAGCTCGAAGCGTTCCCAAGGTCATCATGTACCCTCTGCTTATGGGCCTTATTACTGCGTTTCCCTTTGCTGCCGCTTTGATGTACGCAATCACGGATCTCTCTGCTGTCCTTGCCACCCCGACGGGACTGCCGTTGATCGAAATCTACCGCCAAGGAACTGGTTCCAACGTTGCAGCATCGATACTGATGGCTGTTTTTGCGTTCTGTTTCTTTAGCAACTTGGTCGCAAATGGTAAGCCACCTGAGTGCAACATTCAATTGTGGAACCAGACTAATGCAAGATGTTTAGCTACAACCGCATCGCGTACCCTCTGGGCCTTCTCCCGTGATGGAGCCTTACCCTACTCCAAGATCTGGATGGCCGTCCATCCCCGCTTCCAGATGCCTTTGAACGCCATGCTGCTCTCCGCATCATGCATCTCGGTCCGTCATACCCCCCCTTCCAACAGTTTCCTCCTAGTAGCAGACTACCGAATAACACCAACCATAGATCTACGGCGTTATATTCATCGGCTCCACCACCGCCTTCTCCGCCATGCTCAGCGCCGCCATCGTCTTCCTTCAAACCTCCTGCGTCATCCCGCAAGCTATCCTCCTCTACCGCGGCCGCGATAAAGTCCTGCCTGAGCGCTACTTCAGCCTCGGCAAGTACGGTGTCGTCATCAACAGCGTCTCCGTCGCCTGGGTCGTGTTCCTCGATATCCTGTACTGCTTCCCAACCTCTATGCCAGTCACGCCGCAGAACATGAGTTACGTGTCTGTTGTGTCGTCAGGCCTTGTGGCGTTTGTGATAGCGCTATGGTTCACGTCGAAGAAGGGGAAGTTTATAGGCCCACATGTTAATTTCGCGTTGTTGGAGGAACGGAGACATGCGGCTATTACGGGGCGATTGGAGACTCTGGATGGGTTGAGTATGCAAAACAGCGAGGATGCCGTGGGAATGACCCAGAAGTCGTGATGGTGGAAAGCTTAACATCGTGATGTTGGATAGTTTGACATTGTGGAAAGATATCGCCTAGCAATGTGCTTTGGATAGACAGATAGACAGTAGGATCTTGTCAAGTTGAGAATCGCAAACGGAGTTTTGAATATTTGTAACTTGCATGGCGATGCTAATACGTGACCCCTAGAGAACTCAACGCGATAGTTCAGCTTCATCGGCGTGTTTCAGGCTGAAGACCATAAGCGACAACAGGGTATTCTCCAGGGTTTTGGCAGTGTTAAAACCCTTACGAGATCCACGTACACTCCTAGGCGCTACGAATTCTCCAGGTATACAGTACGAGCATCTTGTTTCAGGCTGAAAGGGCTCCAGTAGTCTAAAAACTATGCGAGGTCCACGTCCACTACTTCTAGGCGCTACAAATTCTCCAGTAATCCTATGCGATCATCTTATTTCAGGCCAAAGGTCCTGGGCGACCGCAATGAATTCTCCACACGGTTTGTGTCAGCATCGCAATAAAGGTAGAAGTCCCTAGGCGGCGGTAGCGGATTCTCCACAGGGTTTGTACCAGCATCGCGCTCAAGCCGATGAACCTAAGCCGTCGCTTTGCATTCTCCACAAGGTTTATATCAGCATCGTGATAAAGGCCGATGAACCTGAGCCGTTGCTGTAAGTTCTCTAGAGATCTTATATCAGCATCGCGCTTAAGCCGATGGACCTAAGCCATCGCTTTAAACTCCCCATAACATTTATCTCAGCATTGCGATGAAGTCGATGAACCTAAAGTATTGGATTAAATTCTCCAAGGATCTTATATCAGCATCGCGCTCAAGCCGATGGGCCTAAACCATCACATTAAATTATGCTTATACAGTATACCTGGAGAACCCATTGCGTCCGCCTTTATCCTTATTCCTTTAGCTATTTGGCACTACCAGATTCTTGGAGAATCCAGTGCGTCTGCCGTTATCCTCATTGCTTTAGCTATTTGGCACTACTAGATTCTTGGAGAAATCTTTACACCAACCCTCATTCTTATTCCTTAGGGCATTTAACACTACCGGGTTCTTGGAGAAATATTTGCGTCCACCTTTATCCTCATTCCTTGAGCTATTTAGCACTACCAGATTTTTGGAGAAATCGTTGCGTCCGCCTTTATCCTCACACCCCATGAGCTATTTGGCACTACTAGAATGTTGGAGAAACCGTTGCATCCGCCTTTGTCTTCCTTCCTTAAGCGTAATTCCAGCTCTTCTAGCACTTGGACAACCCGTCGCATCCGCCTTCATCCTCATTCCTTAAGCGCACTTCTAGCTGTTCTGGCAATTGGAGAATCCATCGCGTCCGCCTTCATCCTCACGCTTCATAAGATATTCAGCGCTACGAGGATCTTGGAGAAACCGTTGCATCCGCCTTTATCCTCATCCCTTAAGCGTAATTCCAGCTCTTCCAACAATTGGAGAATTCGTCGCTTCCACCATCATCCCCGGACCTCATAAGCTATTTAGCACTACTGAGTTCTTGGAGTGAAGAAAAGTGGCACACGCAAAATGTCTTCTGATCGCGGCAGACGTACAGTATATCTTGTCAAACTGAGAATCGCAAGCAGAGTTTGAATATTTGCGATCTGCATGAGTGCCATGAGACGACAATGAAAATAGTGTTCTTGTTGAGAGTGTGTACGCTCTTTTGGCACTGCTTGGGGTGTCGCCATGGCCTTTAAAAAACTAGATGCGATGTAAAATCAGCTCTGCTGGAGTTTGAGCAGCCTTTCGGGTAATGCTAGGCCAAGCATTGGCGAACTGTGAAAAGTGAGTGAGATGTGTCGGTGAATAATTTCCGTTGGCACGTGTGAAAATTTAAATGTGGGGCGGCAATTCCAAGGGTATTTATTTTGAAATATTTTGGCAGTTCTCCAATTCAATTACTCGGGCCCCGTCGGGTTGTTTCACAATGATCGAAGATCAGCCCGTACGTAGTACGGGCCTACACCCTCAACCGAAAAACACCCTCAAACGAAAATATATTATACATTCACTGTTTCTCAATTAATAGGCCTCCCCTAGGGCCCCCATTCCATCCGGTCTAATGCAGGATCAACCTGAGTATTGCCTTCATCTCCATCCTCATTTGGTGTTGGTGGCCTAGGTTTTGTAGCCTTGGCATAGTCAATCATCTTGGCCACCCGTTTTCTCCCCATCTTCGTACACGGCCCCATCACCCATCTAATATAGGCCTTTCTATATACAGGCTTAATCAGGGGCCTCCAATTCACCATCTGATTGGCTGGTGACTTAGGAGGAAGCTCGCCTTGAAAGCTATACACCTCTACGTAGTTGCCCCAATAGAATTTGGTGAATGCAGGAAGAACCTCATCTATATATCTTGTATACGCTTTTTGATGCTGTTCTTCACGCTTCAATATTAGAGCCTGCATTTCTTTATCCTTATCATTTGTTTGGCGCTGTCTCTTCATGTGTCGAGCCTCCTTAGCGTATACTGGGCCTCCAGAAAGTAGCTTCTTCCTAGCACCTGATCTACGGCTGTTGTACGCAGCTTGTGCTGCCTGTGTTTTCAAAAGCTCTGATTCGAATAAGGTGCTGCTGTAGGCCATAGATCTGGCCCCTTTTAGAGTGCTACTGACAGCATTAAAAAAGTCCTGAGGGGCCCCATGCAGGTCCTGTAGAATTGCATCTGATTGACGCTTGAATGTACGCACTGTGAGGGGTGTATGCCATTCGGGGCCAGGATGAGGAGGTGGTGTATGAGGCCGTGCTCGATGAGCTTCATATATAGCATTGCTTTCCTCTTGGCTCATATCTGCGCATATAAATTAGCTGTACGAATTGGACGCCAGGCATTACGATATGCCTTACCTGCCAACTAGGTACGCAGCTGGTAGGTTTTCGAACCAATCCTCCATTAAGTGCTGGCCAGCAATGATCATCATTAGAGCTATATGTTCACCGTTTGAACGCACTGTTTCCACTAGTGTTACTAGCTCTCTACTATTTGAATGAGGCACGTAGATCTCCCTCCCTACGCCGGTCCAAACTAGCTGGCTACGTGCTACACCAAGGCGTACGCCGCACTCATCGAAGTTCCAGTAGTCATCTGGTATGATTCCATGCTGTTTGCAGTAGGCAGCTAGCCCTTCGAACTAGGTCTGTATGTAGGTGGGATCCTGTGCCCTTTTCCGTGAAGTTTCAATAGGCTTGGCCTTGGTTTTGTTGTATGATGAATTCTCAAGGTATCTTGTTGGCCAGTGAATGCCTACGCGTGGGGGGGCTTCGTCATTGTCGTAAAGTACAGTGTGATTTCGGGCTAAAATCGAATTGGCGGCATCGCGTACCATCTCTCGACGAATTCCAAACCCAATACTGTCTATATGGTCCAAAAATTGCTTCAAGGCAAGTGCTTGAGCTTCATCCAACCTCTGGCCAACAGGCCTACGTGTTGACTTCGTTGCATTACCACGAAAGGCCCTCCAAAGCTTGCCGTAGGTGACATTTCGGGTGGCTGAGATTTGCATAAGATTGTGCTTGCCGCCGAGCGCCTTGAGTTCCTTCACAATTGTATTAATCTCATCAGCTTCATCTGTATATTCTGAATAAACTGGCCGAGTCATTTTGTAGCTGTAGTACGTTGTTGTACGTAGGTGTAGGTGTAAAGCAGTGAATAGAGGGGTAAATTTTCGTTGAGGGTGTTTTTTGGTTGAGGGTGTAGGCCCGTACTACGTACGGGCTGATCTTCGACCATTGTGAAACAACCCGACGGGGCCCGAGTACTTGTGCGGGATGACGGAAAGCGGAGTGCAGACGTGCACTTGTCGGTATCCGTCGATATCTGTCGGTAGGGTAGTTGAAATTATTTTTTTGGTCCTGCCTAGGTCAGGCACGTGGGTTCGATTCCTGGATAGCGCATTCTTTTTGTATTTTTCAACAAAACGAAAACGAGCTAAGAACGACTTACACATTCCTCGGTAGAGTCGAGCGTCCAGTTGTCAGAAATGTACAAATAGTGGAATGTCCGTGTATTCAACTGTATTCGTCCAAGATCGTGCAGAATTATCTCCGTTTTCCTTTCACCCTAGAAGCAGTTCCGAGACCATGGTCTGGTCTTCTCCGCCACCGGCTTGCGGCCAAACCTGGCCACCGGTTTTAAGGCCCCACCAGTACGCATCTCTGGTTGAGGGCCTCCAATCCTTCCAAATTTCTTCCAGGAGCTCCGCGGTGGCTTGGAAATGATAGGTTCGGGAAGCAACATTCCAGTGCTTACAGTATTGGCGGGCAAAAGAACGGCCCTGCTCATCGCCGGCTTCGGATGCAGCGAGGAATACTGGCAGAAGCACTTGTTTTTGAATGACCTCTGTGGCCGGTATGCATCGAACATGGTCGAGAATGACACGGGATAGGTGGCTGATCAATCGCAGTTTAGGTGCGTCTTGTTTTGGCGTGAAGACTCGACAGACATGGAGTAAGATGGCATGTCTCCAAGCCTCGACGCAATGGAATCTATTACGTCTTGCATCCGGGTCTTCGTCCAAGTGTTCGAAGTCGTCCAAACCCACATCTGCTTCATTACTGAAGTTCCTAACCTCTTCCACTATAGCGTCGACCGGAAGTCTGTTGAAAATCGTCCACTCCATTCGAGTCGTCTTTTCATATATGTTGGCCAGCTTTGCGAGCCGGGCCATAGCCATAACGAGTTCGGGTGGGCACCCGTTGAGTATGAAATATGACCAGCCGTCGCTCTCGTCATACTCTAGCAGCGTCTCCAAGTATGTGATGGGCAGACGCGGCTCCTTCCTTGAGATGAAAGCAATAGTAACATCCCACCTACATGAACTATTATCAAAATGAAGGCATCAAAATGGGAAGCACCAACGTACCAAACAAGCATCGCCAATTGCGCGCGAATTCGTGAGTTTCCTTGATGTATCTCCACGGGTCCAGCTTGTTCAAGAAGTCGCCGTGCGCCGTTCAAATGCACACCCCACATACCTGTCGCTGATTGGGTTATCTGGTGGGAAGATTTGTTAGAATATGGGCATCACGATAAGAGGAAATCCTTACCTCGAGGTTTATTAGTACTAGAACTGTGTCCAGAAGTGGAAGGGAATTCGATTGTGTATTGCCTAGAGCCTCACTGAATAGCTGGATTGCGCTAGACCGGTGATTGTGCATTTCAGTCATCAGATCGATACAATCGTTTTTCTTAGCCAGATGCTGTGAAGAGAGGGCGAGAATCGCATGCAGGAGAAAGGCGGAGCTTCCGGAACGGGCTGTTCGAACGCGGAACGGGTTGGTAGAACAGTCTCTACTTAGTGGCATAACGCAAAACTCCTCGTCATCTGATTATTGTCAGCTATGGCATCCCTGGAATATCCGATCCAATGATGGACAGGATCACTCACACATCGCGAGTATTGGGCTATATTTGTGAGCTAGATCTTGATAATGAACTCCGATAGGAAGTGGGAAACGTTCTTCGTATACGGCCTCGTCAACGTCTTCTTCATTCGAAAATATTAAGCCCTCTGATATTGACCGCCTCTGTGCCAAGTTGCAACCCCCTGCAGCTGGCTGAAGGCCTTCAGTGACTAAATCCTCTAGGAAACTAGCGTCACTTAGGGATGGCGATCTTATATTCTGCGATAAAAGCGGATTTAGTTGAGGTGAGTTGGGCCAAAAGCTTTCGCTTGTCGTATTGTAGACAGTATGGGGTATCTCTACTGAAACGTCCTGGTAGGATTCAGAGGACAATATTCGTGGTAGACCGTGTATGAACGGCCCGTCATTGAAGTCCGTGAGGTTGCCATATATCGATCCCCCGGAGCTAGACCCAGGTTCTGAGATAACAGGATTGACAACATTTTGCGGGGTTGTCGCCAAAGCAAAGTCCATGTGATCGCTCGAATAGGATGGGCTAATGCTACCTATCATCGTCTGTACGTCGGAGATTTTTGGCTTGCGCTTTCTCTTCGGACGGCCTTGAATGAACTTAAACTTATGGTGCCCGTTGGAAGACTCTCTCTGTCGTTTTCTAACCGTACTTGATCCACTGCCTGGAGATGAACGAGTGGCATTATCGGAGACTGCAGGGCCCTTCCAAACTAGATCCATGGCAAATCCACCACATTTTTGCTTGCTTGATATGCAGGTACCACACCAGGGACGTTGGCGATCGCAAGGTTTCTTCGATGCCGCGCAGGTGTGGCAATCAATTTTGGCGTAGCCGAGGGAATTTGTTCGATGTCCAGAGTTCTTGGCACCAGATTTCACATTTTGGATAGACGCCATTTGAGGCGAGAGCCTTTGGGCCCTGTCTATGAGGTGGAGAGTGCAAATTAAAGTTAAAGCATATGCAAGCTCTTGTTTCGTGCCCAATTGGGACGCGGCGGAATAGAGAGGGTGGGGACACGCGGAAGGCTATATCACCCCATACCCTTTGTTGCTAGCTGGATTGTATTTGTGGATTGAAATGAGAGGCAGTATGTGAGGATGGAAGGATGAAGAAGCTGGGGCGGAGGTGTCGGAGAGGGAGTCAACCCAAGCATCACTGATAAGCATAGAGGATCGTGCACCAAACGCATTTAGGTTAGCTTCATCGCCATAAACTGTGACTAAGCTGCATCGTACTCTGGGTACAGACTCTGGGGTCGATATCAACGTTCTTTTCATCTCCAACCTTACTATCACATCGCCGAAATTTACACGTTCCCATTGCTCGAGCCACTCAATCCTCATACGGAACCAAAAGCTCAATCGCGTATTTTGTAAGAAAGATGATCCTACGCGTTTTAGTTTTGCTTACGGCCTTTACAAACGGGCGCGTGTTGGCGAGAATGCCTCCTCAATCAATGCCACGGCAGCCTGCGCGCATCCATAGGAAGACTGATATCCGGCTCCACCAGCGCCATAGTTGTGTACCACCAACACGTCTTCTATGCGCTCCTTTTCGATTCTCGTTCCGCCTTCTCGAACAGGTCTTAATCCCACGCCGTGTCTGATTATGTCGAGATGCTCGATTCCATTTCCCCCTGTCAGCTCAGGACACAGTTTCACTGCTCTCTTCATGATTCTAATGGCCAGATTGGGGTCCACCTGTGACTCCCAATTTCCTTTCTGGTAGGACCCGCCCAGGATCGTGCCCCCGCCGGCAGCTCTTGTCATGACATAGCATGCCTCGCCATCTCCATCGTCGGTTCCGGACACATCAGCCATCCTGTCAGCCACATTGCGGACGATCACAATCTGGCCTCGGGCGGGTACAACGGACTTGTCCTCAACGCCGCCGAGCGTACTTGCCATGAGGCCGGTGCAATTGACCACGAGATCGACCTTGCTTGAAGGATGAGTTGAGGGCAATGAGGCTTCTGAAATGTGCTTGAAAACAGCGCGTTTAAAAGTGACTCCGTTTTTGAGACACTGTGAGACGAGCCAAGGAAGATATATGGCGGTGTTGATGCAAACAGAGGTGAAAGCTGTTGCAGAATCGATTTCAGAACTCAGACTTTGCTTGGGAAGCGAACGGAACTGGGAGAGCCGAGTAAGTCTAGACCTAACGTCTAAGCAGCCAGGGGACTACTCACATTCGGCACGACATCCTTGAACCATGGATTTGGTGATAATAATTCGGCAAACCAGTCTGCTGTTGCAGAACCGACGTCTTTGGAACGACTGTAGATTTCACATTCTCGGTCCGGTTAGCAGTCGTGTTTTCAGAGTAAGGTAGTATATATCTAGACATACCTTGGAAGTGCACGCCAGCCTCAGGGTGGTTCCGTGCTAGATCCTCTAGGGGAGACCATGTGTTCTTATCCCACTCTGCTGCCTTAGTACCACGAACTGAGACACTGAACGCAAGCTTTGTTAAATGGCTTGTTCGACTACATGAATGGCTAGTCTCACTTACGGCATATAGTTTGCTCCCGCCCAGGGTGATGCATATTCGATATCGTAGTCACCAGGCATATGCTTGGCAGCTACTACGATTCGGTATCGAGGATTTTTCGACAAGAGCAATGCCGTCGTCAATCCTGCGACTCCAGCACTGCGAAATGTCGGCGTAAGCTAATTGAAGGGTTGGGATTTGCGCATTGGACTTACCCTATCACAACAATATTCTTCTGTGCCATGATGAGTCCTGCTCTTGTCTTTTGCTGAAAGAATACCAGGAATGCGAAATTATATTCGACTTCTAAGGCACCTCTCAAAGTCTCGGGAGTGGCAGCAACAGGGTCAAGACCTCACATGCATACGATTGATGTCCTGGACAAATTGCTTGGTGAGGAATGACTCTTGTTATTCTTAAAAGCTTCTAACTATGAGCGAAGTCGCTGACAGAATGCCGCGCTAGAGTCCATACTAGGCATTCGTAGCCGAGGATGAGGGGCACGTCTTTTCGGACGCGCTCACGCGTTTCCACCTCGAAACTACCAGCAATTGCCCTTTCAGTATGTGAATTCATTCATCCAATTACGCTGAATTGCATTGCCCTGGGAGGCTTATCAGAAGACGACGTTCGCTATGGTAGATCTGCTGCAAGATGTGGGCTCAATTACTGGATCGGGAATTACCCTTTTAGGAAGGCGAGTTATGCCCCACCCGATAAGCACACCTCCACAGAGGGACATGCATGCCATCGGCATACTACGGCGTGCACAAGGGTAGGTTATGGTTTATAATGATCGTTCTGGAACGACAAGTCATGCAACAAGATCTCTTTCTGAACCTTGAACACTCCAACAAGTTTTTTAATCATATATCTCCAACCACAATATCAGCTTCGGTCCCCCAAACCCGAGAAAGCGACCATCTTATATTGGCCTTTAGCCAATTCTAGTTGGTAAAGGTTACTGCAAGCTTGAATCGACCCTTGTAAGTCATGAATCTCTGGCGGAGTTTGTACTTCTGTGCATGTTTCAGCTCCGAGACTAACGCCCCCCTAGTACAAACCCCAAATCTCAAATCCGCAATGGCTACCATGAAGAAGACGTTCGCAGGTTACGCTGCCCGCGATGCCGTCATCCAAGCTAGCAGCAATCCTTACGCCCGTGGAATTGCCTGGATAGCAGGAGAGCTCACTCCCCTGACCAAAGCCCGCATCCCCCTTCTCGACCAAGGCTTCCTACACAGCGACCTCACCTACGACGTACCATCCGTCTGGGATGGTCGCTTCTTCCGCCTGGACGACCATCTCGAACGCCTTTCCGCCAGCTGCACCAAAATGCGCCTAAAGCTCCCCCTCCCAAAGGAAGAGGTCAAATCGATCCTCGTCGACATGCTCGCCAAAAGCGGCATCCGTGACGCCTTCGTCGAGCTGATCGTCACGCGCGGCCTCAAAGGCGTCCGTGAGTACAAGGCCGAGGACATTACGAACAACCTCTACATGTTCATCCAGCCCTATGTCTGGGTCATGGAGCCGGCGGTGCAGCTTAAAGGCGGCAGCGCCATCGTTGCGCGGACGGTGCGGCGCACCCCACCTGGAGCGATGGACCCGACAATCAAGAACCTGCAATGGGGGGATTTGACCCGCGCGATGCATGAGGCGCGGGACCGTGGTGCTGCGTATCCCTTCCTTACGGATGGCGATGCGAATATCACCGAGGGATCGGGCTTCAACATCGTCTTTGTTAAGGATGGTGTTCTCTACACCCCTGACCGCGGCGTTCTGCATGGTGTTACACGAAAGAGCGTGATCGATGCCGCGAAGGCGATTGGCGTGGAGGTTCGCGTTGAGGTGGTGCCTGTGGAGCTGGCGTATCAGTGTGATGAGCTGTTCATGTGCACAACGGCTGGTGGGATTATGCCTATCACGAGTCTGGATGGGAAACCGGTGAAGGATGGGCAGATTGGCCCGGTCACGAACAAGATCTGGGATGGATATTGGGCTATGCATTATGATGATGCTTATAGCTTTGAGGTAAGTTATGAGGGTAGTCATGTCAATGGCACTAAGACCAACGGCACCGATGGTATTCACACCAATGGTAACTGAGTGCTGAGAAGAAAAAAGTTGCGCACTTATCGTCATTTCATTAAGAGAAGGAAACTTTCAATGCAAATAACTAGCTCGTCACTTTCGTGTAGCCTGAACATTCGGGAGACTTACTTGGGCTACTTCAGACGGCATGTCTGCAAGTTTACCAATTGTTCTGCAAAGAGCCAAAGAGCTCGCTATATGGTCTATAAATATGCGTACTCTATCCATTGGGTATGGCAATCTCTACAATTTCTCCAACCCCCTGAAGTGCATGTCGATAAAGCCCTCACTCCTTTACTTCGACCCCTTCAACGCCCTCCCAATCGCCTCATCCAACCCTTTTGCCAGGAAATACACTGTTTCTAACCTCACACAATCCACCCCCTTCTCCTTCGCCATCCTCACTGCATTCCCCACAATCGCCTCCACCTCCATCCGCCGCCCCTCCCTCACATCTGTCAACATACTCGGCTCACTCCCCACCCCCTTACTCGTCTCAATCCGCTTCTTAAACCGCTCCAACTGCGCCCTCGCCACCTTCTCATCCACATTCGCATACCCATGCGCCTTCGCAATCGCCACAAGCTCAAGCATCATCGCGAACACGAAGTCCGTCGCCCCGGCTGAGGACGCCATGAACCTCACGTCCGAGGAGCGCGTCAGCGCGCAGATGGGGTTCCACGAGCCGTTGACGAGCAGCTTCGCCCACCGCTTGAACTGCACGTCGTCCCACACCTCGGCGGTCCCGCCGCCCGCCTGGATCAACTCCGCGAAGCGCGTCGTGGGGGCAGATGAGGCGGACGAGGGGTACGCGCCGAGCTCGAGGCGCTCGATGTCGCCGTGCTGGATCACGCCGGGGGAGGTTTGCGTTACGGGGAGGTAGACGACACCGCTGATGATGGGGTTGGTGGGGAAGGCGGCTGTGTATTCCGCTTCGATGTTGATGCCGTTCTGGAGTAGGACGATCACGGTGTGGTTGGGTGTCACGGCGGGTGCGATAAGTGCGGGGATGGTGTTGGGGGTTACTTTGCTGCAAATTACGATGTAGTCGAATGGTTTGGCGGGTGAGCCGACATCGAGAGTAGTGGCTTCGGCGCATGTGCGCGCGACGCGGGGATTAAAATGGAGGGTCTCGCCAAAGATCTGGGGGGAGTGGATTGTGAAGCCGTTTGCTTTTGCGGCGGCGTAGTTGGAGCGGCATATTGCGGTGGTGTCGCAGTGTTTGGAGAGAAGGTAGAGATATACAGATCCTACGGCACCCGTCCCGAAAAGAAGAACATTAGGGCGATCAGCCATGGCTTTTTGCGGAAAGAAATTGGCCTGATACTGATCTGTAGAATGTAGAGGAAAGGAACAAGCTTTCCCTGCTTAGTTATGTGTCTTTTTAACTGGCAAACTTTTCTTTTACCTCTCTATCTATTGACGTGAATCATCAATCGTAAGGCGTGCGATATCGCTCTTCTTTCCGTCAGTTAAGTCGTCTACGTGATCCTCTTTGGGCTTAGAGTGATACGGGAATAATGGGCTTATCAAGCCGCCCCACTTTTTTGTTGTTCTCAGCTTCACGATGTTTGCTGAAACAACTCCTCCTCAACACGACAATACGAACATCATATCTACATCAATCTAAATTATGGCGTCTCGATTACTAAACATGCGGCCTAGTGAGTCACAGGATCGCGCGTTACGGACGTATGCTCGTAGCCTCTTTACGCGCATCATTTGAGCTCGGCCGAGCACGCGGTGTCTTTCATTTTGAAGGTATATAAAGTCGTTTCTTGGTCAAATACTAAAAAACACTCTGAAGAGATCATTTCAGTCTACTCGAAATCTATTTTCTATCTGTGTGAGATCAGATATACTTAATTTCCAAGAAATAAAACTGGGTTTCCCGTCAAGATGTCGTCTCAGAGCGATCTTGCCTTGGATCATTCCAAATTTGCCTCAAGCAGCATACCTGCAGAGACCAAGAAGATCAATGCCATGCTAGAAGCAATCAGCAGTAAAGGCCCTCATTGGAACCAAATAGGATCAGAAAAGTATCAGCAGATGCGCGAGGCGGGCGAAACCCCATTGCCTCCACCCATCTACCTTCCTGAAGCGCAAGAGGTCACTATACCCTCCCGAGACCCAGGCCGCACGATCCCTCTACGCGTCTACAAGCCTGATGATGGTCAACCAAGCCGTGGCATCTTCCTCCACTTCCACGGCGGTGGATTCGTCCTCGGAAACCATCAATCGTATGCCTCTTACTCCGTCACATTCTTCAATCCTCCATCCAACTAATATCCCATAAAGTCAAGACCGCACCTTAAAGCTCTACGCCAACTCCTGCCATCTGACAGCCATCAGCGTCGGCTACCGGCACGCACCCTCCATCCCCTACCCTGGTCCTATCCATGATTGCATCGATGCGGCGGAGTACCTCGTCGACCACGCCTCCACGGACTACGGTGTCCCCCTTATCTTCATGGGCGGCGAGTCTGCAGGTGCATGCGCCGCAGTGCTTTCCGCTTTCCACCTCATCCGCTCGCGATCTGCACATGAGCTTGCCGGACTTATCCTGCCATACGGCTGGTTCGACATGTCTCTCTCACTCCCCTCAATCGCGACCTGCACTACCACAAAGCCTCGCGTCATTAATCTCGCGGAGATGAGGAAGTTTAGAGATGCATATTTGCCGGGGGCAGGGAAGGGGGAGATGAGGGAGGCGAAGGTGTCACCTTTGTTTGAGGACTTTAGCCTAGGGAAGTTGCCGCCGGCGTTGTTTCTGGTGGGCAGTGAGGATCCGCTGGTAGATGATACGTTGTTGATGGGTTTGAAGTGGATGGCTGCGGGCGCGGAGGCGGTGGTGAGGGTGTGGCCGGGGTGTCCGCATGGGTTTACTGCGTTTCCTGGTTTCAAGCCAGCAGAGGAGGCGGCGGAGATGGTGGTTGGATTCTTGAAGGGGAAGTTGGAGGCTTTCAAGTGTCTTTAGCCCGGTAGAGTAGCTTTGATGATTTCACCAGATCTCCATTTATGTTCCTTTCTCGAGACTGACTTGGCGCTTCTAATAGAATTCGTTGATAGTAAATATGTGTGAAATGGACATAGAGCATTAGGCCAAGAGTTTGTGTACATCCGAATCTTCCACCACATCTGTCGCCACAACCACGCCAGATTTCCATGCATTTAAGAGTTGGTGTATGAGCCCTTAGCCTTCTCCGCCGCTACTAGCCTTTTTTATATATTATATGCTAAATTATTAAAGAGATCTTAGGGCAAGGCCAACTAGGCTTCTTTATAAGTAGCAATTAGAGCATATAAATTAGCATATAAATTATCTATTCTCTAATTCTAGGTGTCACGATAGCGCTACACGCGAGAGGTCGAGGGCTCAAAGAGGAGCGTTGATTAGGTGCTATGTACAATGCTACGTGGAGAATCAAGACGTTGTGTAAGGAACAGGAAGACGGGAGACGGGCCACCGGATATAAGGGCGTGGCCGAGCGCGTGGCGTACGGCCTCTATGCCGTTTCGGCGCGTGGCACGCGTGTACGCGAGGTCCTTACCAGATCAGGTGATAGGAAAAGGGGGCAGCCGGTAGGTGGCTGGAGCGGGACAGGATAGGAAGCGGAAGCGAGACGGGAGCGGAGCAGGGTAGGCAGGGCAGGAGGCCGGCCAACGGTAGTAGGCCGGTGCAGATTGCTGGAGTTGTAGCAATCTGCGGCAGAATTTCGGTAGGTAGGGTGTCGCGGTCGATACCGTGACACTAGGTACATCTTAATAATCTATTACTTTAGCTAGTACTGTGTACTTAATAAGGTGAAGACTAGGGGAGTATAAAGGCTATTTTAATAATATATATACCATAGGTCTCTAGCTAGATTTTAGAAAGCAACATGCCCAGTAAATAATAAAGCATTTATCGCGGCGTGTTATAGCCTGCGGTCGGCCAGAGCGGGGTCGTGTCTTATTGCTGCCATGAGTGTTATAGATCGCTTAGCGGCTGACGCCGTATAATACTATAATTCCAACCCGGGGTTTCTTTACCTTAACATCGCGATAGATAGCTGCCCGTGTTTGTTTAGAAAGCTGACACAGAGACCCGCAATTTACGCTGATTTCTGTGCCGAAAGCTTGCTGCATGGTTACGTAGTTGTGAAGTGTTGGGGTGACTTTTGGTGTGAAAACACCGATGTACACAAACTTATGGCGATTCACTGATAGGCATATAGATGAAGAATAAGACGTTGATAGGAGTGAGCACGAGTAGGAAGTAGATGTTCATTGATTGATGTCGGTAATCATCACGTGACGGCGATAATGCCCAACGATTTTTTGCCGAATCTCTTCATGAGTCAGCTAGCCTCTGTCCCATCTCCGTCAACAGACCCTTCAACGACATGTATGAGGCTCTCAAGCACCTTGTACGGAGCAAGTCATTGAGACTTCCCAGCTGACCCGGGTAACTGGCCATTATTCAAGCAATTCCATGGGTGTGGCCTGGATCCACACTTGCGTACTTCCGCGGAATTCTTGGATCTTGGAAGCGCAAACAAGTTGGGCACCCCCACCGCAGCTTTGAAAGCTAGTGTCTCCACGTACCTGACACCTGATGAAAGAGGAAGATGTACTCTCATTGCCGTAGTGATCTCTGAAAGAGGAAGACGTACCCTCATTGACTTCCTAATCTCTGATAGATGACGAGTACCTTCGACGCCATAGGATTGTTCCTTAGAAGTTCTACTTGAAATTCTACTTGTCACTTTGTGTTGCGCAGGCATTAGGATATCAAATGCCATGACAGTCTGGGCCCTTATTTGACATGCCACCCCGCTAATCCGAATCGTTTCTCAGACGGCGCCCACCACGATTCGGAGTAGACTCCAGATCCGGAGGGCCCTGAAGAATCGAGGCTAAGCGATGAGAGCGGTCAGAATTGTCTCCAGAGTTAAGAGCTACAATCACGCCCTGAAGGGTCTTCGTAACTACTACAGCCACAGACTGCTACATACCTCCACAGCCATCAGGATGATTAGATCGTACTTCTGGTGGCGGACTGGGGAACACCAGGTCTAGGATGTAAATTCCATCGTCGATCTTGCGGCTTGTTACCCACATCTGCAAGATGGGCACATGGCGGCTGCAGCACCCTGCCGTGGTGGGCATCGGCTAGACGGTAGCTAGAGATCTAGGCCAGGAACTCAAGCCACCGTCGATGATTGGTACCGACAATACCAGGCGGTCTGTCGCGGGAACTAGAATTCGGTGCCGTTGGCATGCAGAAGACAACAGACAGGACGCCTTCCAGACCCTTTGTTCTGCTCCCTAGCCGTCGCGTTCGTCGCCTTTTGCTGGCCTTGACGTCATCGCCCTCTCCGACGCTGAAACCACCACAACGCGGCCACTTAACGACCTAATCTACATCACACTACCTCGACCACCTGCAACTCTAGCCGCGCATCCTGGCAGCTTCCACCTCCTCCAGGGCTCCGCAGAGCCTCGAGGTATGTGTATTCTGTACACGTTAACCATCATTCTTCACAACTTCTCCTGAGCCGCGGCAGACGCGGAGCACGTCTCGTCCCAGCAGCACGCCATGGACGAGACGCAACCAGCTCCAGTCTCGCGACCAGGCATGGCGAAGAAGATCTCTGACGGCTTCCGCGAACGGGAATTTTACAGGTAGAACCTCACAAAGCTCCTCGCGACCCCTCTGTTGCTGACGATGTCTCTCTAGATACTACCAACCATCTGATCCCACAGGCGCTGACCGTCGCCGACCGCCGTCGCTTCCATTCACCAAGCCAGATGCACCTGATGCCCCAGAGACACTGTGTACCACCTCCAGCAGTCCGGTACCCTCAGACGACAAAGCGCTCACGGCTTTCGCTCAGCTCGGCGCACTTCGACTAGACGCACGTCGATGTATGCTATCGTTCTTCGACCGCAAGAACTGCTACATCATGGCGGAAGCCACCCGAACTTTGTCACTGCAGACCGGCACCGCCCTAGACCCCCAAGATAGCCTACAGTGGGGCCGAGCTGTATTCACTAAGGGCAATGGGCTCTGCGATTATACGGTCAAGATGCCAATGATGCAAGAGGCTACAGAATCCGGCAACGTTGACGTTACATCTTTCATCGTAAATGACTTGACTTTGGATGACCGCTTCAAGAACAAATCTTATGTCGTCAATAAACCGCATGTGCGATTTTACGCCGGTGTCCCCATCCGGAGCCCCAATGGCTACGGCATTGGTTCATATTGCATCATGGACGACAAGCCCCGGAACGGTCTTAGCATTCTCGAAATTTCCTTTATGCACGACATGGCAATCACTACAATGCGCCATCTGGAGATGATTAAGATAAAGGAGCATCATCGGAGAGGAGGTGTCATGGTTAGAAGCTTGGGCTGCTTCGTGAAGGGAAACGACACTCTAGAAGACTGGTGGCTGGACCCTAGCTATCCATGGTCAGCGTCACCTAAAAAGAAGTCTCAACCTCGAGTAGTTCCTGGTTTACCAGTTGAATCCAGTACGGAGTCCGAGTACAGCCCCGATATGCAAGCACCTTCCCTAGCTTCTACGATGCATTCGAGAGATCCGTCCACCGCAGCCACAAGTGTTACGGATTTACAAACAGACCACACCACAGAAACACGGCCACTATTTCCAGTGGTTTCTGAGGAACATATTGCTGCACAAAGCTTACAAGAGCAGATTCTTGCGCCTGATGTAAAGTCCACGTTTGGCCGAGCTGCTCGTATTGTACTGGAAGCAACTGAAGCTCATGGGGCTGTCTTCTTCGACGCTAGCATCGGAACTTTTGGCGGATTAGTGGAAGAAACACTAAACCCCGAACCACTTACAGAGACGCAAGATTGGCAGTACGATGGTATCACACCAACAATCGAACGCGCCGATCCTCTATCGCAAATCCAACCTTTCGACGATGGTAGTTTTGTAGAAGACAAGCTTTGTGAAGTGCTCGGATCTTCAGTCGTAGGGTCTGTTTATCCTTATTCGATGAAGGAGAAGGTGCTCAAAAGCCTATTGCGGCATTATCCACGTGGCCACATATTCAGTTTCGATGAGCATGGCCAATCATTCGAAGACGCGACGAGCGATCAAATGGCACCTCCGCGACTTCTCCCAGATCAAACCTCGACCCTGAAGGGATCTCAATATTCTTCGAGGATGATGAATTACCAAAATCACCTCACGAAGGATGAGAAAACACTACACGACTTGTTTCCTGAGGCACGCAGTCTCGCTCTTTGCCCTATGTGGGACTCGCACAGGTCGAGATGGTTTGCCGGCGCTATCATCTGGAGCACCGATCCCATGCGCGTATTCACCGTGGAGCAGGAACTTAGCTACCTCACAGCTTTCGGAAATAGCGTGATGGCCGAGGTCGCGAGATTAGATACCACCCAGGCGGATCGAGCTAAAGCAGATTTTATCTCATCCATCAGTCATGAGCTCAGGTGCGTAAATCATCTTATATTGCTCCAGAGAAGCTGCTAAGTATCCTTCTACAGATCTCCTTTACATGGAATCCTCGGTGCGTGTGAACTAGTAGCTGAGACCTCGTTGGATCCGTTTCAGGTCAGCATGACTGAATCTATCGAGTCATGCGCGCAGACTCTGCTCGATACAATTAATCACGTAAGCTGAATGGATTTCCCACCATCTACCTCCTAAATCGAATGGTTCACTTGATCTTTCGTCAAGAAATCAAATCCTTTGGATGACCTGGACTGCTAACAAAGCTGCTTAGGTTCTGGATCATGCAAAAATAAACAATCTCGGAAATGCACAGTCGGCAAATGATATCATGAGTCTCATCTCTGATGTGGATCTAAGCAATGTGGCCGAAGAAGTTCTTGAGACAGTTTTTACTGGCTACAACTTTCAGAAGAGTGCATCGGCCGCCTTCATGCGTCCGGAAACTACTCCTAACGAGACCTTCAAGATCCAGCACGCCATTACGGAGTCCCCTGCCGGTTTACTGACATCCTCGCAAGTTTCGACCAACCAAGAGGTAGCAGTGGTTGTTGACGTCAACAAAGCGGATAATTGGATCTTCCAGACCCAAGCTGGAGCCTGGAGGAGAATCCTTATGAATCTCTTTGGGAACGCTCTGAAATACACCGAGAAAGGGTTCATCAAGGTTAAGCTCCAGGTGAAGCCGACACCATCCGATATCATAGGAGAGGAGTCCGACCTCAGACTCATCGTCGTAGACTCTGGGCGAGGGATGTCTCCCGAATACATCCGTGATCGACTGTTCCATTCATTCGCCCAGGAAAACCCGTTGAGTCAAGGGACTGGACTAGGCTTGAGTATCGTGCGCAATATAATCGATTCGTTGGGAGGTAACATCGACGTCCAGAGTGAGCTCGGAAAAGGTACCAAAATAACCGTCAGCTGTCGGCTAAAGAACGTCGCATCGTCTCCCGGCGCGCCACTTACGCCACCGGACACAATGGTATATGATGTCTTTGGCCGCTCAAAGGGCATGACGGTCGCCATTGTAGGCTTTGATGAGATGACAGGCCCTGAACCAGTTCAATATGCACCAGGCAAGCTCAAGACAGGGTCTGTTGGCACAATAGTCAGGAAAGCCCTTGAGAGTATCTGCGGAGAGTGGTTCGGAATGGTCTTAGTGTCTTGGACTAGCTCAGAACACACCCACCCCGATCTTTTCGTTGCTACTGAGCGTTGCGCGGCCGCTTTGAGAGCCCAATTTGAGTCGAAAGCCGGCATCCAGAGTGCTCAAGAGATAACGAAGCCTCCTCCCGTCATCGTACTCTGCAACGCGGCATCGTCGAGTCATTCGAGCAGCAACACAGTAGCACCAGCAAAGTACGAGCAGGTGTTCGAGCATGTTACCCAACCTTGCGGACCCCGGAAATTCGGAAGAGCATTATCTGCGTGCCTTAGTAGAGACAACCATAATTCCCAACACACAGTAGCTGGTGCCGAACCTGCACAAGGCCTTACCAGCGAAGCAATATCGAAGTTGCCATCACCGTTTGGTGTGCTCAATTTGGATCCATCGACGAAAGTCAATACGTCGACTGACTCGACAGTGGGACAACACGACGTGGCTACTGACTCGATTCAAAACCTTCATGTCAAGAATCAGCGCCCGCCAAACCCGCAATCGCAATCTTCTCCTAGCGTTCCGACAACAACAGCAAAGATACCAACCCCACTGCCTCGCCACGTCCCACTCTTTGTCTTAGCAGGTCAGTAAGCCATCATGCAAATGATACAGATTAGAACTAATAGTGTGACAGTTGATGATAACCCCATAAACCTCAATCTCCTACGCAACTGGCTTTTGAGACTGAGTCATTACCCCATCACTGCCACCAATGGCGCCGAGGCTGTGGAAAAGTACAAAGCTCGCTGCAACACTGCCACTTCTAGCGCCCCTACGTCAGCTACTTGTTTGCCGGTGACCGAGACGCCTCGGTTCGATGCAGTCCTCATGGTAGGTTTCGTTCCTTAACTTCAAGTTGAAACACCGATAGACCAGGAAGACTCGAAAAGCTAACCTAGGCGATAGGATATATCCATGCCACAAATGAACGGAATGGAAGCGACCCGTCAGATTCGAGCATACGAACGGGAGTTGGGGCTAAAACCAGCGAAAGTCATTGCTCTCACTGGACTCGCGAACGCGCAGGCTCAGCAGGAGGCATTCTCAAGCGGCATAGACACCTATTTGGTCAAACCCCTCCGCGTGAGAGAGTTGGAGGGGGCGTTACGAGACGTGGCAATGGGAGATGAGGAAGGCTCGGAAGGAACTGTGGTCTGAGGATTGGCTGGCTTCGGGGTGGGATGGGTCTTTGCATTTTGAAGGGCTTTCTTGCCCAATTAGGCGTTGTAAGCGGGCATAGGCGGGCATTAAAATGGGTATTGGAGTAAAGGAGGATGTCTATTTCCCCGGCTGGGGAATCGGAAACCCCCCCTGATACCCTTATTGCACGGTAGCGAGAATCAGAGATTCTCTCTGGTCTAACTTTATGAAAGCTATTCAAGACAGCTGCTGAACATCACTTGCACACCTCTTGACACTGTCTGGAGTGCTCCAACGAGCGCTAAAAAATCAAGATGGGACTGGAATTTTGAGTGTCATATATTAGCATATATCGAACTCTAGTGCTCCGGCAGCACTAGGATCGATTTGCTGCACCATTTTGCCGCCGTTTGAAGTGCCTCAAACTATTCAATAGAAATAGAAGTCCATTATTTTGGCTACTGCAAAAACTTGCCGGGCTACCTCAGGCGCTGGTAGACGAGTGGAAACGTGCACCTGGGTTGGTCCCATTTCCCCTGAACGACTATTCTAGGATGTCGATTTGCTGAACCGTCATGCCGCTGTTTGAAGTGCCTCATACTACTCAATAGAAATAGAAACGCATGATTTTGATGGCCCTAATTATTTGCTGGGCAAACACAGGCACGGGTAGATGGGTGTACACAGTGAACGTGCAACTGGGTTGTCCAAGTTTTTATAAATACATTGAAGTACCACAAGCAGCGGCAGAAAGGTGTGGGCAGTTTTCATATCAGCACTAGCAATGGTCCTCGCTGAAGGAAGTTCGGGCGACAAGAGGAGACTCGGCTAGACTTGCCCTCCGTGATTCGGCGGCTTTCAGTTCAAAGTGGCGGCCTTGACCCATCGTCAACTCATCTTTACCATCCCCATACTACTTCTATCTCAGTTGGTGGCCTCTTCTTCTTTGCTGTGAGTCAACGCAGTAATAGTGTCTAAAGCCGCGAAATCCTTCTTGTCTAACTCTCAACTGAATGAGGCTACTTCTATATCACATCAAACCTCGACCGTCTTCACCTCAGCATCTTGTCACGTTCACTAGACAGCTCAACACTAGCCTCGCCTATCTAAGTCCCTGACTCGTTCCTGCCTCAAGCTTACGAGTTCCACTTCCCAAAGCCTGCAACGCACCAAGCCTTCCAGGCTTTCTTTCTTCTCATAGTCATTTCTTTCCGCGGCCCCTCTTCACCATGGGTCATCTCATCACGTTGGCGACATGTTCTCTTAATCAGTGGGCCTTAGACTTCGAAGGCAACACAGCTCGGATCATCCAGAGCATTCAAGAAGCCAAAGCCGCCGGCGCCAGTCTGAGATGCGGCCCTGAGCTCGAGATCTGTGGTTACGGCTGTCTTGACCACTTCCTAGAGCAAGACCTATACCTCCACTGCTGGGAGATGCTAGAACGCATTTTGACCGACAAGTCATGTCACGGTATCATTCTTGATATTGGAATGCCAATCCTCCACCGGAACAACCGCTACAATTGCCGTATCATCGCTCTAGACTCCAAGATCCTCATGATCCGCCCAAAGCTCTGGCTTGCGAACGATGGCAACTACCGTGAAATGCGATACTTCACGCCTTGGGAAAGACCTCAGCACGTTGAGGAATACTATCTGCCGCGCAAGATCCAACTCATTCAGGGTGCTGTCAAGGTGCACTTCGGAGACTGTGTCCTTTCTACGCCGGACACATGTCTGGGTTTCGAAACTTGCGAAGAACTCTTCACACCAAAGGCACCTCACATCGACATGGGCCTTAACGGCGTTGAGGTCTTCACCAACTCTTCGGGATCTCATCATACTCTCCGGAAGCTTGATGTTAGACTATCTTTGATCCTAGAAGCTACCAGAAAGAGCGGCGGAATCTACCTCTATGCAAATCAGCAGGGATGCGACGGCGACCGCCTCTACTACGATGGTTCTGCTATGATCATCATCAATGGAAATATTGTTGCCCAAGGAACTCAGTTCTCTCTCAACGATGTTGAGATCGTGACCGCGACTTGCGATATTGAGGAAGTTCGCGCATACCGATTTGCTCCCAGTCGGGCGCTTCAAGCCGTGCAAGCTCCAACGTATCAGCGTATCGAGACCAAATTCAGCCTCTCCTCTGACGCTGACGACATTGATCCTTTCATAGCCCCCTCGCCAAAGCTTGCTCCGAGGTACCACATACCGCAAGAAGAAATTGCCATGGGCCCAGCCTGCTGGCTGTGGGACTATCTCCGACGTTCCAAAGCCGCCGGATTCCTCGTACCGCTGAGCGGTGGTATTGACTCTTGTGCTACGGCTGCGATAGTGTTCAGCATGTGCCGAATCGTGATCGAAGCTATCAAAGCTGAAAACGCTCAAGTGATTGCCGACGTCCGACGCATAGCTGGTGCCTTTGAGGATGAAGGTTGGCTTCCTTATACTCCAGAAGAACTGTGCAAGAACATCTTTCACACTGTCTACATGGGTATGGAAAAGCAGTCCTCGGTCGAAACACGCAGCAGAGCAGAACGCTTGGCTGCTGATATCGGGGCTTATCATACAGACATGAATATCGATACTGTCTTTAACGCAGAGAAGAACCTCCTTACGCAATCGACAGGCTTTGAGCCCCAATTCAAAGTCCACGGTGGATCAGCAACGGAGAACCTGGCCCTCCAGAACATTCAGGCTAGGACGCGCATGGTCACAGCCTACTACTTCGCACAGATGTTGCCTACTGTTCGAAAACGACGCGGTGGTGGCTCGCTACTTGTCCTCGGCTCCGCCAACGTCGACGAGTGCCTTCGAGGTTACCTAACTAAGTACGACTGCAGTAGTGCAGATATCAACCCCATCGGCTCCATTTCCAAGACGGATCTCAAAGCTTTCATCGCTTGGGCTAGCGATGCTTTCTCCCTCCCCATCCTAAATGAATTCATCCACGCCATCCCCACCGCGGAACTAGAGCCGATAATGGAAAACTACGTCCAGTCTGACGAAGCTGACATGGGTATGACCTACGACGAGCTGTCCGTATTCGGCAAGCTTCGAAAGGAGGCCAAGCTAGGTCCCTACGGCATGTTTCAACGACTAGTGCATGAATGGAAGGACAAGTGCTCGCCACGGGAGACTGCAGTCAAAGTCAAGAGGTTCAACCACTTCTATGCGATCAATCGACATAAGATGACCACGATGACGCCCGCGTACCATGCTGAGGGGTACAGTCCGGATGATAATAGGTTCGATCTGAGGCCATTCTTGTATCCGCCGTTCTTCGAGAGCTGGTCGTTCAAGAAGATTGATGATGAGGTGGACAGGATTGAGAAGAGGGCCGCGAAGTGATCAGGGAACTAATTTTTCCTCTCTCTCCAACTCATTCGGAGGAGCTCATCTTTGCCACGGCGTTACCTGGGTTGGCCTTTTGATGTTTTCGGTAGATCAACCATTTGGTCAGGCAGCTCTGCGGAGCATCGTCTAATCATGGATCATATGATAGATAGAACTTATAAGGATCTTGACATCGAAGGTCCCATGATACTTGTACTGTTTGCCACTGCTTTAGACTCATCGTATCCGGTAGCCCGGATTGACGTGCAAACAGCACACTCTACAGTTCCATACTCAAGCACACACAGATTTTTCTTGTGATGACTTGGTCAAGTACCCCTGGATTGCATCTAAAGTATTCCTAAATTCACTTAAAGTTGTAGCGAAATCGCATTAGTCCGTCCGGATCACGTGACATTCACACAGACTTCCAATCCATTCCAACTAACTTTCTTTAATTAGATATGTCCAAGATACTTTTAAAGTCTGAGGCACAATATCCACGAGTTTAATAATCCCGTCTTTTGATTACATTTCTAAAAGCGACGCAAGCCGAAAATTCGCGTTTTTGGACCGAGGAACCGCGGAGCATTCCCCACGTTCTCGTAGCTCCGACTCCGCAGGAGCTCTCTTAAACCACCAACAATGTGACAACTTCCACCCGCTTTTCCCCCCGAGCCCAGTCCTTTCTAATTTTCTTTTGCCCAAAGCTTCTTCCGATCGTCGCATCACTTCTACAAAATGTCTTCAGCAGCTTTCCGCAGGATGACGACCGCAAGCACCCGCCTCTCGGCCGTCCAGCGCCACTTCAGCACCGCGCGCCCCGCGCAGAAAGAGGTGCGGGATGCGTATATCCTCAGCGCGTCGCGGACGCCTACGGGTGTTGTATGCAGCCTCCCTCCCCTTCCCAACACCCCCTCCTCTCATCTGAAGTCTGGGAAGCTTACAACAATGTCCCCCAGTTCAACGGCGCCTTCACCACCGTCCCCGCCCCCTCGCTCGGCGCAACCGCCATAAAATCCGCCCTCGCCAAGACCACCCTCCCCATCTCTAAAATCAGCGCCGTGTACATGGGCAATGTGCTGTCCGCGGGCCTCGGGCAGGCGCCCGCGCGGCAAGCCTCCATCTTCGCGGGGCTGCCCACGAGCGTCGAAGCCACGACCGTCAACAAAGTGTGCAGCTCGGGGCTCAAAGCCGTGACGCTCGCCGCGGGGCAGATCCAGCTGGGGCACGCGGACGCGCAGGTCGCGGGCGGCTTCGAGAACATGACGCGCGTGCCGTACTACCTGGGCCGCGCGAGTCAGCAGCCGGCGTTCGGCGACCAGAAACTCGCGGACGGGTTGGTCGGGGACGGACTGTGGGACGTGTACAACCAGATCCACATGGGCAACTGCGCGGAGAACACGGCGAAGAAGCATGGGGTTGGCCGCGAGGAGCAGGATGCGTTTGCGGTGCTGACGTATGAGCGGGCGCAGGCGGCGTGGAAGGCGGGGCATTTTGAGGAGGAGATCGCGCCGGTGACGGTGAAGACGCGGAAGGGTGAGACGGTGGTGACGGAGGATGAGGGGTATAATAAGCTGAAGCTCGAGAAGCTGCCCACGCTGAAGCCGGCGTTTTTGAGGGATGGGACGGGGACCGTGACGGCGGCGAATGCGTCGGGGTTTAGTGATGGGGCGAGTGCGCTGGTGCTGGCGAGTGAGGAGATGGCGAAGGAGTATGGGAAGGACAGTCGGGTGTTGGCACGGATTGTGACGTATGCGGATGCGGCTGTTGGTAAGTGTTTCTGGGAGGTTATTGGAGTGGAGCGATGCTGATCAGAGTGACAGATCCGATTGATTTCCCGGTTGCGCCGGCGGAGGTTGTGAAGAAGCTTCTTGATCAGTCTGGGCTTTCGAACGGAGATATCAGCGTTTGGGAGTTCAATGAGGCCTTTGCTGCGGTCATCAAGGCCAATGCGAAGATCTTAGGCCTCAGCGGCGACAACGTAAACCCAAGGGGAGGAGCTATCGCGCTCGGTCACGCATTAGGCAGCTCAGGAAGCAGGATATTGGTGACACTACTGCACCAGCTCGAGGTTGGTCAGTATGGTGTGGCAGCAATCTGCAATGGCGGAGGAGCTGCCACAGGTATCATCGTACAGAGAGTCGCACACACAGATTTATAGGCCAAATGGAACTTTGAACAGCATTTGAAAGCCTTTTTGGGGGAAAGCAGAACACCTTGGCCTAACGGGTAGGCCGAGAACATCCACTACCATGTATATAGACGCCAAAATTGCAAAACAAGACTATGAATCATGCATTGAGAGTTTTCGCAAAGTGAAAGGAGGAAGAGAGGCTTGATCCGTCACCCAAGCTTGAACCTTCCAAAGGCTTAATTTCAGTCTGGTTACTCGCGATGGCGCTGTATGAGGTGCCTCGACGACAGCTCAGATGTTGGAAAACCGACAATTTTATTTTAATTTCGAGTTCGTTTGGTCTATCGAGGCACCACATACAGCGCCGCACACCTGTAATTTTCTTAGCCTCCAGTCTCATCTCACTAGCAGTGACTTCAGTCTCGAGATTACGAATCGGAGCTTACATAATTGGGATCGTTATGTTCCTAGTCGGCATTGTCGAGGTCCGTAGCAGTTTTCTTCTGGTGCTTTTTGACGATGTTAGGGGTGGCTTCGGTTAGTTTCGCCTGCGACAACGTTCTCTTCAAAGCGTTGCGGATGAGGGGTTTGGGAAGAACTCGAGTTCCTGTAGGGCTATATGAATCTCGCTCCGAATCGACTGAGGCACAAGAAGCGTGATTGGAGGCCGCAGCAGCAGTCTTTGGAGCAGTCGTAGTGACAGCTGAAACACCCCTGGCAGCGGTAGATGCAGCCCTAAAAGCTAGCCCATCTGCTTCTTTGTCGGAGGCCAGGAGGAGTGAGGCCGTGTCAATCTTTGATTTGAAGGGCATGCCTAGAAATCCTGGCCCTGGATTCAGATGCTCGAAGCTATCCAAAGGGTCATCGGAGGTGCCTTCATAGGAGTTTCGGGCTTGAGCCGCATTCTTGGTTCGAGCCATATTGGAGCGGGCAGAAAGATAAGTCGCAGACAGCCCACCAGAGAAGAGGTAGCTGCTAGGCCTGCCCAGATGAGGAGCGCTGGCAAGAGAAAGTTGATTCTTGTCTTGGTACACGGGCCGACCACGATTAGGTCTATTAGTTCGAATCATGCCCTGACGATTGAAGTCGAAGCTCCAGTATTGGTATCGCTCGCGTGCAGTGTACGCTTTATGGTTGAGAATCGTGTAGGCCGCCTTGTCGTCAAGATACACGTAGCGAGGTGGTTCATTCATGCCCGGCTCGATTTCGTCTGCTGCATCGCCAGTGAAAAGTTTCCAGGTTGGGTGGCCCCATTTGGTACCGAAGGATCTATTGAACGTCTCACGACTCGGGTCCCCATCTCCATCCGCAGGACGCCAGATCGAACGATTCCGATTACCGTCTGACATCATCGGCGGGTAATTATGAGCATCAGAGCCTGAACAGTCCGACAGGACTGATCCGGCACGTTTGGAGGACATCATGAGCAGGCTTTTAGCGCTGTTGGGTTACCTTCGACGTGCCTTCCTGGCGCGTAGACAATACACTGGAGAAGCTGAATTTGAGGTCCGAGGTGAGTTGAATAGGAAATCGATTCAGAACGGAGAGCTCCGAAGCTAGATGAGGTGAGAGTAGGAAATGATTGGGAGTTCACCCGATCAGAAGCGACCTTGGACTTGACAGATCTTGGCAAGGTTTCTGGATGTTTGAAGTGGTGATGGATTTGCCGGTTGATAGCTTTGAGAAGTCACCTAGCTAGTCGAGTAGATCCAGGATACTGCGATGGGTTGACAGCAAAGTCGTAGGATTGAGAGCTTCTGACGACGAGGCTGAGATAACCCTTGAGGTAAAGCCCAGATCTAGAAGAAATCGGGAGAGTTTGAAGATACAATCCAAACTAGCAGGACTAGAATCAGGTCCTGAGCACTAGTAGCACAACCGAGGCTTGTCGAGCTATATTGTCCAAAGCTGTTGTCGTCGGCACATCATCCTGATATGAACTGTCGGTTGAAGTCAACGAGTCTACTGTGTTTCAGTCACGCTGGTGCCTACGGCAATGCCGTCTGACATTGAACCCACGAGGATCCCTCCAGCGCTGTGACAATAACGGCGGAGCGGGGAGGACAACAGCTTGATTGACGTTAGTGAATTTGGGTTAGCTGGGTGAAATGTGATGGGAGCGCGATGAGGTAGAGAGTGATCATACACGAGACGCGTTTATAGACGCGAAGGTGTAGGACATCAGCGGAGAGGTCACCAATGTTTTGATGTTGACGAGCTCATATGGGGATCCTCCCGGCCAATCACAGCGCTTGCCAAGTCCCTTACGAGGTCGCATCAATCAACCTCCATCGTCGCATCATCGACGACTACCCGCCGCAACCCTCTCCCCTCTGCTCTATCAACGCCGGAAGGGCCTCAATTGCAGCTGAATTAAGCCCAATATTGGCCACAATGCTCGCACGGCATACCCCCTCGTCGCAATCGCTGAGCGCCGTCTCTCACCGCGTCCTTCCGTCCGCCACCGCCGCCTCACGACTCTCTTCCACCTCATCTACTCCCTCCCAGAGGAGACGATTTGCTACCGTCCAGGAGGATGCACCGAAGAAGGTCCATGGAGGTCTAAGGGATCAAGATAGGATATTTCAGAATCTTTACGGACACCATGGTGCAGATTTGGCAAGTGCCAAGAAATATGGCGATTGGCACAAGACAAAGGAGATCCTACTGAAGGGTCATGATTGGGTTGGTTCCTATGGCAGAAACTAGGCGGGTGAACTTATAACTGACTTCAGATGCTAGATCATCTCCGAGATTAAGGCCTCTGGCCTCCGAGGTCGAGGTGGTGCTGGTTTCCCCTCGGGCATGAAATGGGTATGCCTACATCAGATTATGCACCCGGAGCAATGCTGATATCTGCAGTCATTCATGAACTTCAAGGACTGGGACAAGGACACCAAGCCTCGCTATCTCGTTGTCAATGCCGATGAGGGCGAACCCGGAACGTGCAAGGACCGCGAAATCATGCGCAAAGACCCCCACAAGCTCGTCGAAGGGTGTCTGGTAGCTGGCCGTGCTATGAACTGCACTGCTGCCTACATCTATATCCGTGGCGAATTCTATCACGAAGCGACTGTTCTGCAACGAGCTATTCAGGAAGCCTACAAAGACGGTCTTATCGGGAAAAATGCTTGCGGATCCGGCTACGATTTTGATATATATATCCACCGTGGAATGGGCGCCTATGTTTGCGGTGAGGAGACGTCACTCATTGAGTCTCTAGAGGGTAAACCTGGAAAGCCTCGTCTAAAGCCCCCATTCCCCGCTGCCGTCGGTCTTTTCGGATGCCCCTCTACCGTCGCGAACGTGGAGACCATTGCCGTGGCTCCAACAATCGTTCGGAGAGGAGCCAACTGGTTCAACTCATTCGGTCGTGAGCGCAACTCCGGCACCAAGCTCTTCTGTATCTCCGGCCACGTCAACAACCCCTGCACCGTCGAGGAGGAGATGAGCATCCCCCTGCGCGAGCTAATCGACAAGCACTGCGGCGGTGTCATTGGCGGCTGGGACAACCTCAAAGCCGTCATCCCCGGCGGATCATCGACGCCCATCCTGCCCGCCCACCTTTGCGGCGACCAGCTCATGGACTTCGACGCCCTCAAGGACGCCCAATCCGGTCTCGGCACTGCCGCCGTCATCGTCATGGACAAGTCGACCGACGTCGTCCGCGCCATCACCCGCCTCGCAAAGTTCTACCACCACGAGTCGTGCGGCCAGTGCACGCCATGTCGTGAGGGCTCAAAGTGGACGCACCAGATCATGCAGCGGTTCGAGAAGGGCATGGCGCGGGAGCGTGAGATCGACATGCTGCAGGAGCTGACCAAGCAGGTCGAAGGCCACACTATCTGCGCGTTGGGCGAAGCATTCGCGTGGCCGCTCCAGGGGTTGATCAGGCATTTCAGGCCCGAGTTGGAGGCGAGGGTTAGGGGATACAAGGAGACGCATGGTGAGGAGGCCTTTGCGGGCGGATGGGCCCCGGGCTCGGATAAGAAGGGCCTGTTGATTTCGCCTGGTCAGTAGTGTGAGCATATTGTATATTGCATCTCGTTTTGTTTGTCGGTCTGGGTCTGGCCCCGCAATTGTGCATATCTATCTTAGTGGGAAGACTTTGACTTCAGAATGGCGTTCTCTGCTTGCTGCAACGTGAATCTTGACCGATTTATCAATTACCCTCCAAATTGCTCCAGAAGCAACCGGAATGCTCACGACGTGGCGATCTTGCGGGCCCTCCCCGTGATACCCCTCCGCGGCACCAGGTTGACACGCTTCGTCCTCATTCGACTCCAACAACTCCGCGTTCTTCTCTTCTGCCACGTTTCATACCCAACTCGAATTCAGACCATCCCTAAACCAAGACACTGAGCCAATACCTCCACCCAAAAGAGGAATTCCATCCAAAACGCCAATCACACCAAGCTTTACCCAAACACCATCATACAAAACTCCCACACTCAACCGACACTCCCTACAGTAATCACCCCAAACAAATCCCCACAAACTCATCCCGACTGATCGCCCCATCGCCATCCATATCAAACTCCTCAATCATCGCCTCAAGCTCCTCATCCTGCAAGCCCTCGCCCAGCTCGCGCGCCACGCGCTTCAGATCCTGCACCGTGATGCTGCCCTTGCCGCCCTCGTCGAACAGATCAAATGCTCTCAAAATCTCTTCCTTGGGGTCGCGGGCGTGGATGCGGGCGGCCATGAGGGTCTGGAAGGAGGCGAGGGGGAGGAGGAGGCGCGGGGGCGGCTGGTATGGTTGCTGGCCGGCGGGGTTTTTAGGCTTTGAGGCGGGCTGCGGGTTCGAGGGGACGCCGTGGGCCTGCAGAATGCTGTGGATTTCGGCCTTGGGCAGGTCGAAGCCCAGCGCTTTCATGGCGACTTTGAGCTCGTGGTAGTCGATGTGCTTGTCTTGGTCGAGGTCGAAGAGATTGAACTGGGGGAGGGCGTGGGGTTAGCGTTCATGTTTTTCGGCTCGCAGACTATAAGCATGCAAGTAATGGAGTGTGGATCTGGGAAGATTTGGGGGGGGTGTGTGGAGGGTATGGGACGTACGGCTTCTACGATCTCTTCTCGTTGCTCCTCGCTCAACTCCCCCAGTTGGTTCTGTCCGGCCTGCATTATCCGCTCCCGCTCCTCGCGCTCACGCCGCTGCGCTTCTAGTCGGTCGGCCTCAATGCGCTGCGCTGTCTTCCCCGTGGCGCCGTATGCGGGCGTGTTGAAGTTTTGCGGGGCGGAGGAGGATGCGCCGGCGCGTCCGAGCCCGGTGGTGTAGCGGGAGGGATAGGTGGGGTGGTTGGACGTAGCCATTTGCGTTGTGAGCGCGGAGGAGGACGGCGCGTGGGGTCACAGCCTGTTTCTAGGGGGTTGGTGAATATGTGTATAGGCGGTTCTTCGTGGTGAGGCCGCCGAACAAGCTGGGTCTGAACTGGCAAGGTTTCGCGTCGTGTTCGCGCCGGTGGTAGAAAGCTTAGCGCGGATACACCCGAGAGGCTAGCACCGAAGCGGGCGGGGAGTGGTATGCCTGGTTGGGCGATTGTGCTGCAGCAGAGGGGGGGTGATGCCAGTCGCATCCGCTGCGGCTATTGGGCGGGCTGGCGGTGCTCCGATTGCGCTGCGATGCCGGTTTACTGCGGTTGCAGCGGGTGAGGAGAGTGTCACCTGAGGTGCTGAGAAGCTCACAGCACGGCGAAAGGGCAATGGCGGGCTCTGCAAGTCCGCGATCCTTACAAATCCGCCTAGAGATGAAGCTTTCGGGCTGCCGACTGGGCCTAGACAGTCCGCTAGAGCAGAAAGCGTTTCAAGCCGGCCGTTGACGGGGTGCTGGCGGGGCTCAGCAACGTCTGTCTCGGCAGGCAGCAGCAGCTATCTTCAGGCTACCGTAAGGCAGCGGCACAGCGCCAGAATAAAGACGCTGCTCTGCCCACCGGACTGCCGCAGCAACGCAGTTCTGAATACATGATGGTGACTGAGGAAGCCTGTGCCGTGCCTGCTGCGTGAATGCTTGTCGTGATTGGCCCGAGTGCGCTGCCCACGTGACACACCCAACAGCCAAAGCCAACGGCCAACGTGCGCTCGCCTCCTCACCCAAGCCCGACGTCTCTCCCATTCCTTTCACTCCCACCGTCTCTCCTTCTCAGCCCGCGACGGCTTATTTAATTCCTCGACCCCGCCATCTCCACGGCGGATAGAGCGTTTCCTTCTCCTTCTCTTCTCTTCGAATTGCCAGCGACGCGAGCGAGCGTTGTCTGACTGGCCCCTTCAAACCCCCCAGCGCAGCGCATCTCTAGCGCGTCGCGCAAGTCAAACATTTCCACACCACAACCACACCCACTGCCATACACCCATCCGCAAATCGTGCCCCTGACAGCTTCCTACCTCCACGCCCCGGCGTAGACAGTGGCCAGCATGTCGGGCTTTGGTGGGTTTGGCGGCTTCGGCAACTCCAACCCGCAGAACAGCAGCTTCGGCGGCTTTGGTTCTAACAACAACACCAACCCAGGTACGTGATCATCTTACTTTCTTCTATGCTTGCCCGTCCAGCGTCACCGTCAACGATCTGCTTTGGACCGTGGGCGTCACCGCGGCTTTCGAAAGAGCGACTCTAACTCGACTTTCCGATGTCCAGGCTTTGGCTCAGGCGCCTTCGGCAGCACCGGCGGCGGTCTCTTTGGCAATTCAAATACCAATGCGAACACTGGCGGAGGCCTGTTTGGCGGCAACACGAACACCAACACTGGAAGTGGCTTCGGAGGTACGTCGACAATCACCACCCGCATTGTCCTTTGCGCCGTCTTTGCACTCCCTTTCAGTGCTCGCCTTATGCATTGTCAAGTCGCTTCTGCGCCTTTTCACTACGCTCAGTGGCTTCTTGCACTCTGGCGCGTTGCATTTCCTTTAGACGCTTTCACCTTCTGACGCGCATTGGATGTGGCTTGGCTTATATGTGACCTTATTCACTGACTTTTGACTCTAGGTTTCGGCAACAACGCTCCCAAGACGACCTTTGGCGCCTCGCCTTTCGCGACATCCACGTCGAACGCTCCCCTATTCGGAGGTGGTGCGACGTCAACCGCTGGCGGCGGAATGTTTGGAGGAGCTACGGCGAACAATCAAACCACAGGAGGATTTGGGACCAACACTGGTGGAGGACTCTTTGGTCAACAACAGAACAAGCCTGCTGCATTCGGCGCCACAAACACGAACACAACTGGCGGCGGACTCTTCGGTGCTAGTAATACGACTGGAGGTTTCGGCCAGTCCACTGGCACTACTCAGCCTGCCTTTGGCGGTTTTGGCGGCGCGTCCGCGGGACGTGAACCGAACAATGGCACAGCAAGTACGCCGTTTGAAGCTGTCATCGAGAAAGATGGTACCAGCGGAACCCAGCATTTCCAGACTATCACCTTCCAGCCTAAATACATGCCCTACTCCCTCGAGGAATTGAGGCTTGTCGACTATGCCCAAGGTAGACGCTACGGCAATCAGAACGGTCAGGCTGGAGCATTCGGTCAGAGCAGCGGCTTTGGAGGAACATTCGGCAATACCAATACTCAGACCAATACCGCCGGAAACACGCAAGGCGGCGGACTCTTTGGGAATGCCAACACCAATACCACTGGAGGATTCGGCGCTACCAACAACGCCACAACTGGTGGTCTATTCGGCCAGGCAAAGCCTGCTACTGGTGGTCTCTTCGGCACAACTGCCACGACTACGCAGCCTAGCGGCGGGCTTTTTGGAACCGCCGGAACTACCAATACTACGGGCGGCTTCGGATCCAACGCCACAGGTAGCTTTGGCAGCACCAATACCGGAGGAGGTCTTTTCGGCCAGCAAAACCAAACTCAGAACAAGCCCGCATTTGGTGGATTTGGAACCACTGCAACCACAGGCACCACAGGTGGGTTTGGTTCCACTCCCACCCCAGCCTTTGGGCAACAGAACCAAGCTTCTACTGGAGGAGGACTCTTCGGCAGCACCACCACAGGCTCAGGATTCGGCGGTGCCCAACAGCAACAGAACACAACGGGCGGCGGCTTGTTCGGCGGAGGCGCATTCGGCCAGCAGAACCAGCAGCAACCCCAACAAAATCAGACTCAAAACCAGGGCGGTGGTCTCTTTGGTGGCTTCGGCAACGCGAACACCCAGCAACAAGCGAAACCTGGACTTTTCGGTGCCAGCACGACGGCGAATACTGGAACTTCCTTGTTCGGCGGCCAACAGAATACCCAGCCTCAGCAACAGACTGGTGGAGGCCTTTTCGGCAACACTACTCAACAACCGCAGCAGCAAGGCAGCAGCCTATTCGGGGCCAAACCTGCTGCAACTGGCAGTCTTTTCGGCGGGAACACAAACACCGCGAATACCGGCGGCGGATTGTTCGGCAACCTGAACACAAACCAGAACCAGCAAAATCAAGGTTCCAGCCTTGGAGGTGGCCTTTTTGGGCAGCAGAACCAGCAACAACAGAAGCCGTCGCTGTTCGGGTCCACCACGGGTACCAATACCGGTGGTGGCTTGTTCGGAGGACAGAACAATGCAGCACAGGGTAGCTTGTTTGGAGGAAGCCAACAGCAGCAGCCTCAGCAGCCGCTGAACAACAGTCTCTTGGGTACCTCCCAGCAAAGCAACGCACTGCACACCAGCCTAGGCCAGAACCCATACGGAAACAGTGAATTATTCATGACCACCCCTGGTGGAAGCCAACAGAATCCCGGCCCTGTGGCCACTCCGCTTTCCAGCACCCTGAGAGTCAAGAAGGCCGCCCCCCTTCCCCAGCACAAGCTCAATCCTGCTGCCTCCACTCGTCTTATTACTCCCCAGAAGCGAACAGGCACCTTTGGCTTCTCTTACTCCACGTACGGCACTCCTGGAAGTGCTTACAGCAGCCCCGCCTTTGGAAACAGCCTTCTGAGCTCACAGCGATCGCTTGGCAAGAGCATGTCTACTAGCAATCTGCGGAATGCGTACAACCCCCAGGACAGCATCCTAACCCCAGGTGCCTTTTCACGCGCCGGCCCTGACTTCGTTGGCTCCGGCAGCCTGAAGCGTCTCCAAATCAACCGCACCATGGCTAATCGGCCTTCTCTCTTTGGAAACGAGCAGGCCACTGCAAGCCCGGTTCCTAAGAAATCTGTGAGCTTTGACCAGACTGCTAATGGAGCCCACGCCAACGGGCTCGCCAATGGTCTTGCCAATGGAGCGACACCTAACGGAACAAGAAATGCTCTGGTTCGAACTGAAGTGGATGAGCCTGCTTCCCAACCGGAGCCCGTCACCCGTGGTGCCTCAGTCCGTGATGTCTCCCGACCTCCCATGGAACAGATTTCCGGCAATGAGCTCGCTGTTGTTCCAGAGCACAGCGCATCCAACTCGACTTCCAAGAAGGACAGGGCTCGCGCCACGCAAAAGGATCAGGATCTCGGTGCGTACTGGTCGAAGCCCTCCATCGAGGAGCTGCTTAAGATGCCGTCTTTGAGACTCCGAGCTGTTCCTGACTTTATTGTTGGCCGCGACGGGGTTGGAACGATTCACTTCCTGCGCCCGGTTGATCTTACCACCGTTGACCTGAACAATTTCTTCGGCACGGTCATTAACTTAATCACTCGGGAAGCCTCTGTCTATGGTCCTACTTCCAACGTTGACAAGGCCCTTCCAGGTCTGGGTCTGAACGTCCACTCTCGCATCAGCCTAGAGAACTCATGGCCGCGAACTCGAGCTGGCCGTCTCCCTGTTCACGAGAAGAAGGGACCGCGCGTAGACAAGCACATTGAGCGTCTCAAGGACATCAAGAACACCAAGTTCATTGACTTCAAAATCGACACTGGCGAGTGGACTTTCGAAGTGGAACACTTCAGCACCTATGGGCTTCCTGACGATGATGATGAGTCATACTGGGATGAAGACGAAACCGAGCTCAGCGCCGCTCCCGATACTCCGACTCAGGTTCGCACACCCGGAGCACAGGCGACTCCTTCCTCGGCTGTTTCTCAGGAGGACATCTCAATGGCCGATTCCAGTCCAGATGATACCTTTGACTTTAAGAAGGGCAAGCGGGCATCTCTTCCAGGTGGCTTTGGAGAGGAGACGATATATGACGATGAAGATGGTGTGGATGAGGGAGCCGAGTCTTTTTTAGATGATGGCTCCGTGGGTTCGCTCGACGGAGGTCAGGATGAGGACATGACCGACAAGAGCGGATCGGAGCTGGCCGAGGATCTGAACATGGCGGGTTCTTTCTCTGGGCCAGTTCAGACCACGGAGCAATCAGCCGCCACTGAACCTACCCCGCTCATGGGCTCGATCAAGCCCAAGTCAATCTTGAAAGCTAGTCAAGCAGCGCCTTCAGGAATGGGCACCCCAGCCAAGACGAAGTTCATCTTTGAAGATGATTGGGCTGAGCAGCTCCAACGTACCGTGAGCCCGAAGAAGCAGAATCGACAAGCCCTTAAAGAAAACCAGGGCACAGCTCTTAAGGAGTTTAGCGACAACATTCCGAGAATGGGACAGTCATTCAATGCTGCGAAGCCGATCACTAACCACATTGATCTCATGAATTCCTTGTTCGGCCAGGAAACGAGCAAAGTAGGAGGAGCTAAGCGGGATGGAACTGCAGAGGGCCTTCAGGTTTGACTTCCCGTATCCTTGTTTTCTTGCGATGATTTTTTTTACCAGCGAACGGCAAGGCGTTTGAAGCGCGAGCAACGAACAAATTGGCCACCAATCCCCAGTCATGTAGTTAGTCACAGAATGATAAGATCAGATTGCTGAGTATTATTTCTCTTTAGTATCCCTACTCGAAGCGGCCGAAAACATCCCACAACCTCGGCGATATGGCCGAAATCGACCAGCAGTTCCACTCCTGCAACAAGCCCCGATGGTCCCTCGATGGAACCCTTGTATATGCTGCCTCGGGCAACGCCTTATCCCTCGATGGTGGTATCCTTGCGAAAGCGAAGCAACCGATCGTGTCCGAACACAAGGATATCCAATTCGCCAAGCTAGCCACCCATCGAGACGTGAGTGTCCCTATCATTAATTGACTCAGCTTCTGTACTAACACAGCTCAGGCTACTTGCGAGACCTTGGTTCCACAGAAAGATGTTACCCAGATAATCTTGGATCACGGTATACCCCAGGCTTCCGTCAGCGGGAATTTCCAGTTTGGTACTCTTGCTCAGCTTGTTGCCATTGACACGGAGGAAGGCCGCCATGAGCAGCAGGCCTGGCAACTAGCCTCTATACTCTTCGATGACGTGGATCTGCCTGCCAAATTGACTCCCGGATTGACCAAGGAGGATCATATCCATCGTGCCCGCAAAGCAAAGCTTTCTGAGTTCTGGCAATCACTCGTATTCGACGATGCTCAAATGGAGGTCCAGGAAGCTGAAACTGCCGAAGGTAAAGCTCTTGCCCATCTCACTGCTCACAATGTCGTTGACGCTTGTCAGACGTTGGTGGGTGGAAAAGACTTCCGTCTCGCTACCATGGTTGCTCAGATTGGAGGTGGTCTCCAGATGCGCAAAGACATGCAAGCCCAGCTTGAGGAGTGGCAGCGCATGGACGTTGTCTCCGAGATGGAAGAACCACTTCGCGCTATCTATGAGCTCCTGGCTGGCAACTGCACCAAGAGCGATGGCGACCAAGCCCAGGGGATCCAGGGAGGACTGGAGAACAAAGCCTCGACTTTCAGTATTTCTTCACATTTCCGACTAGACTGGCGGCGTGCATTTGGACTTCGCCTCTGGTACGGAACCCTTGCGGAGGAACCACTGCATCTGGCCGTCACACAATTCGCCTACGATCTCCGAGAGGGCCGCGAAGATGTCAAACCTATCCCATGGTTTGTTGAGGATGCATTGAACATGGGCTGGAACGACCCGACCCCGGAGTCGCGTGAAGATTTGCTATGGGGGCTGCTGAAGCTCTACAGTGCATCATACGAAAAAGGCATTCCTGCGAATGTCGAAGACATCTTCTCGCCACAGAGTACCACCGGTAACCCCATGAACGCACGTCTGCCCTTCCAGCTAAGCCAGCTCTTCCAAGCTCGTGTTGTTGCCGCGCCACCCACCCTACGCATCAGCCAGCTACCCGTTTCCCGCTCAGAGACTGGTTACAGCAAATCTTTCATGTCTTCGACATCTTCGGCGCCCGGTGGTGACCAAGCTCCAGATCCCTTCGCCGAGCTTTCGGACAACATCGCGCTCACATACGCTAGTACCCTTCACACCAAGGAGCACTGGCTCAAGGCCGTCTACGTGTACACGCATTTGTCATCCCCAGCAAACCGGGAACACTACATCCGTTCCGTGATGTCCTTTTTCTCTTCTTCTTTCACCACATTAGACACAGACCCGACCTACATCACTCTCACGAAAGACCTGCACATACCAAAAGCCTGGCTGCACTCCGCCAAAGCTCTCCAGGCCAAGTCCGACGGCGATAGCACGACCGAATGCCGCGAGCTCCTCGGTGCCGGCGATCTCGTCACTGCCCACGAAGTCCTTTGCCGCGCCGTAGCGCCCGCTGCTATCATTGCCCGCGACTACGACACATTGCGCGAGCTCCTAGGCGACTTCGACTCCCCGCCCAACTCGCCTGCCAACCCGACCGCGAACCTCCGCAGCTCGATCCGCCGCGGCGCATCCGCTTCTTCGTTGAAGTCCGAGGCTGTCCCAGGCTGGCGCACCGGCGGCCTGATTTACTTCGACTACATCCATCTCCTGGACCTCGAGAAGAGCAAGCACTCAGAGGCCGTGCACAAGGAAGCCGTGGGCATTGTGGCGCGACTCTCTGGCGCACTGGAGCCGATCGCGGGCCAGGACTTCGAGGGCAGGAACTTGGAAGAGCGTGTGGCGCTAGGCGAGATCGCAGGCGCAGTTGCGAACTGGGGTACCAATGAGCGGGGCTCGAAAGCCAGGGTGCTTAGGCTGCCGCTGACGGAGGATAAGTGGCTAAGGCATAGCAGGGAGTTGAGCATGGGGTACTACAAGGCTGTGCTTGCGGCAGCCAGGTAGGGGGTGGATCTTTTGAGGGATAGTTTGGTGTGATTTTTTGGCTAGGGGGGTGCTGCATACGGGTTCTTTTACTGAACCAGCCTCATTAGAGAGGGAGCATGCAAAAATGGGGATGGAGCGGGTTTCAGCAGATATTAGCATAACTTAGGTGCCCACTGTGGCTTGTAATATTGTCCTTGGCTCTTTTGACTTTTTTTTCCTGTTGTCGTGAAGTTCGTGTTGTCTAGCGTATTGTATTTGGGTATATGTCATTATATCCACTCCATTTATGAGAAGTGATGGATCAGGGTGATATCCAAAGTTTCAGTGATGAATAGAGTGAGGGCAACTTTAGACGATGCTGACTCATGCTAGCTTCCCCCGGATTTTCCGAGGTCTCTTTCTTCCGTCTTGAGTCACTCTCAAGCAAACTTCATTCGTCTTTTTGAATTAAACGATAGGATGTGACTACTACTAGGCTATGACCAAGCGCTCTCATAAATCCGCCATTGACACCACGTCACGGAGTCCGGATCAGCACGCCACAGAAACCAGCCACAAAAATCCTTCACCACAAGGTGACAGCAATCAAGGAAAGGCAGCTAGCGAGGACGGTCAAGATGGGGGTGACTTCAAACGTCCCAGGACGTTCATGGCGACATTAGTGAGATCTTGTGGCCCTTTGAAAAATTTCAATTTCTGATACTGGACGTGTACAGGCTTGTGACACTTGCCGTATAAAGAAAACACGATGTGATGAAGACCGACCGAAATGCGGCCAATGTAAATCTCGAGGGCTGAGTACGCCATGCGTGTATCCCGAGCCTCGAGTGACGAAAAAGGATCAATCTATGAGCGTCGCCATCAACGCCATCCGGCGATTAGAATCCAAGATCGAAGACTTGACCAGCTATATACACAGTTCTCCCAAGGCTACTTTGATTACTCAGGTTGTTGACCAAACCTCGCCACAATCCGTAACTTCGGCAACGCTGCCAGCGCGAAGCAATAGTCTTTTGGTTCATGATGCTCACGAGACTATCAATGACCTAGACGAACTTTCTCCGGGCACCAATGACGAAGGGCATCCTCTAGTGCGACGCTCTTCTCTCGTTGGAAGTCTATTACCAATATCTTTCAGCCAGCATCGGGTCTTACGATGGCCCGCAATCAAACAGCTTCTTCCGCCTAATCTGTTATCAGCATCTGAGAATTTAATCCGCGACTATCTCATCGAACTCGAAACTCATCGCCCTCCGCTTACAATAAGTATCATTCCATATCCGCTCGACGCCGACGAACGATGGCTCAGCAAGCTACCACTGTCTTTGATCAAAGGTCTTGCCGATGCTTATTTCGCAGTGTTCAATCGCAATACTCCTGTTCTTGACAAATTTCACTTCTTCACTTCGACCCTTGGTATTGCCATGGAAAACGACTTTGGGTACGATATCGAAACATGTCTGGTCTTGAATGTACTCACTTTAGGATGCTTGGCTGTCAAAGCATACCAAGAAGGGGATTACAGCTTGCCAGGCCAAGGATCCACAGACACCACCTACCAGTGTCCGGAATGGCACGAAGTCTTTGCAGAAGACCCGCCTGGACTACGATTTTTCAATGAAGCACGCAAGAGAACTGGCTTTCTGCTGTGCGATAACGACCTTCAGAATGCTCAGTTCTATGTGCTCTCTGGTGTCTATTACACTCAAATCGTCCGACCGATTGACTCTTGGACCATGTTCAATCGAGCTGCCTTGTGCTGTCTGACCTTGCTGAAACGGAATCAGTTTGGGGACTATGACAGCTGGGAGGGAGACATGAAGTCGAGGGTATTCTGGAACATCCTCATGTATGAGACAATACTAATTCAAGAGCTGAACCTGCCGTTGAGCGGGCTTGCGCACTACGAGGCGGACGTACCGATCCCCAAGTTCACGCCCTTCCCTCGACCGCGAATGGAATCTGGACGTCTAGCATCGCTGGAAGACGACTCATTCTTCAACTTCCATTTTCTTGCTCAGGTCGCCCATCGGATCATCCTCACTCGGATCAGGCACAGCTTGTACTTTTATTCCGAGAAAGGAGACTTCCCACCACCTGCTATCACATCAGAGCTCCAGCACCAACTTGATCAATGGCGCACGAACCTTCCTCCAGCTCTACAGTTCGCCCTCGATGATGATGACGCTGAGCGCCCACCAAGTCCAGCTCATGTAGTAGCAAAAGCCATGCTAAAGGGCCGTTATCTTGTCGCAAAGTTCCACGCTAGTCGTCCGTTTCTCTACAAGGCGTTGCACTCCCCAAACCTAGCTACAGATGGCGATCTCTGGGTAGTCCAGGATGGCTTGAAGGCGGCAATGCACTGGCCAGCAACGATAGGTCTCTGCCGACAGATGAGAAGCTCGCAGCCTCTCAAGTTCGGATGGTGCTCTCAATTCTTCGGTCAGATTCTACAGTTTTACGGTGTTGCGCACTGTTCTGATCAAAGGCTGAGGCAGACGTTGCCAGTTGGATGGGAAGATTGGACGCAAGAGATGATGGAGATGCTGGAGCATTGCGCGCCGCTCAGTCCTGGGATAGCGAAGGATCTTGAGCTTTTGAGACTGTTGTAGCGTTGTAGCTTCGATATTGTACCACCCATAGCATGAAACTGCGTGACTTAGCAAAGTGAAAGAGAGCGCAAAGGTGGGCGTTATTCCAAAAGATGACTTCACTACTGATCGCGCTACGGCACGGGATCCTGAGAGAAGCTAGACGACGCCGTCTAGACTCAAGTTTAGTGGAGTACGTATACCCGCAGTAGCGTCTTGACGCCAGCCGAACTTCTTCGCCTTTACTCAATCGAGACATTGGACTACGCGGCACCAAACGGTGAAATTCAACAGAGGGAGGAACGGCCCCAAGCTAATCACCATCCCCCTGAATGGTCACCAATCTGGTGATGCAAAGGCACCAGATCTTTAAACCGGCTGAAATACGACTTAGGCTCAACTTCCTGAGATACGCTTACTCCCGCGACGTCAATGGATATCTCTCATTTCTACCAATTAGCGTGCGTTGCAGTCTAATCGCGGAGTACCGTGCCCCTTGTTCGCTGTGATACGGTGTGCCATGGTTACATCTTACACCTCGAACCTTGCAGCCTGTACCAAGCGATGACTTGCGAAGATGTTTGGTCTAAGGCTGTCTGCGCCTGCCCTTTGAGATGCATACGTACCCGCCTTGTATGAAGCGTCCAGCGCGGGGTATGGGATAGGATCATTGGACACCCGAGTGGTGGAAGGATACGAGCGAAGTTGCATGATGGTGCAGGATGGGACCGAAGGCCGAGCATTTCGCAGCCCGCGCCCCTTTGATCCATCGCTTCCAGGTGAAACCTTGGCATTGGGGAAGCGGGCACCTGTGGTTCATGCTATCGGGCAAATATATACACATGGGTGGAGAGGGGCGGCACGAGGGACGGCACGAGGGACGGCACATGAGGGCATCATCGAGAATTTGACATGCCCCTTCACAAATGCTTTATTGTGAAACTCGGTTTATTTAAGATTGGGGCTACACGAGGAAGTCTGAGCGGTATGGGTAAGCAATACTGTGGTGAGCTTAAATATACATTGATGCTTCAAGCTTGGGTTGGAAGTGGGTCAGTCCAACAGGTATCCTTGAGCGGCGAGAGTGCTGCCCAGACTTGAATGAAGGAAGCTGTAGAGAAGTGGTACAGGATACGTATTGAGGGCTGATTCCCGATGTTGCCTATGCTAGCTTTAGTCACCTGTGAAGAGCGTTACGCAGACCTCTTTGCTGTGCAACAGGCACTAGTTCTGGAGTGAGAAGGCGAGAGAGGTGAAGGATTTAGCCAGTTTTAGTAATGTAACAACTATGTGCGTGCCAAGCTGCGGCGGTTTTCTATTCCCGTATCCATGGATATCGACAGGGGAGCGGCTGATTGCTAAATTTGGAGTTCCCCCCTGCTCGCTGGCTGAGTGCACCGCTGCTCATTGGCTGCGGCTGTGTTTCGTCAGCGGCCTCTGTCGATCTAGGGGTCCAGACATAGATTACCGACGTGCAGCGGTGAAAGCGATGTGGAATGGAAACGCTGAAGTTTGCTGCACCGCATGCGTGGCTGCCAGATACCGCGTGGCACGGCGCATTCCAGCGAGATGCACCGCACCCGCAACTCTACGCGACCGGCGATTAACCATGCAGTGCGCAGAGTGAACATCAAAGACATCGATGCTGGTGTGCGGTTTAGGCTCAGCCGCGGCAGGGTTACGCTGGCCGTCTCGAGTAAGCTTGCGCCTCCCTCCTCGCATCATCCCGTGGAAGACGAGAAATTGTGTCCTTAAGATGCCCATGAGCCCCCTGTGCTGGCCAACCCCCCCAAAAGCCCAAATCGACGCATTCAAATGCCCGCAGCACCCTCCTTTGTGCCGTGACCCCTCGACACACTTCGACATCCTGCCTTTGTGCGCGCCGCGAAGCCGGAGCGCGATCAGCCTGACCCTGGGAATACCGCCTTCAGGCAAGGGCTCCACTTCCGATCGTCCCGATCGCGAGACCTTGAGCTGAACAAGAACCCTCTGCCAGCGTCGTCGCGGCACCCTCGTATATGTCCTTCAACATGCACCAATTAAGCCATGGCCGGTATGGGCGCCTGCTGCTCTGCTCTATGGGTCTCACCATGTTCGCCTTTACCTACTTCGCCTGGAACAACGCCTTCTTCTCCGCCAACTATGAGCCCTTACCGTGAGTTTTCTGACACCACGCGCGGAGAGACCATTGCTAACCCGGGTAGACCGCCACCGGTGCCTGTAAACGATACCAATGCCATGGACGAGGTGCTCCGCTTGATATACGGACCCATGCTGCAGCCCATCACCGCGGCGAACTTCACCGACGAGGATGGCGACGTCTACCAGCTGCCCGGTCCACCGCGATTCACGAAGCCGCTGGGGAAGAGGGTGCTCATACTGGACATTGACAGTCGGCCGCTGGACGGGCCGGGGCAGATCATGAACAAGGACAAGATGGAGTGGCATGACGCGCGGTCACTGACGGCTGGCATGCTGAGCCACTACATGTTTGGTAGGTTCACACTTCCACAACCTCCAGAGCGTCGCTAACACTCTCCAGCCAAAATCCACGGCTACGACTACAAATTCATCCGCGCGCCCGACTACCCCGACCGCTGGGGCACCTGGGTCAAGGTGCCCATGATGAAGGAGGCGCTCAAGACGCACGACTTCGTCGCCTTCATGGATTCGGATGTCATGTTCCACTACCCGCACATCCCGCTCGAGTGGCTAATGAACTACTGGAACATCACGGCCGAGAACCTGGTCGCCATGTCCATCGACCCGGACGAGGCGCAGAACTACGACGGCCGCGGCAACCGCTACGTCAACACGGGCTTCGTCATCGCGCAGCAGAGCAAGCGCACACAGGAGATGTATAAAGCGTGGGCCGAGTGCCCGTCGGACACGCGGTACAAGGACTGCGCGCGCTGGGGGTTTGAGTGGGCGCACGAGCAGGCTGCGTTTGGGAACCACATCCGCTACGACTTCGACCGCCCCGAGGATATCAAGGTGCTGCCCTGCGTCGAGGCGAACGGCGCGCCGGAAGCTGCTGGCCGTGGCGGCTGCAAAGGCGTTTTCGTGCGACATTTCTGGGTTGATAAGCAGCTGCCCCTCAAGGCGCTGTCGGACCAAGTCATGCAGTACTTTGTGCCGCGGATGCACGAGCACTACATCGAGCAGAGCCCGAAGCACATCGTCGACGCCAAGGGGTTCAAGATCGTGGGCGCGGACCTCGTCGCGCTGACGGAAGAGGAGAAAGCTGAGGTTAAGGAGCCGCAAAATCAGAAAGAGGTGCCTTGATGAACTTGGACGGCTCGTTTTATTCGATTCGACTCACCCCGATCAGTTTGCGCATGCGTATAGAAAAGATAACATACGATACCCAACCCCCTCTCGCGCTGTCGGACCCGCGCGCGAAAAATGACGTCTACGGCCGCGATTGCATATCCTAGACTTTTCTTTCCTCCCTTTTCTTCTCAGCTGTTCGATTCTTGTGCACAAATTTTTTTGCATCCGGCGAGGTGTTTTCTTGGAATTGACCTCGCGGGCATCTTTTGAGGGTTAGCCAGCCTTGCTTTTTCAACTTTCTTGTCTGCATTTCAGCGGCGTTATGGGATACTACAGACACACCTCGAATCTCAGGAGTTGTCTTTGGTCGGCATCTTAGCATTCTATCTTGCTTGGGTTCTAGGGGCTATTGGGTCCGGCGTTGGGTTCTTGGGCACTTGGCATGGGTGCCGCATTCACCGTTGCCCCTTTCGAGGGGAGGGTGGAAAGAGCGGGAAATGAAAAGACGAGGAGTCGTGAGGAACGGGCGTCGTTTTGCAGTTGAGACTTGGAGTTGTTGGGGGGAGGGGGGGGGGTTGATACCCATTGGGGGTTTTTTTCTCGCTATGAGGCGAAGAAAATTTCAATATGCATATTGCTTCCTCTAACATTTGCCATTTCACTACGCGTGCCTTTTCTAATCCACCCCTGTGCAGGAATGCTTGACGTTTGAGAGTTGGGTCGAGATTGTAAGTCACGTGGAGTCCACTAACCTAACCCTAGGTAACATGTCATCACAACCTCGTGGGTCGATACTAAACTAAAACTCACCTTAGCTCTGCACTTGATTCTTGCGAACCAGCTACAAGCTTTCGGCGTCGCACAAACGGACACCGTGTCCTAGATACAAGGGTTCGACGATCTCCCTCTTCTCGCTCCAATTTGCCCAGTCGTTAAAAGTCAAACTACAGATAGCCCGTCAGGAACGAGATACCTGCATGTGCCGGGCTCTAACACACCATTTATGCAGCACGGGGGCTGGAAAAGATAGAAGGATGCTATGGTGATAGGGGGGGATGGCAGGGAGGGAATGAGACCCGAGTGGACGAGGAGGGGGAGAGGGGAGATGGAGGTCGAAACTTTCCTATGGAGGGTAAATTTGGGTTGCTATGAAGAGCCTTGGTGGTGGAACTTTTCATGATGTCGGGGGCCGGGAGTCACGTTTTGATGATGAGGAGAATTGGATCAGCGGTTGGATGGGGAGAGGGTGAGCTTGCTTGCGGGGAATAAGGATCCGGGTCCATTTCAAACTTGCGTCTCGGAAGCTCTCCGTGGCATTGGCTGGTGGAAGACTCTGTGGAAGCTTGTGGCGCCACGCCGTTCACCACGCCGTTTTAGCCCGTCGTGATGGTGGCTGTCTGAGCCTTCAATGTTTTTAGCCAACGTCAACTCCTCCGACGCATTTCCAGTCTAATAATCCTAAAGCCCTTGTCATTAATATCTACAGCCTACTTAGTCAAACCTATAGGCGGTCTAATTAACGCGATAGAGTGCAATAGATGAAATACTTAGGGGGACATTCACAAGGCGGCTTTGTCGTGGGTTTTCTAGGCGTGTATATGAATTAGTTAACACTATTTATAAGTACCGTGTTCTCTAAGTAAATCCGGACGCCTCTCTTAGCACGCTAACTAAGCGAGCTAAGGCGATGGCAGAAAAATTATATTAACTTCCTGCTACTGAGTCAATCAACTCGATGTATCAATGGTATGAGAGAGTGGCGTCATGCTTTGTGTACTTAAGCGATGTGAGGATTTAAGATGTAAGGACAGGAGTTGAGCTGCCGTGGTCTTCAGATTATGACAATGGCGAGACGCTCTTATTGCCATCGGTCTATTCTACCAATAATTTGCAGAAAGCCAGTGGTCTACAAGAGGATGGACGCTTTAAGAGCTTATAGCACCGAGTGACATCCGTTTCTTCAATATGGCATGGGAAGTCATTAGCCGGAAATATAAATTGCTGGATGTACCTCCTAACATTACTTGCGTGGACATCCTAACCTTAGGAGGGGACCCTAGACATGTAAGCGTGGCGAAGAGGATATCCTAGGCGTTAAAAAGGGTGACGACTAGAATAGAGGACTAAGCGTACTGTCTGCTCGGCCTATTTAATGTCAACATGCCATTGCTTTATAGCGAAGAAAGGAAGGCATTCTTAAGGTTATAAGAGATTATAAAGGCTTCGGACGATGAATTATTATTTGCTTAGACCTTACCTTTCTTTCCGGGGCTAGATGGAATTCTGCTCTTTCTATCCCTTAGGTAGCTTTATATCAGGTGTAATCTTGAATATATTTCCTAGAACTATTATCTACGTAAACTAAACTACCAAAAGTACATAGAAGCATTATGAGGCCAATGAAAATAGAGCTCAGCAGAGAAAGCTAAAGCAGAAGCGCAGCCTAGCCAGAACATCCTGGCCTCCGACGTGGAGAAATCACCAGGGCCAAAAACAATAAGTACGAGGAAAAGAACCAGACTCAATAAAGCGATGTGCGAGATATATGGCCATCGGTATAACAATCCCGTAGCTAATGAAAATGTCGAAACCCAAGCTATGAATGGAAACCAGACAGGGAAATTATTTTTTTCCTCGTAAGTAACGAGATAAGTGATAAGTCCGACGAAAGCTAGGAATAGGACTCTTAAAGTGGTCCACATTATTTTCCAGTAGAGCAGGGTCCGCGGGTTCTTCCAAGTGACGTGCATTTGGCTTTTCGGCTCTTCTGGTTCGCTCTCTACGGCTTCTTCCGTGCTCTTCGCCTTCTTCTCCTCGGCCTCTTTCAGCTTTTCCCGAACCCAGCCGGGCTTTCGTTTCAGCATGACTGGTTTCTGGAGCAGTCTCTGAACAATTAGGAGGGCGGATTGATGCGAGCCGTCGTGTGTCTCGTACTTGGCACCAACTTCTAACATCGTCTTCCAATACTTCTCTTTCAGCCCTTTTTCTCGCAACATTTGTTTCCGGCTGTCTTCTTCTGTCGGGTCCTCGCGCCATTTAGAGGTGACCAGGGCTACGGATGCGGCATTGTCTAACCCACAAAGAGCTTCGAAATAGGCGAGATTCTAGTAATTAATGAGCGTACGCTAGCAAGAGTACGGAAGAGTAAACACACCTTGTGAGCTTCATCGTCAAATCTTGGTATCGTCATATCGTACAGGTAGATTAATCTAATCTTTCTGTCTTCCAAGGAAAGTCCGTTGAGCTCGTTGAAGAGTTCCGCCATGGTCTGCGTGTCGGACTTGTTTGCGTCACCAAAACCGGGCGTGTCGATGATGTAGGCTTGTTTATCATATATGTTGAACTTGTAGAAAGTAAAGTTGTTAGTGCCTGACGATGAGTATTAGATTCGCAAGCTCAACAAGCACGCAATAGTCTGCTTGTAGCTTACATGGTTCCAGGCCATCACTGACTGCTGGAGGGCTTGATCCAGAATCAAGCCCTCCAAGGGTGTTGATAAATGTGCTCTTTCCTGCACCTGTCCTGCCAATGATCGCAAAAATGGGGAGAGTGCGGTCTAGTACTGGTGTCGAGCGCATGGCTGTCTCACCCATCACTCCGTAGGCGGGATTCCACCGGTGTGCGAACAGAAGGGTGAAGGATAGAGTAATGCAGATGTATAGGAGCCAGGATTTGCACGTCCGCGCTGGGCGTAGTAGATGAGCTGGATATCATCAGCAAGACTCTTGCTTGTTGAACGCGATTCATCCCTGACTCACGGAAGATAAAATGTCGCCGTTCTTGAAATTCTTCCCTGTCGTCTTTTTCTTCGCACTTTTTAGAGCCCTTAGAGTCGCCCTCTTCGGATTCTTCTTTTATGGACATTTCAGGCTCTCGCCCAACACCACTGTCTGGCAGTTTCCCGATCTCATAAAGAAGCCGTCTCCAAGCCTTAGCACCTTCCCCATATATCATTGGCATGGAGACGTCGAAGATGCCAAGTAGACAATATGCCTGGTCTTCTTCTTCCGTGGTGTTGCGATTTTGTGCCCACGACAATCGTGTTTCGACGGGAAATTTAGAGAGATGACCTCCTCGAAGAGCTTCAGTCGGAATCCCCGTAATACGGTGAATGTGTTGCTCCAGCTCTCTTTTACTGCCAAGTTTCTGGTTGTCATAAGAAAAGAAATCAACTTGTCGCGGTGCGAGAAGTTCTTGGAGCGTCCAGCCTCGAGTGAACCATCGACTTTGACTAAACTCCGCCTTCCAGTCAGGGGTCTTAGATCGTGCTGGAACGTCGATCAGATAAACGTAGCATTTGATCGCCTTTTGGTACCAGCGAAACATGGAGTGAATAGCCTCTGAAAGCTCAGTATTGTTCGTCTTGTCAATACAACATGAATCCACCCAAAAGTATAGCAGGCCATCGCGTTCCGCTTGTTTTCCGCAGAAGAGGATCTTCTTATAGCCAGCTTTGCGTATGTGGGTGCCGTTAACCAGGTCGCTATAATCGACCTCGTCGGTATCTTTTCCCCATGTGTGCGAAAGTATGGCATATGCGGGAACATTGTTCGTGCGAAATTTGGTTATGCTGACTCCGCCATCGCCTTTCAGCTTTAGGAGACGCATCTTGATCTATAGATGGTGGAAGTCGTAAAAGAGGGAGCTTTAGGAGAGGGCCGCAAACACTTCATCTCGTTGGCGGAGGACAACTAGAAAATGACAGCTCCAAAGCAGTAGATAGTCTTAGACACAATCACGAGAGGTTGGCCGAGGAAATGCGAATTCAAGCTGTTCGGTTGAGGTAGGCCATGCCAGCGAGGCTGCGCTGCGTTAGAACGGAATTCGAAAATGGCGATCGTGGGCTTCGGGAGAGCAGTGTTCCAAGTACTGTCCAAGGAGCGTCTGGTCGATCAGGTTGATATAGATGTTACTCATGTGTGAGGCAATGCCGTCGAGGCAGTGCCGGTGAGGTGCGGGGACAGTGGGGGCTGAAACCTAGAACCTCCGGAGCTCTATTTCACGCCAAGCCCCTCCGTACGTGAGGCTATACGTGAGGCGGCACGGCTGTACAGCCTCTCCGTTCTACGGCGCATTCTATCCGATTCCTTCAGCCGTATATACAGCCGTATGTAAGGCTGTACATAAGTACAAAAGAGGCCGGCCGTGATGCCGTACAAGAGAGGCCGTACGTATCTGTACGTGCAGCCTCTCTGTTTAATTCTATATTACCTGCCATGCCTACATGCCTAGGAGGATGCCACCTAATGGAGGCTCATTTCCATGGAGCCTGGCCCACCTGAATTGCTGCCTGCACCGCCGCCTACGCTTGCTCACCCATTCACTTAAGAGGAACCTCCGAGGAGTCGGCCCGGCCGCTCCAGCCAATTAGAGGATTAGACGAGATGGGGGGTGTATAATTCTTTGAAAGGGGGTGTACGATTATTCGTTAGGGGGTGTACGATTAGCCCTCCCCTTTCTAAGAAGAGTTTTGGTGTTGTTTGCTTGACTCGCTATTTTCATAATGTCCGCGCTGGCAGTCACGTTTTGATGAGGATGGGAAAGGGTGAATTGCTTGCGGGAATAACAGTAAGGATTAGGGTCCATACCAAACTTGCGTCTTGGAAGCATTCCGAGGCATGGCTGGTGGAAGCTTCGTTGGAAGCTTGTGGCGGCACGCCGTTTCAGCCCGTCGTGATGTGGCTGGCTGGGCTTCAACATTGTCTTTATTAGCCAACGTCAACTCCGACGTGTTTTCAGTCCAACAATATGAAAGTCCTCGTCATTAGTATTCGCAGCCTACGAAGTGAAAGCTATAGGTGGCCCAATTGATGCGACAGAATGCGATGGATGAATACTTAGGGGGAGATTCACGAGGCGGCTTTGTCGTGGGTTTTCTGAGCGCGTGAGTGTGGAAGTATGAATCTGGTAACACTATTGATGGGTAACGGGAAACGCGTCGTTTTTGACCATCTGGTCTAACTTTCGTGAGCGGGTCTCGTCTGATCTAATTGCAGGTGGGTATGTGGGTATTTCCATTAGTTTTCAAGCAGCGCGTCTTAGCCGCCGGCTATTCAGATGACTCTGGGCACAAAAAGATCTCCTGATGGTTAAACGAGGAGGGCATTCTTCTGGGGGGAACATACTCGATGAAATGGCCAGAACCGCCATCATCTGTCTTTTTCCAAGGGTCGAATATGTAGCCATCTTCAGCCTCTTGACGGTCATCTTCATGTCTGTCCTGTGTATTTTCTTCTTGAGTGGCCTCAGTTAGGCCTGACAGTTGCAGCAGAGGGCAGTCTAGCCATCCACAAAGCTTCTCGTGCAATTCGAGACGCGCCTACCGTCCGCCATTGTGAGGCCGGGCAGCTGGCTTTACCAACAGCGCCACAAAAGAGTGTGAATTGAGAATCGATCTCGATTCCCAACTGCCAGCTACTTACACACTCACCACCAGCCAGCGCCAAGTACCTTCCAAGGCCTGACATCCATTGTTGCTAGAGCTCACCATGGCGCTGGCCGTATAACTGAGGGGCGTGAGTATATTTGCGCCGCGTCCTGCTTCCTCTTTCTGCTCTTCATTCCACCTGCGTCTTCTTGTCTAGTCATTACTTGCAAAAGCATTCTTTACCTTTCAAGATGGTTTCGGTAAACTTCCTAGGGCTTCTGCTCTCTTCCGCGTTGGTAGTTTCTGCTCTAAACACCGGTACCACTACCGTCCAAAAGTGCACAACCAAGCAATCTTCCAAATCGATCAAGGAAGTTCCCACGAGCACCAAGACTACGACTGTAACACTGCTTCCGAAGATCATTTTATCAACTACCCATAAAACCGTCACCACGACGGCAAAGCCAATCACTACCAGCATCGTTTCAGAGACAACTATAACGGACACTTTCACAGATTTCGCTGTCACTAATAGTAAGCTTGAGCTAGTTCTCAGAGCTAGTCGTGCTCATAAAACTAATTCTTCATAGCTTTCTCCACTACCTCAACCGATTATACTACAATCACAAACGTTGCTTATAGTACTTTAACATTCAAGACGGTTAGAGTCGCTCGGATACGACCGTGGTAGCTGTTTACACCGTCCCAACGCCAGACGGATTCCAGCCCATCGCAGACACTGTGAACGGGTATACTCGGGTTGCAGCACTACAACCTAGGGTCAGCAACTCATATGCAGTAACGTATCAGGATAGCATGCTGATACAGGAGGAAGTAACAGGTAGTGCAACAGCAGTGCTGCAGCACGGTATCAGTACTGTATCAGGAAACAGGATGAATCAAGTAACGCGTCAGGAAGAGATACCACGTTATGCCCCCGGGGCTGGCCCCCCTCCTTCCCCTAGTATATAAACAACGAGCTAGACACCCATAGAAATCAGAGTTCACATCAATTTCAACCTGAGTGGTATCCAGGTACTCCCGAAAAGGCAAAGCGAGCGGGCCAGCATCCGCATGGTGATCTTGTTGAGCGAGGAGCTGCGAAGGGAGGATGCAACTCTAAGACCTACCCTGTCGCTGTTCAATGTGAGTTTTCTAAACTCACCTCTACTCTTCGCTTTGCTGACGCATCATGAAGGCCTCAAGCAGATCCAGAAGCAGGCCACAAAGACAGTCGCGGTCGTTGGCAAGGCGATCACCAAGACCCTGCCGCCGAAAACAATAACTCAGGTTAAAATTGATGTGAACTCTGATTTCTATAGACGTCTAGCTAGTTGTATATATACTAGGGGAAGGAAGGGGGCCACCCCCAGGGTGGCGCGCTAGTAAGTTCAGATGAGCCCTGCACAGCTGAGGCTTCAGCTCGGTTCTCTACAGCTGAGATTTCAGCTGGGTTCTCTACAGCTGATGTTCGGAGAGTAGCTTTCTGGCATATGAGTTGTTGATCCTAGGTTGTAGTGCTGCAACCTGAGTCAATAACGACTACCGTTCAGAGCATCCAGACGACTACATTGACCGAAGTGCCTGCCGATGTCTCTATCACAGAGAGGTACGTCCACTTCCCAGAGTCAATTTGCCTTGTACCAGCTAACATCTCGCAGCTTCTCTACCACGCTCACCGTGACCGAAGGGGAGACAACCACGATCGCTGTAGCTGCCACCGTCACGTCCCAGAACACGGTCAGCCAGACAGTGACCTCATACGCAGCATGCGCTACCAACAACATCCTCGGCCCAGCTCTCTCCAACGGCAGAGTCATCAAGAACATCTACACCAACACAGCCGGTGGCTTCAGTGGAACGTCTAGTACGTCGGCTCTTGACTGCTGTGAGCAGTGCCGGCATGCCACGGCGTGCTCCGGCGTAGGGTACAACCGAGCAGCGGTACCTGCTACATCTTCAGCACCCTTTCAGGAACTTGCGGCGCGTAGAGTGCCATTTCGGAATATTTCGTCACTAACGCTCCCCCTCAATCGTACCAGTATGCGGTCAGCAACGGGCCGTGTGGGTACCTGACCAGCCATGGACCTGGAAACTAGATGTTTGATGTGGGAGGGGAATGAGGGGAAGATTGATTTGCATGGCATCAGATGGCGGCACAATCATCTTCTGAAATCTATTTAATTTGTGTCGACTGTCGAAGCTTTTGTATATATCCTTCGCAGTCGATATGTATTTACATTTTTTGTAATGTTGATGAGAGATGAATTAGATTATAATTCAAAAATATTCTAGTACAAGTGAATGCTACTAACAAACGTCGCATATCATTGTGCTGGAATCTTAAAGAAGAGTCGCGTCGATGTCGTGCATGTGAGATTTCACGTGATGGATGCATTAGGCGCATTGCGGCCTAGTGTCGTTGCTACAGCAATGTTGTTGCCCAAATTCCGCCCGCGCAAAAAGTTCGGTGAGACATTGCACATCATTTAGCCCAGAGCTGCGAACACCCCTCGAAACATTTCCTTTCTTCTATGTTTCTTTAGCAAATTGCTTTCCTTACGCCTTTATCCCTCACTTCCTGGAATCATTGACTTGATTCCCGCGTCGGAGAATTCATTGGTACGCGTTGTGTACAAACCAATCGACTCCACTTTCAGACACTAATCGACGCCGTTAGAGCTCACGACCATGGATCCAAAGGCAGCTTCCAGTGCAGGAGCTGAGCGGCCTGGCCACCGGCGCAACAAGTCCTCTACTTCGGTGCTCAAATCATTGATGGTCTCGAAGGGTCACAAGAAGACTCCATCAGATGGCACGCCTCTGAGCATCAAAGAGGCCCATATCACGCAGTCATACGACCCCAGATCCAACATGAACGCCATGCCTATGCTCCCGCCGGATCATCCTCATACCCAGCGTGCCCTCGGCCAAATACACAACCCTCCTAGCAACCCTGCATCATCACGGAAGTCCAAGGACACCAAAGATGCCAAGCCCAAAGGCCTACACAAGAAGACTCTCAGCTCGGTCTCGTTGCGGTCTTTAGCTAAGGATAAGGACAAGGAAGAGAAAAGGCATTCACGGGAGCCGAGTCGAGCTCGTGCGGACAAGGACGAGACCGGAAGTCCGAAGAAGAACAAATCCTCGACAAACCTAGCCGCTGTATTCCACAAGTCGAAGGCACCTAAGGAAGTCAACCGAAATTCCCACAATGCGAGAGACAAGGAGAACACCACACCGCCTGGCTCTGCTATTGCACCAGAAGTACAGACTCCGATTTGGGCCCAATTCAGCTCACAGCCCTTCCAAGAAGTCAGGACCACGAGCACCATTCCTCTCAACGACCGTCGATCGATTGAACAGGAAATCGCCCTCTATACTCCTACCGAATACTCTCCGTCTAAACAACGGAACTTCTATGACTATGGACAGCCTTCGCTGCAGAAGCGACCGGGTGCGGCTTCAAAAGAGAGGCCTAAGTCTACCTTCCTGCCTAGTACCGGATCGACCTCCAACTTCATGGAGACCCTATCTCGAAAGATGAGCGGCGAGCGCGCGCCGTTGTCTGCCACAAAGGGGAATGAGATTCGGGGGAAAGAGGATACTAGTTCGAGGGGGGCCACGACTAGAGGAATGTTGAGACGCGCAAGTTCCGAGGGTCGCAAGTCTATGGACGATAAGCCCAGACCGGGACAAACCGTAGCCCAGAAAGGTGCCCGTGTGATGGCTGCAGTTGCAGTCTTCAACGGTAAATCGAAGGAAGCCGAAGTTGGCGCGTCATCACCGTTGAACCCGAAGGATATCGACGAGGAGTTTGAAGCTGTTCTGGTAAGACCTTACCAGGAAATGGTGAGGTGATATCGCTAACAATAGTTTAGGAGTCTAGGAATATTCCAGAGCATCAACGAGTGCAGATGCGAAGCCTTACTCACGACATTAAGGCGAACTTCGTTCGGGTTCACAAAGTTGATGCACCCCAGCCAACGCCCCAGCCAGCAAAGGAGGCTACGACAAAGCGTTCTCTCTGGGGCGATGCTGCGTCTAAGCGTCCTACTCTCGGTAGATCTGCGAAGTCCCGGGATGGGTCGCATGAAGACGAGGCCACTGATGCCGCGGATGCATCCAAGTCTGCAAGCACGTCCAAACGTACTAGACCTCGAAGCAGGGCCTTCACCTTCAGCAAGGGAGATTCTCCGACCAAGAAGCAGAAGGCGGAGGGAGAACTTCCCAAATCATCTTCAACGAAGGCAATGATTCCCAAGTCCCCGTCCTCGAAGTCTCTTGCATCGATGAATGGTACTCAGGGATCATCGTTCTTTTCGAAGAACCCCAAGTCCGCTACACCAGATGAATTTGTCGCCTACATGCGAAAGGTACAGAAGCCTCAAGCAGTTGAAGTCGGCAAAATGAACAAGCTACGCCAGCTTCTGAGGAACGAGACTGTAGAATGGGTGGATGGGTTCATGCGTCAAGGCGGTATGACGGAGCTAGTAGGCCTCCTTCACCGGATCATGGAGGTTGAATGGCGGTAAGTATTCTTGTGACGATATGTGTAAATTTCGATGCTAATTCTGTTCCAGGGAGGAGCATGAAGACACTTTGCTTCACGAAGTGCTTCGCTGCCTAAAGGGCCTATGCACCACCGACCTGGCTCTGAAAGAGCTTTGTCACGTCTCTTCGACACTCTTCCCAGTATTGATCGCCATGCTGTTCGACCCAGAGCACAAAGGACCCAGCGAGTTTACTACACGAGATCTAATCCTCAGCCTGTTGTTTGCTCACCTTTCGTCTGCCCCGCTGGCCGATCGTGGTTCCAGAGCGAGGGAAATATTGTCTTACCTAAAGGATCCTGTGAACGAGAAGGAAGCCCAAGCTATCCCATTCGTCCTCCAAATGCATCAGCCACGTCCGTATCGTGTTTGGTGCCGCGAGATCAGTAACGTTACGAAGGAGGTGTTTTGGATCTTCAATCATTCTGCGAATGTTGTTCCCATGCCTAAGACCATCGAGGACGGCAGATCCTACGCAGAAACACACTTCCCCGGCCCACGACCCATTGTTGCAGCTCAGCCATATGTCGGTGGGGTGGAGTGGGATTCTACGAACTACCTGGCAACCCACCTCGACCTTCTGAATGGACTTATCGCTTCGCTTCCTGAGAAGGAAGACCGGGATGCTCTCCGTACCGAGCTGAAGGCATCTGGGTTCGAGAAGTTGCTTGGATACTTGAGAGCCTGCAGTGAAAAGTACTACGCTGCAGTTCACTGTGGCCTCAAGACGTGGGTCCGCGCCGCTGTTGCCGATGACTGGGATGCTAGGACAGTCAGGATGTACGGTGGCGATGGAGCCATGCCCATCAGTCCTAAGAAGAGCCCCAAGAAGGCAGAAAAGGCACCGGTGATCGAAGCACCGAATCTTGGTTTGGGCAACAATCTAGGCCTTGGACTGGATTTCGGCAAGGACCAGAAAGCGAAGAGCGCAGAGCGTGATTCAGATGATTGGATTTAGAGCTCTAGATCATGTCTACGGTTGGCTCTGAGAATGGTTGGACAGAGAGATGGTTCTATTGAGTTAGGTGTGTGGTGTCGAATTTGCTGTCCGCCCGGTTGGTCATGGATGGAGTCTGAGTCTTAATGGGTCTGGGTCTGGGTCTTTGATTGGGTTCTTGTTTCCTTTTTCTCTACTGCCCTATGGGTCACGACTTTCTTTCTTTACGTCTTGCATGACTGCATGGGGATGTAATGATTTGACGACGATGATCGATGATTACACTGGATAACGAGTCTCTGCTTTCTTCTTGTAGATATTCTTTGTGCGAAATATGTTTCAATCTTCAAACGAAGCGCGTGATGTGAAAGCTAGATACTAGACGCTGTCAGTTGATGAGCAGTGTGAAGTTCGGGGCAGTGTGTCTACCCGATGATTACTCTACGTCCACGGCTATATCCTTCAACTTGCTTCCAAACTGACTACTACGCGCCAGAGTGAATTTGCTTTTCGACGTGAGGTCTATGGCTTTCTGGTGAGTCTTACTAGTGTAGTGACGCACGTCTCGTCTAATTGGATGTCTAGACGCGCGCCTACCATGTTTTGAAATTTGTCTTAGAGCTCCGCGCGACCTCGTCCTCCTATCTCACTACACCCTCCGTCTAAGACACGGTGTCTTCACTAGATTTTGGCATCAAATCACCCACCCGGACATCTCAAAGCACTGTCTATTCGACAACTACTTAAGCATTCCATCGCGGCCGCCGTAAAGCCTCCGCCCGCCATTATGGATTGGCGATCACAAGCCGGCTACTTCCCATACAATCAGCCTACTTATCCGTATCCTGGCTATGATATTAGCGGAGGTGACACTGGCTACGTTGAGTTCGAAGGCGACGACGACGATAGCGGAATGTATGAGCCTGAGGAGGCAGTTGAGCCTGTCCCCACCATCCTCCCAACAACTACAGCGACTCTCACTTCCGGGCTAGATGGCGCGGTAAGATATTCCACTCTCACCTGTGTTTCTCCTCTGTTCACCGAAGCTGTTTCCCAGTTCCAGCTCCCAGTGAAGCAAGCCTGCTAAGTCACGAAGCCTACACAGAGCGATACAAAAGCACAACCCACCGAACCCGAAGCCAATGTCCCCAAGTCTACCCCACAAGAACAACTGTTTGCACTCCGAGAACGACTTATGGCTTCCAAGAAGAGTGCTACACCATCGGCGGAACCAAAACCGGTGCCGACTGCTCAAGAATCTACAATAAGCGCAGACGTGGATAACTTCATCGCTGAGGAGAGAGCAGCTGCGGAGGCGGCCAATGCGAAGAACACGCCAACGACGGCAGCAATGCCAGGTGGAATCAATGGTTCTGCAAACAAAACTCCCTTGTCCATCTCGAAGCAAGCCACGCCAACAACAAATACTGCGCAAGGAAGAGCTCCTGCAGCGTCGGTGTCTTCAGCGAAGAAGCACATTATTCCGCCGACAATCAAGAACAATGGCCCTACTCAATCGCCGACACCATTACAGAAAATACAACAATCCAGATTGACCAAACAAAACCCTCAATCTCAGCCATCAGTAGAACCGGGGGAAATTATGGAACCCAAAGCTGGTTTGACTGCACAACCGTTACTAGGAAAGGAGGCCGCAAAGCCAATTCGTCCGCGGCAGGGCGCTAACACTGAAACCCCAAAAACTACTCAGCCGGCTCAGCCTGAGCGCAAGGATAGCAATACTGAAAAGGCTCGGGATCACCAAGAGCCAGCAACAAGTTTGTCTCGACAGAATAACTCACGACCGCAACCAGATAAGAATGCAGCACAGACCGCTCAGAAACAGACCCAAGCTACTAAAGCTAATGGCTCTGCCTCCGACATCAATGCTACTAACCGTGAAACAACAGCATCAACCACGCAAGTTCGGAAAGATAGCTATCCTGAGCGTAGAACTCAAGGCGAACGACAGCCAGAACTTCCGGTTCGACGACCTACAGTCCCCATTGCTCGTAATTTGGAACCTCAAGCTGAGGGCCAGAATGCAGCCCAGCGCCAGGCAGCTGAAAAGACGACCCAAAATGCGATCGTACTTTCAAATCCTCGCCCTGACTCTGTTCATGATCAACGACTTGCGGCGGAGCGTGGCTCAATCAATACTGCTGCCGCACACTCCCACTATTTCGATGATCTGGACGAGTGGCTCGAAATCACTCGGTATCACGATCAACAGTATCGCCAGAAGTTACTTAGTAGGCATAGAGCATTCGCGGAACTTGACAGAGAGGCGGAACGCATCGATAGAGAGTTTCCATTAGATGAAGATGAGCACGCTTACCTTCCACGTCCAGGCGCGTTCCGGGCTTCTTCCCGACCTTCCGCGGTTAGGAGAATAGCTTCAACATCATCCATGCGCCCACCTCCGCCGCCGGCCGAAAATACAGCCGCAAAGACTTTCGAGGATGCTTCAAGATATGGCAACATCCAAGCTCCGCAAAAACGTGGACTCTCACCATCAGCGCCCGAAACTCTACGACCTGGCAAGCAAGTCCGATTGGATGCAGTTGCAGGTGCCCAGCAGCGACTGGATGAGCATACTGACGTAGGAACGCGTGGAGGGTATGAGAAAGTGCCCATATCTCCCCATAGGTAAAGTTTCTCGTGTTCATCACTTTGCTATTCAAATGGAACACGACAATAATGCGGAGAATGGCATTTGAGCCGGCCCACCTAGATGATCCGGAAACTGACTATCAACAGTATAGAGAACAGCGGAAATGGCTTTCGTATCCGAGGAGTGATGGACGATGAAGACGCCTCTCGAGGTCCCCAATCCCGACCTCAATCATCTCGCAATCGACCAATAGAGAGGAGCCCAAGCCCGCTTAGGCATCCAGCTCGCCGAATATCATATCCGGAGGAACGTGCCCGCCGCGACGAAGAAGACCGTGGCATGCTTTCACGCAGCAATACTTACCAGAGCCGGAGAGATGAGAGCCCGCCCCGCGCTCACTATACCCGGGCCCGAAGCCCACTCGAATATCGTAGCGAATTCAGCAACTACCGCCCTGGAACCTCAAGCGGTGTTTACGACACTTCACCGACCTATCACAACGACCGTGGACGGGGAAGAGGCTATGGCCGTGGTACATTTGGAGGCCGGGGAGGTCGTCCTAGATCACCTCCAAGAGAGCCAGAGCGCGATCGTCCATTGCAACTTGGGGCAGGCGGTCAGTACGCCCGTTCTCGCTTTTGAATCACCTTCTCTGTCAATCTCTCCATCACTTTCAAGGGCCTTTTCCATAGTTCAGATTTCCCTTGTCAAGTTGGCTCGACTATTCCTGGTCGCCATCTTCCCTTCGGGGCCTTTCTAATGTAGCTCAAACTCCGAAAAGGTATAATTGTCTCTGATCGGTGTGCCCGAAACAGGTGCTCGCTACTTTATGATCAAATCGTGGAACCACGATAACGTCCAAACGGCACAGCGTGAGGGTGTGTGGGCGACGCAGCCGCATAACGAGGAGTTGCTCGCCAATGCATTCAAGACGTGTAGACATGTGATTCTGGTTTTCTCGGTGAACAAAAGCACTTGCTTCCAAGGCTATGTATGTGCCCCGCTCCTCCTTCGTGCGCCGCCCCTTTGTTACTCTAGGCTTTTTGGCTTGCTATTTCTCTTAACGGTACCAAACCTATCCTCACGTGCGCAGACTGATGTTCCACTAGGCTCGTATGCAATCGGCGCCCGGCGAAGCACCCACGCCTAGTTGGACGAAGAACTTGCTCTGGCCCACATCTGGCCCGTTCTACATTCGCTGGATTACAATCGCGGATGTGAGGTTTAGCCGTATTGGACATCTGAAGAATAGTATGAACGAAGGGCAGGCGGTGCTCGTGGGACGAGATGGGCAAGAGATTGAGGAGGAGTGCGGCAGATTGCTCTGCGAAAGCATTGACGATGTCGGTGCTATGATGAAGGCGGAAGACGAACAGCTGTTTTGAGGTGCTCAACGACACAGAAATTGAGTCGATTATGGCAGTGCGGTATTATTAAAGGTTAAGGATAGTATCTTTTTGCAGGGTACCGACTAGTAGATCACGTTAGATATATTGTGCTGTCTACTGAACTAGGGTAGGACTAGCTGAATGCGAATTATACTATAATATATGAGTTGTCTGCCTGAAACATGTGCATCCCAGTCTCCCATCAGGGCGTTACGGTCTGGCGGAAGGACCCGTCTTCCGGGTAGCAATGGGGATTCTGCCCCAGACTGCACAGTCGTCACATCGCATTCTCACGAGACCGCCAGGCGCTGCGAGTACTTGACTAGCGGGGCGATACTGTACATCAAATGCAAAGGCTTCCTGACGAGCTCTCTGGCGCTGTAAATCATTTTATTCTTTACCGCGATTGGCGGCAACGGCGCCCTTTGAACGTCAACCTCGCTCCTCCCAGCGCCCCGCAATGCACAGCACACGCACCCACTGCACTGCTAAGGACAAGGCAGCTAGCACCTCCATCGCCCGCCGCAATCCAGCCGCCCTGATTCGCCGCGGGCAAGCGGTCCGATCCCGACGCCTGATCGCTTGGAGCAGCTGCAGGCATTCCGGCGAGAGCTGGACTGTGCCACTCTGCTCCAGCAAACTTCGAGATACTGCACCCCAAGCACCCCAACCGCGACCTTTGAGTGCTTAGTACAGCCGAACGACTCGAGAGACGCACGAGAGCGCACCCGCCGCCTGCATCTTGCGTCTGGCTAGAGCGGAGCGGAGTGTTCGCCATGTCCATAAAGTACGTGCATCTCCCGTCGACTTCCTTTCCGCGTAGCTGCCTATCTACCCCGCGAGAAGCTTGTTTGCTCAAGCTATCGGAACCCCTCTCTGCACCCTCTCTAGGCCTTTTATAGGACCGACTGCCGGTACCTTACACATGTTCCCCTCGGCCAGCTTCCTCTGTCTTTCGTCGTTGCTGTTGCCCCTTCACCCCGCACCCCCATTATAACGAGTCGGTCCTGGTGACCTGTCTTACCCAGCCATGCGGTCGAGGACCTTGCTTGGTCGTAGAAGCAGTCGCTTACGAGATGATAGCTGGGTGATGCTGTCGGAGGACGGCGCGGGCTTCACGCCACTGCCCGGAGAGAAGACGCTATACACGAGTCCGCCACGTACGGCACTGAGCTTGCAGAGCTTGAATAAGAACGGGGCAGAGACGTATTCGGTGAATAGTGGTGGGGGCGTTGTGTTCTTGTCGAATCGACGGGTATGTCCAATACACTCTCTAATATTCCTCCTACCCAGAAGACCCTGCGTGGCACATTGATGCCCGAAGAAGTAACCATGCTAACATTTCCATCCATCACAGCTAATATACCTCCCATCCACCCCCTCTTCCTCCCTCCAATCCTTCGCCTCCCCCATCCTCAACCTCCACGACACCCACGTCACAGCCCCGTGGTTCGGTCCCAACGTCTGGTCCGCCCTCGTCCAGCCCGTCCCCAACGGCGGAATACCTCCCTCGCACGCAGCCCTCGAGCTCAAGCTCACCTTCAAAGAAGGCGGAGCCTTCGACTTCCACACGGCCTACGAACGGCTAAAAGAACGGCTGGCACAAGCAGTGGAGAGTGCGCGGGAGGAAGCTCCTTCTACAGGACCAGAGGGGGTCGACTGGAACCGCGTTCATCTGGAAGACTTGCCGGCATATGAAGCGCCAAGTACGGCGTCTGTATCAGCGACGGAGAGCGTGCCGAGTTCGCCGATGAGTCCTGGCCAGAGGAGTGGGAGCGTGGGTTTCGGGCTTGAGGCACAGGCGAGAAGGCCGAGTGTGCAGAGTCCGAGGGAGGAGACGTTCCCAACGCCTGTGGAGCCGCCGCCAGGGTATGAGGAGGTGCAGAGGGGAAGTATTGTTGAGGAGCTGGAAAGGAGGATTAGGAGTGGGGAGACGGAGGAGAGGTAACAGGAAGGAAGGCTATCTTGTGCTGGTGGATAGGGATTGGCGTATGAAGGAATGGGATGTTATCGGATGGGATGGATGATCCGGGTAGGGCAGCATGGCGTTGGATTGGACTTTCGAAGATGGACGTCTACTTCTAGAGCTAGAGGTGTGTTGTCACCATGGCAAAGACTGAGGGGTGGGAATCTGCTTCTTGCCGTTCAAGATCAAGATGTTCCTTCGTCAAAATAGGGTGTCTATCCCGTGCCTAGGTACTTTGGGCGTTCGTACGAGATGCTTCTGAAGACGCGGAGTATTGTCCCAAAAGCTTCACGACCTCGGTGTTGTAAATCGGCTCGCCAGCTCTCCCCACAACTCCAACCCCGGTGTCCACCTGACTTTGATTACTTTCGCCGCACGGTGGCCGTTTCGCTTTTTGAGGTCCTGTGACGTGCATTGACATGTGAAGACGGGCGAGGTACGGGAGACTGCGTGACTCAATAAATCCACCAAATTGAAGTCTGCAAGCCATATTTCAGAGCTGCGAGTATCTTAAAGCGGCGGTAAGGTGACTGACTATGCCATGCTATTTTCTATGATATGTACTCTTTGTAGCAGTAGCAAAAACCGTTCTGTTGCGATGCCGAACAATCCACAGCCAAATTGCTCACCAAGAGTTGCAGCGTCCCGTACCGTTCACTTGAGCGCTATTCCCTATGCGGACATACCTCGGCGGCTGCGAGGACCTGGACAGAGGAGCTATGTCATAAAGGATGGACCTCCGTCTCACGCCGCAGTCTTCACATGCGCTGCTGCTCTTTCATAAACACCTCTACCTTCTACCTCGCTCCTAGAAAGCTACGATATTCACCAAACTGCTCTTCTTCCGCAAATCAACCCGCATTCCTGAAGTTCGAGCTTTGAGCGTAGGTTCCTGGGACTTCTAAACAACAAAATGGCGAACCAGACTGGACGGGCTTCTGCGGGTGAGCCATGCCTTCTTTCCTCTATTTCCGCTATCTGCTGGCAGTAAACAGATGAAAGGAAGAAGCTGACGAGTGTATAGCCCAAGATCGGTTGAGCCAGGTTGGAGATCACATCACCGCCACAGGATCCCAAATCCCCAAGGGACGAGCAGCCCTCTTAGAAAAGGGACCAGACGATGTAAGAGCCTCTTTCAGAACTTCCAGCAAGAGATCCAACCACAATTCGCTCCATGGCTACGCCTTAGCTTGGTGTTTATACGTCTTCTCCTCAAAGCCCTCCCCGCCACCTCCGCCCATTCCGGGACGTATTCTCACATAACACCCAAAACTAACATAATCCCCAGATTGTGGTTACATGTGCCCTCCGTACACCTATCTGTAAAGGCGGCAAAGGCCTCCTCAAAGACACCGCCGCCGCCGACCTCCTCGTGTCAGCCTTCACTTCGCTGCTCCAACGCTCGAACATCGACCCCGCCCTAGTCGAAGACATAGCCGTCGGGACAGTTCTTGCCCCGGGAGGTGGAGCAACAGAGTTCAGAGCCGCGGCGTTGGCCGCTGGGTTCCCGGTGACGGCCGCGGTGAAGAGCTTGAACCGGCAATGTTCGAGTGGTCTGCAGGCGTGTGTAGATATTGCGAATGAGATCAGAGCGGGCGTAATTGATATCGGTATTGGTGCGGGTGTAGAAAGTATGAGCACGCAGTATGGGTGAGTTATTTTGGTTCCGTCATACACTTTGGTTGAAAGAGAGACATTGCTAACAATATACGCCCTCAGCCCCCAAGCCGTCACGGAATTCTCCGAGCTCCTCGAATCCCACAAAGAAGCCGCCAACTGCAAAGTCCCCATGGGCGTTCTCTCGGAAGCCATGGCGAAGTCCAAATCCATCCCCCGCAGCGCCCAAGACGCCTTTGCCGCCTCCTCCTTCCAAAAAGCCGTCGAAGCCCAGAAACAGGGCCTCTTCGACCAAGAAATCGCCCCACTAACCGTCAAATGGACCGACCCGAAAACCGACGAGGAGAAAACCATCACCGTCTCCAAGGACGACGGCATCCGCGCCGGCATCACCGCCGAGTCGCTCGCCAAGATCCGCCCGGCCTTCGCCAAAGACGGCAGCATCCACGCCGGCAACGCCTCCCAGATCTCCGACGGCGCCGCCGTCGTGCTGCTCATGACGCGCGCGACCGCGCTGAAGCTCGGCCAGCCCATCCTCGGCAAGTTCGTGCAGGCGTCCGTCGTTGGTGTGCCGCCGCTGCTTATGGGCGTTGGGCCTGCAGCCGCGATTCCGGTCGTGCTGGCGAAAACGGGCCTCGATAAGGGTGAGGTCGATATCTATGAGATCAATGAGGCGTTTGCGAGTCAGTGTTTGTACTGTATTAACGAGTTGGGCTTGGATCAGAAAAAGATTAACCCCAAGGGCGGCGCGATCGCGTTCGGGCATCCGCTGGGGTGTACGGGGGCGAGGCAGGTTAGCACGCTGCTTTATGAGTTGAAGCGGAGGGGCGAGCAGGTGGGCATGACGAGTATGTGTATTGGGACGGGGATGGGCATGGCGGCGGTGTGGGTGGCTGAGTAGTGGGAAGGTGGTAAAGGAGAGGTGAGATCTGAGCTCGCGGAACGAGACAGGTTGAGGATGTTGGTGTTCGTGGGATTGTGAGTTCGTGTGGTTGGTGTATGAATAGACTCATTCAGACCCAGGCCCTTTTTTGAACGTCATTGGATTCTGTGGAACGTGGCGCCTCAGCTCTGTTTCCCTTTCCTTCCTCTCTAATCTTCTCTACTCCCCTCACACGAATCTACCCTTACTCCAACCGCGGCGTTGAGGCTACTAGCCGCGGGTAGCATTAAGAACTCTCTACGGGCAGTTGTGGGCCGGTAGACTAACACTACGGATGTACGTGCTAGCCTCTAGTGATCAATTGGCGTCTGCGAGGAAATACTCCAGATGTTGATTGGCGGCTGCCAGGACCCAAGACTAAGGCCACGGCGCAATCTCTAGCGGAACTCCACGTGCGGCTGACTATGAATCAACGTCACAGGAAGGGAAATCGTCATTGGTATGGGATGCGTTACCATGAGTTGAGTCATCGAGAACTAAACGAAGATGGGGAGGGTAAGGAGTTGAGAAGTCTATTTGACACAGTTGTACCCAGCCCGGCAGTGGAATTCCACCCGCTAAAGGAACGAAAGCGATGCAGCGCCGAAACATCACCGCCACTCGTCACAAGCCGTGAATCCTGTGAAACCTCGAAAGACGAGAGGAAAGTATATAAGCCAAAGTATTATCCTAGACAGGCTTCCACGGAGTCGCCAGTCCTACTTCGAAGTAAAATCAGGGAAAACATCTCCATTTCCAAACCTGCTTCAACTCCATTTCCAACCTCCTTCAACTCCATCTCCACCCTCTCAAACACACCGCCACATCGCGTTCTTCTCGCTCTTCCAAATCCATCATGCTGCCACACACAAGCATCGCCGAATCCGCGCTCACCTCCTTATCCGCCGCCCACCCCCCCACCGCCCCCATCTTCATGCTCAACCTCCTCCGCTACCGCCCGACCGCCGCCTACACTGCGCCAACCGACCTCCCCCAGGTCTCCGGTCACGAAGCCTACCACGCCCGCTACGTCCCCGCGCTGCGCCCGCTCATGGCCGCGAACGGCAGCGTGCCGATCTTCCTCGGCAGGGTCTACGCCGCGCTGTGTGGGCCGGCGGAGGGGGAGAGGTGGGACGAGGTCGCGATTGTGATGTATCCGAGTGTGGCGGCGTTTAAGGAGATGGTTGGGAGTGAGACTTACAAGAAAGAGTGTGAGATGCATCGGCGGGCGGCGTTGGAGGAGTGGAGGTTGGTGCCGTGCGAGAGGGTTGAGTTGTAGGAGGGCCAAGGGAGATTGGGAGGGAGGCGAGATTCCTTGTCTTTACGCTTTTTGTGCCTGAGTCTGTAGCGAGGAACTGATAGCTAGTAAGGCGTAGTCAGGGAAAACGTTGTAGTAGGGCTTTCAGGGTAGCAAGTTTGTTGATGGTGAAGAGAGAGTGATGGTTTAAAGGAATGCTTGTGTGTTCGTTCTGCGAATGAAAGGGCCGTAATATGAGATCCTTACATTAGGATTACTTCACTAAGCACATTTGCCTAAGAGATGTCCTTCCTTCAAGATCATGCTGAGAAAATTCTCACTTTTCAGTCCTTTCTTTTAGTAAGGGGTCTTCTTTGCAATGGTTCATTTACGTACTAGGTTCCGGCTTTGATCTATGCTTCGATTTTCTTTAGCGTTACTCAATCTGATATCTCCATAGTTAATCAGGTGCTCGATAAATAAGGAGTTCCCCTAAAAGGTCGCGGCTTAAATAATCTGTCCGTGATGGCTTTTGAGGGGAGATTTTAGGGTAGAAAAATTGTTCGGAGTAAGGCGTCTTGGTAATGGATGGAGCATATGGGGAATCATTAACTGGAAGTATCTTGGCAATTGGTTAGCGAGCTAATAAGTCATCTTGTTGCAAAGGTATCGTGGAAGTTGGAGGAGTTGATTATACAGCATGAAATCACTATTGAGATACTCTGCGGATCCAAAAGTTTGCAAGTAAACCATACCAGAGAGGATGCGTTCTAGGAAGGGAATGTCGTAGTTAAATGGAATCTTAATAAGAGTATAGCTTCTTAGGATAAAGCACTACTGAGATGGAGTCCTCCTTGTGCGAAATATTCTTGAGATGAAACTGTATTGACGTAGAAGCGTAGAAGCTTCTCAAGAGAGGACCTTGTTAGGCACTAAAACACTTCCTCCTCCATATAATATCCCACCCAACTTATCCTTCGGACCCTAACTAACATCCAATCTGTCCCCTTCGCAGTATATTTCCTACCCAAGTTATCATTTTCAAAAGCCACAACATAAGCAAGGCCTCCAGCCCTACCTCTCAGAGGCCCTCGCGATCCCTACGCTTCGTTCCGCATGTCCTGATCAGTCCCCACCTCTCCAAATCCCCCACAAATCCCCGGGGTTCGTTCCGCATTGCCTAGTCCGTCGACGATCCGATCTCATCTTCAAAAGCTACGACCTCAGCAAGGTCTCCAGCCACACCTTCTCCGAAACCCCCAGAATCCCTATGCTTCGTTCCGCATGTCCTAATCAGTCGACGATCTGGCGACAGGGTCAGCACATCCACCATTCGTACCGCATTTCCTAATCCGTCAACGATCCGATCCAGCCTTCGACAAGGCTGCACACCACTTTCCCCCTGGCAAGGCTGAGTGAGTACAATAAGAACAGGGTCAACCGACCCGCGCCGGGATCTGACGATGGTTTCCGTTTCCCGCCCCACGGTGTTGGTGACTTCTGAACACAAACCGGTCACGTGCAGGGCCACTTCCATATTAAATATACACAGGGGGTCTTGTCTCTCGAATGCAATCAAAGGTCGAATGCAAGCAAGAATTCACTTCAACATATAAAAGCTAGCTCTATGAACGACAGCTGTTATCGTCTAGATCAGATACGAACTCCCTTCGTTTCCTTTTCGCATGCTTGGAAGGAATTTTCGAAGGGCCTGAGAGATGCAGTCCTGCATGCTTCGAAAAGTTAGGCCTTCTCAGATGTTAGATATTGCTGTGGTGGCCTCGTTTCGGTGTTGAGTGGGCCGTGTCATTTTTGGGTCGGGTCACAAAATGTACGAAGAAGTTCGTAAGAAGACGCCGTGATGCGCCCGAGACATGAGAAAGCCACTTGTTACATCATACTACATTATTATACTCGTTTCATATTGCACAGCATTCAATGACGTTCGGAAAGGGATAGGGTAGATTCGTGTGTGAGGGGAGTAGAGAGGATGAGAGAGGGAGGGAAGGGAGAGAAGGCGAGGGAGGGACGATCACGCGGTGAGGAAGCAAAGTGGACGGACGGGGGCAGAGGAAAAGCGAAACAGGAGATTCGGGTATCTAGAACGTTCAGCAAGATGGGAAACTAGGACGGTGGTTCTGAAACCCTGTCATTCAATGCCCGCGTCATGTTGTATTGGAACCATGCATGTGAACGTGCGTGGAGGGGCGCAGGGAGCAGAGCTGAACAGTGACATAGAGGAAGGGCAGGGCCGGGTCGGTAAAGATGAGAGTTGTACGTCATTTTCTTTGCTGTTCTGGCTATGAGTGGGCGAAACCGATAAGGAAAGAGGTTCAGGCTGTCATTAGAGAGGCTAGCTTTGAAACTGTTGGGGCCGTTGGGATGGCAGTGTCGTAGTTCTTTCTGGCGTAGAGCTTAAACCTAAAAGGTACTCTGGTAAAACTAGTGCGAAGGTGTGATGACTGGGTATCGGTATGTACTTAAGCACTGATACATGAGAATTGGTCCTTACCTACTGTAGCCGAAGCTAAAAAGCTCAGCGCTTTACGATCGTCTTCAAAAGGTACCCTAACTCCTTCTACAGGCCTAGCGTAATCTGTTAGCCGTTGAATACATCAAATAGTATCGGGGAGCTTTTTAGAACGAAGGAAGGAATCCGTCTGTCATCGCCAATGACCTTGCTTTAACTGCAGAGAAAGACGGGCGGAAAGAGTGGTCGAGATACCTGAATAAAAATGACGCATGTAATCGTTCTTTACTGAAAATAGGCAAGTTGTGGCTAGTGAGGTGAGACAACAGCCTCAGCCCTAGGTAATGCACTCCACATTTTCTCTAGGTTGCACCGCCACAGCAGCGGTCGACTGGGTCGATTTGCAAGGCTGCTATGTATTACCTAGCCTCAAGTTTCCAAGATTCTCATTCCTTGTAGGTAAGGCTGAGGTCTCACTAGCCACACTGACTCGCGTGGGCTTGTAGCCTCGAACTTCTTCCTGACCGGTGAGGCTCATGTTTCAGTAGCTGAAGGGTGTGCCCCCCGCGCCCCGGTAGCCGGGCACCCGGGTACGTGAGGCGGATGCTCGGGTTTTGGTGCGTACCGTATGTACTTTCCTGTCTCACCACTCGCGCAGCATTGCGGCTTGAAGTTTCCCTGTTAGGTCTGGTAAAGGAGGACTGAGTAATGAGGCATGTTGCCGATGCAATCCTTTCGCTCCTTCGCCTCGCTTCCACCACGGAAAGTCCGGGGGACCATTCATAATCGTCGGCCGAATTTGGGGCTGGAAGATGGGAAATGAATGGATCTAGCAGCCGCACGTGGCAGGGATGTCATGTTGAGACCATTGCGACGGCCTGGTTCGATGGGACGGGTCCCGCTATGCTGCATCAACGGGTAAATATGCTCAAACGGCGGCCTTCTGGCCCCTAACTGCCGTTGCGTATTCCCGAGGAGCTTAGTGAATGCAATAGTCCGCCGCAACTGTGAAACGTTAGTGGAATGTTAATTGAACAGGTAAATCCTCGATCGAGATGAGAAAAAGAAGTAACCACGAAATGTCTTGCCGCTGCGCATGATCTAGCAGTCAGCTGTACTAATGAAAGTTCCCTTCTTTGCTCTTGTTCATTTACTCTTTAGAGACTCACCGTTTTCTCAAAGCTTCTTCGATGGCAACAGCGGCGAGTCAGGAGGATGCGCCATTCTAGCGGCACATTCCACGATAGAAAATTGCTCGCCCAAGTTCCACTTAATGAAATCTATGAGCATTACTTACACCGGCACCGAGTTCTCCTAATGTGTGTCTATGAATGCCTAAGCAACGTGAAAATGAGGGGGTAAAAGGGTACTCTTTATACTGACACCTCGGTGCGTAGCTTACCCGCGTTGACTCATTAATGATGCTGTGACTCTTTCTATTCTGATGCCTAGATAACAAGAGAGCTGTGTTGCTTCGCTGAGCGGGCTCAATTGGGACTTTTCAGCTTCAATGAATCCCTTCTAAAAGAGAGACGGTGACTGAAGTTCTACCGTCCCGGTAGCATGGTTACCGCTAGTCCGCATGCGTTCCAATGCGCGAGCTGCTCGCGCTCGGTCGCCGAGTTGATTCAGCAAAGGCTGGCTGAGGTAAACTTGTGGCCGTGCGAACCCGAGCTGACAGCAGTGGCGCCGATCGGCTGTCGGGATCGTGACCGCTTCGTGGAGAGTTTATCTGACCCAGGAAGAAATGCACAATGCCGCCACACCGCCAGCATGAATCCAAAGAGGCAACGAAGGAAGCGGTTGACGTGGTGGAGGCGGACGAGCTTGGCTGGAAGGAAGTCTATCGAAAGCTTGGGTGTAGCCAAGTCACTGATATCAAACTAGGAGGGGTGATGCTGCAACTGCTGCGAGGTCGTGAACCGCTGTGGCCGTGCAGTGGGGTGTGGCTGATGTCAGAACTCAAATGGTCGAGAAGCAGGAATTGCCTGCGGCTGAAAAGCTTGGTCTACGGTGAGGTGAGAACACGATGTATGACGCCAGGTGTTCCACTCCAAGGTTCTCTCCAGCCTTGCTTCTAGCCCTGCAGCCACACCTTGGCTCGTGGCGCAGGGGCTCGCCTTCGCTTAGCGCACGTGAGGCGGTGAGACAGGTGTGGCTGCGGCAGGGATCGGGGCATGTCCTGCATTAGCGTATCCCAAAGAAGTAAATCCTGGGTGGCCAATCAGACTCCAGGATTATCGACGGACATCAGCATTCGTGTCCGCCCACTCCCTCGCCCGCATTATCACCAGAACTGTGGAAATGAGGACACCAAGCAGACCCTAGTGCAGAGCTTCTATCGTGGAAGAAACTGGGGTCGACATCGAATCGGTTATTCTACGCTAGCACCAGGACACCATCAACCCTCGTACGAAACTGCGCGAAGACGGACCGCTATTAATTCTGATCTGCGGCAAGCGCGCCATCGAGAGACACTTTTAGAGCCATGGCATCACTCCGGATCTTGTTACTTGAGCCCACATCCAAATTCCCTGCGTCCTAGGCCACTGATATTTGGGGAGAGACGCTCGGTGCCTGGCCGCGGAGCTCCGTGAAAGCTTAGGAAGTGATAGTGGAGTCAGAAGCCGTCCAGTGTCCACCATCGCGGTGTTGAGATCGGGCGATATGATTCAATGCTCAGTGTCCAATGCCTGCAGCTTGCTTGTATAGGAAGTTAAGTTTAGCTTCGCTTGGCATTTATGGGTCGGCTGTTCTTGCAGGAGGAGCCGTGAGGGGGGCATCGAGATGGGGCGCAGTGAGCAAATGGCACTCCGTTGCTAATTAGGAAGTGAACCGTGCAATCTTGTGATCGCTGTCTAGTCCGTTTGCGCACCAATTGGCTCATCCTACGAGCCAATTGTTGGCGTCTTTATTTAGTTTCCTCCTTGGATGAATAGCCCTTGTGCCAGCCCTACGTCGTGTGCCAGAGTCTAATTTCGAACATAGGAGTGCTTCCCGGTCTCGGGTTTTAGGGATCGAGTACTTGGGCATCGAGATGTTGCTTGCCATGTCAACGGAATCGATGCCCCCTGTGCTTGGCCCACCGACATCTGCACGTCGCAGGAACAGCCGGCACAGCCGCGTCCTGCTGTCTCCTCAGCGTCATTTTAAAGCGGATTCACGGGACGAAGCTTCGTCTGTTGACCGACGCGGGCATAGGGTGATATGGGGCCTTTCAGGAACGAATGCAACGCCGCGAGGAGATAGACTGGCGTGTTCTCCACCGCCAATATTCAACATTCCAAATCCCCACGCTTAATTTGGATGGGATGGCCGCCGACTAAGCTTGGTTCCAATCAAAGCCGGGGCCCATCCTTTCGCCTAATCGAATCGAGCCCTGTCAGCGAAATGTCCAACGCCCCTGTAGCTGAAACTCGGACCCCAGAGCCACGATGCACCAATCACTCCCGCCCTGCTGTGGCGTAGCGACGGCCGTGCGTGTGGCTGGTGAGCTTTTCGTCTGCCGTGCGCCCACGCCCGTGCCGCTTCACACCATCGCCCCATGCGCGCCAGATGGGCCTACCCCGTCCACAGCTGGCCCCTGATGCATCTAACGGCCTATGGCGCATGGCTACATGCACCAGGCAAAGAGTGCAAAACCGCAGGCATGCAAGCCCGCAGGGGCCGGCCCGTGCGGTGACCTATCTCGCCGGCAGGTCCTAAAAGAATGACTTCCAACCATCAGCCGCAACACCAGCATGGGGGCTTTCTTTACATTTGGACACAATCGAACCCTATAGGATCGAAAGCTCCACAACTTTGAAGGCACCAGCGTGAATCCTATGATTCTAGGGCCTCCGTCTACTATACACCCTCGCAGACTCATCCACAGCTGTACCTGGGGGTGGCGCTGATCTACTAGCTGCCCAGAATGATGTATGCCTTCCCACCTCTTGGTATAAAGGTTACTGATCTCCAGCCACAGTTCCGTCAACCACCGACCACCCGTGCGTAGGCGTATCAGCAAGAAGCAAGTTCGGATTATGGCTTCACCAAACCCAAACGACGGATCCGGCAAGAGCCCTTTCGATATGCCCGACGATTTCTCTTACCAATTCATGGGACCTCCAACCACTTCCGCATCCGCTCAAGACTTGCAATTCACTGCTGCAAGTAGCCCGCCGATGCAAGCGACCGACTTCCAGATTCGCCCCAGTCCCGTACCCTCGACGCAGTATCAATTCATTACGACCACTGGAGAGGAAGATTCAGCTACCTCGAAGCGCAAGTTGAAAACGGTCCGCAGCCATGTTATGCGCAACTTCCTACAGCAACAGCAACAGCAGCGCAGAGCCGGGCAAACCCCCGCGAGCTCTCCTCCTTCTGAGTACCTTTCTGTCGAGGTCTCACCCGAAGAGCAGGGTAGAAGAAAGCGATCGAAGTCGTGGGAGAGTCCTCCTCCAGGGCAGTCCCGAAAGAGCTCCGTTGCTTCCAGTGCTCCCAGCACGCTGGAGCAGCAGATGTGGGCGTCTAGTGCCAGCTACCAGGGCGCCGGGAGCCCCAACCTCAGCGGGAGCGTCCGCAGAGGATCCTCGCAGAGCACAGTTCCGAGTCCATGTACGTACGACCGCTAATGTGCGACATTGTATTCCTATACTTACATTAGTAGACCTGCAGAATGTCCCGATCCACCCTCGGCCAACGCCCGGTAAGTGACGCCCTTGTCTCAAAATGGACTGTTGAACGAGGAACTGACTAGGGTACCTTTGCACAGGACACCGACCGGGAATATGGGCGCTCGATTTTGTCTGGGAGCCGATCCCTCCCGACGAAGCTTCCAACTACAGCTTGATGCACATTGCATCCGTGCTGCGTGATCGGATGGCGCAACAGCCAGCGCCTAGTATGGAGACGCTGCACGCGCACGGCGAGGCTATGCGCAACGTAGTTGAGACCCTGCAAGCCGTTGGCAGAAATGTGGCGCAACCTACCGTTTTTGCGGTGAGCAATCTCGCTACTGCATCTGTAAGCCTTGTCCCTTTCAGCTTTGGGATGCATTATGCTAATCTGTGCTTACGCAAAAAGGTTATGAGTGCGGAATGGGACGAAGCTAAGCGTCATTTGGAGGCTTTGATACGAATTGTGGACCTGAGAGGAGGCGTATCGACGCTGGACTTTGAATTGCAAAGGAAAATCACCTGGTAAGTAATGGTTGTTTAGCTGGCCATCATTTTTCTCCACCCGGGTAGTGTTTCTCAAACTCGAACTGCACTGACTCCGAAGAATAGGGCCAGCTACGGCGTTTCCATGGTTCTCGAAGCGCCTCCCAGCTTCCCTTGCCCAATGTTTCCTTCCACGCGACCCTTCCCACTAGCCCTCACAGACGACTCTTCGATCCGTGCCTGGCGCACTCTGAAGAAGATGCCAAAGAGCAGTTCTTTCCTGTATGATCTCGTACTCCGACTGCACCAGATTGGACTAGCCACGACATCCGAGTTCCGCGAGGACGTCAACATGCAGGCCGTTAGCAACGCCTACTTCGAGTCGCAGCACCGTCTGCTATTGCTCAACGTCGAGCAGCCGTGGATGGGCAAAGAGGGGCCCGTTGTCCGCGTCCCCGAGCTTGAGGCTCTCTACCAGGTCTTTGACCACGCCGCGCAGTTATTCTTGTGTACCACACTCCGCCATGTGCATACGGGCGATGAGCGCTGGAGCGTCAAGGCAAACGCGAGCTTAATCAGGCTTATCTTCAGCCGTATCAGAGCTGCACTCAGTGTAGAAAGCAATTATAACGTATGGGCCCGTAGACGTTGCTTAGACCCGATGGTCTGGGTGCTGGTGGTGTGCATCGAGTCCTGCGGGAACGTGATGCCGGATCGAGGCTGGTTCCTCGCAGAACTTCGAAAGGTCCTCGGCATCATGAAGGTAAAGCGGATCGAGGAGTTCAGGAAGACGCTGGCAGCGTTCCCGGCAACAGACGGGCTACAGAGGGTCGAGAGAGGTATTTGGGACAGTGTCTCGAGCCAGTAGGCGTGGATCGGAGGTAGATTTCGATATTTTCCTGTCTATATCTTTAACATTTCGTTTGCTGTCGCGTTAGATGGGTAGAAGGTGGAATCACAGATATTCAGTCTTTCTTTTGCATGGTTGGAAGAGGTGTTTGTTTGGCAGAAAGACTCGATTTGAGGACGTGGGATGACGGAGAAACGGGCTCAGCACTCGTTCAAGAGGCCACGGGGGTATCTATCACTCGCTCAAATACAACGAAAAATTGCTACATTGCGAGCTCGATTCGCCGACTAGAAATATGACGGTAAAACTCAAATCGCTGACAGCCGAAGACCCACTGCCTCAAAAACGCTTACAGCGTCGACGAAAGCTGCCAATCATTACTCTGAGGCCGATATGCCAAGCTTGACAGACGAAAATCAGACTCTGCGCCACTATGCAGTGGAACAGGTGATTGAAAGAGTATTCCTCGTCATAGGTGGATGACAACTGGATCTGCGTACTCGCTGGTGGCGAAAAGCCAGAGCCCAAAGCCGAGGGCGCGAGTTCTGAAAGAGTCAAGACATCTAGCTATCTTTTGGTACATACCAGCACTTTCATTCAAGACCTAGGTACGACGTCAAAGACCAAAACGAGCCGGTACGGCATAGCACAGGGCCTGCTCATTACCGGTATCTAAAGGCTGGTCCCCTTGGCATTGCCCGGTCTCAACACTGACAGTGTTCAACCCGACCACGACTTGGACGACGACGAATTCTGTCTAGGAGGTAGCTGTAAAGCAACAAGGAGCGGATCAGCCAATAAGTTATGGCCAAGTGTTCAGAATCTAAGACTTCCCAGCCTCTGCTGACCTCCTGATGCTTGCATAGACGGTAGACCCCTTCACCTGTCAAACGCGTAACCCCTTTCACTTCCCAACGCCACCGGCGCCCTCTGTAACACCGCCAACGAAGTCGATACCTTACCATAGCCTTGGAAATCGTAGGGTTATATGCTGGGAGGATAATGCACTCCTCAGGGGCTACGTAGACAAGGAAGCGACGATAAAGAACTGTGGGAATGCTAAGAGGGGACGGTAGTCGTTAGTAGGAAAGAGATGTATATTTAAAAAAAAAAATGCAGGCAGGATACGATGCATAGGAAACCCCGGAGTGGCTGCATCGCGTAGCCTTGCGGCCGCATCTTGTCGGAGGTCTGACAGTCCCTTGTAAGGGCCTTAAGCTTGGAATACAGTCAGGGATAATGGATATGCGAAGGGGAACAAGTTACTCTATTGTCGTTAGTTGAGCACGTCTCATACACTCCGCGGCGCGGGGCTGGAATACTAATATGCCTCTGAGTACTAGTAGATGACACCGTCTGAGGCGGCGTAGCGAATTTTCACGTTTTTCTAAACGATCACCTCAAGGCTCATGAAAATGCATTAAAGGGCCTCAAACAGTAGCGTTCAGGTTTATACGGACTTGAGTCCGACAGTTGTATTGAAGTATTAGGGTAGTACACTAAAGAACTCCGCCCATGCCACCCAGGCCGGAAAACCTTCACGTCTCTGAACCCGATCCCCTCAGCCTTCCCAAGAAGCACCTAGTTCAACGACACCTCGTTGAGCGCTTCAAGGATCTCCTCAAGACGGGCTTTGACATAAGCCACAACAATCGGCTTAGTAGAGACCCCTGCACAGCTCTCGAGAGTGTATGGCGGAGCGATAAATACCGTGTCGTCGACGACGATGATCTCGCCGCTCCACTCGCAGGGCATCCACTTGCACATCTCTAGGAAGACATAAACCCCAACAATGACGACCGACCTAGTGGGCTCTGCAACGAACGACCCAGTGGGCTCTGCAACGAACGACCCAGTGGGCTCTGCGACGAAAGACCCAGTGGGCTCTGCAACGAACGACTCAGTGGGCTCTGCAACGAACGATTCAGTGGGCTCTGCAACGAAGGACCCAGTGCGCTCTGCTTCTGTGTCTGTAGGTGCTTCATCCATTTTGGTGATAATCCCGCGCAGCACCATAACTCTTACCCACTGCGACTCAGGTAGCATGTTGAGTTCTGCGTTGGAAATGTCAAGAAGGATAGCCTTATCTTCGGGGCTCAAGGTGTAAGCTTTCTGCAGAAGCGCCACGGTGTTGACGGACACGGAATGGTGGTCTTGTTCTGGGTCCGTCTTGCTTTCGGTCGTTGGCTGTCCCGCATTCTGATCACGGCTAGCGAGGAGTTTTCGAGTCATGTTGATGAAGTTCTTGGCCATCAGCAGCTTGCCGTGGAAGAGCGCCTGAATGTGTTGGTGCTGCTTGAGATTCTGGAGTTGCATCTCTGAGACCTTGAGGGCGGCCGCAGCATGCTGGGCCAGCTTCGACGCCATCAAATGGACTTCATTCTCGTTCCGCGGCGATCCGTCATTCCTGCCCTTGTCCTGGCGCATGATCTTGTCATATCGTATGAATTCGCTGATCGCGGGACCGCCGACATGCTTGATAGTGACCGCCGCGTTGCGTTGTTCAGGGCGAAGAGCTAGAAGGTCCGACTGCTCCATGGCCAGTATCTTATTGAGCGTATCCATCTCGTCTTGTCCTAGCGCGGTGTGGAAGGGAGTAAACGGGACCACCATGGAAGTGAGAAGCGCAGGTCCTCTCTCTCGGGGCTTGCTGAACTCGTCGCGTATATGCATGACCGCGGCGCGAAGAAGTTCCAAAATTCGTGATCTATCGGCCAAGCCGTGATTTCGGTCGAAAAGAGTCCGCAGTTGAGCATACTCCGCGTCCAAGGGAGTGAGGACGTATTCACCCCACATTTTGAGCTCCATCGACGCCGGTCGAAGGTGTTCAGGAACGTTGTTGGGGAAGTATTCGTCAAGATGCCTCACAGTCTCTGAAAACTTCATGCTTGCGAATTGCCGAATCGCGATCTCTACTGCCTCCCTATTCGTGAGAACTTGGTGATTCTCAGACTCGCCTGGTGTGGTTGTGTTGTTGATGGCGCTCGCCGTGGGCGCCGAAGCCTCTGTGTTTACCGGCATTGCTGACGCAACCTCACGGGACTCGAGTTCTGCGGCCAAGGCAGAGTGGTCGACCTCAAAGGTGGATAGACGAAGGCCACTGGAAATGTCGAGGCCACGATTGTTTGTTGAAGCACTAGCTTGTCCACCAGAGGGAGAGCCTACTACCGCACGTGCCGTATCCATATCGGGGTCAGATTCTCCGGCCGCCGAGCGAAGTGATTGGTCCATTTCGCCAAAGAGGTTTCCTAGACGTACGCAAGGCGAGCCTGTTTCAAGAAACGTCGACGAGGCCGTATGATTTTCCGAACCTGACGACTCACGACCCGCTGAGGATTGATATGGTGGTAACAGTGGGGGCCTTGGCGTGGAGTTGACCAGGGTGGGGCTCGAAACCTGGCTTGAAGGGCTTGAATCCGGAGGATTTGGACCAGGAGGGCTTGAACCAGGGGGGCTTGAAACAGGAGGGCTTGAACCAGGAGGGCTTGAACTAGGAAGCGAATCTAGGTCGTGCAAGAGGCGGTTGGTAAGGGGAACGTAGTTTGTCGGGGGAAAGAAGATCGGAGGGCTTGAACCAGGAGGATATTGTCGGAATAAGAGGGGGGTCTGGCCACCGAGTGGAAATAAGAGGGGGGTTTGGGCACCGCTATGTGGACTCCGATTGAAGAGTGGAGATCTTGAGCCTGGGGGTCGCGAAGATTGCGGAGTGCCAAATTGGCTTTCGGTGGTAGAACCACCAGAACCCTCTTCGGGAGTATGATTTCTGGCAGTGTTGCCAACAGCTTCTCCCCGCGTCGTGATGTCTTCTGGACTTGTTGCTAATCGAAGGGGGCTCGGGGTTACCGGTGCGTTTGTTGACCCAGCTGAAGTTCGCTTTGAACGACGCGCCGTTCTCGCTGAACCCATAGCTAATCAGCAAACTGAGTAGACGTTGCGTGAGGCAGTTGCAATGATGACGGGCAATGAGTATGGTCAAAGTGTCAAGTTGGTGGAGCCTGTTGAGATTTCTGGAAGGAAGACGTGGATAGTGGAGGGCGATGTTGATGGAAGGGATCAAAGTCAGCTCATGGAGCGGCTTAAAAAGGCATTCTTTGCATGCCTACCGGTGAATGTAGGCAAGTGGACTTACATTATAGGTTTTTGCTAACAAGAAAATTCACCAAAGGTGATTATGTGATGAGAGAAAGGGGCTTGCATACGAGACTAGATAAAGGAAAAACGCTACCATAGCTACCTTCTATATAAGATACTCACACAAAGAGTCACGAAGAAATTGCTCGCAAAGCGTGGAAAACTTCTAGTTTGCTTCCGGCTGTATACTGACACTTCAAACTGAAGCAACACTACTGACTGACTGCGAACTTACTTGAACACGTGAACCACCTCATGCATATGCAAGAAGACTAAATCGAGACGTAAAGGTTTTGTGATCTTCAATCGGGTCTTGATCAATGCTACCCTACTGAAAGTCTTTCGGGATATCGGAGAGTAGCAAAAGACATCAAACCATTTAGCCAGCCAACTGTTTACCCAAGAAGAAATGAACTCCACTTATCTATCTGCCCCTATTGCGAACGCTCTGGTAATAACAAGATCTAAACATCATCGCCGAAGCATCGCGAGCTCCCCTACTCCTCAAGACCCTTACAGATCTTGTCTAGGTGAGGCTTACCCCTCGCCAACTCGTCATATTTCCCAGAGACCACACCGCAGTCCTAGACACTGTAGGTGGAGCAATAAACACGGTGTTGTCAACGACGATCGTCTTCTTACTCTATTCGCACGGCAGGTAGGTGGCCATCGCGTCGAATGCAACTTGGCTGCGTGGTTCTGACAGTGGCAGCTTGGGGGCCCTTCGACAACTGGCGATTTTGCCATCAATGCTGACACAAGACCACGGAGGAACACCGCCTCGGTCCACTCCTGTTCAGGCAAGATAATGAGCTCTGGATGGACTAACTGTTCAGGCGAGGTGTGAATATCGCTCACAGACTTCGATAACGGCGTAGCCTTTCCTCTAGCGACATCTCAAAAGTCTATCTTGAGAGGTCCAGGGTGTCCACGGCTTCTTAGGCTTCCTCTAGCCGTTCAGGCTCCACGCCGTCCTCCAGTGGAAAGAATCTCAATGAGGCCCAGTCGCAGCGGGCCATCCTGAATATGAGGGGGCCGACGGTTTTAGCACGCTTGGCGTGCGAACTTTTAGACATTTCTTCTCGCCACTGCTCGTCACGACGTACCATTAGCAGGCAATATGCTGAGAGATTGCATACGACCTAGAGTGGGTCGGTCTGCCATCCAAGAATTGGTCGGTTTCTAATTTTGGAGCCGTAAGATTGTTCAGACCAAAGTCCCTCAGATCATAATCGTACGGGCGCAGGGCTATTTGGACAATGCTGTTCCAGATCCCGGTCCTGGTGCACTGCCTAGTTTCGTCGGTATCATGATGTTTAGGCGATGATGGGGCCGGAGCAGCATGGTCGCGCATCAAATCTCGAGCTCGTGATGCCACAATCATGGTAGCTCGCGCCCTGATATCTTGTCGGTCATGAATAGAAACCTGTCGTTCAGGATACTCAGGCAGCATCTTTCCGCTGCCGAGGGCATGGTCGATGTATTCTGCTGGCTTTGAGGACAAGATCTCTTTTTGCTCTGTGGAAAGCAGCGTCGACATACTGTGAGCGTCGAGCATTGCCGGCGTTGCCATTAGCGTAGCCACTTGTGTCGGAGTCGTTGAGCTGGCTGAAGCTGTATTTGATGTCCCCGCCCTCTCTCGACTCTTTTGGAAGACCGGTTGACGAGGAATGAGCATAATAGCCACTGCATTTAGTGTTGGCATATAGGGCAGCTCCTGTCCATTACGACGTGCTGTGCTGTCTGGAATCGTCTTTGAAGTATGGCCAGGAGCTAGATCCATGGCTGGAGTACTCGTCTGCCGGAGGGTTGTGACGTTATTAGCGGTGCTTGTGGACTGCATCTGTTTCGAACGATGGGTTCGTGGTACTGCGGTCGTGCTGATAGAGACGTAACTGTGATACCAAAAGACTGCAAATAGTGGACGCGTTGACTTGCTGGAAGCAATCGAGGTCGCTAGACAAGGGTGGTACACAGGTGTAGCGATTGATGTCGACGAAAGAAAGAGTCCCCGACATCGAAAAGCACAGCTTTGGTAAAAGCTGTCTGTAGACCTGCCAGTGAATCACAACAGGGAGGCAGACGCACGCGGCGGCATTGATGAATGTGCCGGCGAATGCCGAGACCGCAAAGATGGCGGCGTCTATCTGGCTGCTGATCTCCTCCATGTGGCGGTCTAGCGCTGGAAACTTGCAATTCGGATCCACTGGTATTAGATCGGCCCAGGGCAGGGGCGTGAAGTTGTCTATAGCCTACTTTGACCGGAGTTCTTCGGGCTGCTGGCGCTTGGGACGAGCACTAGCACGTTGCTTCTTGGTGACTACTTGCCAATCCGACATGTTGCATCAATGAACCTAAGTACACGACGAGGTGATGAATTAGACATTCTGTATATATAGACAAGTGATAGGTCAGTATGGATCTACATCACTATATATGATGCAATGATAACAGTCCAGATGGTAAGTGGAATGTAAACTCCATCAAGGCGGAATCCGAGTGACCTTTCGAAACTCATGAATAAACGGTTCGTTGATTGCGACAACTCAAGAGGCAGTATCTGCATGCCAAGAGGTAATGACGGCGGTCGCGAAGTGGCGTATAGGAGGCCACCACGGAGGACTGTGATAAGGAGTCAAGTAGTATCGCCATTTCGCTTGGGAATTAAACGGCGCTCTGATTGTTGCCGTCCTTGTCAACGGACTCAAACCGGTTGTGCTTCGGAGTTCCGAATTTGTTCTTCATACGCATTACCAGTTAGTCTATAGGCATCAAGAGCGGGTGATTGCTTGAGGCAATTGCTATTTGTTCGATGTGCAAAGATCAGACCAACAACTATCACTGTTGCGGAGGACGTACCTAATAATGAGTAATGGCACTCCGTTCCATAGCCTTATCCCTTGGAAGATTCAGGCTGGACCTCCTGCATGTGGCTGACGAGTCTGTGAGACGTATTGGTTCTTTTAGGGGTGGTCTGGCGAACGGCAGCTCGTTGAGATCTGTGCCTCCAAGGAAGAACTGCCTTTCGGATGTCCAGTTAGGTTTGCTTGATTGCTGAGGCTTGGTGATAGGGGTTGTTGGAGCCATCTTGGGCGTTTTTGGAGGGTACTGAAATTGTTTGAGAGTAGGCGTAATTGTTCAAGCTGATAATGGTCTTTTGAATCTAACAGAGGAGAGTTGACGATGTTTCTGAGCGGTAGAGGATGAAGTAAACGTCGAGTGACATGGCTTTAAATACCTGTACGCTGTTCAAGGTTCTGGTAGCATTTCGTCATCGCTTATCTATGAATGCATCTAGATCCGCGTGCGAGTCACTAGCACGACAAAACTAAAGTATGCGAAAAAGCGAGAAAACTCCGAGTATCGATGGGTCTCAGAAAGAATAACCGTGAGTATAGGAACCTTGGAACCTCTCGTGACCATAAACCTTGGTAGTCGAGACTATCCGCCAAACCCGCGTGACTCCGAAAGACGTAACTCCAACAGTTTGACAATAGCCAACAACGCTCTTACGCCATAACATAACCCACCTAAGCAGAAGCACTCCATAGCCCATTGCCCTTCTTGGTCTCTTCCAAGGCCGTCAACTCGCCCGCTGCGATATCATAGATCAAGCCGTGGAGGGAGAGGCCACGGTCCCTAATGGCCTTATTTACGGTTGGTATTTGCCGGAGGACTTCGAGGGAGTGCTGCACGTTGAGTTCGGCTAGCTTATTGCCTCGGGCATCGTCACTAGGCAGCGTGTCCAGCAGTGCCTTGTTCCTCCGCCGTATCTCTCTTATTGGCAGCAGCCATGTGTTGAGCGCCTCACCCAAGTCGGCGTCTCCCAGCGCCGCATTCGCACCTCCACACATGGTATGGCCGCAGACGACGATCTTCTTGACTTTCAGGTGGGTAGTGGCATACTCGATGACACTGGAGGCATTGAGGTCCTGGGCATGGAGGCAGTTGGCGATGTTGCGGTGGACGAAGATATCGCCAGGCTGGCAGTCGCAGATGGTGGTTTCGGGCACACGACTGTCGGCACAGCCAATCCACAGAATCTCGGGACTCTGGCCATGAGCAAGGGTCTTGAAGAATTCGGGGTCCCGCTCGGCCGTCTTCTTTGCGTATGTTCTATTGCCGGCAACGACACGGTCGAGCGCGTCTAAAAATCAGGTGAGAATCCCAGGTCAGCCTGTCCCTGCTACATTTAAACTGGGGGCCCCTCGGGCACCGTTTCTTTAGAGGCTCGGCGATTGCGCATCTGTATTGGCGGAGGATCATCCAAAGCTTCTCGTACGATGCCATGTCCCCAGCGTAGGGTGCGCACTCGACGATGGTGATGTTGAAAGAGAGGCCGCACTCACCCTGAGAAACAACCATTCCGCACCGTCAGCGCACGAGTCAAGGGTTCCGATGAGAGGCGGTGGTCCCGCTGCTGGGATATCGTCCTTCCGAGGCCGGCCACGAGGTTTGAAGCTCTGAGAAGTATAGAAATAGTCCGCGTAGGGATGAAGGAAGCAGTGAGGGCGTATGTAGGGGTCTAGGTTTCTCCGGCTGACTTTGTGCGCGGCTTCAAAGGGGCTTTTGTATGCATCCTGAGACGCATGCAGCCCCACGGCTGATAGACCCTGGATGATACTGCATCGTTACTCCCCGTGCTCCCCCACAACTGCAAGTGTACATATGGACTATGCCGCCCCTCGCACGATGCCGCCCCTCGCACGATGCCGCCCGCTGCTCCCAGGACTCCCTTATCACTGACCGCTTGCTGCGCTGGCAGGGTCACTAAGTCTCTGTCTTACGGACCAGCTCGGGACATAGAATATGCCTCAGCGCCAATTAAAAAGCAAACCACTCTCGCGAGATTCTCGTGCCACCACAAAAGAGTTTGCCGCTCCCGCTTACAACCGCTGCACTCGCTAGCGACATATCCGAAGCAACCTCGTGGACTTCCTCGTCGAGCCTAGTCTACTGACTGCGAAGCTTCGTTGTTTTCCTATCTTGACACAGATGGCGTGGGGTCAGGGAGTTCGATCACCATTTGGAATTCGTCCAATTGACTTTGCGGGGGTCAATTTAGTTCGATGTAGCCATCGTCTTCGAGCCTCGAGCTTAATTAACTAATCGAGTGCCCGTCTCACTCTTGTTACGCCTTGAACAGCGTCGTATTTCGCCATTGACCCAATCACATTAGCCGCAACCATCCAATCAGATGGACAGGAGTAACACGCATACCACCTGCACGCAGATTAATGCTGGAGTAGATCTCTAAGCACGAAAAGTCAAAACAAGCAGCGCTCCACATGGCACAGAGCAACAATCAGGCCATGTTTTCAACGCCGGATAGACTTGCTAGCTACGGCAGATCTGCCGCAGTAAAACGCTTGCGGGATCCGGCATGCTGGATTGGTCCACCTACATAGTCTTACCTGACAGTATACGTAGGTAGGATGGGAAAGCTTTCACCACTCCGTGCTTGGCCTGAATTGCCGGCCTGCCGGGTTTCCGGGCTGGTAACGTGGTGCGGGCCCTTCCGGTGTTTAATTTAGGTTTCTAGATTTAGTCCTACCACCAAGCTAGATCTCTCCGTGTGTGGCACCTGTCTCCATATCTCCGCCTGCAACTCTCCGCATCGCTTCGTGTGATTGTATTCTAGTCTTTTCTCGGTCTAACTAAATGAGGACGACTTGATGGGCCAGTCCGTGGCGGTCTGATCTCATTAGCTTGGGCAGTCACATGACCTCGGGAGCTATATTCAATGAAGCTAGAAGAGAGACACAGCTCTGTGGAGTCCATGGCAGCGATCGACGGTGTGCAAAGTATTCATAACTCGCAGCCTGACTTTTGATGGCAAACGGAAGCAGCCTCGAAGTATACAAGACCAGCTACGCGGTCACAAGATATGTAACTCGCAACTGTGTCCCGATGGCGCTCTCAGATGTTTTGTGGGTGCTCGCGTGCCTGGAAGTCGTGATCGCTTCTCAATCACATGCAAGACCAGCTCGAATAGAGGAGTGCGCGGCTTGTAGGCTCTGGTAGCAGTAGAAAGTCACCACGGCCCTCCTGCGGCAGTGAGGACAGGTTTCCCATTAACCAGGCGGTATCACAAACGTCATCTGGCAGGCTACGGACAGCATTTCCGCCGCCGTTTGTTGTCAGTAGCGCACTGTTTCACGTCATCGCAGCTCCTCACAAGCAAGTGCGTCCAGGCGTCCAGGCGTCCAGGTCAAAACTTGCCAGACGCAAAGCCACAACACAACCACACTGCGTCCTCCTCCTCCTCGTGCACTCCAACCACATCACGCCCTCTGCTCCCCTGATATCCTCACTTCTCGCTGCCAGCCACACCGCTGCCTGCTCTGCACCCCCTGTGCCACACCAATGTCTGAAGCACCGCACATCGAACTCAACACGAGCGACTTCCCCGACCTCGATCCATCTGCACCATCGAACCTGGACAGCTACAGCAACGGTACCAGCACTACTGCCAACGGAGGCAACACTGTAGAGAGCACCAAGAACAGCGTCGTGGACAGTAAGGTAGGCCGCCAAACGACGCCCGATCCTTGCCGAGACGCAGCTAACGCGGTGCATCGCAGTCTTATCTGCTCCTCCCACACGACCAACATTTTCCGATCCTGACCACCACAAAGCAGCACGATCAGCCATGGACTCCGTCGCCAGCCACCCGGCCACCCAGCAGGCCAAGGATACCATCAACAATGGTGAGGTATGTGCAACCCGCCCCGATGGAACGTACAAGACGCAGGCTAACCACTATCCCGAGCAGCGCCGCACAGCAACCACCTCCCCTCTAGACCATGGCACTGACTCCCGTAGGACCCATTGCGCAGAGCGTCAAGGCCGAGGGGACAAAGACGAAGAATGACCTCGCCGGGCTCGCCAACTCTCGCGTCACCCCGGAGCAGCCCGCTGCTACCGGCCAGCCTTTGACTCGTAGGCACCCTTTGTGAGCTTGCAAAGCATACCAGAATGGGCACTAACGTGGGACAGACTACCACTCCCTGTTCTATCGCCTCTTGAGCGTACGTATCCATATTGCACTCGCTCTGTGGACTTGCAAGCTAACAGCATCCAGTGGAAAAACCCCCGCGCGACTGCCATCGCTTTCGCAGCTTCCGTGCTGTTCATCTTTGCCGCCCGCTACATCAACATCCTCCGATACACCTTCAAGGGCATTTACATCGTTCTGGGTGGTACGTGCTTCCCAAAATACTCTGTCGATAATGGAGCTGACTTCTTAAAGTGAGCGCGGCTACCGAGATTGCCAGCAAGAGTGTGATTGGCAATGGCATCGTCTCTCAGAACCTGAGGCCGCGCAAGTACTTCATGATCCCAAAGGCTTCGCTCGAACGCGCTCTCGATGATGCTGAGCAGTTCATCAACTTCTTCGTTGTTGAGGCCCAGCGAATCATCTTCGCTGAAAATGTCTACGTTACCGTCGGGGTATGTCTTCAGATGGTATCAGTCCATTTTAAAAGATGAAGAACTAATTCTGTACCCGTAGGCTTTCTTCTCTGCCTTCATCTCCTACTTCTTGATCAAGTTCGTCCCACTCTGGGGTCTCTCACTCATCACCACCTCGGTTGCCTATCTCGCCCCGCTTGTTTACATCAAGAACAAAGACGCTATCAACGCCCAGCTTCAGCAGGCCAGCCATATTGCCAACCAGCAAGCCCAGCAGATCAAGGACCTTGCAGCCACCCACACCGGAAACGCCGCCAAGACCTTCCAGAGCTACGCCGGAGAGTACTCCCACAAGGCCCAGTCCACGATCAACCAATACCGCGGCCGGTCTACGTCCCCCGAGATCGTCAAGAAGGAGGACTTCCCCACCGCCCCCAAGGACACGCCAATCCCAACCACCGAGCACACAGCCCCGGCCCCGGTCGCCGAGCCCGCGTTCTAAATGCTGGACAAACAACAGGCTAGACCGTCTCTCTGGCCGATGACAGGCTTCTTGGAACGACAAACCTCTTGGTGCAAAAGACGACATTACCCCTCAAATACATAGCGATGTTCATAACCAACGACGCAGAGGGCCTCACGAACTCCCCGACACCCTCGGGCCTCGAGAGCCCCCTCAAACGAATGTAACGGCGTGTGCTTGCTCATGAATAAGCGGACTTTTTAGCAAACGTTGACGAGCGAACGGACGGATGGACTTACGGCGAATGCGTGCAGACTGCCTTTTGTTTTCCTCTTCACTTTCTTCCCTTTCCCCTGTTTCCCCTGTTGTCCCTGCAAGTCCCCGGATGCTCTTCTTGCGAATATGTTAGGAAAGGAACCGTGTACTATCTTCTCCTTAAAAGCGCCTCTTGAGCGCACGGTTTGGTCAATCCCGTCTTTTTCTCTCTTCTCATCGAGTTTTCCGATACTGGTCATGTTTATGCTTGTTGTCCTGGCATTGGGCGGATTCAAACATGATCGGTTTTGGAAAGCGGGGAAGGGAGTTCATGATGGGGGAGAGGAATGGACGGATGAGGCGGTTTGTTAGAGTGGGCGATGTTCTTTTTGGTCCTGGGCGGTATAATAATTCAGATGACTCCTTAGACTTTGTGTTCGATGTGTGGTGTTTTGTGATTGTGCACCCGTTCCACGCTAATGTTGGCACGTCGATTTCATATCACGCCTCTGCCTGCTCAAAGCACGCCAAAGACCAACAAACAGGAGCAAGCGAGCGTGCAAGAGTTATAGACTCAGATAGGATTTTCATTGGTTTTTTTTTTTTTTTTTCGTCTCCGTGCTGGACGACAGGCCAATACAGGTGTGGACTACTCCTCGCCATGCTCGAATCCATGAAGCTAGGCGGAAACCAAGGCCACCGCCGCCTCACTGTGCTAAGTGAACCGCCCACAGCCCACGTTTCCCAAAATGCTCCAAAGCCCACCTCCTCCAACATCATCGCTATTGGAGAGGCGGCACTCACTTATGCGGAATCCCCTCCTCCGGCACCGCCGTCACGCCCACAACCTCCGCGGCCGTCTTGGCATGATCACCGGGGAGATCCTTCATGAACGGGAACGTGAGCACCTCCTTGATGCTGTAATGGTCCGTGAGGAACATGACGATGCGGTCGATGCCCATGCCCCAGCCACCCGTGGGCGGGAGGCCGTACTCGAGCGACTGGCAGAAGGTCTCGTCGATGAGCTGGGCCTCGTCGTCGCCCTGGGCCTTCTGGTTGGCCTGCTCCTCGAAGCGCAGGCGCTGGTCGAAGGGGTCGTTCAGCTCGGTGTAGGCGTTGACGATTTCCTTCTTGCATACGAAGGCTTCGAAGCGCTCGCAGAGGCCGGGCGTGGAGCGGTGGTATTTGGCGAGGGGGGACATCATTTGCGGGTGGCCGGTTATGAAGGTGGGGTTTATGCATTTTTCCTCTGGGAAGGGGGGTTAGGGTGGAGAGGGGGGAGGAGGGGGAAGACACGCACCAATGAATTCGCCTACGAGCTTGTCGATCATTCGGGCGTTGGTGAGAGGTGAACTGCATTCTACCTTGACCTTCTTCAGCACACCTATATGATTGTTAGCTTTGGATAGGATTGGAAAGACATGAGAGTCATACGCTTGAGGAACTCGTTCGTCTCCTGCGTATGAAGCTGGTCTCCTGGTGGGAACGTCTCTCCAGTAGCCTCTTCCAGTGCGGGTATCATCTCTATCCTCTTCCACGGCTTGGCCCAGTTGACCTCGTACTCCTCTCCGTGCTGGGTGTGGTACTTGGTCGTGTAGCTTCCAGTTACTGACTTGACCATCTCCGAGACCAGATCCTCAGTAATCTCAATTAGATCATAGTAGTCTGCGAAAGCCTGGTAGAATTCGCAGGTGGTAAATTCAGGGTTGTGGGTCAGATCGATACCCTCGTTCCTGAATTGCCTACCGATTTCGTACACTCGCTCCAGGCCACCGACGACCAGCATCTTGAGATACAGCTCTGGCGCAACTCGCATGTACAGGTCCATGTTTAGATCGTTGTGGAAGGTTTTGAAGGGCTTGGCTGTAGCGCCACCTGCGATCTTGTTCATCATCGGGGTCTGGACCTCGAGGAAATCCCGGGCATCGAAGAAGCTTCGAACGTATTTGACAATCTTAGTTCGCGTGACAAAGGTATTCCGTGTGGCGTCATTGATCATCAAGTCCAAGAATTTCTGGCGATGACGCTGCTCTTGATCCTTGAAGCCATAGTAGTCCGTCGGGAGTTGGTGGAGGCATGGGGTGAGGAGCGTGACGGATTGGGCGAAGATTGATAGCTCGCCCTCTTCCTTCTTGTCCGGCTTCGTACGGCCAGGGAAGCTTTTGGAAATGTCAGCTATCAGTTCCTTTGTTTTGGGGCTGAGCTGCCATACCCAACTATGCCAATCCAGTCTCCTCTTCTCAGAGGCTCGTGCTGGTCTGCCCCAAAGTGTTAGACTACCAGAAGCCAACTATCCTCCGAGACAGGTACATACCAATGAAGGGGACATCTCCAGTAGCATACTGGGCCTGGCACATGACTTGGACTCGTGTTCCTTCTGCCTTAACATCGTAGAAGCGGAGCTTGTTGCCCGAGGACCGCATGGTCAATATCCTAGCGCCAATCCGAATAGGCACATCCTCCTTGGTCTCGCCAGTCTTGAGATTAGAGTAATTCTCAATGAACTTCGGGATACTGGTATTGACGAGGAACTTGTGTGGGTATGGGTTTGGCTCCTTGGTCTCGCGGAGCTTCTGGACTTGTCGGGATCGAATCTCGAAGTATTGCTGCGTCTCGAGTTAGTGAGGTGTTTCTATACGTGCCAGTACACTGAGACAATAGGAACAGAGAATCAAACAAACAATGCCATACATTCGGATTCAAATCAGAGTTGTCCAACTCATTCGCCGCCTTCTTCGGCTTCGGGGGCGCCTTAGCAGCCTTCTCAGCCTTCTTAGCCTCAGTCGCGCGCTGCTTCTGACGTCTCTTAACTATTCAACTATCAGCCTCTATTCCTCTCCAGCAATTGATCGAATATAAATGAAACCCACGCTCAGACTTGGAGATCATCTCGCCAGTGACATCGTCCTTGTGCAGATTGTCTGCGCCCTCGGCGGCAGGGCGCGAGGGCAAGTCAGTGCTTGCACCCTGCTCGGAAGCCATGATTGCGTTGTGTGTGGAGGTGAGACGGCACGGTGCTGTTGTGACTGTTGTCTGAATTTATGAGCCCCGCGGGAGTGCGTTTGTCGACTCATCACCAGCAATGTTTTTAGCCCCCCTGCCCCGCCATTGGCTTGGCGCGGGCTATCGATAAATTGTGGTACATACACGTGATATCTCAAATTGATTTATATGAACCTAGAAAGAAGAGAGGAAGACAATTTGAGATTCAGATGAGGTGCACGGTGCCTGCTGGTCCTAGTGTGCGTATCAAAAGGCTCACTTGATTGAAGGGCATGGTGTTTACTTGCGAGCACGCAATTGATTTCTACTAGACTATGATGGAGTGTGGTCTTTAACGAGGACTACTTTTCCAGTTGCCCCAAGAGCAATATGCCCCCAGAACGCCCATACTCCAAGACACGATGCAGAGATTTGACGCTTCCGCAGCATCCATCTAGACCGACGAACCTCCTCCGAGAAGCGTCCAACCGAAGAGTGGTATGTAAGAAACCGAGTCCATCCACTGCAACGATCTAGCAGCCGTTCGGTCTCCTCAACGTCTATCCAAGTCCCTGATTGTGCAAGCCTGTAACTGCTCCCGCCATAGAGCCCGTAGCGTGCCCGACGAGCCTAAAAAGAAAGCGGATTAGTACATAGCAGCGACCTAGTAGTCACTGCCCTCGACACCAAGCTTACCCTCGGTCTTCTCGATATACTCAACCAAATCCTCGATGGTGCAAACCTTGAGTCCCCACTTCTTGCCGAATGCTAAACACTCCTCGGTCCGCATCATCCCCCCACCCACCATCTCCGGCCTACCCGCAACCACCTCACCATCCGAGATCAGCTCGCAAATCGCCCCGACCTGCTGCTTCCCCGCCAGCCTGCACAGCTCCACCGCCGCCTCCGTATGCCCCCTCCGCACCCTCACGCCGCCATCGCGCGCCTGCAAGGGCAGTATATGGCCCGGTCTCCGGAAGTGTGTGTGGCTCATTGCGGGGTCTGCCAGCATGCGACACGTCTGCGCGCGATCCGACGCGCTGATGCCCGTGCTCATCTCTGGGCCTATCGCATCCACCGAAACGGTGTACGCGGTGCGATTTGGATCGGTGCTGTTCTCCACCATCTGCGGGAGGTGTAGCGCAGCGGCGCGGTTGACGGAGAGAGGAGCGCAGATGTAGCCAGACGTGTAGCGGATCATGAAAGCCATTTTCGCGGGCGTGAGGGCGGATGCGGCAATGATCAGGTCGCCTTCGTTTTCTCGGGAGGGCGAGTCGAGGACGACGACGAATTCGTCGCGCGCTGTGGGGAGTCAGTGCTTGGAAATGGAGGGGTGGCAAAGGCGGGCACACCGAATGCGGCTATGGTGTCTTCGATGGAGTCAAAAGCTCGGTGGGGGACAGGATTGGTGGTGCCATTGCCGTTGCTGGCATTGAGGATGCTGTTGATGGTGTTGCTGTTGACGCCATTTTGCGCCGCCGCAGAGGCAGACGCGTTCGTGGGGCCAGGCATGAAGACGTGAACTCGAGGGTCTAGAGAAGAACGGTCCGACTGATTGAGGTCTTTAGCATATAAAGCTTTTGTCCTGATCTCGGTGGTGACTTGTAGAAGACTGTGTTGACGCTTAGCAACAGTTGGCCAATAAGTTTGTAAGCGGCAGCAACGCTGAAGAAAACCCCGCCGTTGTCGGCGTCTCGGGATAGAAAGTTAGTTGAGGGAGCGAGTGCGGATCCGCGCGGGACGCAGGGCGGCTTTTAGTACTATTTACACATACCGATGGTGGAAGACGCCTCGGTGTGTGGTGGAGAAAAACAAGCCGCCACGAGACCTGCCTGTCGTCGTCTGGTCATGCATCCAGGGCCTGGCCGGTGGTGCGTTGAGTCGAGTGGACTCGGAATAGTGGCGGCCCACACTCCCGAGGTACGAAGTACGGCAGACAAACATCCACCCTTGCACTCGGGACGCCGACTCGTGGGTGTGCTCAACGTCCCTTGGTGCCGCCCCCTACCCCACAAACACTTCATCGTCCTAGGACGGAACGGCCACCGATGGCTTGAGACACCAGCCGCCGTTGATTATCACACGCTGCAACTGTTCCGCGCTCATCCATCGGCATTGACAAGCAACCGTCTCGCCCTTCATCGACGCCGGATCGCTGCCGATGTCCCGATGGCACTCTATCCTCAAAGACGACGATTGACACATGTGTTTCTTAATGATTCCATTACTTCTCGCTAAAGCACCTCGTATTACATGTTGTATCACAAGAGTCACGGGTTCTAACCAGAAAGAACACGAGAGACCTGGTATAAAACACGCCCAGGCCAAACCTCCTTCTATTGTTACACATACACCCATTCACAGCTAAGCGGCGGCATTGTTGTCTCGGTTGATAGTCTCTTTCTCATCGGTCATTCTATCTGGCGAGAAGTAAGCCGAAGCCCGATCCTCTTCAATGCCACTCCGTGGTATTAATCATCATGTATGAGACGATGCCAGCAATCAAGCCATGGGCAGTAACATGATTAAAGTGGTCAGGAACGCCGGAATGGCACCACCGATGCATCCCTAGTTGATATCTGCCGCGGCTTTGGTCATCAGAGATCCGACAATCACAAGCGTACAGCCTGGGGCTCATGGTGGAGCTGAGGCGAAGATAGGGGCGGAGAAGATGGAGATGAAGAACACAAGTCCGGCGACCATGGTGGCAAGACCGGTCTTGGGACCTTCCGAGATACCAGCACCACTCCCCATGTAGGCCGTGACGGAAGGGCCTCCAAGGAGACATCCGATGGAGATACCGATGGCTTCGATTATGTACGGCGCTTGCCCTCGAAATCCGGGGCCCTCTCATCGATAGCGCCAGCGAAGCGTACCATAGAGGACAGTGTGCCAGTAATGTCCAGCGTGTCGACATGGAGGAATGTGATGAAAGCAAGACTAAAGTGTCCTCTAAACTTGGAGATAGCTTGAGCATTAAGAGTCGTTTTGATCGGATGGAAGGAGACAAGCATCTAGCCTTCACAGCTAAGAATACAGACACTCATAACGTAAGTTCCATTCACGGTCGCGAGCATTTGACGACGTGTTCTGGGTGCAGTCATGCTTCGGAGCACCTGAAATAGTGTTAGACGAATGTCGAATATTCTACACTCTAGCTCTTCGTCAAAGCTTCAACACATTGTTATTAGCTCACAAGTGACATCTGCAACCACCAGCTTCACTATCCAATCACTCAGTCCTTCTTCTCCAACTTGTGCAATCGGACGTTCAATTCCCCAAAGCGTACTCTCCCACCATCCCCGCAAGGCTACATAGAGCCACATTAAAGCCGAAACATGTACCCCATCCATAGCCACGCCACGTGGGAAAAAACGCGATCCTTAATAGAAAACAAGGGGTAGAAGGAGTGACCTCCTCGTCCCCTAAACTACACCGCGGGCCGCGGACCGGTCGGTAAAGCTCAAGTTACCACTGAAGGAATGCTCGTCATGATCGCTTTAGACCTTGTCGTGGTTTCTGACGATGCTCTGAGGTACCTCGATGTTAGACGAATAGGCCAGCGGTCACGTTTTCGTTTGATCTTGTGCGTTAGTTGTAAGTAGTATTTGATTGCCCTTAGAGGGGTACACTGAAGTAGTAGATATTAGCCTACTTATCGCAATGCTACGTAGACACTGTGTCCATCCACCGCTACGCTACGTGCTAGAAAGCCCCGAACATTAGGAAAGTAGAGCATAAAGCCGCCGGGAAACCTGCGCAGAGTACCCCCCCCCCCCCCCCCCCCCCCCCCCTCCGAGCTCGAAAAGGGGCCAGGGATATCCACACTTCGGGCGGAACTTCCTATACGAGCACAAGAACTGTCAGATCCACTGTATCCCGTTCTATCTTGTCTCAAAAGTGGAAATTCGCCAGAGACAGGTGCAAGGAGTCAGCGGCCTCTTGTACATTATCCTCAAGATTGATGACCTTGCCGGTGGAAGGATGCTCGTAAGAGGTCAGGGAGGCCCACGGATTCTCGAAGAGGATCTGCTTTCCGTCGAATCGCACTATCCACGGGCTGGGGAGTTGGCCGACCGATCTGGGGTCCCAGTCGGTGCTCTCTTCGGTGACGAGATCGATGTACTTCTTCTTGTCCTTCCCGTAACCCCATCCTGGTGGGAGAGGTAGGCTGCTGATGGTAGAAGGAAAGTACGCAGTGGCTGGTGCGGCTGCTTGTGGTTGTGGGGCCGTTGAGAGAGACGCCAGTGCAGCTGTCGACGCCGGTTGAGGTACTTGCGGAGCTTGCTGGGTAGTGACCGTAGTTGGCTGAAGCTGGGAGACATCGCCTGGTGGTGCGGGAGCATTTGCTGACTGTGTTGAAGTCGTGGGAAGGGTTGCCGGTCCAGAGTTGTCTTCATCTGCAGATTCAGAGCCATCTTCATCCTCGGATTCCCAATCGCCTTCATCTGCGGAGTCGGAGTCGTCCTGGTCTGCGGGTTCAGCATCTTCTGGGTCTGTGGGTTCAGATTCGTCCTGATCTGTAGATCCAGGCTCGCTCTGCTCTGCGGGTTTCGGATGCTCATCGGTCGCTGAATGCTCCTCTAGCAAAGGCTTGGGTTTGTCGATAGTGAAGGCAGGCCCATCTGGTTGCATGGTGTAAGTAGCATGCTTGATCTTCCAGCCCCAATGCTCTTTCACTTTCTTGAAGTCCTCCCAGCCCATTTCTTTCTCATCGTCAAGGTCGGTGATCTCGCCGTACATTTTGTACCGCTTTGACTGCGTTGCGTGTCGCTTGATGAAAACCACGGTCCTCTCTACTTGGTTGCCTGCAGCTGTGGCAGCTGCGAACTGCTTCTTCTGCTCACCGGCTTCATAGCGTAGCATGAAATCTTTACGCTCAGAGCCAGTACTCATCAGGTATGAGTCAGTTCGTATTCTTATGGCATGAGGAACGAGCATAGTAAAATATCGGAGGGCTGGCAGCTTTCTAAGGATTCGGTCTCCTTCTAGAATTGCCTGTCCTTCTTCGTCCCAGGGCGATCCTATGATAGAGTAGTAACCAGCCACTCTAAGGCGCCTGTAGAATGCGTCTAGAGCAGACTCTCCTTCCTGCATGAACTCGTTCGCACTCTCTTTTAGCTTCCATGCAAGATGACCAGTCTCGGAGTACAAGCTGCTACATTGAACTGAAATGGCCGTGAGAAACTTGCACCCGGAGCCGATGTGCCGAAGGAATGCTGTCATTGGAACGAACGCCCTGTGACCGGAAAACTGAAAGGTGTTATGACCGTATAACATGCCAACAGTTTCCTGGTACACCTGCTTCGAGACACGAAGCAAATCGACGTTGATATTGGCTATGTCTTTCTGCAGGATCTCATCGCGGCTCTGGATAGCAGGTTTCGATTCCATGTTAGATAGACCGAGAGCTAGTCCATTCATGGGCCAAAGATCGAGAGGATGGTCGAGGACAAGAGCGAATTCGTAGATGCGATTGCGAAGCTCTCCGGGTAGATCCATGAAGCGGAAAGCGGACGCACTATCAATGTGTGCATCAAGGAGAACTCGGCCTGGAGAGAACCCGGACTTTACGCCACCCTGCATTGCTCCTCGCACGAAACCCTTCTCGGCGAGAAACTTCTCAGCTGCCGAAACATACTGTGTATCATACTGCTCGATGAGGTATTGGATCTGGCCATCCTTCGCCGACACCGCTGAGTTGAGAGCCTCAATCTTGGCGTTGGATACTTCAAGCTGAGTCTTGAGTGCCGTATGGTCAGCATCAAGGGCATCGTGTCTGGCCTGGAGCGCTTTGATGTCAGACTTGACTACCCCAAGCTCGCTCTCCAGTTCCTTCTTCTTGATCCTGACCATGTTGCATTGACTGATGGAAGTGTCAAGCTGGAAATTGACTGTCTTGTAGTCACTGTTGAGCACATCGTGCTTACGCTGTAGCAATTCGATGTCCGACTTGACCACCCCAAGCGCACTCTCTAGCTCTTCCTTTTTGACCTTTAGCGCCTCTCGCTCGGTGACAAAGAATTCTCCCTCGGCGTTCATAGCTTTCCGTTCTTCCTCGACAGCATCGTACGGTGGGGCTGCAGGCTCCAGCAATCGGTCATGAACGGGGCGGCCCTGAGGGAAGGCTCGCGCGATATGGACCAGGGCCGTCTGCATGACGTCGAGTGGCCTCGTGGTCTCTTGGCGAGGTGTTGCGAATACAAGGTGTGTTGACGGAGGGCGTGTTGATGGAGATTTTATTGATAGAAAATGTGTTGATGGAGATTGTGGAAATAGACGCGGATGGTGGGTGGCTTGGTTGATGTGAGGAGGTCCACGGTTGAGGTGAGTGATGGAACCAGAATTCAGGGTTAAGTGGATGGACCAGCAGAGCCGCCAGAGCCTCCTGTTCTAGACACGTAAGCAGGCTACTATCTGGTGAATCTGGACATCGTGTGCCTGAACGCTCTTTGAGAAGCGTGATTGGCTTGGTGGCTTCCCTCGCACGTGACGTAAATGTAGGTGAATGTGGGATAGCCACATCCTCCAACATATAAGACGATAGAGACAGTACCTTGTTCTAAGCTTGTTGACGGAGTCTCGGGAGCTCCTTGTTCTCTCAATCCTCGATAATCTGATACCGTCTCAGATAGTGTCTTTTAGTAGCTTACGTATTGCTACACTCGCATACGTCGCTAAATCCTTATCCTGTGGATTCACCTCACGTGCGTACTGGTCGTACCGTAGTATGTTTGCGCGGATGGTGCAGTAAAAATAGGGCTACCGTCCGAAGACATGTTAGCTAAGGTACTCCGTTTAGTGGCGTCTAGGTACCAAAAGAGAAACCCGAGTTTTCCTTGTGCCCAACGGGTACGTGGCTAGTCGGTCAAGAGGTAGTCTGATTCTATTGTTTTGACCTTGCTGTCGTAGTCGATGTTCTGAAGCCCCGTAGTGATACCCTAAGCAGTGATGAAGGTGGGCGCCTAGACTTTTGGCAAGAGACCCACGACGTGGCGAGAAAGTGTGCACGGACTGAAGTATCACTTTACCAAAGCAATACACGAGAAGAAGACAAGTTCATCAATGACCAAGAAAACATCCTGGGTTATTTTTGCTGCCTACTATGTACGGCTGTTGGCTATACAGTAACTTACTACCTAAGGACTTTGGCCATCTCAGGAAGAAGCCAAGCGAGCAGCCAATCCTTTCCACAAGCCCTGGTGTAAAAAGCACCCAAAAAGCACGCCAAAATGTACAACTTGGATTCGACCAAGTACACGCTTTCCAGGGGGCTTAATTAATCTATAAGCGGCCTTAGTAACGCCGCGTCGTGCCACCGTCCCTGTTCGTTGCGTGCTAATGCTGACCGTTTACGACAAGTCGAACCCAGCCCCGGAGAACACTGAGTAGAGAAGTTTCTCCTTCAGCACATTCTCGTCCTTGTATACGGGGAGCTTCAACAAATTGACGCAGGTACTAGTGCTCGGCAGTCTCTCCTCGTCACCGCCCCCATCTCGAATACTGAACGGTGGACGGAGCGTGCTAAAGCCTAGCAGAGGTGATCGTGGGGTTGAGGTGACGAACTTCAGCACTGCGCGTCGTTCTCCGTCATCGAATTTCTCCATGACACGCCAGAAGAGCTCGATGGTTGGGTGATCGCGACCGTCATCGCCACGCTGATAGACCCCACCGTAGATCGTATTGCGGCGAAGGTCGTCCAAATCGATGGAAGTCGAGGTACCGCCGACTAGGGTCTGTAGTTCGCTGTGATTGAACATGCTAAGCCACGACGGGTTTATCATGGTTGAAAGACCACGGAGGAAGGCGTTTGTTTGCATAGCGGGTTCGTTCTGAAGGCGGTGACGAGCCACGTATGATATGTAAACCAGGCGATTGCGGTTTGTGACGGGTATATTGGAGCCATCAGGTTTCAATTCCCTCGTAACAGTTTTCGTAGCACCGTTGTGATGGTCTCTCTTGACAGTGTCTGTCACGGTAAAGTTGAGAGAGAAGTCCTCGACGTCCCCTGTGTAGTTCTTGAGTTGATGCTGCACAGCAGGTTAGTAATATTTCTATATAGAAATGGGCCATGACTTACAAGTCCATCATAAAGTTCCTCGTCCAGGTCACGAAGGTCATTGAGAGTCGCGCGATACCCCGATTCGTTCGGGGCAGAACCAGATCCGCCCGTCAGGGCCCACTTTCGCAGGAAGAATGGCGCAAAATTCACATCGACCAGAATGCCTTCATAGAGACACTTTCCAATGATGCGACCCATAAACTCGTAACGCTGTAGGAGGTTCAAGACTGCTAGGCGAAAATCGATTGATGTGTCGTCCAAACCTGCTTCGCGAAGAAGCTCTTTCTGCTCTTGGACAGCCGAAGGATTGGGATAGAGGAGATGTTGGTTATTGTCGATAAAGAGATCTATTCCGTCAGAAGGATTAAAAGCCTTCTGAGTGACGCTTGTCAGGAACTCTTTGGTAACACCACCGCCATCAATACCAGCTTCCGCGGCACCGAATTGATCGACAAACGTAATCTGAATGGGTTCTTTCAGGCCCTCGCCTAGAGAATAGAATTGAGCGAATGCATCATCAAATTCATTCCCACGATGGATCTTTGCGTGATGTTTTTCGAACTGTTGCGGCGCATCTGGGCGGTTCATCATCAGGACGCGCCACGTTTCTGCATCGGCACTTCCTCTACGTTTGGTCTATATTTTCGTTAGCATATGCAATAAATAACGAGAGAATCGGAGAGGCTGACCATGTTTAAAGAAACAAATTCCCGGAAGATCTGAACTCGGGTGGTGAAGGGGATGAGAAATGGCATGTTCTGCAGAATCTCTAATCGAGGTGCAACAGCCTGAAGATACCTCCTTCGAGAGGCTTTACGCTGTTGTCGCTGCAGTCGCTCTAAGCGTCGGGCTTGTTGTGCACGGCTTGTGCCAATGAGATGGTTTGTGTCCTCTAGCTCATCCTCGCCATCATCCTGAATCGCATCTTCCGCGTCCTCTTCTTCAATTCTGTGACGACTCTCTTCTTCCTCAACTACAGTTGGAATAAAACCCGTCATGTCAAGTCTCGATGCCATCAGCCAATGATCCGCAGGCAGGAAACTTCGCCGCGAATCTCGTTCGTACACCATGCGAAGGAGACCAGTCACCAGACCCTTTACGTAGTCAATGGTGAGGCCAGCCACGCCTCCTACGGACGGCTCTACTGCTTTCATTGTTTGTTGCAACTGTTCGGAAATCTGTGCAGCATTGTTGGAGAAGTGAAACGAGACGGATCGGGTTGAGTCCTGGTCCTCTGATTCGACAATGTCAGCCGCGTTGAAGTACAATGTGAACCCTAAGTTCTTGAGGAACGTCGTGAGGTCTTTGACTTCTGTGAGCGGTAAAGCGTTGTCTCGAGTCATTGACGAGGCAGATGCACGACTCGTGTATCCGGTGTTGTGTCCAGAGAAGAACTCTTCATCATCCATGACCTTGAGAACAAACGTGTAGAGTTCTAGGAACACCAGAATTACCCTCCATTCATCACTGGTCTGGGCCGAGGGCGACAGGTCGGAATTTGGCGCCTGCCAACCATACTCTGTCCCTGAGGGCTTTGCTTTCAGCAGTTGAATAGCTGCTCGTGAGTCTCGAATGATAGAGCCAAATATGCTGGATCTCTTCGTAGCCTCCCAAAAGTATTTAATCGCTGGCAAGGTCTGTGAAGAACCTTCCGCGCTGGAAGGTGAGGGGCCTAAGTAAAGCCACATCCGAATGTCATCACCTCTACGAGGGAAGAACCGAAGAAGCGAAAGCGCATAGTTCGCGAGTTGTCGAGCCTCCTCTACTTTCTCATCATGGGATGACGCTGGCGCCGAAGATGAGTTTGATAACAAGCTTCCGACGCTCTCTTGATTTACTAGCGAAAGAATCTGTTCTTGTAGGAAAGGATTCATGGCAAAATGCGGGCCTGGTTGCTCCAAATCTTCTGGCTGATCAGGGTCGCGAGTTTGTCCCTCTACGATTTCTGTGGGCAGAGAATTCAGCAAGGCGGATACAACAGAGACAAAGTCTTTCTGCGAAGAGTACGCTTGAGGATTATTGAAATTGTGAGCATGTCGGTGGAAGTAAATGAAACATCCCAGGAGCCGAATCCGGCCTGAGGTTTCTGTGAGCTCCGGATATGCTCCCAAGCCGGCTGTATTGATCATAGTGCTAAGCGCGCTGGCCAGTAGTTTGTAGTTGATAGAGTCTGCGAGCCAACCTAATGGCCTGTGTATTCGATCCATGTCATCTGTCTCAGTGAGAATGGGTGTAGTAAGGAATGAGGCGCCAAACGCTTCGTATGCATTGAGGGTATATGCTGCCAAAGTTGTCAGTGGAGCCACCGCCGCCTCTGTGATGAGAGCAAAAGGCGGTAAATCGTCCCCGGGAACCTTTTCCACGTGCTTATCCGCCGCCACCGTGTCCATGGAACTGTTTTGGGCAACCGCTGCAAGAGTACTGTAGAAGTGTTTCGCATTCTGAGCCGTTTGCGCGGGTATTCGCTCAGCAAGGAACCGCAAGATCGCGACTAGGCCTCTGCAGCTTCCCCATCGAGTATCGTGGGGTTTGCAGCGTCGGTCCAATATAGCCAGAACCAATTTCTGAAGCCTGAGATACGCCAAAGGCCATGGACCACCAGAGCAGTCAATTCCTTGGACTTGGAAGGTCTGAATTTGACGGGCGCCGAAATGCCGTACGCGCCGAATATCCTCCTCGTTTCGTGTCTGCACGAAATTGAGAAGCCGCTGCAATTGTCCGAGAGCCTCAGCCTCCGAGGCGTACGGCTGTGGTTGCTCGACAGAATCCTCTATGACATCCCATTGCTGTAGTAGTTCTTTGCGAATGCCTTGTCGGGTCGAATGCCCCCTCCATGCTCGTTGTAGAAGCTTAGCCGCTCGTAACCTGTCTCGCTCTCGTTGGCGCTGTTGTCGTTCTTGTTGAGCGCGATCCAAGGCGGCTTGCGATCCAGATCCAGAGCCAATGTTTCCAAAGCCGCTGGATCCGCGGCCGGAGAGGTTCACTTGGCGGGGCCGCCGCGTGCTTCCGCTGAAGGTCGTGAACATGCTGGACTAGAGAGCGGTGTTAGTTTGAGTACAAAGACAGGAAGGCTGTGGTTGAAAGCAACGTACGGAGTAGCGGGAGCTGCAGGGTGATCACTGCACCGCCCTGGATATTAGGCAGGCTCGTGGCGGTGATGAAGGATCGAGGAAAGTAGACCGGTTGAACAGTATCGACGGAGATGTACTGCTGTAGAGCTACCGGGCCGATAATGGCAATGAAGTCGAGCTTCAAAGACGAGACATGTAAAGGCAGAGAAGCAGAGCCTATGCGGCCCTCGCGTCGACGGCTCCGACGATGCGTGGAGGAAACAAACCAAGGGTAGAGGGAGTGATATCTTCGAGAGCCTTCTCTCCGTTGTTGTCAGTCATTGTCATCCACGCCGCCACCAACTGCCCGCCAACCAAACACCCCGGTCGGGTCGGTCCGAGTTAATCCGGCCAGGCACCCCTCCTTACCACTCCTCACAACACCCCTCAGTAGTAGCTAATACATTGCGGGCTTCTTGCATGCACCGCTCTATTCACAACTGGGCAATATGGTACTCTCTGAGGTAGCCAGTCGAACCTACAGCTGGTTCAACACCATCGAGACAGGTACATGCAGACTCCTTAGATGTATCAAAGCATTGCAGACGAATGTAGACGAGTGTGCACACTTATATAAGAGTCTATCGACTAACACATTTTGGCTTCCAAGCCGTCGCATTGCCTAGCGCTTCTGTAACTGTTGAATTGTTCTTCTCTTTGTCGATGTTGCTCTTCTTCAGCGCGACAATCCATGTGCCACAGAAGTGATGGTCCCATTCCTTATCCTTCGCGCCTTACAATCTGGCAATACCTCGCTTTGGTTGCGTCATCAATGCCCCAATAGGATGAGCGCCAGCTCTCTGATACTTTGTAGACTCCATCAGTTGCATGTGCCTTCGCATGACTTCGCTGCACTGTGTCTCAGCCCTTCGAAAGGGCCTCGAGCATCCGTGGCCACTTATTTGTCGCAGACGGTAGCGGGTAAGGTCAAGTAGCTGAGCTCTCGCTCTAAGTCTCCGGAACTTCCGCGCTTCTTGCTAGAGGATTATTTCCGACTCGACCAGACCTGGTCTCGCAGGATTCGCTGTTCTCAATCCAGCGACGACTGTTTCCACTCCCGTTGGATAGCTACTAAGGTTGTTGTAGGCGGTCACGTCTTCATTTACCTTTGTACCATCCAGTGTACCACAACGCGAGTGTGGTTGCTCGGCGAGCTGCACTGCAAGGTCATGAGGGGTTCGGCGAGGCTGAGCTTACGCGGGTGCCGGTCAGATGAGGGGGTTGGCCAAGAGGCCTCGAGGGGTGGCGTGTCTTTTATTCTGCTGGCGACTCTGCAGCCTCGTGGATTTAGATCCGCGCATCTGTGGTCATGAGGGCGGCAGTGACCGGGTTGTTTGTCGTATTTCGTATTGGGGATGTGGAACTAGCTAATCGAATGATGTAAGGTCAGTGTTGGGCAAACATGAACTAAAGATACTGCGGGTAAATAGCAATATGAGTAATTGACCGCATGTAAACAGTCGTAGTGTTTTGAAGAAGTTGAATTACCCTTCCGATCAATCTTCCGTCCGAAGGAATCAGTTTATGGATGTCAAAGGTCTTCTCCGTGGTAGAGGACTACATACACTGCTGATAAAAATTCAAAAAACGTCACTAAAGCGCTACAGGCGCCAAAAGGACTGGGTTGCGATCTGTCTGAGTTCAAGACCCTGATGTCTATTCCGGCGAGAGGACTTACATAGCACATATTCTCCGGAGAGCACAGGATAGTCAAGGGTATGCCCCGGACCAGGGTAACTACCAGCACTGCAAATTGGTAAGCGGCACGCCCTCCGATGGTGGCTTTGAGCAGCGGTCAAGGCGCACTGCTCCCCACATGGTTCTCTTGCTCAGCGCCACCATGTTCTAGAAAACCGAGACCTGCTTCCATGGCCAATCGCATCTCGACGATAGCTGACTTGCCGGCTGACTGGCCGATTGCGGCGCGTCTAGGGCTGAAGCGGTGCAGGCCCAGCGGGGACAAATGGACCTCTCGCGGGCGCTGGCTTGGACAGGCCTTCAAGCAGCGCGCCCTTCTGTGCCCGCTTTGGGATGGCCGTGCCGAGTTTTTGACATGCTGCTAGGATGTGACTCGTCGTCCCCGCCATGCGCCCTCGTGCTCCTCTTCCTAAAGACACCCGCCTTCCTCTCCACGCCTTTTGTAATCCCCATCCATCTCGCGTCATCATTCTTCTACGTAAAGGGCGTGTTGTTGCCAGCGATCGTCCGAAGGGCGAGTTCTGCTCCTTTCAGTTGTCGTGATGGAGAACACCAACGTTCACTCGGACATCGCCGAGTTCTTCGACTTTGGCGAGGCTGCTATGCCGGATGTGATCCACTCTCAACCAGAGCACGTCGTGCCCGTTGCAGAGCCGAACAGTTTATGTCAAGCACACGGCACCGAGTCGACGGACGGGTTCGTCAATGCATTTCTTACTCCACTTCCTCTACACAACACCTTAGTCCATATATGTCATGGCAATGCAGTCAAGTCCGTTCTCCAGCACACTTCCACTTCTCATACATCTTCTTGTTTTCTTGTCTTCTATCATCTGGGACACAAATTCAATATTCGCTCCTGAATGCCGTTCTAACCGTAATCAGGTGCGTTTGTGTCGGCTTCATGGGCGACTTCGAGATTCCTGAGGCCACTGCCCAGCCAGCCGACAAGGCCGAGTGGAACCCTGATTTCTCGAGCTGGATCCCTCGATACTCCAAGCCCGAGCAGGCTTGCGATTACTGCCACTCTCGGCATCTCGAGTGCTTTATCACTTACGAGGGCCAAAGCGGCTGTTCGCCGTGCAATGCGCTGTTCCGGCCTTGCAGCTTCGTCCAGACCTCTGCCGAACCCATGAGGCAATCAAGGAAGCGTCTTGATACGTTAGACATTGTGACCGAGGACAGTGCTCATGTCTTTGGTGGCTTGACTGCCAAGACCAGACCGATGCGATCTCTTGGTCACATGGGCCCTATTGAAGACGAGGGTTTCGCCGACAATAAAGATACGAAGAAGGGTAGTATCCGATTCCCTCGTGTCGCAATCAAGATTCTCAAGGATTGGATGGATGAGCATGTCGATCACCCCTATCCCACAGAAGAGGATAAGAACGACTTGAAGGAGAAGACGGGGCTCACCAGTAGCCAAATCTCGAACTGGATGGCCAATACTCGCCGAAGGCAAAAGTCACGTCCCAAGCGAACCGCCTCTCCAAGCATCCGTCCATCAGAAGCCATAAACATTCCAGCCGGTCGAACGTGGGAGTCCCTCAATCCCTTCGAACGATGGAAGCACTCCCCCCCTGAGAACGAACCTGCACCCATGACTGCTATTCAAAAGGCCGTGGAGAACTTCGATCCTCCAGAGCCTACAAGTCTCTCTAGTAGCCTTGGAATTGAGTATAGTCGCAAGGGACAGTCGAATGGAAGCTCTGGAAGCTTCTCTGTTTTCCGAGCGCCGTCGACCACGTCACTGGATACGGGCACCACAAACATCTCCTCTGGGTCTGCCTCCCAGCATTCCGTGTGGTCGCACGGCTCTCGAAACTCTCGCACCTCTTTCAACACCTTCGACTCCTTTGGCAGCAACTCGGCTAAAGAACGGCGGAGGCGCCGTCGAGTTCAAACTCGCCCATCAAAGATCGACTCTAGCCTAGCTAACGCACGCATGTTCCAATGTACCTTCTGTACTGACACGTTCAAATCTAAGTACGACTGGTCCCGTCACGAGAAGTCTCTTCACTTATCGCTGGAGAAGTGGATTTGTGCTCCTCTTGGAGATGTCATCACAGATCCTGCTTCGGGTAAACGGAAGTGCACCTACTGCGACGCCCTGGACGCATCGCGCGACCATCTTGAAACCCATAACCATGCTTCTTGCGAAGAAAAAGGACTGGAGGCCCGCACCTTTTATCGAAAGGACCATCTTCGCCAGCATCTGCGCCTCATCCATAATTGCAAGATGACGCCTAGCATGGAGACTTGGAAGTCAGAGGCCACATTCATCAGGTGTCGCTGCGGTTTCTGTGGTGCAGAGTTCACAAGGTGGCAAGACCGAGTCGACCATCTTGCGAAGGAGTTCCGCAACGGTGCAAAGATGAAGGATTGGAAGGGCTGCCGAGGGTTGGATCCTCACGTGGCAGCTCTGGTCACAAATGCAATGCCGCCGTATCTCATTGGCAACGAAAGCAAGAGCCCGTTCCCATTCTCTGCGAGCAACACTGCCAGCATGGCCCACCATATCCAGCCACTTGGCCAAATGACAGATCTGGAATTCTCTATCCCTACCGTCAGGCACAAGATGAACGGAACACCCAGCCCCTTATCCCAGGAGGGCCTGCCAGGCCAGAACATGACAGCTCAGCTTCAGTTCGAAACCGATATGTCTATGGCAGAGACTTGTAATATATCAACTTTCCCCGTTTTCGGCACACCAATGAACACATCGGCTATTACCACACCCACCTGGGCCAGCAACACCACCACAAACTCCAACGTCTCCCCGAGCTCGAACCCAAAAACTGCCACTGCAACCTGCTGGGAGATCCTGACGCTCCGTCTCGGTCGCTTCGTACGTCAAAAGATGGTTACAGAAGGTCCAGGCAGCTGCACCGACGAGCTAATCCAGAGCGAAGCGCGCCGCATCCTGTATAACGACGACGACCCGTGGAACCAGACAGCGGCAGATAACCCCGAATGGCTAGCGCTCTTCAAAAAGGCGCACGGCATCGTGGATGTGCCTGATAACTTCGATGTCTACGACGCACTGGAGGACTGTGGTGTCAATATACACAACCCACCGATGGAGACATATTCCATACTTGGAAGTAATACCATCCCAGAGCTCGACTACAATGGCAAAGGCGAGCCTGCGCTTGACGGGAGTACGAATATGGGGTTGAATCTCGACTTGGGTACTGTGAACGAGTGCTTCAAGTACCCTGGGTGGGGTCAGATTGCGGAGATAGACTGCGAAGAGGCGCATCCTCAGATTATGGATGGAGATGCGGGAGAATTGGAGCTGTTCAATTGGGACGAGGCTATGGACGGCGCTGTGTTTAACGATAGTGCTGTGTTCAACATGGGCTGCGGCGCTTGAGCGAAATTGGATATTATGCCGACCATCAAGGAAGAGGACTGCGAGGGTATTTTCTCTTGACATCTTCTCCCCGCTGTTTAGTGAGCTGGTTGTAGATTGTTGTCCGCACTTTTGGGGGTTTCGGATGGACGGCGTTTTTATGCTTCAATATGGGCGTTAACGATTAGCGCCTGGGGTCAAAATGTTTCGGTCGCATCGGAGTATCAACCTTTAATAGACTAATGACAATATCAATTAAACAGTCTCCGCTCTCACAGGCGCAAAGGATGAGTGTTGACGAGAATCTTGGCTGGAGTCACTTGTTAGGAAGCAGCTAATCTGCTTGCCTTATTTCAACCTCACTCCATCCCAAAACTCAACTCAACAACATCCTCCAAGATGACGAAAGGACGCAAGCGCAAAGCAGATGGTATGCCTTCTCTTATGATTATTCCCTTCTCGAAATTACTCACCAAACTCAATGCAGATACCGACGATGCCTCGCCCCAACCCCGGTCGCGTCGCCGGTACGGAAGCTCTCCGGAAAAGACTCAGGACACCAATCCACCAGTCGAACACTACGAGTCTACTATTACCTCAAAGTAGTACATCCCCCTCACCAATCAAGCACCGCCTCTCCCACCCTTCCAGCTAACCCACCCCAGAGAGCCCAGCCGTCCCCCAAAGCCCCCCCATCAGCCTCAGCCCTCAGACTCCGACGCCGCATCGTTCAAACGCAAAGTCTCCAGCGACCAAAAAGCCCTCGAGGCCCTGCTAAACAAGCAACTAAGCGATGCGTGCGTCCCCCCCCCCCCCCCCTCCCCCCCCCCCCCATCTCCTTTTACCCCTTCCCTCTCCCCTTCCACCTCGCGGTTCCACTAAACACCCCACCAGCCTTGCCAACGAGCAGACCCACCGCGCCGACATCGCCGCCCAAATTGCCAATATCTTCCAAGAAGCCGCAGCAGCCCAGTCTGTCACCAATCCGCCCAAGGGCCTCGCCGGCGCGGGTTTCTTCACCAACCTCGCCGGCGCGGGTTTCTTCACCAACCTCACCACCGCGGCGTTGCTCGTGCAGCGCTCACATGAGATGCTTCGTGACTACGACGCTATGGCGATGCGCATTGAGGACGCGGTGCCGGAGGCCGATAGAGCTTTGCCGGAGGTTTGGAGGGGGGAGGAGGCGCGGGTGAGGAGGGTGCTGGAGGTTGGGTATAGGGTTGCGGTGAAGAAGGTGGAGGGGGCTTTGGGGGTGGAGAGGGATGAGGATGAGGAAGAGATGGATGGGGATGCTTGGAAGGTGGTACGGGAGAATTTCCAGAGGGTGCAGGCGCAGAAGGTGCTGGATGTGGCGGGGACGGTGAGGTATGCGGAGAGGGGGGTGATGAGGATGGCGAAGGGGTTGCCGTGGGAGAGGATGGGGTGAGCAATGTTGCTTTGATGGGTTGAGGGAGGGTGATGGGGGGTTCTAGTAGCTTGTGCGGAGTGGGTAGGAATGTGTTGAGATATACTTATATGATACACTGCTCTCTTTTCCTTACCAGATTTAGGGAGAGACTTTCATACAGATCTTACAGCCTTCAGCACTTCAACTCAGCATCTACCTACTTGCATAGAAACAATCCATCCTTCAACAACCTTACACATCATCATAAGGATAAGGAGCACTCGCATGCTCTCCCTTTTTATGCTTCTCCTCCAGCAGCCTATACCAACAAATCACGAAAGTAGGCCTGCAGATCATAGCCAGAACAGCATCCTTCCCCATCGGCTCTTCCGGCGCATACTCCCCCATCGAGTGCGCCAGAAGCGGCAGTACATCGTCACGACAGTACCTACATAGCGCCTCCACATGTAACGGCGCCAGTGGCTTCTTATCCTGCCGCACGACGATAGCACTTCCCACGCTGTTCTGCCACTGCTGGGAAGCCAAGCCCCACCCCAACGTCCCCGAGCGAAGGTCGAACTTGGTTTTGGGATCAAGGCACAGATGTAGGAACGTAGCGTCTTGGTTATTGAAAGGGCTGTGGCGTTCGAAGATCGGATTGTCTTCGTTGTTCGCCCACTTCGGGTCTGGGGGACAACGGCGCGTGAAGATAGGGAGGCCGATGCGTTTCGCGATGTCAGAGGTGTCGTGCGCGGAGAAGATGGGATCCGTCGCAGATACTTCAACGGCCTCGAAGGGCGGCTTATGGAGCATCTTCTGGTCACCGAGACAATTGATTTTTACACCCTTGACGTTGATGCCCTTGGGCTGCTGCTGGGTAGCTGGTGCGGGTATATAACCGTACGTGAGGAAGTAATCGGCGATGTGGCGGAAGTCGTTCATGTCGAGGTCTTTGCAAGTGGTCTGGTCGATGCCTAGGCCTACCATGCCGTAGGCCATGAGCGGAGCGCGCCAGTCGTGGTACTGGCCGGGTTTGGTGGTGGTGATGCGGGTGATGCTGGTGTTGGGTTTCGAGCCATCAACGAGAAAGGTGTCGCGATAGCAGACGTATATTGTATCGGATAGTGTTCTCTTCAACACTGGGTTATACTGGATTGGTGCATGCTTTAGGAAAGTATCGGGACCGAGGAGTGACCCGATTTCGGGATGCTGGTATGTACCGTCGTCGTCGTCGTCGCGCCACGGGCAGTGAAGCCAGATGGTTTTGGGTTTCTCTTCATCAACCGGGAACAGGAACGCCCGGAGATGTTCGGAGGTTGGTCGCTGAGAAGTGTCGAATTTTGAGAAGGTGGCACAGAGGAGCTTGTGGATAGGCCAATCGGCTTGTTGGCATGCTTTCGAGCAGTAGCGGGCGCTCTTACATCGTTCACAGAGTTGGACCTTGGAGTTGTTGCACACGATACATACAACTAGTGCGTTAGAGCTAGTCATGATGTGTTTTGTGGAGGGAAAGGATGAGTTGAAGAGAATAAGGTATGGGGGAAATGGATGATTAAGTTAAGGGCGAACAGCTGAAGACGGCTTTGTGTAACCTGCCAGCACATGACAGCTTCCATCCCACTTTGATTGTCAGTGACAACAGCATGGGCCAACAAGATTGGTTCTGGTCTGAGGATGCCCTTTGCAGGTTCTAGGCAAGATTCGAAGAAACGCCAATGACCGTTACAAAGGTACACCGGAGCTGGTATGCGTGAGGGAGAGTAGGAGAGCAATGTGTAACATACCGCCACAAAATACCTTCACTCTAATTGGGTTATCTTGTTAATAATCTGCATGCTACATTATGATACTTCCATTTACGTGCGGTTGCATGCGTTAGATAGCAGAGGTTAAGCGCAGCAGGCGGGAATTTCTATAATGAGATATTATGCGATGATTTCACATCTGATGCTCTGATGATGGGAACCTCATCAGGTCAGAGGTTTCTTGAAGATGCATATATTCTAGACGTTCGAGTGTTGATGAAGAAGAAATTCGGAGGTACCTTGATGTGCTTATCGCCGTGGTCAAAGCTTCGAGGATACCGTCTCAAACGACTCCGCCTCACCCCCTCACTACCCTTCTTATACTCCATCCCTGGAATACATTCATACCACCCTTCGATACTCAAGCAACCTCTGAAATCATGGGTAGCGCTCCGTCTAAGCTCTCGTCTAGCCCGCTATCGGTCTCCTATATCGAAGATGAGAGGATGCGTCAACAGCTCATTGAGAGACTCCAGGCCTTACAGCTCAAGCACAACACCGTTGTCGAGAAAGACTACGTGTATATTGGTGAGGAGAGCTGTAAGTGACTCTACATACTCTGTGAAGCCCTAAGCTGCGTCTGACGGTAGCTATGTAGCCCAAGAAAAGGTCCCCTTCGCCCCATACAAGACGGATGTGTCTTCGACCACGATAGAGGAATGGGCGAAAGAGCTCCTGGAAGACCCAAAGGTAAGGTCATATACAGTGACTGAATAATGGCGGTTCTAACGTTCTGCAGAATCGTCTCGCTCTCGCAGCCCTCAGCTCCAACAACGCGAACAACGTCCTAAGCTCCCGCGCGGCTACCATTGCCGATATCCAGAACTTCAATGTCAAGATACCGCTGGAGGGGTCTCCAGTGACAAACCAACGATCGTCGGGCCGATGCTGGCTTTTCGCGTCCACAAATGTGTTTCGCGTTGCGATCATGAAGAAATACCGCCTTGCGTCCTTTGAGCTATCTCAAGCCTACCTTTTCTACTGGGATAAGCTCGAGAAAGCCAACTATTTCCTCGAAAACATACTAGATACGGTGGACGAGCCTCTGGATGGCCGTCTTATCCAAGCACTGCTTGCAAGCCCAGTCAGCGACGGTGGGCAATGGGACATGGTCGCCAACTTGGTGCAGAAGTATGGTCTCGTCCCTCAGAGCCTATACCCCGACTCCTTCAACGCCATGAACTCATCATCCATGGACCGTCTCATCACTACTAAGCTTCGCGAAGACGCTCTCCGTCTCCGCAGCCTCGCAAGCAGCACCGCGGATCCTGCGGTCCTGAAGTCCTCTCTAGGCGCAACTAAAGACAAGATGCTCCGTGAAATTCATCTAATCCTGACGCTCATGCTTGGCCCACCACCTTCATCTACCAAGCCTTTCACTTGGGAATTCACCGACAAAGACGGCCAATTCTGCTCCGTCACCACTCGCCCAACTGCTTTCGCAAAGGAGCTCAGCGACTCAAGGACTGTACGTGCACTAGGCGGCACAGACGTCACCCAACTTTTCAGCATCGTCAACGACCCTCGCAACCCCTACAACCGCCTCCTCTCCGTGTCCCGCCTTGGCAACATCTGGTCTGGCAGGCCCGTGACTTACGTCAATGTGGACATGAAGACCATGAAAGATGCCTGCATCACGACGCTCAAGCGCGGCCTGCCCATCTTCTTCGGTTCAGACGTCGGAAAGTACTCTGATTCCACTAAGGGCATCATGGACACGGCGCTCTTCGACTACGAGCTCGGCTTCAACGTCCGCCTAGGGATGAAGAAGGCGGAGCGTTTGATGACGGGCGAGAGCGCCATGACGCACGCGATGGTGCTGACGGCTGTGCATGTTGTTGATGGCAAACCGGTGCGGTGGCGTGTGGAAAATTCATGGTCCGAGACCGCAGGTTCGCAGGGCTACTTTGTCATGAGCGATGAGTGGATGGATGAGTTTGTGTATCAGGCGGTTGTTGATCCTAGTGTGGTCAGTGCGGCGGTGAGGAAGGTGCTGGAGCAGAAGCCGAAGATGTTGGATCTGTGGGATCCAATGGGTGCGTTGGCTTAGACTCAATGGTTTAGCCGTTGGCATGATGACATGAGGGAGTTGGGACGGACGAGGACGAATGTTTGGAGTCTTTCGTGTTGGGGTTTCAAGGCGGGCTCGTTTGCTATTATTGCGTGTACTTATGATACTCCAGCGACATGAACGAATCTATGACGATGTAATCTGATACCTGATCAACATTCCTACCCTGCACGCGAAGGGAGAACATTGTACCGAAAACCTCGTTAGTATAATACGGGGGTATAGTGATCTTTTCTATACAGTGAAACGAAACGCTGGATTGTACGATTTGCCTCCTATATCACTGGCTCTCTGCTTAGTATAGTATCACTAAGCCCCTCTCATACGATATCATACTAACCAAGCTGGATTTGTATGGGGTGTTTTGGAGCAGACTGGCTTACGAATCCACCACACGTGACCTCAGGTACTGTGATATCTTCCACAGTGATAATATCCCTAGTCACCGACCCCTACCACTATAGCGAGGTTTTGCTGTAGACTGCGGACGAAAGATCCTCCTTGTATACCTCTTTCGAAGGGTCCAAGCCTCCACCGCAAGCCAGCCCACATGAAGCTAGCGTCGTCGGATTTCGGGATTGAGACAACGCCCGAATCTCTTTCACCACCCTATGCCGTCAACACTCTTCCCACGACGTGTTCTCCAATTCTCACAAGCGTCTATCGGCTTTCGCGCACCGCTTTACACTTCTGCATTTTCTGGTTGAATGATTGGATTTAGGCACGCTTGATTGCAAAAGTGCCGCCTCTGCCGACACTCCGACTCCTGCTGCGCGTAGGGGGAATTCAAAGCGCCGTCTCCGTCTGTCCCTAGTCGTATGCGCCTCTAACGGGATTCAGCATTCGATGGAGACGCATCATTCCAGGGCTGTCAGTGGTTCTAGACCATTGGCGGCCGGGAGTCCGGCCCCGTATGGCCGTGCTTGTGTAGATTGCGCGAGGAGTAAGTGCAAATGTATCGTGAGGACGCCTGGGGGGGCTTGTGAGAGGTAAGTTTTTTTTTCTTGGAGTCGAGGCAAAGCTTGCCGGTCCGTTCATTTCTAGACCTGAGTCCCTAGTTTCATGCACGGATACAGCACTCGCTTAAGCACCTTGAAACCAATCACAACCACATGTACCACTCGTCACATGATTATCACATTGCTCAATTCGTAGTAACTGTTGATATAGATGTTATCGCTTGAATCGGGAATGTCGTCCCGCGCCGACAGTCCGAGCAAAGCATGCTCGGAGAACAGCGGCCTCCAAGGCTATCCAGCTCGAGCAAAAGCTCGACAACATCGTTCAACTTCTCAAAAACAACAATCAACTTCTCCCCGCTACCGCTGAGTCGAGTGATGAAAGCCTCAATCACAGCTCAACAAAAGATAGCTCACCTTCAGCAACCTCGTTTGTAGCTTCAACGTATGGTTCATACAATCACGTCTCGAATTCAGCGATCAACTCTCTGAACTTCGCTCCGACTTTAGGACTTCCCGAGCCTTTACCTACAGATGGCGAAGAATGTCTTCATGATTTTCGGACCCATAAATTACCGTTTGTTCCCTTTATACATATTCCACCTACTACCTCGTCCGAGCAACTCTTTCGGGAAAGACCCTTCTTGTGGTACTGCATTGTGCTTGCTTCGACCAAATCGCGCTCACAGCAAGAAGAACTGCCGCTTAAAGTTCGAACCATGCTAAGCGAAGCAATGGTGATTGGACAAGAACACAATCTCGATTTGCTACTCGGTGTACTTGTTTGTGTTGCTTGGTGCGTCAATGATGTCCGTGTTCTGTTCTTGTACATACGAACTAACTCATTAAAAAGGTCCAACCCACCGAGCACAGGAGTGAAAAAACCATCATTGGCAGTGTTCACCCAATTGGCGATATCCTTGGTATTTCAACTCGGCCTCAACAAACCTCCAGGGTCCAGTTTCCAGACGATGTTGTTTAATTGCAAGATAAACGCACCAGAAGCATCCAGACAACTTGACAGCGCTGTCCGGACCTTAGAGGAACGAAGAGCCATTCTAGGCTGCTTTCTAATCACCTCCTTGTAGGCTGCCCCAATCGTGAACTGAAATCGCTGCTTGCTAACTCATTTATCAAGTGTGTCTGCGTTCCTCCGATACATGGATCCATTGCGGTGGACGCCCCATATGAATGAATGCCTCGAAGTTCTTGCGGAGGCCAAAGAATTTCCGACAGACGACACCTTGATTCAACTAGTTCGGATGCAACTAATTGTCGATAAAGCTGTACATTTCTCTGCGCAACATGGAGAGGTAGCGAGCAATGACTTTTCCCGGATACCACCAGCTCTCTACAGACTTGCACTACAAGGCCAGCTCCAGGAAGTAGAGAAGAATCTTTCCGGTAATGTCCAGCATGGTAAGCCCTTCCCACGTTTACTCATCTTCGTTCTATATTCATAACTTCGTCGCAGAAGTCGTACTATTGCATCTCCATAGTACTGCTCTCTACATCAGCGAGCTTGGAATCTTAAAGTCAGCTGCCTCTGCCAATAATACGGACTTTCAGGACGTCGAATGTTTGTACGCCTCTCTACGCTCCCTCAAGTCCTGGCTTGACATCTTCTTCACCATACCGCCCGCCAGGTACACCGGAATCCCATTTTCTATCTTTTCTCAGTTCATGCGCTGCCTCGTGGTCCTCTACAGGCTCTCGGCAATAGACGATCCAGGATGGGATAAGCAAGTGGCCCGCAACACCTACAATGTTGCTGAAGTTCTCCGCATGGTCTCCACCAACCTGCTCGCAAGTGACGTGTACCCGAGATATGCGGAGACTTTTAACGCTACGAGAGAGAGATGGGAGGCTAAGCTGGCTGCCTTAAGCATCAACACAGCGGCACCGGTCGTTCCAGAGACGGACTTGGAGATGCCGAATCTCAGTATGGACCTTCCAGAGAACTGGTGGGTGTCGGACGTTTTCTCTGCCTGGGATTTCTAGAATGCATGCAAGGTGGGCTCTTCAACCAGAGACGACATTCTCGCAACCAGACGATATCACATGTCTTTACGACTACAAAGTGTAAAATCACACAAGCTCAGACCTTGAAAAAGCTAGATGTCACCCGCACATCCTCCAACTGATGTTGCCATGGCCTTCTCTTCAGCGTGCACTGAACAAAGGAGAAAGGCGACCTGACATCTTGATCAAATCCTTGACGGCGGTGGTAACGGAGATTTCGGGGGGGGACCGCGCCTCAGGGTTCAGGTGATCGAGATCACCATCTTCCGTGCACTTCGGGATTCACCAACGCCTGAAATCCGGCCGCTAGTCCTAGTCGGGAGAGTCAAAGCTCAGTCGCCAGCATGCGACATCTTTTAAAGACCATGCGAACCTGCCAAGAACCCTCGTTTCCAGAATCCGTCTCTCTCTTATATTTGCATGTCTGTGCTATATCCGGAGCACGTCTAATAGTACACGACTTCCTAAGCGGATATCCCGCCGACTACCATCATGGACTCTTCGCAAGGACCAGACCACGAATCAGAGAAACGCAAGAGCGCGTCTACGCTTTCGTCGTCCCCGATAGGTGGGAAGGAACTACTACCATATGGCCATGGCGATGAATTGGAGAGAAACACAAAACCTTCGACGCCTTCGCCATCCGAAAATGACGAAAAGACAAAAATACCGCATGATGATACCGAGTCCCAGAAGGAGTACCTCCAGGGCACGAAACTCTACCTCCTTATATGCTCTGTGACGTTTATCTGCTTTCTTATGCTGCTAGATGTCGTCATTATTGTCACTGCCATACCGAGCATCACGGATGCCTTCCATTCGCTACCCGACGTTGGTTGGTATGGCGGCGCCTACACACTTGCCAGCGCTTCTCTCCAACCAATGACGGGGAAACTATACACCTACTTTCGCCTAAAATGGGTGTTCCTCATTTGCTTCGCGATATTCGAAATAGGGTCTTTAATTTGTGGCTTGTCCACGTCCTCGAAGATGCTGATCATTGGACGAGCGGTTGCAGGCATGGGATCTGCAGGTCTACAGAACGGCGCTTTCACGCTCATCAGTGCAGCAGTCCCGAAAGACCGCCTACCTGCCTTCCAAGGGATTTGTATGGGAGGGGCGCAGCTCGGCCTGGTCTTTGGACCGCTATTAGGGGGCGCCTTTACTCAATACGTATCATGGCGGTGGTGTAAGATTCCCGTTCCTTTTACCCTATTGCGCTCCGAGTTTTACAGTCGCCTGCTAATCTGGTACCCTTGATCCTCAGGCTTCTATATCAACCTTCCGATTGGTGGTGTCGCTGCCGCCGCTCTCCTATTTATTCAGGTCCCCGATCAAATGCCCAAGGACAAGTTCTCGATTGTCATTCGCAACGTCTGGCCCAAGCTCGACCTAGTTGGCTTCGTGATCTTCGCCTCTGCATCAATCATGTTTCTCATAGCGCTCCAGTTCGGCGGCGAGTCGCACCCTTGGAACAGCTCCGTCGTCATCGGACTCTTCTGCGGTGCAGGCGTCACATACATCGTCTTCGTCCTATGGGAGAAACGAATGGGCGAAAACGCCATGATTCCACTCTCGATAGTCTCCCAACGCATCATCTGGTGCAGCTGCATCTTCATGGCATTCTTGATGTCTTGCACTTTTTGTGCGTCCTACTACCTGCCCATCTACTTCCAGACGGTCAAGGGCGCCTCGCCGACGATGAGCGGGGTCGATATGCTGCCGAACATTCTGGTTAACGTTGCGTTTGGGGTTAGCACGGGAGTCACGAGTACGTTACCTAGGCTGAGAGCTGCGTCCATTATGAGTACCTACTAATTTTGATGCAGTCTCAAAAGTCGGCTACTACCTTCCCTTTGGTGTTTCCTGCAGTGTCCTTCTTGCTATTGCCACGGGACTCCTTTCCACATTGAAACTGCACACTTCAAGGGCCAGACAAGTTGGTTTCCAAATCCTGCTTGGTGCGGGTCAGGGCATGGGCACCCAAATCGTAAGCTGTTCAACCCCATCTCCCCTAGTCACAGCAAGATAACCCCCTTATTTGATGTCTCACCGCCCAATCGTCTCTCAAATCACGAAACTGACCTCCCCTTCTTCATCTAGCCCATCCTCGCCGCCCAAAACGCCGTCCCAAGCTCCAAGGTGGCCTACGCCATGTCCGTCGTCATATTCAGCCAAACTTTCATGGGCTCCGTCATGCTCTCCGCCGCCAACACGATCCTCTCGAACACTCTGCGCACCAAGATCCCAGAATACGCTCCCGATGTCAACTTGGAGGCTGTGATACATGCGGGAGCTAGGGGAGTTAGGAAGGTGATCTCGGGGGCGGACTTGGACGGGGTGTTGCATGCGTATACGGATTCAATTGATCGGGTGTTCTATATGGTTGTTGGGGGAATGTGCGCTTGCTTTTGTGTGGCGTGGGGGCTGGGATGGAAGGATGTTAGGAAGCCGAAGCCGGCGACGTCGCCGGCGTAAGGGAGGCTTGCGTGAGGGAAGTAATTGGGTGGTGAGTGAGAGGTTGCTTCTTTCTGACTTAGTGCTCAAAAAGTACGTACGGTTCGCTTTATACAGCGGAGTCAATCTGTGCTCTCGCGCTTGGAAGGGTATAGAGAAGTCGGTCTTTGCATCTTTTCTTATGTTGGCTGATAGACCTAGCGAAAGGTGGAGAAGTTGTATACATTTAGTATTTTGTAATAGGTGTTACAACACTCCAATGTGCACACCCTCGATCCCCATTACTCACGTGATCCCACGCTGCTACGGCTAAGGTCCGCTTAGGCCCGGCTTAGCGTATTATCATACTCTTTCGCTCTGCCCTTCCCCTTCCCAATATATGCGCTTCCAGCCTCGCCAAAATCTTCACCATGCTCCGTGTTGCTGAGTGGCAAAGCAAAGGTCTGTCTTCCCTCTATCTGTGGCCATTCTGATTGAGAATCCAACAACGGTAGCATCCGTGATCCCTCTATTTCAGGAGGACAAGAAGTGCCTACAGCCGTTGCGGTATGTGGCACTTGAATTCGATCAAGAGAACCGTAACCTGAATCAGATGGATCTCCTCCGTTCATGGCCGAGGAAGCCATGAAGTCGTTCGCCATGAAGTCATCCCAAAACTCAAGGCACGCCTCAGAAGGAATTTCAAATGCCGCCAAGTCGTAATTGGTCGATGAACCTGGTAACGAGTGTGGATCAACCGGATCAGATGAGATGGTCGCGTTATTATCGAGTTCCTGTACATGATGATCATCGTGCGTGGCAGGATTAACGGACGAAGATTTCTCTTTGAACGTCTGGCAGAGCTGTTCGAGGGAGTTCCGAACAATGGCGGACAGCTGACTTTTCAATTTCTCGCCCACAAGGCCAAGCTCCTCTTCCATCTCGGCTTCCAATTCTTGTCGGACCTTTTGAGGTAGTTCGTGTCTAAGGTATGAATCGTAACAAGCGAACCCTGCAGAGGAAGGAGAATTGATAGGTTGCTGGCCGGAGTCTTCATCATAGTTGTAATCTGAAAGTGTGTCAGTTGATGCTTATGGGTTGCTGTCTTGTAATAGAGTACTCACATGGTGACGGAATCTCTGACAATAGCGCATCTGGGAAAAGTACCAAATATATATCCCTCCATTGGTCTTCTCTAGTATCGCCTGAAAAACCTTTCTTCTTGCATCTCAATCTTTCCTTCTGACTCAAATCAAACCCTTCCAATTGCTCTTCGTCTCGAATCTCGCATCCTTCTGGGGTTCTTGTGTGTGCCTTACTCGGGTTGTAACAGCTACAACCTAGGATCAACAACTCATACGGTTCACGGTCACCTACGTACAGACTTGGAGTTGCTGGCATAGTAGCTGCCTACATGCCTAGCCAGTTACAACTTCTACAGAGAGGGGTTGGGGTACGGTGGCCTACCCTGCCTAATGCTGCCTACTGCTGCCTCCAATTAGTGCTTCTGCCTATGCATACAGTCACTTCCTACGTAGTATATAGTTTGGCCTTCGGGCCCCCGAAATAAGACAGAGTTCACATCAATTTTCAACCTGAGTGCCTTCGAGTCAGGTTCAGACTTGAAGGTCTGGTAACATCGCTTACAATGCGGCGGAAGCTCATGGCGACGATATAAATGTTCCCTACACTGGTAAGTGTTCTGTCTTCGGAGCGTCTATCCGTAAGAGGGAAAATGACACTTACTTTAGGCGAGCGATAGTCACCCACCCCGGTCCTAGACAAGTATGGATGTTTCGATATTTTCGCGGATTACGTTTAGAGTAGGGACAAGCAAGTCTTCTCTGGCTTTCCTGGTCATCATTTTTACTGGTTTTGCTCCTTCTATGGGGCTGCTCATCTCCCTCTTCACCATCTCTTCGACTATTTTCGTCATTAGCTTTTCGTTTCTCTCTTTGAAGTGTCGAAGATCCGGTACTTGAATCATCCGTGTGGTTGATAGAACTATTCTGTACAGAACTTGATTCTACAGACGCAGTGCAGCGGACACCAAAGATTGCATCGAACATACGATAGAATTCAATCATGATTTGGTCGACAATCCGATTCTTTCGTGCCGAAATGCTGAAAGATTCTTCTTCACTTGATTCATCATAAACACTACATGGTACCGATGTGGCTGTACCAGAGGTGCTGGGTTCTGATTGCGTCCTGGAGGATATCTGGGATTGGCTGATCTCGCTTTCAAGGTCTAAATCGGATTGCCAGGTAACCTGACGAGACCCATTCTGTGATTGGGTGACATCCCCGCAGGTACTTAGTTCAACGAGATTCTTGGATTCTATTGTGCGTCGGATAGGCGGTATTACCCAGTCATCTTCTTCATCTTCATCGTCGTACATTTCGACCTTGAATGCTAATGTGGATTCCGCCGCCGAAGTCTTAGGTTGCTCCCTTTCATCCAGCGTGTACTCAGTTTCTGCAGCAGCAGAGGATAGCATCCGCCTCTTTGATTGAGCGATGGTCGGCTGAAAGAAATGCCTCGTTTGCGGTGGCAAGTTACGTTGCCGGGACGGTTGCGGAAGCGATCTGAGTGCATTTGACGTAAAATCGGAGACGAGATCGCGGGCGTTGCTTAGTGCTGTAACTAGGGAGTACACTACGTCGTTGAAGAAGCTAGAGGACTGGGAGAGGGCCTCATTGCATCTTCCCATAGCTCTATCAAGGTCCTCCGCCTGACGGGAATACAGGTACCTCTTGAGCAAGTGAAAGGCATAGCTAGCGAGATACCGGGGCCTGTCTTTCCGCTCATCGTACGGGTAACTGACAGCTCGCTCATACAGTTGATCGGCCAGTTCCAAATCTTCGACGACATTCTTGTGCTCATATCTCAACTCGAGGCGATTAGCGTAATTGCAGAGCCAGCGCGTCACAGCCTCTCCATCCGGGTGTTTGTCGATATACCCCAGTACCTCGGCATTCAGCTGAATAGCTCTGTCTATCACTGCCAAAGCTTTGGGGCCTCGTCGTGTTTTGAACAGCTCTGCCAAGTCTATGGAGAGGAGGTCCTGTATGAATGGGATTTCATCGTGTCCAGGTGGTAATTTGAGCAAGAGGCGTTCAAATATGCGAACTGCCCGCTCCAAGTCATAGACGCGATGGGTATGCTGGAATCTCAGAACCAGCAAATCATGCAGATTTCTGAGATAAGTATCGCGATACTTTTCAGACCCGGCGATTATTGCTTGGTGGAGTCTCGAAATGGCGGACTGAAGATCATTCAGGTCGTGTGAATATTCTTGGTATTTGAGGCCCAGACAGGCTGATATTCCCATAAGTCGGATGGCCTTCCCTTCGTCATCTGGAGCCGCCGGTAGAGCCAGTTCACCAATTGTGATTGCTTCTTCCAGCGCCACCGGATCCTGGTCATGGTGCTTCCAATGGAAAAATGCAAGCGTTGCGAGGTTGTCAAGCAGAAGATTCCGGTGCTCAAGCGTCGGTGGTATACCTGCTAGTCCATCTTTCAGCTTCTCCATCAAGACTGACTTGTCTCCCGGCGTGCACATCTCCTCCCTTGGGGTTTGCAGGCACATCACGGCATCGATGGCGGCAGCGCTAGCGTCGTCTGCCAATTCATCCAGAGCAGTTTGATCCCCAGTCAAGCCGGCGTATCTCCCAAGCAAAGTCATCAATTCAGCCTGCCTTGGATATCGCTCCGGATCCAGCCGATCGGTCATGCTCAGTAGCTCCTGTGCTCGATACACAGCCGCTCCAAGGTCCGGGAGATCAACGGTGTACTCAAACTTCTTTGAAAGTAACACAATAAGCGTTCTCAAGCCGGAGTCATATTGAGGACTAGTCGGCTCGATAGCACTCAGTAAGCTATCCAGTTTGCTGATTGCTCGTTCTAAATTTTCTAAATTTTTGGTTTTCAGAAAGATGTGGTATAGTGCATATACATAGAGAATGTCGTTGTCGAAATCTTGAACCTTGTTCTGCTCCACTGCCAAAGCCAGGCCGGCAAGATCGCTGACTTCCATGTCTTGAAAATTGATAACTGCAAGGGCAGATTCGGGGACCGGCGGAGGCAGATTGTTGTAGTACTTTGTGAACTCGATGAGGTGCCCCTTCTCCCTCAGCCTCATTCCCTTGAAGCCGTCGTCATCTAGAGACATATTTCTTCTTGACAAGTGTGATTCCTGTCTAGCAAAGGAGTAGATTCGTAACGTTCTTTCGAATTCCAGCAGGGTTGATAGGTCTCGCAGGACAAAATGCTGTGTCTATTAAAAACAGTTCCTGCCGTAGTTTTGGCTGCCACACCTAGCACCACCTTTCATGCAACGCTGAAATCAGGCAGACACAGCACCAACCAAAACGCTGAACTCTCATACAGCGGGAAATGCCGCTGTCGGCCTGCATGTGCGTTTCCCAAATATTTGGTCATGTGGGAGGATCTGGATTCTCACCGGATGGCAAGATAGGTGCATAACACAGTGAAGTATGACACGTCATCTTGTGGCGTCCTCTCGGTTGCCATTCTTTCTGCATGCCAGCCTCATTCAACGAACCCTTGACGAATAGCAACGTCTGTCACCCAAGGCTGGGCATCAGCCTGATGCAAACAGCAACACCCTGCTTCTCGTCTCGTATCATGACAAATTGTCTCGACAGTGAGATGTTTGCCCGGTTGATAAGGCCCGTCGAGCTGAGGAAGCGACGGAGGTGAGAGAAAACTCGCTCCATTTCAGCGCAAGCTCATTTGCAAGAATCTAGAATACTGTACCCTGAGATTAGACACAAATACGGAGGTTCAATCCACACCAGCTAGCTGCCAACTCAAACTCGGTCGAAAATCCAGCCCCATGTGTCCAGCAAAGCATGCCTTACTTATTTCCAGCTCCTACGGAGCTCTTACGGGTACTGACAATGATGTTGAAATGATTGGTAAAGTCCTCAAGGCGCGAGGCTTTATTCTTAGTTGATGCTGCTGGTCCAGCGCCGCGTATGGCGGTATCCGGGCGGCATGGCAGAAGCTCAACAATGAGAGCAATGTCGACGATGCCATTGTCATATACTATTCCGGACACGGAGGAGAATTCGTGCCTGAAGGAAGCTCTGCCCAAGCAATTCCGGCATCAGTTTATCGTTCCCTAGACTACAGCTCCGAGACTGGCCAGTTCCGAGGAATAGTTGATGTAGAGTTGTCGAGCTTGCTGTGGGACACCACGGATAAGACGCACAATGTATCTATAATTCTAGATTGTTGTCATTCTGGTCGGATGGCGCACGATCCGCACCACGACAAGAAAGCTGTTCCAAAGAATATCTCGGCGCTCTGTGGTGTAGTTATCGAGAAACACATCCAGCAACTTCAAGAAAAGGCCACGTCAAAAACGGCTACTCCCTGGAAGGCAGTCCTCATGTCGTATGGATAGCGGCCGCTGCTGCTTCCGAAACTGCCTGGGAATACGAAAGTGCAGAGGGAATGAAAGTGGGTGTACTGACGGAAGCATTGACCATCGCCATGGAAGAGAGAGGTCGCGGAGACTTACCTTAGAGGACTCTCGTCCTGAGAGTCAAACAGCTTGTGAACGTGAAGTTTCCTCGATAGCATCCTCAAATCAATGGCCGGCATAAACGTCTACCATTCTCCCTGCAAGAGGTCGAATCAACGGAGCTTCTCATAAAGCTGGAAAATAATATCCCTCAGATTCAAGCAGGTCGTGTGGGTGGTATTTATGAAGGGAACGTCTACAGCATCATGCCTTTCGGGTTCCCACCCTTCGAGTCGTCTCTGAACATTGCCCAAGCAACGGTCAATATGTCACTGGCTTCCGATTCACAGTAAGCCTTGACTTCAGGAATGGGAACACTAGTCTACCAAAGGAAGGAGCCCTGGCATTCCTTGACAGCGAGGTCCTATATAAATGGCCTGTTGTGGTTCCAAGCAATCTCCGCGCTTTGCGGAAAAGGATCGATCGGTCCAAATTCCTGAGAAACGCTTCCAATGATGAGGATTCGACATAGTTAGTGAAGTTTTTCGGATTGGCCAGCAGATCATTCTGGTCAATAATCGCGAAGTTCACGTTGCTTGCCATGAGCTTCGCCGTGGTACCCCATCACCGTACGTTGTCGAGGCAGCTATTAAGAATGCAGAAAAGTTGGCTAGAGCGCAACATCTCCTTTCGCTCCAGTGCGAGAATCGACAAGAAAAATTGAAGCATAAGGTCTATGTCGAGTTTGGCCTGGTGAACAACAGAGATCAAGAGCGGGTAATTCTCTCGAATGGTCGAGATCTAGTGACGGAAGAATCACACGTCCATATCCATCTACACAATTTGGATCAAAAGTCCAGGGTCTTTGTGTCTGTCTTTGATATTCCCTTTGTCAGATCAATGGATAACAAAATGGCATGCCTACAGATCTGCCAGTCAGTTGGCCAGATGACGTTCCGAAATCTTAGCTAGTCAAGGAAGCTTTGGTTTTGATCATTTCGAACGAACCAGCGGATCTCCAATATTTAGTGACACCAGATGTCAAAAGAATATAGTAAGAAGAAATGCGTCGCAATGCCCGCAGCTGGAAAACCTCTTTCGCAGCCTGGCCTATGGCGACTCGCGAGGAGTTGGCGGTGAGAGTAAGGGAACTAGAGTTCTCTATGATATCATCCAGATTCCATTCCTGCTTCGGCCAAAAGTTCCTATATCGAATGGAGAGTTGATTAGCGTTCAAGAGCATCTTTCTAGTCTCGAATTGGATGATGCGAGCCCCCGCCAACGTGAAAGCAAAGAAAGGGAAGAAGATTTCGATCGGATCCCAATGAAATCGCAGACCTTCCAGAGCCTGAGGACGCACAAGATTGGCAGCAAATATCGGACCTCATCGCCAATTCCCCAGGCGGAGGAGGCGCAGCACCAAAGGTAATATTTTGGCATGGCGGTTCAGATAGACAGCAGTGTTCTGACTCTGAAACAGGGAGTGATTGGGGCGATTACTAGAGTCGTGAAAGGAATACCGCCTTGCGTTTGGGTCGAGAATCAACACTCCGAAGAGATTACTGTCGTAGTATCCAGACACCGCCCTTCGCGTCTTTTCTCGGGTGTAGGAGTGGAGGCACCTGCAACCGGGGGAGGTCTGACCTTCTTCACAACGGTAAAACATCCTCTGAATCTACAAATCAAATCGCTGACCTGCTGCCTCAGAGTTTGCCGGTCTAGCGACGAAAAAGATACTTCTTCCTAAAAAGACTAATCCCGAAAGCTGCAAGGCCATGTTTCCTTTCTTTTCACGCAAAGATGATTTCGGTGTTATTAGCGTATTCGTCGGTCCAGACCAGGTCTTCTATATTGAGAATGACAGGGTGTTTGTTGGAGTGACGGCATATTTTTGCAACCGGCTAGATCTCGGATTCGAGAAGTTTGGGTCTAAATTTAGTTAGTTGATGAGTTTGTGTTATTATTCGATGAGTACCAATGGAACGCTTATTTTTAGCGCTTTTGATTATGGCTTTTACCCTTGAGCTCGAGTGTGGGGCAGGCAGTTGTATTAATGAAACAGTCGTCATAACACAACGTGACCTGGGTTTCCGGCTCGCAAGAGGTCATATATTTTGTAGAGGTGCTATGCCATTAGCATCAGGCTGTTGTTTATTGTACGAGTGACGGTTCTGCGAGGCGCGAGACGGCAAATACACCATGTGCTAGCGTCAGGCCGCAGCTCAACGGGCCCGGCGACATGCCAAGCCGACACTTAACCCTCCCTGTGAAATACAGTACATTCTGGTTCTAACGATACGACTCTTTTTGAGGGATCATATCACAATATTGAGAGTATCACTGTTTGTAAGCCAATACTTCGTAGTCAGTTAACCTCAAAACTGCGAGATTAACACAGACCTCCTTCCCATATGTACGAAATTTACCCCTGGCTAGTCAGTGCAACATGTGTGAACGGGGCTTAGAGTTAATATACCTTTGTAGTAATTAGCTCATCACCATACCCCAAACAAATCTGGACCATCCGGCGAAAAATATCACTGCACAAAATATATCACTATAACCCGGTATCAAACTACTGAGATTTCACTATACTTGAGTGCATATTGGGGTGTTTTATGCTGTTACACCACCCCACCCTAATGTGTACACTGCCCGACCTCTCTTATAACAGCAGCGTTTTCATCAAAACTCGCCGAGGGTCGAATGGGGTTGTCAGAGTCGACTTTCCAGTACAAGATGCGCCGCAGACTGCTACATAGTAATCATCATCGGCGAGGGTAAAAGATAGTCTTGCGTTGAGGATGTCGTTTTGGGGGACTCGGCGAATAGGGATTACCTAGGTATGCCACTATACTAACTAGTTCTAATGCTCCGCCGCCATCCGCGATTGGCTCGCCGACCCGCCAGCCCCAGTCTACCACAACCCAAGATACCGCTCCAGCCTACGTATGCGAAATATAAACCGTCGCTCGCCGCGTCGGAAGCACAGTACGAAACAATGGCCACGCACTAGGGAAGCTCGACGCAAGGAAAACGACGTCTTGTCGGACGAGGGCTATGTGGAGGAGAATGCTGCCTTGGAAGACGACGCCGAAGCCGACAAGGTGGACCCCAGCCGCCGCTGCGTCTTGCTGCATTCTCCGCAATTCGTCCTCCATTCATCTATTACTGGTTCAAGCACCTCCTCTATGCAATCAGAGAAGTCTAAGTCGAAGCGGCGACGCGTCCGGCTAAGTCGAAGCGGCGACTTGTAGCTCTTGAACAAGCCGGTCACATACACTCAGGTTAAAATTGATGTGAACTCTCATTTCTATAGACGTCTAGCTAGTTGTATATATACTAGGGGAAGGAAGGGGGGCCACCCCCTGGGTGGCGCGCTAGTAAGTTCAGCTGAACACTGCACAGCTGAGTTTTCAGCACAGCTGAGATCTCAGCTGTGTTCTCTACAGCTGATGTTCGGAGAGTAGCTTTCTAGCATATGAGTTGTTGATCCTAGGTTGTAGTGCTGCAACCTGAGTCATACAGCGTCGCAGGTGGAGGAGACATGGGCGACTTATCAGAGGAGATGCACAAGTTTGTGGAGGATCTACTGACGCTATACGAGAATGCGGGCGCACTATCGTCAAAGATGCAGGTAGGATGGTCAACTGGTAGGAGTTTATTTCCACTGACTGAGTTGACTATACACGTCTCCAGTGCCCGTACCGCGAGAAGAAGGTCTGCGTTGACTTTGAGGAGGCGGAGACATGTGATAGAAGCTAATTGAGGAATAGTGCGTTGATTGCAGATTGTTTTCACTTATGCCGGAATTTTAGTTTAATAGACTAATCAACGCTACTGCTTTTTGGCGATCTAGAACTCAGGCCCGACCATAGTCTGCTTACTGCGTAGGCAATCAACCTTACGCTAGTATTCTTCGCAGCAGCTAACGAAAGAGTCGCAGCAACTCACGAGAGCAGGCTAACACGGTTCTTCAGATCGAGTTCTCGTCTCTGCAGATAGTTGGGACGCGTGCACCCGCAGCTGTCAGAACTGGTTGCTAGAACAATACTGTCCCAATGCCCCATCATATAGGACATCATCTACCCAGCAAAGGCTATAGGCATCTCTAGTTCGCGTTGACACGGGTACTCGAACGCGTATTTGTCCTTACGTCCCCGCACTTTGAATCCCAGCACTTCAATTCCGACATGCAGGATCCCAATGTTCCAGCCTGCAATGTCGGCTTTGTCTCCGTCATGAAACAGTTCATGACTAGACTATCATACGAACTCTCAATAAATGGTTGAAGGTGATGAGGCCCCGGAAAAAAAGAGCGGGTCTTCGAGCGGGGTTTTCTTCGAGCGGGGTTGTCTTCGAGCGGGGTTTGCAGTCGGGGTTCAAGACGAAAGTCACTTTGAAGGATAGGGGTGTCTCGGTGAAGCCGTGTGATATTGCGGAGATCCGACCCTGGTCAGGTTGAGGGTATGTTCACGAACTGAACAACGACGTTAACTGCAACCCAAGAGCAGTCATGAATCAAGATTATAAAGTGCGACTTATTTTCTAGGATCAATTACATAGTACAAATCATAGTGGGTAAACAGCTTTCTTCTGGTAACAACGCTGATGTAACACCCCAGACTCTTTCTAGACTTACGATGGACGAGCTCTGCCCACTAGCTGCGGTACTGATCAGACCACTCTATGTCCCCTCTTGAGCTCCTTTAGGTAACGGCCACTCGATAAACTTTGACGACGCATCATATCGATCTCTTCTGCGCGCTTCCCCGCATTTTAGACTGCTTAGATGCCTCAACCGTGACGACCGTTATGATCCCTTAGGTCCACATTTCGTCATAGACAAAGCTCCATCCGAAGTGTGTGAGATTTACACTAAGAAAGTATAAGTACTTCCTCAAATACCCTCAAATGCTTTCACTTCAGATCACATTAAGAGCTCTTGTTACTACCACTCCTCATATCTCCATCCAATTCAAATTCGTTACAACTCCGCAATATCCTCTCGCACCATCTCAACATGTTGAACAACAAAGACTCCAAGGCCAACAACCCCCCAATTGGCTCCATAGATCCATACATCCTCGCCGAAGCGCTCATCGGCCGCAAGATTGACAGAAATCCATTCACCCCGGCGTCGACCATCAACGCCGATATTCAGTCCGGCTATGATGACCTCGTCGATGTGAAGCATGATGCCGTGCTTTCCGTCAAAGGTCCAGAACCGGACGAGCCGCCCAAGAGCGTTCACGTCGGCTGTATCAACCCATATGCCTTGGTTGAGGCGCTTCTTGGTCGGAAGATCGACAAATGCTCCATGAACTCGGTGCGGATCATCTCCGATGTTCTACAGACTGATTACGATGAGCTCTTCGACCTTAAGCACAATCCTTGCCTTTACGCCGGACTGAGGCTCAACGAAGATGACCGAAACGCGGAAGAGCTGGATGAGAAGGACATGAAGATCCTGAATGAGGAGGATCTCGAGACTCCCGACCTCTCCCAGGTCCGGACGACCGAGGACCTTGAAAAGCTCGGGATGAAGGACATTCTGCAAACCCAGGTCAAGATGGCCCGTATGCAGAATGGCAAGCTCCGCCTGGTTTTGCACGCTCATGACATGGGCAAGACGGTGTCCAACAGCGAGGTCACCATGACGCTCAACGAGTTGGCTCTTCCGTTTAGAATGGAAAAGGGCCAGTGGACCCCACCCAACGGCTCTTGGCAGGACATGTACCAGGGCTGGTATGATGCCAGGCGCATGATCAATCGGTTTGATAAGTTCCATATCGGAGAGCCATTTGGCATCGGGGAGAGGCTCCATATGGGACGCGGCTTGCACAACAACTGCTCCAGGAACAAATTTGACGACCCTGTCCAGGGAGCGGTTGGCAACAGTTGGCTCATCGCAGCAATCTTCTCCGTGTTCTGGGCCAACCCTTCGATCATCAATCGCCGCACACAGCATTCTTCAGCCCATCCAGAGCAGAGCCACGACGAAAAGAGGGACCAGGATGAAAGGAAGCGCCGCGTCTTCGCCGTCAAGTTCCACGACAAAGGGGGAGACAATAATGCCCCAACCGCCACCGTGGAGGTCAACTACGAGATTCCCGTCAACAATTCGGACCACGAACCCATCTATGCCCGCGCGAGCGATGGGTGCGAGATCTGGCCCATGCTATACGAGAAGGCTTTCGCCAAGTGGGTGACGGGCACGTCGTCGGACCGTCCCGACATCACCCAAACCCACAACGGCGACCCGATCAAAGCCATGGCGCAGATCAACGGCAGGGAGCCACAGTACTTCCTCACCGAGGACCGCCCCGCGCATGAGCTCATCGGGTTGGTCCGATCCTGCTCCGTCAACTTCAAAACCATCAACCCGATGTGCGCCTACACCCATGCCTCCGGAAACATCTTCCGTGGAAGCAACCTCGTAGCTAACCACGCCTATTCCGTCTTGGGCTGGTCCGCTGTCGGGCAGAAGCAGTACCTCATATTGCGAAACCCGTGGGGCGTCACTGAGCCCGTCAGCTTGACCAGCTCCCCAGGCCTCCTGACCCAAGTCGAGCCACAGCTCTGGCGTCCGGCTTCCCTCCTCGATCACGGGGGCGTGTTGGCTCTAGAGGCGTCGGCCTTCAAAGAGTACTTTTGCTGTATCGGTACGGCGAAGTAAAAGCGAAGTGGGATTTTGCAATGAAACGTTAGTTTCAGGACATTGAGAATGGGGCTTTTGATTCCTTCCACACTCGTTTTGCTCCGCGGTGTTGCTCCTGAGGAACCGGGATGGATGATTGCCGTGGTATTTCATTCGTCTGAATGGGTAGCATACTGGCACATGAATGTTGAAAACAGTACGTAATGAGCTGAGAATTAATTAAAAATAATCCAGAATGGTCCCATGGCTCCACAAAGAGAATAAGGCTAGTTGTAACCATCAACTGTCGTTCCTAATGGAGCATCCTAATCACGTGCTCGCTTACCGCGTATAATACATACGGCCGTGAGGCCTCGGAGCTGAATCTCCTGGGGATTCGTCTCCGTCCCCTACCTACAGCAGATACAGCAGCTACACGTAGGCCTAGGTCTGTACGCCTGGGTCTTCCATGCGAGGCTGGTGCTAGTCACGTGCTCGCCTAAACGGGTCATATATCTACCTCTTGGCCACGTATAGTGATTCTTTAATGATTCGTCTTTTTCTCTCAATATGCCTTTGTACGATTTTATATAGATTCTATCACGAAACTCCTACCGTGTGCTTTCGCTTTTTCCTTACAGCATCTGAATGAACAACTAAAATCAATTCTCATCTTAAAGTTCCCTACTACACCCTTCTTCTCACACCTATTATTAGTATAGCTCTTAGATTTCACAATAAGTTTCAAAGGTCTAGATAGTGTTTCTTTAATTCAGCCTAATCTCTAAAGTCTATCATTTTACCCTCACTGGATCTCTTCTAGGACACTAGCGCCTAGTGAAATGGTCTACCTAATCCGGCGACCTGCAGGGCCTCCTCAATCTTCCCCCCAAGCACCGTCTCACAGCCTTCCAAGCTGAACTTTCAGCTCCTGTCCCCGCAGCCTGCACACCACACTCCTCTCTACACCCCTATTCTATCCCAACGCCGCTCTCCCCAACCAACACCCAAAAATCCACGACCGCAAAGCCTACTTCATCCTCCCCACATCCGACTACAACACAACCCACATCCAGCTCGGCCAAATCATCACCGACATGCACCTGCCATACCGCGCGCTCAGCCCGCCCCTCGCCCCGCTCCCCGCCATCAGCACCGCCTTCAAAGCGAGCTACGTCTTCAGCCACTCGCTCGCGCTCTCGGGCTCACTGGGCCTGCAGGCGCAGTTCCTCGCGCAGCTGGGCAGCCCACTCGGCGCCGACGCGAGCGTCCGCGGCGAGCGGGGCGACGATGCGCGCTGGGAGATCGTGCGGCTGGAGACGGCGTTCATCGAGCCAGCGTAGGGTTATGTCGAGAATAGCGTGTCGTGCGTGGCAGCCAAGAAGACGTATCTGGAGCAGCGGAGGCTGGCGGGGTCGGTGTATATGGTGACGGGGGTCAAGGTGGCGAAGGGGGTGCGGTTTGTGAGCAAGCAGACTGACCGAGCTGTAAGAAAGATTCATCAAATTCCTTCGTCCCCCGTCTCCCAATAGCCCCAATATATGATATTTTCTGCGTCGCACTCGATCTCCCAGTCGATTCGTTCTTCACATAGTTGACGACAAATTTACGGCCGTTTTGATCAAATGAGCAGGCGAATAACGGCCTAGAGATTAACGTTTTAAGGTTCCTGACACGAGAAGCGTATAGCTTCTTCAGAACATTGAGTAATTTGTATTCCTTAATCTCGTATCGATCGCCCGTAAAGCAGAGGCCCTCCGCAGCGTAAACATTACCGTGGTTTTCGCATCGAAAGAAGCCGTTAAGTCGGAACCTCGCGCCAAGAACAGCACCGATATAGCATACAGGTAATATTTCAATGAAGCTGAGAGTACTGGCCCGCCCCATATCCGGTACCTCAAGTTTGCTGAGGTCGAACGGTATATCAAATTCTCTATACTGCTCTTCACTGTGGTCGTACTTCGTTAGCGGATCGTCGTGACCAGGACTAATTTGCCGAGAACTCACTTAGGTTCCCAATAGTCAATCCTTTTGAAACGCCTAGCGTATCGTTTCGGGGTAGCCTTTGATTTGGGAGTCCATTGATAAAGGTCGGCAGCCTTGCGACTCTCCTGAGACGTTGCCAACGAGTAAGGCTCTTTGTATTTAGCAAATGACAAGTAACATGACGCCAAATCAAACTTTTAGAGAGGCTGACGCTAGAAGTACCCTGCTTCATAGTCATACTACAGTGAATCTTGATGTACTGAATCGCTTATCACTGAACTAAATTGTTATTTGACCCAAAACTGCACATTCTCGACCTCCTCTGCTCACGTGGCCCTGCGCCGCTGTGGCTGAGGTCGGCTCAGGCCCCAGCTCAGCTCCGGCCCAGCTGCCGTATATTAGCACGTATGCGGCAAAAATACAACCCACTCACTTTGACAAAATCGTCTGGTGTATTGTTGCAGATGGATGGCAACTCACAGCGGCGCGACCGGCTGTCGAAGCCTGTCTCACGGCATTAGGAAAGGGATACTGCAGATGGCGCTGATCCAGATGCAACTCCTCCATTTCTTCTCTCCTTGACCTTGATCACAGTAAACCCACACATCAGCTGGAGTTTCGCTCTGCTCCTTTACGAATGTCTTCTCTTTGCGACATTGAAATTTGCTATCCGTCTATACCACTCTTCGCGCTGCTGAGTTGTCGCAACGTTTGCCGGGGAGCTTTGCGGAACGGGCATAACGGACTGGCCGCTGCATCACCAGTCGATGCTTCTGCTTGCACAGAGTTTGTTCTCTCGTTCGCTTGTTGGATCACCTCGTTCCTCTGCTCTTTTGCCCAGTCTCTTAAATTCCTTTACGCTCTGGCTCCTTCGCGGAAGATTTCGGCATTGCCAGTCATAGAGTATCCGTTAATTTAGGTCATGTGGTATTCAGGCCGAACTCCAGGGCTGGTTGGCTGAGTAGGGTGGCTGGTGTACATCTTGAGAGTGCCGTTGTGATAAATCGACGTAATGGTATAAGCGTTGTTGTCGGAAACAGGGTTGTTTCTACCATATGACTGAAGACTGTTTATGCCTCTCGCTTCCAACGCGCCGTTGTAACAAGCCTGTCGTTTAGCCACAGCAGCAGATCCATCCGGCCCTTTGGCCGCCAGGAAAAGGTTTGGCGCGACGGGAAGGTCGTGCTGCGTTGAAGGAGTGATTTGGCCGCCAAGCTCATCGCGGACTTTTCGAGTGAGCTATTCCGGGCGCGCTGTACAAAGCCGCATGCCAGCGAGTGGGCGAGTGCACTGCATTCCTTTGTGAACACTTCGCGCTTTGCTTCCCTGTCGCATTCGTTGCCCACTAGCATAACGGGAGCTAGGCCAAAACCGGAGCCATTCGATGGTGCACTCGGCGGCGAGCCACGGTATGTTGGAGATCCGGATGCCTTGACCCGTCTGATTTGATGGTGAATTTTTTAATGCGGTTAAAAGACGACCGGGACGAGATGCTATATACCAGTACGAAGCCCTCGCCTCGTATCCACTGGTCTCGCAGCGCCGCAATGTATTCTTCTTGGCCTGCGGTGTTAAGCACTTCCAGCATGCATGACTGTGAGTCAATCTGCACCTGCTTGCGGTATGATTGCTCTATGGCCGGTTGTAGGTTTCGATGAAGTGGTTTAGACAAGCTAGAAATATAGTTAGTGGTTGACATTTGACCGGTGTGGAGGGGCCCACCTGGATGGTCAAGGCTGTTTTTCCAACGCCACTGTCGCCCAGCACCACGACCTTGTACAAAGTCATTTTTCCCGCCATTGTGGGTGTCCGGAGACTGCTAATCTGCTTTCGAGTCGGGGGCAAGATGCGAACCAGAGGGTTGGGACCTCCAAGGTCCACCCCCAATTCCAGACCAGCTGTAACTGCGAGCTGTTTCGAAGAGCTGAACCCGCTTTCACCGCTCACGGCCTGCGCACCAGGTGGTGCGTGATTGCCGGGCGGGTGTGAGCATACGCACAACCTCGGAGGGAGCTCCCCATAGAATGCTGTGTTAGAACAACACTCGTCGTCCGGTCTGAACTTTGCACAGGAACCGCAGCCGGAACATTCGCGTAGATTGTTGAGATATTCTTCGCTCAATGTCTGTAACTCGTTTTAGCCTCTTGAAAACGGGAATGAAGACATCACTTACCGTCTGGCTATTGGTCACCGCGAGGGTCTGACTGCTGCACGACCCAAATTTGTTCACATCAGCTTGTATTCCTAAATCCCCATCTCCACATTCGCTAATATTGTTGAGATTTTTGACTTCCGTTGTGGCGTGGGAAACTGTCTGTAACTTGTCTCAGCCTCGAGGAGACGGCTAGTAATAAAGCCTTTACTTACCGTCCGGTTATGGGGCTCTACGAGGATTATTTTTGAAGTAAATTTCGATGGGAAGACCAGACTACGAAGTGTACCCCTATTTGGCATAACGTGTTCGATATATTTTCCAATTTTGGGAACCCAACGGAGGCTCACAAATGAGAGGAGGAGAAGCGAGGCCTACAAATGTCAGCAAGAAAATGGATACTGGAAAGCTTTGACATACAAATTCCACAGTGTAAGTGCCGCGACAACTTGCGTTACGAAATACAGCGGCACCGACGAGAATAAGGGATACTACAGAATAATTATCATTTCACCGACGGACGAGACGGACGTGATGGACGTGACGGACAATGTGGGCAATGCGGTCAATGTGGTCAGTGCGTTCGTTCCACAGCCCCGCTTCGACAACACGACTCCCGCTCGAAATCTTAGGAACTGTCACAGTTCAACGCCACCACGCATAATGAGTCTCAAGATTAGCGCCAAGACTGCTGAGGCACAGGCCAGAGCTGGACTTAACTCGACTGAGTGGAAGCGGTTCCTGGTAAGCAGGGATATAAGCCCAGCGTAGTCCTTGTTAACAAAGATCGGCAGGCCGTCACAAAGCAAGAAGCGGAAAGACTTGCCACAGATCATCCGGAATGGACTCGTTGGACTCAGGTTTATGCAGACACCCAAGCGGATATCCAAGAGCGTGTGGTTAAACAGCTGCTGGAGGAGAAGATACATAAAATAGATGTTGACGTCGTTGACTGGCGCATGACACAAGTCGTGCGGAAGGTCCATTGTTAGTTTTGATATTATCATGGTTACTATACTGTTACTAAGTTAAGCTTCAGTGGCAAGAACTCCATCGCACAAGGAAGCAAGCAAGCCAACCGATCGACCCCACGAGCAGCAGCCCCCAACTGAGCAGCCATTAGCTCCAACCAAGCCAACCGATCGACCCCACGAGCAGCAGCCCCTGGATGAGCAGTCTATGACTTCAATCAAGCCAACCGATCGACCCCACGAGCAGCAGCCTCTGGCTGAGCAGCCACTAGCTTCAAGCAAGCCATATGATCCCGTAAGAGAAAGTGCCGTGCAGAATGGATAAATAGCCTATGTAGACCCCTAAAAGAGGCTAGCGGTAGATTAGCAAGGGGGATGTGGCTGTCTAAAGATTGTTTTAAATGCCCTAAGTAGTTCGGAATAACGCTTATGCCGCTCTAGCAGCAGCCTCGCTTTCATTGTCTCCCTGTGCATAAACGTGCAGATTTGGCAGCAATCATGCAACAAACGGAGTCCGAATCGCTCTTCCATTCGCCGCGAGTCGGCGGCTGCACCCGGTGTCCCGTCGCCCACCATCCCCCAATATATTGATGGCGCTGAGATAAGGATCAGAGACAGCGATCGCGTCAGCAGTTTCCTGGCGCTGGGTACCATACGCCTTCGGAGCTTATCGGGGATGACAGCCCCGATCACTAGATTCAGAATGAAATACGACAGGTTCTAGCTTTTATACCACTATTTTAGACCATAGATATTAGGTAGAATTAAAACGTAGGCGAGAATTAGAGAGGGGACTCTAGGGCGACTATTTAGAGAAGGTTATTAAGGAAGTTAGTAAACGCATTTACTAATAAGATAACAAAAGAGTTCTGGAGTTGGTTTATATAATCTAAATTCATGAATCACGCGCTTACCGGTCGCCATCGCCCCGAAGAGCTTTATTACTATATAGATATTCGTGGTGGGCTACTATATTTGCATTAAATTGAACTATTTTGAATGGGCCTTCACTTCGTAAGAAGATAAGGTTGGAAATAAGAAGTTCGCCAATGCGCTGCTAAATGAGTGGATCACAATGTCAATAGCCCAGTAGGAAACTTTCTCCCAGTTTAAAGAATGAGGTCTATCTGTGAAGCGTATTTCTGGTACATCTTCTGGTTCTCGGTCCGTGAATATTTCCAAAGAAGAAGCTCAAATTTCGCCGGCCAATACCCACAGAACTCCTAGTCTATGATAGCTACAATTTCATAGGTCTCCGGGTGTACCATAATACCGTGCTGGCCAAGGTCGATGTGACATAATGCATACTCTGGGGCATCTGAACGCTTCCGAGGCCACTTAGATCTTTTTTCCTGATACATAATCCGACTCGGTGGGAAAACGGGAAGTGATGGATCCACACTTCCCATGAAGTCTCGCCGGAAATTGTTGAGTTGAGGCAATATACTTTAATTCATAGTCTCCTCTACTTTTGCTACAGCGTCGGCCTTCTGAGAGGGATCGATCGTACTGAGTTGAACACCGTCCGAACGCTTTGTCTGAAGATGGAGTAATCCGTCTTTCATGTAGATGTTTTCAAACTGTGGTACTGGAATCTTTGTGTTCGCGGCAATAGATTGAAGCGTAGCTGCTTTATTTTGCAATCGCTCTTGAGAATGGCGAGGCCAAACAGGTTCTCCCGTATATAGGGACCGAGGAAGTTCTTCTTCTCGCAGTTCTCTCTTGGTGAAGGTCGAATTTGAGAGTATGTAGTGGCGTTCGGAGCTGTGCCAGCACAGGTCTGGAGATTCCATGAAGGCGATTGTCTCGACCAGTATGCAGCCATGAGGTGTAACTCTCGGAATTCCAAAGGAGATAAAAGGTTCCTTTACTTTAACTGCAGATGAGGTGAGCAGAGTCGGCAGAGTTAGAGTGAGCAGTATTACCTACTAAAGGGGCTTGGGTGCGGCTTTTAGGTAAATTCTAAGTAGAGACTATAGGAGGGATCGAAAGGGATTGGATATACTAATATTTGTTATACCACTCCAATGTGCACATTCTCCGACCCCGCTGTTCACGTGACCCTGCGCCGCTGTGGCTGAGCAACGTAATCGATAGGCTGAGTGGTCCCTAGGTCTACCTGGTGGCACATCTCATGGATCGTTGCGACATGCATATATTCGTATCAACCCAAAATCAAACACCGCAGAAACTTGAGGTGTTTGATTTCGCACGTTTAGCGTGCCCGGTCGGAAAATCTCACCCTCCGCGTTTTTAAAGCGGAAACATTATTCTAATACATCGCTTTCTACCTTCATACAACATCATAATGCCACCCTTGCCTCATTCATTCTTAGCATGACAACCTATCCTTATATTAAAACTGCGCGAATTTTGCTTCCGTCGGCGTCACTAACCGTAGGCGGCAAACCATAGAAAAGTAAGGAGATGTACTTTACATTTTTGCTCTACTTGCTAGTTTGGGGAGCACCAAGATAAGCAGTGGTAATGGGTGGGGAGTAAGCGTGCCGGGTGAGTAGGAGTAGGTGAGCAGTAGGTAAGCGCTGGGTGAGTAGGTGGGTAAGCGCTAGGTAAGTAGGTGGGTAAGAAGGTTAGGGATTGTAGTCCATCTTCTGGGCCCGAAACGGCCCTTCTAAAATAGACTCTTAGAGCCCATTTCAACCATGGATTTAATATAAGCCTATCTTAATAGTGTGCATTAGCAAGAACAATATCCCAATGTATATAAGTAATTTTCTTTCCTAATTAGGGAACTAAGCTGCTTATGCTCTAGCCTAAGCTTAGCTATACTAAGGTATGTATATCCTAAGCTAAGACTAAGCGACTTCTACCTATATTTAACAGGAAGGGTTAAGATAGGAACTTTACTTATTTTTGGGCTTATAGACCTACAAGGTTTAATTTAGGCCCTAATTCATGCAACTCCCTAGTCTTTGCTGGTGCTAGATCCATCAGCAATCTTATGCCACCCCCGGTTCTTGCTGGACTCGAGGGAGGAAGGATACTGGGGCATGTCTCGGGGACCAGCGGACTGACCTCAACTGTTTACTAATAGGACACCTGCTCTACACGGTGTCGTTGCCAGGCACTTGGCATCCGCTTCGCGGCCAGATGAAACCTTTTCCCTTCGAGCCGAGGCTCACACCGTTTAAGGCAAAGGACTATCTCGGTCCGCGGCTTCCCGTAGTGGGCTTCTACTAGCCACATATAGAAATCACCTCCACCTGAAAAGAGCCTCGAAGGAAGACATGGAAGCCCCAACTGCTGGTGGCGAGACGAAACTGGGGTTAAAGGTGGCTTAGACACGAGACTATGATGATGTTGCTGCCTACTGGTCTTTTCTCTGGAGAGGAGATGTCTCGCGCCTTAAACACTAATAAAGCGACGAGGTCGATTTAGCAACTATAATCTTTCATCAGACAACATGTCCTCTCCTATCGTCCTCCCTACATCCGCAGAATACACATACAAAAAGAACGAACTTAGTAGTGCTGTCAGATGTTCCTACTGCTTCGCCTTGGCTTCAAATTCCCCGCCTAGTCTAACTCAAGTATCCGCATTTCCAGCTGTTTAACCTTGGCGCTAAGATTGGCTTGGTCGACCTCGCTGTCAGCGGACATAGGATTGGAGAGCTTGGGTTTGCGTGCGAAGCCGTCTAGCTTAGACCAAGTCTTCTTCGTTGTTGAGGCCCTTTGGGCTCTCAGCATCCTCATCCTCGCCCTTGTGCCCATGTGTTTACTATAGGGTGTCGAGTTAGTCATGGTCAAAGGGGGCAAACCTCCATTCACATTTTCGTTCAAAGGTTCGATTTAGATTCATGCAATCCTTATGCCGACATACCATCTTGTCGGCGGAATGCCGAGGGGGTTTTTCAGCGCGTTTAAAGGCAAGACTGCCACGTTTAGGTTGAGTCATCTTTCGGCCCGCACGTGACTGTTCGCTTTCAAGGTTCATCCTGAGCATTGAGACAAATGCGTCGCTTATTGTCTTGCATAAGGACACTGGAAATTGCAGAATAGAGTGATTTAAAAAGCGAATAAAGCAGTCAATGTGCAGGATCATGGTATCTACATCTCATCTAAATGCCCATACATGCAGGCCACAGACTCTCACCAATGTCTAATGCAGGCGAAACTTGCTCTCAACCACCCCAGGCAATGACAAACCTTCCCCATTCATGATCGAATGAACGTAGCACTCCCCGACAAGCCTGAAGGCACTAGATCTCGTCTCGCTCGCGTGAAGGAGAAACGGAACCCGTCCGCCCTTCAATATAACCACAACATCGCCAACGCTGGCCATATTCGGCACTACGCCGACATATCCCCTCCTCGTAATCACGAACCTCCATCCGTGAAGAGTGTCCCCAAGCACAGCCGTATAACTCGTACTCTGCTTCGGCAAGGCGGTGGTCGCCATGTGTTCGAGGGCCATGGTATACATTGAAGCGAACGCAGTGCCGTTAATGGGACAGTCGTTCGTCTCCTTCGCTTTCCCTTTCTGCTTGCTATTGAGATAATTCCGTAGCGCCGCATACGACGATTTCAAGTCGAGACCCCCAGAGACCGCTACTTTTGGATACAGCACGCCGGCGACTGGCACTTTCCACTTCAAGTCCTCGCGCGAATCTCGGACTGGACTCAGGACTGCATTATCGACCATGGTGTCGATTTCTCGGAAGTAGTTCGCCCATTCTTGCTCGCCGTTCGATGTCGTGCTTATACTTTCGATGACATCCACTTCATACCCGTCTACAAGCAGCTCGTCTGTATCAGGAACGCACTTGATCTTAGCCTGTTGAGGTCCAGAAGCCGCAAACGTAACACCGCCTTCAGAGGAATCGTAGAGACTGCCCGGTCGTCGCGCCGTCCAGTCAGGAATCCAAGATGCGAATTTATCTGATTGTTGGTTCAGGCCAGCTCGGTATAGCAGTTGCATGCCTCTCCCCTGCCGGACAAAGACCCGAGCGAATTTCAGTACGATAGCTTCCAACGGGCTATCGTAATCGGGCTCAAACGCCGCCTCGTTGCCGTCAGAAGCCAATCCTAGCAAAGCGAACAGTCGATCTCGATTGAGTGTTGACTCCGAATATCGGAAGTTTTCGAGGAGCATGATGAGGCTCCATCGAAGCTGCCGAGCCTCCCATTCGCGTTGTGCTGCGAGAGACAGGAAAGGTTCCCAGGTCGATTTGAGAGCTGAAGAGTCGTGGTCCGATAGCTGAACTTGGCGGTCGACAATCTCCATGGCGAGGTAGAGTTCGTTCCAGTCAATGATCCATTTGCCGCAGACGATCTTCACATTTTGCGCTGCTACGATCTCTTGGATGATCCAGACTCTTCGGAACCACGAGAGGGTGAACACTGCTGCAATGGAAGTCCAGATGGGATTGTCTAGAGGGGGAGTAGGTTCGCCTTTCCAAGAGGCAGGGACTCTAGGCAAATCCGCTGGCCACCCATCGGTACTGGGCCAGACGTTTGAGATCATTTTATTATTCGTCTCCATGCCCTCTTCGGGATCTGTTTCGCTGCCTGAATCGTTCCCTATTTCCGACTCTACTCCGTCTGCTGGGCATGCCTCGTTTTTCGATCTTTCATCAAGTTCGGCCTTGGCTCGTACCTGCATCTGCATCTCTATGGCTTTATCGCTTCCTTTGCCGCCTTCAATAAACGCATACGTGGCGGCTGCGGACTGGAATATATTTGGCAACAGGCGAATCTGCTGCGCTTTCTCTTTGTTGTCCTTTTGGTTGATGCATATAGCATCTACCCACAACATGATCGCTTTGACCTTGTGTCGTAAGCCTCGCAGGGCTTTATTCAAAGAAAGTGTGATCCGGAGAATACCATCGGGAGTCATCAACTCGCTCGTTCGCGTGTTCGTGCCCCATACATATGATAGAGCTCGATATGTTCCAGGAGACCTATAAGGCACATGAATGATCACGCCTTGCAACAGATCGCGTGTCTCTCCTGGAAGAAGATACAGCAAGCGAATATTTCCGGAGTCTAAAGGTCGATGAGTGAATGTTTCATTATCCTTCCGGGCACGAAACTTCGGCATGCTGGTTTGATGTATCGCAGGTAGTGCTGCTGGCATGGCCCATGATATGGAGGGACCATTGAGCTTGCGTTTCTTTCGTGTAGGACCCATAAGATTTTCTTGTATTGCGCCCTTGAAGATCCAATCATTTTCGAGAGTTAATTCATTGGAATCGAAGAGCCGCCACGGGTCGACAAAGAATTCGGCAGATAAAAGGTCATCGGAATACACATCGCTGACTCGGACTAGGACCGCAACATCGGTGTTCACCTCGTAGGCATTGCCATGCATCCTGTGCTGTCGCATCTAGAAGTCTGTGATTAGCAAACACAGAAAGAGATGAAGTGATATCAGATGCTCACTCTTTCGACCTGCGATGAGGTAATGACAAATGACGAGGTCTTGCTCCCTTTGCTGACAACTACGTCCAGGTGGTAGACTGGTGGATTCGCCTCCAGTGTTTCTTTCCACTTGGGAGTCTGAGATTGACCATATTGGGTGACGAAGTCAGTCATCTGATCTAGTATTTTTGGGTCTCGTATCGTGAACGCTGCACAAACGGTTGAGCTGTTGAATGGTCTATGGCCAGATCTGCTGCGTAGACGGCTTGTCTAGTTTCTTTCGGGGTTATAGGCTTGTCCTAAGCGAGACTGCAAAGCTTTCGAAATCTACAGCCTGTTAGATGACGGATTGCAAACGAGGGAACGACGTACCATATGCTCTCCCAGGTATTGAATATGATCCCATCCATCGATCCTGTCATCCGCAAGTACGAGGCGGCGAGAATGAATTTCCTCAATGATTTGCTTCATAGGCAAACGTCGATCTCCATTGCGACTGTGGACGACTTCTCCCCTTTGAAAGCGGTCAAATGTCATTGCATCTGATGAGTCTCTGTAAGATGATCCCATGCGGTTCACACTACCCCAAAAGGGAGAAGGGATACGCATCAAATCCGTTCTTTGGGCTCGGTATCTGTTCTTCGATTTGTCTGAGTCCACCAAGTCAGCCTTTGAATAACACATAAATTCCATTAGCTTACCAAACACCAGACCCTTGATGTATATGCCCTGCTGGGTAAATGTAGAGTAAATGCTTTCCATGCTGGAACCGCTTAGAGCTGTGAATAGAAGCGAAAAATGATTCGGATCTTTGATTGCGCAGGCATCGGCAATGAGGCTGACTAGCTCGTAGGGTGGACATTGAGCCGCCGCACACTCTTCCGTCATGAGGAGATTGAGCAAGTGCCCTGTGTCAGATAGACATACTTGACCACGAACAGGATTACCTTGGATCTCGGTACCAGCGAGATTGAACATGAAGGTCTGCAGTATGTCTATTGCAACACTGACCCTCACTTCGTCGATTTGGCGGATAATAGTCATCCTGTTGTGGTACGAATGGGGTACCAGACTATGCAGAAGAGGACGGAGAATTAGCCGATACCCTACGGATACCACATGATTCTCAACAAATTTAGGAACATTAACCTTTTGTGTCCATCTCCTCTTTAGGAGACTTCGGCTGCCCGAGGAAGATGTTCATTTGAAAAATAGTACTTACGCTTTGATGAATGGAGCCTTTTCGCGGAGCGACGCCGTGTAAGCCCAATGAGTAGAGTGTCGCCCCTTCGCCTGTGTCCGATTCGTCGCTAGTTTCGACAACATGCGGCCATCAAGTCTCAAAACGCGGAATAGATCCTGCAAGGCAGGTAGATCCTCAATTGGCAAAGCTAGCAAGGGAATTTTGCCATGAAAGCTTTCTCGGATAAGCGGTTTATCAGCAATGAACCAACTTGTGTTGTATAAATCCAGGAGGTTGTCGTATTTTGATTTACCAGGACCATTCGTGATCGGGAAAATCTGTTTGCTTTGAAGGGGCCTAAGGAGCTGGGCAGCCTTGCTGGTGTTGACATCTTTCAGAGCCGTGCTAATGTCGCGAAAGAGACGGGAGATATCATCCAGCTTGGTTGAGCTCGTGATCAAGGTCGCAGTTGCAACTATCGGCGCAATGGGGTCTCCTCCCGGAGATATCAAACACCGGAAGAGATATGAGCTGGTTGGATACTTAGACTCGATTGTGATATCTCGCGAGATACATTCTTTCATGTTCGTCCAGCTAGCTGGCTTCGTCGATCGTGGTGATTCCAAATGAACGAGGATGATGTCTCTTTCACGGAATGCCGCGCTTCAACTTTTAGTACCTGAAAAGATCTTAGACAAGAGAAGACCTACCTGATAAGCTCCTCGTTCTCTTTGTATCTGGCCTCGATTTGCTCGTATATATAAGCAACGTTGTCGACATCAGGAACAGGCTCATCGGAGATGGCAATCAGGCAGCGCAGATAGTAATGGATATCTGGTTTCACGATAACGCCGAAGTAGTTCAATAGTGTCCATTCGGGGTGCTGGGGGTCCATGATAACCACCGCGGGTATGAGGCGTCCTTCATCAAGTTGGCGGTCAATCGTTGGGAGAACTGTATCTTGTAGCGACAACGATCCTTTAGCACTTTGCACTAGGCAGGCTCCGATACTGTTTTTCAGCTGGGAGCTTGAATCAAGGAAATCAGCGTCCTGCCATTTCATGTGAACTCCATCAATCCACTGAGAATAGTAGTGCCAGTTGTCTTTCAGGAGCTGAAGGACGTCCGACGAATGACATTCACGAAACATGAAAGTGAACTCCTCCGATAGAGCGAATGTCTTTTCAGTATCGCCAACCCGAGCTAATGGGGGGACAGGTATCAAAACCTCAGGAATAGAATCACTTAAGGAATTCTTGCGTTTTCTTCCGTCCTTCGGCCTGTCCTCCCGAGTTCGCAAGGATCCCGCAGGTCTTCCATGTGAGGCGCGAATTGGCGAGTCGGCTGAACCATCCTCTGAGCTCGTAGAGCCACTGGCGGTATATTGTTTATTGAGTGAAAATTCATCGAAAAATGCGACAGCGGTGTTTGTCACATCTTTATCTTCGGTATGAAGAAATTTGTCGAAATCGAAGTCCTCCAATACGTCATCTGGGATTGGATCGATCCCGGACTGGCCCGCTTGATTGGTCAGTATACTTGGGCTCAATCTTGGGCTCTCCAACGCCAGTGTAGGTTGAGTAGGTTGTGGTTTCGACTCTACATGCGGCGTGACCAAGCGCGGTACCTTTGAGAGCCCAAGATTGCTGACCAGCCAAGCGGGCCAGTCCGGACTCGAGGCAAATGCCTTGAGGTAATCGTTATGAATGACTGCAAATTTCTTCTGAAGTTGCGCAAATATCCGAGCTGCGGGGGAGTTCGTCTCACTACTTCCGGGGATGTACAGCTTCCTCCCGAGGCACCGCTCGTCTTGCATGGTTGCAAACCATAAATCAACGGTCTTGGGCGGCTGCCATGAGGCGTTATAGAGAAACGCTGCATGAGAGATGAGCTGCTCCACTGCTAACTTTTTGGGGTCGAAGTCTGCAGATTCGTGTACTCGTACTATCAAGCGGCATATTTCAGGCGCTTCCCAAGCCTTGACGCCGAGAGTCGTGAAGAGCTTGCGGCGATTTGGATCAGACTCTGCGGATGAGTCGACGATGAGCACCTCGATGCCACTGGGGATTTCAAGGGATGTTTCGCTTTTTGAAAAGAACATCGACTGCCCTCTTGCTGAAGTCCAGTTGCCATCCTGTAATGGGATCAGACAGATATCCTGTATCAAAAACATGAGTTCCGCATCGGTTGAAAGCTTGACGAGAGTTTCTGCAAGCTGTGAATGCCATGTGGATGGTTTTGTACGAAAAATTGTCGGATCTTGAGTTATCGCGGAATTGAGATCTGCCAAAAACTCCCGCGGAGAAAGTTGGGACGCGCCAATCGAGTTTGTTCCTTCAATAGCCCATGCTGGATATTTCAATGACAGGTAGCCGTCGGCGGTGTATGAGCTCAGGGTAAAGGGGATGCCGTCTTTATCCCCAAACGGATCCAGTGGTACGTGCTTTAGAGATGAAGCTTTCACCATAGTTCCTGCACAAGACTCCAAGACCGGGCTCTCTTTAAGTTGAGCTAAGATGGATGCAATAGCTGGTTCGAGAAAAGAAGATGCTGCCGTTGAAGCAGATGGAAGGTAGTAAGACCAGGCATACTTCAGCTTTCCCTTATTGAAATGGTCAACTGAGAAGAGAAATGCGTCTGCCAAAGCATCACGGATGGTGCGGTTCCATGGCAGAGTGCTTTCGATATCCTCCCGACTGGCGGTGAGGAGGAAGTCTCCCTGAAGAAGAAACTATGTGATATCAGACATGAAGCAGGTGAGCAAACAGGAGAGATCTGGTTACCTTCAAGCCATAGTTTCTAATCGGGAGGAATGCATACACGTTCTGGGGAATCAGGCGAGGCTGTTCGGGGAACTCAGCTGTAGGAAAGGCAAGTAGAATTTTCGTCTGTGGCCAGTCTGGACGCTTATGCTCCTTGGGAAGATCTTTGATAACGTGGGTCCTGATGAGATACTGGAAAGTGCTCTTTCCGGCATACAAGACTGTAACTCGATCCGCACCTTGGTGGCTCTCGGTTTTCCGAATCCTCTTTTCCCAGACCGGTTCGTTTAAATCATCCGGACGTGAAACTCGAATGTTGATCTCCTGGACACGTCGGAGGAATATAAGCAGGTTAGTATCGAATGTTAAAAGCTCGTGGATAAGTGTCTCCTCCTCATAGCCCTCCGACAGTTGGAGATAGATCGAAGTACAACCTGGCCGCGTCGGTTCAGGAAAGTCTGCCCATATAGGGGCAACCATGCCTAGAAACTCCCTCTTATCAAATTTGAATGTGAATTCACGGGATGATATCCACACCACATCCGAGGCCTTGAACACAGACTTGAAGCCAATTCCCTTTTCGCCAATGTATTCCCCGTCACTCGTCTTGCCCGACTTTGTACTGCGACTGATCGCGCATATAGCTTCCACATTTTCCGCTGTGAAACCGACTTCATTGCAATCGATGCGAAGACTTCCAGGTTTGTAGGAGAAGCTCAACGTTGGGCTTGGGTTATCGTAGGTATTATCATCGGCATTCTGAATGAGTTCCAGTAGGAAATGTGTCGATTTCTCGTATAGCTGGCTTGATAGGCTAAGTAACAGTGTTAGTCGGAGCTGCATGAAACGACAAACAACATAGAGAGTGAAGCAACGTTACATTTCAAGGCAGTTGCTCACCAGCAATTCAAACCTTGTGCCCTTGATAGCACCATTCAAGATGTGCTCGCGACCAATCTTCTCTATGAGACATCGTGCATCGCGCTGACCGGGAGTCTCCATTTGAGAGCAACAGAGACGCTCTCATCCGGTCAGGGTCCTGACGAGGCTGAGAGGGTAGGAGGCGTGGTGTCGCTGGTGGAGGGTCGTACGCTGCCCTCGCGCATGTCATGAAATGTGACTACGACACCAGGAGAGTATCGAAGGCCAGTTTTCGAGAGATATTGCGGGAGGCATGTCTCGAGGCTTAGACATAATCCCCTTAGAGGGAGCTGAGGACGGAGGTAGCCTTGTTGCATCTAGAATCGGGCGACGCGCCGGCCTCGGATCGCGCACCACTCAAGATGCTGCGCCCCTCTGGACTGCGCCACAGTACGAAGGTTCTCAATCACGTGTTATGGGGGTGGCAAGCTGTCTGCTGCCGCGTTTGTCTTCAACCGTCGAAGTCCAATATTGACTCGAAATGTGGGCAGACTCATAGGGCTCGCAGTCATCATGCTCGGGAACACATTGTACTAGATGTCTCGGGTGGAGTGCCGAACGCGTTACATGATGATCATGGTGGTTCTCGAGGGTGGCGGTTGCGCGAAGACGTCTGGTCTCCGCGCTCTCGCTGCCAGTATCTGTCTAAGACAAGAACTACGCCCAGTAAGTACAAACGAAGATTACTTTCGTTCGCAATAAGTAGGAAGAAGCCTTTGCTATGCGTACCCGTCTTGCGCAGATTGATCTGCTTTCGAATTGTCGTAGTTCGTGGTCAGCTCAGCCTCAAGCTGGCCGCCGTAATTCTACGCGGAGAACTGAAGTAGCCGTTGGGGGCACCAAGTGGTAATGGAGAAGTCGTCCCCGGAGTTGCCTGGAGTGGCACCCAGGGAGTGAGGTAACAGTCTCGGTCAAGTTAACGGGCTCGAAGACGGAGCTTCTGAGGTTGAAGATAGAGGGACAACAGCCACAATCGGGCAGATTGGGGGCCACCAATAGAAAGCATGTTCGTTCCAAGCCCCACTCGTAATGGCGGTGGCTCGGCAGTGATCAAGGGACCCATGCGCGTTCTGCGGATCCTTTACGCCTCAGGCATTAATGACTGACATCCTGTTGATCTATGATTATTTTCTGTAAAACAAAGGAAGGGTCAAACGTACAAACCATCAAGAACTAATTCAAGTTCTCTCAAGGTAGTTAATAGTTTTAACATAGATGGCGATGTTGAATCTGTTCTTTTGTTCACTGGGCGCGGTAAAGTAGATCTAAACTGGCCAATCACAAGCGACCCATTCGCTGAGGCCATCAGTATGGTCCAACCATTCCACAGCAACTTCTCCCTGGCATCGGACCAAGATTGAAGGCCATATGTTGCCTCGGAGCCTTCAAATAAGCGATAGGATACAATGATCAACCCCAGAGCTTTAATGATAGGACAGCTTTACTGGCCTCACGATCAATATTTGATACGATGACAATAGAGGCCCCGTCAAGTTCATAGTCCATATAACGTTGAATTTTCGAGGATAAATGGGTAAACGTCATACTCTTACGAAACTGACACCTCGCTACATCCAACGACGTCTTACTCAGCCACCAGCAGCCATGGGACTATTATCATGGACAACGGATTCTGAGGCCAGAGATCCAAAAAAGACCACAAAATTTACCGCCGGTAAATGCGCCGGAGGTAAAGTAGTAGGGACACCAGAGCATGAAAAGGCAATCCCTACGGTAAGTCATTTTATCCATTTGACCGCCCTTGCTGATGATAGCGTAGCAGATCCGTTCTCCGCAAGTCATCCACGAGCCGTCGTACCGCCTTGTACCTCGACCATGGCAAGAAACGAGATCTAGCGAAGACGACGTCAACGCTTTGGAGGGACTTGATCCGATGCAACGATGGCAACAGGAGTCGATACGAGCCCAAGGGTGGAACAACGTGGCCTCAGTCGCCATCACCGACAACATCAACGTGGGAGGAGACTTTGAAGGGGACTTCGATGCAGGGACGCTTGATGAGTTGATGTCCGAGGTCGATGCAGATTTGCCGTTTGATCAGGGTCAACATGGTCAAGAGAAGCAAGTATAGTCGACTGGAGTGGGTGTTGGAAAGAGATGTATTGATAGATTGAAGACGAGAATTTAACGACAGCAATTTATGAAACGAAATAGTCTAGTAGATGATGCCCAAAGCCATGACTCAACTCATACTTTCAGCGTATGGTCCTTCGTAGAACTTATGCCTTGACACCACCACTGTTGGTAGCATTGGTTGCAGGCGGTGCTGCTACATGCCTTCCCTGGCGATCAAAGTGCTGCGTCTGCCCACTCAGCAGAGCATCCTGCAGGGCCCAACCAATTTCGAGACTTCGGATCCCGAGCTCTAGTGGCAGCGGAACCGGTTTATCTTGGATGATGGATTCGAGGTACTCATTGGCCTCGGTCGCAAATGCGTCTTCGAAGCGCTCCCAGTACTTGGGCTGCACCTCGTTGCTAATGCCATGCGACCCAGACACCAAGACATTGTTGGATCGCGGGTGAACGTTGACGGAGATCTTACCCGAAGTACCGGTGATCTCGGTGGCGACGTCATGGCCATGTGCTTGGGTGCGGGAGCAGTAGAAGTAGGCAAGCTTGCCGTCCCAGTACTCGACCATGCCGATGCCGTTGTCGACGTCGTTGAGGGCTTTGAGCTCGGGGTGATGCGTAATCGTTCCAATGGCCCAGACAGCCTTGGGAATAACATCTCCAAGATAGTAGAGGGAGAGGTCGATGTCGTGGATACAGCCTATTATTGTTAGATTCAGAGCTTCTAAGAGGAGGAAGCACCCTCACAGTCCACGAACACGCCACCATTCTTCGCCGCATATCGAACGAAGAACCCAGTTTCGTCTAAAAGATCGCAGGTCTGCGAGCGAACCAGGAAGGGCTTGCCAATGACACCCTTGTCTACCTTATCCTTTGCGTCTCTGTAGCTAGCATCAAAGCGCCTCGAGTAGCCAGCCATGACCTTCAAGTGAGGATTTGCCTTCGCAGCGTCGACGACTGCTCGAGCCTGTATGTAGAACACTTGTCGCGTGAGTTTACCGTCGTAGACAGGAAAGGCAGTAGGTTACGTACCTCTTCTAATTTCTGCGAGATAGGCTTCTCGCACAATACGTGCAGGTTCTTGGCAATTGCCTGAAGAGTGAAGGGTGCATGCACGTTTGTGCTAGTTGACACCCAGACAGCTTGTAGGCCTGGGAGCTCGATCATGTCGGCGTACGAGTCGAAGACCTTGATCTCAGTCTTCTTGTCATCGGTCTTGAAGAACTCACGCGCCCATTCGAGTTCCTTCGCGTCGTTGCTGCACACAGCGACGAGGTTGGCGTGCGGGACGCGGTAGAGGAGGGTTTTGGCGTGACGCTTGCCCATGCGACCAAGACCGGCAACGGCAATGTTAATCTTGCCATAAGGGGCTGCGGGTGGCATGTTGTGTAGGGAGTCCATGGTGATAATATGTCCTGCAGAAGACTGATGATAGAATTAAGAATGAAAGATAACGGATGGGAAAATTTTGAACGCGTCTACGAGATCGACCTTATACTCTTCACCTCCCCTCTACCCCGCTATCAGTGTCTAGGTCTTATCAGGGTCATGCGGAGACGTCTATCAATGATTGGGGTAGATTGGATTTAAGCGTTCCATCGGATGAAGGTTGGCGTTAGGAATGTTCAGTCGAGGAAGCTCGTGGAGTCTTGCCGTGCGGAGGATTCTGCCCAACCGGGACGCCGTCTCGTGTGATTGGTGAGATTTGTCTTATCCGAGAGAGACCAGAGCATAAAACGTTCATTTTGCCCATGACACTGCCAAGAAAGACCTGTCATGAATTGCTGGAGACAAATGGGCCGAAGCTTTGAAAAAAGATGGAGCGTGAAGCGAATACCACATGACCTTCGTGTGTTCCTCTCCCGTCAGCTCTACCTTCCACAGAGTCAGTACTTACTAGACACTGCACTATTAACATGGACAAAACATCTAAAGAGACTTCGCATATTGTACAGAAAAGTAGTCATTGGAGATGCCACCCTCAGACATATGGGAAGCACAACCGCACAGGGAGAGACTAAACTGACCACCTGCGACAGCTTCCTCAGGTTCTCAAATCCCCAATATAGGTAATCAACTGCCTGTTCTGTTTCTCCCAGATCTTGGTCAACGGTAAATAACACCCTAGCTAGAAAAGCTCGTACTTCTCGCAAAGCTAGACACATAACTCTGGTATTCACGCGCGCTGATTGGCCAATTGGTCACTTACTCCAAGATTCAGACCACGAAGGCTCGAATTCCCTAATATACTCAGAAGGCATTTAGAGCCCTCTCTTAATGTCCTCTCCTTCATTCCATGCCACAGCTTGCCAGCGCACGGCCATAGTCGCCCTCCAAATTCCGGTTCAGTTTTCGTCCGTTGGCCGCGGAAGTCCGCTTTGCGCAACCACCCCAGCGATCATGAAATCTCCTCTACAACCGCACGACTTCAGCTTTCTAACTTCTTCGTCCGCCGAACACCGAACCGTAAGTGATACGTTCATAACTTAGGGACGTAGACTATAAGATGAGGGTATGCACTGTGCAATTGGCTGCCTTTTCGATTCTTGTACATACGAATATCACACATACTTAGATATCCTGTCTACTATAACCACCCACTACTCCTTCTTCAATTTTCAGGACTCTCTTCATTTTTCTGAGCCTCAGTCACTCGCTTAACCCTTTCTTTCCCGTCGCGCGTCGCGTACGGCACCATGTCTTCCTCCTCCTCCTCCACCACTACCATCACCCCCCAAATCTCCCCCACAATGCGCGCCTGGCTCGTCTCCGCCCGCGGCCCCCCCACCACCGTCCTCAAACTCACCACCACCCTCCCAACCCCTACCCCCCAGCCCACCCAACTCCTCATCCGCATCTCCCACGCCGCCCTCAACCCCGGCAGCAAAGCCCTCATGCTGCTAATCCCCCAATTCCTGCGCGCCTCGCCCTCCATCCCGGAGATCGACTTCGCCGGCACCGTCGTCGCCGCTGGCGCCTCCGCGCCCTCCCAGTTCCCCATCGGCACGCGCGTCTTCGGGTGCCTGCACCTCAAGTCCATGGCAGCCGGGAAGGGGGTGTTGGCGGACTACATCGCGATCAACAGCGAAGAGGGGGGCGTGGCGGTGCTGCCGGCGAGCTGGAGCTTCGAGCAAGGGGCGGGATTGGCGTGTTGCGCGATCACGGCGCTGAATATGTGCCGGGCGTCGGGGATGCGGGAGGGGGAGCGGGTGCTGGTGAATGGGGCGAGTGGGGGCGTGGGGACGATGGCGGTGCAGGTGGCACGGGCGATGGGGGCGGGGGAGGTGGTGGCGGTTTGTTCGGGGCGGAATGCGGAGATGGTTAGGGGGTTGGGGGCGGATGAGGTGAGTTGTGTGTTGGTTGTATGGCTTGTGAGGATGCTGATGAGTGTGGGTAGGTCATTGATTATCAGGCGCATCATCCGGTTGGGGCATTTTTGGAGGAGCGGTTCAAGTATAAGCCGTTTGATCGCATCTTCGACGCTGTGGGTGTGCAAGCGTTATATTCGAAGAGTCCGCGGTATCTCAAAGAGGACGGCGTTTTCGTTAACGTTGGGGGGTATGAAGGGGACCTGAGGTTTGTCTTGAACGGGCTGCGGAATAGGTTCCTGCCTCGCTGGTTAGGGGGTACGCCGAGGAAGTACATTGGAATCAGCACTCCCAGCACTAACGAATCTGCGGCGACTATTGCCGGGTTCGCTGCTGAAGGGAAGGTGAAAACGATTGTCGAAAAAGTCTTCAACTTAGAAGATGTTCTGGAGGTAAAGTCTTTGCGCTAGGAACTCGAAGAAACTTACTTACCAGTCTCGTAGGCATACAAGCTCTTAGAGAGTCAAAGAGCTAGGGGTAAGATCATTATCAGGATTCAGGACAGCGATAAGACGAAGTGAATGTAAGAACAGACGGACATCGTTTATAACGTACAAGTAGGACCCAGCGAATGAGGCCGTAATTAGAGCGTAATGAAAGCCGAAGAATCGAAAAGACAGCGCTGGCACTCAGGCCTTAAACCTCCTTTGCATCTCCCTCCGTCTTTTCACCGAGCGCATAAAGCGTCTTCGGAATTCCATTCTCGTCACAACTAGCGAACTTCCACCATCCGCCATGCCACCAACCGCCTACTCTTACGAGCATGTATCTTATCGGCGCTGGCATTGGCGGCCAGGTCGCCCAGAGCCCGTCCTCGACTGTCCGATCGAAATTCAGGAACAAGAACGGCACGACATCAGTGTATCCAGCACTCTTGACACTGTTCTTGCCCCAAGTAGCGAAGACCGGCTTTGCGGCAGGGAAGTCGCCGTAGGAACCGAGACTAGCGATCGAGGCGATCTCTGAATGGAAGTGGGTGTCAAAGGGCTCCTCGAACTCCTTCATTATCGAAAGGAGGGTGCTCGCGGAGAAGGAGGCGGGGGAGGGGAGGCTGCTGAGGTACTCGTGGAATTTGGCGAGGCCGGGAAGCATTGCTTCTGTTTACTTTTAGTAGTTTTTCTGATATGGTGAGGGTTCAACGATACGTACCATGTTCTCCATGCGTCTTTCCCCAGATCTCCCCATCCTCCTTCCCAAGCACTTCCACAACCTTGGGAAACAGATTCGCTTCTTCGTCATCGTGATGTCCCTTGACGAACTTGAACCAGGTCAAGGAGTATCCGATGAAATCTGCATAGTCCTCTGGCTTGACATGTGGGGCTTGAAGGTATATGGAGTTGTAGCCACGAAGCATCGCGTTGTGAAGAACGGCCATGTGGGAGGCGCCGATCGTGAATGTGTCATCCTAGGGTAAAAGTCTCACAATTAGTCGGTGTTCTTTCAAATACAGTAGAGCACGTAGATGATTTTGAGAAGGGTATCGAGGAATCAAAGCTATCACGCACCTTCTTCGTCTCAAACATCGGCGTCGTAACCATCTTCAGCGGCCCATCCGCCCATGGTTGCTGCACCTTCTGTGCCATATCGAGCGACTTTGTACTGTATGAAGCTGATCGTGAGTAGAGCAACGCGACTGTAGCTCCAAGGATAGCTAGGTAGACTAGATTCGTGAATTTGATGAGAGACATGGGATCAATTACACAGGCAAGTGGGGAAGATAAGCTATAAGGCTGCGTAGCTTTACAAATGCATGCTGCATGATGGCGTTGATGTTGATCTCTCCCGAGCCAGGGTCGAGATATCAGGTCAGTGTCTGGTGATATTTAGACCTAGGAGGTACGCCGGTCATCTCATAGCAATGCCGCAGCATCCGAGTGCATTTTCATATCATTTTAAAGGGAAGCTCGTGCCAAGCGCGTGTATATCGTATGTTGTACCTGACGCGACAGATGATGTGAAATGCATTGCTGATGAGTGGTGGAGAGGAACGGGCGGGGAACGCTGGGGTGAGCTCCAGTTTCGTATCGACGCCTGCAGTTCGCCAGCCAATCAGGGGCATTGCAATACCAACACTCCATGTTATATCAGTAAAACGGTTATTTAGTATACAACGCTCTTGGTTCTCTAGATTTCTTCCACATACACCAGAGCAGGCTTGAGGTCAAAGTAGTTCTCCAGATTCGCCCCATGCCCGTCTCCCCACTTCCTCAACCCAGGATTCGCAATAAATGCCACCCTCCCCTTTCTCAGATTCTCGCACCCAGAAATCCCCATCAAGTTACTTGACTCGCCTGACAGGTACTCTTCTCCCAGCTCCGGACTCACGAGTTGCAGCCGACAACGCTGCGTGCCCATTTCGACGGCTAGATCCCAGGCTTTCTTGATTATTTTTTGGATCTTGAGCGGTTTGAGCGCGGGAGCGATGGGAGAGAGGTGGTCGGTGAGCAGCTTCTCGATACCAGATTTAGCATCTTGGTGGCTGGTTTGGATAATAGGGTCGATGGGGATGTCATCGCTGCCTATAGCTTTAATTTTCAGTTGCTCGATGGTGACGTAGCGCCATTTTTCGCAGAGAGGAGATGGGGCCGGCCAGTGGAAGGTGCCGGATTCACTGGCTGCTTCTAGGGTATCTCCTGTGACTGTTTAGAACGGCGAGAATAGGTGGAAATAGTGTGACTTACGCTGAGCGAACAGTTCCATCCACTGCTGCATGCATACGCTCGCGTGATTTCCGCCGAAGATATAGAAGGGGGTGGAGAAGACGGTGTCCATGAGCAGTGACCAGATTGCGGCTTCTAATAGACATCTCATGTGTAGCTTCGTCTTCCAGAAAGCTTTTGAGACTCCCTGGAGCAGCGTCCACTCCCCGAACAATTCGGCGAGGGTTTCAGGATCAATGCTGGTTGGAATTTCCCGCGTTAAGACTTTGATAGCGGAAGCGAGGCCATCGAATTGTTCTCCGAGCTCGTCATCTTGTGTTGGTTGGAATCGCTCAACATTGTTGAGTGCGCTTTTCTGGAGGGTGTCGAGATTGCTGTGTAGTTTCTCATTGCCAGCCAGTAGCTCGTCATTTCTTGCCAGCAATTCAGCATTTCTCGTCCCAAGGATTACGAAATCGTGCAGAAGCTCGTCGATTATCTCATCGTTCGGGAGCCATTCGCCGTTTCTGTGGCGTTCTTTGAGTCTAGTTTCATCTCCAGGGTACTTCTTGACATAGTAGTCCCAAATCAACTTCTTTTGGATCGCTTCTAGACTCTTCATGTAGTCTTCTCTGTGGGCTCGCAGCCTTTTCATCTCGTGGTCGTGGAATGCTCGTTCTTCTTCAATTGTTTTTTCGTAGTCTGTACATCTAGCTTGAAGCGACTCGAACCCAGATTTGAGCGACGTATTGTCTGTCCGTAGGTTGGTGATGTTTACTTCTAGCTCGTCCATTTTTTCCATAAACCCAGAGTATGGTTGTGGTTCTTTGATCATCTCGTCTACTTCGAGATTTGCACCATCACTGCCCGAGTGCGAATCAACGTCCTCATTTTGCGCGGGAGAGCCGTTGTTCTTGGCCTCGTGATACAGCTCTTCGACGTCTGAATCTCCTTCGCCATCGTCTTCACTTAGGGGATCCGACTTCCCAGCCTCTTCGGGGGTTGTATGCTTCCTGCGTGGCCGACGTGATCGGGGATCACCACTGTCGTTGCGCAAATCACGTGGTTTCCGCTCGATGTATTTGGCAGTGGGGTCCATTCCAGCCCCAAACCCTCCGGTCTGTTCTGCTTGTTAGGGCATTGCTAGAGGTTGGTCTCAATCAAGTACGCTTACTAGACGTAGACCTAAGGAATACACATTCATTGGTAGATTGCGGAAAGAATAGGAAGGGGGGAATTAGCTGAAGGACGACGTCTCTAAGGAAGTTAATCTGCTATTGAACCTCTAAAGAGCGAAGTATGTACAAAGCCCCTATGGGAACCGTGGAAGTAGAGACAGAAGGAAAATGGAAGCACGATAGAAGAATATGGGAAAGAAGGTTCAGCAGGAGGTGGAAAGGAAGGGAATGTGCCCCGCAGGCGAAGCACATGCGGGTTGTAGCATGAACGCCACCAAGTGGGGGGGCAAGGCTGAAAAGTCCAGAGCTGTTGATCACCCAATTGCCGGATCTATAGGATGCGAGCGCTGCCTGAGATGTCGCAATGCACAGCCTGGGAGCGATGCATGAGGCCTCATGCAGGCGCCGGATGAAGCGGCGCAGACGAGTAGCTTTGGGGCGAGGTTCGACACATAGCGAAACGGCTGAGGGCGATAAGAAAGCGACTACGCTGGCACGCTGGCTGAAGAGAGGAGGTGGTGAGAGACTGTGCGCAGGCGGCTTGGCTGCACGGCCCGCTTTGTGGGGGTTTTCTCCTCCTTCACTGAGCATCAATCCCCATCTTCCGGGCTTCGAGTCTTCAAAATAGGATCAAATGCGCTATCATCCTTGGCCAGATGGCCCAATTCATCATGTACCCCTTGGTCAGTATCGCTAACGCCTGAAGAACACGTCCATGGGAAAAACACCATGGCCCTAGCGTATTCCAGCCTCGCTGCAGGCCGACTTGCAGGCTGCAGCTGTCTCCTGCACTACCTCAGAACGGTATCAATAAGCGGATTTCATTGGCTTCCTCTGAATGCTTTCTCAGCCTCCAAGACCAAAAGAAACCCCACGAAACCCAAGCCCCAGTGCCCGTCGGCCCAGGCTTAATAGCTTTCGGACTTGGCCTGCGCCATCGCATCAGCCTCGCTGCCTCCTTTACGCGCCTGGGGTTCAACTGCCTCGCAGTCTTTCACTCATTAACGCCCAACTCGGCTTGTCTGATATTCGATTCTCAACATTCTTTACACAGCTTTCTTAAACCTTCTCTAGCTAGCTAGCCAAGTATACATATCTTCACCTTTCTACTGAAGAGGTCGCTCCTTGAGTTCAACGGTTCTCTACTCGCTTCAAGCCTCATCAAGCGAACGCTATGTCGGGGAACCGACTGGTCATTGGTAGGAGGCTTCTTTGAAAACATCCCAGTTCTCATCTCACTGACAAATAGGCCTCGATTATGGAACCACGTTCACAGGTACAGTAAAGGCGCATCTCGTTTCCGAAACGCCACGTCGTTGATTTGGGATAGGTGTTGCCTTTTGCGAGGCTACGAGTGACGACACAAACATCGATAAAATCGAGGTCGTACATGACTGGCCGGGACCACACGGTCAATTAGGAACCAAAGAGAAAGTACCCAGCGAGATATCGTATTCCGCGGCACCAAGTGGGAGAGTTCTTTGGGGTTCCCTGATTCCCCCCCACGCCCAGCGTCAGGTCTGGACGAAATTGGAACTTGACGAGAAGAAAGAGGGAGATGATCTGAAGAACTTGATCGCAATGCTCAGAGGCATTGGGAATCTGGACCTCAGCCGTTTCTCTGACCGAGATGGCCCACCGGCGTATCCAGGAAAGGATCCTGTTGACATTGTGGCGGATTACCTTACTCAAGTCAAAGCACAGCTTACCAAAAATCTCGAAAGGACCTATGGAGGAGTTTATTTGACCATGCCAATTGACCTGGTCATCACAGTGCCCGCCGTCTGGTCTGATCGTGCTAAGGACCGCACATTCCGTGCTGTCGCACAGGCTGGCTTTGATGAGACGACCTTCCCAAATCTTCGGGAGACTATCATGGTCACAGAGCCGGAAGCCGCAGCTATCTACGTATTGAAGACTATGAAGGGAGGTCGGCTGGGCGAGGATGTTGTCGTCGGAGACTGCTTCGTGTTATGTGATGCCGGAGGAGGGACTGTCGACCTGATCTCTTACCGTGTCAAAACAGTCGAGCCAACTTTCACGATCGAAGAAGCAGCCATCGGCACCGGAGAAAAATGTGGAGGCAGTTTCGTCGACCGCAACTTTACCAAGTGGCTCGAGAAGAAGCTTGGGACAGCTGACTACAAAAAGATCGCTGACAACTCTGCCGGAGAGCAAGAGCAAGGGAGACTTGAACCGAAGATGGGCAGACTTATGCAAGCATTTTTAACTGCGAAGACCAGCTTTGGTAGCGAAGAGGATGAAGAGCACATTCTACCATTACCTGCGCCACTTAATACCCTTGACGACCAGGATAGAGGTATTGATGGCGGAGAAATCTTCATTACATCGTGAGTTGTGCATCTCCAGGCTTCGAGGAAGCACTAACACCCACACCAGAGACGATCTGAAAGAGATGTTTGATCCATGTGTTGAAAAGACTTGCGCTTTGATCGCGGGACAGATCGATCAAGTTGAACGAGCTGGCTCCACCGTTAAGGTGAGAGCTCAAGACCCCATGCCTGGCGAGATATGACTGGCTGACATACTCGCAGTATGTCTTCCTCGTAGGAGGGTTCGGAAAATCACCATACATGTACGATCGAGTTAGTCAGTTCGCCAAAGACCGCGGCATCACCACGATCCAACCTACGAAAGCGTAAGTCCAAATATGTCGGCCATACTCACCAATACGACCACTAATACCTGATCGCAGCTGGTCCGCCGTCGTCCGTGGTGCCGTCGCCAGAGGTCTCGAATCCAAAGGCTCCGACCTCATCTATCTACGAAAATGTCGGAGACACTACGGCACTCCTGCGTCTGAACCCTTCTCCGCCTTCAAACACGCGGAAGAAGACGCCTACATTGACGAGCACGACGGCGAGAAGTACGCTAAGGGTCAGATGAGTTGGCTCATTACAAAAGGCTGTGCACTTGTCTCTTCCCAGGCGCGACATGCCGAGATCGAGCTGTACCGGACGTTTGATGCCACTGAGAGTCGTGTATTCAAGGCGCGGCTGGTGGCTTGTGACGACGATGCTGCGCCGCGACGGTATGCGGATGCGGTAAGAGATTCCCCCCCTCCCAAGTAGTCTTTTGCTTTTACTGATGATTGATGTAGAATGCCTACAACGTTACCATCCTCTCCGCCGACCTAAGCTCTGTACCCGAACACAAATTCCAAGTTGCGCGGAGCGGTCCGCATGGGAAACCCTACTTCATCGCCAACTTCAAGATCAATATTTCGCTGGAATCGAATCTCAAATTCTGGCTTACGTTCAATGGACAGGAGTATGGATCTATTACCACGCAGTATGATTGAAGGAGGAAAAGGACAGGAGCAATAAGCATCCTTCATGTACTACTAATTTCGTTTGTTGTCTTGGGCACATGATTTTTATGAGCAACGAGCATCCGTTTTGGGGGACGAAGTCGATCATGGACTGGAACTGATGCTGACCCGCTGTTTGTCACCAACGGCCAATATTTACCAGGTTGCCATGAAAGACACCAAGCTTCCACGTTTTCGTGCGCCGCGCCAGGAAAGGTTGATGCCCGCGAATTTGATGAAACAGGGTTCTGCATGTCGTGTTTGGATGGCAGTGGCAGGGTGCGGATGTTCGGAACGCTCCACTATCACGAGAAGTTGTCAAGCGGTAGCAAAGCCCACAACAATGAACCGATTTCGAAGACCTTCCAAGGGCACATTCAATATCAAGCAAGCACATAGATAATGCAGCAATCTGTCTCGTCTTTAACCCGTCAGATCAATCCCTTCAAGTCCTGCTACCATCCCACCTTCACCCCCCATCAACCTCCTTATCCACCCCAAACCAATAAATCTCTGCGTCCCAATCGAGCCTATCAACCTCTCCTTTCGGCGCCCTCGGCCCTGTTATCAGCACCCCAGGCGTTAGTAATCGCGCGACTCTACGCCGGTGGGAAAATGGAAATTGCGTTCACGATGAACATCGAATCATGCCCAGCAACCAGTTGCCTGTGCTTGTTGACGAAAAGTTACATCGCGTGGTGTTTTACGAGGAGCGGATATGAGGCTGAGTGCTATTTTAATCGACTTCTAGCTGAATGGGGAGAGGGCACAGGCGCATCATTCCTGGATACGGTTGATGGGGTGAGAATTGGACGAGGTTGAGCAGTATGGATCTAGAGGACGAAAAGTGCATTCTAGGTGTACATGTACCATGGAAATAGTAAAGAGGATCAACTCTGGTTGCACTCAATTCTAGGCGGGTGGCTGCGATGCGCGCGGGAGGAGCCAGAATAGAAACGTCGACCTTGTTGGCTTCGCCGACGCCCCGAGGGGTTCTCTGAAACAATGTCTAACGGCCAGCATCCCGGCCGTGTACCTGAAGAGGTGTTCCACTGCCCCTGAACTGCGAACCCAACGCCCAATGACGATGAATTGTTTCGTTTGGCACACTGGTGCGGCAAAGAGTGGAGCGCGGCAGCTAAGGCGCGCGACAATGCCGTGTTCTAAGGTTGGTGCTGTCCAACCGCAATCGGTATCCCCGACCACCTTCACCCTTGGGGCTAGAGCTATTGTCCTGTGGTGAAGGTCGCGAGGTGAGTAATGGTGGCCGTGCTCAGCCCTGGAGACGCCGAGGGCGGGCCTACTTACCTTGTCCATGTCCTGCGTTTGCCATGGAGTCTTTATCTTTCTGCTTCTGTCTTCCTTGTCTTGTTCCACTATACTCCTACAACACCACAAACCCCACGACCATGAAGCTCAACGGGTTGAGCACGGCAGCTCTGGCTGTGGTGGCCTTGTTGCCACTGGCAGCTTCTGTTAACATAAACTTAGACGATGAGGGTATTTAGCGCTCTACGTTTCCTACGCCCAAAAGCCTGATACTAACAAAATAGTGTCCATTATGAGTACTGCGGCAACCTACGCCTACGAAATAATGACCTACTACACGAACAATGCTACAAACACCCCCGCGGACGAAGTGGGGTCGTTCCCGAAGCCCCCGTACTACTGGTGGGAATCTGGCGCTGTATGGGGAGGTCTGGTGGACTACTGGGCATACACAAACGATTCAAGCTATGTCGATACTACGAGGGACGCCCTGGTGGCCAACTTCGGTCCTAACCAGGACTTGATCATGCCAAATAAGCGGGACCAAGAGGTACACATACGCAATGCCTTTTACCGTCTTCTAGCTTTCTAACAAGACCACAGGGCAACGATGATCAAGCTTTCTGGATCTTTGCGCTCATGTCTGCTCTAGAATACCAATTCCCCATTCCTTCAGATTCCGATCCCCAATACCTCGATGTTGCGAAGAAGGCCTTTGACGGTATGGCGGCGCGCTGGGACACCAAGACCTGCAATGGTGGGCTGAAGTGGCAGATCTACCCTGACAGCGTTGTTGGGTATGATTACAAGAACAGCGTATCGAACGGTGCCTTCTTCGCACTCGCTGCAAGGCTGGCTAGATACACAGGCAACCAGACATACACGGACTGGGCAGTCAAGACATGGGATTGGTCTCAGCGGATCGGGCTGATCGGACCTAAATACGAGATCTTCGACGGCAGCGACGACAAGCTCAACTGCTCGGAGGTGAACCATATGCAATGGAGCTACGGTGTTGGGATCTACTTGCACGGCGCGGCTACCCTGTACAACTTTACCAACGGATCTGCGATCTGGCAGCAACGGACCTCCGGACTCCTAGAGCGAAGCGCCGTTTTCTTCTCGCCATTCAAGAACGCGACCAATATCATGTGGGAGGCTGCTTGTGAGGGCGCCCATAGCTGTAATACGGACCAGCAGAGCTTCAAGGCGTATCTTGCCCGTTTCCTTGCGAAGACCGCTATCTTGGCTCCGTTCACGGCACCAGCAGTCAAGACTCTCCTTCGCACTTCTGCGGCGGCCGCAGCGAAGTCTTGCTCTGGCGGCAGCCACGGAACGACTTGCGGGACGAAGTGGTATACAGGAGGATACGATGGCACCTATGGTCTCGGCCAACAACTCAACGCGCTCGAGGTTACCCAGGCTCTTTTGGCTGGAAAAGCTGGCGCTCCGGACACACAGGCCGATGTTCATATCGTAAACAAGCCAGTTACGACTACCCAAGCTGTGCCGGCCAAGACCAGCACAGCACTTCCGACACACACGAAGAACGCTGCGATGATGGCGAGAGGGGTTCGAGGGGTTCTCGGCGGTGCAGCCGTCGGCGCGGCCGTCGTGGGAGTATGGTAATGCTTCATTATTTCAAACTTTTCCTACTCTAATACTAATAAACTTTCCTATTCTTCAGAGTCCCTAGATTTCATATCCCACTACTTGGGTCTCCTCAATTCCCTAGATTACGTATCTTTCCTAGGGTCGGTCTTGCATATCAACGGCGTCACGGACGAGTAATCTTTATAAAGGACAGGGAAATGGTAGCTCTCGAGCACCTGTATATCGACTTGCATGGGCGGTGTTTGGGCTAGGCTTTTGCATGACACGGACGGGTGGTATAGCATAGCTCCATGGTTGGTAGCACGGCCACGGCGTTAGAGTGGGAATCGACCACACCGGACTTCGGTTTTCACGAGAATACAAACCACTCTTCACATACTCTTACAAGGGTATAATCTGATATTCTGGAGTCTACCACACCTCTAAATGCTTACTATATGTTTATAACTATAGATTTTGTGATACTCGACACTCCATGCTCGCTCGCGTGATGCTTCCCCGTGTCTCCAGCCACAGCCACGCTTCTCCGAGCTGCAAGTTGCCCCTCCACGCCACGCTAGAGACAGCGGCCAGCCTTTCACAAATGTTACGTCGCCCAGCAGCGCCCTGCATCTTCCGCTGGTCCACCCAACACAAGACACCTACCTACACCCGAGAAATCCTGAAAACCTTCACTGTTGCCGGGCTATCCGCGGCCTTTGCCTCCTTCCCAGCTAGTTCGGTTCTCATTCCGCCTTCCTGTTGCGAATCCTCTCCGCGGGAAACTACACTTCGGGCATAATAATATGATCTTCGCTCTGCTTGCGCTCTCTGATCCTTAACTTCACTATCTCATTAACTGTAAGTCCTACACTCCTACTGGAATACTCCTGCATTTGGTCCCCATGCACGTTTTGGCTAGAATACATTGGTCCTGACCTTCCGCATAGAGTAGGACAGACAGAAATCCGCACAGCACGTAGAACCCTCTACAAATACTAAACCCCGATCGCGACCCTTCACAGCGACCTTTCGTTGGCATATTCACTCTCTTGGTCCTCCGGAACACACCATAGTAGCAGCGGACACTAGCAGCTGGACACCTGCCACCGCGTAGTCGCAATGGCGAAGAAGAAGCTTGGTTACATGAACCCATATGTCTACGATGCATTCCTGTGGGTATTCTCGATACTGGTGGACCTGTTCTTCCGCGAGGTACATCCACGAAGCTCGTGGAAGATACCAAAGGAGGGACCGGTGCTGTTTGTGTGCGCGCCGCATGCGAATCAGGTTGGTCTACCACTCACCGACCTATTATTTGAAGAATCAGATTGACTAACAGAGGCATGTTGTAGTTCGTCGACCCTCTAATCCTCATGCGCGTCGTTCAAAAGGAAGCCGCCCGCCGCATTCACTTTCTCATCGCCGCGAAATCTATGGACAGGAAGTTTATTGGCAAAATGGCGAGCTTGGCTGGTTCGCTCCCCGTGGGCCGGGCGCTGGATTCTACAAAGGCGGTCAAGGGGAAGATATATCTCCCGGACCCGGTCAATGATCCCACGCTGATCCGGGGCGTGGGGACGGACTTTGAGAGTAAAGAGGTGCAGGTTGGAGGGCTGATTGTGCTGCCTTCGGTGAATAATCTGGCGGCGAGCTCGGAGATTGCGGAGATCAATGGGCCGGAGGAGATTAGGTTGAAGAGGCCGTTCAAAGGAGGCACGCCATTCAAGCAATTGACGGGGAGGGAGGATATCACTGAAGATGGGAAGTTTGAGGCTGGGGAACAGGCGAAGAATGGACCCGCGCAGGGGTTCGAAGGTATCAATTTCAAGGTCGCGCCGAAAGTGAACCAGACGGAGGTTTACGATGCGGTGTTTGATACTCTGACGCATGGCGGATGTATTGGGATTTTCCCCGAGGGAGGTAGTCATGACAGACCAGAGCTTCTGCCACTGAAAGGTATCCCTCCAAATCACCCTCCCGACAACTACAGTCTACTAATTCAGTGTAGCTGGTGTCGCAATTATGGCTTTAGGCGCGCTTGCCAATGTCCCAGAGTGTGGTCTAAAGATCATCCCAGTAGGGATGAATTACTTCCATGCCCACAAGTTCCGCTCTCGGGCCGTGATCGAATTCGGAACTCCGGTCGAAGTTCCTCCTGAACTCGTACAGAAGTACAAATCAGGGGAGAGACGCGATGCTATTGGAGCGATGCTGGATATCATCACCGATTCCCTTGTCGCCGTCACTGTTACGAGTCCAGATTACGAAACCCTCATGGTAAATTGCCTGTTTGTTCATATAGCTTCATTTGCTGACTGCTGAAATAGCTTATGCAAGCTGTCCGCCGACTCTACCAGCCAAAGGGCAAGAAGCTTCCTCTTCCATTGGTTGTTGAGCTCAATCGACGACTGGTCAAAGGCTACACGAGATACAAGGACGATCCTCGAATCATCAGCTTAAAGAAATCCGTGTTGGCGTACAACCAGCGACTAATGATGCTCAACATTCGCGACCACCAGGTGGACTATGCCAAATATTCCGTCTTCAAGTCGATCTTTACCCTCATCTACAGGCTGGGCAAATTAGCCGCCCTATCCATAGTTGTCATCCCCGGCACCATTCTTTTTGCTCCTGTCTTCGTAACGGGCAAGATCTTTTCGATCAAGAAATCGAGAGAAGCGCTCGCGGCCTCAACCGTCAAGATCCAAGCCCGAGACGTCATGGCCACCTGGAAACTTCTTACCGCCATTGTCGTTGCGCCCCTTACATACTTCTTCTGGATCTTCCTCTTCACCTACACCCGCGGCTTTGGCTACGTCCCAGACTGGCTCCCTTCTAAGTTGTTTGTCGCAGCGCAAATCGTCGCATTCCCAACTATCACCTACGGCTCCCTCCGCTTCGGCGAGATTGGCATGGATATCGTCAAATCCCTGCCCCCGCTCATCTACCTCCTCGTTCCGTCTAGCAGCAATACGCTCACTAAACTCCGCAAACGTCGCGCGGATTTGGTCGAGCAGGTCAACGATATAATCAACACCCTTGGCCCGGAGATGTTCCCAGACTTCCATTCCAAACGCATCATCACCGATGCGTTTGGTAACGACATTTCCGCGCCATCAACTCCGCTAGAGAGCAGACAGAGCGACGGTTCCTTCTCCCTTGTCGACTCTAACCCCACCTCTCCTACCAGTGATGGCGAATCAGCCGCCAGCATCGGTGGTGGGTCGTCCGCTGCGGGCAACTTACCGCGGAATGAATCTTTCAAGGATCTCGGCCATATGGAGTTCTATTCAACCCGCCCCGCTACACCAACGAAGCCGCGCAGTCGCCAGAACTCGCTCGGTGGTGGGTTGGGAAGCGGATTCGGGCTTACACCTATGAGTCCGAAGGACGGAGGTGCAGGGAAAGATGGTATGGCGATGGTTAGCGAGAAGTTGAGGAGTGGGCTTAGGGAGAGGGGGCTCAGGAGACGGAGTAGTGGGGCGGATGGGTGGGAGATGGGCAGTGGGACGACGACGCCGGGAAGTGAGGGCGGGAGGAAGGATGTTTAAGTTGGAAAGGGACGAGATGGGGGGGTCTAGTTGATACACTTGGGCATTGGGCCTTGGAGCGTGGTGTTTGCTTTGGCTTGGTCTAGCCTTACTTTGGTTTGGGTAGATGGGCGTTTGGGGGGTTTGTATAGTATTGTTTTAGTAGGGGATACCATGGGTTGGAAATCAGAATGGGATTTGGTGCGCATAGCTACAACTCCCTGGGTCACCGGTCAAAACGAGGCTGAAATCGATTTGATGTGGTTTCTGCCCCCCAATAGGCATCTCAGCCTTCGAAAGCTCGTGGTGGGGATCTGTACCTCCTGGTGCGCAGTTCACCGATCCTCTACCTAGGTAGGTTCCAAACATACCTGTCTTGAACTTGACTAGGCTGATTTCGATTGGATATGGCCTCTCGCCCCTGACCATCTTAGCAGGCAGCTCAACGCTCGTGGTGGTCTGTACCTCTTGGCGCGCAGTTCACCCCAGCCGATCTGCTGGATATGACAGTGCAGCCCCAAGGCTCATCCACGGCATACTATAGATAAGGTCAAGTCAAGAATTGCCTTGAAATTGACAAGGTTGGAATCATTGGATAGGATTGTGCACCCCCAAGGCCAACATACGGCATACCATAAGTAAGCTCATGTCAGACCCTCTATATCAAGCCGCAGTGCCCGTCCACTTTCTCTTCTCTGACACAGCACCTGAGTTCTTCATCATCAACCCTCTCCCCCCTGGGCGCCTCCACAGGCAAGTCCAGGGGCCGATTATCCGAGCCTTTCGAACATATACAGAGCTATCGTGGGATTCGTCGTCGCGGACGGCTAGTGTAAGGCTGAGCCAGCCAGGGAGGACGAGCGGCAACTTCTATGTAGATTTATCTACATCCAGCAGGTACGTCAAAGAACAACTTTAAATCAAGAAGAAGATCTCGGCATCTGACATGTTGGTACCTTACTTAGTTTTTTGTTTCATAACATTGACGAGTACCCGCGGAGGCCACAAGTCTCCGCGCATTCACTATTTCTTCTTCCATACCATACGTTATACCATACGTCTATACCATACGTCACGGCCTTAGCCGACAACACACATGCAGGACTTGCAGTCTGAAATGTTGCATCTACTCACGCAATTCGCCCCAAGCGAATCCTGTATACGCGCTTTCGACCTCATCGTCTTTTCCTTTAGAACCAAGACTTCAATGTCTTGCCGAGCACCACACGTGCGGGCTATGTGGTTGCTCTCACCCGAGTCTAGTTCCTACAAAGGGTACTACCACGATACAAGACCTCCCGGCAGTTGAAGATTCTTACCCACATTCCGGCTTCGTCTCAGATTCCGCTGACCTCGCGCAATGCGGATTCTTTGAAACGGCGCTGGAGGACCTAGTTTGCGCACAGCGAAATAACTTGAATTCAGATATCAGTTTTAGTGCTATAGAACCGCGCCGTACCTTTCTCGATGGGCCCCCGCCTCTGCCACTCGAAGATACTGAGAGCTCATTTGACGCTTTTCTGGGTCATCACTTCGAGTCAGGACAAGAAGTTGCTGTCTGGGACGGCGGTACGTTGAATGATGCTGGAGGCCACTCTCCTATTTTTCCTTCTTTATCTCTTTTCGACGACCTTTTTCAGACCCCTATGCCAACATCATCAACTACAGTCGATGGACCTTTCGACTCGACTAGTGGGTGGAAGGAGGTCGAAGATGTCGATTCTCAGCCATCAAATTTAGCTCCACAGGATTCGTGCTCCAACACTTCTCTACCCGATTCGTCTTCACCCGTTTCTCTTCAATGGGCCGGCTCAGATTCTACGCCAAGCTCAGCATCGCCCGCATCAGACTCCTTCCAGAGCACACCCTCGAGCCAAAGCTATGGCGTAACTCTAGTACCAATACCACGCGTATCGCGTCCCAAATGCCCAAATTGTCTAAAGAGCTTTCTAGACCAGCGCTGTTTGAAGTACGTTGATTTCTCTATACAGGCCTCAGAGTTAAGACTGAGACTAATTTGATCTAGTCGACACTTAAGAACCCATCAAACTTTCCAATGCGACATCGATTCCTGCACGAGTTCCTTCAAGGACAAGCGGTCTTTGGAACGTCACAAGCGGACAGGTGCGACTCACAAGACTTCTAATGAGTATCGTTGCACTTGCGAGGCTGAGTTTGCGAGGAAAGACCGTCTTTTGCGGCATCAACGGACGTGCCAAAAAGGACAATAAGGACCGAGTGTGCTGATGTCTACGCCGCTGGAATAGTGATGAAGCAACACTTCTGTTAGAGATGGAGACTTAAATTTGACCTTTGTCGGAAGAATGTTTCAGAATTCTGTTCCGGTACATCTGGTCCCTCAAGTGTCAAGTTTTACTCCATCTGTAGTAGAAAATGAAGATCCCTGGGGCTATCTTGTCCATGCGAAGCTAGCGCATGAGGTTATTCAAGAGCCTGTCTATAATTAGCACTTCATGTCAACCTTTTGAGCCTGCATATCGTGAGTCACACTCTCTAAGCCCTTTCCTATGATGGTGGTATTGTCGGAAGTGCCTCCGTGACGACACACGGAGCGATAGTGAATGTTGTAGTTGAAGCCTTGTGGATCGCAAGTCACTTTTCCACAACCTTTTTCCGCCGCGGTAGCAATGTGTGAAGTGGCCTAATATGGCCGGCGTGAACCGGACATAATTCAACATACTCCAGCGTGTGCATCGCGAGCCGTCTTTCGAGGACCGTTTTCCAGAGCAAGAGCGATGCATGAAGTCACTTGGTAGGCTCCGCTCAAATCGGAAAGACATAGAAGTCGTGGGGGTTCAGATCGCTTGAGCAGCTATTTCCTATGGCGAAAGCGTTGTCTGAAGTGGCCTCGTAAGATTAAATCGAGTGGCAGTGAATGTAGAGATTGATATCCCATAGGTCACACACTATGGAATTGCAGCTATTTTTTCGTTGAGAGCGAAGTTGGACGTGGCTCCGGGGTCCGACTCGGGAAGCGATGGATGTAAAGGGGTTGAGAGTGTGAATTGAAAGCGGTTTCTTATGGTTCATTCTCTATGCTGAAAGATATGTCTCAGGGCCTCCTAAGGCTTACCTCGAGTAGCCGTAAATGTAAACGGCCTAAGGGTGTAATTCGTGAATGAGATCTTCGAAGCTGTATTCTAGGCTGATGACAAGGTTCGAGGTGGCTTTATGCACTCAAATCGACCGCGGGCAAATGTTGCGATATGGGGCCCTTAAGCCGGAAGTGTTGTAACGTAGGTGACGGGGTTATTACGGTGGAGGTAGTTATTACGGTTCCAAACATCAAGAAAAAGCCTGGCAGGTGCACTGATTCCGAATGCATGTAAAAGCTTAGACCACCGTAATAACTACCTCCACCGTAATAACCCCATCACCTACGTTAATTACAACGGTAATGATGATATCTGAGTTGGCTCAGTCGGTTCTAGGTAACTGTGAATGTTATAGCCTGAAAATTACAACGCAAGGCCTCGGATGCGTGTTCTCGCTTGTTATTGACGTTTGGCCTCTATTCAACCGCGTGGATTTGACGATTTAGAAGGGTTTTTGGAGGTCTTCTGAATGGCGTAGGCTCAGCCAAAATAAGACGTTCGACTCGTGACAGAAGAGCGTGACTGGCAACCAACACGTGTTTCGAACCACGAGTACGGCATGACTTAACTCGATTACCTTACTGGTTGTTTCGAAACAGAAATGCGCCACGATTTGTGATGTAATAGCCTTCTACTCGCTCCCGTGAGGTTGTGCACGATGTCGAAGCTTCGTCCGTGACTTGATGGCTCAGTGACGCTCAACAACGTCCACAGACCTTTCTCGCCAACCAGAAAGCGCGACCGGCCGGCCCATACTTCTAGGTAGAAGCGCTTAGACACAGAATAGAAACATCGTCGTGAACAAATCGTCGGCTCTAGTTCTCGCAAGTCGTTGGACCGGGCTCGTCCCTTGCTCGGGGTAAGGCAGCAAGGCTTCACGATTCAGGCTAGAGGTCCCAAGCAGGCCAGCCTCCCGCATTTCGCGACACCCAACCACCAACCACCCGCTTTATCGGCTGCGTTTCAGACGCGCCGACGCCCCCTGCCCTGAGCTGTTCGCTGGCCCGCCCAGGACGATCGAAGCTCAGCGGCCACTCGTTGCACACCGCGGAGGAGGGGATGGCCTGCATCGACCGTGAACTCTCCCCGTCTTCTCGCATGTCGTCCGACTCGAGCGCTGCGCACTCGCTATTCCATTCTTCAGTCATCGTCTGTTCCTAGATCTGCTGCCACTTGAATCAGGCACCGGAGCCGTATATGTCTCGTAGGGCTGCTGCGTCACAAGGGGCCTCCATGTGCAGCGCGCGCATCATTCACTGACTTGGAAAACGAAGCCTTGCACTACGCGACCGCAACCGCATCTGCGACCCCCAGCCACCTGGAATCGCCTTCGCAATACTAGCAATCTCTCCTTCCATCCATAATCACTATCCCATACACCTCGGTTCCCAAAGCGCATTACTACAACAGCACCATAGCCACGAGGACATACACAGTTCACCACAGATGGTCTCCGCCTACAGCACCCACCGCGACATGAGCTCCACCGATCTAACCCCTCAACCCCTCGACCGCTCCCAGCAGTCCCTCTTCGACCACGACATCCCCTCCCTCTCGGCCTCTCTCGCCGCCTTCGGTCAAGACCCCGAGAGCAGCGCCCACAGCGGCTTCTCGACCCGCTCGCCCATGTTCTCTTCCCGATATAGCGTCGATGAATCGGAGCCTGAGTCCGAGGGGCCGTGGGCGCCGCCCGCATGGCAGAAGAGCAACACTGGGTGGTACCGGAAGAGCATCATGAGTGACAGCGCGATGCGGAGCAGCCCGTCGAGGAGTAGAGGCGCGAGTCCTCAGGAAGGAGGAGGTGGTGGAGGTGGAGGAGGCGTCGTCAGCGAGAGGGAGATCACACCAAGCCATATTCCGTTGCCAGAGAGTCCATTGAAGGGGTCACCACGGACGAGTCCAGAGCCGGTGGGGTTCGCGGAACAACAGCAAGCACGGTTGAGGAGTCCAGAACAAGAAGGGTCCAGGATGCACACGCCAGCGTATGTGGGGCAGGAGCAGGAGGGTGGTGAAGGCGAGGCCGAGCAGCATGGTGAGGATCCCGCGCAGTTGGATGGATGTGAGTTTTTCAGTGCATGCGATTATTGCGTTTTCGGTGAATGAAACAGCGCTAACTTTGTTTTACAGTTGTGCGGTTTGCGTTCCGCGCGGAGTCTCTCTTTAGGACCGCACCGATTGAGGAGAGCCTGCTATCTGCAGCCAACATGTTCCGCAAAACAATACACTCCAAGATACGACTCTTTACCACAATATTCGTGTTGTTCTTTGCGTGGTTCCTCTTTCAGCCGTGGGACGCGGGATTGGTGCCGGATCTCGCGAATGCGGCAGCCATTGCGACGAGGTTCGAGCCGCTGATCTATGCGTCGGAGAATGTGATCCCAAGATCAAGAGAGCTGGCGGAGAGCAGCATCGCGGTGTGGGATCTGGGAGAGAGTGTGCGCGTCACGAATATGTCCGCGTCGACGACGATCTTGAGCCAGCTGGAGTTGCTGAGTGATAGCTTGAAGGTGTTGTCGGAGAAGTTGACGAGCTTCTTCACACATGTAGACGGAGATATTGATTCGTGAGTACCGTCAAGATTCCTTCAACCATGCATTGGCTAACAATACCAAGCATCCTCTTGACCATGGAGTGGGCTCGTCGCGAGCTTGAATCAATCCATACCCCATCTCAAGGCCGTATGTCAACTGCGATTGGCAACGTGCACTCTGCGCTCTGCAAAGTCGGCGTGCTGGAGTGGGATGGCCAGCCCACCGCTGTTGGCAATGTTGTCAAGGCAATTGTAGGGCAGACGTCGCAACAGCGCTCCAAAGCGACGCTCGAGCGCACCTTCAACCACCTAATCTCCACGCTGGAAGAAAACATCAGCAACGAGATGGAGCGTGCCTCCACGCTCTTCCAGCTCTTCGAAACCGTCGACATCCAGTTTCAGCAGCTGCACCGCTCCGTCGCGCGCGAGGAGGATCAGATGGCGAACGAGAAGGACCAATTCCTCGCGTCACTGTGGCGCCGATCCATGGGCAGCAACCTCAAGCTCAAGAAGTACGAGAAGAACCTCAAGCTGCTGAGCACGGTGCGCAGTAGCACGTTCAACAACCTCATCGACTTGAAGGAACACACGCGGCTCATCAGCTCTGTGCAGGAACAGCTCGACGGCGCGCGCAAGAAGCTCGTTAGCCCGCTCATCCAGAGCGCACAGAGCAACTCATTCGGCCTCGAGCATCAATTCACCGATCTGTCCAAAACGTACACATTCCTGAAGGGGCTGAGGGACACGCAGCGGCACCGCGTCTTGCAGGCGCTGTGGGCCGAGCCGAAGCAACGCGTGGCCATTACGTCGGGCCAGGACACGCCCGAACTCGACAGCTACTAAGTACTATAGTGTTTGTGTGTGGCGCATGCTGTGTTTTGAGTGTACGGGTTAGACAAATAGGTGGCTGGAGTTCTGGTGGGCTGGAGTTCTGGTGGGCTGGTGTTTCGGTGTCACTAGGCGATTTTTGGTTTTCACGGCATTGTGGCCGGGCTTTCACCGTCTTGGAAAGGGGCCTCAGGTACATATTGCCTACTGGGCACGTCTTGGATGTTTTCGATAGCTTGGCAAGATGTTGGCAAGGTGTTCCTGAGCTTGGCTTCATTATCTGATATCTGGCGGTGAAGTGTCTCGGTGGTGTGGTCTACGTCAGGGCAGCTTGGACCATACCAGAGCGCAGATGCAGCCTCAAACTTGAAATAATAGTGCTTATACATGCTTTCTGTGCAATTGGAACGTACAAGAAGGGCTTTGATGCCGCTGACAGTCTGCATCTTGCTCACTGATTCACTGCTTGCCACCCCTCTGCCACACCTCCGCCCGTAATCAGCGCGCCATTTCCGATCGCGACGTTGAATCTGGCTGTCAGTCCAGCCTGCCGACTTGCATCGTAGCTCCTTGGCAAAGGGGGGCTGTGCAAAGTGGTGTCGCTGGCATCCAATCAGGGGCATCCCGCGTCATCGGCGCGAAGAGCTCTCCTAGCTGCAGTTCGTTCGGGCAGCTCGCGGCAGCTTCATCACTCATCAACTCTCGGTGCTGCGCCCTCTTCCCCCGCTTCCGTGCCATATCAAATCCTTCTCCGGCCGAGATCTTCTTCGCTGCCGCTGCTGTTATCGCCCGAATCACGCCGCGTTTGATACTCTGCGTCGCACCCACTCGCCCAAGGTACTGCGCTCCACCGGCGGCCTGACCCATCCTAGCTTTCCACGAGCACCCGTGGTCCTGATCCTCCCCTCAGGTACATAGCTAGAGCAAAGCCACCTAAGAGTCTGCCCGCCGAGGCTTGTCATTTCTGCTTCACCAGCCATGAGTGAGTCCTCGCCACACTAGCACCACCATCCCCCATCCCGCTCCCATCACCACATTCGGCTCTCTTTGTCTATCCACCCACGAAACCCTCTTTCCAAGCATTCTGTGGCTCTGGGCAGCCACGCACTGCCAGGCGCAGCACTCTTGTCATCAAGTCAGTCTGACCGATTACGACCTCATGCTTGGCACTTCATTCCGCCGCGCCCCGCCATCACCAGGCATATCTGGAAGCTATCCAGCACTGCCGGTACCCAGAGTTCTTGGCTAACTATTTGTTTGCCTCGCAGATAATATAAGGAAGCAGTTTCACCACCACGGTCGCCATCCTAGCGGCACCCGGACTCCAAGTATGCCATTTCCTCCAAACGGCACTGCCGATGAAAACACGCCTCTTGTCTCGCACTCGAACGACTACGAGTCGCGCTGGTCCAGCTGGCCTAAATACCTTGCCACGACTACCTGGAAGACGCTCGCCAGCAACTATGTCAATGTCTTCCTTGTCTTCGTGCCCGCAGGTATCATCTGCGGTGCGCTGCATATCAATCCAACGGTGGTCTTCGTACTCAACTTCATTGCGATCATTCCCCTCGCGGCACTACTAAGCTTCGCTACGGAAGAGCTTAGCGCGAAGCTAGGACAGACTCTGGGTGGACTCATGAATGCGACATTTGGAAATGCTGTAGAATTGATTGTAGGTTACATCTAGATGCGACAATTGGTTGGATAACGAGTGTGGCGCTAATATCAATATCAGGTATCAATTGTGGCGCTCCGTGAAGGCGAGATCAGGATTGTTCAGTCTAGCATGCTTGGTAGCATTTTGTCGAACATCCTCTTGGTAAGTTACTTGTGCTAGCACAACCCCTCAATTGGTAGGAGCTTTGCTAATAATCACACTCCAGGTACTAGGCTGCTGCTTCCTCGCTGGTGGACTCCGCTACAGAGAGTCGACTTTCAATGGCACAGTAGCGAGCACCATGTCCTCGCTCATGGCCGTAGCCAGCGCCTCGCTCATAATACCAGCTACCCTGTACGCAGCTCTACGCTCCTCGAAGGATGAAACCGAGAAGAATATCTTGATGCTGTCCCACGGCACCGCTATTATCCTGCTCATTCTCTATATCCTATACCTCTACTTCCAACTCTTCAGCCACGCGGATCTCTTCGATGTGGAAGCGCAGGACGGCGATGACGCTGAGGGCCACAAAGACGGCGAAGTTCTTTCCCCTATCGCGGCCGCCGTTGCTCTCGTTCTTGTTACTGTCCTCGTCGCCGTTTGCGCCGAATACCTTGTCGACAGCATCGACTCCCTTGTCCAAACTGCGCACATCTCCAAGACCTTCATCGGTCTCGTACTCCTCCCAATCGTCGGCAACGCCGCTGAGCATGTCACGGCCGTCGTTGTCGCATACAAGGGCAAGATGGACCTGGCGATCAACGTTGCTATCGGCTCGTCCCTCCAAATCGCCCTCTTTGTCACCCCATTCCTAGTCGTTCTTGGCTGGATCATTGGCCAGCCTATGACGCTGCACTTCCAGGGCTTCGAGACGGTTGTGCTTTTCATTTCAGTTCTGGTAGTCAACTACCTCATCCAGGACGGGAAGAGCAACTACCTGGAGGGTGCGATGTGTATTGGAACGTACGTATATCACTTCCACTCTCCCCGAGAACATCACGCTAACTCTCAATCTAAGATACACCATCATCGCGCTCGCGTTCTACGTCTACCCCGACGACGCGAACGGCAACCTCGGAAGCAACTTCATTGCAAAGTTCTTCGGAACCAAATAAGAACCCCCACATCCTAGGCTTCCAGCCCTAATTCTCCTTTTCTGTGTTTCCTTTGTGGTATATACCTTGTCTCTTCTATCAGAATGTGTGGGCCCGGCGTGCCCGTTGTATTTATACATCATATCATGGCTAGTTCTTCTGGAAACGCGGGTATCGGTGTTTTCTTTGGTTAGGTGGGCTCTTGGGGTCGAAAAGTATGTAAATATCACCGGGTCTGTAGGTGGCTTGTATAACTCTTAGGGGTCAATAAAAGCTTAAATAGGGCTATGTGTTTTGGGTGATTGAATCTCGTGTGCCGTTGTTAGGAGTCCCTTGATGCCTTCAGAAATCTTGGTAGGGTGTAATATTGACAAGGTCGTAACTGGACAGGCGTTTGCGTATCAAGTGCGCTTCATATCGCAGTATGATGTGGTATTACGCTAGAGGTATAGAGATACGATAAGAGGACTCCCGGGGTTTTTTGGGGGGTGAACGTAAGTTCTAAGCATCATGAATGTCGAATGTGGTCTTGTTTCAAGCGAACCTCATATTGGAGTATATAATGATGTTCCGCTGAGCATGTCGGAAGAATTTTGGATGACTCCTATGGGGCTTAATTCTTCTTATCCTTCCAATATAATCCATAACGCCAATAGCATGCCCGCCTCCCTAGCCTCCAAGTCTATTTTGAGGGACCTGATGCCGTATAAACAAGTCGAAAAGCGTTTCCCTCACAACGACGCTGCCGCCTCGACCGCTCCAGTTCCTTTAAACAAGCTTGGACTCGTCACGACGATCTCGACGGGGTATTTCCACTCCATGAACTTTGCCCAGCCTAAGCAGGAATCGTATTAGCCACCGTCCACTTGTAGTTTTTCCCGGGCTTCTTGGATAGCTGACACTCCATATCCACCCTCCTCGAAGCACACAACATAGTATCCCACTCACCCCAGTATGCACACTTCCGCCCAAAGTACTTCCCCACATACGGCACCAACACCATCGTCAGCAGCAACTCGAGCTGCTGCAAGCTCTCCCGCCACTCGCGCTCCGCATCCGAGAGCTCCTCGTCATCATCTATCGAGTCGGTCGTCGAGGAAGGCAGGGAATCGATCTCGTCGGCATCGTCGTCGTCGTGCTCGATGAACGAGGCGGAATTCGTCATCGACATGGCGGCGGTGTGGGGGTTTAGGTTGGGGATTGGGTCGCGTAGTGACGGCCGTTCAGGCCATGCAGGCGGATATGGGAGACCGGGGGCCTGCGGTGCTGGCGATGGGATGGGGGAGCGTTGAATGATGCTGAGTGGTGGTAGCCGACGATGGAGCTCGGAGTTGTGCACGCGGCTTGGCGTGCATAGTCGATGCTGTAGATGTGGCGTTCACAAATTGGTGCACGTGATCGTGGAAATCTTGGCGTTGAGACGACTCATCTCAAAGCCCGCCACACCGCAGTCCAGCACTCCACTTCCTCTCCTCCACCACCAACACCCTCGATCGAAGAACAACACACGTCCGATACGAAATACGCAGAGAAGAAGCCACAGAAGGCGCGAACCGAGCAAACCGCAATCATGGCCGATGTTGTATGTCGAATTTCATTATCTGCCCCACGTTCAAAATCCCCCTCTGTGGCGGGCTTCGACAGTCGAGCGCCACAACTCCATATCGCATACCGCTTCATCTCTCCCGTATCCAGTATATCTCAAGCTGACAGCAACACCCAGGCCGAATCCCCAGTCGAGCGCAAGCCTCGCAAATCCGTCGCCTTCAGCGATGGCGCTACAATCGTCGACAACGACGGCAACGTCACGGAACAAAACGCAGACGTGAACGGCGACAAGAACTCGGCGGAGTCACACTCAGCGGGTAGGTCCAAAATAAACAGTGCGCTCGGCGAGCCCTCGGGTCAGCTTGATGCTTTTGCTATGTTAGTGGCCGGTGGATGCGGGCTGACGGAATATAGATGCTGTGGACGAGGTGACCGATATGTTCAAGGACCTGGCGAAGAAGAAAAAGAAGAAGAGTAGCAAGACGAAAGAGGAGGACGGGGAGGCGCCGGCGGCGGATGCAGAGTTCGACCCCTCCGCGCTGAAGAAAAAGAGGAAGAAGAAGACGCCGAAGGTAGATTTCCGGAACATCTATAGCGAAGAGTCCTAGCTAATATTCTAAGAAGGCCGACACCGACGACTTCGAAGCCAAGCTCGCCCAAGCCGCAGGCGCCGAAGGCGAGAAGCCCGAAGAAGAGGAAGAAGCCGCGCCCGTCGAAGCCGGCGACATGATGAAGGGCACGGGCATCTGGGCCCACGACAGCAACGCCCCGATCAAATACAACCTCCTTCTCAACCGCTTCTTCACCCTCCTCCACGCCCAGCACCCGGACCTCGCGAGCACCGGCACAAAATCCTACAAGATCCCCCCACCGCAGTGCCTGCGTGAAGGCAACAAGAAGACCATCTTCGCCAACATCGCCGAGATCTGCAAGCGCATGAAGCGGACCGACGAGCACGTTACCCAGTTCTTGTTCGCTGAGTTGGGAACTAGCGGCAGTGTGGACGGCAGCAGGCGTCTGGTTATCAAGGGTCGTTTCCAGCAGAAGCAGATTGAGAGCGTGCTACGTCATTACATCGTGGAGTACGTCACGTGCAAGACGTGCCGGTCCCCGGATACAGAGCTCAACAAGGCCGAGAACCGTTTGCTGTTCGTCACTTGCAATACCTGCGGTTCTAGGCGGTCTGTACAGGCTATCAAGACTGGTTTCTCGGCACAGGTCGGGAAGAGGAAGAGGCAGCAGGGTTAGATGGCCGGCTTCCTTCGATGTTGCGCTTTTGTTTTCTCTGGGTTGCAGAAGTCAGACTTGTGCAGATTCTGGCATCCGAGTATTGAGATTTAAGGGTCGGTATATCCCCCCTTGTTAGCGGGCGGATGAAGGGTATGACCACAGGGATGACCGTATGACGGGTCTTATGAACTTCGAACGGTCGCTTGGCTTAGGTCAAGGATCCATTCCTAGGGATGATTAAACTAAAATGGACGATGGGTTTATGTTCCTCGAGGGTAGTAGGATAACTAAGCAATCGATTAGCATGATTAAGTATATACATGTCACTTTTTTTGCACACTATCAATCGTGCAGCGCTCGACGTCGGCATGCGGGGCATGAAAAAGGTGGCACTCTAATTGTAGGACAAGCTGTCTCGTGAGTACACCTATCCACCACTGCTTAGGGTGCTTCCATACATTTTCAGAAATCTAAACAGGATAGAAACTCTTCACTCTGCGACATGTGGAAACTTGTTGAAGCACTTCAAGCAGTGGTAGACAGGTGCACCTATAAGACAGCACCGCGTGGGTGATGAGTGTTAACAGAACAACCCGTGAGCTGTATACACACTTATTCCTGTGCTTGTGTACGCTTGTTTAGCACTGCTTGAGGTCCTCTGGTATGTTGTTATTATTATTATTCGTAGAATACCAGCTCTGGCATTTCTGATCGGCTCACCGGGCCAACCTCAGACGGTGTTGAAATGCTTGAGTGTGCTACTTTTTTTTTTTTTTTTTCCTGCACCGCGTGGTCGGTCTGATTGCGAACTGAACGGTGCTAATCTTCAATAATCTCAATTTTTTTTTTTTTTCATTTCTCCCAATTCGTCACTTGTTGTTTCATTGCGCCTTCGCACATTTGATCTCTCAAAATGCTCATCTCGTTCACACACTACATTATCACATCTATCTATCACATCATACCCCCCAAAACCACCCACACCAACCCCCCGACTTCCATCCACCGCCACCTCACCCCCCTCCTCCCCACTCCTCCCGTAAACTGCGCCTGCCCCTCCCCCGTCGCACTCGCCCCCGCCACTGTCTCAAACGGGACCGTCGCCCCCCCAACCACTAACCCCGTCCTCGCCTCACTAACCACCGTCCCCGCAATCGTCGCTGCCGGCCCACCCGCCCACAGCGTCGTCCCCGCAACCATCACACTCCCCCCCGGCAGTTCCGTAGCCGTGTACACCTGCCCCCCGAGCGTGATAACCGCATCTTCTGTGGGCACAGGCAGCGCGCTGAACGGGATGGTCGACGACCCGACGATCAGACCGCTGGGGGAATCTGAGATCACCAATCCGCCCGGGAGGGTGAGTGCGGGGCTACCGACGGAGAGGGTAGTGCCGGCGATGACGACGCTGTTGCCGAGAGACGTGGCTGTGAAGACGGCGCCGTTTGGAGCGGTGATGATGGCGCCGGTGGGTGTAGAGGAGGGTGGTGGTGTGAGGAGAGCGAGGGTCGAGACACCGGCGGGCCCGCTGAGGATGATATGGCCTGGATCGAGCACGCTGATGCTCGTGCCGCTGATCACAGCCCCCGGCCCGCCGGCGGAGAGGGTCGTCCCGCCGACGACGACGGTGCCTGGATCTGAGGGGTTGGTGAGGAGAGGCGAGCCGCCGACGCTGAGAGGGGGTGCCGCGGGGGCAGGGGTAGCGGAGGGGATAGTGAGGGTGGTGCCGCCGACGACGACGTGGCTAGGGTCGGGGACGGAGAGGGAGGTGCCGGATATCACGGTGCCTGGGTCCCCAGGGGCGAGCGTGGTGGTGCCGCCGATGGTGATGACGCCTGGAGTGCCGGGGTCGCCGACGATGGGTTGGCCGCCGATGGTGGTGATGGTTGTGGGGCCCAAGGGGGGAGGGCTGTTGTTCCCTCCCGGATCTGAAGGGTTGTTGGGCGTGGTGACGGGAGGGATGCCGGCGGCGGCGGAGGAGTGAGGTTGGGGGACGCCTGGTTGGGGCGTGTTGGATGGTGTGCCTGGGTCGCCTGGATCGCTTGGGTTGCCGCCGTTGCTGGGATCGATGGAGGAGGGGAGCGCAATGCCGCCAAGAGAGGAGGGGGGTTTGGGAGGTGTGTTGGTGGGTACGTTGACGGATTGTGGAGGGCCGGGTCCAGGGGTTGCTGAAGGAGATCCAGGGTCTTTTGTGGTTGTGGAAGGGAAGAAGTTGCCTACGGAGCTTACTGCCCATGGAGGGTCATCTGGGGAAGTAGTTAGACTTCATATGCACTCACAAGGTGTGGTGTAGTTGGAAAGGACGGGGGAAATGAACTTACAGAGCCCATCCAAGTTTAGGTCGCACGACGCCCACCGCGGGTCCAAACTCCTCACAGCAGCTGGGACAGCAAGCACCGGATTATACGAGCCCGATATCTCTGTGCACCTGCTGAAAACGCAGTCGTTCAACCCATCCCACGCAGACCACGGGACTGGCTCCTGGAGGTCAGCGTAGTTGAACGGCCACTGGGTTCCTCCGTAGTCGACGCCGGATTCTCCACCAGACTGTGAGTAGGGGGTAGCGCGTAGACTGAAAACATCCGAGGGCGCCAGTGTTAGTACTTCGCCCTCGTATCCGGGCTGGCCGACTGGCAGGTACTGGCTCGACCATGAGCAATGAGCCCCAATGGTTTGTAGCGAGACGTATACATTTCCAGAGAACCAGGTCGTGTTGCCTGGCAGAACGGTATATGGGCCTGTAGTAATAGGGGTCCAAGCTGCAAGATATGGTTAGCATCGAGATCTGTCATTTGACATGAGGCACAACGGGGATCGTAAAGACTTACTGTTATTAGTAGGAGGCTGGTTCCCCGGGACTCCACTACCAACTGGTGCGGTGGCGCACATGTCTCTAGACACATTTGTCTGTGGCGGGAAGTAGAAGAGGCGGACATCTCCTCCGCCAATTGTGCAGGCTGCGCCGGGAGTGCAAGTTGGAGCATCGGTGTTGCAATGAGGCTTATATGGGGGTATAACCGTGCTGTGATTCCATGAGCATCCCAAACTAATACAGCAATTTGAGGCTGAAGCACTTGCGCATGAGAAACCAAAAACGTACCTAACACTATGGCTAATCGTAGCCACTCCACCAGGAGTAAGCACAAGGCCTCCCCCTAGAAATCCTCCGGGCAGCGGAGTAGTCCTAATATACCAAGTCCAGGATGTTCCGACACCATACATCTCGATATCCTCGGTCCCTATTGTGATCGTTGGTTGTGCGGTGACCGGAGACGGGAAAGAAGTTGTCGTTCCGGCAATAACAACGAAAGAAGCGCCCGGAGCTAGGGAAACGACTGTGGTTGAGGCTGGAAACGACTGTGTGGCATAGACGCTGGACGCAGAGTCATATGTCGACCATAAAGGCGCGCAGTCATCGAAATTGATGGAGCAATTAGGTTGTAGCGTTGTAGCTAGGCCGACCACGAGGGCATACCATGAGGTAGTCGAGGGCGGGAGTAAAGTTGTAGATGTTGCTGTTGGAGCCGACGAGATGAATCGAGGGTGGCCATCGCAAAGGGTGTATTTAGAAGTGGTATAATACGTATGGACCTCGGTCACTGTTACGGAACGAATTGTTTCTGTGGTCCAAATAGTGCTAGAGTTTGCGGTCGTCAAGTAGTCGCTGAATGAGCTCACACTATACCATTCATTTTGACATTGTGCCGCGTAGAGGCTTCCTAAAGTTTTGTTAGAATGGTTGTGAAGGATTGCGCAAAACTCACCAGTTCCACTTGGAGCAACCGTCCCACTATAATTACCCACCCATGGATTTACATACGACTGTTGACTCAAGGTAGCTGTGAACGAAGAACTCGAGACAGCACTATCAGAGAAGGAGGTAGAACTAATCGCCGTGCTAGCTGAAACGGAGTTGCTTGACTCCGTAGAAACGACCGTCGGAGATGCGCTCGAGCTCGTCCCAGTCTCTCCGATACCATTCAATATAAATGCAGCTACTCTATTCGTAGATGACGAAGTAAAAGCAGTACTATTCGCTGCTGAACTCGATGATTCTGTAAAGCCATCAGTCCCATGAGTTCAAGAAACCCCGAGGAGATATTCCTTACCAGTCGCCCCCCTCACCAGCCCAACCCATCCCGCAAAAAGAGCGAATGTCAGGATTTCCATTTCCCTAGCCCTTTAACTCTAGCAGCGGCGCTCAAACCAGATAAGCAGGATTCTCAAAAGCGAGGGTAAGTCAAATCTCCATAGCAAGTGAGATGTGTACAGCACCAACACGCCCCATCGTCCAGAAGTCTCAGTGTATCACAAGAAGGATCGCAGTCCCAGGCACTAGATATACAAGCCAACATTTCCCCTCCTAAGCCCTGCAGTCAGCCTCCCGGCTACCTCTGAACCATTGACCCAATTGTGCAATGGTGATGACCAAACGGCGCTCCCGATGAGGTTTGCAGATATCAAGTCAGATTATCCACCCTCTTCAGCCTGGTCACGACCTGCATATAGCCGACTGGCGACCAATAGCCGCACTATGAACCCTTGTCACTCTCAGCAACTGTGGTATTCTCACTGTCGAGCAGTGCAGGGGAGTATAAGCATTCTGGCAGTTGGGGCAATGAATGGCGGGGCTGTGTCCCGGGATTGGGGGCCATGGGGTGTCGCCTTCCGAGGTCGTATGGTTCACACCCTCTCCTGTCTTTCACGGGTTGCCTTGCGACTCCGTGAAGAGCACGTCCGCTCGTTCATTCGAGAGTTAAAAGGAATGCGGCCTGCCTGTTTAGTGTTTCTGAGATTCGAAGGGGATGGAGGGTGCTCGTGTGTGGTTCTACAGCATTGTGGCGGGTGCCCATTGCCTTTAATAGGCAGTCAGCTCTGCTGCCCCTTGCAGAGCCCCGAAGTCGTGAGCTGATCTCCTCCCTTCTTTACATGTTCCAGCTCTTTTAATCTGGCGAATGCTGTCGCTCGAACCCTAGGGAGCGTGAAAGGGGGAGGGAGGGATGCTCAGCTCCAGGGATCAGCCGAACAAGGGCATGTTGCGAGGGTCAGGGTGACGATGAGAGACCGCACCCATCGTGTCACGGAGGCCTTCGCCGGAGAACTAGTGCTTTCACGGAACGTGTTGTAGTACGAATTAGCTAAAAGGAAGGGAGATGCGACGTTGTTACAGGCTTTGGGGGATCGGCTTAGTGGCGTGTGTTGGTGGGAATCCTTCCGAGGAACCTGGGGGCATTCACGGCACTACCTACCCGCTGCTAACTTGATTTCATACTACGTACCTAGAAAAGCTGACAATTCAGTCCTCCTAGTCCAAAATGGTCGTTCTTACGTGCATGTCTATCGACTCACTTTACCAACATCACGTGAACACGATACCAACACGGTAAAACATAGGTTACGCAATCTACCTATCGAACGTCAATACCAGCAATGAACTATCCGTCCAAGTTCAACTTGATATGCAACCTTCACTTCAAATAAGCCACACACCTCCCATCGTAATGCCTCCCAAAGGATCCTCCCAACCAAACCCTTACAGGGAACATCTACTCCGCACCCCCCAACGCCGCACAAAACGCTAAATACCACGTCCTACTCGCTCCACCATCAATTAACCCATAGTCAAACCCACTCTTCGCAAAAAAATTATACGCTGTCTTCGGATCCGCCAACGCGTAGTCAGCCCACAAGACCCCACGCCAGCCGCCCGCAACCGCATCCACGCGCCCATTGCTGAAGTAAGTATTCCACTCTTCATTGACGAAATCCTTGGAGCGGATATACGACGTCGCCGGGCTGATGGGGAGCATGTGGATGCCCTGGATGTATTCGGGGGCCATACCGAAGTAGGTGGCGTGATCGACCTTGTTCTCGAAGAGGATGCCGGTGACTTTGTTGCCGATGATCTCGGCGGGCTGGTTCGTGTTGTTGGAGGCGAGGAGGAAGTAGGCGGGGAAGGTGCGTGCTTGGATGGCGAGCATGAGGTTGCCTGCAGGATGGATTAGCATGATTTCTCTTTAGGAAGAGGGTTGTCTTGGAAGTAGTGTAGTACCTCGCATCTCCATGTTCTTGTCACCAATCGCCTTTCCCCACATCTTGATGCTCAGACTGGCCATGGAGTCCTCGCTCGTGCTCTCTTGATCCTTTCCGTCTCCGCTCTCGAACAGTCCCTTCGCCCAGCTGTGGCCCATCCACCAGTCAAATGACCGGGAGAAAGGAAAGAACTGCGGGTTGTCCATGTTGCTGTTCGCGAAGTCCTTGACCAGCATATTGACCCAGATCTTGTTCTGCCCATTGTTGATAGTCAACCAGCTAGGATCCAGGGTCGCGATAATAGCAGCAGCATAGACGAAGTAGCCATAGTGGAAGTGGTGGTCATTGTAGTACGTATTCCCGAAGTCTGCGCCAGGATCTTGGTACCCGCCTGTGGTTATGACTCCTCGCCAGCTCTCATCGTACGTCAACGGCGCTGCCTGTTTATTCTGCACAAAGCGGTCAAACTCGACCTTGAGCTTGTCGAGTGATTGCGAGTAGAGCGTTGGCTTTGGATTATTAGCTAGGCCGTACAGGGTCCAAACGATCATTGCGAACTTGGCGATGCCTTTGCCGCTGAAGTACATGCTGTTAAGGTTGCATTGCGTGCTCATATCGACGTTCAGTTCATCCGCAGCTGCTGCGGAAATGGCAGAGATGGCTTTGGATGAGAGTCCGGTGCGCTTCCGATGCAGAATCGAACGCTTGAGCGTCATTGTTGTGGGCCCGAAATCCATAGCCTCAGGTAGGTTGGGCTCAAGAAGCGTCATGTGATCCGCTTGAATGGCGGTCGCAAAGCCTTTGCTGGCCGTAGCAAAGCGGATCGATGTTTTGGCGGCAGCCGTTACGGGGTCAAATGAATCAACATGATGAGGGAGCGCAAACATGATGAGAGGCTTGGAGGTATTCCCGCCTTTAGACCATGTAAAAGTGTATGATCCAGTCGTACCACCGCCAGTTTGCATAGACGTAGAAGCGGCAATCGTGGCGCCTGTGGCATAGACGCCGGCAGACTTGTCGTAGATGTTTTCTTCAGCTGCACCACTAACGCAGCGGACGATTTGAATGATGCCGTTGAAGTTGGCAGGTCCCAAAAAGGTGGTATTGGGCTTGGAGGGGTCCCTCTGGAAGCCAGCAGAGTTATATCCTCCGTTCGGGGTCACATAGATGAGCCATTGGTTGTTGTCCTCCAGGAGCACTCGGTACTTGACCGTTGAGCCCATTGTGATGGGTGCATCGATAGTGCGGTATTGCACGTGGCTCTGTATAGACGGAGTAGCTCCTTTGTATACTCCAGTGATCATTCCAGTTCCTTGGACCACAGGGATTGTGATGAGTGGATTTGCCCCAGCAGCTGGACAAAGATTCGCGTTCACGGTCAGGGCTTGGTGATTATCCGTTGTCAAGGTTGTAGAAGGTCCCAGTTCAGCGGCGGATAGGATCATGGAGTGTATCCCGATAGGATTGAGGTAGTATTGATGCGGAATGCCGTCAGGACTAAAGACAATCTGCCTCCGGTCAAGCTGAACAATTCCCATACCCCAGCTTTGTGCATTTCCTCCGCCATGGGCCCATTGCAGTGAGTAGGGGTGAGTCCACACAGGTTGGGTCTGGCTTCCAAGAAACCAATTTGCGTAGAATTTGTTCGTTTGGAGTGGCCTGTTGATATCTCCGACCATGTTTAATCGAGGGGCCGGGTGGGAGGCATTATGAGGGATCTGGGGCGGAGCAGGGCTGCCATCGATGAGGGTGAAGAGGTTATCGGAGGCCATGGTGGACTTTCCAGACGTCTGAGATGCTGGTGTTGTGCTCTTGCTAAGTGAGGAGGGTGAAAGATGAGTACTATATGTTGAGGTTGAAGGTCGAGAAATCGTAGAAGAAGAGGATGCAGTCTCGGTGGTAACCTTGTAGCTTGAGGAAGAGATATGGCTTGTAGGAGCAGTCTAAGAAGGCGCGGAGTGTCAGCGTGACCTGATATACATGGCGCATCAGCGTCGATGAGAAGCCGCGAGACAGCCCAGGGCAAGACCAAGCGTTTGTTTTTCTGAGGCAATAGTGAAGGGCAGCCAAGTTCATGTTGTAGAAATGGAGCCGTCTTGCAGGTGCGTTGGCGCCTCCATATTTCGGAGACCACTGTAGCCCAGCACCAATTCTAGAAAACATGCCGTACTCACAGTTGTATTATGCCTCGAAGCACTGGTCGCCCCCACAAACAACTTCGAAGTCGAAGTCGAAGTCGAAGTTGTCCACTCACACAGGACGCTTCCAGATCCACACGTTGGATCTAACGTCGTAGTTCTAGAGTCGCAAAGTGTAGTCCTTACAACAACAGTCTTCGTAACTTTGACGCCTTCCTCTTCCTTACCGTCTAAGAGTGGGTGGGCCGATATCCTAGCGACCTGCGCCAACATCAGTACGAACGTACCAGAAAACATGGCTCGCCGCGTGCTTCTGAAAAACATGACGATCTGGAAGAAGACAATCTTTTGGAAAAATATAATAGCTTCAGCTTCTTTTAGGATAGAGCATTCGCTCGTTCATAGCAACATCCATCCCCATACCCTTCATCCATCTTAACAAAAACCAGGCATCAAGGGTGAGCATCGTGTGATAAGAAATTCGCTGAAGCATGACATCTTCTCCACGAGCGAAAGAAGAGACCTTGGTCATCTTCTCTTTTCACATGAAGGTCTCTAAGCTCGTAGGAGATAGAATGAATAACAAAGAGCTGCCAGTCATCGCCTCTTTACACATGAATGATGGACTGGGGTCTCGACTGCCGTGCAAGGATATAAGCGGCTCTGTACTTACCTTGTGATGTGCGTTGCGTGCCGGGGTGGCGGAGAGTGGGAGGACAGGTACCTGCTAGACAAGATGCAGCGTGCGCGTTGCAAATGCAGGTGGTCTAAAGCGGTGGATCTGGAAACAAAGGCTTTATACCCGGGCAATCATGGTAAGTTGTCGGTTGCCGGCCTCGCTGAAGAAGCTCAAATGATGCAGCCCTCTACAGAACTGATATTGATAGCATGGGCGGCGCTATTTGGTGAGACAGCGGTCTTCCGCGGCGTCTCATCACCAGCAGTACTCTGTAAATTCCGTCTCCTTTCGTAGTAGCAAGGCTTGATGGCGAATGAGAGGGTAGAGAGGGTTTTGATAAAGTGTGGTTGACTTCATTGACCCCAGGTTTCACGGCCCGAAGCGAATCGCGGCTTGAAGGGCCGAGTCAGTTGATAGTGTCGCTCTCCGGGATCCATGCTGCAGCTGACAGCGCGAGCTGGGGAGCCGACTGTGATGCAGACTCGAAGGTTGGCCATGAAAGCCATCACGGACGCTGAGGGTTGTCATGGGATGTGGAGTAGTACTGCAAGGTGGAGTTGAGATCTGACGACCCCACAACGCCGATTTCTCGTTGCCAAAGGACTTTTACATATATTCTCGGCATTTGTTAATGAGACTTGTCACTGCCAACGAATTCTTTGGGAGTTATCGTGTTTACACAGGGAAGAATTGTATTTCTACATTTAGCGACCCGCTGAATTTGGGAGACCGTGGGCGTGCCACAGCACAACCATACTGTCAGCTGTGTATACATAGATCTATGTACTACGTTTGCAACAAAGAAACTCGTTTCATCAAACATCACAGAGAAGAACACCTCAAACCATCGGTTTCTCCATCGGCAAAATGATGCCTTGCTTGACCAAAACCCGAGGCTTCGTACTGTCCTGGAACATGCTCTTCGTGCTCCACTCCGGGCCCAGCGGCATGCGCAAACTACGCTCGTACTGCGCCTTGCTCTCGAACGGATGCGGCAGAACGGGCGCCAGGAACTTTGAAGTCTTTTTGACGCGCTTCTGATTGATGATGACTCGCTCTAGCTTGGCATCTTTGCGATCTTTGGCTTTGATGCCGGCTTGCTTGGTTAGCCAACGACCCTTGTTGCGGGCTTGTTGCTTCTCGTTGACGCCTTCGCCGACCCAGTTACCCCATCCAGGAAGGGTATTGTCAACAATCTTGTCGTCCTCGTCAATTATGGCTGCCTTCTTTTCCTCTGCAAATTGGGCTTCGACATCGTCGCCGGCGAAGCCTTTGGCTGTGAGCTCTTGGTTGCGCTGCACAAAAGGGAGGTTGAGAAGGCCATCATCTGAGTCCTCTTGATCCGAGTTCACTCCGTCGTTGCGGTAAGTGACGGTTTGCCAGCCGTCGGCGTCAGGTCCGCTGATCGAGGTGGCTGGTGGCTTACGGCTTGACGCCGTCTTAGAGTCAGATTTACCAGTCTTACTTTGCGGGTCGCTTTCAACAGCCTCTTTTACTTTGGACGGACGCGCAGCCTTCCTGTCTTTGACGGATGCCGCGAGGAAAGGATTTACCACAGGGGCAACATCGGAAGACGCGTCTTTGGTGGACTTTGACTTTTTACTTTTAACGGTTGCTGCAAGATACGGGTTGCTTGTCGGCGCATCATCCTCAGTATCGAGTCCGGTGGACTGGTATCTAGCTTTCTTTCCAGCTGATCGTGGTTTTTCGGAGCTCGAAGTCTCAGGCCTGTCGAGGATGACATCCAATTCATCATCCTCATTTTCATCATCTGATCCTGGTTTCTCCTCGAACTCGTTCAATGGCCGTCGTTTTGGTTTGGATGACTGTGACACAGGCCCGAACTTCCTTCGGCCTTTGCTAGCACGCCTCTCATCTTCTTCGTCGCTCTGTGTCTCTTCACCAGCTAGCTCCCGCCGGATACGCTCGATATCTTCGTCGTTCCTAGCTTTTCGAGCCTGCTCCGCCTTTTGCATGAATATCATAGATCCCAACTTAGAGTCGTCTTTCGTAGTCCCACTTCCCTCGAGTCGATTAAGCTGACGGCGTAGTCTGCGGTTTTCCGCCTCTTCTTCGTCTACATCCTCATCTTCTTCATCCTCCTCGCTGCTAAGATCTGAATTATCATGGTCTTCATCACGAACATCCTTGCCCTCAATCCTTCTCCTAAGTTCCTCGTTCCGTCTGGCCATCTCAGTCACACCAGCACGGGCATCCTCATCCCACGCACCTCTCCCGCTCTTCTTGACACCTTTAGCCCACTTGCTCTCGCGGTGCTTAGCGCCCATTCGCTCCTCAGCTCGACGACGGTCATTGTACTCGCGCTCATCTTCGGAGACCTCGACACCATCAGCAGCGAGCGCATCTTTTTCCCTTTGGGCGTCCCGTTCGCGTTCTCTCCGATGTACACGCCTATATGACTTGCTCTTTATTTTCTTAACGCGTTTAGCTCGGATCTCCTCGCGGAACATTAGTTCTCGAACTCTGCGAAGCTCCTGTCGTCGCCTAGCGACTTCTTCTAAGGGTAGTTTATTCGTCTCAAGCTCTTCAAATTCGCGAATTTTTTCTTCTTCGGACTTTCCAGACTTGGAAGCTAATCCACTCTCGACTAATATGGACTGAATAGTGGTCTCCAAGTCGTTCATCGGAGCCATCTGGGCTGTTGGGATCATTTGATTCGTCCCCATAGGGATCCCCGCATCAGGGTCTTGCAGTGGGAAGGACAAATGCTCCGCACGGCGATTATGCTTTACTGTATCAACCCATCGACCGAGAGTCTCGTTGGCTTCCTTGTTCGCTGCTACGCGATTGAGGCGGTCTTGTTGGCGTTTAGGTAGAGGGGCGTCTAGCTTCTTAGAAATATCATTCCGCTTCGACGGTTTGGCTTCATCTCGTAGCCGTTTCTTCAACGTCTTCCTAGTTTCAGTGTCGGCGTTGGCCAGGATTAGATCTAGGTCGAGGGTCTGAGCACCGGAGGGGCCAGTCTCTGCTACTCTTGTAGACTCGTTTCGATCGAACCGTCGAGGGCCTCTGGAAACGGGCGCCTCTTCTGGATGTAGTGAAGCAATCAAGTCTTGCAGCTTGTCCGCAGCGTCTTCGTCCTCTTCATCCTCGCCGTCTTCGCCAGACAGGTCGAGGTCGTCTAGGCCGTTTTCATCCAGGTCGTCCTCGTCACTAGGCTCGTCCTCGCTCTCCTGCTGATGTGATCGCCGCTTCGACTTCTTTTCTTTTCGCTCAGTCTCATCTTCTGCGTACTGATCAAGTGCAGTAGCCAGGTCGATCGCCTCGTCTCCAAGGCTCTCATCGTCGCTCTCATCCTCGTCTGAATCTCCCTCGTCGAGGTCTAAATCCATATCTTCATCCACCTCCCTCGCTTTGCCCTTCCCCTTGTACGCAGTTTTATTCCCTCCGTTCTTGTTCTGCGTCGTAGACGACCCTCGGAAAGCCCAGCCAGCGAACCTCTCCTCATCACTCTCCCCAAACGCCTCTTCAGAGTCAATGTCTGAGTCGTCATCGTCGTCTAGGTCCACATGGCCCATCTGCCATTCATTCCCCTCGCTATCACTGCCCTCATCGACCTCGTCGTCATCTTGCCCGCGCTTCGCACGCTTTGGATTTTCTTCGTCTTCGTCTTCGTCTTCCTCGTCGTCGTGAGGGCGTTTTCGGTGAGTGGGAGCGCCATCGAGCTCTATCTCCCCGAGTCTGCTTTTGCGGATCTTGGTGCGTTCGGGTGCTTCGTGGCCGGCGATAGCGAAGGCATTGAGGCTGCGTTTTGAGGCTTTGGTTTTGTTGCGTTGAGGTTTGGCTTTAGGTTTCGAACTCGGAATGGAGCTGCGGGATATTCGGGGAGGCATATTGGGGCCTCTACACTCTATTTAGAGGTGGGAGTGGCGCTGTGAAAAGGTAATGTTCGAGGAGGGGATTTTTGGTCGCGAAATCTTGGCAACACTTTTTTTCTGCCACCGCTCACGTGCCGTCGAATCAACTCATCCCCAACCTCAACTCCAGCCCTGGAGACAGCATCAATCGCATCGCATCCACAATGCAGCCAACGCCCATCCTCCAGCGCGCCCTGCGCCGCCTCCAACTCACCACCAAGCAAGCGGGCAAAGACTACTACAAGGGCAACCGCGTCGGATCGCATGGACGGCACACGAAGCACGGCAAATACATCATCGAGTGGCAGAAGGTGCGGACGTATGTGTGTCCGAGAGACCTGGAGAACAGCAGTGTAAGCGCACCTTGATGTATTTGTTTGGAAGGGGATGATTACTGACCGGGGAATAGTTGACGCCTTTCGTCGCGAGGCGCATCGAGATAGAACGAGGCACGTTTGCCGGTACAAAGGGGCCAATGGATGGAGAGGCGTATCTGGAGAGGTGGAAGGCCGAGAATGGACAGGATTAGAGGCTTTGCGCTAAAACATCGCCCATCTAGGAGTTTTATGGAGGCAGAGTGTAGGCAATTGGTCAAGATGTTGGGTATCATCTGGTGCGAGGAGGGCAGACAAGACGTCGCAATCTTCAAGATGGAGCTGTATTATACGGGCATATGGAGGCGTTTTCTGTACGCAGTGTACAACCACGAGGTGTATAAAAAATGGACGAAAGTCTGGTTGCTTCCGAGCTTGAAAGCACCCGGCGTGGATTATTTGCTGCCCTCGACGTATGCTTCCTATACAGACCCTTTCCCAAATTCTACAGCGGCAAATATGATGGGCTCTCTCTATTCTACTCACTTAATCCATCCCAAGCTTGACTTCAGGTGAGTAAAGTGGTTCCAAATCCCAAAGAGCCCTAGCGCAGATCAAATATCAGCAATCAGGCCATTTCTTACCGAACTTTCACCCCTCATCGGACCGCTAAAACTCACAAAAATCACCAACAATGCCACCTAAAAAAGCAGTCGAGGATACGTCAAAAAATGTCGTTGCCTTCGGGCGCGTCAAGAATACCCTGAAAATGGGTTGTGTCGGCCTCCCCAACGTCGGCAAGAGTTCACTGTTCAATTTATTGACTGAACAGAGTGCCAGTGCAGAGAATTACCCTTTCTGCACTATTGAGCCAAATGAAGCGAGGTGTCCGGTTCCTGATGAACAATATGTAAAACTTCCGACGTTTAATCAGGTATCTGTACTAACGATATTGGAAAGGACTTCCTTTGCGATATCTGGAAGCCCCCTTCGCAATACCCAGCCTACCTCCACGTGACTGACATTGCCGGCTTGATCAAAGGCGCTTCAGAAGGTCAAGGTCTCGGAAACGCCTTTCTCTCACATATTCAAGCTGTCGATGGCATGTTTCATGTTGTCCGAGCTTTTGATAACGACGAGGTGTTGCACGTGGACGATTCGGTCGATCCAATCCGCGATCTAAACACCATCCAAAGCGAACTCTGCAAGAAAGATCTAGATATTCTCCAAAAGACGAAGATCGCCGAGGAAGCTACGGTGAGGAAAGCAGGGGGGAAGTTCAAGATGCTTCCGCTTTTCGATGAGACGACAGCGAAGATCAAGACAGTAAGACCCTCGCTAATCTCAACAACGGAGACGTCCGGCTGAAGATCTCTACAGATGCTGGAAGCCGACAAGCCCGTCCGCGACGGCTCCTGGACAACCGCCGAGATCGAGCTGATCAACGAGAAAGTTCGTTGATTCCAACCTCCGTCTCCGTTCCCTAGCTCCCCCCCTTTCACAATCCACTCCGAGCACGAATCCAGATCTTCCACCTAACTCTACCCCACTAACACCCCCCAAAGATCCGCCTCATAACCACAAAACCAGTCCTCTACCTCGTCAACCTCAGCATGAAAGACTACCTGCGCCAGAAAAACAAGTACCTCCCCAGCATCGCCAAATGGGTCACTGAGCACGGCGGCCAGCCCGCCGACGTCATCCCCTTCTCCGTCGAGTACGAGCAGAAGGTCTGGAACCTGCGCGAGGACCCTGAGGCCCTCGCCGCGTTTCACGCTGAGAATAAGGTCAAGTCCCGCATCAGCAAGATCGTGACGCAGGGGTTTACGAGGTTGGGGCTGCAGTATTACTTCACGGCCGGCGAGAAGGAGGTCAGATGCTGGGTGATTCAGAAGGGGACGCTGGCGCCGCAGGCTGCGGGTGTCATTCATGGGGATTTTGAGCGCGGGTTCATCAAGGCGGAGGTGGTTGCGTATCAGGACTTCCATGACCTGTGCGAGGGCGGGAAGAGCATGGGGCCGATTAAGGCGGCGGGGAAGTTTAGGCAGGAGGGGAAGACGTATGTGGTTCAGGGCGGGGATATTATTCATTTCCAGTTCAGTAAGTCTATGTTCCCGGTATGTTGTAACGAGGACAGTGCTGATTCGTGATAGATGTTGCGCCGCCGAAGAAAAAGTGATCATGTGGAGTCTTGTGTCCGGCTATCAAGAGGATTACAGCTTTCGAGCTAGAATAGATATACAGCAGTGCTCACCACCCAATGTAATGAGCTTTGGGAGCTTATAGTGATTACACCGAACTCCAAGAATCAATCTAGCTGCCGGTATGTACACAACCAAGGAAAATTACACAAGTGCTGTTGCTGGGTATACATCCAAAGGCCCTCTTTGGAAGTGAGAAAATCGCAAACTGCCCCCACCTACTTCATCTCGCTCCAAATCCTCCCAAACCTATCCTCCCTGGGTACCATGCCCGACCCCACTATGACATACGCCGTCCCTCTATCCGTAGTATTCATGCCCCCCGCCTCCCCCCAGATCTGCTCCATTTTCTCACGCGTCGGCGTCTTCTTCTTCCCCTCCCTGATCCGCAGCTTCTCGAAGAACACGTAGCTCGCGTAGTAGACGCAGCTCGTGTTGCCGCGGTCCGCGCCCTTCTTGCTGCGGAAGTCGGTGAGTTGCTTGGACTGGATCTTGCGGTCGGACGTGTGGTACTGCGCCATGAGGTCGCGCAGGAAGCCGGCTTGGGTAACACCATCTTTTTTGAGGTGAAGGTTGATTTTGCGGCGGATTTCGTCGCAGGTATCTGGTTCAATAAGACGTTAGTAATGCCGTTACGCGTTGAATGCGAGCTTTGTGGTTCGTACCGTATATCTCAACAGAGTCGGTCTCTTCGCCTGGTACGGTTACAGAAGCGACATCGTGGGACGCAGTGGCGGCGGCAACCGTGGTGGCACGCGCTGTGGTGCGCTTCTTCTTGGGCGGAGGAATGCCTTTCAGCTCTCGCTTCTTGAAGAATTTCCAGGCGGCATTGTAGGCGGCGGAGCCGGAGCCTTTGTGGGTGCCGCTCTGGCTCATGAAGCCGTTGTAGGACTTGTTGGAGACGCCGATCGCGTTGCAGAATTCGCCAATCTTCATTTCGCCGGAGTCGATGAAGTTGCGGATTTTTCGTCTGCGGTTGAGGTGTAAGTCAGTGATGTAGCTATACATATATGCTATGCAATGATGGCGTACCTCACGACATCGCAGCTGTCCATAGACATGCCGTCGAGGTCATCGTCCTCAGTATCGAATTCGTCATCGTCATCGTCAACTTCCGCGATACCTCTCTTTGCTTTCGGGTCTTGCGACGTCTACGCCGCGGTTAGATTCTGTGACCTGGACATTCGATTTGGATGGCTTACCGGTCCGGTCAACTCTTGCGTCAATTTGAGCAGCTGCTCATAGGCTGATTTGAAGGTTTGCGAGTCTTCTGGCGAAATTCGGTACAGGTTCCAAGCGCTGAGGACGCTGATTGCATAATTGTACTTTTCATCGCCGAGGTGCGTCATTAGCAGAACAGCCTTGTACGTTATAAAGTGTGGGAATTTCTGTTCGGCTTCTTCTTGGGAGAGAACATCGCCATGAATTCTCCGCGTACTGTTCGTAGCCGGTTGCAGGGTTTTTTGCCGCAATGCTGGGTGTCCAGTCGGCTTCTGCGGCTGAGGGTTCTCCTTGTGCACCCTCTCCCGTTCACTCAGCTCCTTCGAGAGTTTGGCAAGCTGCTCGTTGGCTAGTATGTAGTCTTTCGAGGTTTTCGGACTCCCTTGCATCCTCGTCCACAGCTTGGCGACTTGGTCTTTGGTCTTTTCTTTCTCAGTGTGTAGTAAGCAGGTGAGCTGCATAACATCGTATGGTTCTAGGAGCGGCGGAGCAGCTTTCGGTTTGATTGATTTGACAGTTGTGGAGGGTTTCTTGCCGATAGGGTCCGCTCGAGTTACTTGAACGGCGCGGTTGGGATCGATAGATCCCAGAATGGGACCGTGGGCAACGGGTTTAGAGGGGATAGCGTTGTCCTAGCATGGTGGTTAGCGATCAGATACACATCTGATGCTCATTGAGTGTAGATAATTACCACAAGCCTGGACATCTTCAACTGCTTGTCGTGCTCGGTGGATGATTTGTTGAATTCCTTTCGATAATGGTGGGGGATGCGATGCAGGGCGCGTAAGGGGGTGAAAGAAAGGCTGATATCCCGACCCTGTCTGTTTATTTATGTTTCGGTCCAATCATACGCGTAAATGACCGAAGTCACGTGTGGAAATTGAGATCGCTAATGACTACGTCTAATCCACTTTCTCGTGATCTTCACGACGTGTCTTCATTAAATTGACCTCACGAAGCCACCATAGATAGCGTCATCAGCTTGTCAAAACGCTATAGAATGACTACCTGTGATTTATACTCTACAAATCTTTGACATCGTGTTCTCCCCAAACTGACCTTGCGGAGCCACCACAGGCAGCGGTATTAACGTGTTAAAACGCCGGAAAAAGACGAGCTCTGGTTCACGACCACTGAATCTTGATATCCAGTATCAATTAAACCAACCCAGCGAGGCCACCACAGGCAGTGTTGTTGACGTGTCAAAACGCTGTGAAAACACCACGTTCAATCCTTGATCTCGAAATCTTTCCATCGTATTCCGATTGAAATAACAACGCGAAGCCACCACAGGCATCGTCATCAACGCGCCAAAATGCTGCGAGAGGTCGACATCCTATTCACGGCCTCCGAACATTCACAACCAATCTTAATTGAGCCAGCGCAGTGAGGCCGCCACAGGCATCGTTATCAACGTGTCAAAACGCCGTACAAGCATGACATCTGATATGAAGCCTCCGGAACTTGACGTCGTATCCTGAAATTTCCCATGGTATCAGAGGACTCCGTGCAGTGGCACCACGGTGTTGAAACACCGTGAAATAACTGCATCTAAGTTGAAACCTCCGGAATTTGACATCGTGCGCTGGATTTGTTCACCGTGCGAGGGCACTCTAGACGGTAGCATTCGCCTACTAAAAGCACTTATAATAAACGACAAGCAAAGCATAAAGCGTTCCAGTTACAAGTAGTCCCCCAAAGCATGAGCCCTCTTAGTCGCAAGCAGTTCACAAAGCGTCCCAGTCACAAGTATTACAAAGAGTCCCCAGAGTGTGAAGTCATGATTCGTTAATTCCGTCGCTATATAGACTAGAAAGGTCTACCCATTGAGTCGCTTTCGTCGCAAAGACTACTATAAAGGACCCCTCTTAGTCTAGTTTTAGTCGCAAATACTATCAGAAAAGACCGCTCCCCATCCCCCTTTAGAAGCATAATCTCCAAGAAAGAAGCACCCATCGCCCGCTTTTACCGCAAATTCAGCCCGAAGAGGCCACCAAAAGCTCCATAGAATGAGCAAGAAAGCACGAAAAGGACCGGGAAATCGCGCGCTGTCGCTCACGCTCACGCTGCTTGCAGTCGAAAAAGCACTAGAAGCACCTACGCTTTCGCTTCTCAAACGCTTACAAGTAAAACATGGAGTCTTTAAGCGCTGGGTGCACATCGCGGTGCCAAGAAAAGTTGGTAAAAGCGGCCGAACCGTCTCCCTTCAGCACGTTGTGCAGGTAGGAGCGGCCTCTCTCGCACAGAATGTCGGCATAATAAGCGGGAGGGCAGACGCTCACAGAGCGAGTTGCGCGGCCGAAGGTGTAGCAGAGGTTGTGGGTCTTGGGAGACGTCAGCTTTCTTGTCACGGAAGGCGAAACAAGAGGAAATACTCACAAGTCGCTGCAATTGGTCCGCTCCGAGCTTGTTGTCGTCTTTTATGACGACGTAATGGGCCGGCTTCGACGTGCCTTGGAGGCCTTGGTGTGCTACGAGGAAGAAGTCGAACAAGCGCTCGCCAGTGACGCCTCGGTCGACCACGGTTCCGGGCGAACAATTGCCAGTTCGACCGTCAGCGTCCGCAGCCGTTGTGGGATAGAAGCGGGTGTGGTGACGCTTCCCGACCACAATGATCGAAACTTTTGGATGTTTCGACGTCGCGCCGTACAATTTGTTGAAACTAGCCACGAAAGCCGGGTACTCTTTCTCCAGCACGATCGCGTACTGGCCCTCCGACACGCCGTCTCGGTACACGATCACCTTGTCGGGTAGACCTTTGTTCTTTGAAGACCAAAGCTTCAACCGTTCCGTGATCATTTCCTCCAGGTCGGAGACCATTTCCTGTCGACCACGCTGCGTGCGGATACTGGCCGGGTATTGGGTGAATTTTGTATCGGAAGAGGCCACGACGCCGGCGATGGATGGTGAAGATTCGGAACTACCAGGCGAAGGGTGGGTGACGTCAATGCCAAAAACAATCGTTCTGGCGTCAAGAGGCTTCATTTCCGCGTCCGACACGTAGTGGTTCACGCCACCCTTCTTCAAGTTGAATTTCAACGCGACGTTGGCGAAGTATTGGGCCTGTCCCTTCTCTTTGGAGAACTTCTGGCCGATGTTGCACACGGAGGGGACGCCCAGCGTGATGTCGCATAGGTACTTGACGCAGTCGTACAAAAAGGCGTTGTCGCTCGGCAGAAGAACGAACAGAAACGCCGGCTTTGCGGGCAACTTCCTGAGTGTTGTGTTGAGAATGTCCGTAACAGCCTTCCCATTGCGTGAATTTAGGTCCTGACCGCTGACAGAAGCAATCACTGGGGCCGTTGCTTTGCCGAGTTTGACTCCATATCGGCCCAAGGTTTCCGAGAAGTCGATCAAGTACCGATTAAGGGCCGCGGCGCCCCCGTATATCGTGTCCCGCGTTCCCTCGTTGATAACGAGACAGCTCCAAGAGGGAATACTTACGCCTTGGAAGAATGGACGAGGCTTGATTCCGTCCGCCAAGTTCCACTTCCCGTCACGTGGCCTAACAGCATTGGTGGTTTTGCTGTACTGAAGGGCGGGAGGCTGAAGGATGCGGCCGTCGACGGTGAGCATAGAGGCGCTCACCTTGATGCCGTACTTCTGCAAAGAGGTGTTGATACCTTGGGATACCGGATTGATACCGACCACGTTGAGGCCGGACTGAATAATGGACACGGCGTTCTTATCGGGGCTGCGTGCTGCAAACTCAATCATTGATCGAGTTTGGTTCGGAAGCAGTAGCCTTTTGGCTTGTTGGCCTGGGAGAACCTCACAAAGTTCCGCTGGGATCCACGACGGGTCAGTCCTCGTGCCCGTGTTTACCAACGGAAACGCGGGAGTTTTCAGCGTGATCTGGTGCACTACGGACACATTAGCAACCTGAGTATTAAGCGCATGGGAGCGTCATGGCCTCCACGGGGTACGGTCAAGCTTACCCTGTTGAAAGTAGGCGGCCACGGTCAAACGTTGGGTGGCACCGGAAGGGTTGGTGTAGTCGAAATGAGTATTTGTGGCGTTTTGACCTCGCGCGGACATCTCGGCAATGGTGTGAATCTTTTCCTTGCGAACGGGCCCATTCTTGTCCTTCTTTGGCTTCCCGTTCACATCAAGGTCAATAAGGTATCGCGTCTTGATGCGCAACTTCTTCGCAAACGCCGCAATCCGAGCGGACTGTAGGGCATCTTTCGGAGGCCCGCCGTTGAATTCGGTCAAGAGAGTCATCAGCGGACCGGGCTTGTAGAAGGCACCGGTGGCGACGTTGATGTTCACAATGATCCGACGAACACCCGTTCGAACGCTGGAGTAGAATCCGCGTAAGGCTAGGAGACCCTGACCAAGATCTGCCTGGACAAGCTCCGGGTTAGCGAAGGGGTAGAACTTGTTACCTCCGCCAACCGCATGGTTGGCCTTCGAAGTCGGGCCTTGGGAGAGCAAGATGTTGAGGGCCTGGATGGTCTCCATGCGCAGAGGGTAGTATCCGCCACCACCTTGGAAGGAAATGTCCTTCAGCAGATCTCCGACAGACACAGGGGGCAGCTCTTCCACCAGAAGCTTCCGCAAGTTGCGCTTTCGGGCTGCCGCTCGTGCTGGGGGTTCACCGGCCGTGGGTGCAGGAATTGGTTCGGCGCCCTGCGCGTGCCAGACAAGGTCGAATGATTGGCGACCGTTGAGTGTCACCTTGTCCGTTGTGATAATGATTTGAGCCCCATCGCTTGCAGCCGTAGTCCCCTGGAATGGTGGCTGTGAGAGAAGCATCTCAATGAGGCGCTTCTTCTTCGGCTTCGGGGTGGCCGTTCCCTCAGGCTGGAACGCCACGCTGTACCGATAAAGGTACTTTGGTGACTTATCAGCGGGAGTCAACGGGAAGTAATTGGCCCAAAGGACAATCTTCTTGCCAAGAGTGCCGTATCCAGGCCGGCGAGGCAGACGATCCGCGACAGAGAGGTCGGACATCTGGGCGGACAAATCCATCTTCGTCGACGCGTCCTCGAGCTTGGTGACCTCTGGGTCCGGCTGAGGAAACGTGCCATTACTGAAGCGAAATCTTTAGCGCTGCGTTTCAAATGGTGGATGTTGCTTACCCAAAGACAGCTACAGGCCCACCTCCGAAGCCTCCACGGCCACCTCCACCTCCCCGCGGAGGGCCACTGAATCCACCACGGCCACCTCCACCTCCCCGCGGAGGGCCACTGAATCCACCACGGCCGCCTCGACCGCCACGACCGGTGCTCATTGTGTATGTGGGTGCGGTGTTGAGCGAACAAGTGACTGGTGAGGTGTTCTAGAGCACGTGTGCTAGACAACTTGAAGCGGAATAGGTCTAGAAGAGGACGCTTTGTGAAGGACTTGTAGTGGAAGGGGGCTAAAGCGGGGCAATTGGCGAGGCTCTTAAGTGGTGGAGGTTGCACAAAAGCTGACGTAAGCTAGGCAGCTGCTGTAGCTACGAGTGAGGAGGTCAGTTACTGTTAAGAAATGATGGGGAGTGAGCGCGGTGAAGACGTGAAGAAGTTGAGAGCAGTGCGTGGGGCACATGAAACAAAGCTGAGCCGCCCACGCGTGGTGAGATAAGTGATGCCAGGCGCCACACCCCGGATCGAACGAGCCAACCAGTATATCTGGAGGCGCAGCTACCTCCTATCTCATTGAGGTACCCAGCGCTAATCAGACCACTGTGGACCAATGTGCCAGCTTGCTGGCGCACGAGGCTAAGTTCACGCCTGAGGCAGTTCGATTGAGATCAGGCACCACACCCCAACGCATTTTGAGGGAGCCCTCAGTCTTGGCAGCCAAGTTACCTCATTGAGGGTCCCCCGGGGCCATGAGACCAGAAGTGCCAGCGGTAATGAGCTCAACCAAACCGCGAGTGACCTGATCCCCGTAATCGACAAAGAGACTCCCAACAGACGTACCTAGTGACCACACATGGGCTCCACGACCGCGTAATCGTAGTAGGTAGATGTTCTTCAAGAAGTTGTATATACATGCGCTGTATGTACAGAACTTCCAACAGACACGGATGACGCAGGGTCTTTGGAGGGTAGAGAGAAGCCCCACTTCTGAGACTTGAGCTGTACAGAACACCGACCCTAGGTTTGCTCAAAGGACGACGCAGAGGGAGCACACAGGAGCAATGTTGTAGCAGGACTGGTGTTTGGGCACCGGCAGCGGTGTGATGCTGCAGTCAGGTTTGCAGCGAACGCCGGAAGACGGGGCCCCGCAGAGGCACGGACGGATATGACCCAACGCGAAGCTAAAAGCGCGCGGGGCTACGGGTAATCACGTTATCTGGCGGCACAGTGGGAAGACTGTATACAAGGGCGATGTGGGAGCACAAAATCTACCTCGAGAGCAAGGCAATGATCAAGTAAGAGGGTTACGGCGAGGGAGGGCGTGTTGGGCGCTCTTATGTGATTATTGAGCTATTGCGAAAATATGATATCAGATTTACAGCCTCTGTCGTGCATTCCTGGCACCATCTGTGCAATGAGCGCTGCGTCACTCGCTCCAACTCACCGGAAAAATCAACCAAATGGGCTGCTCGCTGCCGGCAAGGAGTGCGGGTACGTGCAGGGGCTTCAGGAGGAATGAGATGAGAGCAACGCCCTGAAACCGAGCCGATAAGCCACAGCTTGTATATTGGAAGTCGTGTAACAGAGGCCGCTGGCAATGTAGCAAGCACATCGAAGATCGTCGGGGCCAGGGGGCTGTGCAGAATCTAGATCACGTGAATATTGTTTCCGTACGCTCTGAATCAGAGGCCTCGAATGCCCATGCCGGGAACTCAGCACCTCCTAAATCAGCAACTACACAGCAGTCGCGCTGGTCATGAAATCAGTACACTGAAGACCTCGTGGGCCGTGCAGAGTCTGTCACTTGTGAATGCAAAACCCGCGGAAGCTAGATCAGACGTGTAACCTTTACCTATTGTCTTCTGACAGGCTACATTGAGCCGCCTGAGAGGCGGCGCATGGTAGCAAACAAACTCGAGAATCGTCGCGTATTCCACACACCCAAATCCCTCATCGTCCAGATCAACAATTGGGCCATTACTCCTCCGCACGGGATCGTAAAGCTGTGACCGCCTCCCTGCATATAGGTAGCTTGAGGCGCCGAGATGTAGAGAACCGTCGCTCGCGAATCAGGTACACGCTCTTCGGATCGAACTACCCACGAGGTGGCGCTGTTTGGAGTGGCATGACAAGCTCAATAGGGACGGCAGAGGAGACTCTCATCCATGGCTCTTGAACTAGAGGCTTGCCTCTCGATCCATCCATCACGCGGGAGACGCGTCTGAAGTGGCCCAATGAGCTCAGCAAGAGCCACAGTGAGTAGGACAGGTCATACACTGTGGATCAGACGTGGAGGTGTCGGATCTGTCGGCGAGCTACAGAACGGCCTTGCAGCTCAGATCGGGCCTCCGAGAGGATCCTCGCATTGAGGGTCATTGATTCGTCAGGAGTCCTCTGGATACGTGATATACCTCCGGCCAGTCATGCAAGTAGCCGGTCGGTATTGATTTAGCGGTGCTCGCTGCAATGAGCCGTAGAGATCTGAGGAGTTCGCTAATAGCGTTCTCGTTATCAATTCGTCGTTTCGGAGGAGCCGCCGTTGCTTAACCAGCCCTTTTGCCGCGTTGATCTCCTCCTAAGCTCGTTGTTTTCCTCTCCCGCTTCAGTTTTATCATCGTGGTGATTCCGATAGTGTCGCAGCAGATTATCGCGCCGCGAAAACCCCTTTTGTGAAGATGGGCAACCGGCATGGCGGCAGTAGAAGAAAGTACCAAGGCGTATTTGCATTCCTGGGGCGGAGGAGATACTGTGAGTCTTCTGGTGACGTATGAGGTCTTTTCGGAGCCGAAAGGCCCATGGGCATGTCTCATGCGCGCATTTGTACGGCTTTTGATGCGTCTTGAGATGTTGCCTGGATGGGATATCAGTAAACGGGTCTGCCCTCGGAAGAGTGAAGCTTACAGGAAAGACTTGTGGCGAGGAAAAATGGCTCCACATTCTATTTCCGTGCAATGAAACGGGCCGGTATGGGTTGAAGGGTCAATCGCTTGATTGTCCGCTATAAGGACTGCCGATGTAGCTTCAGCGGTAGGCTGCATAGTGGAAATTTTCGCGTGGAATGAAATTGGGTGTTTGGAAGCGCCCAGGTCAAGGTGGAGATCTGAGGACGTTTCGAATGATAAATCGAACCCATCCGTCAGGCTAGATTGGAACTCGGGGGGTTGTTTCAGTGCCGTCTGCATAAGAATTAACAGTGTGATTTTGGGAGGGCATTTCGTAGCGCTCACGTATAAAACACCGTTGGGATGACGCGAGAAGGAATTCATAGGCATGTCTGGACGTCCCATTGGAACCTCTACATGTTGCTGCCATGATACATCTCTTGCATCAAAGGGTCGGTCGGTCACGGTATCAATGGAGCTAATGGGCGCGGAACCAAGAGTCGCATCCCTAAATGCTGAGTCGCTCTCAAGCCACAAGGATTCGGTTGTGCTAGAATCGAAACCCGAGCCTGATGATTCTTGTGAACTACTGAATGGAAAGCCTTCGAAGTCATCGAATAAACCATAAGAGTTATGGGAAGGGGGTTGACAAACAACGGTGCCTGGACGTGGAACGAGGGATTGACCGAGAAATTCAAGATAATCGTCCATCGCATGTGAAAGATAGTATATGAAGCGGCTGGCAAAATAGCTAGATAGCACAGTGTCACGATCTTGCACAATTCCCGTGCCTAGACAGGAGCGAACGTCACGGCTTTTAGAAGGTTCCCTCTAAAGAGCCTTAGGAGAGGCCCTCGGCCTCTCGGGCCTCTTGGAGTGTCGCTCTGCATAAGAGCACGTGCGAAGAGTGAGGCTGACGCAAGAGGGTAAGTGCGCCCTGGACAGTGGCAAGGTCGGGCTTGCTTGCAGCTAACCGCTCGGCTGAGAGAAGGCAGACGTCGCCTGATGCCTTCCCAAGGCTGTGATGCTTTCACGAGGTTGCGGTTCCTTCATGAGGCTGAAGGCAAGGAAACCCACGTGATTTATACCATCTAAAGATCTTCGAAAATCAGCTGGATACGTACATGCGTTTTTAGACGCTAAGTGAAAGTTGAGAATCCAGGGTGAACCAGTCTGAGGCGCGACTCGTATGGCAGCGCAGCTCATGGTCATCGCGAGAGCCGTCTGGGGAATGGTTCCAGGTTAGGCCTTTCAGGCGGGCGTACATCTGATGGTAACGTTGCAGATGCTCGAAATGTTCAAGGATGAAGCCTCGAGAATAGATATGGCTCTGATTGTTGAACGGAAATATTGAAGGCTTGATACCAGTGTGTATCATTTTCTGGTGGTGCTGTAGGCGCTGACCTCGTGCACTGGGCATTGGACGGACAGCCTTCCAGATCGCACGCTCCGAGAAAGCTGCCTGACAGATAGGAGTTCGATCCATTTTGAGGACCTCCATCGGTGGATCATCTCCTCCGCCTTTACCACCACGCTTCTCATCGTGCTTGCCCTTGCGGACAACCATGTCGGGTGTGGAAGTGGACGCAGCGAAGATGCGGGGCGACGTTATAATAAGCGCCGTATTTGTTTCCAGCACGACGTTGCATACGATTGGCGAGGAATCTCTCATCGGACGAGGCTTCTATAGCAACCGATAATTCTCTCATAGCGGCAAGCACACGTTTGGCGTGTCGGCGAATATTTTAGTCTCCACGAGCCCTCCATGAGATTGGGATGCTGGATACTTATTTTCGTCAGCGCAACACTTCGTAGTAGCGGCGAAGGTAAAGTTCAGATGCTCGGTCAGGTAGTCCCAACATAGAAGGATTATTGTCCAGGCAGGAGCCCTATCCAAGTTGGACGGAATGGTAAGTCTAGAGTTGGCTAGCTTGGCCAGGAGTCGTATGTTTTGGTGACTAGAAGGGTATCCGCAGCCAGTATGCTCGTAATTGGCGCTTCTGTCATTCGTTTAGGCGTCTGAATGTGAGGCTGCCCACGCTGAAGGTTGGGGAGCGGTAGATAGAGCGCAAATGAGCTGAGGACGATGGGTTGCGGTTGGTGACACTTCTGTCGGACTTTCTCGTGTCTTGCTGCATCTATTAGGGCATGTGTATCTCCAGCGTTAATTCAAGAGAAGTGATGCATACTTTACACTTGTGACAGGCTTGATGGCGGTATTGCAGACAGCTATGACGAATTCCCAGAGCGAATATCTTTAAAAGCTCCGACGTGGCCTTTCCCTCTCGAGATGGCGAGCGAGAGTCGCCGACGGTAAAGTAGATACCGCAGATGGGGCAAGTCATCGAAGATGGGATATCCGTCGTTGCCACGGCAGCAGATCCATTTGGTGAGATCGACTGAGAACAGCAGGAGTATCCACTCCCTCCGCGGAAGCTGACCCGGATGATGCATTGCGGCTGGCAATAATGTTGTAGTGGTTCTATTGCATGCGCATAGACCAGCGTTCGAAGTGTTTGAAAGATAGATTTCAAAAACTTAAAGAGGTCTGGAATGTATCGGCTAGAAACGACGTTGTAGTTGGAGCTATCATGTGCGTATAGGACAATGTTCGAAGTGTTATAAAAGAAGAGTTGCAGGAGTTGCTTGCTTGAATCCGGCTTAGAGAAGGTTTGTGAAGGCGATAGTTGTGGTATATAAGTCTTAGGTTCCTATAGTCTTGGGCTCCGATCTACGAAGGGTAGGTGATAAGTGATAGGTGTGATGGATAATTTGTGGACAGTGTCAGGGTTGATATAGAAAAGGCGGCAAAAGGGTGAAGGGCAATTGGAGATGCGTGTGACATATCGAGACCGGGATAAAGACGTTAAGGCTGAGAAGTCGCGGAGGACATCCCCTGTTTCCTGTAAAGCAATGATACGCTCACATCTCTCTATGCATACGTCCGACCATATGAGAGCCTCAGAACTCCCAACAAGCTCAGGGCACCAATCAAACCTCTCCTCAATCTGACATCGCTGGCACTACCGGCACCAAGGCTGTCAAAAAAGGCCATAAGGCAGCCATAAGGCGGCAACAATGCGGCCATGAGACCCCTCCGGGAGGCCCGTTGCCTCCCGGCGGACCCGCGATGACCCAGGCTGAAGATAACGAAGCATCCAATAGAAAGAAACGCCAAAGATGGCCCGCCGTGAGGCCTTCATCGAGAGCCACTCAACAGCGAGGCTCACGACGACAAGAAGGCTGTGTGCATATAGAAGAGGCCTCCCGGAGGAGCAGGTGGTGTTGAGAGGCCAGCTCGGTTAGGGAAATATGCAAGGCTGAAAACCGCCATGCCGGACACGTAAATCTATGCATACTGGGCGGAATTGACGGCATTCGGGCGACCAAGGCGAAATTGGAGGGGGAACATGTGAGCGACGGAGAAGGCTGTACGCAAGGATTTCAGCCTTGGTGCTGAGGTTCACATTTCTGCATTCTTGGCTTGAGGAAGGCGATTGATATTGGCCCCGAGTGGTGTTAGTGCCATACTTTCGTGATCAGGCTGAGAGCGATTCGTATTGACGGGGTGGCTTCGACGGGCGATGGAGTCTTGTGGCAGCAAGAGGGAGATGGGGGGTTTGAGGAGGAAAAGCTCTGACCAACTCCGAATCCATCTAGCGGCCAGGAGAGCTTCAGATAGATCAACACGTCCGCAAAGTTGCATTTTCAATGTCCAAATATTGAGGCGGTTGAATCTGTTCATTAAGGCCCGATCTACAGCGTCTGTATCTTTACATCGTGACCCTATTTTCTCGTATAGTCTAGAAAACCCTTGAACAGTTCATCGGGTTCGCAATACCGCAACACTGAAGTGTTGATATCAAGGCTGCTGAACATACTTCTAGACGCTCAATTTACAGGGCGATAACTTTGACATTGTGTCACAATATTCCTATAATGGGTGGGAGGTCCACAAAGGTTTAACTAGATCTGCAAAATTGCATGATTCATGCGCTAGTATGAAGGCTAGAGAACGTATTCCTTACTACTCAATTCACGGTGTATAGATGTTTACATTGGATCCAGAAATTTCTCCATGCTTGAAAGCACCACCAACACCATCATCCACGTGGAAATAGTCGCAATTCCTCGAAAGCTGATATCGGGCCTCTAGGAGACATCAAATGCTTCGGAGACCTTCAAATAGACATATGGACCTGCAATACGTAAGAGAACTCGATTCAATTCCGCTCGTGCACTCAGCACGGCCAAAAAAAACCCCCCAGTTCACCTAGCTAGTGGTTGTATCCAACTAAGCACCGCAAATCGGCACATACTCCCCCAGAGCTTTCCGTACCCAGAAGCTCCACCAAGCCACTCCAGACAGCACCACTCCAAGGCCAAAAATCTCTAAACACCAGCCCGATTCATGCCGCCTCGTCCAACACACCCCCTATTACCCTCCAAATCTGCACTACTTTCAGCCGAACATATACGCCTCCAGGGGCGCCCAAGGGCCACCCCTTTCCTCCCCACGCTCCTGCTTCCTTCCCCTCATCTCCAGCTCCTCTTCCTCATCCTCTTCCTCGCACCCCGGCAATCTCATCTCCGCCGCCGCAGCCGCCCAATCCACCTCTCCCACCACCACCTCCCTCCCCAGCGATGCCAGCAGTGAGCAAAGCACAGAGACTAGGTGCCAGGTTCGCACGCTGTCCTGATGCTGGATCATCCTCTCCACCAGAACCGTCCCCAGCACATGGAAGCTCCCCGACACCCGCGTGGGGCTCTCCAGCATCTCCTTCAGCCTGGCACGCCGCTTGGCGACCCACTCCTGATTCGGCTGTGCAGAAAACGACATGTCAGCAACCTCCTCTATCAACAGCCCAGGGGCAGAAGCCTTTCTCAATCACTTACCCCAAAGTACCCGCCACTAACCCCCCAAACCGCCCACCCCCAGCTCTCCCCGTCCAGGCCCGCGGCCTCGCGGCTGCGCAGCAGCGGCCACAGCAGCACGCGCACGACGTGGTGGAGCGCCTCGAAGGCGTCGAGCTCCCCGCTGCCAGACCCCGACACGGTGCTCATCTTGCGGTACTCGACCGCCTGGTCCGCCGCCTGCAGCGACACGGCCTCGATGTCCCGCAGGTCGCGGCGCTCACGGGGGTGGCCGGCCACGCGCGAGAAGACGGGCAGCGCGAAGGCGTACGGGCCGTGGATCTCGATGTTGTGGTTGGCCGTGGTGAGGTGGCGCGCGAATTCGGCCTCGAGCGCGGCGGCATTTGGGAGAGCGAGGGCCGAGGCGAGGGGCGCGAAGGAAGCGGGATCTGGTGGTGGGAGGTAGGGCATTGTGATGGCTCTAGTTTGGAGGGTTAGGGTTGGAGGTAGGATGAGAGGAGTGTGAATCACGTGAGGAGAGGTGACGGATTGGGAGGAGGAGAGGAGAGTTGAAGGTAGTAGCTGGGCAGGTAGAGGGAGGAGAAGGCCTACGGTGATGATGGTTTGGTTGGAAGCGTTTTCAGCGTGTGAATCGACGGATAGTCCAGAGCGCGCGGAGCGGGCAGGTCTTTTGACGCGGAGCTTGCTGGAGCGAAGGAGCTCAGATAGCGCTGGACAAGAAAAGTATCACGAAGCCATGAAGCTGACGTGGACGCTGGTGGTGTGTGTAGGAACGGGTCTGTGTGAATGAGGGCGTTGAGAAGGAAAGAAAGGAAGGTCGAAAGGTGTTGAAGTAGGAGAGTTTGACAAGTGAAGTGAACTAGAACTGGTCTGTGCGACAGTGATGAAATCGCAATGACAGCACGGTGAAGGTGAATGTTGCGATGCAACACCTTGCGGCGTCGTCACCTCATCTTGAATTGCACGAGTCTATCCCATCCTTTTGAACGCCCATGAACAGCCGTGTTACGCCCCTGAACAGACAAAGAATTATACAGTACCCGCCTCAGACATGTACTCCACCACGACCTCTTTTGTGATCCCACCATTTCCTAAAATCATCCGCTCTGTACCTGTACTGCTTGACCGAGTCCGCCTGCTAGTTCTCGAAGGGCCTGTGACGCTGGTGACGGTCCCCACATTGTCTGGACGGAGATCAGCAAGCCAGTGGCTCCCCCGATGATGACCGAATCTGCTGTGGCGATTTGATCGTCCTCGGCCTCCGAGTTGTTGTGCTGCACTTGGAGTAGAGGAGCTGAGTCCTACACGCCAGAGTATAGTTTGAAGAAGCGGTCTCAGTGTCGCCAAACACCCAGCTGTTATGCCAATACCGGGTTCTACTGTTGACCATATCGCAAGATCGGTGGTAGACCCTGCGGAGATATATCATTAGAGATTGATCAAATGCAGACAGAGCTGAAGGTGGCCAGTTCGGGCTGAAGACGAGAAGTTGTAGGTACGCGATATCAAGGGGAGACACTTACAGAGGTAGTCCTCCGAATTATCCAGGCCTGAAACGTAGGGGATGCGGACTATTATTGCTATGCTTCCACTATGAAGCTGTCAGTTTCGAAACACTTTAGTTATCCAAGCCGAAAAGCTTACATGGACGCGAAAGCTAGAATTCCAGCAACATAGGCTTTTGCTCTCCGGTCCAATTGTAGGTTCCACACGAGGAATATAGGAAGGATGCCAAAAGTCCAATCTACTATAGCGGTGAGGCCACTCGCGGCGTATGTCGCCCCGCTGAGGTACTTAGTGTCGACACATCGTGCTGATCCGGGAGAGACGGTCCAGAAGTTGGAGATTGGAGTACACTGGAACATGACGAGGAAGAGATAGGCCGTTCCGAAGATAACGGTTCCAATCATCAACAGACGTGTTATCAAGATATGGGTTCTCTTGGTAGAGAAGCGTAGAAAGAAGATGCCCAGTGCGATTTTAAGCGTGCAGCTGCTTGATATGTAGAATAGCTCGCAGAAATACCAATACTGTAACCGTGTTAGTGGGAGCTCGGTGTGGATGATCAGTTGGAAGACAAACTCGCAGCGCCCTTCGCTTGTTGTCGGGGCCAAGGTCTTTGGCATGTCTACCCGTGCCATACAGGACACCTCCAATCTGGCAGATAAGGTACGCGGTGAAGAGCAGCTGTGGGATTATGAGCGACTTTTCTGCATTGAAAGGGATGCCTTTTTGCTCGCTGATCCTTGAGGAGTCCTGATTGCACTCACCAGAGTCGCTACCATAGTCCAATCATCTGGCCCGAACGTTTTGAGCATACCGGCGCGAACATAGACTCTTAAACTGACAGCGATCCACGAGGTAACGAGAAATAGAATTGCTACCGCAAGCACCTCATGGCTTCTGTCAGCCATCTGGGCGGGGGTGGAAGCGAATGTGTCGAGGATTCAATTGGAAAACGGACCAGCACAGCACCATCAGCGCTCACGACGATGCCTCAGGCGATGTCTCGTATTTGGTCAACCACATGGACACACACAGGACACGAAAAATGAGGAAGCTGGAGCGTCGAAGGGGAAAGGAGAAAACCCATTTGACAACACACCTGCACCCACGAAGCCGGGACCCAGCATGTGGGTTCTGGCCAACTACATAAATCATCCTGTCGACAACATGCCTCGGCCAATGCCATGCATGATGGGCCGTGGTGCATGCATGTAGACCTGCCGCCATGATGGATCGGACACGCTTAGCAGCTCCAAGGCCCTAACTCCACGCTGGTCGCCCCCGGTCCTCGCCGCCCGCCCAATCCGCAGGCGTGGAAAGCTCGCCGTATACGAGATCAGCCAGGGGCAGTGCTCAGAATCCGTGTGAGATCTGGCGCCGTCGATGCCCACTGGCTGGCAACGCGGGCGCTGTTGCTGACAGCCCTAGAGCAAACGCAGTAGGGAGCAGCGTTTCAAATTCTTCTGGAAGCCGTCATGGAGCCACTCGTTGCGAATTTCTTGCCTGATATTGCCGGAGCTGGCCTCTTGGCACCCTGGTGATCTCGCTGGCGGGCGCTGAAATTTTGCAGCTGCTTACCGCGGCATAGTGGCATATGAAAGGCGTGTATAGGGGCCCGCAGGGAGCTGCCGGTTCGCTTTGGCCGAGTAGGAGATTAATGAACAGGTAACTTGTGAGTTGGCAAGGACATCGCTGCGTGTATCCCTCGCACTGCTGCTCCTTTCGCGCTGGAATCGTATCTCCAAGTATGGCTGTGGTGTTGAGTGGAGGTCAGGGCTAAAACCTTGGAAGGCACACGAAGCTTGATGATCCTGCGCCCGATCTCCCTCCCCACAACGATCTCAAGGAACATCGCGACCTCGCTTTGAATTGTACCATATACATACGACCTACTAACGATCCTCGCGATGCCCCAACTAATCTACCTCTAGTAGCAGGAGCTTCTCAGAACCAGAAGCTTCCTTCCTCCCTAACTTCAACTCTCCAGGGCTACCTACACTCCTGCAGCTAATGCAAAGACCGCCCCTCGACCTCAAAGCCCCCTTGACTCGCCAATTCCTCCTCAACACTGACGATGCGACCGCGCCTCCGAACAAAACTACCCTGAGATTCCTCCTTCTTTAGCCTCGGCCACACTATCATCGCGATGCCTCTGAAGACGCTTTCATACGCTGCGTCGACCCGTTCCTCGCATGCCGTCCCCCGCGATCCGTTACCAATGAGATATATCCTGGGTGGTACAAGCATGGTGGGTGCAGGCGGCTGTTGCGCCGCGGAGATTCAGGGTGGGTGACAGGTATGCTGATGATGGACGCGGGCCTCTTGGAAATACAACATATGTACACCTCGAAGGTTCGTCACATTTGGGAAATGGAATCTGTGGCCATCTCGACCGAGGGCGATGGTGGCATATACATCTATCATAGTTTAGGAAGCTTTGAAGCCTGAAACTCGGCCTACTCAGGTTTCCACCGGGTCGAAGAGGCTGATATATTTGGCTGATATATTGTTTCTTCAGCTTGACAAGGCGAGGAGCAGGCAAGGAATTGCAATGTTTGGGCATAGATTGTTTGATTTTGATAGGACGAATGGCTCCTATGCTGCTGGGGGAACGCTTTGAGTGCTGACGGAATGGGGCAACAATTTGCTGAGATCAAATGCCAATTAGTGATTTAATTGTTATTCTCTCGCTATGAATAGCCTGGAGCCCTCCCAAAACTGTCTTCTATAGTCGTTGCCAAGTCTATGTGTCTGTATGGTATCATAACTACTGTGGAAGCATGGTATTTGTCTCTGCCAACGGGCCGTCCAACTCAAACGCCGCTCAGCATCCAACTCGCGCTCATTATGCCTCATCTCGTGTGGTATCGTGTTTTCGTAGGAAAGATCATCTCCCGCTGGATCCAAATCGCTCAAATGCCGTTCTAGTGTCGTATCTTCTAGCAACAACTAAGTATAGTCAAGCCAAGGCACCTGATGTCATCTTTAAGCAGAATTGCCGATTCTGCACGCTTAAATCGCCCTCTATTCATGTACCATGCCTAGAACCACCACTCAACCCACCTTATTCCGCTTCCTCCAACTCTCCACTCCCCGATCTATCTCCTTCGTACTAACCCCGTCCCTCACGAGGAACATCACCACGCCTAAAGTCTCCACATTCTTGTTCCGCGCCTCGTCGTCAAAAAACAGCATCTCTTCGTACTTGAGCCCCGACTGCTTCCGCAGCGCCTCGAAATGCGTAATCTTGTTCCCTGGGAAGATCTGCAGGTAGTCGAAGCTCTCGAGTGCTTTCATCTGTGGTGTGGAGGAGGGGTCGGAGGCAGAGGTTGCGGCAGAGAAGGAGGAGGGCACGTAGAGGAGCTTGAGCATCTCGCGGGCGAGTTCTGGCGCATGGGTTCGAGAGGCGGCTCCGATTTTGATGTCTTTTGCTCGGATCTATATCATTTCCCATAGATCAATACATGCTTCTTGCGTCTCATAGCTCCCTAGGTAGGGCCAAGATGGCCATTGAGTAAATTGGGTTGAGAATAGCGCAGCTTACCGCAGCCAAAACCTCCGGCACATCCCCATAGAACCCATACCCCTCCCCATACCGGTCCTTGACCTTGGTCCCCGCGCCCTTTCCTACAATCGCCTTCAGTGGCGGCGTGACGTGTGTATCTACCCAGAATGGCCAGAGAGTGTAGTCGAGGTCGAAGACGATCATTTTTGGCAATGGACCGCCATCTGAGAAGGTAGATGGGCCCCGGGTGTTCGTTGAGGGGAGGACGGTGGTTGTGGGGTCTGAGGAATCGGCCCCGTTGCTGGAGGAGGAGGCTTGGGGGCCGGATTTGCGGGGCATGGTTATGGTGTTGAGGTTGAGATGTGGTTTGGAGAGAAGGGAGAGAAGAAGGAGGAGGGTGAGGAGGATGGTGAATGGGGAAAGGACGTGACGGGGTAGAGCCAGAGGTGGCGGTATGCCGGAACTGGTGTTGATGTTGGAGAAGGCGCGAGTCGGTAGGGCTGAGGAGGATTTGGTCATGGACGAAACGGAAAAAGTTCGCCCCTGGATTCAGATCATCAAACTCATAACTTGCATTCACTTGGAATTGTGACTACTGGTATGTTTCATTGTTACGAGGGTCTAATCCGTCAAGACTAAAGTCGAGCCTGATGCCCGAATGCTTTTGAAGGCTGCATTCTACGCTCTTATCTCAACTCTCTGCAAATACGGCTCAGCCTCAAAACTTTTTACGTCGCGAAACCTTGTACGATACTTTGTCAAGCGCACGTGGGGATGCTGTTGATGTCAAGAAATTCGCCGCTAGGACAGTCATCAAATGTCAACAGACCAGGTAACTCTAAAGCGTACCTCGGAGACCTCCGCAATGGCAACTCTGCTAGATCTGTCCCTCATGTCTCCATTTCCCAAGATACGTCAAATAGATGGACTCGGCGGCCCAATGTGCGACCTTCCTGTCCTAGACCATCGTCACACTGTCTAGATATGGTACTATGAGCAAAAAGGATTGCCTACCAACTGAGCGCATTCAGCGGTCAAACCCTATGACTACAGGTCCTAGCGGTATCTTCAGGCGCGGTGGTCAAAGTTGCTCCGGGGACCCAATACGATAACATTTCCGGAGGCGAGCCAACGGATGATCAACTTCTTCCATTATACCCCATTAACGACCGCTTCATCCCCTTCCTGCCCCAAGTTGCTCTACATCAAGCCTCGACACGGTAAGATCATCGCAGTTCCAGCCTTCTGAATCTTCCTTGAAATCTTGTTTCCCTTTCACTTCTCTAGGAAGCCATTCCTCCGATGTTTCGGGCTCTTCTTACGATTTCATATCGCTCCTGCGAACTGCCGATTAGAGGTTCACGCTTGATGGCGCTTTGTGCACGCTGGGACTGTTCAACTTGACCTCGACCACATCAGCACGGAGGCCGCGAGAAAAAGCTATTTCATGAGTAGGATGTGTTCATCAAGGAGTGTAGCGCCACGAGCAAGAAAATTTGGTGTATACTGAAGGTAATATCGAAGATTATGACGATTGAAATGACACCGGATAGAACCAGCTGATTGAATAGACCCAATCATCACTGGACCAAAACAATAGGAGTTCCTTGGTTTGATATCCGAAGCTACCTATCGAGGTCAAAAGTGGCGCCACCTGCCGAGTTCGTTGTGTTTGGTCCGGGGAGTTTTGATTCGTTCATTGAATATCATCTCCATGCGAATAAAGCGTGATCATTGAAAGACTATAGGAGATTGCCGATTTACTACACGAACTCTGGACGTTTCTGCGCGTCTTTACAGCAAGACATTCCGGAGCAATATCTTTCATTGAGATTGAGGAGGATTTTGACAGGGCCGTGCGCCCGAGATATAGGAAATGCACTGTCTCACGATACGCAAGGACCAGTTACAGCATGAGCTAGCCGCCGTAGCTAGAGATGCATATCATGAGGCGTATGCCGAAATATCGATTGCCATGCAGGCTTTCAGCGCTGCACTCTGCGTGGATGTAGAGATGTAACTTCGGTTTGTAGGAGTGGGAGCTCGGGAAGCACAACAAGCGCCGTCAGATGCTGGCTCGGGTTTATGATCGGCATAGCGTCCCTATTCTCGTACATATTGTGGTAGGACTCGAGAGTTATGAGAGATGCGGTCCATGGATGGATGGGAGCACAGCTTGTTGCCAACTTGTCAAAGTTGCCGCTCTGTGTCAGCGGGCGGTCTCAACTCTCATTCTTTGTTCTACCTCTCATACACCAAGATTTAGCGACATCTGGATTGTTGGAACTTGCGCTTAACAAATCGCGAACTATCTTTCGAGTGTAGAGGACTATCGGCTGCTCGGATCATGGATGGAGAGCTCTTGTACCGTACCGAACTCCAACTAGCAGACTCGACGCAGCTCCCGAACGTGAACTATTGACTGTATGCAGATCTACTCGCAGTTTAGAAGGTGATACCGAAGAGGAGCATGTGCAGTCGACAATCTACGAGACGGCTCAAAGCTCTTTTCGAATGTCAGCCACACTACATGAAACAATCGGCTACGCGCGACCCTCGCCAACGAGCCAGCGATGTCGCGTGCACCGTTACTCACCACCACGGCCGGGGTAGACCACGATGTCGAACCTGCATATGGATGGTCCTGCTGGGTCTTCTAGATCGTCATGGGACACATATAGATTGCGGGACCACTACCATGCAATCAAACTTGCTGCTGGTCGGTCACTGGGCGCACTGCGCAGAGTTGCGACGCGCTTGCCAGGACATCTGGAGGCAGACTAGATTTGTTTAAAGAGAAGGTCGAGAAGCCGGGTGGAGAGAAGGCACAGTGGGGGAGCACGGTATAGCATCGTGGCCTTGAGAACCAAAACAGGGTCACGCACCAAACTCGGGCATTCACCCGTTGAGCATCTCTTGGCAAGCTTGGGCCCTACGAAAGACTCAACGGCTTTGACGGCTTCAACAGAAGACTCGCTGTGTCCGTCAACCTAGAAAACACATCACCACAGGTATATCGCAGAAGTAGACTCCAACAGTTAAGTTAGAGACTCCCCTATCTCAATTGGCTTCTAAGCGAGGCTCACCATACCTATTTCAGGCGCCCGCATGTTTGTTAGCCTCTTGTGCTTAGTGGCGTCCGCCGCTACTGCAGCCATTGCAAGCCCCCTTGCGCATCCCCGCGCCGTTGTTGCACGCAATTCAACCTCCATCGATAGCTGTCCTGGCTACAATGTGTACAACATCGTTAAGACCAACTCCTCCCTTACAGCTGATCTCAAGCTCGCTGGACCAGCGTGCAATGTGTTCGGAAAAGATCTGGATGCATTGACGCTGCTGGTGGAGTACCAGACCAGTAAGTCGGGCCTGCAACGCGCGGTTGTTCAACTGGATAATTGTGGCTAATATTTCCCACCGATGACCGCCTCCACATAAAGATCTTTGATGCCGCCAATCAAGTCTACCAAGTGCAGGAGTCCGTTCTCCCACGACCCAACAACGATGCTGTTGAAGCATCCGGAGCTGCTCTCGAATTTGATCTAACCGAGAAGCCCTTCTCATTCCAGGTGAAGCGCAAAGATTCTGGCAAGATACTCTTTGACACGTCGGGACCCGGTGGCACGTTGATCTTCGAGTCACAATATGTTCGTCTCCGCACCCAGCTGCCGCAAAACCCCAGCTTGTACGGCCTTGGCGAGCATTCCGACTCCTTTCAACTGGAGACCCATCGTTACACACGCACGCTCTGGAACGCCGAATCACCGTTCATCCCTGACCATGCAAACTTGTACGGCAGCCACCCCATGTACTTTGACCACCGCGGTGGCAATGGCACGCATGGTGTGTTCCTCTTGAACTCCAATGGCATGGATATCAACATCGACAATCCGTCTTCGGGCACTTTCCTGGAGTACAATACCTTGGGCGGCGTCATTGATCTATACATAGTAGCCGGTCCCGGCCCTGTGGACGTCAACAAGCAGTATGCCGAGATAGTTGGACTACCTGCCATGCAGCCGTATTGGACCTTCGGCTTCCACCAATGCAAGTACGGCTACAATGACACCTTGGATGTGGCTGAAGTCATCGCCAACTACTCCACAGCTAAAATCCCTCTCGAAGTCATGTGGACGGATATCAACTACATGGACAAGCGCCAAGACTTCACGACTGATCCTCAGCGCTTCAAGATGGGTATGATGCGGGAGCTTGTTGATGTATTGCATAGCCGTAACCAGCGCTATATTCTGATTCTCGATCCTGGAATCCACATGGTGTCGGGTCTCGACTCATACAAGCGCGGCGTGAACCAAGATGTCTTCTTAAAGACTGCAAACAACGCCACATACGAGGCCGTCGCTTGGCCTGGGGTAGTCGCCTATCCGGACTGGTTCGCTCCAAATACTGAGAAGTGGTGGACGGACGAGCTTGGTCGAGCCTTTGACCCAGACACGGGAGTTGATATAGATGGTGTTTGGTAGGTGTACCTGCTACTAGTTGGCATCAAGATTGCTTGGCCGAGAATTGGTGGGAGCTATCGGCTAATACTTCTTTAGGGTGGATATGAATGAAGCCTCAAACTTTTGTCCAGATGTAACATGCGTCCCTGAAGGTATGAAACCATTTATCTTGCAGAGTTTCTCGTACTTACATGTTTCTAGTATTTGCAAGCCAAAACGATATCCCGCCGGCACCCGCACAGGCACCGCGAAATGACACTGGCCGCATAATTCCTGGTTTCCCCAAAGATTGTATGTAATATAGGACAACATATCAGATGCCCTTTCGTCAGGTTCTCTAAAGTGCCGCTCGAGTCGAGTTTCAGGACTCCGCTCAAGTAGTGTTTCCAAGAACTCTGGAGGCTAAGAGGATCTAATACATGCCCCAACCCCTTCCCCCTTACGAACATTTACTGACTATATCCACTTATAGTCCAGCCTCAATCAAAGCGCGACTCTGGAGATAGCATGAAAGGCCTTAACGGCCGTAACCTCCTCCTCCCACCCTATGGCATTCACAACCACCAGGGCGATATCTCAAACCGCGCCATCTGGACTAACATCTCCAACTACGACGGAACTGTCCAATACGACACCCACAATTTCTACGGCACCATGATGGCCTACACCTCCCGCACCGCTATGCTTGCCCGTCGCCCCTCAAAACGCCCCTTTGTCCTCACCCGCAGCACCTTCGCTGGCGCGGGCCGCAAAGTCGCTCACTGGTTCGGCGACAACGCGTCAGAGTGGAAGCACTACCGCATCACCATCCAGCAGATGCTGACGTTCGCCTCCCTCCACCAGATGCCAATGGTCGGCAGCGATGTGTGCGGCTTCAACGAGAACACCAACGAGGAGCTGTGCGCGCGATGGGCCATGCTCGGCGCCTTCCAGCCCTTCTACCGCAACCACGCGGACATCACCGCGGCCAAGCAGGAGTTCTACCTCTGGCCGATCGTCACGGCGGCCGCGAAGAAGGCGATTGACGTCCGGTATAAGCTCGCGGACTACATCTACACGGCTTTGTACAGGCAGACGCAAAACGGAACTCCTCTCGTGTCGCCGCTGTTTTTTGCGTACCCCAATGATTCGAACACCTTCGGCATTCAAACACAGTGGCTGTACGGCCCTGGTCTACTCGTGTCTCCTGTCATGGACGAGAACAGCACGAGCGTCAGCATCTACCTCCCCGACGACATCTGGTACGACTACTGGACCGGCAAGGCCATCCGCGGGCACGGCAAGAGCATCACGCTGAATAACGTCGAGCTCACGGACATCCCGCTGCACATCAAAGGCGGCAGCATCATCGTCCAGCGCGCCTTCTCGGCGATGACGCTGGACGAAGTCCGCAAGCAGGACTTCAACATCACGGTTGCGCCGGGCCTGGATGGGACGGCGCGTGGGTCGTTGTACGTCGACGATGGAGAGAGCTTGGTGCAAGACCCGATTCTCGATCTGGAGTTCTACTACGATGGGCAGTCTTTGTTTGCGGATGGGATCCTTCCTGCGACCGCGATGCAGATTATGAATGTCCAGGTCCTCGACCCGCAGTCTGCGGGTGGTGCTGGAGATAAGCGTGCTCTCAGCGTGGATGGGCCGTGGGAGTTGAGCGAGGGGTTCAAGTGGAGTCTGTGAGCAAGTGGAGCAGCAGATGTGGGGAGGAATGTGTGAGATGCGACGACGGATGGGTTTTTGGATGCCAACGCCATTGCATCTTCTAGCACTTACTGCTGGATCATGCATACGGTTGGCAATCGGGAAGATTCTGCATACTGCTCGCGCGCAAGCGGTGCTTGTGGCTTGCTACCTTTTTTAGTGGCTGGTACTACATGTAACAATCACGAGCTGTGAATAAGACCTTCCATCTTCTCTATTTCAAACACCTGTACTGCTATGGTACAACTGATTTCTTGTGACTTCATGGATAGCGAGGTACGTCCCGAAGCGTTTCGCTACAAAGGAGGTACCTAGGTACTTAGATACGTAGCGATATGCTAGGATAGATATCCACATTGTCACCAGTGCCTCCAGCACAACCTCATCCCCACCATCTCAAGCTCAAAATCACCAGACGCGGCAGCATGATATCCCCAGATATTACATGTGCCCGCGTGCACTCGTGATGGTGTTCCACTGAACCCATGTCCACAACGTCGTAGCCGATGACAGCCGCCCCCAGCACAGCCAGCTCAGTACGTGGTATGGGTACTGTGCGTCCGCACATCGCCATGCTCTGTGTCTGGCCGGTCGACGTGCGCGATGCGAGTTGCCGATGGTGTTGGGGAGAGTTGTATATGCCGCGGGAATAAGGCGGGTATGACGGTATCTGCGGTTACACAAAGGCTTCTGGTATCGCCTGCATTGCACGGAAATCTGCAGATGGGGATCCTGAGGCGGAGAATGTGCCACATTTTGACGGTAGCAACGTGAGTGCGGGAGGAATCGGGGACGGTTTTGGCCGTTTATTGGTTTGTGCTATACTGTGCTGTGTCGAGAGTGAATCGGTTTCAGTCCGGACCTAGTGATAGCTGTTGGACGCCGTTGACGACGGTATTGCCATTGAGAGATGCTTCTTCGGGGATGTCGTAAGTGACTTCGATGGAGTTTTTAGGCCTGTTCTTGTTGAGACCTTCAAGGAGGACGCATGCTTTGCAAATGTCCTGGCTAGAGAGGTAACCACAGCGGGCGCATTGTCCCATGGTTTGTCTAGCAGGCTGTTTGCGGGTACCGTGAGGAGGGCCCTTCAGCTTTTTACCCTTCTTGCCAGTCACGAGTGGTATAACGTCCGAGTCTGGAGGATTCGGAGATTTTGAGGCAGCTGTGGTAATTTCGACCTCTAGTCCTCCCTCCGCCGCAGCCTCGCTCTGTACAAGCTGCTGCTCCATTGACGCCATTTCTCCTCCTGTTGTTCTCCCATTTGAGCTTCCACAGCCACCTTCTTCTTCCTCTACGAGTGTAGCTTGACCCCCACATCCATTCCCGCAATTGTCATTCCCTCCAGGCACGAGCTTGGCCATGTCTTCGCCACTCCGCACAACATCTAGAATAGCGCTTGGGCGTACTCGTTCGAGGTTCTTAATCAGGGCGCGAGCGCTGCCTCGGAAGGCTTCTGGCGAGTACAGGCATTCGGTGCTGAAGTAATCGAGGTTCTTGTGATGAGCGTATAGCACAATCTCCTTCTCGTAGGCGTATTTGAGAGGCTTGCTCCGCTTGATGTTCGTGTGTGAGGTCGTCTCTGGAGAGGATGGGACAATCGAAGGCGTCGAGGTTACGATCGAAGTCGTTCGAGAGAGTCTGGGGAGGTCTCCACGTAGTACTGGCAGGCACGAAGGCCGTCAGCCACCCAGTAGTCTTCCTTCTCTGAGGCAGAGGAAGAAGGAACTTACAGTTCATCAACACGGTCTCCGCGACATCATCAGCGTTGTGTCCCGTAACCACATGTCTGACTCCCAGCTTGGCCGCCCCTCGATCCAGGGCCTGCCTCCGGAAGACACCACAATACGTGCAATTCCCCTTTTTGCCAACCTGCTCCACAACCTGATCCATTGTCCATCCATACAGCTCATCGTAACCCAGTATTGTCAGTGGCATGCCATACTGCTTTGCATTGCGCTTGACGGTCTCGAGGGAGTCATCCCGGTAGCCCTTGATGCCCTCATCGATCGAGAGCAGTATTAGCTCTACGCCATAGTCATATCGCTCGTTGAGAGTCTTCAACACACTCGCAAGTACCGTGCTGTCTTTGCCGCCCGAAGCCCCGACGGCGATGCGCTCGCCGCGGTGAAAAAGGCTGTTGGTGGTGATTGTGTGGTGGATTTCGGCCTCGAAAACGGAGATGAAGCAGGGCTTGCAAAGCTTCTGGTGGTTTTTCGGACGGAGGATTAGTGCACGATTGGTCTGGCATACGGCACAGATAGAGGGTGCCATATTGTGCTTTATGCTAGAATATTGGTGGTTGGAGGCCCTGGAGGGGTGGCGCTGAGGGGCGCCTGGGAATTTTGGCTGGGGTCTCGTCACAGTGCTTTGGTACGCGCGAGTCATTGCACGCCATCATTGTTTTGATACCAAAGACAATATTTTCGTTGCTATTTGACGACGCTACCAGCGGTTTCGTTATTTTAAATCACTGTCGCTGAGACACGCTGATGGGCGCCTTCAGGCAGTTGGAGAGAAGCAGTCATTCATCTATGCCAATGCCGCCGCCAAACGACGAAGGATAGCGTTCTTGAGGACTACGATGCTTTATGGCTATCGGTCTCAGCCGCTCTTCTGATTGGAGCAGCATACCCTCGTTTACGATCGCGTCCCGAATTCTTTAGGGTGCTGCATGCGAGAGGACCGGCTCATATCAAGAATGGGCAACACCAGCTGAAACCCTCTAAAGACGAGGCTGACCATCTGCAGCTACGCTCGTAAAGCTCTAGATACTTCCTACAAAAGCATAGCGGATGCTCCGGCGGAAACTCCCGCTCTCACCCCTCTGAAGGTCTCAACCGGGCTTTCTCCCAGAAACCACCTGCCTCCTCCAGGCATTGCTCGACTTCAGCCTCCATATCAAGATCCTTTGAACCCACAATCTCGACCATTGCTGGCGCTTTAACGACATCGAGCCTCACGAAAGCAGATATTCGGTCGTAAAGCCGGAAGAATTGCAAGGAGTACACTCGGAATTCCGTTATATCGAAGCACAGCAAATCTTCTATCACCGAGTCGGTGGGGCAGTCTTGGATTGCGGCAGTACGGCGATAGCTGCTTCGAGGCAATTCACTAACGTCGGAGGGAAATTACCAAAAGACACATCAAGGCGCGTAGTCTTTGCATGGCATAAGCTTCTTGCTGTATTGCACATGCTTCAATCACGAAGGGCGCAGGAGGATTAGTCAGAACGAAAGCTGTCTGGTGGCCCTGGCCTGTATAGAGTTAGGGCTTACAACGGTTTCATCTTGCTGGTCATTCAAGTAGCACCGAACTGCGGCAAACTTTCATACAACATCAACAAATACTCTTTCATTTTACTTTCTGAACAAGGCTTTGAATCACTTTATATCTTCTGCTGCTTTTGTAAGCAGCACAGTACTCTAGAAGCATCGAAATGGCATCTCTCACCCCAAACTCGGAATTCATTGTGCGGCCTGCAAAGTCTCTTGAGGAAGCTCGCAACTTTTGGTGGCCTCAAATGCAGAAGCTGCAGTGGGTATGATTCATCATTCTATTGGGAGACTACTATTCTATTCTGGTATTCGTTCTTAGTTAAGGAAAACGCATCTAACAGACTTGTAGTACCGCGACTTCAACGACGGCCAGACCCATTACGCGGTCGCGGGAAAAGAGGGTTGGCTAGTTGTGCAATCCAAAGATGACGAAACGGCTGAGGGCTGCATCGTCCCTTTTGTCTACGCCAATAGCACCGGCTGGGTTGGCTTCTTCATTGTGAACGAGCAGCACCGTGGCAAAGGATGGGGTGCCGCCTTGTTCGAATCTCTCCTAAAGTTCTATGCTGATCACAAGACGGGCTTCGTTGGACTCGACGGCGTCGCTGAGCAAGTGCCGACGTACGAGCGCAGGGGCTTCGTCACGAAGTGTCCACTGGTTCTCATGGTGCACCCATCGGTGAGTGAGGCACCTTTGATCAAGGCGGACTTCAACCTGGAGGAAGGCGAGAAGCTGGTGGACCTCTGTGACGTTCCGCATAGGCTCCTGATTGAGAGTGACCTCGCCCACACCGGTTTCGAGCGCCCGAAGCTCTGGTCAGACGAGGCATTGTTTTCCCGTCCGGACGTCTATGGCTACGCCCTCGTTTCCTCTAAAGACGCGAACAAACTCCTTGGCTGGGTTATGGTTCGTCGAATGGAGCACGGCCACCGGTTTGGGCCTCTGCTCGCCGATTCGTACAAACAAGCGTTTGTTCTTCTGAATAAAGCAATGCAGGATATTGAGAGCTCTAAAGGCAGCATGATCGCAGAGATATTCTCCCCAAATCCTGAAGGCAGGAAGGTCTTTGAAGAGCTCGGCTGGAAGTGGGGTGGGGTTGATTACCACCGTATGTGGCTGAATGGGAAGGTTCCGAAAGAGCAAGATGCCGGTGGGCGAGGAGAGAAGGGGATGTTTGCCATTTTCGACGCGGCGGAGGGATGAAGGGATTCTGAACATGGTATCCTGAAGTGGAGCCTACAATGTCTCGGCATAGGCACCCGTATACTTCTATTCCACTGCTTGTAGAGCTCCAAGGTGTTGTCCGAAGTCCGAGTATAGATGCCTTGTAAGCAGTGGTAAGGAAGTATGCGCAGACCTATAGCGAGGCACTGTGGGTCGTTTTTTTGTCTGCGTACTCTCCATGAGTACTTCTTTTCAGTCTTCTTAACCCTCTCAATCAGACAAGTCAACATCTTTGTGCCCGACCTCTACCCATTCACGTTCAGATGTCCCACTGCTAAGCATATCCCAGTCTTCCTCGGAGTCGGATCTTGAAGTCTCCTCCTGCTCTGGCTTATTGTCGCTAGTAGGATTCGCGCTCAACAACGGTGGGCCACCCACGGCCATACCAACACTTGCAATGAATTCCGCGCTTTGTGCTCCCATTTCCCTCTTCATCCACAGCCTCTCGATGCATAACTTGCGGATGTGTAACTGTCGGGCTAAGCAACAGCTCATATCACAGAAATGTTTCTCCATTGTGCATCTAGGATCTCCAGGCGCACTCTCCGGGAAGATATCGTTAAAGGCTCGTCGGAGTCTCTCCTCCCTTAGTTCGATATCAGCTCTACTCTGCCCAACAATGAGCCATATAGGATCTAAAAAGTCGCAAAATTGGGCGGGCGAGAATATCTCTTTGGAGTACAGTCCCAACGATGCGGCTGCTTCGGGCATGCCGACCAAGTCTCTCATGAAAACCACAGGTTTGCGATGCTCGTATTCATCCGGACAATCTTCACTCGGTGTATCCTCTTCGCCCTCTTCATCCAAATCATCTGAGTTTTCGTCTGAGCTATCTGGGTCTTCGTCTGAGCCATCTACGTCTTCATCTGAATCATCTACGTCTTCGTCTGAGCTAGCTGCGTCTTTTTCCGAGTGATCTATGGCTTCGTTCGATGGCCTCGATTCATCGGGAAAAGGGTGGGCGATGTAGCATTCCTGATATCCGTCCAGAAACCCCGCACAGTATCCGCGCGAGTAGGTCTCGCTCGAGACATTCTCTCCCACGTCTCCTTTGTCCTCATCCGAGTCTTCGTCCTCTTCATCAGAATTGCAATCCTCTTCTTCATCCGCGCTGCTCATGCCGTCCGTATCTTCTTCCTCTTCCTCTTCCAGTCGCATGTGTGCCTCTGCCTCCCGCTGCTGTCGTCGGTCGGCTATGCTTTTCAGCGCCTTGATGAACTTCGTCCCTTTGGGTCCGAGCAGGGCGTCTGCTTCTCTGAGCAGACCGTATATGCCATCTGCACCGAGGCTTGGTCGAAGTTTATGGTTGATTTTTGCTACCGAGAATAGGCCTTTGGCGCTGAGAATTTTTGCGAGTTGGACAAAAGATGACGTTGTATTTTCCTCATCTTGAGTGGGAGATTCATCGTCTTTCCCATCATCGCTGGAGCCATCTTCGCTGCAGTCATCTTCGCTGGGCCCGTCACGCATTTCCCAGCCACTAGGTAGGGGTTCAAGCTGCGAGACGGGTTGCTGCTGGATAGTACGGCTGTTGGCATTTTGGCCTCCGTACTGCTGGCACCGCGGATCCACCCAGGTAGTTGTCCGCGTGTTGTGATCCACGAAATATACTCTTCCCTCGGCCGTATAGCGTTGCCCCCATCCAGATGGAAATTCGCCTGTGCCCGCAGTCGTAGCCCCCGTTGCCTTCATAGAGACTTCAATGGCGGTGCCCTCGGGAGGAGAGTCGCTCGAGTCGCTGTCGTTGGAGCCGTCGTCGGTAGAGTTGTCGTCGGTAGAGTTTTCGTCCGTGGAATCCTCATCACTGGAACCGTCACGGCTCGAGCCGTCGTCGCTAGAGCTGTCGTCGCCAGAGCCGTCATCACCAGAGTTGTCGCTAGAGTTGTTATCGCTAGAGCTATCGTCGTCGTCCCCAGAATCGTCGTCGCCAGAATCTTCGTCACTGGAATTTTCGTCACTGGCATCCTCGTCGCTGGAGTCCTCAGGGCTCGCGCCGTCGTCGCTAGAGTCTTCGTCGCTGGACTCTTCGTCGCTGGACTCATCGTCGCTGGACTCATCGTCGCTGGAATCGTCACGGCTCGAGCCCCTATCATGGCTGCAGCCGTCATGGCTGGAATGCTCGCGTTTGGAACGTTCTTTGGCCCATGAGTTGTATAAGTCGCGGAGAGAGCACCCCAAAGGGTAGGGCACACCGTTGCTCGAGCCTTTATTGCCGTTGGAGTCCTTATCCTCCGTGTCGTCAACCTCCGAGTCAGAAGACTCGTCATCACTAGAATCATCAAGCCCGAACAAACGTATGAAAGTCGCGCGGTGTTTTTCGCGCAGTGCCTCCATTGCGTTCCCCGCGAGTAGAGGACGGGATGCGAAGGTAAGAGCTTCGTACTGCGAAAGGGGTTTGCTGAGTGTCGAAAGTACTGCCGTGGTGCCTAATGTTCGTTGAGTTGTTTCTGGGTTGGCTGGTTGTTCTTGCGGACCTGGTGAAGGTTGCTATTGCGGACCTGTTGAAGGTTGCTGTTGTGGCCTGGTGAAGGTAGCTGTTGTGGACCTAGCGAAGGTTGCTGTTGAAGCTGCCCCGTTGTGTGAGTTCTGAGTGTGTTTACTGGTTACGTCACGGTGCCCTCGACGCGTCTGCGGCGGAGTGTGTAGAAGACGAGTCTGGAGTGTGCGAGGAGTATCCTTTTCAACGTGGCCTCTTGTGTGGGTGGGATGATTAAACGCGGTTTGGTACTCGCTTGACTCTGGAGCATGCGAGCCATGGTGTACATTGCAACCACCAATCAGGCTACGAATGGCTTTGAGGTTCCGTGATTAAAAATAGAACTCCGGTACTGCTCTGATCTAGACCGTGCGGTCTAATACCTCGTGTCTTCGACAATCTTGACTCCTCCTGGAGCGCTCTAGAGGCGTGCGCATATTCGCAAGATAGCAATTCATTTAGATCGAATTCGAGTGTGCGAACACAACAATAACCCAAAATGCGTATGTATACTGTTAAAAACTTTACATCACACGTCAACTTCACGTACATATAGGAAGCACTGCATCCGATTTGAAGCCTTCAGAACCTCACATCGTACCCTGAGAGTTTTCACAGTAAAGCCTCCGGATTTTTACATCATACCCTGGATTTTCTCGCAGTGCTAGAGGACTTCACGCAGTAGCATCCTTTGTTAAAAGACTGTAAAATGACCACATCCGATTTAAAGCCCCCGGAGCTTGACATTATATCCTAAACGATTTCATAGTGCTGGAGGACTTCGCGCAGTGATATCGCTATGCCAAAACTCTGTGAAATGACCACACCCGATGTGAAGCCCCTAGAACTTAACGTTACCCTGACCGTTTTCACGGTTAACATGACATTGTAGCATGAAAATTTTCACAGTGCCAGAGGACCTCAAACAGCGTCACGCAGGTTCCAAATGCGCAGAGCAGAGCCTATATTTTTAGACCGTGCTATCAACTCCCCGAAAGAACCCCCCCAAGCAACCGGAACGCTCACGATATGGCAAACCTGATGGCCTTTGAGACAATTTTACGCGACGTGGACGGCTCGAACGCGATGCGTGGTTCCTCCCACCCCAAAAACGCACACAACGGCCCCCACCCGTCGTCCTCATTCCACTCCAACAACTCCACGTTCTTCCTCTTGGCCACGGCACGCACCCACGCATTGTGCCGTTTGATTAGCCGGTGGTCATGCACTGAGGACACTCCGTACCGCATTTGGAGGAACCGGTCCCGGCACGCCGTGTACACTGCGCGCTTGCTCCCGGTCGCGGTATTAAGCCGATCAGCGGTATGAGTGGCCGCCTGCATTGGCAAGCCGAACAACTTCTTGACCTCGTGACGATGCGAAGGGCCCTTTTTCGCGGATCTTGTGTTCAGAATCAACCGGACGTTGGGGTACATGTCGCAGATGTCGTCCACGAAGAAGCACGCGGGGGCCTCGGTGATGTACTTGTAGCTGCCGAAGAGCGACCTTAGCGTGCGGCGACGGTCCTCCTGGTCGCCGCGTTCGCTGAGCCCCATCGCAATGGACGTGACGCGCTTCATCTCCGACGTTCCGTGCTCGCCATCGGCCATGGAAGGCATCAGAGCTTCATAGGCTGGAGGGAGTAAACCTTCGAAAGCGTGGTAAAGAAGGCCAGCATCGAACGGAGGGTCCGGCATGCCGACAGCAGCGACGAGGACCCCGCTTCCGGAGACGCGATGAGGGCATCTTGACGGCTTCCTTTTCATGACGGAGGGCGTCTGGAGGTGTCTGGGCAGTCGTAGGAGAGGACGGCTGGAGGCGGTGATTGATGGCGGGCTTGTTAAGGCGGAGGACGTCTGGAGGCGTCAAGATGGCAGTAATGAAGGTGGCTTGGAAGGCGTGTTTGATAGCGGGCTTGTCTAGACGGTCTAAGGAAAGGCGGATTTGAGATGCGAAAGACGGTAGGCTATGAATTGTGAGTGTTGTGATGGAATAAAGGAACAGGAGGATGCGGTGTCGAAGGAGGAAGGTGAGGAATGAGCTGGAAAATTGATACCTGAGGAGGCTGATACCAAGGCAATGGCAGGTCGACGTAGGTTGCAGGAAGTATGAAACTGCGAGGCACCCCAAGCAGCGGCGAGGGAGTGTAGCTGTGTTTCTACCGGAGAAGGGGAGAGAGACTGGTAGGGAAAAGGAAAGGTAACAGGAAGAGAGAAAAGAGAAGAGGGTCGAATAGATGGCATGTGATACAGTGACAGGTCATAAGTCTGTGCACGCGTTTGCCACTGCTTGGGGTGCCCCAATGGATTTTGAAAAAACCTAGAGCGATGTCAAGTTTGAAGAAGTGCATATTTGACTGCCTCTTGAAGTCCTGGTTGCTTACTAGCTGGGCTGCTCCTCACAGTGGTGTCGAGTGAGCAGAATTGAAGACAAGCAGTAATAAATCCATGTGCCCAGACTTATGATAGGTCGTAAGTCTGTGTCCACGTGTTGCCACTGCTTGGGGTGCTTCCATGGAATTTCAAAAACCTAGGCGCGATGTCAAGTTTCAAGTAGTCCAAGTTTTACTGCCTCTGGACTAAGTGGCTGCTTCCACTCGGTCTTCTAGACAAGCATCGCGGTTAGCTCCATTAACTCGTAGGGCCGCCGTTTCCCTGCTCCTCCCACCCGCCCTGGACCCAGTCTATTCCTGCTATCGTGAAAAGTCCTTAACGAGGAGGGGAGCGACAGGAGGGAAGGAAAGAAGTTGGCGTCCTACTTTCTTTGCGTAATGCTGAGATATCAACCGGGGATTTCTGTGCCAATGCCGACACGTGACCCGGGTCAACGTCCTGAGTTTTCGTTTTCTGATAACTGAAGAAGATATTCGGCCCTGTAAAGAAGCATCTAGGTGCACTTCCCTACCACTAACTGAGCTGTCTCAGAGATGTTGCCAGTCATCCAAAACCAAAGACTTCCCTCTCATCCAGACTTCCAAAAACGCATCAAGACACCCCAAGCAGCGGCGACGGAGAATCCACAGACCTCAGGAGACGACTCTGTAAAAGAAGAAGAGGAGAGTAAAGATCGTATATAACGAGCTCGTAAACACTCAATCGACTTGAAGACATAATAAAGCGTTTCTCGTCGTTTTGACGCTCGAAAGCCTATTCCAATGGTGCCTTTTTTTTCCCCAACCGTCACTGCTCCTAGTTGCCATTGACGCCTGACTTCTCCAGCCCACCCAGAGGTGCTGTATGCTGTTTTAAGAAACTAATACCACCATCAGAAGATCCTCGAGAACGAATCACGCGGTAGACCACAAATCTGAACCTCCTCGCCGTATTCCCGGCCCGAACCAACCCCACAACCACAACCTGCGCGCGCATCCCTCATCCCAGATTCACCTCTACTTCTCCGCTCCGGAGCCGCCTCTAGGCAGCCAATCCCACCTTATTCTTTCCCAGCTCCGTGCCCATCACAGCCTCTTCCGACCACCTATAAACCCCCTCCTTCCACCCCCCCAATTTCTCCAAGGAACCCCCGCCCCACAGCCCAGCAACCAAAGCAAGCTACCCACCTCACGAGCCGCGCTCGCAAACCCCCCTTCGGCGGATTCCAACATCCTCTGGGTGCCGGGGTGCTCACAACTGCTCTGGTCATTCATCGATGGCCGCAACTTGTTGCGTGGAGAAAGAGAGGGGCGAAGAGGGAGGAAGAGGGATGGAACGGAGAGGGATGGAGATGATACCGACGCGCACCAACCTCAATTAACGATAAACCATAACCGCCCCCTTCCCCCCTCCCCCCGGTCGAGAAAATCAGAGTATGGAACGCTTCTGACCACCAGCTCGTCTCAATGATGGACCCCACCACCACCATCACCATCAACACCATCAACACCCCCTCCTCCCCTCCCTCCCTCTCCATTGGATCGCAGAATGCGACTATTTTGATCCCCCTCCCCACCCCCACCCTCCACAACACGCCCGCCACTCCATGGGAAAGTCGGCGGCGGCATGTTGCACGCCCTAGCACATAGGCGTTGAACCGATGGAGTTTTACGCTTCCATCTTCCATGCGCGCGGTGCTTGATGCATTCTCCCAGAACGACGTGGTGAGAGTTTAATCCCCACGCACCCTTCTGCACTACTCCTCCTTGCATGACTAAGAACCTGGAGGTTGGGGATTGGGGTTGGGGTTGGGGGGGGGGGAAAGCCCAGCCCAGCCCAGCCATGGGCATGTCAGGGCATACGAGCTACATATCACCGCATTAGCCAACCATCCCACCCACCACCTACCGGCACGAAGCGCGCCAAACAGCAATCACATCACATCACGTACCTTCTCTCTCTCTCTCTCTCTCTCTCTTCTCCGCGCACTCCCCCACGCTTCTCCCACTCCATCAGCACAATCACCCAACCCCCATCACGCACCTCTCGCAGTATTTTCGACAGGAAAAGGTAGCTAAATTTTTTTCTTTCTTCCCATTTTCCTCCTCCCCCCCCGCGCCCCGGGGCCCATATCCGCGCCCCTCAGTATGCAGCAGCCGTAATTAAAGCTACAAGGTGTCCCGAAACTCCACGCTAAAGTTAACACACACAGATGCTGCCCCCCCCGGTCCCGCCGATTACCTTACCTTACCCTTACCCTTACCCTACCATACCCTACCCAGAAAAGCCCCCGAGCCAGAGTTATGCAACCTACTAGCCTCTGTGTTCAGAAGATATACCTCGATAATAGACACACACACACACACACGCACGTATTCACAGTCCAATGCGGCCCCTCCGCGCCTCAATCCGCTTCGCGCGGCCCCGATTCCCCAAACTGCGCTTTAAGCTATGGTGCTGCGCGGCGTCCTCCCTTCCCTTCGGCGTCGCGATCTTGAGCTCGAGCATGCGGCCGCAGAACTCGGTGCCGTTCAGGCGGGCGACGGCGGCGTTGGCGGCTTCCTGTTATCGTACACCCTTAGTCAGCACTCGCTCTTGCCCACTCAACCCGCAGAGAAAACAAAACAAAGCAGGGGGTGGTAAACTTACAGGAGTGCCATAGGTGCCGAAGCAATACGCCCTGGCGTGCCCGATGCCCGTGTGGTTGACGTTCTCCTCGGGCAGGCCCAGGAACGCGGCGAGGTCAGGCGGCTCGAAGCCCTTGAAGGGGATGCCGCGGACAAACACCTGCCGGCCTTCTTCAAGCGCTTGGCGCGATTGTTGCTTTTCGTATTCTTTGTCTGCGTGGCGGTTTAGGAATTCGGTGTGGTTGGATTTGGGTTTCTTGGGGCCCTCTTCTGCGTTTGCGGGAGCGGGCGAGGGGGTGCGTTTTCGCTTCTCGCGTGAGTTAGCGGATGTGGCGGTGGATTCTATGGGGGCATCTGGCATGGCGTCCGGATGTTGGGTTTGAGTAGGAGCCACTTTCTCGGTCGGTATTGGTGCTTGTGCGTAGGCAGCTGCTTCGCGAGCCCGACGCTCAGCGACCTTTGTGGTGGCGTTGCGGGTGATGATCATGGCGCGCTGGACGACGGAAGCGTTCTCGTGTTGCTCGCAATGCTGGCGATACATACGGATTGCCTCCTCGGGGTAGTCAATCGTGTCCAACTCGTCCAAGGCCTCCTCGAGAACGGCGGTGGCTCCCAGAGGCTGGTTTGATAGGATCCCGAAGCTGGGACCGGTGGGGACAGGCCACATAACCAATTCCCAGGTGTACCAGCGAGACCAGAAGTCGAGCTGGCCGAGATGTTTTGATTTTATCTCATTCCAGGCCTTGCGTGCGTCGTCAAGGCGGCCTTGCTGGGTCAGGAGCTTGATCTTGATCTTCTCGAGTCGGAATTGGGGGTCGCCTGGGTATGTTCGATCGGATCCGGCGTGTTGTTTGATTCCGACTTCATTGACGTGCTCCATCGCGGAGATGATGGCAAGCTCAGCCTCGTCGACCGGCTCTTCGGCATGGGCGGCAGAAGCGTTGTAGGTGATGGTAGTGTTGTTGTTGAACGCCGCGCGACGGAGGAATCCACAGAAGGCAATGAACAGCTGTATAAGGTCTTCCATATCACCAACGTCAAGAAGTCCGGTCTTGAGAGCCTGGTTCTTCACATCCTCGATAGCAGCACGTTGGAGGCCGGCGATCTCTAGGTGGAGAATCTTGTGGGCCCATAGCGCACCACACCAGGGAGCGTGCCGGACCGCTTGCTGTAAGACCTGTTCGATCCGAGGCGACTGGTTCTTCTTGATGAGATACTCCACATATTCTAGCCAAAGGGGATCTTGGTATGGGAATCGGAGCACGGCTCGGTCGAAGAGTGCTGTGATGGTATCGAGACTGAAAACACCCTCCTTCCTCATTTCGTGGCGAAGATACGCAACGTAAAGATCGTACTCGTCTTTGCTCGCTACGCCGCCATACTCCTGCATCTTGGCCTCGATCTGCCTCTCCCAAGTCTGCCGATATTTGTAGGCATTTCGAGCCCGTGCATAAACGCCGTCATTGCTGTGAACGCTCTCCATCTTTTCTTCGTAATTCTGCGGATCGTTGGCATACACCTCGGAGACCCACGACTGATATGAATCGCGGGTGTCGACCCATTTTTCATGAGCGCGTTTCAGGCGATGCTCATGTTGTTCCAGAATGCTCAGGGACATGCTGATGTCTAGGGTTGCTCGGTACTTGGCTTCCTGAATCTCGACCCATCGGTTGAAGACAAGATGGCAATCTTTCAATTGAGCCCAAGTGGCGGCTACGGCCTGTTCCCATGCCAGCTGAACCTCGGCCCAAGTGAAGATGTTTTTCCCATCTAGCTGCTCTTGCGGACTCCAATCGCTTCCTTCCTCGGTGAGGTTGTTGGCAGCCAAGTACCAGTCGTACAGCATGCCACCAAACTTCATCCACACCTTCACACTGCACGGTTCGTCCTTGAGAGCTTGGGTTTTGCAGAATTCCATGAGAGCGTGGCGGTCCTGGGTGGAATATGCGCTCTTCAGCTTGAAATCGATCCAGTTGCAGTAGAAGTCTTCGCCCAAGGAGTACATGGTGCAGATCTGCTCGAAGGCCTCTTTCAGGTCCGACCAATGTTCATATGTGCCCGCGGGCCGCCGCTCGCCCTCTTCGGTATGCCGCTGGAAGCCTGCGTAGAGGACATCGATGAATGTTTTGTTGTTCCAGTAGCTTGTGGGCTGCTTGAGGCGAACATCGTACGCGGCGTTGAGGATGTCGCACTCCTCTTGGGTCAGTGAGGCAGCCTTGAAGACGCGCGGGGAGTTGTCCTGGGCAGCCATCTGGAGTTCTTTGGCCGAGTTGCCGGAGAAACTGCGCGGGAGGTTTTCGAGGCTGTGGAAGCGCGTTAGAGCGTGTTGAGGAGCGTGGCTATGGATGAAGGGAAGAGATGAGTCGCGCGATGAAAAATCAGGCCGTCGGGGTGCCGGGCGAGCTCAACAATTGTGCAGCGCTGACAGGTCGGTGAGACAGTCTTCGAGGGATGATGGCCTCATTGCCCTTCAGTTGGTGGGAATTGGGGAGGGGATGGTGCCGTGTTCGTGACTGGCAAAGTGTGAAAACAGAAGCTACTCACGTCATTGGAGGGCGCGTCGGCGGATACGCCTGAGATTCACGCATGCCGCCGGCTGCACTATGCAGCACTGCCTGCTGTTGTTGCTGCATCGACGCCAGATCTAACCCACTGCCTGTTAGCAGCGTCCCTGCTGCCGCATACAGTTCCCACTCACCTGCAAGTGTGTCCATGCCCGGCGTCGACGCGTGTCTCGAGAGCGGCGGCTGCGGGGGGGTCATGCGCGTGTCGAAGCTCTGCGTGCTCCTGGCATCGATCGGAGGGGTGCTCGCGGCGCTGTGGATAGCTCCAGCGCGCCCATTCACGCTCGACACGGCCGACAGCCCCGGCGACGGCAGCTGGCCGCCCATTGCGAGATGTGTGTGGTAGGAACTGTGCGGCAGCGTCGCGGACGGCATCTGCTCGATGTGGGAGTGCGGCGACGAGGTGATGTGCTGGCTCAGGGTGCTCGAGGTGCGGCGCGGCGCCTGTCTCTGCGGCGGCTTCAACGGCGACCCCATGGGCGACTGGCGCAGCGGCGGAGGGGGAGTGTCGCCGGCGGGCGATTCCTGCGGCGACAGCAGGCTGTTGATGTCCATGTCGGGGGGGGGGCTGGGGGCGCTGGGGAGGGAGAGGGCGACGAAGTTTGCGCAGGCAGGCTGGGACGGGGGCGTGCAGATCGAAATTCATCGACGAGGTCAGTCAAGCTACGCCGGGAGCGATGTCGCGCATGTCCACAGCGACGGGCGGCGAATTGGTCGCTGCGAGGGCTCGTCGGGGGGTGGTGGAGGAGGTGGTGGAGGAGCCTGGTGCTTGGGCTGGGTGCTGGGCGCGGCACACAGGCGTCGTCGGATGATGCTGTCACGGCGCCCAGGGCTGTCTCCCAGGGCTGTCGCCCAGGGCTGTCTCTCAGGGCTGTCTCGGCATGCCGTTGGGCTCGCGCCAGCCCATTCGGCGCCTAGCATTGTGGCATGGCTGGGCTGCTGCAGCCCGCCACTCCGAGCCGCGCCTCGCCAATCGCCAGTGCGTAAGGGGCGCCGGTCTGGCCCGGGGTAGGGCTGCAGCCGGTCTGGCTCTCCGTCATCAGCGAGGCGGCCAGAGAATCAAGGAGGCAGGTGGAACCAATCAAGATTCCCTCGCAGCGTCCTGCGATTTGGCGTTGAGAAACTCGATCCGAGTATGAAGGGTGATGCCGGTCACGTGACCCGTCGCTGCCGAGAATTCTGACCGCCGGCTTCACCACACGCATCAACACCACCACTCGGGACGGTGCCCCCGCCACGATGAGCATGCGGATACCCTCTCGACAGCTGGCCCGGCCAGGTGCGCCCGCTCCCTCCCCGATGCTGATGACCTGAGTTGACAATGCCGCAGCCGCCGTGCTCAATGGCCTCCGCACCGCCTTCCTCCCCATCCGCACCCTCACCTCCTCCGCCCCCCGGAACGCCGACAAGAAGAACGACAAGAAGACCACCAAGAAGGCCGACAACCACGATGACGCCGCCACCTCCGAGCAGAACTGGAACCCCATCCTCGCGCAATACAACGCCAAGCAGGAAGCCAGCAAACCCAAGCCCACCTCCAAAACCGCAGCCATCGCGCCGCGGCCCTTCGTGCCCCCGGGCTCCCTGCCTCCAACCTCCATCTTCGACGTCGTGCCGGAGCGCACCGCCGCCGAAAAGGCCGTCCTGGAGCGCCGCGCCAAGCTCGACAGGCTCTACCAGACCGACGCGCCGGGCCTGCCCTCCACCACCGAACCCGCAGAGGAACAGCCCACCACGGCCGCCGCCGCCGCCGCCGCCGCCGCCGCCGAACAAGACGCTGACGAGCCCGCCAAGCTCCTCGACCGCCGCATCGCCGCCTTCGCCCTCGACCCCAACCCCGCCGCCCGCCGCCGCTGGGAGCGCAAGCGCGTCATCCGCACCATCGCGCGCCGCGGGCGGCTGTCCAAGACCGAGCTGCTGGCGCGCACGGAGCGGCGCGCGGACTTCAAGTCGCCGTTCCTCAACACCTCGGTCAAGAAGCTGACGAAGCTGGCGAACCAGATCGCGGGCAAGCCCGTCGCGCAGGCGCTGGTGCAGATGCGGTTTAGCAAGAAGAAGGTCGCGCGCGAGGTGCTGCGGGCGCTGGAGATGGCGCGGGATGCGGCTGTGGTCAAGCATGGGATGGGGCTGGGGAAGGCCGAGGGGAGGACGGGCGGCGCGGTCGAGGTCGAGGATAGGCACGGGAGGAAGAGGGTGGTCCGGGATCGGACCGAGATGTATGTGGAGCAGGCGTGGGTGGGCAGGGGCGCGTATGCGAAGAGCATGATGGCGAGGGCGAGGGGCAGGGCGGATGTGTTGAGGCATCCGACGACGAGTGAGTTTTTTTGGTTCCTGTGTTGATGGGGTGCGGGTTGACGGGTGCTAATTCGTTGTGATAGGTATCTCGTTCGTGCTCAAGGAAGAGGCGACGCGTATCCGGCTTAGCGAGGAGTATAAGAAGAAGCGCGACAATCGCAAGCTCTGGGTTCAGCTTCCCGATCGGCCCATCACGGCCCAGAGGCAGTATGCTTTGTGGTAGTCCCTTGAGAAGACAATGAAGGGAGTGGTGAGCGTGGTGAAAGCTAGAAAACTGGGTAGATGTCTCGAGGGTAGCTCTCTACCTGGGCCCCCTCTGTATATCGGCGTGTAGCATAGGCCGGGCTTGTAGAAACCTTGTACAATAAGACTTCTTCCTGACTACGCCCCTTTGCTGCTTGCATTTGCCATTCTCCCCTACTTTGATCACAAATGGTTGCGCGTTTCAGCCAAGGAAGTCTCATACCGGTCATTTCATTCACCTCTGATCTGCACAGTGGCTCAAACGTGGGCTCTGTTCAAAAGTACGAAGAGACCACCAAAAGCAGCTAAACAAGGGGAACCAAGTCCAAAGAGTCTGGTTGCTCCCCTCACAGCATATATACCCATCCCCCGAAAGTCCCAACCAACCCCTAAAAAACTCCATCGCTATGCCAAACACAAACCCGAAAAATCCAAGCCCCACCACACTAAACTCCCGCATCACCGAAGAAAGCCAACAACACAACCCCCCACATCACGCATACCCATTCACAAGCATATCCACCATGCCCGCGACCCGATTCGCCACCTGGCTCGCCTCGAGCCCGTTGCGCACCGCCGTGCACAGGTCCGTGAACAGCTGCTGCGTCTCGGGGGATTGCGAGAGGTAGTCGGCGTAGAGGTCGATGACGAGCAGGATCACGTCTGCGGTGAGGTTGATGAGGCGCGGCTGCTGCGCGAGGGTCGTGTTGATCCAGCGCAGGATGGGCTGCAGGGTGAGTTCGTCGCGGTTGGAGAGGGCGGTGCGGAGGGCGGAGCGGTGGCGCAGGGTCGTGAGGAGGGTGGTGGTGTCTTGGAGGCGGTTGGGGGACTGGGGGGGTTAGTAGGGGTTGGTGGAGTAGAGGGTTGGGTGGGGAGTGGGGAGGGAGGGTTTGAAAGGGACTGGAACTGGAAGGGCATTGGGAGTAGGGGATGAGTGGTATTAGAAGAAAGAAGTGTAATACATACTTTTGACTCCAACACCTGGTCAAGCGCCGTTTCGTACTTCCCAGCGCGTAACGATAGCTCCCAGTTCGCGAGATTCTTGATCTTGCCTCTATCGTTGCCTTTGATGATGATGTCGGCGCCTTCGCCGGTGTAGTCTTTGCCTCGAAGCCGCTTCTCCCAGCCTTTCCCCCTTTTGCGTTTCAATGACTTCTTGTCGTACTCGTCGATTTTCCCGTCCATCAAAGCTGCCATCTCTTTCTCTCGCTCCTTGGCGAGTGCTTTTTGCTGGCCTGACAACCGAGTCTTGACAGACAGCAGTCCAGACTCCATACCAACGGCCAGATGTCTGTCCTCCCTCGCAGCGCCAGAACTGATAACGGACAGCGACAACACCGGGCTGGGATACTTGAAACCAGCGACCACGTTCCATGCGGCCGTCTCAAACACCTTGACATGGCCATCGAGTCCTCCACTCAGCACTCTCTTTCCATCATTCGCAAGCGCCAGACACGTAACAGTCTTCTGGTGATTCTCCAGCAGCTCCAGCGTCCTCGCACCCACCAAATCCAACACGGCAATCTGATTCCCCCCCGCCGCCAACACCGTCGTCGCAGACGGCATCGGCAGCACCGCCTCAACCATCGACCCCATATTAAAGATCATAACCTCCTTCCCCGGCGTTCTCGGATCCCACAACCGCACCGTCTGATCATAGCTCCCACTAACCAACAACCCGCTCGCCTGCTTCGGCATGAACGCCCCCGAGCGCACATAATCATGATGCCCGTAAAACGTGTGCGTACTCGCATCCGACGGCAGATCCCACAGCCGCACCGTCGTGTCATCGCTCGCGCTCATCAACGTCGTCAGTTTGTCCGGATGCCACTGCGTCACCCACACCGGCTGCTTGTGCTCCTTCCACGTCTTCAAGATGGCGCGCGAGCTGATGTCGAAGGTCTGGATCGCGCCCGTCTCGCCGCCCGCCACGAGGATCCGCCCATCGCGGCGGATGGTCCCGCTGTGCGCGACGTCCTCGACGCTGAAGCGCGAGATCGTCTTCACGAGCTTCCGCGTCTTGGAGGAGAAGACCTGGATGCGCGGGCCGGAGGTCACGGCGAAGGTTTCGGCGGGCGGCGACGCGGAGATGCGTGTAGGGGGCGGAGGGAAGGAGATGGAGGTGATGGCGGTGTTGTTCGGCGCGGAGAGCTGCAGGTCGTTGGTGAAGGAGTTCCAGTACTTTTGCTCGGGCGTTGTCGCGGATGGCCCTGTGGGGAACTTCACCCGCTGGAGGGGCTGCACTTCGGCGGCCATTGTGAGGGAGGGAGCTGGAGTGGGAGAGGTGGTGGAGGAGTGGTGAAGGACTCGGTGGTGGTGGATTTATTTTTTGTGAGCCCGAGCTTTGCCAAGATTTCGGGGTCTTATTTCCACAGGGCAGAGCCGGCATCATCGAGACTCGCAGGATATTGTAAATATCGACCCCTATTCCTTGTTTCTTGATCCTTTAGATGGGAATCGCACGATCCGATGATTGTCTAGGAGTTCCAGCCGGCATTTAAGACTCTACCAGAACAGCAATGTCACGGCTCCAAATTCAGCGCATCGTCAGAGTAGAAGCCTGTAGAGACCGATTTTCAGCCATCGTAAGACTAGAGGCCCAAATTCAATTCGAATTGGGGGCCCGGGCAATGAGAGTGGTGCTCATCTTGGGTCTTTCAAGGGTGTCCCAAGGTCTTCCCCTTTCTCACCATTTCTAAGCTACTCTTCACGATTCAGCACCCCCAAATCCCCACTTCCCATCATCTCCTCATTTTACACGAACAACGCCTAGCCGTCACGTTACATCCCCTAATCAACGTGCTGAGTTAGTTTCCTTTCTACTACTTAAAGCCCGGGAGTCCTCTAAGACATTTCCTTCCCGAGCAAAGCCCCTAGACTTTCCTTGTAAAAGCCATCTTCATCCTCTACCATGGCTGTGGGGTGGAGTTCGGCTGGAAATCAACAGGAACTGGTCAATCGCCTCATGGGTGTTAGGAACGTTGGTGGAAGCGCATGGTCAGTCAGATCGCGTTGAACCACTATGGAGCGTGGGTGGAGTACCACACAGCTCTATGAATCGGCGGAATCGGTGGTTCAATGAACAAAAGTGGTGATGCGGCGCATCTAGTGAACGTGCAGATACGGCACAGCTATCACGCAAGTTATAGATTAAGATCCCACCAGTTTGCTTATCACAACCACGCTCACGTAGAAACAACGACAATCATCACCAACATACCCCCCTTTCCCTCCACCCATCGGCCAGGGTCTTTCTGTTGTTGTTGCTCCACCACCCCCTCCCACTGCCCCCATGGCGAAGCTTGACGCGGGTTTTTGCACACCATGCATGCGCTTTAAATCGCGTTTGATCCCCCACTTCCACCCATGGTGATCTCCCCCTCAACCATTGTACACCATATATCGAGCAGCCAATCGCTTTTGCACACCATGCTGGCGGCAGTCGCACGTTGTTGCACATACGTTGGCTGGCCTGGGATTTTGCTCACTCCATGAGCAAGCTGCACTCTGGAGCTCTAGAGCTGTAGGCTTGGGGGTTCTGATAGTTCCTCGAGGAGTTTCTAGAGGTGCTAGTGAGGAACCAGGAAGTCACGTGGGACGAGTGGTACTAGATTAGGACCCCTAAGCTAGGGGCCGGTGGTTATACTGTGAATTTGCGTCGTATTACTCGTGATTTCGTATAGCGTACAGATTAGGAGTACTCAATATCCCTCTTCTAAGCCCATAAAACGTCCAGTAGTCGTCCAACTCCACGCCTGCCCTCCGAAAAGTACCACCCACACGCCCTCAATCGAAGGCCTGATCACATCCTCCCCATAAACAACACCATCCCCACCACCACCGCCTCGACCATCCCCACAAACCCCAGCGCTGCTCTCACAACATCCGCCCCATTCACAATCAAAATAGTCCCACAACCCCCCTGCCTCGTCGTCGGTAGCCCTGGCCCGTTCTCTGTTAGGGTACTGCAATATCCGTTGTAGATGTTGCCGCCCGCCGCCTCTGTCGTCGTGTACGCCTGCACGTACACAGTACTCTGGTAGTTCACAGGCGTATTGGTGACGACGTTTTGGACGGTGATAGTAGTCACGGCTGCGGCGTTGACGGCGCCGCCGCAGGAGGTGTTAGGCGGGCAGCAGCCGATTATGCCAGAAGAAGAGGAGGGGAGGGCGCAGGTGTAGGAGGTGGGACAGCACCTGGGGGGGTGTTAGTTTGGTGTGTTCAGTTGGAGTACGCTCGGAATGGAGCTTTAGATTGCACAAGGCTGTTGTGGAGTTTGTAGGCTGCTCTGGGGCGTCTGAGGGCACTGGAGAGGTGCGGAGGATTGCGGTTGGGGGTAATAGGAGAGGACGTAGTACCAACTCGGCTGATTAATGCTGCTGCAGCTCACAGAGGCGTATGACGGGCACATATTTGTGCTCGCTTGGTTGACTTGCTGGCCATTGGGATAGACGATGTAGATTGCGCCGGAGAAGGGCGCGTAGGTGTTTTGTCGAGGAGAGAGGAGCTCTGGGTTCTGTACTATGTTTCGATTCGAGAGAGTAAATACCGAGGGTGTGAGGAGGGCTAGGAGGATGGTGGTGACGTTAGAGAGCTTCATTTTTTAATCTTTGGGAGCTTCGAGAGCTTCGCGATGACGATTATGGGGTACGAGGTTGAGCAATAGGATTATGAAGAAAGTGACATCTCTTGCTAAGAGCTGAAGCAAAGAAATAAGACAAGAATACAAGCCTCACGCTTCTCAAACTTCACCTCGAAGCTCAACAGCGTCAGAAATGAAGCTTGCGGGATGAGGGGCACAGCTTCTAGCTCCAAGCTCCAGCTCCGGCGCATCCACACCTTAAAACAAGCCCCAACCCACCTTATCACCTGGTAGCTAGCTAGCTAGATCCAGACCTTGGCCGGCGCGAGCAAGCAACAGGCAAGCTTGAGATGGTGGTCAGATCAGCCTCGTAGGTCATGCTGCCCTCCCCCCACCAAGCTTCCCGGACGAGGGGGCACCGACCGCCTTGCAAACTCGCCTTCCATTGCTACGAGAAGTCGTGTTAGCAGGGCGGGTGTCAGGGTGGTCCTTGAGCCGCTTGCTCCGCGGTCGAATTGGCTGTTTGCTAGCCAGCTGTCAGCGGCGATATTGGAGCGGTGAGAAGTGGTGATGAGCTGTTTGCCATGGAAGCCCGGCCGCGGCATCTTGAGTTTCCAGGGCTGCCGAGGCCAGCAGTACAGATTGACAGAGAGGAGGGCATGGTGGAGACGGTGGGGATGGGAAAGCAGGATGTGCATGGCCTTGATTTCGCCCATGTCGGCGGCTCTTCCGGATAGTGTGCAGCATGATGCAGCGTCGATTCTGCAGCCAAGAGTAGGGCAGCAAATCACTGTCAGCCTTTTCCATCGGAGCTCGAGCTTCAAGACCGTGAATGTGATTCGCTGGTCTTTGCAAGGGAGGCATAAGTTGATTCACGTGACCAGGCGAGAGTGGCTTTCTCGCAATCGCGTCTTCCACGGTTCCCCTCTCTCACACTGACAACCACCGCACCTCAATACATACATCTCACCACAACATGACATGACCACGCTGCTGGCTGCCAACAAGGACGCCCCCATCTATCCGGCCTTCTACTTCCGCGCTTCGCCGACATACAATGACTGGGCTAAGCTGACCGTCCGCGATGTGCATGGGCTGAGGACTGTGCCGGAGTTCGAGGGTACGTATCTACTCCAACACGAACTTACTACCACAATGCGCCACTGCACTCAGAATTGAGCCTTTTGTTATTTAATTAATTTGATCTTGTCTCGAATGTCTCATTATCTCAAAATTCGTCGAATTGTGCTGACTTATTCCCGATTACTAGCCCAAAGCGTCTACTTCCACCTCAACCATCCCATCCGCTACGTCCGTCTCATAGCCACAGTCGTCGGCATCGAACAAATAAGCAAATACGTAATCCTCAACCTCGACGACCACAGCGGCTCGACTATCGAAGCGAAGATAACCCGCGTGGAGCCTAGGGACATTGTCTCGCGCGATGCCCAGGAGCACCCCGAAAAATATACCCTCCAGAAACCAAAGTCGAGAAGACCAGCATATGCAAATGCTGAGAGTTCAAGATTGGAAACCTCGGCATTGGAGAGTCCATATTTCGGCGACTCATTTTGGGAAAATGCAATCGGGGTCAATAAATCCAGCAAGTCAAGGCCACCGACAATTCCAGAGGCAATTCAGGCAATGACAGCAGCTGGGGTGCGTGAAACCACCATCGGAAACGTAGAAGTCATATCCACTCTTGGTACCTTCGATGTCCTTGTCGATGGAACTACGATTGACGTCGGCTCCGTCGTAAAAGCGAAGTGTACGATCGGGAGGTTCAGGAACGAGATGCAGGTGGAAATCAAGCGAATCTGGGTTATCAAAGATACGAACGAGGAAGTGCAGGCATGGACCGATACGTCGAAATACCGGCAGACTGTGCTCAGCAAACCGTGGCGGTTGAGTTCGAGGGCGCGAAGGAAGGTCGATGAGCAGGTTAAACAAGAACAAAAGCGACAGGCGGAGTATACCCGGAAGAAAGCAGAGTATGATCGGAAGAAGAAGAGGGAGGCAGAGGAGAAAGAGAGGAAATGGGCGACAGAGGTCAGGCGATGGGAGGAGCGAGAGGAGCTGAAGAGAAGGGAAAAAGAGAAGGTGTTCAATGAAGGGGCGTTGATATGATAGAGTCTCAATGAGGAAAGCTGAGATTTCCAAATGGTTCAAGAAGTTGTCGATCGGCTCTTGATCGATTATGCGACATACGCCTAACTCGACATCCTCATCTCCTGGCTAATCATGACCTCCAATATCGGCAGGGTCAGTCAAAAGGTTGTCTTATTTCCGCTGTGTTGACATTGACATCGTGTCCGGAGTCTTAGAAACTGGGTAGTAGTAAATAGACGTGCTCAGTGTTCTCTCTTGCTCGCTCAACACCACTTCAAGGAGTGGCTCAGCAAACAGATAGCCAGCCAGTCAAAGGGTAGTCCAATTCTAATGCGGGAGCCTTGAAATTGCGTCGGAGCAGCTGCAAGTTTGGCCATACGGATACGAGCACTGCTCTCGTGCTACTTTAGAAGCTAGATACCACTGTCAGGAGCAGCCCCGTTGTCAGGGGCCCGGCTAACCAAAAGCTAGTCTGATTTCTACTACGTTCGCCTTTACATCGTGAGCACTAGGCGATTTAGAGGTAGGTGAAGATCTTAATGCTCGGGCTTTACTCCTGCCCGCTTGGCACCACTGTCAGGAGATGAAATTACGGACTTCAGATTCATTTTTGGTCGCTTGATGCCGCTGTCAGGAGTTGCCCCGTTGGCAGGTAGGTAGTTCGTCAAAACGTAGGCCGATTTCAACAGAACGAAGAAAAGGATGAAGATGGAATGAACTTATAAATGGAGATTACTTCGGCGTTTTGAGATCGATACCGATGAGGTTGGAGATGGAGATACCCTGTGATGTTTTTCACTACATCGGATTTCATGGTCATTCGAGGTTGTTATTACAGGTCTCAAACATCATTCATTCCATGAATACATATTATACAATTGCTGAGCTTCTAGCGCCTCTCAAACTCATTCATCCGTCCCAATCAAGCACAGATCCTCCATACGACTTACATCTTGCTACTGCTACTACGCCCGAATTTCAAGCGTTACCTCTCTTAGCATCCTCCTCTTTACTCTTCGGCACGCTGATCATCTTCGGCACCGTTACCGCATTGATCTTCCGGAAGGCCTATTCACACAAGTTAGCGACGTGGATTCCTTTCCATATCCCCATTCCGCCACAACATCATCAACAATACAAAACTCATCAACCCACCCTCCAAACCCTCGTCTCCCACGCCAAACTCCATCCCCACCACGCCCAACCCTCCACCCAATGCACCCACGACCACAAGCTCAAAATACTCACATCTTTGATCGAGCTATCCGGCAGCTCCCCATTCCACTTATCCTCCACCTTCACGATCTTCTGCCCGTCCTCGGACGTAAAAATATTCACAATGCTCTCAATCGTTTGTTCCTTATTAATCCCCTTCACGGTATACTTCGTCTTCATATCAATGGAGATCGGATTCTCCGACGACATGATCGAGTGCGACAGGCGCTCAATGCTCGAAAACGCGGACTGGAGCCCGTACCACTGCGCCTCATACTGCTTGCGGCCGCGCGCGATAGTAATGGGATCTTCGAACACGCCCTCGTCGGACCAGAGCTGCAGTTTCTCGAGCGAAGGCCGGCCGGCGAAGAGGTCGAGGACGCTGCCGACGAGGGTCTTTTGGGTCGCGGAGAGCTCGACGCCGGGGGCGGTGTTGAGGTTTGTGTTTTCGATGGTCAGATTGGAGGTGGTCATCTTTGCGGTGGTGATGCGGGAAACTTTGGAGATGAAGGATGCTTTGGGGCTGGTTTTGAGGGTGCGGGAGATGAGGGATGCAGTGAAGGGGCGCATGGATAGGATTGAGAGAGATGGGTTTGGAGGAATGGTGGTTAGTTGAGGTTTGTTTTCAATGTCATGGTTTTAGTTCTGTGTTCATCGTCAATGCTCGTCATAGATGCTTCGCTTCGCTAGACGCGTCGCCCGCGTTTCGAGATCGAAAAGTCATGACGCCATTGGAATGCCGTTGCCAAGATATTTCCCCGGGTTTTGCGATCTGGATGGGAAGCTTTAGATCGGTTGGTTTGATTGGTGGAGGTTTGTGGTGAGGGACTACGTGTTGAGAATTTTATTGGGCAAAAAGTGCGTGATGGAACTTTTATAGAAACGATACTTAGCCGGAATTACTCTCCCAATGCTACTCCACCGCACCGTGCTCATACATGGAGACATTACCTTTGAACTCAACTTTCGTTTGCGCGGAACTGTAGCCCGGAGCATCTTGCAGCCAGGCCTAGATCCGTACGGTGAGGCTCATGAGCTACAGCCTGCCAGGGAAGCTCTGAACTACCAGCCTTCGCGGTTATCAAAAGTAGCAGAAGGGACTATGAGGTCAGCATCCATTGCTTCTGCCCCCTCTTCTCTAATTTCTCCTCCTCTTGAGAAACTACACATGATGGAGGGAATCCGCCTGGTGGAAGGAGAAGAGCGGATGAAAGGCTGCTCAGCGAATGAACAGAGCGCAATGCTGATCACAGGACTCCCGTAGCCTACCAATATAGCAGCAAGTTTGCGTTTTGATGTTTGCTCGCTATAGATAAAATTTTCGAAGGTTGTCACTTTCTTAAGCGTGAAACGCATACCCCCACACTATTCACTTTGCTGGCCCTTTAGCCAGATTAGAGAACTCCGCTCAAACTTAGCACGTGAGCAAGCGAAGGACTCCCTTAGGATCGGGCCTATAAAGCGCCATGTCTCCTACTAACGCCGTAGATTGGATCGGGTTCTGCACTTGACTCAAAAGGCACTCAAGGCCGCTGCAAGCAATGGCTGTTCCGCGCGGTTGGGTAGTGTAACAAGTTGGACAACATCATAATGCGGCTGCAAAACTCTAGTTCTAAACTCATCATGTGGAAGGAGGGGAGGTCGGGGGTGTTCCAGTGGCGTATCGTGATTATCAGTCATAACCGCAGGTTGCTGAACTGCACCACACTGCCCTCTTACTATTCCGTAGCTACTTGAGCGCGAGTCGTTGGTGTACACCATCATCGACACCATTGGAACCAACCCCTTCTTTGAATCCTAGAGCCCACAGACCGCACCATGAGACTAATGTGTCGCTAGTAGTGACAGCTCCATGGCCCATCGCTACGCCCGCAGTTGATGTCTCCATGTCGTCGCTGGATTCGTCTGTTTGCAACCAATTCCCCCTTCGTCTTGACAGACTTCTTGACTGAGAAACTCTGCGACCTGGGGCTGGAGGTGTTTGTATACCCCTAGAGGACTCTAATGTGCACGTGACATTACATGAACCTGTCGCCGCGGCGGCCTGACTACGTTACTCCTAATGAATTTGTAAGATGGGAGCCCATTTCCTAGCCACGGCCATGGACTTCCGTTCGAAAAGATGTCATGTCATGTGGCTTTCACGTGCTCTTTGTATTTCGAGAATCCATAGGTATAAAAGCCCCCATCTGGATCACTCTCGATTCTTTTCCTCAAGGAGGAATAGGAGGAGTGGAAAACCGTTAGAGCCAGCACTTCATGGCTGGTTGGATTGGCTGCTGCGTTGGCCTAGGGAGCACAGACTACTGAATCCCTATAATGGTTTAAAACCTCTCCCCTATCAATCCATGTGGAGTATAAGAAGCGGGAGGAGAGGCCAACGGGAGGAGGGAGCATAAAAAGGATGAAGAGAGGAGTGATGAAAGGGGAAATGAAGAAAAATGCCCAGGACGATGATACAATGGGTGGATGTTCCGAGTTAAATTGTGATGATGACGCGCTGTATAGGCGCAAGAAGCGGAACGTCAGCAAGAAGTCAACGTATTGTGGTAGGAACGTAGTCCTAACTTCTGGTAGGGACTGAGTTTGGAGCTACTGCGGGTTCGTATCGAACGGTTTCGATGCGGATCATCAAACGACCAGCCTGTACCCCCTTCCACCGACCAAACCACTCTAACCATCGTAGATCTTCTTGTCTGCATTTTACTCCGCCATGAGGCATTTGCAATGCCGGTTTTCACTCCCATGGGAGTCTTCGAAGCGGTTAGTTGAACCCCAGACACTTCCGAAGCTCGCACTGCCATGATTTCTTGGCCGCTGGCGTTGTTGAAGTAGTCCAGGAAGCCAGTCCTCAGCCGCGGCTATGCGACGCCTTCCGCTGTGCTCTTGACAAGTAGGTTCTCAAAAAGAGGCTGAGTCATCGGAAAATGATATCACTAGGTCTGTTGAAAGTAGTTGAGTGTGGCGTTGAGATGCTAGTATGGATGTGGGAGGTGGCTTAAGGGACCGAAGGTGAGTGTGAATACTGTACGCGAGTGCTTTTTTCTAGCGTGCTAAAGTGGCGGAATGGAGGAAGACATGATGAGGTAAGCGCTTACTATTCGTTCGCTTGAGATTATTCATGGATCAGATGTTTCTCTCTGAAGCTTGATGCCCTGCGAACTGCCTATGACTGCGCCGATACTTTAAATATCATCTCATTTTCTTGCCTGTCGGCTTCTGGATCTCGCCGCTAGCCTTGCTTCCATCCGAGAGCATTCTTTCTGTCTTTCGAATCCGCCATAGCAGGATTGGGTACGCCAAATCGCACGCAAGAGCCGTGGCCCATATGAAGACGCCAAACGGATTGAAGACATAGGGAAAGCCTTCAGGCCAAAAGTACCATCCAGACACCCAAACTGCTTCCGCGCCCACGACCGAACCGATTGTTCGAGATGCCCTACATCGAAACTTTAGCGAAAAGTAGAGAGGAGAAAGAATAGCAACGTTTGAGGTGCCACGCAGCCGTAGCTGCTGCATCAACCCATTCCTCGGCACCCCGGTTCAGACTCAATACCTCATTTCTCAAGCCGGCTGACAGAAATCACAAACTCACCAAATCCCCCACCCCACACCTCCCGAATGCCCCCGAATCGCCAGCTGCACCAGCGCCGCCACGCTACCATGCACCTGATTAGCGCCCACGCTCCAATACGCCAGCTCCGTCATATCAGCCTCAAGATCCCCGGGGTACCTTTTCCCCCTGCCCCCTCCCACTCTTTCCTTGACCCACCACGTCGCAAATGCATAGTGACCCCACGCCGCCAGCACGATCATCCCGCAAGAATCTTCCCCAAATTCCGCGCTACGAGAGGGCTATGTGCCCATTCCCTATGGCCATACACTACCACCGCGTAAGCAAGCGGGATGTCAAGGACGAGCCAAATGGTGAAGACGAGCCGCTCAAGGAGCTGCTCGGCGACGAAGAGGCCATAGACAGCTTCCCACGCCAGGTTGTTGGCCAGCGCGAAGAGAGGCATGCTGTAGGTTTTGTTACGGCTGGCGGCGCGGATGGAGAGGATATAGCAAAGGGTCCAGCAGAAGCCGCCGATTTGGAGGAGGAGGTCATGAGCGGGGATTAGGTAGGGGGAGACGTGGGGTGGGGGATGGCCTTGGGAGCCCATGATGTGATTGAAGCGAAGTTCGAAGGGAAGAGGGGGGAATGAGGGTTTATATGCTCATACATATCGGACTATGGATGGGGCTTGGCGCTGAGTCAGCTTGGTTGTTCAGCCCAGGTTCTAATTCGGTGATATGTCCTGGATAGGTAAGAGGCGTGCAAAAGGAATAGTATGCATGATGCGATTTGAACGTTCGCAGAATTGACATATTCCAGCTCCATATCCAGAAGTCCCGAATACTATTATGCACTCTATTAGAGGAAAACGCAGCACGGCACCACTGATATTTCACGCTAACAGATGTCTACGCTCGATTCAGGTCATTTTGCTCACATTTCTCGCATTAGTGCTTCGAAGTTGAAGAGGTGCTGGACAAAGAAGGAGGCGGAGAAGACGGAGTTGCTGTAGAGGAGGCTCGAAACGCGGCGGCGCTGCGGCAGTGTTCGAGGATGACTTGGAGGGCCTGGGGGAAGCGGCAAAAGCGCTCAAGCTCTGCGTCAAACCGCGAGGGTGCCGTACAAGGCGACCCGCTATGCTGAGGGGGTGCACTAGTCGATTGCGGTGGTTGGGAGACCGAAGCTGTTGTGAATGCCAAAGTCAAGTAGATCATAGAGGAGAAGGTGGAGTGGCTCAGGGTGGTTCGACTAGCTCTACATGCCGAAGCATATGATCAAGACGGCGACGACGGAGAGACCATGGACGGTTCTGAACTCACAACTCTCGGGTTCAAGAAGCGGGTCCCTATGATGATGATACGATAACGGAGGGTTAACGAAGCGAAGAATATCTTAACGGTGCATGATCATAAAGACCTGTCTTAAAGAATCTCTGGGAGAGGGACAAGAGACGGATTTCGGGTTGTACTACAGAATAATGGTAGCATACGACGATGAAGAATGATGAGATGGTAGCCAACGGAGTCTCTTCCTTTCAAGAATCTCTTGAGTAATAGATGAAGCCATCTGAGGTGACAAGACGAGCTGTAGGATTGTGTAACATACCTGAGAAACTTCTTTAACAGATTTCTAAAAGAATATTGAAGCACTTCAAACGGTGGCAGGGAAGGGTACACACATAGGACCTGTAAAATCAATCATATCAAACACTGAGGTGGAGCGTTCGGGTATGAATGGGTCCGTTTGACCTCGGAGGTGCCCAAAGAATAGGTATTTTACGATTCAATCTTACTACGAGGATGATATTGCCAGCTTCGACGGCGACTTGTCAGACTCCCTGGAAAACTGGGAACAGAGAAAGAATTCTTTCGACCAGGGTCTCGAGCGGCGCTCCCAATGCATTCCGACAGGGTTTCGAGCTAGGCCAGCGAAAGAATATATCTGAACGGCTGAGACCTGAACCAAATACGATGTCACAGACACACAGAAATTACGAGGAGGAGGTGGGGTCAATAAGGATGCGATTCTGAGAGACCAGGCGCAAGAAGAAAAGCAGCAGAGCGTACGAGATGAAGCTGTAGCTGGGAAGCAGAAGGAAAGAGAGGAGGAAATAATACGAGCGCTGGCCCTAGTTGATGAGAACACGAAAGTCTTGAAGAAATAATTGAAGGCATTGAATCGAAGAAACACGCCGTAGGCTATTTCAAGAAACTCCCTCCGCCGCATATGCAATGTGCGGTCGAATCGCTGGAGCTATTTTACCACTACATTGAAACGTCAATAGAGGGCCTAGAACCATATCCTCTCCTAGGCTATATCATTGGCAACAGCAACAAATCGATTGAGGAAAAGCTCGCGCACCTCAAGAAGAAGACGAGGAGAATGCCAGACATCAGGACGTTGAAAACGAGCGACTCGAGATCAACGCCTATGTAACGTATCGCTATTTTGCGCGTATATCCAAGCCTTTAAAGGATGTCAAGACGTGGCAACATGCCCCGCCGTCGCAACCCTCAAAATCTCCTCCTCCAACCCCCCAACTAGCACCACCTCCACCCCGGCATCCTCCAATATCTTCCGCCCCTGGTTATCCCCAACAAAAGTCTCCGGCTCCTTGACTCCCACATACACCTTCCGTATTCCGCCCCCTTTGCTCCGCGTCTCCACGATCCGTTCCACACAACTCCGATTCCCACTCAGCCTCTTCACGCACGGCTCGACGGTTGTATAGATCACTGCCCTTTCCGGCAGCACTTCTCCAACGCGCTCCTCGGGTATGTTGTGTTCTGCGGCGTATTTGGAGAGGCAGCATTGTTCCGCGTGCGTGTTCCCGGGGAGCTCGAGCGTGTAGCCGGACGTGAGGATCCTGTTGGACGCGGAGTCGACGAGGAGAGCGCCGACGCGGAAGTTTGTGGGGAGCGGTCGGGATTCGTGGGCGTAGGACAGGGCGAGGCGCATGTAGGAAGGGTGGTCGTTGGAGGAGATACTGGTGTTGAAGTGCTGGTTGGATAGGGGGGTGGATGAGGGGGGTGCCAGGGGGAGAGGCATTATGTGGAGTACTGCTGATCGATTAGTGCTACAGAGTAGAAGGCTAGACGCAGGAACATACCACTGTCCGAGCACCGTTTTCTGAAGCTAGCTGGGCAGATCTGCTGCTGAGTAGCTAGTCAGCTAAAAGGTAGTCCAAATTACACTTCGCTGATCTTTATATCGTGCTTGGAGCTTTGAAGGTCTAGGTCCACAGATATAACACCGCTTGAATGCTTCTTTGGGAGCTAGACACCACCGTTAGGAGTAGTCCTGCTGCTGAGTAGTCGGCCAGTCAAGAGTTGGCTTGATATCGACTGTATATCGCGCATAAAAGGTCTGTCGAGGCACCCCAAGCAGTGGCAGACGAGTGCGCACAGATTAAAGTTTTGTGTAGGAATTGAGATGGACTTACAAGCTTTGGAGTTGATTGTGAATGAAACGTTTTCAGTGGTAATGGCGGGGAGCGGGGAGCGGAGATGTATTACAGTGATTTAGGGGCAGGGGGTGGGGATACGCGGGGCATGGAAAAGGTGGCACTCCATTCTACATGGGTGTGTGCGCGTATATTACCACTGATTGGGGTGCTTTAATGCAATTTCAGAGATATAAATGGGATAGAAGCTCTTTAGTCTAGGCTATGTGGAAACTTGCTGAAGCACTTCAAGCAGTGGTAGACAGGAGCACCTATATAACAGTGTGGTTGATGAATGTAACAGAAAGTGGCAGTTCACAAATCTGTGAGATATATGTACTATTTCCGTGCTCGCATTCGTGTACGCTGATTTGGCACTGCTTGAGGTCCTCCAGTATGCCATTGTGAATCATGAAATGCCTTTTTTGGAAAGCCTGATAGCTCTCCGGGCCACCTCAGACGGTGTTGACCTGCTTGAGTGTGAGAGTGCCACTTTTTTGCGGCCTAGCGTGGGGGGCCGTGGGGCCGTCCACCCACTTCCTCAACGCGTCAAGTTCGCGTCAACCTCAACACTTTACTTTCACTGCAACACAATCACTTGCCGGTTCAGCAACTCTACACCACAACCATGCCGCCTCGCGCTAGCAAGCAGAAGGTCGAGTACCAAGAGGAGGTCGAGTACGAGGAGGAGGAAGATTTCGAAGAAGAGCAAGAGTTCGAAGAGGAGCAAGAGTTCGAAGAGGAGCAAGAGTTCGAAGAGGAGGAAGACTTCGAAGAAGAAGAACTGGTCAATGAGGAACCGCCAAAGGATGTTGATTGCTACAAGATCCTAGGACTAGAGAAGACGGCTACTGCGGACGAGGTGAAGAAGGCCTACCGCAAGGCGGCACTGGTGCATCATCCAGGTAAGTCTATCTCAGTACTCACGACTCTCATGCCCAAGTAACCTCGAGATGATCTCACTTGAGACTATTTCTACTGTTGAGAGACGATATGAGAGCATCTAGTCGCAATTCCTCGACTTCATCGTACTAATATTGCCCCAGACAAAGTCAAGGACGAAGACAAGGCCACCGCTCACACAACCTTCCAGCGTATTGCCTTCGCTTACTCTGTCTTATCCACTCCCCACCGCCGTGCTCGCTACGATGCCAGCGGTCGCACCGATGACTCCCTCTTCGGAGGTGACGACGAAGGCCCCTTCGACTGGCTGTCCTTCTACCGCGCCCAATTCGAGAACGTCGTCAACGATGCCTCTATCGAGAACGCACGCCAGAGCTACGTGGGCACCGACGAGGAGAAAGCAGATGTCCTGAAGGCATACGAAAAGGTCAAGGGCGATATGGCGCGTATGTATCAGCTCATCATGTTTGCTGAGCCGTGGGAGGATGAGGAGAGGTTCCGCGTCATCATTGATGAGGCGATCAAGAACGAAGAGGTTGTGGGCTGGAAGAGGTACTTGCTCGAGACGCGGGAGGATCGGGCTAGGCGCATTACGAGGGCGAAGAAGGTGCGGGATAGGGAGGCACAGGAGGTGGAAGATGAGAAGGCCAAGAAGAAGGCTGGCAGAGAGAAGGGAGGTAAAGCTTCGAAGGATGATGGCTTGAGCGATCTGGCGGCTCTGATCCTGCAGCGGCAGAAGGCGAGGAGCGGCTTCTTCGACCGAATTGAGGAGGCCTATACGCCGGCCCCGCGTGGAAAGAAGCGACAGAGTGAGCCACCGGAGGAGGCGTTCGCCGCTATGGGCGACAGGCTCAAGAAAAAGAAAAAGAAGCAGAGCAAGCCAGCTTCGGAGGACGAGGCCGAGGAGGACACCGAGGAGGAGTCTGAAGAGGAAAAGCCCAAGCCACGTCGTCGGCTTGGTCGGAAGAAGACTTAAGTGTCTTCTATCTGCGAGTTCTCTCATGACTATATGAATGAACGGCATGGATCTCAGGTTTTTAGCGTGGAGTTCGGCCGGGCACAGCATCTGAGAAGGCTGCATGGCGTTAGGCAAATACATAATAATTCAAGCGAGGTAGATTGTCTCGTTAACATATCTCCCTACGCCTTCCTGCCACTGCTTGGGGTGCCTCGCAGTAGTCTAAGGGTTGTGAACCTGATGAAATTCTAGCATTTTGAACAACTGGTAAGCTCGCGAGGCCACCTCAGACAGTGGTAAATACGTGTACACAAATCGGACGAGTAGCCCATCCGCCGAGGTCTCCCACTCCTTTTCCTCAACGAGTCAAGTGTCCTCCGCGTGGCTACTTTGTTACATTACCAGGTCATTATCTAGGCACACGGATATACCACTGCTCTAGCTTCACTCTTGCTCTCTCGACACCACCGTAAGGAGTGCCGCAGCTTACATGTCTTTAGGTAGTCCAGAGGTAGGCCAATATCTATCGTGTGACACCTTTGTTTGGGCACACGGATATACCACTGCTCCAGCTCCACTTTTGATCTCTCGACACTACCGTAAGGAGTGCCCTAGCCTACGTGTCTTCAGGGAGTCAAAAAGGAGGCCAATATCCACCGCGTTCATCTTTACATCGTATTTGACTTTCCAAAGCCTAACCGGGGTTACTCGAACAGTTGCAAGGAGTGCCCAAACATATGTCTGATAATAACGTACATTCCTCCGGAAGTGGAGTGGACCGTGGATATGCCACTGCTCCAGCTCCACTCTTGCTCTCTTGACACCACCGTAAGGAGTGCCCCAGCTTACATGTCTTCAGGTAGTCAAGAAGTAGGCCAATATCCACCGCCCCTCTCTTTGCCATACCGATCCAAAAGTAAAACATAAAGCCGAGCCGCACCGGGGCTCGAACCCGGCACTCCTCTACCATGCTCAGCATATGCAAAAAAAGTGCAAAAGGAAAGGGTCATGCGTGAACACGACGGAAGAATAATAAGATAATAATAATCCATTAAGCAAACTTTCCTGAGAGAAGCAACGAAAATATTTGGTATATATAGGTAGGTGAGGGGCAGGTAGCTTATCCGTTGCCTTGGAGATATAACGGGAAGGAGATAGCGGTAGGCTAGATGAGTGCCTGCTGATATGGGCGAGCGGCATAGCAACCGGCAATGGAGCGGCAGATACGCCGACACCGATATCGGTGCCAGCGATAGCAAGATGGACGTCCGAGTAGGCTATTGCGCATTGCTTCTTCTCTGTCTTGGTGTTCAAGGACGTCTCTCCTCATATCCAGCGGGTTTGGGCTTGGGCTGATTCGCGATGGTGTCGCACTGCTGCCTTTCTTACGAGACTTGCGCCGTTCCACCCTAACTCTTCCTACTCCTTCGTCTTGAAGCCCCTGGTTATCGAGATGCATTATACTGGACTCGTAGTCTGACCAAGACCAAGTCAACAGCCATCGCTTCACCGGTGTTCCTGCTGGGATCGGCCTGAGAGAGCCCGAGTCTTGGTTCCCAACATCGGTCTGGCAGCAGATCGATTCGTTGTTCCTGCTTTCAATTGTACATCTTGGCTATTTTCGAGCTTGTCCGACCTCTTTTGTAGTTCCATCTCGAGTATCGAGGATCCATCGGCGGCTTAGAAGTTCAATTCGCTCTCTCCATTTTTTCTACTCAATTGCATCTCGTATGGTCTTGGTGTTAAGCACTCTAGACGGGTTCTCCTTTCTTCGTCAGCTGCATAGCCAACTTTAGCTCTTTTCCAGACAGAGGCTGGCTTGTTCAAGACTTTCAATGATATGCTGGAACGTTCGCGTCCCCAGGCTTCTAACATTTCTTGCATGGCGGCTCGTCTAGATAGTTATCCTTATTGAGTCCATCTCTCTATGTATCGGGTACACGGCCAGCAGCAGGTTCACTCTTGCAACGGGTTAGCCTTAGCATTTCCTAAAGGTCTTCCTCGTCGGCCTCGAACAGACCCTTCATGTCTTCGCAACGCTATCCCGGGCGGTAGGTCAGTCTAGCTTTGAGAAAGCGTCATACACAAGAGTTGGCAAGCACCTAGAGACGCAGAATTCTGTAACAGTCATGAAGATGTAGGTTGTATTCTCATAAGATTTTATTCATCTGTGCACAGTGGGCTGATCCCAACATGGCAGAAGCGAGCCCGTGGAAATCCGGTGAATAATCCTAGCCAATTGGGGAAATAGAACATGTAGATCACAGCAGATCTGATAACATGAATCGTCATCGAACTTCCGGGTTTCAAGAGTAGTGAAACGAATGACACGGTACTTCAATAGAATCGCTCGAAGAATTGATATCGCAAGTACGGATTTAATGCAAATCTTCAATTTGACCGGCTGTTATCCCCAAACCCCATCGACTAAGAAAGGTTATCACTCCATTCACATTTTCAATTCGTCCTTTCGCTTCCTCGGACACTATAACCTGTGCGGTTAATTTCATCTCCAGACTCGAGAAATCATCTGCCCCGGCCCATTCATTCACGATTTCGCTCAGCCACCCGTACTTGCGCATCACCCCCCATCCCACTTACACCTTTCCCAATTCCTCAGGGAGTATCAGTCTAGCCAGGCAAATTCTCGAGAATTCTAGTTCGTCCATAAACATCGTGTTGGAAGTGGATGTCTGTGCCTTCTTTTTCTCACTCAGTGCGAAGCACAAGCTCGTAGCATGTTTGATCACCCCCCGACCTCCCCGCAGGATGACAGCAGTCCCCATGATGAACCACATGACGTTCTGAGTCCTACTCCTAATCTTGCCCTCTAGGTGGTACCGAGGATGGCCGCTATATCGTATGCCGGAGACCAGCGATTCCGTGGCTGTCCACGCCGATGGCCATGGCGCATGCTCATGAGAGCTACGTGTCTTCCGAAGCCGTAGTTCCCAAGGGTGGCCGTAGGTTGCCTCAGCTGTCGGAACATATCCGTGCTTTTTCTCCTCTAGAAAGCTGAGTACTCGACTCTAGACCGTTACATCACCCCCTCACTCGCCACATCTCTCATATGCCGAAGATTCGGGCATATATTCGGGCCATCGGTACGATTGTGTGTCGGTCACCGAAATCTTCTCGGCTTTCGGCTCGGAGTGGGATGACTCGGATATGTGGTAGATATGTTGGGCAAGAACTTTCGGAGCTACGCTTCAGGAGTGCAGAAGTAGGAAGGATGCAATTGCATTGTAGGATTGTTTCCAGAACAGATTGCCGACAGCAGGGCATGGATAGCCATGTCCTTCACGCCTGTGATCTTGCACGCACCGTCGCTCTGAGTTCGTTGACCTTAATGGCTGGCCTACATGCGGAGCTGGTGACATGATGAACCGCCCATGGAAGAGAATCGGGCGAGGCTGACAGTTGAGCTACCATCTGCTCTCCCGATCGTCCCAATAGTAGATCGGAGCGATCTGGACTCGTTTGATTCATCCCCCGTTTTGGGCGCGTAAATCAATCGGGAGTTGTAGATAGGTTTGTGAACATGTTGGGGACTGACATCTGCCTTCGGCCACCGAACCACACCCTAAACTTGATCCGCACTTCGAGCATTAGCATGAGCGCGGTAAGTTGGTTCGTAGAGCGGATAGCCACTCTGGATATCCGATTCGGAGGCCGAGTGCTCGGGTTCGCGGGCATGGCGGAAGAGCTCCCCCAATCCTGTTCTCGGCCACCGAATAAACCCACCGCTTGATTCGCAACCCGAAGCCCCGAAATATGTTGTAGGTAAAATGGTAGAGCTGAAGCTAGCTCCGCTTCGGCCACCGAGTCTACTTCGCTTGGAGGCCGAAGGGGCGAAGGAGTCCAATCATGGATGCGGAAAGTCTCCGTGTCCTCCGCTTCAAGATATAAGGCGTTCTCCATCACTCAACAGGTCACTTCATCTTCTACTCTCTCAAGAGCGTGTTCTCGATCTTGTTCCGTGCACAAAAGCTATTTGGCTAGTACAATCTGTTCCCTCCTCGAAAGGATGATAGTAGCGACGCAATCGTCTCGAAAGAGAGAAGGAGAATTCTGCACTCGGTGGCTCTCTGGGGTGGAGTAGATCTAGACGGCGTGCGCGCATGAGAAGAAGTCATTCGTAAAGGTAGGTCCACCGGTTCCCACTCGAGGTGCTAGACATAGTGATATCGCTCCCGAACTCTAATATCCACATTCTGAGAAGCTGATGTATAGAAACGGAAATGTTGAGCGTCCGGTAGGCTTTATAACGAGCTCCTTATGGCTGTCTTCATATCTTTGTCCTTCTGCTCGAACACGATGTAGCAGCCTCCATACTCTTGAATTTCTTCTCTGCCACATCATGACGGCATCCACATTTTGACTCCTTTGTGCACCACAGCATGAGGGCCTTTATACCCTCGACTTCCTTCTCAATTCCGCACTGATACTGGTCTTTCGAGACGCGATTCTGAAAGCAGCAGATTGGCTGAAGTGTTGCCGTACAGTGATGTGGCTTCTTCGTTTCCGAATCGTCTGAAAGTTTAGTCACATTCGCCGACCGTGAAGGGATGAGTCGCCCTACGAGTCGTGCTGGTTGGTTGCCGAACTCAGGATACTTGCCTGCCATGCGAATCCTTCGTGGACCGACCTCTCCACGACCAACGTGCACTGCATCAAAGCATACCGCAGCTCTATGATACGGCGGTAGACATCGATGCTCTCCGCTAGTCTTGTGACAACGTCTTATCCTTGGAATCCTGCTCAATGGAGAGGGAGGTAATATCGACATTGTTTCTGAACGAGAAGAAGAAATGACCCCATGGGTGGCCTGCAACTTCAAAAACTTGGACTTACCCCCTCTGGGTAGCCTTTCCTTCGCCCTGTAGTCGTTTATGCTCCTATGATCTTGAGATCGGTCTCTTTTTGAGCACCTCGGGCGCAGGGAAGGATGACCGTAGGCCGTACGCCACATTGAAGCGGGAACGATATATTTGTGCCTGTCTGGAATTGTAGCCTACTCTTTCAAAGGGATTGCGATGGATCCGCGGGCGTTCGCGGCTAGTCGGGAGGAGGATGGTGAGGGGTCTTCGAATCGTAGTGAACGCGACGTCGAGAGTTTTGGTAATGGGGACGAAGGGACTTGATAACATGTCGTCGTGGATGAGGATTTCGATGGCGTAGGCGGGAAACGTAGGCTGCGACGAAGTGGTAGTGACGGTGTGAAGGGTAGATGGAGCTCCGCCAGCGGCGGCCTGACGGAAAAATCTTGAGGAAGAGAATTAAGTTCGTGCGTTCGTTTGGCAGAGCCTTGAAGGAGGCGATTGAAGCTGCCGGTACGATGAAGATGATGGAGTAGATCCGGTCGAGGTTTGAGAGTGATGAAGGATGAAGTTGGCGAAACTTGCTGGGCGAAACTGTCGGGCTGTGGGACAAGGCTTCACTTCCCATATCAGATCCGAAATGTTTTATCACCCACTGCCAGTTTCAGCGTATCATATATAGTCGATAGATCTTGGCTAGATACTGCTCGTATTTCTACGATGACCATAGAATGCACATAGGGACGACCAGACTTAACAATTTCTAGATCGGCAGCATGTCCGAGGATTTGTGAAGGTGTGGCTATTTCACAGGAGCCAAGAAGCTGAAACACGGCCTATTCAAGCTTGGCATCTTTTCAAATTTTATCAGAAGGGCGCTCGAAATGTCAATCTTAGATGCGCACGCTGACAAGTCCCGGGGCTCCTAACTTGGTAAAGATAAGCATCAATAAGCAAAGGGCAGAGCTTCAATGTTGCATTGTCTGATGACACAAGAATTCAGGGAAGGTCTTTGAACAGAGTAAAGGGCCGGTTGAATAATGCAAGCACTCTGTCAACATTCTATGGAGGCACATGATGTTGGTTATAAATGTAACTGAATGTACAGATCTAGAAAGAGTAAACTAACCGCAAGACGATATTGGAAATAAGGAATCTACAATTTATCGCGGTTTACCCAGTCAAAGCCACCAGAAAAGGCACAGAATGCCCAACATAATCCACATCTCGTCCCCGTCTAGAGGTACAGTGTGGAGAGTAAGAGAATAAAATAAGGAGATAGGTTTGACTATCAGAACCCGCGTTTCAGAAGACTCATTTGCCATGAGTCAAGAAAGCCCACGATTGCAAAAGCGTGTGTAAAGAATGACTGAGAATGATGAAATCAAACCAGAAAAACCCCCGTAATCACCGATATCCCTCATCGAGAGCCGAATCGAGCGTCATTGTGGGTGTAAGTGAATTGTGGAGTGCGATAGGAGTGTCGTAGCAGGGCCTCGATGTTGTTTAAAGGCCACATCGCCAGGGCAAAAAAAGAGCGAAAAGTCGTACCGGAAGCTCGAAACTGACTTGCACGTAGGCCTAGGCCTCTATCGCGGAGTAGCGAAGCTGAGGCGTTGCTGACATAGGCGGCATGAGTATAGTACGACGACAAGGGTCATCGACGGCCGTGAGGAACTCCAGATGCATGTTGGCACTGAACAGAGACAGACTAGTACGGTATGGTGTTCCAACTACTCAGCTCGCGTGCGGTCAAGCTGAGCAACTTTATCCCTCGCTTCCTCCAGCAGACGAAGCAAGAATTTATTCGGAAATGTCGAATCCTTCAGGCGTCGTTGCGAACCATTTACGAGGAGGTAGGCTTCCAAGATCTCTTTGCACCGACGTAGCGACAGCCCCTTGACGGAAATGACGAATGAGCGAAGTCCATCAGGAATCGAGTTCAGCTCATCGCCCAGCTTGTCCTTATCGACGTCGAAGTCTACAGTGGTCTTGCTGTTTAGTCCAAAGCTATCCTTCACCAGCACCACCTGTAGCGTCCTCAGCCCCGTGAAGCCCTTCTCGCGCAGAGAGTAGAACTCCCGGAGTTGCTTACCAAAGCTATCGTCGTACTCCGAATGGCGAGGATCGAGGTTAAAGGCGACGGAATGGATGAGAGGGCGGACGGCTGGTTTTGGCAAGTTAATGACCGGAACCGCCTTGTCTAGGTCGACGTCAGGGTTTAGGTGGTTACGAAAGGGAACAATGTATGTATTATCGCCATCCGCAGGGAATATGGCTCGGTCTAAGCGCTCTCTGTCGGGCACGACCGGTATAGGTTCCAAGGGCTGTCGCTCGCCGTTGTCCCATTCCCTAAGGAGCTGAATCTTCTTGGCTTTCGTAGGCTTCCCTCCTCGTGGCCCTCTGGTTGGGAGGTCGCGTTCCATTAGCAAGACATCCAAGGCGTGAGCTGACATGCTATTGTAATCGAAACCGGCTGACCGCGGCGGTGGGGGACGACGCATGAACGAGATGCGGCTGCGCTGGACAGGCTTATCATACTGATCGATGTAGAATGTATTTTCTCCGTAATAGATCTGCTCAGCCTCCTCGCGAAGCTGTTTATTCACCCTAGCCATACGCTGGATTCGGGTTTGGTGTAGAGGACGGTGCTGGCCGCGGATGGGGCCGTTCGTGTGGAAGAGCTGCCTTAGGATATTTTGCCGGAGTTCCAATGGAATACCCACTAGCGAAGGGCTGGCGGGCATCATGCCATCGGGGAGTGGTGGCATAGAGAAAGACGGAGTAGGTATGGTGGGTGTCGGGTCAAAGAGACCATCAAAGGCTACCTTTTGGCGCTCCGCTGTATGCTCGTGGTCGTCGAAGCCTCCTGCAGACCGCTTCATAGCACCATAAGGGCCTTTCTTCATGATAACTGTGAAGCTCTCATGAGCATCGGCCTCGGTATCGAACGCTGGTGACGGCATCGTTGGGCTGTTGCGTGCGTTCATCTGGCTGGAAGAAGCTGCGGACGTGGAGTTTGACAAGGATGCCGGAGCGGTTCGTCAAAGAAGTGGGAGCGCAATGTGGGCGTTCGAGCTGAAAGCGATGGTGTGGTGTGGTGGGTGGGTGGGTGTCGTTGGGTCTGGGAACAGGAGATAGGGACGACGCCTCGAAGCGAGCTTTTATTAGTAGTAGGAGTGAACACAATAGAGGGTGAATTGGGAGTAGAAAGTGTAAGTGCGCGTTTTGTGAGTGACGATAAGGCACTCATACCTTTAAGTCTCGTTTTAGCCACATTCACCGGTCGAAACCCCACCGCGCATAATCTCCACACAATGTGCAGATTTTCAACAATAGCACCATGTCGGCTTTTGAAAGGTGATATCGTTGTCCGAATGTACCAAGGAAGCCTAGAACAAGCACTATATCAAAAGCGGCTTAAGTATCACGTTGCCAGGCATGTGCGGAAAAGATTGTAGATGTGTTCCTTAGATTTTTGTAGTTCCAAGAGTTTCAAAAAGGGAGCACATGGCCGGATTCGTCGACTCGGCTTGCCTTGTTGTGGGACAGAAGCCAAACCATAGCTAAAAGCAAGAGAAAGAAGAACTTTCTGGCCAATGTCCTTGCCAATACCTATAGCTGAGCCTACCTTGTCCGCGCGTGCACTGGGCCTTTGGCTAAGTAAGACCGAATGGATTCAGAGGAGTATTTGGCCAATCTAGACACATACTGAGCTTAGTGATTGCTCTTCGTTGTCCCGATCAACGAAGCAGATGTCTCTAACGCTATGCTAGCCCCTGTTGTCTACAGATATCGAGGTAACGGCGAAGGATTGCTTCGCAGTCGCTCTGCTCCCTGTCCAACGAGATGATGAGGGACCTCAGACCCTTCGATACAACGAAATCCACGCCAATTTGCTCTTGTTCGAGATCAACATCAACGGGAGTCTTGGTGATCTGACCGAAGCCGTCCTCGACGAGCACCACTTGCAGTGTTCTCAAACCTGTGAAGCCATTCCTACGTGCAAAGTACGCCTGACCAACAACCGGGCTCAAGTTGTACTCGTACTCATTCGGAACTAACCTGACAGCGACCTTACGGATCAGCGGTCGGATCGAAGGTTTCGGCAAATTAATGACCCTGACGCCTCCGTTGTCTCTAGCGTTGACAATGTGCACGAAATTCTCTTCAATCAGCATTGTGTTCTCGCCATCGGCAGGATAAGGCGCGTGGGTGATGAGATCGCGATTGGTGATAGACAACCAACGCTCCGAGTCCCATGGTGGGTTTGTTCGGAGCTCAAGCTGCTGACGGCGGTCATGGTTTTTCAGAGCCTGAATCTTCTCTTCCCGGGTAAATCCGTGGCTAGGATATTGGAGATCTCGGATACCGCGTGACGCAATGGCATCCTCTAACTCCCGGTGGTTCATCCGGTCATAGTCAGGTGGAGAGGGTAGGATAGGTGCAGTTGGAGAGGGTAAAGGAGGCAACCACATGCCTATGAGGGGGTTCGCACGAATACAATTCTCCTCGCACACTAGTTTGCTGTATTGTCTAACGAAGAAGGTGTTGTTCTGATAATAAAATGTCGTGGTCTCCTCTCGGAGCTGCCTGTTCACGCAAGCCACGCGTAGGAGACGGGTCTGATGGAAGAAGCGCCGGCGGCCTCGTACGGGGCCGTGCAGAGTGAACACTTCGGCCAGTATCTTTTGTCGCAATTCCCATGGTATACCCATAAGGGAAGGCTTGGCCATAACAAGCCCCTTGGGAAGTGATGGTATTACTATGCCCGCTTTCCGACTTGACGTTTCGTCCTCTTCCTAGATTCCGAGCTCCTCCAGCCTCTCAAGCTGGGACTGAATGTCTTGTTCTAATAAACCGTTAGTGTAGTCCTTCGAAAGAGTTGTCACCGTCGTAGGCCTACCAATGTGCTGATCCTCGGTTAAAGAAACTTCAGTATCAGGTAGCTTGGACTCTCGACGACCTAGAGGAAATACCATGTCATGATATGGATGTCCCGGAGAAGCCTCAAAGACTGTTGACTCATCCTGATACTGGCCACGAGAACCTCGAAGGGTACTGATGTCACGCAGGCGCTGCTGTTGGCTGGCAGATCTTCCGAGGGTAGACACATCGTGTTGCGGCTGACCTGGAGAACCTTCAATGGTAAGAGAGTTGGTCTGATTTAGAGACGCTTCCAACGCAGGACCTCCCATGATCTCAGCCCCGATGTGGCGAGCCTGGTCTATCAGCTGGAAAAGTACCTCCGCTCGCTGCTCTCCGCTCATGGGGCCTAACAGAGCTTGCATTGCGACAACAAAGGCGTGAGAGGTCGAGAGAGGGGCATGCTGAACCTGCGGAACGCGAGTATTGGAAAAGGGTGGAGGTCCCAAGGTCGGTGTGACGGGACCAAATACTGTCGGAAGGTCGCGACCGAGGGGGCCAGTATTGTAGCCAGTATCCGTGCGACCTCGCCGTGGAGTATCTGTGGGACCTTGCCTTGAAGCTAATACTGAAATTGAAGCACTAGCAGTAGGCAGTCGATGCCGCGAGAGGAGGCCTTTAGTACGAACCCGAGCAGGTGGATAGAAACGACGCGGACCCCGAGGAGCGCGATCATCAGGCGACGCCATGCTTGCGTGGTGTTGAGGAAGTCAAAGCTATGAAGATTAATGTTGTTGACGCCTTAGAGTGAGGTGTCGACGGATAAGCAGTATAGAAAAGCTCAAAAAGGTATCTAGTGTGTTGCTTCAGGATAGCCAATCACAGGTACCTGAGCGCACGTCCATCCCAATAAAGCTGCATATTCACTATGATATCCCCAAATTGTCGACTGACGAAACCATACATGCAGTACGTACGTTTGTAAAGTAGCTGGGGGCATCTTGGGAGGGATGCAGGTCCTAAGTTTGGACACACGAACATCTCACTGCTCTCTCTCCTTCCTTGCTTGCTCGGTACCATTGTAGGAAGTACCCTGGCTAGCATGTCTTCGATCAGTCAAATGGTAGCTCTATTCTCATAGAGTCAAGTTCTACATCCTACTTGGGACTCAGAAGCCCTAACGGGATACCCTGAGCAGATTCGAAGAGCGCCCAAATTTATGGCTTGGGTACTTTAACGCATATTTCACGCCGCATAGGTCATGAGAATATCAATTTGTAAGCATGAGCACAATGAGCTAACATGCATTCCAACTCTAGCTACCAGACGAGGAAGATCTATGAGGTTCTGACAATTCTTTCCTCTGTTGTATCAAAATCCCTTCCTGTAAATACCGCAACAATTGCAAATTGGATCTCCGAGCTAGTGTAGTCCACCCCTTCATGTATGAGAACAATCAAACACCATGTTCATTCCCAATAGCTGGGAGAACTCTTTACAACACTTGTGTTAGGAACGGCTCTTCCATGGGAACAGGGACAAGTATGCGCGGAAGAGGAAGTCTGAAAGAACGAGCAATGAGGCTAGTTTGTCGGATTGAACATCCGGATATGAGGGCAGATGGCCTTCAGCATGTCTTTGATCCCACGCTCGTTCTCGAACTTTTCGAAGCTGATGTTAATCGATCGAATCCGTCCCCAAACCTTGTGTTCCTCAATGAAGTCATTCTTGTTCGGAAGCTCAACATCGACCCCCCCGCAAAGCTGTTCACGACCAGCACAACCATGAGACTCTTCAACCCCGTGAAGCTATGATTTTTGCGCAACAAGTACACATCGTCGACCTTTTGGAACAAGACTTCAACAAGGTGTGCTCCTGACAGGTAGATATTAATGGCAATCGAATGAATAAGGGGCCGAAATGTACGCTTGGGGACGTTCATGACTTCGACATGGCGATCCACATGAAGGTCTCCGAGGTGGCTGCCCGAGTATGGGTATATTTCAGGATTTATAATGACAGTGTTCTCTGGGTCGAGCTGAGTATAAGCATACCGAAGGAGCCATTGCTTCGTCAGCATGAACACAAGCGAACGTGGCGTGCAGTCCCACTGCCGGAGCAGCTTCAGCTTCGTCTTGAGCCAACGGTCTCCTCCATTCGGGCTCTGAATCGGGAACCCTCGGTATTCCAGCAGATTATTGTTATCTTCCATCGGCCACGTCGTATAGTCTGGGGACGGCGGAGGTGGATGGAATACTGCGTTCGGCCCTTGCAGCCAGGCTAGCTCCGCGGATCTTGTGTGAATACTCTTCGAGAATCGTTGAATGAAGAACGTGTGAGAGGCATAGTAGTAGCTGGAAATCTCTCCATACAGTTGCTTATTCACGGGGAGCAATTTTTGAACAATTGCCTATTGTGTTGAACGCTTCCACGGCCCAATAGGGCCTTCTCGAAACTCAAATAGTTCATCCAAGATCTGTTTGCGTAGCTCCCAGGGGATTCCCGGAAGACAGGGTGTCGCGGCCGTCATGCCTGCAGGCAATGGTGGGACGGGGATAGTATTGGTAAGAATAGGAAGCTGTGTGGTTGTATTTGTGCCATTGCGTTCGAGAGGTGGCTCCGAAGGAGTAGCATCCTTTTGAGCTGCCTGTTTAGCCGTGGCATTGACGTCGGACTCTGCCCATTTCCAGCCTGCAGAACCCAGATTCTGTCGCTTTTGCGCTTCGTCGTCCAAAGTGTGTTCAACCTTGCGTTCCCTGTACTGGGGGAGAGAAGGAAGCCGCCCAAGTGAGGGAGCTCTGTGGATATACTCGCGGTCGTATATGGTCGAACTAGAAGCTGTCGTGCTGCGTGGCCCAGCACCAGTTATTTGCCCAAGTATAGCGTATGGAGTAGGCGCCGGAGTCTGTTCGCCTTCATCGCTGAGTCCCCAAGGAGTGTGGTCCATGATGTTGTTCGTCTGGTTGGAGCAATCGGGTACCGCTATGTTCGCGTTCGAAGCGAAGTTGTTGTAGAAGCGTGTTCGAGTATGCCAGACCTGCGACAACAGCGAGGGAGGCTGGTCAATGCTGCAAAAGAGTTCCCAGTAGGTGGGGCGTGATAAAAGAATAGGGGGACCTCAAGCGGCGAAGGGCTGAACGTGATGTCTGGTTCGAGGTCTATCCAGCCAATGAGATGCAGGGAATCTGACCAGTAAGCCAACAGACATCACCATCTTCAACTTCTCATATTTCAAGACCAGGACCCCTCTTCACGGTCGCTCTTCTGCAAGTCTTGTAGTGTTAGCCTCGGGCGGCGCCTTACGGCCGAATTATATGACGTCTTTCACCAATGATTGAGGGTACCCACCAGCTCAACCATGGAACAACCCTGAACTACGTTGGATAAGCGGTACCAACCAAAATTCAGAGGCAAACGTTATTTAGACGTCTTCGCTATATGATTCAATGTTTACAAGCCTCAAAACGTATCTTCTCTGCATTCCATTCACGTCTTACATGCTTCTTCTCACATCCATTCGCAGAGCTAAGCCTTTTGGATTAAAAGATTCGTTGAAGAACAATTTTGAGTGACTCCTCTTATCTCTCTTACTACGATCGAGATCGTCTTCGCTCTACACTGTCCGCTTGACGCCTGGTCCATCTCTACTAGGGGTACAAGACGATAAGTTGGACTTATATAATTCGCAAGATCCCGCTCATCAAACTGTGAATTCCATATGCAGTAGTATAGACCTGAGTAATCATTCTGAATCTATGTAAACTCCACCTCCCTTAGCCTGGTTGGATAATCTCTCGCCAATGCAACCCAAAAGCCGAAAACCCAGACCCCAATCCAGATCATATTTTTCGAGCTAGCCAGACCCTAGATGCTGAAGTTAAATGCGGAACGAAGCGACGGGCCCGTATCGCAGCTCCGCGTCTAAGTAGCCTCCCGCCAACTCAATCCTCTACGATGGCTGAAAAAGGGTCAACAGATATCCACAGGCAGGGGAAAGAGTACTGCTTGCATCTATCAGGCCATGGTGAGAACTGATAGCTACGTTCGCAATGCACTCGGGTTGCAGCACTACAACCTAGGGTCAGCAACTCATATGCAGTAACGTATCAGGATAGCATGCTGATACAGGAGGAAGTAACAGGTAGTGCAACAGCAGTGCTGCAGCACGGTATCAGTACTGTATCAGGAAACAGGATGAATCAAGTAACGCGTCAGGAAGAGATACCACGTTATGCCCCCGGGGCTGGCCCCCCTCCTTCCCCTAGTATATAAACAACGAGCTAGACACCCATAGAAATCAGAGTTCACATCAATTTCAACCTGAGTCCAAGCATCTACGCTCTGCCTTCCGGGATTGGCGCTGCTAGTCCCTAACCCCTGATAGGAGGCCAGTACGCACCGAACGGCGGCATGCACGGGGGTACTCTCTTCAACAGCCGTGCTACCGAAGCGGCGTTCACCTCTGCTGGACTGGCCTCTGTTTCTGCTGGTGCTGGCTTCTCAAGCTTCAACGCGCTGGCTTGCCGACTTCCCGAAGCGACTCCAACCCCCTGCCAGGAGCCAATCTGTACCCCCAGCTAGGAAGCCAGTATGCAGCCTTTGAAAATCAGGTGCCTCAGAACTACCCTGCTCACACAGCTGGCTACATGTTCGGAAACGATCGCCCTCAGATTCCATGGGGACCGGGTGGCCGGCGTTCGCAATCAATCAGTGGAGACAACATTTGAAGGGGGTCTGGCAAGCTGGAATTGAAGCAGGAAAGCAAATCTGGCAAAGCTTGGCTTCGTGCCGGAACATGGGATGGAGTTCTGAGGTGGCTTTTGCTGGGAGTGAATGTGTACAGTACACTGCTCTGCGGAGCTTGATTCCCAGCCTGCGCGGGTAGCGGCCGCAAATTCATGCTCTGTTCTTCACCCCGTTCCTCTGTGCAATCTGATGTGAATAAAGCTGCTCGGAACTCAAGCTCAGCTCACTTGTTTTTAGTCCTCATCGTGGAGAAGGGCTATTCGAGCTCCAGGCTCAACAAACCTCTATGACGCGGCTATCAGGGCCCGCCCTAGATTGGCCAAGGTAGAGCTAGCTCGTGATCTGGACACCTCCCTTCGGACACTGGACGTATTCCTCTATGGATGGGGCCCAGGCGCTCGTCGGTGGTGGCAATGATCTTGGAGGCGGCCAACGTCCACAGCCGTGGAGCAGACCTGTCTTCAACAGGCCTCATATGGCAGCCATATAGATATCAATTGCGTCTACCTTGAAACGGCTCCTCGAGACTTCGCTTCCATCCCCTACTCAAGATTGTCGTAATCTTACCTCATAGCGGTGATAATCGCATCGGCATTACTCAGGTTGAAATTGATGTGAACTCTGATTTCTATGGGTGTCTAGCTCGTTGTTTATATACTAGGGGAAGGAGGGGGGCCAGCCCCGGGGGCATAACGTGGTATCTCTTCCTGACGCGTTACTTGATTCATCCTGTTTCCTGATACAGTACTGATACCGTGCTGCAGCACTGCTGTTGCACTACCTGTTACTTCCTCCTGTATCAGCATGCTATCCTGATACGTTACTGCATATGAGTTGCTGACCCTAGGTTGTAGTGCTGCAACCCGAGTCTTGGCGGGCCCCCGAATTGCTGGCCAGGGAATCCGGCACCATAGCCGAAACTAGTGGCCGCAAAAGGACCAGGCCCAGGATTGCCACTCGTTGGATTGAAAGGCCCCCTTCAATTTGGCCAATCCAGTTTGCGAACATGTAGCCAGCTGTGCGAGCAGGGTAGTTGCGGGGCACCTGATGTTCAAAGGCTGCGTACTGGCTTCCTGACTGGGGATAGAGCCTGGCTCCTGGCCGAAATAAATTCTTCGCGGTAACGCAACTGAAAGTGGAGACGTTGGCGGAGGGGTACAGACTTGCTCCTGGCTGGGGGTTCGGAGTCGCTTCGGGAAGTCGGAAAGCCAGCGCGTTGACGCCTGGTGGGGCAAAAGGCATCAATCCTTCACGAATCTTCTTTGCATCTTCCACCATGCTGACTTTATCGCGATCTATGACAGATTAGTACGTAGGTGAGGAAACAAGAGGCCAATTGGCGGGTACCACATACATGAGCCAAACTCATCGTTGTATTGGTCGTTACCAGTGAGCCCAAGTCCAATAGGCAGCGGGTCAGAGGTCAACGGAGCGTTGAAATCTTGCGGTGATGACATTGCACGTAGCGGAGCATTCGAGCGGGTGTCCTTGGAACCAATGGCTCCAGGGCCAATAGCCGACGGCTGCGGATGGCGAAGAGGAAGCAACTGTCGCTTGTGGTGCAGGCGCATCGACGGGCTTATTGGATGATACTTCAGGTAGTGGCGGCAACGGGGTGCAAAGTGGTGTCTCTCGCGAGCTGTCTTTCTGAATGTTTTCCTCGCTTTGACAGAACGTTCTCTCAGTACGAGGCTGTGGAGCCCGGCGGTCAACCTTGCAGAGGACGCGGAACAAACAAGAATTATGGCAGATCTCCAAAGGCCAGTGCAAGCAGCGGGTCGTTGCCTTGCCAGTGCTCGTGCCTGTCCAAGGCCCCACGATCTTCAACTTGGACTGGACGTGACGAGGGGTGTTTATGGGTAGGCTGACGACGGAGGAAGCTTCGACGTGTCGTTTTCTGAGGAGTACCTCTCAGTGGTGGTGACGACAGCGGCTGGGTTGGGCAGGGACGAGACGTGGGATGGCGAAGGTAGGTTGAAGACGGAGGACTCTAGAGAAAGAGATCAAGGAATCATGACCGTGACCTGGAATGAATGGTCAGCTAGGCAGCGTGCGGGTGATTGGAGGGGTCAAGTACCGCTGAGTGTTCGGAGTGCCGCCAGCGAATTAATCAGCGCGACTTCAGTCCGAAGAGGTGGGATAATGGAACAAGAGAGCGTGGGGTGACCGCATTGAGGTATTCCCAGCTGGTCAGATGAAGAACGCGAAGGACTTGGAGTATGAATGTGGTAGAGATGAGGGCCTGAGTAGTTGGGAGATGCAAATTGCCACTAGTGACGCTGAGTGGTGACGAAACGGAAATGCCCCCGCTGGCAGAGCATAATTCATTATTTGTAAGGCTTCACGTTTAATACATGTTGCACTGAAGATGCAAGCACCTATTTGAATAGCTCCGTTGATATCTAGGAAAATATCTATATACCAAACCTCTGTTGTTTTTCACTGAGGAACATGACTTTGCTTGGCAGTGCCTCAAGTCGGCAGCTCATAACGCTTTTGTACCTCAACAAAACGCCGATGCAGCTACACGCTGAGTGTCAAATTGTATCAATATAACGCGAGCCAATGGAATTCTGAGCATTCTATCTCTACAGCCGAAATTACCATGCACTGACGGGTGACCCCTGCCTCTAAGAACACCCCGCTGGCTCCTACAAGCCCCGGCAAGTCCGGTGAACGGCTACAAAAGGTTCTACGACCTTCTATGAGACTTGATTGGTTCGCGGGACCTGGATTTTAGGCAGCAAACCTGTTGACTTCACTTGACGCCAAGGCGCTAGGGAATTTCCACGGATTGTCTGGTACATAAGGTCGCCCACCCCCCGTCCTTCCTTCCTTCTTCATACGGCGGCGACGGGTGCTGGAAAAACCACCACCCCCTCGGGGTCAGGAAGCTCATGAATCTCCTGACCTACTAGCCCTGACTGGCCATTGCACAACGGTCGAGTCGGGGGAGTACAGTGTGGCAAACTGACGGGACAATTTTTGATTTCACTCAAGTCGGATGTTAACTCTCTGCAACCAATCTTTTTCATTGATCTACTTGCCTTGCGCAGGTACTCGAAGAAGAAGCTTCTCTTTCCACCTCTAGATATTTCTGAGGGATACAAGTTCGCTCCCGTACTGCTTGAGCTTTGATGGTGACGGCACCTTTGTGTCAATGATGGTGATGATATTTGTTGTAGTTGTTGATGCTGCATACGATTCACCTTTGTTGATTCACGCGAAGCCATGTTGCATCAGGGCCAAGTCTCATGGCATCCCTGTTCGTGTTCGAATACTGCAGCTACGTCTTGACCGTAAGACCTTTGACAGTCCACGCATCTTCGGAAAAGTGTTCTTCACGCCTGGAGATTTGCGGTGCCTCCATCTGCATGAAGTATTTGTGCCCAAGAGATTGGCTGCTCGCGATGTGAAGCACGGCGGTCTGCAAACCTCGACGGCGCGGCTCTGTTTGAGACCGTCCAAAAGACCACATCGGGTTCTTGAATTCGCTCGGGTGATACCAACGGGCAACTCGGTGGGTTATGAATGACAGGAAGAAGCGCCGTCCGCCAGAGACCTTCCTGTGGCATTCCTGTTTCGTGCCTCGTTGAGATTCTTCGCGTCGTAATGGTGCTACGTCCTCGCCGCACTGCGGAGAGAGCAGATTGGGCGAGGGCGGTCTTGTGAGCTGCAGCATGCACTCATAACATATTCGCGCAGCGATCCTGTTGCAGCAAGCTGCTCAAGTCACTGCTCGAAAGCCTCCCCTCGATTTACTATCTCAATCCTCGCGAGGGACTCTGCCATGGTGAGGTGAGCTCGCGTGCGCCGCGCCGCCAGGCTAGCAGCTATGCAGCCACGCAGAGGCAACGCGGTTGAGCGTGGTGGATGTTGTGAGCATTTTGCGACACGGCCGCCTCTCTGCCTCTCAAAGGAATGGTCCTAGGAGCGGCGCCTGTGAACTGAGGGAGGCGACTTCAACGGAGACCTTGGGAGATCCGCCGCAGGAATGCCTCAGGGCAGCGGCAAGCAGCCGCCCAGTGCGTCCCACGCAGTGAGGGGGTTGTTGCAGGGTCACTACGATAGTATCTTGTGCGAAATCCCCAATGGGGCCTCCTGAAATGCCAGAGAAGTGCACTGAGGGAGGCGATCTCTACGCGCAAGTTCGGGAGTCCGGCGCTGAGAAGCAGGATGTCACGTATAGACGCAGTGTCGCCATAAGAAAAACTCGGCCGGCCCAGTATGACTTTCATTGTGGTATTCGGATGCTATATGAGCTATCAAAGCTATATAATTGCCCTCAATCGCTCGCTGTGAGGACGTGAGGCTGACGGACAACATGCTTCAGGGCATTGGTCTTGCCGCATGGAAGGACTACATGGAAATCTCAAAATATGCCAGGAGACCATGCACACCAAATAGAAATCATATTTCATGTGTCTTCAAGCTCTACAGACGTCTCGAGGCGCCCGGGAAGGCATGTGCTAGGACCCGATCCTTTCCAGGCGTCGCCTTGGGAGCAGTTGCCTTCCTGTGGTCCGACTTCGATTTCCCCTGCAAGTATTTGTACAATTATCCTTTATCGACTCCCTATCGGTAGAGCATGTAGTCTTTCCCGCCTCAATTGCCATGTTGAAACCCTGAGTAGACAGATTTTGCCCCGACGGCGCTCTTAGAGGGCCCCTTACCGCCGCAAGTAGCACCACCTCCACATCCTGTAGGGCATATCACCCAACCTAGCCCCGTCTTCGATTTCCGAAATTTGTGGAGTATCTCTATCCCAAACTTGTGTTGAATGTTCATGGTATGAGCCACCTTTGCCCCTCGACTGAAACGTACAGGCAACACACACGGGCAATGCAGTTTCCATTCGAATCCCTCCTGAGGAGGAGCAAATCCCATTCATGTATGGCCTGGCTGGTGGTACAGATGCACAAGGCTTGTGGGACGGTTCTGGTAGACCGACGAAAGAGGAGGACGGGGTTCGGCTTCGGAGCAGTAAGAAAAAATGGCCAGGACGCGATGAATCGATGCGTTGAAGGCTCGGTCGAGCGTTTCGAGACAAATCTGTGTCATTCGTTAGTATCTGTCTCTCAGATTGGTATAGTCTGTCAGCGAAAAGCGGAGTCCTACCCACTGGGTTCTTGTAGCAGACACCGTTGCGTTGAAACTAGCCCTCAAACATACAAGCCTCCATACCCTCCTACCATACCACCATCCGTTCTTGTAGGTCCGCCTTTCCACCCAATTTCTCTCCAATTATTCTCATCGTCTCGGTGCGGTTCGAGGATCAAGGAGGCCGCTCCCCGAAGGAGGTAGAGTAAGATTGTTACACGATGCCACTGACGCACCTCGTAAGTTACCATTGAGTATGTCCTTCATCATCTGTGGCATCCCTGCCCTATGGTCTTGCTGGCCAGCAGCCAGCCAAACGTCAGAAGCTTCGCCGATGCCCTCGTCCAACAGGAAAGTCGAAGCCGCCAACGTGTCCCACCGACTTCAGATTCCACATCCACCCTTCAGGTATATATTGATCCGCCGGTATCTGAGAAGGTGAGGTCGCGGTATTTGAATGCGGGGGCTTCCCACCGGCCTTCATTGAGGGCTGAGAGGAGGTACCCTGCATGAACGCCGTAGACCATTGGAGAAGCTACCCAAACCACCCACGAGGCATCGTGTCACTTGTTCCGTATTCTCGTTTCGGTTGCCGATTTCTAAGGTGAGTGCGGTAGAGGAGGAGGGAGGGAGGTCGGGCTTCGGGTAGCCAGGTAGGACTCGTTCAACGACAGCGCCGGGCGAGCTGAGAGCTCCATCGAGCTGTCCAATCTTTGCTGCCACTGGTGATCGATTTCTGTCCAAATTAGTCGTACCTGGAAAGGTGAGTACCGCAGGATGGAGACAGAAGTCCAGCTCCCAGCAGCGATGAGAAAAAGGTCCAGTCGCGAGACCGCAACGCGTCGGAAATGCCAATTTACCTGGCGGTCTCTGTATGTGCAATTTGTGCCATGCATCCTGCCTAAGTAGCTGTCTTGGAAAACTGGGGATCGCTGTCTGACGATCGAGGTTGGATTTCGAGGTTGGACTTCGAGGTTGGACTTTGAGGTAGCTAGGTAGGAATCTCCGCGGCGGCGTCACAACGCGCACTTAGATGGCCAGCAATCTTCCATGTCTCAGTCTGTGTCATGTATGCCATAGATTCAAGCTGAGTCGTGGAAGTCAAGAAATGTAGGATGATCGAGGAGATGAGGTCAGACTCCGGGAAAGCCACTGGAAAGCGTCTCGCGGCAATGCTGCGATACTGCGACGTCGGGAAGAGGTCTTCCACTAGATAGTGGCTCCGGTATGTCAGATCTCTCATGTATACCACCCACCTCGCCGTTTCTCGAGGTTGAGGGTCGCTCGGGGGTGAGGCGTCGGGCTTCAGGGCCGTCATAGAAGAATGGTTCGAGGAGAACGGAGCCACGCGCTGAGGATGCTGTGAGGCTGATGCACCTCGTGGTAGGCCAAACCTACCGTGTCTCTGTCCCAGCTCGCCGTACCGGAGAAGTGAGGATGGGGAGGGTTGCGGATGGAAGAGGGGTGTCTCGCGGAGGAATTAAGCAGGGTATGAGACCCGCGGTGGCAGCACAACGACGCGTTCAGGTTTGTAGAAGCCATTTAGAAGGCCTGCAGTCAGTCTACGGAACTGAGTATCATCAGCCTATGCTATTGTGTTTCACTGTGGGCCGTCGTGCCGCCAGCCCAGCTCCGCAGCCTCGGGGATGGATTTCGAGACCAGTTAGCCGCACCACGTCACAACACTGGGCGCTGAAGATGTTACTATTATCCTTAAAGCTTACTGCGAGTGCTATAGAGTTCTTACCACAGGGAAGGGCTGAGTTAATTCACTGAGGTCCGAAGCCTGCCGCCGCCTTGACGCCAGCGGTCTGTCTCTGTAGATTTCAGGTACTACGGAGAGCTGATACAACCTGGGCGCTTCTCTCAAGGCTTGCAAAGGCCGCCGAAGTTATCTAGGACCTATTTCTACAGGTAATCAATTGGTGCTGGGCCGCGATACTGTCCTGAGGGCGCAAGTAGACCTTCCCTTCTAGACAGCATCACGTCCGTAACGCAGCACTTGGAGGTTCAAAAATTGACAGCATTTATCTTGAAGCTATGTAGACACAATCCTCAAAAATATGGTCTCTATGAAGCGTTGTGGTGGTTTGTCTACCCTCACGCCTGAAGGCACCATGGAGCCTCGCCCATGCACCACACGACACCCACGCAACACTCCCAATTAATATAGTAAGACTGGAGAATCAGCCCTGAAGCTATAATAGATCTATCCCTGGAATTTTGAAACTCCACTGTGTTGGGGTGGACCACAATTTCAAGATCTTCGCCATCAGCGAGGCCACAGCGACCAGCCAAATCCCACTCACTGTCTTCTCGTTGACGTGACGCCGCCACCACAACTCCTTTGACTTTCCTTATAGTGCGCAATTGATCTCAAGTCCATGCTCAGAAACCTTGCCCGCAAAAGTTTCATCGAAAAATGTGGTGGTGATTCATGCCCGCACCGATTTCCGCGAGGTCTGAAGTGGACTCGATCACCAGATTGTCAACGACTACCAACACCACACCAACGCCGTGATCCGAATCTGACATGGTAGTCTTTCTCGGAAAGCTTTCTATAATGCTCTCCAGTGAGGGGAGCTTGAGACCAGGTCGCGGTGTGGTACGGTACTCGACATTGGGTGAGCCACGCTACTGTCCGCGGACATGGGTTCTCAACACCGCGCCGACATCGCGAGGCGTTGTGTCTAGGCAAAGACACACCTAGATATCGTAGTCTCAAGGTAGGCATAGATCTCATAGATGAGACTCGAAAGGAGCTCAAGTATGATGGGAATTGGGCGTCAAGGTGACTACGACTTCAAGGACAGTTCTCACGATGCATATCACATGAACTTCAAAGGCACCACGATTGAACACAATTGTTGATAGGCAAAGCTTTGAATTCATCTACCAAAAGACGAACTGCATCGTTTGAGACAGGCCCCATGCACGCACTGCTCCGTCCACTCCATCCAAGGGGATACATGACTGAGTGGTCCGCGCGAAGAAAAGCAAGGGAAGGGGAGGAGGGGAGGGGAAGGGAATACTGCACCTGGCTGCCCACCCACCCACCCAAAGAGTACCGTCGCCGTCGCCGTCGCCTGCCTTGGAGAGAGAGGGGAAAGGAAAAGGAACACGTACCTTGATGTTGCCCACCCACCCACCCGAAGAGGGAGGAGAGATTGTTGTCGGAGTCGCCATCGCCGTCGCTATGCCGAAGAGAGAGGGGAAAAGGAAAGGGAACACGTACCTTGATGTTTGCCCGCCCACCCACCCAAAGAGTGAGAAGAGATTGTTGTCGCCGTCGTCGTCACCGTCGCCGTTGCCGTGATGCGCAAAAACAAAACAAAAAGAAACAAGGACGTACCATGAAGAAGCCCACCCGCCCATCCACCCACCCAAAAGAGTGAGAAGAAGTTGTTGTCGCCAGTCGCCGTGCCGTGCCGTGATGAGCAAGAGAAAACAAAAAGGAAATGGAACGTACCTGTCATGGAGGAAGTCGATGGTGAAGGAGCATTGTGGATCAGGTGACCGAAGATGGTGATTGACAAAGGTGATTGAGAAAGTTGGAAGAGGAAGGTGATCGAGTAAGGTGGATGAGGAAGGTTGTAAGTGAGGAAGGAACGACAGCGGACCAAACTCTTATACGGAGGAAAGACGTCTCGCTTAACGGATTAGTCAGCGGTGCACGGACATCTGCAGGCTTCATCGGAAGATTCCAGGCATGGTCACGCCGGATCAACTTCGGGTCACCAGTGAGCGTGGTCCTGCTCGGCCTATCGTGCTGGCTCGGCACGGCCCGACGATGATACCGGGTTGTGACGGGAAGGTATGGTGTACGGTGTACTGTGTATGAACGGCCTGGCCAGTGAAATAGGAGTTTCGTATGCGGTCTCGTGTGGCCTTGAATAGGGCCAATGCATCTTCAGAGCGCTTAGAGCATTTGCGGATTGAAAGAGTTCGTCTTCAAAGACTCTACAATAGCGTTGAGGTCGAAGGGCGATGCTTCGACCGCAAGCAGGCTATACTCACGTGCAGGTGCTCTGCCTCCCACCAATCCCATTTTTAAGAAACGCAGAGGCGTTTATAGCAGGTAGTCTGGATGTACCATCTTTGACCCCTGACGCGTTAGGAATCAGCGTGCAGAATCGGCGGCCTCGTGGTTTAGCTCGAGGGTTGACTTTGATGCAGTACCGCGGCTCTCCAGTCGAGCGCTCAACAGCGGGGATGCTGATTAGAGAAGCCCGGTGTGATTCAGATATACTAGAGCAGATGCAATTCAATGGCAAACACTTTTGTACAATGCTTGATACGCAATCGACCTCTGCGATTCATGCGCCCTTGCGATTCCCCGGAAGGTAGAGGTATTCGAGTGATGGTACATGCCTCTAATTCTTTGGAGGGCGGAAGCCCGCCGCGAGACACTCTTTTGTCAAGGTCTAGTTTAAACTCTCAGCTGCGGCATTGCTAGGACTGCAAAGACTATTCTCGAATGCTGCTGTTATCTCATCTTGAAAATTCTTGACTCCAGGCTCCTTCAGCCGAATATTCTCAGAGTCGAGTTGCCAAAAGTGGACTGTCTTGATTCTCGAAGACCAGCTGCTGACCATCGTGCGGAATTCCACCTCGCCAAAAGCTTCAGCAACACACTCCTCTCGTCCACTCCTCGTACAACCTCCACTTCCATCTCCTTTGCCCTCAAGCCTGTGCCCTTCATTTACCAATTGGTCTCGTCGCGTTCGTCATTCCTCCGCAGGCCCAGCGACCGCTCCAGTTCCTCTGGCAATCAGACCTGTTTCAAAAGCGAAACTGCGTCAAACCCAGCGTCTGCACCAGCAGTTCCCCCCCTCGCGAGCGATTCCACGAATCCTTCACCCCAAGTCGTATTTTGGCTCACATACCGTACCCAAACACAGTGGCAGAGAATGCTGTCAAGGTGGCGGAGATTATCCAATCCAGGAGCCGTCCTAGCAACTCCTAATGTCATGGTCATCGGTTCGTACAGTCCAAACCTCCCCCTGGGCCGTTTCGTCGCTGGGACTAATGACACCTTGTCGGGTAATAGGACCTCTGACCTCCGCGTTGTTGCACCACCTACCGAGCTATGAGCCCCCCGCATCAGTCCCTCCCTCCTTTTCCTTCACGAGCCATTCAGGCGACGAGAGAGCCAGCCGCTTGTTGGAAAGACACCTATTTCGTACGCCTCGGCCGTTGTGCCTCCCATTTCCTGACTTGCTACTAGATCTCCATCCCACACCCGACTCTTCCCTGAAACGCCAGCTTCAGACTGTCTCGCCGGCATGGATTGATTCCACAACTCCAACCTTGTTGTGGCAACAATCGGGGGCAAATCCGATGGTTCACGGATGTAGCAGGGCTATCTGGCCTCGCGAGACTCTCTCGGAGGCCCACACCTTTGCCAACGTCAAGTCGGAGAGCGGACAAGCCAGGTGGGGACAACATACCTGTCAAGTAGCCGGCTCCATCTTGCCGAACAGGCTTCATGGCCCTTTACTGCCTGAGATGGACACCAAGGACCTCCGGGTACTTCGTCTGGAAGGCTTATCCATACGTAACTGCTTTTCAATTCTATGTAAACCATCTCTTCAACCCAGTGGGTCCTGATCTTGACTTTGTTGCTCAAATCATGACGCAGGGGCCCAGTTCAATACACGTAGCCTGACCGCAAAGTAGCAAGATGAGAATATGCAATTGAACCTCTGGGAAATGCATTGTAATGAGAGTCCTTTCTCGAGGCACGCTGGGGCGGCTCATAGCTACACCTGCTGCTATAGTAGGGACGTGACTGAATGTAGATTCAGAGCCACCTTTCCTCAATGGATGAAGCAATGAAAGAGCGATACCACTCTCGGCCTTATTACTGGTCGATCTGACGTTGGGGGTGCAGAGTGCCTGCTCTTTGCGTCAGCGCGTAAACAACGTGACGTTAGCTACAAAAACCTTCTTCCCGTCGCTTCTTCTGCTTCTTCTCCCAACACCAACAGCAGCCAACGCCGACCTCGCCAACAAGAAGAAGAAGAACAAGAAGAAGAAGAAGAAGAAGAACGATGGCCGGCCCAGCGAAGAAGCGTGCCGCCGCCCTCGCCGCCGCCCCCACTCCCCCCTCCTCCTCTCCCTCCTCCTCCACCACCTCCTCCTCTTCCTCCTCTTCTTCCTCCTCCTCCTCCT